GACGAGAGAACTCCGTCTCCTGTGGTGCACCGCAACTCGGACAAGTGAATTTTTTCCTTTCTCAATATAGGAAGAGCAATGTCGATTATTGAGGAAACTTTCAGCTTCAATTCATTCAGTGGAATCCCAATCAGAGCCTTTTTGTTGAAACATGACTGTCCGAAAAAAACTTTTTGAAAACTGATTTTTTTTCTGGATGAATCTGAGCAAGTTAACACGAAATTTGAGGATATGGGTTAATTTCCTCTGTTATAAAACCTAGCTCAGAGCCCAGAAAACTAACAGCTTACAGGGTTTTATGAGCATGTTCGAACCAGTTTATACGTTTTGAATAACAAAGAACTTACAGCTACTCCACGGTCTCCTTCATGAACAATGACCAGTATTACAAAACTTCGCGGTCATCGCACACAGAAGCCAAAAACAGCATTTCCGTCAGAGTTAACAGCTCTTAGGCCTCGTGAAATCGATAACTATCATCTAGGATGCTTATCGGCTGAGCAGAGAAGATTTGAGAGTCGTTGACAAATCTCAAAGCAGCCCCACCGATTCAAACAGTGATGAGCTTCGCAGACTTCCATCTGGCAGAAGTGCGATCAGTGTTTCGCCTCGCGGGGATATCAAGTAAAAAAAATCTCAGCTTTTTCCGATTTTTTTCCAACCATAACCTTTCACAGTACTCGTTATATCTACGATACCTCGCAGAGGAACTACAAGCCTTATAGTGTTCAATCAAGCCAGCATTCCTCCAAAACCACGGTGATTGCGGCAAATACAGAAAACAAAAACTGGTCACGGTATAACCTTCGCACCTTCAATTAATCAGGCGATCACTTGGCAGAACTGCTGAACCGCGAGAAACTGTGATTAATGACTCTTATTACGACGGCAACGACGCTGTCCATGGATACGGTACCATAGAAGTGCATAGAAACCGTGGGAACCTGAGCACTCATGGAAGTTTGCCGGAACTCGTGCATTCGGAGAATAGAACCGATGTACAGCAAAAAGTGCCCTTGCGGTAGGTTCGAAAAGGAAGAGACAAAGAGTGTCTGATTTTTCAGCGAGACGACTATCGACTACCCTGTAGTCGACAGGAGAACTTTCAGCAGAGAAGATCAGACGAGAAGAAGTCGTCATCTTTCAGAAGGAGGTTGGTCGATTGATTGATTGAGTGTTGGAAAGTTTATAAGTTCAGGAGGAAAACAGATTCCTATCGAAAGGAGAATTTCTCCAGAGCGAAGCGGCCAATTCGTGAGAAACTCTTCAAACCGTCAAAGTATTTTGAGCCACTATCAAAACGTCGACATGAGCGATAATCCTCAATATCGTGTGCCAAACTCGCGTCCAAACGCTCCAAATAAAAACGGAGCTACTGTCGTTCATCGAGTAAGTTTTTCTTTTTGAAGACTATTTATTGTTTCTGGAAATACAGGTCGCCGGTGGAGAAGTGCTTGAAAACGAAAAAAATTCCACCTACAACGCCTACAGCTCTCGGCATTCTGCTCATTCGACAGGGTAAGTTAAATGAAACAAAACATTCAAGCTTCCCTACGTCGTTCAGACAAGATGTTTTGCGCCAACCTGTTCCTCCCTCTCCAGCACCTGTCGCTCCTCTGCGACCTCGGTATGATGAAGTTCCACAAAGTGAGATTTTAAATATTTTTTTTTTGTGAGAACAAAAGTTAAGGCGTGACGCCATCGAACCATTACATCATTCCCACGTCAATGCGGACTCCCGGCTCGCCTATACAAGTTCGTGTCCACTTGGGCAGCAAAAAAGCTTCTGATTCAGTGAGAACGCTTCTTCCCTCGCTTCCATATAAAGTGCCCTTTCCAGTGATGACTATTTTATTTTATTTTTTTCGTTTGAGTTCATCATTTAAAAGCGCATTTTGAAAGCTTTTGATTTCCATAGAACCGAACTTTTGCAGGTATTCTCATCAGGTAAGCCTTTTATGCACCCCAGCTTTTGCTAGCTACTTTTTTCTTTCCCATTTTTTTATCTAATTCCTTTCTCGTATCAAAAATAAAATTTCGAACATCAAGAATGAAACTTTCCTTTTGTTTTTTTCCGACTGTTGCGCTTTTTTTGTCAATTGAAAAGGATTTTTCATTTGCAGAACCAAGTGCAAGTCGATTATGATCCTTATGGACAAGTGGGACTTGATAGACAACCTGTGGCGCTTGAAGTAAATTACATTCTTTTTTGATGATAAAAGCTCAATATTTCAGACCACGACGACTACAACAACGACAAGACGCGAAGAAATAGAAAGAAGAAAAGCCAAAAAAGAACGCGAAAACCAAGAGAAACAGCTTCGAATCGAAGAACAGAAGCAACAACAGTACAACCCCTGTGAGTTGTACTCGATTCGTCACAGTTTGTAACTATCTGACTTGTCTGCGTCTAGTTTTCTGTAAACAACAAAACATAAAAGTTTTACCGATGAAAAAAAAGTTCGCAGAAAGTGTAGACAGTCTCAATCTGCAGCGAATAGAGTATATGGCACTCCTTGAATAATTCTTTTCCAACCGACGCTTCAGATGACGGTGAGTCTCAAGCGCATCATCATGGCCATTACGGAGGTATTGTTGTTTTTAAATGCTTTCTTATTCATTTCCTCCGCATGACTCATTTTGGTTTTAGAAAATTATCACTTTGTTCAATTTTTTGACTCTTGGTGATGAAGGGATCGGTATTTCCAGACGTCGAGAGTGGTTTGCTACAGCAAGAAAAGACCACAAGGACAACAACAAGTGAAAATAGAAGAGGCTACAGGAAGAAAGAGAAAAAAGGACAATACGTCAGGTTGAGTACAAAATAACATTAGAACAAGGGAAAAAGTTTGAAATCAACATTTCAGGATTCGGAATAGAACTTCCTACTTTGGATCTGAAATACCTCGCTGGAAAATCAGTTATTTTATTAAAACCTGTGTGCCGATAGTAGTAGCCATAGTTTTGATCATCTTCCTAACAATGTACGTATATAATGAACTAAAGAACAGGAAAAAACATCCTTTATCATTTTAGCTTTGCTCTTTTCAGTTCGAAATAATTCCTGCACTAACCAACGGGTGAACTAACCTTCTTCTGTGTTTCAGTGAGTCTGGAAGCAAAAAATCGAGTGGTTTTGGTTGGTCGCCATCAAATTACCGGAACGCCAAAGATTGCTTTCTCAACGTTTTATGTTTTATCATTGCACCTTTAATTATCATTGCTATCATTATTGTGATTATTATTTTTGTCATCGTCCAATAGCTCAGTTGTGACAGTGAAATGGAACCAGGGATTCAATAAAACGGAAATGAAACCTGCAAAGGTTCAAATTCGCAAACATGATGACAACCCCGCTTATACTGCCTTATCGTTTATTCCAATTTTTATTTTTCTACTGAATAACAGAAAATAACGCTTTGCACTTTACTCCCGAGTTATTTGCTCTGACTTTTTACTTACTACTGAATTTATTTTCTTTCTGCCGTACCGTATTTCTTGAATCTTTATTTTCAGCACAAAGACAATAAATATTCATAATTTGGATTGTTATTCTGAGAGATGGCATCAAAACAATCTTTTTAGCTGGAACGATTTGCAGAAGCTTTCACTTGAAAGCTTTTTTCTCTGATTTACGCAAGCTATGAAAAACAAAAAAGGGTATAATCTCGTATTTTAATGTGGTGTTGGCCAAATTTCAAGGGTCTATTGTGTGCCCATTCATGGAAAACAAATGCGTCGTAGGTTATTTGCATAAGTGGCAAGGTTTACCTAGTACGTGTAGCGTGGGAATTCATTTCGATCCGCTACTATTATTAAAATTGCACAGTCCAATTCTTTTTGATGAACTGACCACTTATTTGAGCACTTTATTTCAAAAAAAATAATATAGTTATTTAAACCAATGTTTTCCGAGAAAGTTTGGAGAATCTTCTTGCGAAAAGTCGGAAGTTCACAGTGAGATTTTTCGTGAGGTTTTTTGACAACGTTCAATACTGAAAAACAGATAATTTAGATTTCTGAAGTAACCAATCTGCACCTTATTTCTAAATGCCACTTTGGTAAAGCATGTGGAGCGCTTAATAGATCTTTGGCCAGTTTGTTGATTTTTCGCCCAATCCACATTAGTAGCTCATTTTTTCGAATCGATTTTGTTCATGCTAGATTTAAAACGGAGGTTTTTTTTTAAATCTGTGCATCTAATTTTCAAATACTGTATTAAGTTTCCGAGTAATCATTTACTCGTAAAGTTTTGAGGGTAAACAGTATATTTTCAAAAAAATGAATGAGAAAGGAAATAATGCATCTTTGCCCGCCTTTCTTTTATTTATTCCGAAATGATGCTAATCCAGGAGAAGGCTCCGCGCACACCTGTCCCCTCCTTCCGCTAATTACACGCTTCGCCAAAATCTCCATGTGTTCGTCCGTTCCAGAAGCGAACGCCGAAAAGTAGTTGTCCCGTTACGTCGGTTTCTCTTTCACTTTCTGACGTCGTCATGGAGATTTTCTTTTTTTCTCCTCTTTTTGAGCAAACTCCGTCCCGCCCTTCTTCCAATGCTGACTGCGTTTAAGAATATCTTATCATTCCTTCATTTCGACTTGTTGAGTTATTTCCATTCTCAATTCTCATTTGTTTCAATAGATGGTTAGAACATACCATCCTTATCTCCAATTTTAGTCCGAAAAAAAGTTTACTTTTTTTCCCCTGAACCTTAAAAAAAAGAATCAACCCTCTGAATTTTTTTGGCTTCTTTCAGGTTTTCTGGGCTTTTATAAGTTTTTCCTTATCGAAATTAAATCCAATATTCTTTCAAACGGAAACGTGATCACACGCTTTACGGAGAAAAATTGGTGTCTTTTTACGTGAGAAACGATTATTGCAATTCATCTCGTGTCGCATGGCCATTTCCACGAAATATGTTGTAATCATCCTTGGTAGAAGCCTTCCTTTCATATTTTTCGTTTCTTATTTTTTCTTGAAGTTATTCGTTCAGGAGTTCATGGGCCGAAAGAACCTGAAACATCGACTGAAGGTACGTTTGCAAAAAGAAGAACGCTTCACTTTAAAAAAAAAAGCTGCAGATCACGAAAGCCTCGCTCGACCGCTTCTGCCATGAATTGCGTATTGTTCAGTTTGTCAACCCAAGCGGAAGAAATGTGAATATTTCGTACTGCCGAATGTTGCAGACTTTTTTTGAGAATTACTTCAAATTGGATTTTTTATGAGAAACTTTTTTCAAGAGGTCCTGCGATCGGAGAAAATTATTGGCAGACGACGAAGCAACACCTAGGAGCAACAAAGGTCACCTCATGGTATGTCACTTCTTCAATGAAAACTCTAAAATTTGACTTTTTCCCAGGAAAAGCTAGATTTATCTGATATTGGATCTTCTGATTTTGAAGACGAAGAAAAAAGGATTTACATAACAGCTCTTAGGAGAGGATTTGGTTGGTGCTGCCGAAAACCGACAAAAAAAAAGACATTTTCAGATTTACCGTGCTCACCCAGAGTCGAAACAGACAAAGGAGGTGAAAACAGAAGGTAATTTTTCCTGTTATAGGTTTGCTTAAATTCTAGATAAAGGTAGAACTCAAAAATCTACGTTTCATTGGATTTTCCTCTGATAATCTTTTGTTTATTTTTAATAAACTATTATTATGATCTCGGGTATGTCAAAATTGCAATTTACGGATAAAATTTCAGCTTGGCGTTTCGTGTATTTTGAAAACCCTCGAAACAATGGAGTAATGTGAGATTCGTGTGAATCGAGTAAATGTTTCAGGAGAATGAAACTCTTCAAAACAACCGTACAAGTTGAAACACGAGGAGGTTTTTCAGAAATAGCTGGAGATCCTTGGAGTCTCCCAGAGCTTTTTTAAACGGAGAAGCCGACGTTTCATCTCTGCCGTCTGCTGTTTCGAGATCATCGGAAACGAACGGACTTGGAGCCTTAACAGTCAGTTTTTTGTTCAAAGTAGATGAGATTTTAAACTGTGATTGTGTCGGTGTGCTTCATTTGCCTGAAAATAAAACAACTGAACTTTCCAGCTTCTTTTTTACTTGCTGCCGCTTTCCCTGTAACATAAAACTGTCAATAAAGCACCTCCAAAGACTTTGCCGGAAAGTCGAATTGCTCAGAATACTGGCGGACTTGTGTGGCTTCCAAAAGTTGGAACAATTTTCACTTTTTCCTTTTTTTGGCCATGTCTCAGCTTTGCTTAATTGAATGATTGCGGAAGAATATGTGCAGCGGAAAAGATTAATTGAATGTCGCCGAAACGACTTTGGAACGTCAGCCGAGACGAAAGAAGAACCGAAAATTCACAGCCTTGACCTATTGTTCGTAAAACTTCCAATCATGTTTTACACTTTTCATTTTGTCGCCTTTTCACAAACCATCGATTATATCAAAACGTGAGTAACTTGATAGACTTCGAGATTACAGCGTCTTGTCGCCTCTCGCAGTTTAATAAGATGTTAAAAGGCTCTGATATGTGTTTCTCACCGAGTCATAAATCTTCGGACAAATGAGTTTTTTTTCGCAATACTGTCCTTGAGTTTGTTTAATATCACTCTGACTAGTCGGAAGTTTTCATCTGAAAAAAAAAATCGAAAAATTTCGTACCTGTTTTTGCTAATTGTACGATGTCTTGTTAATTGATTTCAAGGACAGTGACAGTTTTTTTTTCACTGGACTCTATTTCGAATGTTCTGCACTTTTTTTCTTCATATTTTAAAAAAATGTATAAGCTTAAAAATAAACTTTTCTGTTATCTCAGGCCTTTTTAAGATTAGCAAAATTTCCCTGATTTTGTTTTTACAATGGTGAGAATCGGTGGTTTAACATTGGTTTAAGATTTTTTTTGAAAAGTTCTTTTGTTGATTTCCCCGAGGTCGAAGTTGTTACTTCATCTAAAATCTACATGAAAAAATTATGTTCAACTTAGTTTTTGACGGTTGAAATTTGAGATTTCAAGAGCTTTTAACATTTTGGTGCTTGAAGAGAAAAAGTAGAAGCAAAGCGGTAATAAACAAAAGTTAAGAAACGCCCACGACATCTCTCCTCTCTATTCCCAAAACCTATTTGAAATACACCTCAGGTGAAAGTTGGGAAGCTTCTGCTTACCATCCCTCGGAAGGCCTTTGGAAGCTCTCCAGCAAAGGGTCAAACGCCTTTCACTCAGTTTCCTAACACTTTATACTCCCAGAAGCCTGCTGAGAAGCTTCTCGAAAGCACATTTAGTTTTTGACCTTTCGAAGACCTTTCAACTACCTGCTGAACACCTACCCAACGCCTTCTCAAAAACTTCTAAAATCCAATCACTTCCAACTTCCTGCTGGTTGCCTTCCCAACACGCTCCTACATTTTGTATAAATGAACAGTTTTAGTTCAAAGCTGAGAATTCGAAGAATTTATGACGAACTTTTGAACTGAATCATGTTTTTTTGGAAGGCCAATAGCTCCATGCTGCCGTTCCCGAGCGTGCAAAAACTCGAGGTTCACCTCATGAGGGGTTGAGGAGGTCACAATTGTCGCCGACTCGGCAGAATTTGACCACTTTGCGCGTACTTTTGCCGACAGCTGCGGTGCCACCGACGGCATCCATTACTCTCGGACGGCTAGTGCTCCGCGAGCCGTCTCTCGACGCCCTCCGGCCACGCTGTAACAATACCAGTGTTCCGCGAGCTGCTTCTCCCGACTTTTCTGCTCCGTCGCCCTGGGTGACTTGTCCGATTTATTGGATTCCATAATCTCGATTTTCTCTACCGATTATATTTTTCCATTTGAAATAAATTTTTTTCCGTCTATTCAAAAATAAAAAAATTAATCCATCTGAAGTTGGAGATGACTTGAACCTAGTCATTATTTTCGACACAAGTTTTTGTTTTTTTTCATTCTGCTTTTTTTTACATCTTGAGCTTTACATCAAACGGAGCATTGTCCTATAAAATCGAGAATGGTTCCTGAAAAAAATGATCTTTCTCTGAGTTACCAAGACAAAACTTTTCAGAGTACATTCCTTAACTTAATAATTCTTTAATAAATTTTAGTCGAAGAAAAGTATTCCAATGGTTCTCGTTTAATGAGCCTTTTGAGAATAATCTTTAGAAATAAACTAAATTTTTTTAGTATTTTTTTTCGACTAAACAAAAGATCTTGGTTTTCATAAGTTTCAAGCTTTCAATCGATATTACCAGATCTAATAAGACTCAAAAAAAGAGTTTTTCTAATTTTTTTAAGATCTAATCTCAATCCCACGTCTGAAAGTTTTTCTGTGACAATTATCCGTGTACAATTTTTTTCAAGGAATGATTTTTTTCAAGATTTTGAGCATTTTCGAGACCCAATAAAGTTTTCATCCTCATTCTCAAATTAAATCGTTTTTTTATCTTTGTGATTTCCTGATTCAATCGATTTTTTTCTTACAAAAAAATGTTCATTTTTTTGATTCAGACAAAAAAACGTTTTATCAATTTTTCAAAAAATTTAATATTAGACAACAAAACATTTCTTTTGCATAAAAAAATAAATTTTTTTGAAGTGTTTCTGCAAAAATTTTTCTCACCTTTAAATTTCTTCAATGTTGGTTCTTCTCCAGAATAACCTGTTTTTTTGTTAACTTATCATTTCAACGAACCATATTTTTTTATAGATCGTACAACGGAAATTTCACTGAAGAGTTCTTCGATCTCATGATGAACTTAGAGTTTTTTTTTTCGAGAAAGTTTTTTTTTACTAAAATTGGAAGAAAACTGAAATCTTGCCACATGTTGCTTTCAGCTTCCATTTTCTTGTTTTTTTGACCACCAAAAAAGATAAAAACTTGTATGTGAAACTGATAAATAGTTACACCAGAGTCTACGTTTGTTTGATTTTCTCTATCCGAAACACCTCGACTCCTAAGTGTTTTCTGGGCTCTTGAAGTACCGCTGCTGACAAAATTTTTTTCAGCAGTCATTATAAAAATTTTTTTCTGTGATTTTTAATGTGATGTTTTTTTCTGAAACCATATCGGAAAGAATCTACTCAAAGAAGATCTCATCGAACGTTCGAATCAAATTTCTGCATTTTTTTGATTCTTATTTCCTTGAAAAAAACTCTCTTTAACTGTTCCAAAAAAATGTATAAGTTCATAATCTGCTACAATGAATCGCTAAAATTGGAAATAAACTTATAATTTTTTTGCACTTTGATAAAGCCTTTATTTTTTTATTGCTTTTTTTCCGTTCATTTTTTTCTTTAAATAATTCTTTGAATGTCAAAACATCAAAAAAATGTTTCTCAGCTCTTTTTTTAAAAGTCATTACGTTTTGAAGTCATGAAAAAAATTTTTTTTTCAAATCAAAAAAAGCTGTTTGAGTTTGTGTGCTTTGGCGGATCAAGCCGACCGCGACCTTCTTAAGTGTTTGAATTGTCGCGTTTTTGCAACGTTTCCGTGAGAGTACAAAGCAAACGAAAACAGCTGTCAATTCTATTTCAAAAACATCAAAATGGTCTAGAATTTTCATACGACTTTTTTAGTTAACCTGCTCTCTCAGTAAAAGTTTAGAGAACTAAAAGGCCTAAATTTCTGCAAAACATAAATTTCTTTCCTTTCGTAAGAAATTTCAGAATGCATTCAAATATCTATTTTACCAACTATTTTTGTTGGTGATATTTTTTTTTGCTTCTTTGACCGAACTGTTCGCGTGGGAATTCAGACATTTCTGATAAAATTTTTGTTCAATTTCAGTGGTTTTGCGAGCTGCCGTCGCTCCAGGTAAATGTACCACAAGGACGACGACTACTTCGCACGTTTCAATCAGCCGAGCTCTTCCTCCGTCAACTTTCCATCAGAATCGTCAAGATTCGCCAGCAACGACGAGCCGCGCTTCCGCTCCCACAGCGCAGACGCACGTCGCTCCGCCTTCCAGTCCCATCGACCATACTCCGAAGATCACGATCCTTATTGGGCTTCTTCTGGAGGCACAGCCAACGTCACTTTTCCGTCTACGAACCACCATCGCCAGTGGCTGCAGCCTGAACCAGCGTCTCAGTTTAACAACCACGCCCATAACTTCGGCGAGCACTTGCGTGAGAGGTCGCCTGCCAGCGGTTCAGCGCTTCTCAGCTTGCTCTCTCGCTACCCATCAGCTCAGCAGGCCTACCTCGAGCGTGTTCACACAGCTTCGCCAAGGCCGGTCACTACCGTAACCTACGAACCTGTCAAAGATTCACGTTTCCCACTTATCGAATATTCTGTGCCGAGCTCTGATAACACCACACAAAGACGTTTTCACAGTGAGTCTCGTGGATTCGTCAACAGAGATTTCAACACGCCGACATTTGGCCAGAACCACACGTTTTCTGTCACTAACCGGCAAATTGACAACGGTCCCACGCAACGCTTCGAGCAAACCACTTTTTACAACACCTCAAAACCTGACTCATCAAACCTCGACTTCATTGCCGCCGCACTTCTGGATGACAACATGAGCCGCAGCACGAATGAGTGGAGCAAGTCTTTCGGACAACTGCAGAATCGCTTTCAAAGCGTCCAGCCAGATGAGTCGACGTCAAGTTTTGCTTCTTCGGGCTCATCAACTCTTCCCCGGAGAACTCAACCTTTGATGAAATTTTCGAGCAATCATGAGATGAATGCATCTTTGTTAGGTCAGGCTGTAGAGAGAAGGGCAGCAGAAGCTCCAGAACCTAGAAGATCTGGAGCATTAGATCAATTCTGGTCTCAAACAATGAGCCAAAGACCAAGCTCACCAACCATCCAACGGATCCCATCAAGTTTGACTGCCGCTGAAAGACTTCAGCTGCTGCATGAGCCAATTGATGGTGAACCACGACCTCCGCAACGAGTCGGCAGTGGACATGCGGTGGCCGCCCGCAGAGCACAGCTGCTCAATGAAAACAACATTGGGTCACATCCGGAAAAACCAAGGACTCCTCTCAATCCATCATTCCCGTCTAATTCATTTCTTATTCCAAACTTTAACGATCTTGATAACGCTGTCCACGAGCTGAGCGAAGCAAGGACGAAGACAAGTCCAATTATTTTTGATTCCGGAAAACGAGTAGGAGGATGTGCACGTTTCCCGACAGGAGATCATGCCCTGAGCCCGCCACCAGTAAACATTCCAGTGAGGGTTCAGCAACAAGTTCAACAGCAGCCTAGAAAAGTTCGCTCTCCCTCCCCAACTGAGTCAAACAGCGACAGCTCTTCTGTGTATCAGATTCCCACTGGCTTGCCGCATCCAAAACCGAAACACAATGTTAAAGAACAACTTCATCAGGCTGGAATTCAGACTAACAGTTCATACTATCCGCAACGTCACATCTACAGAAACGCTCCCAACTTCCCGGTCCCAACAACTGGGAGCGTCGCTTCTCGGATAACCGAGTTTGAGAGACGACCTGGAACTCCAATTGTCCAGCAAACGACTTCGATTCGCTACCAAGAGTCTATGCCAACGACGAACAATGGCTCGATGAGTCCACGCAGCGCTGTCTTCAGGTCCAAGCCAGTCATTCACGTGGACTTCGGTTCTGCGCAGCACGTGTCTGCTCCGCCGCCACCTCAGAATCTAAGCCACAGCTCGACGCACTCGATATTCAACTTGACATCAAACGTGAGTTTCCGTTATTTCTTTCGGAAAAAAATAGAAAAATTATCAAAGAAAATGAGTTTCTTGACTCAAAATTTTGAGCTTGCGCGAAATTCGGAAAATTGAAACAGTAGAATTTCTCGATACACATATTTCTTTCAAGAGATCCTTGAAGCAAATATTTGTTCGTCTCTGTTTCAACTTTGTTCGAAGGTAAAACTTAATATGAGAATATCTACGAGGTGGAAAAAAAAATTGTAGTCTTAATTCTGTGCGAATTTTCGATTCCACAGAAATACATTTAAAATCGGAAATTAAACTCATTACTGCAAAAATAAGGTCCCTGATGACAAAAAATGGCCAGCGGAGTTTATCGGGTTCCTGTGGACTGGAGCTTGTTTATTTTGGACTCTTCGAACGTTGTCGGCTCTCAGAGAGACCATGTCTTATCATTATGTTCTTTTGCATTCACTCTTTGCTCAGCGGCTTTTGGCTCCCGAAAAAAGGTCCACCGAGCCTCTGCAAATTATTCTCTTTTTTCCCACTTCCTCACTGAGAAAAGGTTATTAGAAAGTGTGTGTGGGAAGAACCGCCTCGGGCGGAAGAGGACTTGCGCCTAGTTCGTCTGAGCTGATTATTGCAAAATTCGGATTTGGAGCATCATTTTTTTATTGGTATTTATTCCATGTGCTGCTCAAATTGATTTTTTTTTTGTAAAACGGACATTTTGAGTTAATTTGGCAAACATCGAATTTCTGGAAACAGTTTTCCGCTTTTAACTATACAGGACAAATTATAGACCATTAACATTTTTCGAAAAATTCATGGACAGCTTCTTTCAATGAAATGAAAATTAGTTATTTAGCGGAAATGGAAAACTTTTTTTTGTAATCGAAAGTACAAGAATTTACTTTTTGGTTGTTTTAGCGCTCTTCTCAGTCTCGGGAGAAAATAAGGAACCGTTGATGATTGCCCTTCAGGACTTTTGAGTTGTTTCGGACCTCTGACGACGCTCTCCAAAACACATATTATATGCATATCGTATGCTCAAAGGCCAGAAGCTGCCGTACAACCGTTAAAAACAGCCTAAAGCTTCTCGGCTGTTTGGCGAGAGCCGCGTTTTTATGAGTGCTTGGCGCGCGGATACGAGCCCGCGTTACATGTGGAGTCCGAGAAGTTAATCATTTGAGCATCTTCGATGGCCGCCGAGCCACGCCTCGAGCTCAGCTCGTTCGCATTCTCAGCAATTCAGACCTGATTTATTTTCACACTTTCTTAGTTCTCAATTACATTTCTTCTCAGCGGCATCTTTCTAATAGAACATCAACGGTCTCCCTTGCTACTTTTTCTCTCTTTTTTTCCTTCAAAATCTTGTTGATGTGCTCCGATAATGGTTTTTTTTGATCCTATAGTTATGATGTTTCCACTGAAGAATGAGCTTATGACTCGATCAAAAACCTCTAAAAAAAATTAAGAAGGGTTTTTTGCAATTAGTACATTTCGATCATTTGCTTGAGAATAAAAAATTTTGAAGCTGAATATTATAAAGTATGAAGAAAGCAGACAGAGTGCGAAACCGATAATGAACCTATCTATATCCGTTATCAACATAGGATTTTTTTATGCCTAGAATTCGACAAACTGGAAATCGAGATTTTTTATAATTTTCTTTGAACTGTCATGGAATAAAATTTGCAACGAGTTGACTAGAAAAAAGTCCACCCAAAAAAATTGAACTCAGTTTATTCTCAAATTCCATGCGTTACGATTTGAGAGCGAGTGCCATCAGCAGGAAAAAAAACGCCTATTTTGACACCTGCAATGTGATCAAACTCGAAATCGAGTTTTTTCTCGTCTCTTTCACACCGCCGCCTTGTTCATCGACAACATGGGAACTGTCGCTTCTCATTGCGCCGTTTAACTCTTGGCGACTTTTGTGTAGGTCGAAGAAAAGTTTTGTCGGTGCGATGGAACAAGCAAAAAGCCTTCGCGCACGCCGAGCGCATTTTGTTTTGAGAGGCAAAATGTTGTCGAGCGAAAAATCGTACGTTTTCTGCGGCTTTCATCCCCAACGGCCGGCCAGAAAAACCGCCACCAAAACATCTCATGTGGCTACGTTTTTGGAAACAGTAACCGGTTTGCCTTACTATCACTTTCGCCTCCCGGCCGCTCGCCTTTCAACCCTTTCTTATTTTCCTTGTCAATCACTCTAACAAGCCGTGTCCCTTGATCGTCATGTGATTGATTCTAATGCCATCGCTATGAGGTTTGACGAACGCGTTCCTCATCTTGTAGCTTCCGCTACAAACCAGAGTTCTCGAAAAAATGTTCTTAGGTAGCGGCTCTCACTCACAGCTTTCCTAATTTTCTAACAAAAATTTATCATTTTCAGTCAACCTATGGCGCCTCGAAAGCGCCAAAAGCTTTTATTTTCCGTGAGAAAAGCTTGGAGCCTTTGGAAATGTACAAAATTAGTTTTTTCTGCTGTCAGATAAGAGAAGATTTTCAAACGGAGCCGAAATCACCTTTTCCGTGAGATAACTCCAAATGGTCAGATAGCTGCTGCATCTATGATTTTTGATTAGAATATTCCAGATTCATCGTTTTCCCAATAAAGAAAACTCATGGAAAAATTCATTTTACTTGAAAATCTCAAATTTGCGAAACTTGGCCAGGTCGCTGCTCGAATAACTACACCGGGGTTTCAGAAATAGCAACTCTCAGGGCTCCGTAGTTTTGGAGAGAGCATCTCTCAAACTTCGAAGATCTGAGATGATTACGGAAATGTGCATTTTTTGTCCATCTCTATAAAAGTGCTTTTGCCTGAATTGATAACTTTGAAAAAAAAAAAACCAATTTTCTACAGCACTGAACGGCATTGGGAAAAAAATCCCAACCAATTTTTCATTTCACTCGAGCACTTCAAGATTTTCCGTTCCGATACCAAAATCACATCAGAGAAAAGGCTACTTGTGATAGATCAACATCAAGAAAACGTTCACTTGATTGCCCCAAGTCTGGTTTCTCTCTACGAGCTTCGAGTGGCAGGAAGAAGAAAGTAGAACAGATAGAACCGAATGCAGATCACATTTCGATCTTATACGTAGTTCGCCTACGCCTCTCAGAATATCTTCTTTTCATTGGGAAAGAAGAGATCTTCTTAAAAAGTTTTCTATTTCCGAGTTCTGCTTTTTGAGCACCGAAAAATAGTAGCTATTTTTGGATTCCCGTAGAAATGATAAGAGAGAAAAAGTCGTAAAGTGATTTCAGTCGCTTCTTCCAGAGAGATAGTCCAAGAATTCACCAAAATAGCCTCTTTAGTTTCATTCAGCTCCACAAAACTATTACCTCAAACTCATTTACCAGTTTTAAGTCGATTACTTCTCATTCCTTTAAGAAAGACAATGGAAATTCGAGTAAATGAAATGAAAGCGTATTTGCACCTTTATGAGAGAAATTTCAATTATTTTGTTTTTTTCAGTCTTCTTTTTTTGGATCTTTTTTTCCCAAAGGAAGTTAAATTGACTTTCCAAACTTCAAGAAAAAAATGTGAGAAATGAATTTCCGATCGACTTTGAAACTTTTTTTAAATAATTCTAGATCAAATTCTTAGGGGAATGTGCTCAAGTCCCTCACTCGCTGTCTCTGTAATTTACCAAAATTTTCGAAACAGCGGGTACGGTAGGCAGGTTAGCACCTGCATACTTTGAGAACGATGAATTTTCCCTGAATGTAATACACACCGATCGATATGTAATGCCATTTTAGAAAATTTCACAGTATATGACATCTTGGGCTACTGTGAAAATCTTTTTGATAATAAAAAAATATCTTTTTGAAAAAAACCGATACTTTCCTTGTCAGGTGAAAATAGCTTTACAAAGGGAGAAACGAATGAATAATCGTTCTCAAAAACTGGAAAATTCATTACCTATCGGTTAATGTAGAATTCGCATAGAAAAATACGCCATTTGTTGGATTCGCAGAGGCCTACCGTAACCTGGCTAACGTAAGAGGATGTGAGCTCGAAAGTTTGCTTCCGCATTCGTGATTATGAACAATTTCACTAGATTTGAAAAATTGAAAATTTTTTTTTGAAAAATAATTTTTTTGCCAACTTGTAACCGTTGTTTTTTTGAGAAATACAGAAACTGTGTGTTAAAAAAATTATTTTTTTGATTGTTATTAAAAAAAGAAAAAAATAACCCATTTAGAAGTAAAATCGAAAAATATCAGATATATTTAGCAGTTAACGGAAGTCGAAAAGTTTATTTCCACTCATTGTGACAATTTTTTCAGCAACGTTTTCTTAGACTTAAAACTTCGTGAAATGCCTTTTGGAACTGCCCTGTTTTCTCAGAAAACCTTTTGGCGAAGGGAGTTACCGAGAAATGACCCTTTGTCAGTTGGACGAGCGATTTTCGCTGGGACATTTGCATAGAGGTGATTAGGCTGAGCACAAACATGAAGTGGCCGCGGGCGGCGGAGATATCGCGACGAGCTGACCGGTCCTTCGGTGCTCTTGTGTCGCGACCAGCCCTCGGCTCCTTCCAACACACCTGCCGTTTTTCCTCAAGATGTTATCACTTTTTCCTCTAATTTGTTTTTTTTGCGTTGAAATCCTTTTCACGCTTCACGCAGAATTGATCGAAACGTGAATCCAGAAAGTTTCAAATAGTTCTCATCACGAAAACTTTCTCACACATCATTTTTTTTTTTTGGAGAAATTAGATTTTTCAATACTTTCAGAAGTCTCAGACTTAGCAAATAATCTTTTAAATGTTTGTTTTTGTTTTCAAACTCACTCTGAGAATTAGGAAAGATCATAGTTGAACTGCGAGAATGTCGAGCTCCGAAGTTGTGATTATAAGGATTTTTGACGTATTGGCCATTGGTCACAGACTTCAGTCTTGTTAACAAAACACAAAGAGTTGTACATTTAAACTAAAAAAATTACTGGAGTAAACTTTGTGTTGTTTTATTCAGACCTTCATAGTTTTTGGGCAAAATCTAAGAATATTTAAATCTTTATCAGCAAATATAAACATCTAACGAAAGAGAAGTAGGGTTTATTTGAAAGCAATTTTACCCTTTTTTCTCATTACTTATTGAAGCAAAAAAGGGACTCGATTTGTATGCAAAAATCGTATCGCAAAAATGTAGTTGCACTCGCATTAATATACAAATGGAGTATCAAAACAATGTTTTCCTTTTCCTATTGAAGCTCTATTTTTTTCTTTCGAGACTCTATTCAAAGATTTCATTCGAATCGAGCTCTTCTTCACGTTTCCTTCAAAACCTTGTTTTGCGTTGGCAATGCGCCTCCCATTGTATGACAGAAACGGCCGCCCGTCTACCGCTTTTGTCATTTTAATACGTTCCGAAGCAATTTTTCCGTTTCCTGTTTGAACTGTACACTAGAATAGGCTATCACTGCTCTCACACAGTTTTGAAAGATTAGTGCCGGAAAAAATTATGGCAATTCTTCTAAAAATATTGTTCGAAGCTTTAACAAAAAATAACGAGAAAATTTTCAATAAATGAATGAATATCCTGAAATTTCAACTCTAATAAAATCTACTTTGAGTCCGTCGTTCCTGTTTTTTTCGTTGAAATACAAAAAAACTGTACTTATTTTCTTACCGATGGCAGTGATTAGACCTATTATTATTGATGAAAAAACTTAATTTATCAAAAAAACAAAATATTTGAAGTCAGTGAATCTTAGAAATTTAGAAAATGCTGCTCCATTTTCAGAAAAATTTTGAAGATGCTAGTTGAAACATTTCTCCTAGCTTTTCTATAGTTTTGAGACGGACATAATGACATCCATTAAGCTGACTTAGGTCAAAAGTCTCAGCATCGATTTCAGAAGGACTTCCGCGTGAATCTCTCAAACAAAGCTCTGCAATAGAAATGGCGTAAAGGTTCTTGCGGGAACACTTGCACCAATATTTGCGAATAGGGCAATACCTTCTTCTTCTTCTTCTTCTTCTCATTTCCTTTCTATTACGTCTTCCGTCAGCTCATTAATATATCATTAAACTTCCACCTTTGCCGCCTGCCAGTTTGAAAAATTTTCTCGACTGTGTCTTTTTTGGCCCTGCATTTTCGTTATAGTGATTCGAGCTGAGGTTTCTCCAGAAAAACCAATTAGAAAAGGTAAAAGAATTTTTTTTTGTTTATTGAATAATCGTGTTACAAAATAGAGTAGGAAACAAAAAAATTCAAATTTAAACATCCTACCAATGCTTTAATCTTATCAACTCCTTCAAGCCCTGCTCTTCATAGTCTTCAAAATTATAGATTACATTCTCATTTCAGATTTTCATTACAGAAACTGAAGTTTTCTGGTGTTCTTTCATGATATTAGAAAAGAAGAATTCTTTCTGGAGAGAAACGTTAGCTTTGAAGAAACAAAAGAAAAAAACCACACGAAAAAGCATACGCGGCCACTTTTTTATTTCAACGAATTGTGTATATAGACCTTATGAAGCTCAAATTACCATGAGCTCAAATGTAACAGACTCGCGTTGCCGTTTTTCGCTTATAAACATCTGTGCGAGCCTTCAAAAAATACTAAGGTCTACTGAAAAAAAAAGATCTCGATTCTGGCACTTCCTTCAATTTTGACTTGTTTTTCGCGTTCTCATATCTCGAAGCGCAGTTCCTTGGATTAAGTTTTTTTTCCTTTCCTCTTACCCAAACACTTGAGAAGCTGTAGAATTTTTTAGCAGAGCCATAAATTTTAGGCCTTTTCTGTCGCCCTTTTGATGTGAAGTTTCCATTTCAGTCTTGACAGTTTTTTTTCCAAGCTTAGATAAGAGCGTTCGTTCCAATGTGGTTATTTTTGTGAAGAATTTTTTTTGGTCTTTGTCCAGGAAAAAACATTTTTCCAAGATGCATTCCGATCAGAAACTTCCGAGTTTTTTTCTAAAAAAAAACCCCATTGCAAGAAAACTTTTGATCAGTTTTGAACTGATTTTTTCTTCATTTTCTTGAGCTTTTGCCTCCATCTTCATTCCATTATGACTTTCCTTCTTGAAAACCTTAATTTGAATATTCCAGTTTTATCCATATTCGATTCGACCTTTTATTGTCCAAGTATCACGACTTATTTTATTCTTTTAATTCTTCACTTGCAACATTAAGAAATCGTAGGCTTTCGGTCCTCCGAAAGCGCGCTCCTTCGCCAAGAAGGAGAAGCTGAAATGACGGCTCGGCCTCCGGATGCCGTGCTCTGCGAATGCAGTATTCTCGCTGCTCGCCGTCCTTCCACACGTCGGATCGTGGGAGAAAAGAAAGCTCGCGTTCCTCGCAACTCGTCGCAACAGCGATTTCGCCGTTTCATAGAGAGCATCGTTAGGAAAGTCTTCGACAGTCAGCGAAAGGCCCCAAAAGATGTAAGTTTTCCCAAAAATCCGGAAAAATGAGCTGTGCTTTTGATTTTTTATAGTATAAGCTTGATCTCAACATCTTTTCGAACATTTCATTGCAAATGAACACAGAAAAAAAGTATTCAACAAACAACAAATAGTGAAAATAAAAGCAATGTGCTCGCAGATTCTAGATGCCGACCAGCTTCATCAAGATTAATCTTCAAGTTTTTAAAGTTGAACCCAGTTTTAATAAATCATTTTTTTCGATTCAACTAAGGATTCTTCATTCAAATCTGACGGCGTAAAAGAAAACTCATGAGTTAGTATCATTTTTTAAGACACTAATTTTTTGATTTTTTTTTCCTTGTGCCAGATGAAGAGCATGCTTCATCGAAACTTTATTTTGATATCGAAAAAAATCGGAATTATAAATAGAAATCTGATTGAACGAAAGTTTTTTTCTCACTTTTCAACTTTCTACAAGTACTTTTTTTGTACTTTTTATTATAATAATGATTTAAATTGTTTTTTTGTCGCTTTGGCTCATTAAACCACGAAGTTCCACGTTTGAAAAATTATTTCGATGCTTTTTCCGCATGAATAAACTTGGCCAAGAATTTAATTGGGTTATTAAAAGAATATGAAATCCTCCTCTTTAAGATTTTTCTATTTTATTCCAGCACTTTGAAAGAAAAAAATGGTTGTTTGTTGGACACCTGGAAAGTGCTGGCGTCCCCAGCTGGACGCCCGAGAATTCTTTCGGAGTGTAACATGAAACCGTTTGTAAAAAGTTGTTGCGCACTCTATTGAATTACAGATAAATCGAGAAAAAAAAACTAAAAGGTCTGCCAAAGCAGAGAGTGTGCAATTTCAAAGAAATACATGTTTTAGAGAAATTTTTTCTGTAAGCTGATAGTAGTGCAAGATCATTGTACTCACCATTTCAATTAAAAATAGTAACACTCGTAAATAAATAAAAAAATTTTTAGGAAGTTTATTTGTCTGTTCAACATCAATTTCTAGAGCTTAAGTTCCCAAAAACTTGGGCTCAGTTCTAATATTCAAAACTCATTTCTCAACAGTTTCGAACATTTTCGGAACCTCAAGCCAACAATTATGAAGAATGTCTACCACAAATGTTTGTTTTTTGAAGTTTAACTGCTACCTTAGACAGAATTAGGATTTTTTGTATTTCAACTTCAGTATTTTTTTCAAAACGAAGAAAGCTACAGCCTTTTGCGGGAAAATTTCATATCTGAGAAAAAAAATCTCCTTTTTTGCCATCAACTGGGCTATAATTAGATGAGAGACATCAATCAACGGAATCTGAAGATCGTCTGCTATCACACATGACATAACCGTTTCACGCGGTCCCTATATGCAGGTGTTAGGCCAATAACTCGCCCACTGGCTTTCTGCCGCCGTCGCTGTAATGCTCCAACACATGAAGCATCTGTGCGGCCCTCGAAAGAGATATTTCGTTTGTGATCGTCTTGGCGCCGCCGCGGCCGGTTTTGCCATCACTCTGATATTGTGAATCTCCCATTTTCTATCTTTTCTCTACTCCCAGCTGTCTTGAGTGCAGTACTTAGATCGAGGCGTATTTACTGAGTTTTCTTTCCTGTGATAAATCTGTTCGGTATCGCCATGTGATTCGGCATGCAGGTGTTGCCACCGCCTAGAAATCTCCGCGTTTGGCGATTGCTTAGGAAAAAGACCGTAAGTTTTTTGGGCGGTCAGTGTCGATCAAAAGAAAACTTTTTATTTCTTTCATTCGTTACTCACTCTCGAAAATGGTCTTTTTTCAGAGCATCAGCGCCGCTTCAGCTACGCAAGTGCACGCAGATGTTTCTCCTACATCAAAGTGAGTCGAATCAATCTTCATTTCGGTTTCATTTCTGTTCGATGAAGTGGGTTTTTTTTTTATTTTCCGCTCTACTCAATTGCGAAAAAAAAACAAAAACCAAAAAATCAAAATCTACAGCGTTGTTTGAAAATCAGTTCTTCGAGAGTTTTTTTTTGCCGAGAGGTTTTTTTGAATGGAGTAGTTGATGCTTGGTGAAGCAAACGTGGTTTTTTTTTGAAGTTGAGAAGATCTTCAAAAGCTTTGAGAGGTATTTTAAGAAGATTATATTTTTTTAGTTTTTTTCAAAAAAAGAAAAAGCAATTTTTTTCAGTAATACTTTTTGTAGACGTGGTTTTTTTATTCTCATTCGAACACTCGATGAGAAATTATTTTGAAAATCCCAAATTTCGAAAAAAAAATTGACCGGCTGTTGGTGGGATAACAACAGCAGAAATCAGTTCTGGCGATTGTTTTTTGATGCCGACAAGGCGTGGGATGACGCAAGCGGCCGCCATGAGAACTTCGAGGATTTGTCCACATTCTTTGGGTTTGTAGGTATGCCCCGTTGGCCGAGCTTCATATCGCGTCGCCGCCAAAAAGAACTGCTTCCGCACCGGCCAACAGGTGTGCCGTCCCTTTTATGACTTTGAATCTACAAGAAAGACAGTTTAAAAATTATTATTGGAGTAATCAAAGTTTGACATACTCCTAAATTTAAAACTTAGGAAGTTTGCAGTATTCATGAAATGTTCTGACTGATTCCCAAAAGTTATCAAACTTTGAAGTATAACTTAATTACTAAAAAGTTCCCGCACGTGAGGAATGGAACGTGAAGTCATAGATATCACTTTAGTATTTGTTTCAATAGTTTTTAGCGACAACTTTCCTTATTTTCTGTGTTTCTGAAAAGTTTTCATTGGCTAATCTTCTAATCATTCTCAAAGTTTACGTCTGCGTTGAAAGCTTCTTATCACTTCATGGAAAACTTCTTATCAAAGATTAATGGAAAAAAGACAATTAATTCTCCACTATTCCACGCGATGAAAGTTTTGTGTAGCTCACCTTTCCATTTCAGGATCGGCATCAATGGCGGCCTCGACGCAAATGGCAACTACGGAAGGGTGAGTCGAGCAAAAAAATGAACACGAAATTCGATTTCCCAAAGCGAATTTGACCCTCGTAGGACTTGAGAGCTTTCAGAACGCGGCGTCGCAGAACGATATTTCGCTGTCTGCTGACACGACGATTTCCCTTGCCAAGCGCGCCAACATCGAAACTACCTTAGGGTTGGTTAATCATTGAATTAAGTTTCGAGAAAAAAAAGCGATAATTGAATTATGTGCCAAGCTTGAGCCTTTTCCTCTCAGTTCTTTTTTTAATTTTTTTGATCGAGATTTTTAAAAAAATTTTCTTTTTGAATTTGGAATATCAATAAAAAAATTGTTCATTTTTTTGGCCTTCAAAGATCTGTAGGTTTTAAAAAGCAAGTATTTCATGATCAAGATTTTCAACGTTTTTTTCTTTCTGAGTATTTTTGAAAGATTCAGTTTCAATCCCTTGAAACAATCCAGCACGGATGATAAAAATTCGACAGACTAATAAATGTCCGCCTTTTATGTGGTACAAAATTTTTTTTCAAGAATTGAGTATTAAAATAAATATTACAATATAGTCACACGTGATAAGCTGGGTCAATAGTTGATATATCGGGGAACTTTCGACAAAGTTTCCCGATATTTCATTTTTTATATTTTCCTACCAAGCATTCTCTTATCGCAAAAAAATTTTTTTTTGAGGTTGAACGATTTCCTCGATGAACAATATCGCCCATCACCTCGACTTCCGCCAGCTCCCGTGCCTGTTAAACAAACGCCCAAACTTGTAGCTCCTAAAGAACCGTAAGACTTGCTTTTTCCAACTGACTATATTTTTCGTTTTTAGGTTTTATTACCCACAAGGCAAACCGGTGCCACAGCTGCAAAACGATGCCGCACTGCGACGAGTTTGCGATGTTTTTCGGACTTTGCCTGGTCAAAAGGTTTGATTGTGACCGCTCGTTCTGAACAATATTCCATGATTTTTTGAGCGGTGGGAGTGTTGAAATGAAAAAAAAAATTCAATCCAAAATAATGAGAAGAAGATCACCAAAGTTATCCAGGGCACGTTTGATTTGAAGAATTAAAACGGAATGCTCTTTTTAAATGAGATAAGCTCTGAAAAAAGAAATTGTTTTACTCGAAGTTTCAGAATTTTTTTCTGTAGTATGAAAGTTTAAAAAAATTTCAGTTTTACATTGAGAGATATTGAGATTCTGACAATTTTTTTATTATCAGTCTCATTTTGCTTGAAAAACTTTTTTTGAAGCAATGATTATGCATTAAAAAAACTTTTAGGTTTTTTTCATTTAAATTGAAAAAAACTTTTTTTGATGAGTATTCAAAAAAATTCTGAGAAGGAAGAGGTTTTTTTCTGGTGATTGGTCGGGGAGTTCGATGCGGTCGATTCCAAACTTTTCTTGATAATATGTTGATCGGGGAGTAACTTCTTTATGATTTTTTTACAAACAAACACAAATAACATATTTCTCGGGGATCTCCAAGCAAACTTTTTATTCTTGATTGTTAATTGGAAAAAAATGTGTTTTAAAAATTTGCGAGTCTGCGTATAGTTTTGTAATACAATGAACAGCATGAAAAACGCTACTTTCAAAAATATGATGGAACGGAAATAGAAAAAAAAAGAAGTGTAGGGTGTCTCGTTTCAGTGCGAACTGGAACACATGCCATCTGTCTGCGCCGCCGCCGGCATCCCTCTCTACTGGAAAATGCCCGTGTTCATGGCTATCACCAACGAAGAGGTGGGTCTTGCCCAAAAAAAAGCCATTTTTCGATATTCCTTCAAAAATAATCATGAAAAAGTTATACACAATATTTTAGAGCACAGTTTGACTGAAATTTTCTAGGGAAAACGAAATTTAGTGAAGGGATGAGTGAAACAAAAATTAAAAAACAAATCTTGTTTTGACAATAATTGTAGTGCGTTTAAAAATACTCTTTATTAAAAATAACTCTTCTTCTTGAGATTTTTGCATAATAAATTTTGCTTTTTTTCAAAGTATAATTATCTTTTTTTGTCTGCCAGGAAAATATTGGGAATTTTGATTCAGAACCGTCCTGCCTCTCAAATCGACTTCACCTCTTGGTGGAAAGCAATGACGTCAGTAGCCCACGATGAAGCTGCCAGGTTTTTTAGCCTTTATTTTATAAACAAGAAGTCCAATTTTCAAGATTTGTCTACACTTTGACGCTGGGATCGAGGAGTTTTCTGGTTCCGGAAGACCTGTACCATTTGGTAATGGACGTAATTCACACGCATCCGGGTCTTGCTTTCTATAGAGACGCGACCGAGTTCCACGATAAATACTGCCAAGTTGTGAGTTATCTTATTTTTTTTGTAAACTTCAAGGATATTCCAGATTTCCCTCAGAATTATTCAATTTACTTGATAAGATCTCTGTAAATCTCAATTTTCCCAGCTTCGTAGTTTTTTGTGTAGGAACGTCTCAAAACAACGGCCAGTCTTACAAATTCATAAAAAGCAGATTTTTGTGGATTTGTCTCTAAATAAAGCCATCGAGATGCTATGGTTAAATGAATAAAAAGTGCTGACAACCTTTTAAATCACTTCAAACTTTTTTTCAGAAAATAAAATAGAAAAGATGATTTTTCTATTTTTCCAGGTGATGACAAGGATATTTTGGAATGACGCTATGTCTTGGTCGGGAAAACTAACAACGGAAAGACTCCGCCGCGGAGGAGTTCTTCAGGCTATCAGAGACCTAGCCGTCGAAGATGACATCAATAAAAGTTTACGATACTTCAGGTACGTTTATCTTATCTCAAGCCGCCGTTAATGTGCTCTTGCAGCTATGAGCACTTTTACGTGGCCTACTGTAAATTCTGGGAAATCGATACGGATCATGACTTGAAAATCAACAGAAAAGACCTCGCTGCACATGCTGGAGGAGGTTCGGGTTAAAGTTTGCCTTTTCGAAGAAGAAGAAGTCAAATTTCAGCTCTTGTTCCTCTCGTTGTTGAACGCATTTTCTCCGGAGCAGTTTGCATGACTCCTGCAAACGGAGGTCCTCTTGAAGAAATTGGACTGCCGGAGTTCACCCAATTTCTTCTGGCTGAGGAAGACAAAACTCATCCAACCAGGTTCTTTTTGTTTTCAAGGTGGACGCAATCAATTAAAAATCTATAAAATTTTGAAAAGTTCTGTTGAACTCAGAATTATTCATAAGATGAATCTCGCGAACTTCTTCAAACGTATATCAGAATTTTTCGACGAAAATGTCTTATAAGAAAGGTCACTTCACTAATGAGAACTTTCTGAGAAATATCCGAGATGTTTTCATGCTGAACAAAATTTTGAAAGTTAATTTGCATAAGTTTTCAAACTTGAGAAGCAGGAATCAATTCAAATCAAAAACCATCAAAATCCATAAAATTTGAGGTTTTAGGAACGTTTTCTGTTTCTCAAAAAGTAGGAAACGTCTCAGGTTGAGTTTTCTCCATCTAGCGCATAAATCTTTTGAGCTGCTTGTCAGACTTGTAAGGAAAAACGGAAATTTCTGTAGAAAACTAATTGAAAACTTGGCTAGATGTAACATTTTTCAGTGTTGAGTACTGGTTCCGGATATTGGACCTTGACGGAGATGGGCTTGTCACTCTGTACGATATGGAGCTTTTCCATTCACAAGTGCAGAAGAAACTTGCCATTGAAGGTATCGACTCAATGGCTTTTCCTGATGTCGCTTGCCAGGTAAAACTTCGTCATGAAGTTTGGAGTTAATTTGACGGTTCAGCTCATCGATATGCTCAACGTTGAAGGAGCTTCCGCATTTAGATTAAGAGATCTCAAAAAATCGCCCTTGCGCGGTCGGTTCATTAATACGTTCGTCAACTGGCGCAAGTTCTTCTTGCAAGAGACTAATGAAGGTTTACTCTATTACATTTTCGCCATTTTGATCAACTATTTTGAGGCTCTGAAGCTCCACGAATTGAGGATGAAGGTGGTCAGGAGCTGACAGACTGGGATCGGTCAGTTAATCTATCTCATTGGCACAAAATCGAAAGATTTCAGGTACTGCATCGAAGAATACGAAGCCATGATGGAAGACGATCAAGGTGATGCCGAAACGATGCGAGTTCTTTATTTATTTCCCAAAAAACTTAGAAATTTGTAACTTTCATAGAAATAAGTTGTAACATGTCGGTAGAGAATTTTTCAAAGATTTTCAGATTTTTTGTCTCTTCGAAGTTTCTCTTCAAATTGAATATGCAAAAAAAACATTTTGAATTTGACTTTCATTAGGTCTAAACAAAAAATGTTGGATACTCCGTATTTTCATGAGAGCGACATTAGTAGCAAATAAGGAAATAAATTCAACAACTGTCAATTTTGAAGTTTTTTTTTAACTTTTCGATCTTTCGGAGCTTTTTCCCTATGAATAAATGAAAATGTACCGATCGTGGGAATATTTTCAAAATATGTCTAAAAATCAACTACGCTGATTTTCAATGTTCTCTTGATTTCAGTAGCCTCAACTTGGAAGAAGACGATTCTCGGCCTGGTCTCGCTTACCATGATCTTCTGTGAAAGAATGACTTCCACAGACTCACATATCTCGGCACAGGGTCACCAATTACGGTCTTTTCCCATTCCGCCCTTGTTGGACAAAACGTTCTCAACTGGTGCGATTGATTATCTTTTTTATTTTTCAATTCGAAAGACGGTGCTTTTTGGTTTTTTTTTTCCTTTTCGTAACTCTCAAACTTATTTAGTCATTCCTAACTATGACCACAAGACAGAAGAACCTCAGCTCGGTTTTGAAAGAATTCTATTGCGAATCTTAATCCTCAAATAATCATGTTCATGAATTTCTATTGTTACAAACAAGTTATCAGAATTCGGGATCTGTAAGAGTTATAAACAAGGCCTTGGTATAGCCATTTCTCTATAATTTACTTCATGTGCCTAAACTTTCTTTTATCTATCAATTTCCATGTCAAGAGAATAAAGAAATTTTTTCAGTCATTATTATTCTAACAAATAAAAAAAATTTACAAACTATTGAACACAAAAGACAAAACTTTCAGCACAGCTCAACAATATTTAGACGGACAATCATGTACAAACAGAAAGACAAACGATGCAATGTTACCGTAATAAATAATCAAATTCGTATTCGAAGAGAACTGGGACGAAAAAATGACAAAAAACTGAAATGAACAGGGAACCCGCGATGTTGATCTAACTAAGTGAAAGTCCGCAAATTATGACAAAACAAGCTTTAGAAAAGGAATCTTCAGGTGTGGAGTGAGTTTGAAGCTGGAAGATGATTGAGAGAGATTCTAGTCGTTGGGAAATAAACTTTCTTTCAAACTTGCGATCTTCATTCTACCAGATCTTGCACAGTATACACAAACACAGGCAAATCGAGTCCTTAGAGCTTATCCCTGCACCGTGTCGTAATAGTCGACGTTCATATCCTTGCTGTCGGCGGTCGTCGTACACTTTTCGGCAGAGCAGAAATCCGCCGAAATGTGTATTAAATCCTGCAAGATGAGTAGGCAAACGTCAAGTTCAAAACAAGAATAACTAACGTCTTCAAACTCGACTTGGCTGCCCATTTGCGTGTAGTCGAACATAATAGGCAGTTGGACACCTGAGAATGTTTTTCTTCATGATTGGAAAAAAACCCGGTTTCAAATGAAAACTTTTTATAAGATTCTGTTTCAAAAATCGAGAAATGGAGTTACAAAAACTTCTGAAGCGGCTGCAAAGTTTCGCAAAAGTATATATTGCCAATCACTCGGATTTACCGGCTCTCTTTTAATTATATGCAATAATTTTTATCACCCCAAAATTTGTTCCTTGGAAGGAGCAGGTTTTGAACTGGTTATTTCATTTTCCGCAAATAAATTTGAAAAAAGGGGTAAAAAGTGTGGGAAAATTTTAAACTTCACTGGGAAAATTTAAAAAACCTTATTTTTTGGTTTTTCCTAGGGACTGAAGATTCTACGAGTCAAACTGTCATTTTTTAGATTAGAAAACCTTTCAAAGTTTCCTCTTAACACTGTATGGATATTTTTGACACTTTGAAACGTACTCAAACCACGAAACTTACCACCACGAAGCTTCTTAGCCATATCCTCATTAAGGATGAGTTCAGTCAAGGCATTCACTAAAAACTCGAGAGAACCCTCATCAATTCCATCAACTAAGGAAGCTACCTGAAAACCAACTTTTGAAAAAAAAAATGTTACAAAAAACTTACATCAGATATTTTGAATTTATCGATTCTCATATCGGCGTGGAGCACAAAGTTTTTGAAGTTGACCTTATCGAATTTAACCTCGGCATTCATAGAAGCTGTCAAAAATCTTCTTGTCCGTTCTCCTTGCTGGAGAATGCTATAAGATTCGAAAACCTTGTTGTCTACCTGAACAAATGCGTCGACGCGGCTGTCAATGTAAACTGTTGCGTTGTTCTTCTTGAGAACCAATTTCGGGTAAGAAACTGTGTGGGACTTGATGACAACTTCTCCTCCCGGGAATCTTGAAGAAAGCGCTGAAAAAGAATTAAGACCACAACTTCGTAAAATTGGGCTGAAAATAATTCAATGAATTTCGAAAAAATGTTTTTTTAGAAGCAGTTACCAGGAAAAAGCGTTCCAGCGCAAATGTCTCCTGTAGAGCATTCGGTTTTCAAATAACCAGCAAGCGCAGTGTTGTTCTGTGCCGAACGACTGATTTCGTAGTCAAATCGCCTGAAAAATGGGTTCGGCAAAAAAAAGAAAAATTGTCACCTGTATTGATCCATCCAGAAAAGCAAAGAGCTGAGAGTATAGTTCGAAAGATAAAAATCAACCATGTGACCAGAATCGCCGCTGGGAACATCCATACGTGGGCTTCTGTATGGAAGGCGGAAGTCGTTCAAACGAGTTCGTCCTGAAAGAAAACAAAATCAATTCATTTCACTTTACTTTTTTAACCTTGTCTCAAAATGCCAAACGCGTTGCCGCGATGCTTGAGCGTGATAGCGTCAGCACTAAAGTCGACAGGGCCTCAAAATTTTCGTTACTTTGTTTAAATTAAAAATCTCAAACCTAGTAAAGCATAGTTGAGGAAGTACTGCTCAAAGAGCGCAGCACTGAGTGGAGTGTTCATCAATCTATTTGAAAGAACTGGGACCAGTTCTGAGTGGAATGAAGGGCAGATGACCTGATAGAAGGGATGATCATGTTGAGGAAAGCATCAAAACTTGTTCAATAGTTTGACGAATAAAATTTTGCATGTGCGGGAGATAGTTGGCCAATAGAGCAGCGTCGTTTTGAGAAAATTGAAGTTGCAAGCCATTGGCCGCCACCTGAAGACCATTAAATTCAACTCAAAGTATATGGAAAATCACTACCTTGCAGGTGATAAGATCTGTTTTCAGATGACCGTCGCTATTCACACCGGTCCATAACAAAAGCTCAACATTAGTACTGAAGCGAAATTCGTTAAAAGGTGAATGAAAAAAAAAACAAAGCACCGATCAAAAGACAATGGAACGTTTCCAGTAATCTCTCCTTGTGAGGTCAACAGTTGGAAGTTGGCAAGTAGTGTGAAGTTTAAATTAGATCCCTGAATGGTTGAAATTCGAAATAAACTTCGAATGGGAGCCTCACCGTCCACGCAAGACCTTTTTGTGGGATAATGAGCATAGAAGACTCAAAAGCCTTCTCATCAAAGAAAAGTACCCTGGACGACTGCAAAGTGAATCTCACCTGTTAAAAAATTCAAAAGTTATTCAAAGTTTGGAGATTTGCAAATACCTGATTGGTAAGAGGTGCTGTGATATTGAATTCCAAGCCATCGACGTTAGCGAAACGAACGACTCTGTCCCGCAACTGATCGGCTACTATTTTGAAAGCCTGAGAATATGTAATTGAAGATTCGCAGGTTTATTCATTCCTCCTTTTTTTTATGTTTTCAGCTAGCACAACGCTCAAAAATAATGAAGCAATCGATTAATGGTCCACTAAGTATTTTTGACAAATTCATATTCTTAAAATATGTCAACGTTCTGAAAATAGTTGCTATTTTTTAGCCTCAATGAGTTTGAAAAAAAAATTTCGTTTATGTTCAATAACCGAGAAAACTCGATATCGGTTAAAAATTTGCAGGAGAAACCAACTTTTCTGTTAATTTTTGTGACGAAACCTGGGTGCGTTCCTTCCTCCGCAAAAAAACTATCTGAAGAAGAAATATCAATAAAAGAAAAATTACAAATAGCTCACTTGCTAGACTCTGGGCGTTGGAGGCATCGTGAAGAAATAGTAGTACGAGCACCCAAAGCATCGGAACTCACAGTGGGAGCTGAAATAAATCTGAAACATATGATTTTCTGAGAAAGGGAAGAAAAACAGAAGCGGAGCGAATCCAAGAAAATACTCAGAGAAGGTGGCAAAGTAGACACGTCGCTTCACAGCTTGACCACTTTGGCCGGTTCCCAGCGCCAAAGCCATTATGAACGTGGGTACGGTATTTAGAACAAAGCAAGTGTTCCAACAGATAAGTGTAAATCGTGAGTTCATTTGGGAAAGTCTAGCTTTTTGGAGAACATTTTTTCACATAATCATCAAGAGATCATTTGGGCTTTGAGAAGACAGAATTCTTGAACATATTTTTGTAACTCGAAAGTTTTGCACTTCCTTTCTCTCCGGCGAGCCTAGAGGAAATCCGGAGAAAACTATCAAAAGCAACTTTTCGCACACACTCTGAAAAATTGAGAACTGTGAAAAAGCAGAAGATAAGTGTTTCAGTAACTATCGATTAGCGGTTGAAACTATTTGCTTGAGACGAATAAAGTAACTAAGGAAAGTGGCTATTTTCAAACTTCAATGAGTATAAAGCCGTTACGGAGCATATTTCAGGTTCTTTCAATTTGCTATGAAAAGATTAGAAAGTTATTTGGAGCGATAAAAAGATAAGTAAGGTATTATAGCAAGAATTAATGCAAATCATGTCAATGAAAGGAGTTCGGATCGGTTCAGTGTGAAATATGAAGAAATGGAAGAGTGGAAGCCCATTAAGGAAGTGTGAAAAATCAATAAGATGGAGTGATGCATCGGCATTCAGAAAGGCCGCACGGCAAGGCTGTCGCGAACCGGCCTGAGCGGCGCCAACAAGAAAGCTGCGGACCCCGGTGAAGATGTGGCGACTCGTCGGCGGCAACGTCTTCAAATCACATGGAAGGCAAGGCGCTCCTAAGACTGTGAAGCGGCCAAAAAAGCTTTTTGCCAACGCGAGAGATGCAAAGGAGAAAGCTGTGGGCGGACGTTGGCAAGATAAGCAGTGAATATTAAGTGCGAACACACCGGAGACCTTGCCAAACTGGAAACCCTCGGAGAAAGCTCGGACCGGGAAGAGTGTAGGTGAAATGGAAAACGACAGGCAGGCCAAAGAGCAGTCTGCGCTAGCCAGTACACGGTCTGATTGCGATCGCTCAATTTTATAACATTCTTTTTTTTCGCGCCCACGAATACAAAGTGGAAAACTTGAATGAACGGCTGTTGAACGGTTTTTGAAGGTGGCGTCAGTTATTGATGATGTTGTAAAGAAGTTCATTGTTGAGGAAAGTACGACCTTCTCAAGGTGGCGAGATATTTGAGACAACAACTCCACAAATACATTCAAATCTCTTCTTTTTTTTGCATGGTCTTTGGCGATCTTACTGCTCCTCATTAGATTATGTCTCTTAAGACGGTGGTAAGTATTTTATTGACACTTCTTTTTTGAGAGATAATAAATTATTGAATGCATTGTTTTTGTCTACTGGCCCAATCTTGAAAATTCAAGTTACAATTGGTTTTTTAGTTCGGCTGAAATATTCAGACGTAGCAATACATTTAAAAGTAGATATATAACTTAAAGACTTATTATTTCGATAGATTAGACAGATTGCTCAGAACTTAAGAAAGGAAACTCAGAAAAAGTTCTGATCAAAAAACAAGCGATGGCAACAAGTTCTTCTAGGATCCACTTACAGGTGACAAGCGGAAATTACAGCCGTATTGTAAGGGTGAATCAGTCAGAGCGTCGAGAGCGGAACGGCGTTTTGCCGTTTTGAACCAGCTTCTGCTTCTCTTGTTCACCTTTATACCTGTCAGAAGAACAAAAGGAGGTTGGTGCCACAATGACTGGTAGACGCCTCTGTCCGTAATTCCCCCTGCCTTCATACTGATATTCAAGTTGAACGACGACAAGTGCTTGCCAACCGAAAGTTCGGGACACCGTCGTTTTTGGGTCTTTTCTAGCTAGGGAGACCAAAAAAAATGAAAAAAAAACTTACTCAAATTTTCCGAAAATTCGTTTCTTTTTTTTCTAGGATTTTTTTTTCGCGCTGTCGGCTTTGTCTAGGCTTAACAGAATCTTAGAATCGTGCATATTTAATTTTCCCTTTGTTGCAACGAGAGAAAAAAAGTATATAGAAGTTTGGTTTCTTTTTAAACGTATTTCGCACTTAATTAACTTTTTTTCAAAAATTCAATTTAGGAAAAAGGCTCAGATTTATAAGGCTCTCCGGCTTTAAAAAAAGGAGTAATCAATCAAGAAATTTTTCTGTTCAGAAAGTTCAGATTAAAATAATTTTGTTTCCATTGTATCCACAAAAAGCTAGTTTCCGAAAAAAATAAAAAGGCGACTACCATCTCAATGAAACGCCACAGATGAGTGAAATGGAAGAAATATTATAACACTAAAGAAAGAAGAAAGGTTTGAGACGTATACAGAGTTCGAGGCGGAGGATTTTTGAAATCCGATTAAAATAATCGAAAGAGAAAGTAGGACAAATAAGAAGATCGATGGTGACGGTTTTCGTTGTGGATGGGGCTAAGTATTGGAAGACGGAAGGAGTCGTAGAACAGCAGAGAAGCAGAAAAATGGCCAAAAGACAAAATCCACGGGCGGTGCGACGACGCGGTCGGGCCGAGGGACATTCGGCCCAAACCTGAAACATCTTCTTCGTTCTCCAGCATCTGCGCAAGGAGAGAAGAAAGCGATTTTACGGCGACGGATCCGACGCAAGTGTCTGTTTGACACGCCGAAGTTCGTTGAACTTGACGCCGATACCGGTGTTCCTTCGGTTCCGATGCGCTTGCGCAATCCGCGTCTTTTTCTTCTTTCTTTTAATGATTTTTTGAACTGCACTTCTGAAGGACTTCAAAAACAGTGAGTATCAATAAAAATTATTGAAAAGCGATATATCAAGAAGAAAAAGTTGAAGAGGACAATGGTGCGGATTTCAGAATGCTTAGATCTCAAGCTTATTCTCGAAATGTACAAAAAATTCATCAGCGACGAGAATGTTCCATCTTATTTCCACCGATCACAACTTGAATCAAAAAACGGAATCAAAAGCAAAAAAATACCTATTTCTAAGGAAGATATGGATCTTTAAAAAAAAAGCTGCATATCCTACTAAGAAAATTTTCGTAGAACTGACCAACTTTATATTTGCTGATGCTTCTGTCAATGGCAAAACGAGCATCTTCTCACCTGACTGCCCTTGCTCGTTTTCGTCTTTAAACTCGTTTTGGCATGCATTTTAAACATTTTGCGTGATGCTTCAAAAAATTTTGTGTAACGCTTATGGCGAAACGGCTTCCACAGGCTTTTTTGCTGATTTGTTTGGTTTGTGTCAAAGTTTGAGGAACGGGTCTTAGTGTTCTTGATCTATCAAATTACTGTGGCTTTTGAGAAAAAAAGAACAGTGCGATTACTTTTATATGTCGTTTCCTCTATGATATCTTTTTCATAAAGTTTAAGAAAAAGACACTTTTTTTAAAAAAATATAAACTTTACATTCTGCTGAAGTTTGAGCCTGCACATAATCCCTGTTTCCGAGAGAGGGCATTTTTAAGTTTCATTTATTTTTCTCTGCCCACAAAAACGACAGCTTTCGTGAAGTAATTTCTCACGACAGAGTTGTGTAAGATCGACTTTTTTTTCAGGGCTTTCATCCAGTACAACAACGGGTTTGGAAAAAATACTGAAATATCCGAAAAATTAACTCAAAAATATTTTCCAACCTAGCTGTAGTTTTTAAAAACAGAAAATTTCGCTCGAGAGCTTTCAAAAACAGAGCCAAAATATTTTACAAACTTGATCTGAGTGATTTCATTGCTCAAAAAAGCAACATTCCTTGTTTTTTTCTCCGCTCCAAACCGGTGCAGGTCGGTCAAAACTTTTTGCTCTTTTCAAAATGACCTCTGTGTTTGCCTTCGTTTTCCGCTTCTTTGTGCTTGAGTTTGCCTTGTTTTTCTTCCTCGAGCAAAGTTTGTTCAGGCCTCGGCGAATCCTTTTGGGAAGTGTTTGAAAACAATGGAAGCCGTTTTCTACACTCCTTTGACGTGATTTTTGCGCCGCATACATTTTGAGTCCACTTTACTTTGGTTTGTGTGCCAGCAATTCCTTGTCGGAAGTTATTCCTTCAGCAGCTTTTCATAGACACTAAACCCATTTTCTGGATCGAAAAACCTGAAACTTCCAACTTGGAACGAGGAAGGAGTTTTACGGAGTTCTTGTTGCTGAACTCATTGGCGAAAAACGCATTAGGGCTTCAAATCATGGACTCAGTAAAATCTAGTCTTTGTTGTGAAAATTTGATTAATACAGCTCAAAAGTTCACAAAGAGGCAACTTTTTTTTCCATTCAGAAAGAACATCTGCCCAAATCAACCAAGTGCATCTTTTTTTTCTGAAATTGAGCGTGATTCATTGGAAACACTGAACACCCTTTTTATTTCAATGATCTAGGTATCAAAAAAGTATTAGAAAATATCACATAAATATTTATTCAGAGATCAACAAAAAAATCATAAATTAATAACAATAAATTACTCTGATACAGGTTACTCTGAAGCACTTTTTCACGAAACTGTGAAATTTTGTACTCTGCTTGACGGAAGGAAATGTGAACGTCTCAGAATCCGTTGCGGAGGTGACGGAAGGGGAAAATTCGGCGGTAGATGGTGGCAAGGTCGGGACGTTTGAAACCCAGAAAACCTTCCTCGTCGATGGTGGTTGTCTCTAGAACAAGAACACCATCGGTAGAAGTTTCTGAAAAATCATGTTTTTTCGAAAAAATTTATCGGATTTTATAATACCGAGAGGCTCCGCAGTGCTGGAAATGATGCGAGTGGTCGATTCTACGGCCAGCGTCTCGGATTCTTCTCCAGATCCTTCTCCTATGGTGACAGAAGGAGCGACTGAGCTAGCTTGGAGTAACGTCTCCTCCGAAGAAATGGAGCCGTCACGATAGATGGCGTTAACAGATGAAGATAAAACGGCCGACAGAGCAAAGAAGAAAAAGAACATAATTGTTTTGAGAGGTGAACTAGAAGGCTGGATGCCCTGTTCTGTCCTGTGAGCCGCTTATATAGCCGAGAGGCAGCGGTCAGTTTCGGGGTGGGTGCACATCTGCCAAAAAGATCGTTTTTCGCGCATTCTTCTCATTTGTTTGTTCAATAGTGTCGCAACACGCAGTAGGTGGCGCTGCAGGGCCTAGAAAGTACTGGCAGGACGGAGACGCAGGATTGGCTCTCCGGTCGGCGCGCAAACAAAGGTCACAAACGGAATTTCTGGATTCCACTTCCAGAACGCCTCCTTTTGACTTGAAGCACGGCCGAAGGTCAGGGACTAGACATGCAAATTTTCAACTGGGTGTGTGTTTTACAGTTTGTTCAAGGAATCTTTTGTGTTGTGCTCATTTTTTTCTTGACGCTGTGGATTGGTGATACGCCCCGAGTTCGACCTTTTGAACTTCTTCCTGCATTATTTCAATTTCACATTTGAGAGCTTCAAAATATAACTTGACGTCAAAATTTTTCAGTCTTACTCCTCAATTTTCAGCATTTGCAGAAAAAAAGTCCTCATTAAGCTTAATGAAAATATTCAGTATGAAGCACTTTTCATTTCTATTGATGATCAAGAGATATTCCTTTGACATGGAACATCTCAGGAATATTTCCAAGAGGGATACGAAAAAATAAAAAAAATTGAATGATTTTCGATAAAAATTCACTTCTCTTCCAAACAAACTCTGGAAAAATGTTTTAAAATTCAAACCCTTGACAGGTCCAACGTATCCATATGAGCTGTATTTCTTCTTCTTTGGGTCCAGATCAAAATTTTTTCTATCTCTTTTTCATTTTCAAGTTTTTCGCTGTCAACATACAGCAAAAAAATTTAGGAGTTTTACAAAATCATAACTGTGCAAATTCTTCAGAAATATTTTTTTTTTTTAGAAAAAATCGATATGAATTAAGCTGAATCAAAAAAATTTGAAACAACTGAAAAACGCTGGAGGTCAAATTAGCGTTCTCCGTTCTCCAAAAAAAAAAATTATTTCATGCCCGTTTTTCGGAAGTTGTTTTTTCCGAATTTCAAATTTTTTTGAATTTTTTTGAAGCAAAAAGTTCAAAAATAAAAACGTTGTAGTTCTAAGAGAGTTTACTTGTCTCTCTTCCTTTCTCCTGATTGGAATTTGCCTTTTATTCAGTTATTTTATGACAGTTGACACATGCATATGTTAATGCACTGGATCAACTCCATTCAAAAAAAAAAAAGAATAGCTTTGGCGTGCAAAAATAGCACCGCCTTGAGTACATAACCGCGCCCTGTGCCGCCAACAAATTTCGGTCGACCAAACAGGAAATCGTTCAAAAGAGCAGCACATCTGAAAGGTGTGTTTCGGTGAACCTGAATTTAAAATTTCAGCTTGAAACGAGAAAAAAAAATAAAAAAGAAAAGATTGGCCGTTCAGTCCAAATATAGCCGCGACCTGAGTACATAAACGGCCGTTGTGCCGCCGATGATTTTTTGTGTTATCCCAACATTGTTTCAACAACGCCTGTTACGTTAAGCTGTGCAAGCCGGCTTCATTTCTTATGTTGAATTCAGCAGCCTGATTCTGTATGTACGACTATAAAATGTGATCTAGTAAACATTGGAGCTTACGTTTTCTTATGTTTTTTCCGCAGTTCCTTGTGAGCAGAGAATAAAAAGCTTGAGGTTTTGGTCAGTTTTTTTCTTGTTTTCTTGATATTAGTCTCAATTTCACTAAAAGATTCGAAATTGAAACAGCTTAAATCTACTTCTTTTATTATTTATGAAATATGTTCCTTTTTTTGCAGCTTTTTTTGCTTAATAAGTAGATAAGTATTATTTTTCATTTTACCTAATTTTCGGGTCTACAAAAAATTTCTATTCACAATCCATAATTTGACCTTGCAAAATGAACAACCGAGTTATCGACTATCTCAGAAAAACACAGAAGAAAAGTTATTCCAGCAAAGTCTAACGTTAAATATCTTGAAACGGGACCGGTGCAATATACTCAAGTCGTACTCAAATGGAACAAAAAACCGTTGAAAAATAATGCGAACTTAAGGGCCGAGTTTTTCTTCGCCAATTTTCCATTCTTTCTTCTTTTTTTTTGATCCACCTCTGAGTGACTCAGATTTTCTCGTTCCGATGTCTCTAAAATTTTTCAAATCAGATTTCACGATGCCAAACTTTTGACGATTCGAACACCTCCAAATGTCAGAACATCGCATAAAAGCAGTCTTGAGCGAAATATTTTCCAAACAGTAAAGTTAAAAAACTTCAAACACGATTGGAAAACTTTTTCAAAGAACAGAAACAATTTCATTTATTTATAGTCGAGTAACACGAGTAGGATGCGAAAAAACAACATATGGGATGATTGCGGAATAAATGACACAGTAGATGCTTTCAACTTAAGAACTGGGCTTCGAGGAAAGATCCCTGTGGATTAGTTTGTCGTAGGATCTTCACAATATGACTGACATTTTTGCACTAATCAAACCAAAAACTGAGAATTGGTTGTCAAATGACGTGGAATCAACCCAAAAGAAGAAGAAGGAAATAGAAGGTAATAAGAACGAATCATTAATAATTGACGGCCGTATTTGGGGCATTTGACAAAACGAAAAGAATTCCGTGAAGATCATATTAAACCATGTTACAGCACACGCCTGGGTAAAGGTTGGTTTCATTTTTCTTGAAATCAAACACGCATTCAAATGCACTTGTATAGGGAGCTATATCAATGGAAAACAAGTATTATAGGGAGAAATCCTCGGATCAATACGGTATGAAGAGGAGGACTTATTAACGGAAAAATTGAAAACTGGTTCCAAATAAAACTAACTGCTCGGGCTATTGAAACGGTGATTGCAAAGGGATAAAGAAAGATCGAAGAAAACATTGCTAGGATACCAATAAGTACAAAATACAGAGTAAAACGCGTCTCGGGGATTTTTCAGGATACATACTTTATTGAGACCCCTATTCTGGTTGAAATATGATTTTCTCACCGAACTCTTACGATCAAAACGCAAATAGCCTTCTTATACTTTTAGAAATAATATCTTTTGAAATTTTTCAGAAGATTTGAAAGATAGTTCTCCGCGGACCAAAAAAGGCTATCTGATCGTCAAAAAACAGCCCGGATTGTTTTGAGCTTCACAAGTAAGCAGAAAGAATCGAAAATAAGAACATCTCCCATATGAACCACTGAGGAATATAATTGAAGAACAAAGACTATTTGAGAAGATGCCGGACCGCGAATTTACCCAAATAAGATGATAAAAAACCATGAGAAAACAGCAGAGGTTTCTGTACAACGGTTGCGTTTGGGCAGACAAAGGTTTTTTTATAACCGAATATAGACACGAGAGTTTTGAGAGTTATTCAAGGAAAGAATAATGGTAGTCCTGAGAAGAAGTCGCGACGTTGTTCTGATTGTCGTTGTGACTGACGGTGACGATACCGGCTTCGTTGAGAGCGCGTTGGATCTTCTTCGAGAGTTCCGTCACTTCAATCTTAGCCGTCGTCACTTCGATGATCAAGCGATTGTACTCGACCTAAAACCAACAAAATAATATTAGAACTTTAAAAAAAAGCATACTTTCTGAACATCGTTCATCCATCTCTGTGGGCTGTTGGTGGCCGGCTCGCTTTCAGGTCTGACGCTTTCAACCTGCAGAATACATATTTGAGCAAGTTGAATAAGTATCTAAAGAGAAATTAATTTTTCTCATCTTCTAAATGTTTCAAATTTTGAACAGAAAACAGTTTTTTTGAATTTTTCACTAATATTTGCTGAATTTTAAAATTTAAAAAAACTTCTCCCTAAGTTAATGATCTCAACTTCAAGTAGTCCGAGATTTCTTCTAAGGACTTACCAGCTGCTTGAGCTCCGCTTCGACGCTTTCCAGAGCAGGAATCTTGCTGAGCATGAGGTTCATGTGGTTGAGGACAGTCGGCGGCAAGCTGGGCTGCCCCATGATGTTCATGTCGAGGAATCCTTTTTCGACGGCGTATTTGAGCATCTCCGCGATGGCCTGAGTGTTGTTGCCGCTGCCAGGATCTGTCAGAGGGATCGTGCCGCCTTGCACCCAATTGCCAGTGTTCTCGTTGCTTGCGAACTGGTTAGACGACTGCTGGCCAGGTAAGTACCAAGGAGTATCGTTTGAGCTTGTCGTCACGTCCGACCACTTGTTCACGTCTTCTGAAGGATTATTTATTTTTGACTTTCCATTCGAACTTTAATATTTTACCGCTCTTAGTCGGATTATTGGGATCATTCTCTGGAAGCTCGCCCCAGCCAGTGACAACGATTGGACGGTTTGCAGGAGTGGGGAAAGGGAGACGAGACGTTCCGTCTTCTGACTGAAATGAAAGACGTTACAAAACTAGTCATTCAAAGCACTCAGGTCGCCGCCGACTTTCATGCTACCTTCTTGTGAACCTTTTTCTGCGGTACCGGACACTTCATCAACGCGGTTTCAAGATCCTCTTCTTCTCCGTCAGGAACCAGCCACATGCGGATCGGACGCTCGTCTGTAAGAAAATCAGTTCATTTTGGAGAACTACTGAGGTTTTTTTTGTGGTAGAACAAATTTCTTCTATGATGATGAAATCAACTTTTCTTTGCCAGAGGTTTCAAGCCAGTATTCGAACTTCTTTTTTTAAATCCATCAAAAATTTTTTTAATGAATCTAAAAACTAATATTCAAAAAAACCCATTTTTTTCAATCAGAGTATTCAACGTTCGTGTCTGGTAAATGTCATTCGAAGTACGTGAACAGTTTAGTTGAAAGTTTGCTTGATTTTTTTTGAACTCGCAATGACATTTTATTGGATCTAAAAAAAGAGGGATCTAATATCTCAAATTTATTATATAATCACGAGAACTAACTGTTCTTATCCGGGTCGCCCCAGTTGGAAACGCCCGTGTCCCGCTGCCACTTCTTCAGGTCGACGTTCGGGTCGTGCCACATCAGATCGTCTGGTCCAGAGATTGGGAACGAGGCGACGTGCGGTGGAGGTTCTTTCATGTCCCAGAGATTCTTAACAGGTCGCTGAAATGCCTGTACCTCTCTACCAGCTACTGGCCAGATGGCCACTCAGTTGTACTTCTAATCTCAGAGTGAATTTTCAAGCACTCACCATGTCGTCATGTCCTTGGTTTTGGTAAGAGCCAACGTGCTGCGAAGAATCTTTCATTCCATTGTTCGCGTACGGCTGAAAAAGTGATCATAATTATATAAACCGAAAACTTTGAATTCAATCGAGTGAATTTCTGCTCTTTATTTTTTTATAAAAACAAAAAAACTTGATAGTTTTCATAGTAACGCCGTATTGAGAGTATTTTATCCCAACACTTGCAAAAAAACTGGAATTTCAAAAAAATACTGTTATTGAAAAATAGAAAGTTCTGCTATTCTGGGCTCAAAATTTCAAGTGAATACGAAAAATTTTTTTGTGAAATACAATAGTTCGATTATCAAAGCAGAACCAACTTAGAAAAAGACTTTTTGACTACAGTATACCACAAACCTCATCAGGTCCCATGATCGGAAAAGCTGCATGAGGGGCTGGAGGAAGTCGCCGATCTTCCCACGGATTGTTTCCACCCATTCCACCAGGTGGCGGTCCGGGTCGCATTCGCATCTGCTGACCTATGTGCTGAAACTAAAAAAATTAGAATTGGTTATAAGATATTCACGAAGCAGGCCATTCTACTCGGAATCTCAGAATTCATTGAAAATTGGCTGAAAAATGTCCTAAAAGCAGCGCTTTGGATTGGACGATTTCAAAATAACTCGCGTAAATCGATAAGCGTCCTGAACAATGTTCAAGAAATCTGATGTTTCCGAGTGAAGAGACCATTACTCGTAATGAAAAAGATACGGGCAACTAGTCTAATGATTTCTGAGAGAATGTTTTTATCGCTCGAAAACCACTAGCTGCTCACCGGCATATCAACAGGAGGAGGAACACTGACGTCGACGCTTCCCATATTGGGGTTTGGATATCTTCCTCCACCGCCGCCGCCAACTTGAGGACGGCCGCCGCGCTGAGACATTCCCTGCATACGTGGTTGTTCGCCCCAAGACATCGGTTTGTTTTGCCGCATCATTCCATTCTGTTGCCAGCCGCCTGTAAGTTTGAAAGAAAATGAGATGAAAGCAAGAAAAGATTTTTGACATTACATAATAATTATTTATAGGATTGTTTTTATTCGAAAACTACCACAACTTTTTTGATATTGTGAGAAGAACATTTTTAATATTACCAATGTAACTGTACATTTCCTAGAGTCGTTTTCTGAATGTGCTTAAAAGCGTTTGCTTCCAATAATCTTTTAATACAAGTTATGAACTCGTTTCTTATTGCTTTTTTAATTATTATGTCATTTATGTTAATATGGTAATAGCTGAATTTGGAGATAGTTTTTTTTTTTCCAATCAGTTGAGTGGAGATGAGAACAACACTCAATTTTAAAGTTTGTAAAAAAAAATCACAAATTCGGTTAAACAAAGCCATACGACTATTTCTAAGCGGCGCAAACTTATCAAGCTGCTATGAGTTTTTTTAGAGCTTTAAAATAGTTGTTTCAAGATCTTTATTAAGAATTTTCGATGAAAAACTTTTAGAGGAACATTTTGTTCGGTTTATTCTTTCCAGCTCATCTTTTCACTGATCCCGCTTACGCGTTGTTCCAGGTATGGCAGGTGTGAAACAGACCTTGATGTTGCATCATAGGTCCTCCGCGGGGTCCACCGCCGTGTTGTGGTGGAGGTCCGTTTGGATGACCCATCTGACGAGGAGGCCAGCCTCCGCTCATCGGAGCTGCAGGAGGACCACCCCAGGTTTGCTGCTGAAAATCAATTAATATTATATGGAAAGGTTAATGCCCATTGATCTCTTCGAGAAAAAGTTTAGGACGAGGCTTCTTTTTTTGAAAAACCTTTGTTGACATAATTATATTTGTCTCATAACGGAAAAAGTACAAAAGTTTAATACTGGAATCAAAAAAACTTCCAAGTAGATTTTATCTTTTTCAATCATATTCTAACTGAAAAACTAAGTTCAGTAAGAGATTTCTTACTTGTATTGATGTTTTCACGATTACCTGTTGTTTCCAGTAGTGGCCAGGTTCTTTGTTCATGCTGTTTCCCCAAATTTGCTGAGCTCCTTGACCGCCGTTGGACCATTCTGCAGCCGAAGGATCTCCGATCATGCCGTTCATGTTTCCTGTGATAGTTCAATTGAAAAATGGAAAAACTTTTTTCTGTTACATTTTTGCGAAAACAATGAACTTTTAGAAGAAAAAGTTCAAAGATCATTTGTTATTCAACATTCTTAGCGATAGAAAAATTACTTGAGTGTGGATGGACTTGATTGTAGTGCGACTCAAGAGGATCAGCCCAAATCTTTTGTTGATCATATTCGTGGTCTGGCATTGGTCCTCCCCATCCTTGACTGGAAGCTGGATTCGACATTCCCATGGCGTCATTTAGTCCTTGGCCTGTAACTTGTCGTACAATGAAAAGCCGAGACGTCAGAATTCCTCACCCATGTTACTCGGCTGCCAAAGGTTTCTCATTTGCTGTTGAGGAGACAGATGTCCCCAGGGCTGCTGACTGACGGAGTTAGGCTGCATTCCGCCGCCCCAAACTTGGAACTGAAATGAAGAAATTATTACAGGTAAATTCGAATTCAATTTGCATCTGCAGTTATTCAATAAAAAGTAATGAAATATTTTGGTTTACCTGTTGCTGATCATGGCCCATCTGTTGAGGTGGATCTTGTTGACGCCATGGATTATCATCTAAGGTTATGTTGTTGAGACTGTTTTCCAAATCCATCTTGATCGCTGGAAAAGCGATCTGATCGGTGGTCTGAAAAATTGAAATGTTTGTCAAAGTTCTAAAAAAGTATCAATCAAGTTAACAAACGAAAAAAAAAAGTTTCTTTGAGTGAAAACTTTGAAAGAAAAAAAGCGATGTTGGGATTCTAAAAGGTTTTGAGAAACCTTGTGGTGGACAAAAAGAGAAAATAAAAGCGAGTTGACCCGAAGGAGGTGCAATCGATTGGTCATCAAATAAAGAGGAAAGTGCGAGCGCGCACACTGTGACGCGATGCTGATCGATAATGATTCCTCGCATCGCAACAATTTTTTTAAGAACGTGGAACAGTCTTTCAAAAAACTAAAACTATGGCAGCAAAGATGGAGAAAAATACAATTAGTTAACTTCAATTATCATTCAAATCATGGTATTTATAAAATACGAAAAATATTTTATCATTTTCAAAGTTATTCTGACAATACTCAGTTTTTTTGGAGTGAGAGGGACGAAAAAAATCATATGTCAACAAGGCGTCATAATACATTATCAAAACACTTCTAGGCTATGATTATACTCAGGTTACACACGCTCAGTAAAAAAATTTGCAAAAATAAGAGTTTTAGACGTTTGCACAATTTTTCTTTCGAAAAAAAAAGATGAAAAAAACTAAAGTAATTTTTTTGAAAAATAGTTTATTACAGGTATAATACTAAAATACTTTTTTTCAATGTTTTATTAATACAGCCTGTAGTTTTATCTTGATAATTTTTTTCACGAATTGGTCGCTAATAAACTGAGAAAAACGCATGAAGGAAACTTCTTTCTGAAAAATCTTTAAAAAAATTCAAAAAAACAATGAAAACCGAATTTTTATTAGAAAAAAAAAGTTGAACTTTCTTATATACAGAAGCAGTCTTAGAATATTTCTTAAGGAAAGAATCGTAAGGAGAGGAGGAAATATGCTTAGAATGGAAATCATGAGCAGCGTAAAACATGGTGAGGCCAGGACGAGACGCGGTTGCCGCAACGTGTCCTCTGCGTCTCTGCCCAGCGCCGGGCCGGCAGATCGATGCACACGAGACGAGGGACTGCCAGACAGCGCGAGTCCGCTGAGAGAGTGTGTCCGAGACGGAGGGTGTTGGTTGACCTTGTTCCGCCTTGTCAGACGAAAGCGCAAGTGCGAGGGACGCTCCATGTCCAAGTGCCGGTGAAAACACACAATTTGCAAGAAGCAGGTGACAGAAGAGACTTGGAAATGACAATAGTTCCAATTTCAAACTGTTGGCTTTTTCGGCTAAAATTTTTTCTTCCAATTTTACTTTTCTCAAACTGAAATATCGAAAGTTGCACATTGGCTATAGTTCATCCACAGCTGTTTTTAGGAAGTATTACGCGAACAGGATAGTAGGCAAAACAATAGACTAGAACGTCTTTAGTAGTTTTGCTGAAGGGAAAATGCAAAGTTATCAAAAAACTTTCTCTGACGAGCAGAAAAAATTTCCTCAACATGTCTTGCATTAACAATTGTTTAATTCATAGCTTTACTAATCATAAAAAATGTCTGCGAAATCTTGTTAAAAAGTTTTAAAAAGTCATTTTAGCGAAAAAAAATTAAAATTTTTGCAATCACTAAGCTTTCAGCCAATCAAAAAGGTTTTCGAGCAAGTATAAACTATTGGATGAAGAGAAGTAAAACAGAAAGTCTACAGGGAATCGTACAATACGCGGCACAAAGAGGAGATAGAAGTTACGACGACCGGCCAGGAGACAAAAAACGAGAAAAATGAGGAGTGAGGGCTAAATGGTGAGAACGTTGGCATTTCTTGGCGCGCGCGCGCGTTTTCGATCTTTCAAAGTTGTACGATTTTGCTCTACGACATTTTGCAAGTCTGATTGCAAAACATTTTCTTAAAACGTTTTTTTCACCCCGTGTTTGAGGCAGTTGTTAATCAGAAACGATTGCAAAATAGTTCAAATGCGAGCAATTATTTTTATCTTTTCTCTCGAAAAGTTGCATAGCAACCATATTCTTGCTACAAATGTTGATAAAAACCCCTAAAAAGACTTTTCAGTAAGATAAGAGCTGCGAATATGATAGATATTTCGAAATGAATGCTTTATGGAGCACGAAACTCGACTGTTAAAGTTTTGGCTTTGCTTTTCCACTCAGAAAGTAAATTTGCGGAAAAGTTTCTGCAAGAAAACTTGGATATAATTTTCTTTGATGAAAAACATCGAGAAAGCTAAAGGATAAAAATGTGCACTTGCGTTAAATTCTCATGGAAATCGGTTTTTGCAGGCTTCCACTATAAACCACGTTTTTGCTGCGTCTCTCAGTCCTTGTGCTCCAACTTTTTTAGTTGCTTGGCTCTTCTCCGCAAGAGGTCAGATGCCACAGGAACGCAACTCGAGATAAGGCCATACATCTTGGAGTGGGCCGCCTCTTTTTCATGGACTAGGCTTATTTCTGGCGAAGGGATTTATATGGCGGATTCAAATAAAGATAAAGTTGTTGAGATTACTTCATTTGATGATTTTTGAGCGCACAAAATTTGTTGAAGAGTTTCATGAAAGCGGGTCGATTTGGACTGAAAAAAAATATTGATATCTGAACAAATAGAAATAAACAACAACCGACAAAAATCCATATCCTTTGATTATTTATGTTTTCATTCGTTTAACTGAATTTTCTCAAACTCATACAAAATTACAATTTTTCTAAAAAAACTGTTGAAAAAAAGATGCAAAAAAGCGGCTCGTGATTGACTTGAGTTCGTCGTCAAAAGCCACGTCGCCCACGCAATGCTTCACCTTTGCCAATCAACCCATCTTGCTTTTCAAGTCGAAAAGGATAGACTATGAATTCGAAAAAGAGTTTCCACGGATACGAACGTTTTGAGCAAAATACTTTTGTAAGTGTATCCAGTGAAACAGTTTATTTTCTGAATTTCGTGAGATTGTCTAAATGAACAGCTGAAACGAGATCGCAACCCCGTTTCCTTTGGTTGCAAATCTTCTTCAGATAAGCAGAAGAAAGTAAAAGTCATCTTTTGTCGCACGTTTGGGGTCAGCGAGGCCAGTTGAAAAAAAGTTTGAGTCTATAAAGCATCGGTTTTTTTCTCTGAAGTCATTTTCCGATTTATAATGTTTTTATTTTTTTTACTTCTTCGCGCAATTTATATGGTAAATGTTATTTTTTTCTTTCAAAATTAATAATAAAAACAAAAATTTTTAAAAATAAAAATATTAAAAATAAAAACAAAAATTCATTGAGAATGGCTTTTTCAATAGGCTTTTTTTCTTGCAGCGTTTCAGTTTATTGTTCAAAAAAATAATCACTTTTTTTCAGAAAAGTAAAAATAAAAAAACAAATAAAAAAACAAAAAAACACGTTTTTTTGCTATCAACTACCAAAAATGAATCAAAAAAAGAGCGTTTTTCGACTATTAAAGAGCTTTTTTTGAACACAGTTGGATTTCGAAAAATGATGAACCAAAGGTTTACGATTGTAAAAAATTTCTTGGCAAAACATTCAAAAAAAAGCCTCCATGGGGCATGTCAACAACAGAAATACGATTAAACGTTTCCAACGTTGAGAAGTTACAAAATGTTTTCAGGAACACTTTCGAAAAAAAACCCCCACAAAAAAACGGTGGGAATTGTGAAAAAAAGAAACAGGAAATGAAAAAAGTTGTACGAAAAATGAAAAGTAAGAAGAAAATAATTGAATAAATGAGTGGTAAGTGATGCGCAGAAGAAGAAAAAGGGAGGAAGGAACCTTCACGTCGATCGATAGATCGAAAGGGGCACCGCTCACTCCACTGATCGCGTTCCGACTTGCCCCATGCAAACATTTCCAGCTATATCCTTTCAATCTTCATGCTTCCTGTATTTCTAATTTTTTGGTTTGCTCTGTAAAGTCAGAGGAACCAATCACAGTTGGTTCTTCATTTTCAACTTCACATCTAGCTCAACTATACTTTCTTCAAAAATGATTTCCAAAATTCTAAATGTTTTGGGAAATTCATCAAAAGAAAATTTCTTCAACATGAGTGACAGTGTCTAGAATTTTCCTCCAAATTGATTCCCCAGAGTGGCTTTGCATCCTGTTCTCCTTCGTCAAGCTCCAACTAAATTTATATGATCTTAAAAAACCTGGCGTTTCTATTTTAAACTGTCACTTGAGTTTTTCATCTCTTTTGAATGTTGCTTGATTATTCTCACCTACGGTGGCTAGAATCAACTCGGGTATTCTTAATTTTGTTTCAACTCTCAAGTTTATTCCGGAGTAGACTTTCGAACTTTAATTTTGGTGAAACAGTATTTATTGACTCACCAGAAAAAAAAAATCTTTTTTTTCGAAAAGAATAGTCTCATATCACATTCTTTGCCCACGTTTAAGCCAATAAATGCCTCCTCAAGAATTTTATCAGTTATCAATCTAGAAGTTCATATAATTTGCCACACTGCAAGCCTATCAAGATTTTTTAAAGGTATTTATTCTTTATCGTACCACACAGTACATATTAAAGATGATCGTCTCAGGAATCTTTGGAGAAGAGTTTTGGAAAAAATAGAAAGTTCATAAAAGTGAATCAAGTTTATTCCGTCTAGCTATATCATTTCCGTTTGGCTTATTTGTGTAATTTGCAATTTTTGTTCAATTTCTAGCTCTGGGTCATATGAACCGCGTGGAAGTGAATGAACGCAGTTCAGACACGGAAAGGCGGATTCATGCGGTTCCGCCGACCCCCATGTACCAAGGCGAGACCAAGCTTCTGGACTCGCTTTGGAAAGAAGCGCATCTGAGTACTGAGGCATTCCCACCTGACATCAAAGCTCATCGTGCGTTTTTTTTACTTTTTTCTAAACTGCGAAGTTGGATCGTAAGCTATAAAAAAAATTGAGTGCTTACTTTTCTCAATTTTCCTTAAAGACAAATGGCTGTTTGAAAAGGACAGAGTCTAAAAAGTTTTGATTAAGATTCAAATAAAAAAACGAGATTTTTGAGAAACAGCAAAAAATCAAGTTCTGTCGTCTAAAAAGAAGCCTTTTTGAAAGAAGAAAAATGTTCAGCTATGGTACCCAACCCACCAACGGCACCAACCCTTCAACAGCCCACTCTTGTTGCAAATCTGTCGGCTCCAAACCTCCCGCAGCCGAGTCAATCCAACGAAGATGACGAGCGGAAGTTGCAGCAAATGCTGGAAAAATACCAACATGAAGTGAAACAACAGCAACAAAAACGAGCAACGACCAAAGTAAAATCTGATAGGCCGGAACGAAGTGAGCTTTTTCATAGTTTTCATGGAATAGAGAGAAATTTGAAACTGTAAACATTTGGAAATTTTTGTAAACAGAATAGCGAAGTTTCACGAGGCAGGACGCAGAACGTTACGATACGATTTAGAAAACGAAATGAAAAAGACTAGTATAGCAGATCTGTTACACATCTGCGCTTTTTTTCTAGTTCTATACGATCTTGTCAAAGAAATGAGAAGAAACGACTTGATTTAAAAAAGGATCTGTATCTCAAAGTCTACAAACCATTGGAAAAATTATTTTTCTTTTTTTTTTTGAAATAAATTGAAACGTTAGTTGATAAAGTCTGGATTACTAACATCGCACTGTATTTGCAGCCAAGTCTAGAAAGAAACCTCATTTTTCTGAGAACCTCGCAAACTTATTTGAAGTATTTTCTGATTTATTTTGTTGTTCAGCAGCTCCTATAAGCCATTCTCAGCCATGTTTGATTGCGATTGGAACGAGAGGATCAGAGTAAGAGTCTTTCTTACGCGAAGCTCCAACAATTCCGAATTTAAGCCAACGACCTCATGGAGAACGGGCGATGAGCTCATCAACGTACCAAAGACGAGCTTCGGCTTCTGGGGAACAGCCCCCGGAACCGCCCACCTTTGGACAAACAAATCAAAGAGTATACTCCTATAATAACATTATTAAAGAAGAAAAGTTTCTAGATGCCAAACAACCAGAAGTTAGTCCAGTCATTGCGAGAAGAAAACATGCACTTAAAGAAGGAAATGGAGGGTGTGAAGCGCTATCTTTTCAAGCTGCAGCAGGTGAACATCAGTTCTGAAATGACGCCGTGGCTTTTTTAGATTGAATTTTCTTATGCGCAAATTGAAAAAGAGTACGAAGTTTTGCTCCGAGAAAAGGAGAAGCAAGAAAACTTAGAAGTGACAGCAATAATGCAATTGGAAAAACATGTGAAAAGGTACGTTTGCAAAGATAATTGTTCATTTCAAATTTATAATTTTCAGGCTGACCGCAGAAAAAGAAGACCTTCAGATTCGACTTGACAAAACGATGGCTGAGCCCTCAATGGTAGCAAATATAATGATAGCTGAGATGCAGCAAAGTAACACACAAACCATCACTGTGATTGGCAGAGAAGGATTGCAGAACAAGAGTTGTTAGCTTGCAAAGAACGGCAGAAGTTAGAAATCGATGCCCAAAACCAGACACTAGAAGAGCAGAGGAACCATATCGCAATGCTTGAAAAAGCACTCGCCAACTCGCAAGAGAGACTCGCCAAAAAAGACAAGGTGCGTCCACTTGAGACAGAAAAAGCTTCACTATTCACGGATTTTTGAACTCGTCTTGAATCTTCGATTTATTCAAAATATAAATGGATTCAGCAAAAAAAAAATAAAACGTTTGTTTCGATATCCGACAATTTTGTGTCGTGATGAGCTGAATCTTGAACTTATGTAGTTGTTGGAAAACATTAAACTGCTCTTTCTTTTGCGATTAGCCATGCAAATCGGATGACGATGAGCTTTCAGAAATGCGAAGATCTCTGCTCTGTAGTGGATCGAGCGGAAGATCTGAGGAGACAGCTCGAGGATGTGCTCGCCGAGCAGCTAAAACGAGATGAGGCTCATTCAGCTGAACGGGCTCAATGGGAAATGGAAAAAACTCAGTTGAGGATGCAGCTCAACCGTGATCCGTCATTAACGGGAAGCTTGAAAGTCAGTATAATGTCAACTTTTTCGAGAGAGGATTTTTGAAGGCTCTCAACCAACATAATTTCAGAGGACATCCGGTCAATCGAATAATGAAGAGGCGCTCCTTCGGATGAGAAAATCATTACATGTGAAAGACGAACGAATCACCCAGTTAGAGAAAACAATAGTCGATCTTCAGAAGTGAGATTCTCACTAAACTTCAAATACTTACATATAGTTTAAGAACGCTTTTGGAAGAAACCGAAAGAAGAAAATGCACGTTGAACGCTATAACAGAAAGTTTTGAAGTTCGGATAAAACGGCTTGAGGAAGAAAAAGTAGAAAAGGTAGAACTTCATCCAAAAATTAATGTCCTTTTTTTTCAAGGACAAAAAAATCAGCGAGTTGAAACTGGACAAAGACAAACTGACAGCAATATTGGAAAGAAGTAAGTTTAATGGTGATTTTTTTCTTTTTACTATATATAAAAAGGTGAACTCGAAATTTCTATCGTTTCTATTCAATGGGATTTCAAAACGTAGTTACAGATCATGAAGACGATGCCGCCATGAGAGACTTGCACAAAATGGAAGATATAAGGCAAAGAATTCAAGAAAGGAGGAAGAAAGGTCGCTTAGGAGTCACTGGAGGGTAAGAAGTATGAAAGTATGCTTTGATGATCTAACTCCTAGGCTAATGGGTAGTTCTTCAGACCATGCCAGGTCACCTTCAGCTTCGATTCTTCAATCAAGTCATCTCAGGTGTTTATTTCGAAGTTCTCCTGTTAGGCATGAACTGGCCAGAATATAAAAATGAAGTAGAAAATGGCCTCAAAGCAATGAAACCATTCCATAGAATAAAAACCAATATTTCCTTCCGTTGCAAAATCAGACACTTCAGCCGCAAAAATAATGACCATTCTCATTTTAAAAGTAAAATGATTTATTGCAGATCTTCTTCGGGACCGTTCGACCCGATAATGCCCAGTTCTGGACAAAGTATTGGATACTCACATTCTTTTTACAAGCCTTCCTAGACATTTTTCATTTTAATTTATAACGGCCAAGAAATTTAAAACATTTTTTATAATAGTCTCATTTGGTTGTTGCTTCGTTTGTTATCGTCTTTGTTTTCTTTATTTTCAATTTTCGCATCGCTAGAATCTCTGCTGCCAATTTTCTTGCATCATCCATTATTTGAGCAGTTCTTTCTCACCTACTACGAATAATATTCCTGACAAATATTGAGCTCCAAATTTTCCCAGAAAAAGTGTGCTAATGTCATGTTTCCGTGTAGTGAATGCTCAACAGATTGCTAGTGTGATACGTCAAATTTCTATGAAAAAAAAAATCATTTGTACAAAAATTTAATAAAGAGTGTTTATTGATGTATAAAAACAGCATAATAAAGATTTTTTTCATGGTGAAAAAAATTCAACACGACATGATGAAACACTTGAGATCTACCCTGTTGTTAGGCAACTGCAGTATTTCATAAATAGCTTATGGGAAAGTCATTGAAGAACGAGGAGAGACGGAATGAGCATATTGAAGAGCAAATGACGGGAAGAAAAAATTCAGGACTATGAGTGATCACCGAAAAAAACATAATTATTTACAAAGTCAAATTTTTCTCAATTCGAAACCGGCTGTGATGACGATCAGAAAAAAATATTCCATATGATTTCAAAATGTAAAAAAATTATAACTGAATATTAAATTATCCATTCTTCGAAAAAGACAGAATTAACTAGCAAAGATGATAAGATAATGGGTATCAAAAATAAACAGTAGGTGTGGCGCCATCGCGGGACGTCACTGTGACAGGGACCAAATGCGCACCTTGGGATCTTTTGGGTCCTGGAGACTTTGCGTCGTAACATCGTTCCTTATCACTGTTGACAATGTATCGGCTGAAAGCCCGGTTGAGATCGATTCGAACGAAAAAGAGACTTTTTTCACCTTGTGGTGGTGGTTGGAGTCGTTCCGGTTATGGATACTCCTGTGTCGCCAGTGTGGCTCATCCAGCAGATGCTTGCTCTTCTACCGTTCCTCCACCTGATTGTAACACTTTTAGTGACATTGAAAGAATTTTTGATGTCCGGTTGAAAATTCGAAATTCTTTTACAGTCAGTGAAGATTTTGAATGTTAGGCAGCTCAAAATTGATAAATGAAGAGAGTACAAATTTTCCACTCACATTTTCTGAAACCGTTTGCAGACTATTATGAACAAGAGTGAGAAGATTAAAATTAATATGACGAAAATGAGAATTGTAAGAGCCGCTGTTGGTGGAATGATGAAAGCCGGGTTCTCAACAATGACCTGAAAACAAACTTTTTTATTTCTCAACGGTCTGCGGCCGACCTTAGCAACTGCAAGCTGGTGCCCGTCTCTGGCGACTACCACAAGCTCGCAGATTTTGCATTGTGGCTCATTTCCGGGAATAAATTTTACAACGCCATTGCTGTCGATGGCGAACACACTGGAATTTCAATGAATTTCTGTTTCTGTTGAAATCTTGATCTTACGAGTTCATGTTGATGAGAGTGTACTCGATTCTGCCGTTTTCTCGCGTTGATGCATTCACGGAACCCAGAACATTCAACGACCCGAGTTTCATTTTGTACTCAAATTTGTCGAACTGAGGCGGCTTCTGACACGCTTCCTCGTTTTCTATCGGAACAAGAGTCAAAGATGTCATGACTATCTACAAAAAGAAACCTTCATGAAAGATTTTCGAATAATAGGTTTACTCACGTTTTCACCGTCGTTTGCAGTAACATTTAGAGTTTCCGGCTGGCTGATTCTCTTTTTCAAAATAACATTTCCAGAAAATTCATCAATAGAAACAGCGTTTGTGTCGCCCAAAAGAGAATAAGCAATAGAAGAGTTCTGTAGAAAAATATTTTTTTTTTCAAAGTTGGATGGATTTGGTTACTTACGTTCTCAGAATACGCGTTGACTTTTAGCAGTTTAGATCCGATTTTGGTCATTGGCCTGATCTCAAAAGATGAAATTGGGAATCAGAAACAGAAAAGATAGTTTGTTCTAACTCGATCTCATTTTTCGAAAAAAAAATTTCGAAATTTCAATATGTTTCGACAAAATTAGATAGAGAACTGTCATTACTCTATAGATTTTCAAAAATAACCAAGTCTTCAATGGATGTTTCAAATGACAAGAAAGGCCTCAGTTATCCAAAATTTCGGTTTAGGGAGAGAAAACTTTGAAAAACAGAAATTAAAGCAACTTTTATTGTGAAAAACAAGCCAATTTTACAGATTTTGAATTTTAACAGCTTCACCCAAGATAACAAAAAACATTTTGTTGATTTTTAAGTCATCACTTTTGAAAATAACTAACTTGAGCTGAGTAAGTGTTGTGATGGAAGTAGATATTTGGCTGCAGACGTACTGCAACAATGGCTGTGGCACTTCTCTCAGGCTCGTCCCTCTCACTTGCCTTCAAAACTTCTCTGTTATCTTTTCCTCAGGAACTTCAGATGCGAACGTTTGAGCGCGCATGTCATCTTTTGACGAGTTCTTCGGAATATAAAGAATTTTTTCCTGTGGCGAACGTGGACCGCTCATGGGTTTTTAACTCGAGGTCGCACAGATGATGGAGTTCAGTTTTTTCCAGCAACAAAATGTTCAACGGACCGTACTTTTTGTCATACCATGAGTTGAAATCTTGCGAGGGAACTCTTTCTAGGGCGGAGTTTGGAACTTATAAGTGATTTTTCCCACTTTTAAAATCATTTGTTTTAAGATTCGTTCCTGAGAAAAAAACTCCAAACTTCGCACTGGAAAAAAAACTAGATTGTGAGAATTTACTTTTTTCGCACAAAATTCTGAAAAACTTGTACTAACCGTCACGAAAAACGTCGCTCGAGGAGGTGCAGATGCAGTTTTTGTTTTTATATTGCCTTCGTCGTCAATTTCGAAATGCTCCGAGAGTTCTGAATGGGAAAGTTGAATGGATGGATTTTTTAAAATCGATTATCAGAGCAAATCATACTGTACATTTGCCATTCATGTTCACTGAATATCAAGATTTTTTCACGAATCTCGCTTGCTAGAATTTCTTCAATAACTTTGTGATTTTTTACATTATGATTCATGTTCATGTACCTTATCTGAAAGACTTCGACTTTTCCATTTTTTATACTGATTTTCGGGTCTTGTTCAAAGCCCGTGCCGTCCTTCACATGGCGTGAAAAGCTTGTTGAAAGCTCAAGATTTGTGACAAAAGCCCCGACGGCACGGAAAATGCTCGACCGGAATCGGTGGGAAAACGTCACTCGAAGGATTGCTTTTCCTTGCCGCGACAAGAGCGATGAAGCTCCGCATGGCTTCGCAAGTTGAGTGGACAATGCGATGGGAGTCAACAAATATTATCCGCTCTCCTTGAATACATACCGACGAACAAATGGTACACGTCTGAGTTTGAAGTCAAGTGCTTTATGGTGATACGAGATATCGAGATATCTAGCTGATGAGAAGACTGTTATCAGAACGCTTTGAGTTTGCTGAACCCAGAGGAAAATACTTGACGGAAATCTTCTTGGCAAAAAAATAATTTTCTATTCTGTTGGCCAACTTCTAAGACATTGAAATAGTTTTTGATTTTGATTCGAAAGTCTCGATAGAAGCTTCAATGAAAAAAATTATACTTTATCATTCCTCATGTTCAAAAATTCCTAAAAGGTCATTTCGATTCGATATAGTTTTTCGTGAGTTCTACGGTCTCTTTTACAAAACTAGAAAGTTTGCAGGTGAAAACTGTCGGGAATGTTTTACCTTTATGAACAGAAAGGCCTAAACATTGTTTTTTTGCGGCAAAAAAAGGAGGTTTTTTTAAAGTTTTAGTTCAAACTAAAAAGAAAGATCATAACATTCAAGTCTTATCAGAATATTTTTTTTGATTGATTTCAGAGGAAAAAAATCTGTGAAATGACAAGTCCCCCAGATAGGTACATTATTTTTCGATTGCCCTTTTCTAAAGATGTCAAAACCCTTTTTTTTTTTTTGGAAAGCCGGCCCGGAATAGAGCGCTCTAGCGTGAAAAATGATCGCGATTGATGAGATCCCCCCTCGAAAAAGTTTCCGCCTTGAATGTCAGGACCTCCAGACAACGAGAAGATCAGCGGTGCGTTGAGGCGATCGCCATCTCGCGCCGAAATAGCCTCCGGTTTCAGCACGAGCAGCCCATCCTGCAACCAAGTTTTTTGATTCCAACATGACAAGCCTTTTGTGTGTTGAGAAGTAATAAAATTTCGAAAAAAAAACCTTTATGCTTTTCGCGGTGTAGTATTGATGCGCGAATTGAGGCGATAAATCGTTGACATCGACTACAGTCACGTGCAATGGGACGCGGCTTGAAAGGCTTGGCTCTCCTTGGTCTCGTGCCTCGATTTCCACGGAGAACGTTTTAATTTGCTCGAAGTCGATCCGATCCTGAATTATTGGTAAAAACAAAAGGCGCATAATTTTTCCAAGAGAAACTTATTTTTAACAATTGGAATAATCTATTGTGCCTCCTCTGCCTTTCTATCAAAATGTTCCACCTTGGTAACAAAAAATTCTACACCAGTTTTTCATTCACCGCTGAGTTTTAGATACAATAAGTAGCGAAGATGGGTAAGTATTTTTTGGTTTTTTGTTTATAACTTTGTTAAAAACGGTTGTTTCGATCTCAAACTTTTGAGAAGCAAATCGAAGAAGTTTGGAAGAAGATAAAATCCAAAGGCTATGCTACAAAGTATTAGATAATTTTTACATAATTTCTTCAATTGGAAGTCCTTTATACCGGTTCACTGGCTTTGTTAAATTTTTTTATTTGTTGATCGTATTTTTCGATTTTGTTGAATATTCGAAAAACGTTTGTTTCATTTTTGAATGGGTTCAAATAGTCATTTCAATAACATTATTTTACTTAATTTATTGAAATCTAAGGTTAAAATAATCTTTTTTTGACAGCGTTACGGACGAAAAAAACCGAATCAATACTCACTCATTTCCGCTACTGTAAATCTTTTCGCTCATTCGAAATCGTCACAAGACGGCTTTGAAAAATTCATGATAAATCTTTGAAAAAGGTCAAAGTAAGATGAGATGAACCACAAAGTTTTTTTCAGTGAACAGAAGAAATTTTTTCTTTTCCTTTCAATTTTCAGTGAAGTTGTACCACTCTTGTCGCAAGGGAGCGTCAAAACTTCAAAGTACTAACTTTGAGTAAAAGCAGTTTTTGTGAAAATGTTCTGGTTGGATTACTGATGAGTTTAAGTTAAATCTCACAGCTTTGATGACTTCTTTTTCTTTGTCTTCGTGAATATTTTCTTGAGCTCAAACTCAGCTCAAGCCTTTCAGCTCCATGAAGAATTGTAAAAACTCACTTTGACCACAATAACGGGTTTGAAGGGATCGGGAATGTCGAGCAGATGAGAGAAAGTTCCTTTCACAATCGAATACTGTACGAAGCTGTTGGGACCTGGCTGATCATTGTCGGTCGCTTCAAAGTCAGTGAAAACAATCGTTCCTGAAATATTTTTTCAGAGAGCTGATTTCAACGCTTACTTGTGACAAAAAATTCACAGAAAATCCAGAATTTATTACTTTTAATTGACGCACAGACCCTTAAATGGTATTGCGTCACAAGTCATTAGTCCAAACGTTACTGATTTTCTTCGTTTGTTAGAAGCCATTTGAGTTCCTATTAATGAGAAAAAAAACTCACCGATAGGTAACTCTTCTTTGATCGAAACAGAATATTCTGGTGAATCGAAAACTGGCGGATTGTCGTTGACATCTTTCACGGTCACGAAAACAGAAATGTTGAGCTATAATTTCAAAATTGTTTCTTAATCATGTAATTCGATTCATGTTTGACGACATACTTTCACAGCCCTCAAACGATTTTGATTCGAGCTAATATTAAACAAGGCGCTTTTCACGAAGTGCGAAAAGGCGCCTTCAAAATCCCTCGCGCAAATAACTTTCCAAGTCGTGTGGTTACGGTAGCCTTGTAGTTTCACGCACCTGACTGAAGTCGGCATCAGCGTTTGATGAGCGGCACTCGACGATTGCCTCGAACTTGCCGACGCCCTGAACTTTTTGCTTAGGTTTCCTTGAGTTCAGATAGCCATTGTCGGCTCGCGTGTGACCGCAATCGATGTACGCCTCATAAACCTTCGCGCGACTAGTGACAGCGCCAAATTTTGCTTTGTCAGACAGGGCAAAACAATTGGAACTTCAGAAAATTTACATAACATCAGAAAAAGATTTTTTGAAAAACCCCAACACCAAACTTTTGATTTCTTTTATTCTGGTACATTATCACACAGAGTGGAAGTTCAGGAATTTTATATGAGTACAAGACAACAACTTGACTGATTAAAAAAAAACTTGCAGAAGGGTACGCAAGTAATGTGTTTTGGAGCGAATACATGTATAACCAAGAAATTAAGACCCATAGACGTATGTACATCTCACAACATTTAGCCCATGCTCGCAAAGGCAGAATTTTTTTTGTTTTATAAAGCTGAAAAATTTCGAGGAAAAACTTGAATGTTCACTCTTTTTGATTGAAAAATTCCATCTTTTTTTGTAACATATTTCTGTAAATTTCAAAAAAATTTCTTTTTTTGTTGCATTATCAAAGTGAACTTTGAGTTAAAAAAAGTTTTTTTCTGATAACTCAAGATGAATAAAGAAATAAAAAAACAAAAGTGGAATTTAGGTTTGACCGCAACATGAAAAATCCACTCCGAAAGGTTGGAATAATGGCAATTAGCGTTCCGGTTGCATATTCGTTCAAAAAAGGTGAAAGTAATTTGTTTTCGGATCGACATCCATTGAACCCCAACTTTCCCTCAAATGAATCTACTCTTCTGCCATCCCCAGGTTGTGCGTCTCATAATTCTTTGTGTGACCGCCAACTAGCGCGCAGACGCTTGATTAGTTTCCTTAGCAAGTCTATTTAGGTGAACATCTTGGCTTGAATGAAAGCAAGATTCTGCAATAATTGCAAAGTATGAAACATTGAGTATGAAAGTATCGTTCTCAATCTTCAGATTTGGAACGCCTAGATGTTCATGGAAAAGCAGTGATCGTCGGAAACGCTCGAAAGTCGTCTACTACTATCAAAAGAGAGACGAGAGGCTCTACGCGTCGTCTACGCTTGATCAACAACAGTTTCGCAAACCGACAAACAACTCTTCAATAATTCCATGATTCAGCAGAGTACCTTCTCTGAAGACTGAATAAAAGTTTCAAAGTTTCAAAGATGTTCGTGCTGGCATAATTTTTGTTCATAATTTCAATGGTCAACTGGCTCTATGAACTTCTAAACAATGTGAAAAGCAGCCATGACTTCAATAAAAACGTTTTTTGATTGCCTGTGGAAAAGTCAAAAATATTTCTAAAGATATACATTTGATGTCCATCGATTACCCACAAGAAAATTTCCTTATAAGGTTGATTGATTTTTCTTTTTTTTAGAACGAAAAACTCTCATATTTTCTGTTTGAATGATAACTAAAATTCAATTTCTGCTTTTAGCTCTTCGGTTTTATAGTTCTGATCATTTTCGATTTTTGGTTAGAACTTTGATTAATAAGTTATGCCCGTCTTGCGATTTCCACTCACGCTTCTAGCAGTCCTTGACAATTTCTGGTGATTTTCAAACCCTTGCCTCTTTCCAATTTAGGTATCATTCCATTAGCAGCAGTGACGAGGCCTGCTGACGCGCTTTTGTTTTACAAGCGACAGCACTTAGAGCCTGGCTGGTCAACAAGGAAACCCTCGCTGAGTCGCGCACACACGGTCCGACCCACACTTGAGTTGACAATTTGTCCACTCTCTCCGATTTCATGATCACGAACTTTTGGGTTGAGCTTATATCTTTTGCTAATCGATGGCAAAAAGATAAGATTTGAGAGATTACAAAAAAAGTCAATTTTACGGTAGAGAGAAGTGGGAGAAAAAAAAGAGTTAGGAAAAACTTTAAAAATAGACAGAAAATATAAGATTCAGGAAACGGCAGACCAATTTTTTTCATACATCTTGACTTATGAATTTTCACAGAAATTTTGAGAATTCGAAAGATTTTTGAACAGCTTCGCAAAATTAAGAAGTCTAATGACTTTGAAAAAAACTTGCAGATCAACATCGACATCTGGCATTTTTGTAACAACGCGCAGTTAAAAAAAATCCAACTCACTTCATCTCTATCCAACGTTTTTTTCAAAACCAGGTCTTTGGTGCCGGGGGCTATTTCCACCAAGTCGGCCCCTTTGATGACCGCAAGCTCGAGTTCCGACTTAGCTTTGCTATCTTCCTCGTCATCTTGGATTGGCAACTTCCCGATGACACTCCCTGTAAATGTCCTCATCTCTTCTTTGACAAAAAATGTTATCGGAAAACTCGGTTGTGGATCTAAACTGTCGCATCTGGCTGGCATTTTTTTGCCTCTACTTGAATGGTTTGAGCGTGCGCCATGTGAAAGGAAACGAAGAACAGGACCCGCCACGAGTTGACTCGTTGGGAACCGAAAATTCTCCGGAATCGCAGCCAATCGGCCCCCATTTGCCAACTACAAAGCCTCCGCCCGAATTCCCAAAAAAGTAAGGAATTTCTCAGATCTTTCGGAACATCCCTGGTTACAAGGTAGAAAAATTCCAAACATTCCTTTTTTTGCGGGAAATACCAAAACTTTATATTCATCTAGCACACATTTTTTTTTCTCAAGAAGTATACAAGGTTTCCACGATGCAAAGGCAAATTGGGCATTTATCTACAGTCAGAGCAAATCGACTTATCCTTGCTGCCAAATTCGTTGAATACGCGCCAGATAACCGAATTGGCCCACGGTCGAATGCACGCAGTTATGTCACTAATTGTCAACCTTGGTGTTCTTCTTGCGAGAATGAGTCACAATTTGTTGTGATGAAGAGAGACTCAATCATATTTAAAAAAATAAAATTGGTTTTGTGCCAGTTTCAATCAGTGTACTTTTGAAAATTCAAAGTTTTTTACGATTGAAACAAAAAATCCAAATCAAACCATCAAAAAAAAATATTTGTATTCATTTTGAAAACAGGAAGAAAGAATTTTCATAATCAGGTTTAGATTTTCGAAAACTTCTCATGATGAGCTCAAAATTCAGAGTTCAACTCACAAACTCGCCAAAAAGCAAATATTACTGCCGTTTCTAGTTTAGGTTACATTGATATAAACGTATCCAGAGTAAGTTTTCAAAATAAGGTCTAAATAATTGTGACAAACGGGAAAAAAAAAATAGGAAAATGAGAAAACTTTAGAGGATAAAAAAAAATGAAAAAAAATCCAAATTGGCCGACCTGTTTTGAGATTTTCGAAGGCTGACAGATAAACGGAGCTCATGCCGTTCTCCAGTAGACATCCATGACTCCCCCAAACGAGGAAATACAGCAGCAAGACCTCCCGCATAGAAAATTATGACAGGATATCAACAACAGTCCTGCAATTGATCAGAGTCCGGCCTGAAGCCGACGGATAAGCAGGGAAAAAACGAGCGAATGGCACTTGAGCGGCGGCGATTTGCCGATTGGCGGTCTTGCCGGACAGCGTTTGCCGATGCGCCCCCACGAGTGGACTTGCCAAGCTCGCCGACCGCACCTTTAACATGGTGATTGGTAAAAAAGATATTTAAAATAACAAAGTACGACTTTTGAAATAAGTTAATGTCGGACAACAACTTAGGAAATTGAAAAGTAACAACGGAAGATTTCGCATTTAAAAGTATATGTACAAAAATTTCATGTCAATCAGAGAAAGACTCGCTTAGAATTAGGGGATCTTTTTTTCAAACTTGAGAAACAATGAAAAAGATCGTTCTGAAAAATAGAGGAAGAAACTTACTTTTTCAGTTAAGAATTCTTCATGGAAAAAACTTCAAAAAAATCATAATAAAATGGGCTAACAAAAAAATGTTCCTGAAGTTTTAATTTTATAATTGAAAAAAAGATTTCAAGAAAAAAAAAAAAACATTTTTTTATGAAAAAAACTTGTACGTTTTAACATACTTTTTTTCTTAAAGTTCCCTAACATCATGATGAAAAAAATAAACAGTATTTCTCTATTCGAAGTTTATCACGAAACGGTTAGCCTCAAAGGGAAGGAAATCTCACGCAAAGGCGAGCTCCGCCTTTTTACCGAACAGCGTGTATGGTGGAGGCGTGACTGAAGAGGCAGAGTCGACGAACCCATTCCGGTTCCTGGACCGAGGGCTTCGCGTCCTTACAAGCCGACTGCGAAATGAGCTGCCATTGAGCTAATGAAATCCACAATATACATATGAGTGGCCACTCGGCTCGAGGGCCTTCGAGCCACTCTAATAAGGTAATAACAATGTTGCCTAATTCGATCAACTTTGAGGCCAGGGACCACTCGAACGCGTGTTAAATTCTGTTTGCGTTAGGAAACTTAATTTTAAACACGTTTGGAGAGGAGAATGAAGGATTTCTACAGAGTTGCGCAGATAAATGCTCCTAATTTCATGCACTGAAATCGTCGCAGTTCAAAATGGATAATCCACTCAAATGGTCCAGAGAATCACGTTTTTTTTTTTAACTTTTTCTGTTTTACTCACATTTCACCGGTCAAAGTACCTCACCTTCAGAAAAAAGTCTGGAAAAGTGGAGATGAGAAAATAAAAACTATTGAGTTATTTTTGTTGCCAATTGAACGGGCTAGAAACTGTTTCAGATAATGACGCCAACTCAGGGTAACCGCTTTTCGATCACGAAAAGATCAAATTTTATAGTATTGAGCAAATTAATGGTACTCAAGGTATCCACAAAAATTTAAAAAAACGATTACTTTTGAAAAATAGTTGCAACTCAAAAAAGAGGTTTTTCTCAACGTCTTGCATCCATTACTACACAGAAGACTATTTCAATGAAAACTGGTCAAACGAAAAAAAAAGTTAAGAAATTTCTTTAGTTACGACATAAGTGAGAAAATTCTTTTCTAGAAAGAGGCGCAAAAAATCCGAGGAGAATCGGAGCCCAAAAAAGGCAAAAGTGTGTGTCGAGCTATCGAAAAAGGCTTGCCCAGACCGATTCGAAGCTGCGAGAACACAACAAGCGTAGCTTATCTCTCGCCCAAGTGGTCCTCATGTCCATCCGCCTGTACGCACGGATAGCGTCTTTCAGACGATTACACATCAAAAAAGCCGAGAATTTCAACCGAACTCTAAGAAAAAAAGAAATTCAACTTTTTTGTACTCTTCAAAAGTGGTCCGTTTGAGAGTTGCGTTGAGTGGGAACAAATAAATAATTCACAGCAGGCTATACTTGTTTTGAACCTCGGGAAACATAAAAAAAGCTTGAAAAAAAGCGTATTGAAAAAAAGCTTAAAAGAAAAAAAGACATTAAAAAAATTATTTATACTTTGCAAGTTTAGCTTATGTGCTGAAGCTTTAAACTCCGAGTGAGATTTATTTTAATGTTCTCAAAAAAAAAAATGAATTATGAAAACTGATTTGGGGGTGATTTCAAGATTTCACTTGAACCATTCAAAAACTTTGAAATATAATGGAAAAAAAGCTGTTATAAAACGGAGTTAAGATTCTCAAATTTGAGACTGTAGAACAAGCTCGTTGAAGTTAATAACTTTTATAAAGAAGTATTGTGACTGGGAACTATTCGTTCTTTAGAAATACAGCTTGAAAGTTTGAAGTTTTAGATAAAGTGTGTCAAAAAGCCTTTTCTCACAAAATAATTTCAACTAGACTTCTTCTTATAGAATAATTTCTTTAAAGACCATATTGTCCTTCAAACTTGAAGCAGTCGGAATTTTCGAGAAAGATTTTTCGAGGACCAAAATTGAAGTTTAGAAGCAAAAAAAGTTTTTGATCCGAGGACGAAAACAATAGCTGAGAAGGAAAGTTAAGGAAACGATCGGAAAGGCCGACGGCTGTCTTGTATGTCAGCCGGGACTTCGCGCGTACTGTGCTGCTGCTGCACCGTTTTTGTGGTCCGAGTTCTGACAAACAGAGGAGCGCCGATTGTGAGGTGGACGGTAAGGGGACACCTTGGCAGACCGCTCCTCCGCCACTGTTGACTTGCTGCCAATTACGAGGACCCTTCGTTCTTGACCTCAAACTTCAAATGATCTGGGCCGTTATGATGTGGGAAACTGATTTCTGCAGATCTGCCTTCGAGAATCTCATTTTCGAAGTTCAACAAGGATCCGAAAACTTTCCTACCCACATGAAAGCTGGAGTGTGTCTGACAAGGGCGATCATTTCGCCTTACACTTAAAACTTCCCAAGGAATTGCCAGTACTTCAAACGATGTTCTAGCAAACATTCCAAAAAAACTCCCAACCACAAAGTAAAATGACATCCTTGTGGAGTTCATTTTGCAAAAATGGTTTGAACTTTTGTGATAAATGGTTCTAGGGAAAAACATTCAAAAAAACCATTAGCCAGGTGTCAAAATACATACTCAAAAAAATATTGATATTTAAAAAGTGAGTAAGACTATTAGGCAAATTTTTATTCATTTTAATTTTTCCTCATTCTATTTTTTTAAAGGTCTTTACGTTTTGCTGGTGTTGAAATTACTTTTTTTCTACATTTCCATTTGAAAACTCCTCGAATAATCGAATTCTTTGCAGCTGAACAACTTTTCGAAAATGATAGGCAACAGAGGCTCAATCACATCGATAGCAGAATAGATGAAATTTGAAATATCTTGAAAGCATAACGCAAATTCATAAAATACAGGAAAAATGGTAGAGTACTGACCGAAGAAGAAGCCCTTTTCATTTTGTCAGAGGAACATGATGTTATTTGACAAATCAACATGGAAGCTCGGATGACTCCACACTGACTCCAGACTCTTTGAAAATTTGATCCTCTCATCAAAACGTTGTAATTACATGTTGCGTATCCAATTTTCGCAAACTCTCACAATCTGAAACTTTCGAATGTTTTCGTTTGGAGCTTTGAGAAACGACATTTTTATAAAACATCGGAAATGGCGCGCTGATATTGCGATAGAGAGATCTCCCATTGCGATAAAACTTTCTTACAAAAAAAAAACTGCCCATCATTATTACGTTCTACCGCACTGAAATGTACTGCTTTTCGAAGATCTCTTCGTTTTTTTGTCATTTATTGAAAACGGTTAATTATTCTTAGTTTTTTTTTTTACGAGTTCATCGTTTCAGATTTCGTCGGTTAGAAGAGAGAGAAGAAGTGATGAATTGGAAAATTCTCCTCTTGAGGAAGTTCAAAAAAAGGTTTGTAATTTATTTCGATTCCAGGCAATTTTTATGATTTCTGAAGGTAAACTCAAAGCGTCGGCTGAGTAAATCTCGCGGTCGACCCTTACGTCCGGATGAAGCTGAAATCGACGAAGAATATTATTCCGAATAAAAATCTTTTCGATCAAGTCTCTTTTTATTTTCGAACGTTTCAAATATATATTTGAGATAATGTTTGAACTTTGATTTTTTGAAAGTTAAAAAAAAAATGAATTTTTACGTGTCAGAGAAAAGTCGTATTTCTCAACAACTTGTATGTTTAAAAAAACTGGTTGAATTTTCAACCTGCGATTGGTGATTTTCTCTAATTCTGAAGTTTGAAAAAAGTCTGCTCTGCCAGTTGAATTTTTTAATTTCAGTGTTTTTTTACATTTTTTTACACATTTTGGCAATCTTCGTATTCAGTACAAAAATGCGATAATTTTTTTGCCAGTTTCCGTGCTCCCAAACACTGTTACCAAAAAAACTTCGATTTCTCTTTTTACATTTTTTTCAGCAAGGGTTGAAGCTTTTTTTCGGTTATTTTTTTCAAAGTGGAACGTAGAAAAATATATTCTACTGAGGTTTTTAATACAGAAAACCTAATGAAACACATAAATTTCGAACGAAACATTTTTTTAAGATCCATGAAAGGAGAATATTTCTTTCACCAATGGGCCAATTAGAAATGATTGTTGCATCAAAGCTTCGAATTATTCCTATACTTCGATACAAAACGAAGCAACTGACATGAAACTCATAATGAAAAACCTCATCATTTTCTTAATATAATTCGTGAAAGTCGAATAACTTTGGAAATAAAATAACAAAAGCAAAAAGGGTTCTGAAGCAAATGAGCCTACGGTAGCGCGCACGCAGCTGTGCGATCATCATCTTTTCCATTCGGCATCATTCCGAGCATTCAAAAAATGACGCTTCCCTCAGCCTTTTTTGTCTCCTTTCAATCGAATCCTGTTATTTGTTTGCAATTTGTTGCCTTTTTATGATGAATGAAAATCTGTAACTGATGTTCTTTTAGCTGAATTATGAGATTAATTACACTGCTTTCTAGAAAGTTAATTGCTCAATGTATTTCCTTCTTAAGCCTTTTTTTCCTTTTCTTTATCATTTTTTTTGTAGAAAATGAATCGTATGATGCTCAACATCTGGCGCAACCGCCCCGGCGGACCAAGTAACTCAAGTAAGTGGATTGACGCCGAAGACGAGAAAAAAATTTGAATTACTTTTTTTGAATTTGTTTTGAAGAATCCTGAATATATCCAAACAAAGTTAATCCGCTCGAAACTTCTTTCAAAACGTCTACGGTTTATTTTTTATTTTTTCGAAAAATCTGCCACTTATCCAAAAACAAATGGAAGCTGGAAAATCTGCCAAAATTTATATTTATGTTTGAATCAAGTGCAAATGGAAACATTTGATTGTAAAAAACAGTTATCCGTCGTAATGTTTTTTTGCCTTTGAAACTTTATCATATAAAAAAATAATAATTTTAATGAAAGTACCAAAAAAACTAAAAATAAATAGAGATCTTCTTTGGATTACAATTCAGAAATTTTTTTCTACAAGTGTCAAATTCAATCTACAGTTATTCCAACTAGCAATTGAAAACAATATTTTGACAAAACGGAGTTTTTTCAGGCGCATTTATGCGTGTTTTGGAATCTCCTCGCTACAGCTACGAACAGAAACAGATGGTCGTCGAGGCTTTCAACGAATGGGACATTCTGAACAATACTTGGTTTGAGGTAAAGAATAATATACTGCCCCAATCAAATTCAACAACAATCTTTAAGGTGGCCGACTCGTTGCCTGCGATCGAGGACCTTTTCGAAGACAAAAAGTTTGCAGCTCGCAACGCAGCCGCTCTTCTTGCTTCCAAGGTTTATTCTGACATTTATCAAAACTATAAAACTTTTTACAGGTATATTTCTGCCTTGAGCAATACGAAAAAGCTATGGATTGGGCTTTGCACGCTGACGAAGAATTCTGTCTCAACCCCAAGCCTCCTCTTCCTGTCATTGGCAACAAAGACGAGGAGGTTTTTTTTTCTTTCTTTTTTTTTTCAAACCCTTTCATGATTTTCAGTACGTGAACAAAATGGTGGAAGAGGCTTTGGATAGCTACAAAGCTCTCCATGCAAATGGCGAGGAGAACGAACCGGATCAGCGACTGGCCAAGTTCATCAACCGCATTTTCGATCGTCATATTCAAAGCGTAAGAGTTTTTCCCCTCAAATTACGGTTCTTTTTGAAACTAAATTCTTGTAGAAGCAAAAAAAAATTGACCAATCAAGAGATGAAAGTGACAACACTGCGATACATAAGTTTTGTTGCAGGAAAGATACAAATTTATAGGAAAGAAGTTTTCAGCCTCAAGCTTTGTGATACGCGTACTTTCAAAAAAACTTTTTTTCTTGTTTTTTTCAATTTTTGTTAAAATGTGTAAAAATGCACGATTTTTTTAATGAATGGGGCTTATTTGTGCCTTCTAAAAAAGTTCTCAAACGAACTTCATTTCTCAATAAGATTATTCAGGGCCAACTTAACTACGTTTTGGCGCTTGCTATTGAGACTAAACGCCTTGATAAAATCGAAGCGGCTATTACGGCGAGCTCGGATCCTGCGGGTGAGAAACTTATTTCTTTAACCTTTCATATGAAGTTCATTTTCAGCGATGATGCACGTGACCATGACCACAGTTGTCGAGGGTTTGTTCAATCCAACTTTCCGCTCTCACGTGCTCTTCCTCTTGGTCATTCTGTACCAAAAACGCTTTGCCACTCCGGATTACTTGTCCATCATCCACGTCTATTGTATTTTCCCGAAAAATTTTTATTTTTCATTTTCAGTGCTTCATTCGTCTCAACCAACCGAGAGATTGTGCTGATCTTCTCTTGAAGCTTGCTGAGGATCCGGTAACTCCACTCTTCCTCTGAAGGAATTCATTTTTTTTTTGAAGGAGACTGAGCTTCTGGCTTATCAGATTGCCTTCGACCTTCATGAAAACGCAAGTCATCATTTCAACACGGTTGTTCTGGATAGACTGACGCCTAGCGATCCTTGGGAGGCAAATGAAAGTATTGCTCCAAAACTGGAGCCTGAAGAACCGACAAATCTCTCGTCGCCCCATAGCGGTTCGTATTTTCATATTTCAAAAAATCAAATAACTTTTACAAAGTTTGGCGAGAAACCGAAAAGACCTAAAAAATAACTGAGAACTTATCATGTTGAAACGAATAATCTGAGTATTCTCTCAGATTCCTCGGTATTTGAATACATATTTGCAGAAGACTCGGACGCGATCGACGAGTCAGTCCCAAACGTGGAAGTCGACGAAAAAAAACCAGAGGTGCTGGAAAAGTCGGAGGCCGCCGGAAACCAAGGCAACGTGGCGAGTTTTGGCAAAGTACACGACATTCTCACTCTGTGGGAAACCGTAAGTGCGGCATGCACGTAGAAGTTTAACATAGTGGCGTTGGACTATTAAAGTGTGTTTTTCTGAATATTAACAATTCACAGTAACTGTTCTAAACTATCAGCGAGACTTTCAGACAAATTGAGATTTACTGAGTGCAAATATTTTTTCACTTGAAATAGAAAAATTGCAGGCTTGACCCTTGTTTCGCTCTAAAATTTTACTGTGAGCCAGTCAGCCAGAATGCCGATAAAATTTTGCAGAATGGAAATTATAGATTTTGCCGCAGAGATTTCCAAAAAAGAAAGTCAAGATTTCGGAATTCTAATTGAAACACATAAGAAATGTTTCTCAAAAAAACTTTTCTCCTTCAAAAAAATAATAATTGAAACCATTGTTTTTTTCAACCTGTCTTTAAAATGCAGTGTCGATTTTTTACAAAAAAAAAGTTTGATGGACTAATTACAGACTGCTCCTCTCGTTCGTATCCGTTCAATCATTTCGGGCTTGGAAACAACCCGCAACCACATGCATTTCCTCATCAAGAACAATCACACGGATATGCTCATTCTCAAGGTAAAAACCGTTTTTTTCTTCGATGTGAGGAATCAGTGAGAAAAACATTTAAGATCAAGACCACTACTGAAAATATAAGCTTTGAAACATTTTTTTAATTCAAATTATTGATAACCGCGCAGACATTTATGCTCATAAAGAACACAAATAATTAGAATCAACTTTTTTTCCTGCCTTTTTTTCATTACCGAAATGATCTTTTGAGCCTGACCAACACTGGAAAAACTTGGAGTTAACTTAAAGTTACGATGAAATCGATACTCCGGTAATAGTGATAATTGAAAAAAAGTGGCATACCATAGAAAATGAATTTTGAACGAGCAGCCACTATGAAACAGCTTGAGCTCAACATTAAAAAAATTAAGCTTATTAAAAGAAAATTTCTAAATAACGTGTTCAACGATTTTTATTCATGGAAGATACATTTTTGAACGATTCAATTTATATACAAACCTCAAATGTTTTTGTTTACCCCAACACTTGTATGAGTGTTTTTCTACTTTTGTAAAAAGAACAACTTGCAGGAGATGAAAGACTCTGTCCGAACGGCAACTTCTCACAATGCCACGCTCATCGCTAATGGCTTGATGCACTTGGGAACAACGTGCGACGACTTCTTGAGGTACATTTATCGTCCTGTCAAACCAAAATTGAGAGTGACGCAAACTTTCAGAGACAACTTGGACTGGATCAGCAAAGCGACGAACTGGAACAAGTTCAACGCAGTAGCTTCTTTGGGTCTTATTCATAGAGGCCATGAAGAGTCGGCCAAAAAATTGCTCGATCCCTACCTTCCCAAGTCGACCGAAGGATCGGATTTGTACGGATATAAAGAAGGAGGAGCTTTGTTTGCCTACGGTGTGTTTTCATGTCTTTGGGTGTACGTGAAGGTGAGGAGATTGGAGATTTGCAGATACGTGCGACCTTCAATAGGCTACTCGGAGTGAAAAATTGCATGGGATATTCAGAAAAAAAGCATTTTTCATTAAAATAGGTCTAAAAAAACATAGTTCAAAAAGATCGGACTCTAATCTTGAGAGTATCAAATAGAAAATTTTGAAATGAATCTAGTTTTTGGAAGTTTTCAAAAATTTAGGTTCAAAAAGGTCACAAATATTCAGTGATGATAGGAAGATTTTAATCAGCTGAAAAACCGGACTATCCACTTTTTACAGGTTTGATGCATGCAAACCGCGTCGTCGACGACGTCATTCAGTACCTGAAAGGACACATTTCTCATGGAATGACCGCTCCTATTCGCCATGGAGCCTGTCTCGGTCTTGGAGTTGCTGCCATGCAAACTCACAACTACGATGTACATTTTTGTATGAAAATATATCAAAGAAATGGAAAAAACGACACAACAATTTACGAAACTAATGAATATCCACTTTCTCAAATTGCCCAAAAAGCATGCTGGAACAGTCAAAACTTCCAGTTTGATTAATGGAAGAAGCTAGGCAAATCATCAACTTCAAAAATTTTCTCTGTTGGCAGCTTCAATTGAAGTTACCATAACTGAAAATTGAAAAGTTCAAGTTTTGAACTCTCAGCTTACTGGAGAACTTTCGGTTTGTGAAAAGTGAAGGTTGGGAAAAGTTCTAAGACTGTTTTAGAAAAATTATTGTTTATACGAGAAAATGTCAGTCGTCCGCGTTTTTCAGGCTTACACGGTTCTTCATGACGCTCTCCGTCAAGACGAAACGATCACCGGAGAAGCAGCCGGAGTGGCGATGGGTCTGGTCATGGCTGGAAGCCTGAATGACCGTCTCTGCCGCGAAATGTACCGCACCATTGATGAGACCCGCCACGACAAAATTCAGCGCGGTCTACGTACCGGTGTTGCACTTCTGGCTGCTGGTAAGCTCATCAAGATTTAGAAAAGTTAGCAAAGTTTTGTTTATTATCGAGCCCAAGATCGCAACGGAACCAAAATCGTTGGTCGTTTCAAAGACCCATTGATCTTTGAGCGGTTAAAAGTTTGTGCTGCTCTTGAAAAGTGAGAACAAACAGTTGGAAGCTCGAAATGAACTTTTGTAACTTCGATAAAAAAAACATTCGCCAAAACAATTTCAAGGTTTTCAAAACACAATTCCGCTAGTATTATGAAAATCTTCCAGTTATTACTTTTTCGATTGAGAAGAAGTACGTTTTTCTATGCCGGAACACAACATGTTGAACAATAAACCCTGCCTATTTATTAATTATTCCCCGGAGAATGCAAAGTCATACTTCAACAAAGCAAAAAAGGAGGCAGCCTTCTTTTTTGAGCTTCGGACAAAAAATTAGCCCAAGTTTTGAAACTAAAACTGAACAAAGCGCATGATGCTTATTTTCCATAAAATAAAAAAAAATTGTACTCGCAAGTTTTTTATATTCCGACTTATGAAAATTTTTTTTCGAGCCAGAAATTTTTTTTTCCATTTTTTTTGGTTTATATGGACTTGCCCGACACCACTTTTTTTGCTTATTAAAACAGAAATAAAAAAATTTTTTTTAAAATTTTGCTTTAAAAAAAAAGTTGCTCCTTCTTAGTGCTGTGTGAATTGTCCGAAGTAAACCAAAACAAGTAAGCACGAAAATGGTTTCTTTTATTTTATAAAAGGCTTCCTTCTCAAGCCTTCCAAACTGAACATTTATGTTATATTCAAACTTCAAGATGAATCAATCAATTAATCTTATTTTTGGTATGACGCTCGAATGTTCCTGGATTAGAACCTCCGGTCAACCACAGAAATTTCAAAAATCATATCTTTTGAAAAAAACTGTCAGTTATACCTTAATTTCTAGTCCGTCAGAGATTTTTCATGAGTTTTCAGAAGAAGCTGAAAAAATGTGAATATTCTGGTTTGCAGGCCGACAAGACGACTGCGAGCCGTACGTCGCCGATCTGATCAACGCCAAGAGAAATCCGGTGCTTCGTGGGGCCGGAGTCAACATGTTGGCGATGGCCTACGTCGGCACTGGAAATCCCTCTGTCGTGGCTCGGCTTCTCGACAAGGTGAATCCTGGATGCCCGTCGAAGCGAAGACAACGCAACATTTTGTTTACTCTCACGCAAAATTGCATCCGATGAAAAAACTCAGCTATTTTTGACATTCAATTAACTTTAATTATCTGGGAACGTATTTTTTTCGAGTTGGTCCAATGATCGTATTGGTCAAATTTCAAATATGAGCTTTTCTTGGATGACTGAAACGTTCCTAGGTCTAATACTTTTACTCAACACGTTCAGCATTTTGAAACCTTTTAAAATTTTTTTTAAAATTATTTTTCAGACTACTGATCTCTTAAAAATGTTTTTCTAATGTCTGTATCAACTGTTTCAAACATTTCAGCACATCAATAGGATAAAACCAACATATCAAAAATATTACTAGCCTAGGAAGTGTGGAAAAAAATCGAGTTGTAAATAGGGGTTTGAAAGGACCATGGACGTAGCTGTGAAAACGGAAAAAAAAACAATTTTCTGAGTGAAAGAGTTTTAAAAAAAAACATCAAAAATAAGAAATTAAAAAAAAACCATATATAGTTTCTCACACAAATTTCAGACTTGCAAGCCACGTTGAAAAATACTCTTGAAATCTTGACAAATATTGTTGCAGTATTCATGACATTTTTTTAAATTGGGCTTCTTTTTAATTTATTTTGAAAACCCATCAGATGACTATCAAACTTTAGAAGTAGTATAAACCAGACCTTTCTTTTTATACCTTTTTTAGTTAAAAGAAAAGTTGAACAAAAGCGATCTGAAATGGAGCATTTTACAGGTTGCGACCGACCCTAATAACGATGTGAAGCGTTTTGCCGCGACGGCCCTCGGATTTGTCTTGTGCAAGTAAGTTCCTTTCTGATTTCTTACAGCCTAAACTCTAGGGTCTGCGATTTTATGCGTTTTCCTCAACTGTTGCCTCCTAACCTATGTAAATTCTATTTCGCGTGCATGAAGTTTCGCGAAAAAAGTCATGTCGTCGAAAGTGGCGCTTTTTTTTGAAGATGTACTCTCAAAAATGCTTTTTGAACGCTTGTAATAACTTTTCGGCGTTCCACTGAAATGTGCAAATGATCGATGTGGAACTCATGAAAATTTCGTAGTAGCATACTTTCACTCTTTCCTCTATTTCTAAGTCTTCCTCTACCTTTCTCTATCTATCTCCGTCTATTTTTCTCTCTTATCTGTCTCTCTATGGACCTCTTTTCATATAAACGGATTGAGAGAGCTCCTCGTAAGCTATCTTTGTCACCTAATTAATGACATTTTATTCGCGCGCAAAAATAGAATCCGCTTGCGTAAAAGATGTTTGTGCTACAGAAAATCTGTGCCCTTGTTTCTCAATCACACTTTTCATTGTGAAAAGTTCAGTGGTTAATTGATGTCGTCCAATTAACCACTGAGTGAATAACTGAAAGAAAATTAACGCAGTGTGACAATTAGGGTAAAGTTCGAAGAGAGCGCATGTTCTCAGAGAGAATTTTCGGAGTTGATTCATTTTATTATTTGCTAGTGTTACATCCAAAATTGTTTGACATTCCCTCTCCTTCGCCAATTAGACGAGGGCACTGTTTTGGCATCATATTTTTGCTCTTTGTTGCCCCTAAGCCTTAAAGTAAAGCAACTTGACACCTAGGCCTCTCGTATTTCTCATTTGCACCTCTTTCATCCTGAAATTAGTGCATGGAAAATTTCATCCCGCAAAACTAGAAAAAAAAATGGAATTTTATCCCAAACACAGCTGTGATAATGATAAAATGGAACGAGAAAAGGAAAGAAAAAGATTGTGCTATCGAATGATAGGAAATACATACACCGTTTTGCGGAGTTTCTATTTTACACGTAATCAAGGGAGATAAACGAGTCTTGGATATATCTGTGCCGGAAAGCACACCGGCAATTATAAGGCTTACCAACCAGAAGAATTTACAACTAACTTGACGGCGAAAAAAATATAATCAACCAGTGAATTGAAGTGCTAAATACAAATCAAATGGACAGTCCTCAATTCAATGAGACTAAGTTTCGAACGAGTTAGTTATGAGGGTAGAAGAGCTATGTTTCAAAAATTTACAAAACAGTAGAAAGTGACAAGTTTCATTTAAGTGCACGATAATCATCACAGAAATGTTTCTTTCATGGTGCCGAAAGTCGAAGAGAACAAAGTCAAATGTCTGGGACAGCTGGTACTGGAAGAAGTCATGGCATCGTCAGAATCGCAAGATAAAATTGCATCGGCACGTTGACAATCAACACAAGATAGAGATTTGACCGGTGCCGATGAAGAGGAAGCAGAAGAACCAGAGTAGTTAGATACATGGACTGAAGGGGACATGAGAGAACTCGACTTGCGGATGTTGAGCGTCCTGTGAGCACCTGAGGACTGTGGCAGCAGAGGTCGATACTCCTCATCGCTCGTTTCTTCGGTCGTCGCGCGAGATGCATTCTGATGAACTCCCCGTGGCAAATTCGGCAACGACGTCTGAAATGTTTTCCAACTTTGAAACCGCTTATTAACTTCAGCAAAAACAGGGAAATTTCTACGTTTGTCAAACTTTCGGTTCAAAAAAAGAATAATTCCTGCTTAGGGAAGTTTCATATGAGCACGTGAAATGCTGACTTCTCACAAATTACTGCCTTTGAAAATTGTTTTTAGAAGCACTTTACGGTGAATAGAAAGAAATCATCATGCGCTCCAATGAAAACAAAAAAATAAGGCAAAAAGTTGTGTCGAGAGGAAATGGATCAAATAGGAGCTTAATGAGAGCCCAGTTGATCACTGAGCGGCGCCGCTAAATCGAGGTAAAAAGTCTAGAAGTGCCTCAGGAAATGACAAGCCAGCCTACGATGGAGTAGGATGAGAATGGCAAGAATAGAGAGAGAAAATGATGAAAAGCATAAAGACCTACCTTTTTGCTGGTGCCATCGTCAGTGCTCTCAGTGCGGCGACAACGATCGCTGCCCTGCCGGATGCTTCTCGAGTCGTCACGCCGCATTACGGAAGTTGCTCGGTCGTGGTTAGACCTGCAATTCTTCATGATTGACGTGATTGTTGTCCTGGCTGGTTTCTGCCCTCTTAAAAAGGATTACAGGATCACTTGTAGTTGGAAACTTTTTAGGCTCAATTATGATTGAATTAATTACAAACAAACTACTAGCAATGCTTCTGAGCGTGTGAGAAACGATTAAATGGCGTCGGACCAATCAAAATTTGTGTGCTCGTTAACGAAAGGGCGGCAGCCTTAAAACCCACACCCTCCCGTTCTCAGTGGGGGTAATTATGAAAACATGTTCATCGAATTTTCGTGCTGAAGGAGGTGCCTCTGGCACATATATTGTTACATATTACAGCGTGGAACGGGGAGTTTTCTGCTGGGAAACGAAATATGATCTGAGCTTTGTATGATACGCGTTGATGCGGCAAAGTTTACGCGTGCAGCTTTTTTGTCCTGCTCGGACCGATAATAGAGCAATTAGAGAATGAAGCAGAGCACTTTGCCTTCTTTTTTCGCCACTTCGCTGGCATCAGTTGGCGACTAAATGCATGAGATGGTCGGCAATGACCCTGTCGTCATAAAAGTCATCAATCACCGAAAAATGAAGGAAATGCGCCTGGGCTTTAAGCTTCAAAACACATAATGCTCTAAATTCGGTGCCTCCGCCGTAGTTCTATTGACGGCAAACGCGCGAAGACAATGGCTAGTTATGCACGAAGCCCTAAGCGTCAGTCGCACACAAAAATGGAAGAACAAGGAACTTCGCCTCTCGGGAAGCTTGGAAAATGAAAAGATCCAAAAAAGCGAGAGCACCTGGCTGTTGCATATTACCAATAACTTTTGAACCCTAAAAAAATGTATCTCATAAATCCTCTCCCAAAAAAAGATCATTTGTGGCTATATTTTCCTATTTTTTCATGTTAGCAGCAAGTAGTCCTCTTTTAAAATTGTTATAACTAGCTCTTTTTTGATATGTGAAAATTGAGTTCAAAATTTTTCTAGATTTTGTCCAAAAAAAGTTCAGAGCGCTTTTTAGAAAAAAAACTATGAAACTCTCCAAAGTGTCTTGAATTCAAACTGACCAAGTGTAGGTGTCTGGAACAATGGTTGTCGTGAAGTTGCGAGAATAAAGGGCGTGGTGGTCCCTTAGGGGATGGTAGCACTGACAGCGTAGAATTCGGACAAAAGCTTGACGGAATCTTTTGTTGAAAACAGTGTAAATAATAGGATTAATGGTGCTGGAGATGTAGCCGAGCCAGAGGAAAAGGGACCCAAGCCACGGAGGCACGTAGCAGATGTCGCCGCAGAAGCCCATGATGAAGTTCATGGCGAAGAACGGAGTCCAACAAATGAAGAAGCAGATGAAAACGACTGCGAGAACTCTTGTCGCTTTATGCTCGTTTGCCAGGTCTTGGCTTGCCGCCTGCAACTTCTGGATTTTAGGCGATTCTTTTTTTTGTTTTCTCCTTTTTCTTTCTTATTACTGTAAACACTTACTTTTTTGCAAAATTCACTTGACTCATTTTCGTGTTTTTCTGTCATCACCTGCGGTTTTCGCCTTAACGCTAATTGGCTTACAGCACGCTCTTGTTCTTATTCTTTTTCAGGTTTTTTTTTTCAAAATTTCTCAGTGGCATGTAAACTGTATTTCAACATCATCTCCCGTAGTTTTTCTTAGAACAAGGCGTCCTTGTTGTACAGCCCTCTTTATTTAAGTTCCTCAGTCGAAAATATTTGCTATCTTTCAAAATTAAGCCGAATTGCGCGGAGCAATACTGCATCCTCTAGCTTATTTCGTGATTTGACCTTTGACACCTGCGAAGCTGTGAAGATTGGAAAGATTGGCGGAAAGAGAGGGTAAAGGATCACAAAGTAAATAAATGTTTGATGGACCAACCTGAAGTGAGTTGCGGCGGCTAACTCTCATCGCGATGTTAGAGATGTAATTTGAAGTGCGTGACTTCCATCGCGTTATTGTCGACGTTTTTTCCAAAGCTTTGTGCCCGTTGATCAGGGCGTTTCGACCTCGAGAAGGGTCCAGTCTGGCAAGGTCGACGATTTCGCCGGTACTGTAGCAGGTGGCCAAGGCTGGCTTTACTCCACTCGATAAGCTGCTCTTCTGTGTTCCATTTGTATAAGTGGCCGTCGAGTTTGAATTGGTGCGTACATATCCCAATTTCCGATGAGGGATTGTCCTTCGCAGTCCATTGCCGTTGAGCTTGTCATTGGCTTTTTGGCTCAAAATGGACGCTTGCTTTTTCAAAAGCGCTGTTGTTCGAACGTAGGCAACTGCCATGATGCAGAACGGTATCAGAAAAAGCATTGTGCTTCCGTAGACGATGTAGTGCCGACTGAAGATTCTGCATTGATTGTTCTGGAGAATATTGGCGTTGTCATGCACTGCGAGCACTGCGATTGGACAAGAGACTAGCAACGTCACAAGCCAAACGAATGCGATCTTGACAAATATCAAGGTCTTGGATTTGTTGCGAGTTCGGAGAGGCTGCGAAATCCCCAGATATCTGTCCAAAGAGATGACCGACATGTGAACTATGCTGGCGCTACACAGAAATACATCTGCATAAACGTACAGCAAGCACAGCGACACGCTCCAAGTCCACACACCTGTAAATTACAGGGATAAAGAGAATGTAAAGTTAAGAGATTACCGTGACGAACTTCGACGACCACGCTCAATGGCATGACGATGCAGCAAACGAGAAGATCAGCAAGTGCGAGAGAAAATAAGAAATAGTTTGTGACGTTGTGCAGTCTGCGGTCGGTCGCAATGGCGATGCATACCATGAAGTTGCCGATCAAGCCGACCAGACATAGAACTGGCAGGAGCAAAAGAGCAAGACCGTTAAAGGCATGGTCTGCAGAGACAAACTTCACCCGCACAGCGGAGAAGCTCCATTGGCTGACTTGCGGCGCAAGCGCCGTCGACGAAAAAGCGTCGAGCGGCGAAATAGTGAGTGAAATTGCGGCCGCGGTGCTACCTCATGTAAATTTTCAGAAAACAATCACTGTTTCCGCCAATCAACTGTGAAACAAATTGAAGAACGCGTAAATGCCAGGAACGGCCGGCGGTGGGTGTGCTTTTGCGGAGAGTTTCCTCCTACTCGCGAGCAGACCCTCTTCTCTCTTCGTTCGCCGCCACGCCCTCATAGTTTTTAAGCTCCGCCTCCAGATTTGCTAGCAACTGGCGCTTGAACTTGAACCCAGGCTGATAAGGAAATTCGAGCAGAGAAAAGGTCAGACAAAGCGGCCAGGCACGCTTGCTCGGCTGATTTGCGCTGAAAAGTGTCGGACTATAAACGGTTTAACTCGGAGAAAGAGAGATGGACGGCTGTTGTTTGAAAAGAACGTCTCAGTGACAAGTTGAGCACTCTTTTATTGAATTTCGAGTTTTCCTCTAAGAGATCATATGAAAAAAAGTTTTCCTCGTTTTCTTGGGGATTTTTTCGCAGTTTTTTGTGCGTAATTAAAGTTTCTTACGAACATTTTCTACGCAAAAAAGTAGATAAAATTATAAGAGAGAATTCCTGCGTGCTAAATTACTGACATTTTCAATGAGTGAAACTGAGAAACTTAAAAAAAACTTCCTAGTTGTAGAATTGCGAGAGCAGCGGAAATGAATGACAAAGATCTAATGTGATGTTGAGAGTCAAAATCTTTTTGAGCTCATTTTTGAGACTAAAGAGCTTGAGTTTATTCTGAGAACATCATGAAGCTTAAAAGAAAAAAAAAATCAACGTTTTAATTTTCAGCGATCCGGAGATTTGCTTGTCGTACGTGGGAATGCTCGTTGAGCACTTCAACCCTTATGTTCGATACGGAGCCTGCATGGCTCTGGGCATTGCTTGTTCCGGTTCCGGCTACAAGGTCAGTTAAGCCTTCTTAAAAGTTTCTCTAATGTCATATTCAATTTCCTTTTTTGCTCACTTTAGATTTTTTTATCTCCTGAATTAATCTTTAGGATAATTCATTCGTTTTTGCAATTTTTTAAATTATTTTCCAAAGTTTTTCGCCTGTTTTTGATCCAAAATTATCAAAATTTACCTCAAAGGTTTTTTCATTCAAACGAGTCATATTTTCCTATTTCATAGGGCTTCTTCTCTCGGTTCCATAGAAGAAGCCAAGTTATCATAAGATGCTCGAAAATTTTTACAAAAAACATAATTTTCTCAAAACAGCTTGTTACAGCTGCAGTGAAAAACATTTTTTGAACTTGAGTATCACTTGGAAAAAGTTTCACCGCTTGTCTAGCACAAAGCGAGCCTGAAACCATAGGTGGGTGTGATGCTCGCTAAGTACCCTGGGAAAGCTAAGAAGGTTCTCGCGCGACGAGTAATAGGCAAGATGCTTGAAAACGGCGTGTTGTGTGAACCGTTTAACGGGACCGCCAAGTTTCGTCTGAAAAATTGCAATATTCCTGAAAACTTTGTCCTTGAGATTTTTCGGGACATTCAAAAAAAAAACTATTCGAAAAATTTTTATCATTCATCCTCAAAAAATAACTTGAAATGAAGCTTTTTTTCCCGGCTCGTTTCGAGTTCAACAAACTTTACAAAAATAATAAAGATTTTTTTGATTCTCTATTGTCCTTGGCACAGAAACCAGAAGGGTGATGAAATGCAACGCCGCGTGTTCGGAGGATTATCAGAATATCATTAAAACATTTTCACTGTTTTATAAATCAGGGCAAAAAGTTCAAAAAAGTATCACAAAACTATTCCAGGAGGCGGTTGCCGTAATCGAACCTTTGCTTCAAGCCAAGGAGAATTTTGTTCGTCAAGGAGCTGTCATCGCCCTCTCCTTCATTCTCATTCAACAGACCGAAGGCTCGTGTCCTAATGTGAGTTCTTTTCTTTCTTATCAGAAATTGGAACATTTGAAAAGTATCACTTGTAAACTTTCATTTTTGTCATCCAGGAATTCTTTCCTTTGTTCCACTCTATCCATGAAATTTCGTCAATTTATATTTCGAAATCATTCCATAAGTTTATGTTATAAAAAAAAAGTAGAGTTTTGCATTCATATGACTCCAAATGTATTTATGGATTTAATTTCGAATTTCCCGGAAATCGTGCAAGACTGTGTTATTTGATTCCGCTTTTTGGTCACCGCAGTTAATGAGATAATTAGTGATAGAAGAAACTTGAATTTTGATGTTTCCAATTTTTGCTCTCTTTGATGATAAAAAAAGAGTCATGGGTTATATTTGGTTGCAGTTTTTTTTACGTCGCGAAGACCTATTTTTTACTTGAATTGCTGTTAATCAGAAATTGCTTCAGCAAAGAAAAAATAGTCTTTTGCTACAATGACATGTGAAAAGCGTTAAGATATCCAGAACATGCAAAGTTTTTTGTTCAAACTGACATTAACGTCACTTTTCTTGGAAATTTTGTGTTATTTTATGACTTTCAAATAAATATAATGGAAGTTTTTCGTGATTGTCTGGAGTTAAGAGTTGCGTGGTCAACTCATATTCCACAACACATTGTGTAGAGTTCAAAGATTTTCCAAATATCGTTGTAAGTAATTTTTCAAAAAAATTAGGTATAAGAAATGGAGAAAAACAAATGGAATTTTCTTAGACAAAGAATGAAAGTTGAATAGATTCGAACTTTTTCTCTCAGAGTGCACTGAAAAATTTTCTGTCAAAGGAAGCACTATTTTTTTGTACTGCAGTTATAATTTTCCACAATCGAAATCATTCTCATGCAAGTTTCAAAAATATCTGGTAGTTGGCTGAAATACTTTTTGAGAATGAATTTTTCAAAGTAGCACGTCTCACAGTTTTTGAATTTTCGGAATAAGGAGAATTTAAAGCTCTTTTAAAGCAATTTTTGAAAATTTTCCAAATTTTGATCAAATTTTCATATAAAATTATCATGAAGAACCGGATTTTGTACAAGTTTCCATAAAAAGAGACTCTGACTCTCTTTATGGGTTACTCGAAGAACACCAATCTTACATCGGTTCTAGCCAGACCACTCATCATTTTTGACGCCTTTGATAGCGGCTGGTGAATGTTGGGAGCCACATAAATCAAATATTTGAGTGCCGGTTGGGGGTTAGGGAGCTCGTTTTTTATGATTAGCCAACGGGAACAATTGTTGGCCGTCTTGATGGGGTCTCGTTAGGATGCATGATTTACGCCCGTTTCGCAAACGTTGGTTCCGCTTTGAATTACAATAGGATTTCGTCTGGATTTTTATTTCAAGATTATTTTGAGACGACGAGTAATCCCAATTGTTATGCAAGTCAGCGTCCCATCTTTGCTTTAGCCGCTTGTTGTGCAGGCCTTACGTTTTTTCCTTGTGTTTTCGTTGCTTTTCTGGCAGCAAAATGAGAAATAAATCCGCCACTAATGAGAGCGCAAAAAACCATGTACATAAAGGAACATGGATGAAAATTGATAAATATATTCTTAGGTGGTCGAGTTCCGCAAGCAAATCACTAAGATGGTCAGCGAGAAGGGTGAGGACTCGCTTGTCAAGTTTGGCTCAGTGGTTGCTCAGGTTAGTGATCCAGGAAAAACGGAGAATTGGAAGGAAAGAAGAAGATATGCATGAACTTTTGAAGGCACAGTTATGGGCTATACAAGAAAAAAAGTAAATAGCTACGCTGAAGAAGCTACCATCAGAAAGTATTACTCTGGAAAAGACCGAAGTTATCTTTTAGGGTATCCTTGATGCTGGCGGTCGCAATGTGACCATCTCACTTCGACAACGCGCAGGTCATGTCGATATTTCGGCCGCAATCGGAATGATGCTGTTCCTGCAGTACTGGTACTGGCACACGATGACCAACTTCATCTCACTGGCCATGCGCCCCACAGCTGTCATCGCTCTGAACAAGGATCTTAAGGTGATAGAAAAATTGGAAATACCTTTAATTCACACTTATCTAATTCGGTTGCCTCATTTTGTAATTCTTACTTTTTAAAAGAAATCTTTGATAGTCTCCATTAGATTGGTATTGACAAAAACGATTTTTTTTTCAACGAAAAAGGTAATATTCCGAATCAAAAAATTCTTTTCTCTATGTCTTACTAGATGGTATATTTACTTACACTATTGAATCCGTAATTTGGTATATCCGTATGTTATGCTATTAATTAATAGCTTTCCGTGGCCGGAAACAAACAAGAAAAACTTTCTATTTGTTATGCATGATTGTTCACTTGAAAAAACAGAAGTTTGAAGAAAAAATTGCAGATGCCAAAAATGCAGTTCAAGACTAGCGTGAAGCCAGCTCTCTACGCCTATCCGCCGCCCGTTGAGCCTAAAAAGAAAGACGAAGGCGAACGCGTGAGTTTGCTATGATGAATAAAAGAATATTTGAGGCAGCTCTTTCAAAAAGAAGTGCTTTTGCAGGTGGAAACGGCTGTTTTGTCGATCTCCAACAAAAAGAAGCAGCGACGCTTGCAGACGATGTTCGACATGAGAGGAGATGGTTTCGAGGACTTTGGCGACCTCATTCCTTCTTCATCATCCAAGAAGGAAGAAGAAAGGTTTGGATTTACAAATGATTTCTGAATAAATGTGGCGAACAAAATGGAAAACTCATTTTTCAATTTTTCGTTAAAATTCATTCATCTCACAATTTAAATTTGCAGTAAAGCATGTTTGGAAACTCCAGAAGCTGTTCGAAAAAAAGTGTAGGACAAAGTTCAGACTAAAAGCATTTATCTTGCGTTTGGAAGTAGTCTCGAAAATGAGTCTATACCGTCCTGTTCTTTTTTTCCATCAACGAAAACTTCAAGGAGTGATACCTCGAGAGTTTTCGACCTGCTTCGAGCGATCTTTGAACAAAAAACGAAAGCAAACAAATCTGACGCAGTCATGAAAACTATTCTTTGCAATAGGTATCATTTTCCCACAACCGGAGGCTATTTTCGGCGACTCGGAAACCTAAATTTGGCTCTGGATTCCAGAGAAACCGCCCTCGCACGGCCGCACTTATTTCAAGCGCCCATATGATTTGTTAATCAGTTTCCAAGCTCGAAGATTCGCGGAGAAAGCTGAGGTCGAAAAAGTACGAGGGGTTTTCTGGAATCTGCACACATACAGGGAGTCTATGAGAACCTCGCTCTCTCAATCCTCTCTTTTTCTCTAACGTGAAACTTTTATTCGGTGGGGACCTGCTGAAATTTTTAAAATGTGTGACGTTTCGAAATACGAATCTTTTCTCGCTCGAGAATGCAGAAACGCAGATGCTGGCTATTGTTGTTCCTAATTTTTTCAAGATGTCTCTGTTAGCGGTCGCAAAACCAAAACATCGATAACATCTCGATTCTAATTATGTGATTAAACAGCAATTAAGCTTGTTCTGACAATCAATTAGAAGACATCAGAATTCACATTAATTAACACTGAAGAATTATTTTTTTTTCTCTTTTTGAGGACGAACCAAAAATTTGTCTGCAGCTATTGTTATTTTAGTAAATCTTTACTGCAAAGCTCAGTAGAGCAAAAATCTCAGAAGGTTTTACTTTTTGCTTGAAACATCTTCGAAACTTCCTAGAAGCGTTTTTGATGAAAGTTTAGCCTTTTCAGTTGAAGCTGAAAACTGAAGTTTTGATTTTTGTTTACTTTTTCAAATTTAAAGTTGAACTTTTTTCAAATTTAAAGTTGAAAAAGACGCAACAGACGACGGAGAAGCTCATTTTTTTTTCAAACATCTCAGGATCGTTAGGAGATTGAGTCATTAACTTTTTGTCGGCCACATAACTCACGCGGCGTCGAGATTCTTAGACTGATTGGGTGTACTTCCATTTTATTCGGATTGCACTGAAGAGGCTGCACTCTAATAAATTTGAAAGGAAGAACTTTTTCAAATTCACGTGATGACTGCGTCTTTCCTGTTTCAGTTTTTGTCGTCTGTTTTTCAAGACACTCTGAGCTCTGTTAATCAGGAATTTTCTTCATTTCGTCTTCAGGGTCTGCCACCATGACAGAAAAACTCAAAATTGTGGTCATTAATTTAATTGCAGCAAGTTATTTGTTGGAACTGCCTCCAGTGATGAAGCTTAATTCCCGAACAAAATAAAAGAGTTCTGTGAACCAAGAAATAAAGCTTTGAGTTAAAATTGGTATAGAAGAAATTAAGCAATGAATCAAAATTAAAAGTAAAATGATCAAAGCATATTAAATCGTAAAATAAATTGTAAACCGAATAAAAAATACGAACATTCAGAAAGCCAGTGCAGCCACAGGATCTGATTCCTTCGCTACAGAATCCGGCTCGTGTTGTCAGACTTCAACTCAAGACGCTGTCTCTCTCAGAAAATTCTCGGTATACTTTTTCAATAAAATTTTTTCCTGTTTTAAGTTTTCCTGCAAGAAATAATTTTCGTGCTACATCCTCTTCTTTTCAGACATGTTCCGATAAAGCCGCTCAACTTCGGCGGCGTTGTCATCATGAAGGACACGTGTCCGATGAACTTCGAAGAGCTGGTGCCAAGTCATCAAGAGGTTTTTAGTCTATAAAAGCAGAAAAAAAGCTAGCAACGAGAGATTTTAATAAAAAAACTTTATTTATTCATTCGATTCAACATTTTTTTCATATCAAAAAAAGCTGGCAATAGAATGATTTTAATTTATTTTCTTCTCGAATGATAAAGATGATCAAAAAACAGCTTCACGATTGTAATTTTCGATTAAAAAAATTAGAGATCTTTCGAAGTTTGAGAGCAATTACTCCACTGATTTTATTCCAATTCAGGCCACTACTGATTCTCCGACTGATGGGAAAGTTATCGAGGAGCGCAAGCCCCACGCTGCCTTTGAGATCGATCTCAACGAGCATTAAAATTATCAACCAAAAAAATCCCCATTTTAATCACCGTTTGAACTCTTATAATTTATTTGTTTCACCCCTTTGTAGTGATCCATTACTTCTTTATGTTGCATCAATATCTACTCGGCACTTTTTGTAAATTTTCAATAAAAACTGAGTCCAATCATTGGCTATTTTATTTCGAAGAGATCAATAAGGTCAGGAAAGCAATTTCAGAGAGTTATTAATTCAAATGAGAAGGATTTCGAATGATCGTCGCGTTTTCGAACTGTCTTACATCTAGAAAGATATCATCGTAGTTGTCATCTGAAATTATATGAAAGTTACAATTAATTCTCGAGTTGTCACTAAAATTTGAGAAAGATAAAATTCTTGCATGAAACGAAACATTGCGTTATCGGCTTCCATGTTCATTTTGAAAACTATTCCCATAATTTTAGGAGTTTTTTCAGAATATGAAATTTTTTTTCATTCCGCTCGAAAACTTTTAGCCTATTCTGAAAGTTAAAGAAAAATACTTTTTGCACTGAAACTTTTTTTGTTTTGGTATAAAATGATGAATGTGAGTTATCAAAAAAATTATAGCATTGAAGAGATATTTTGATGAATCGCATTGTTATTCACTTTTTATTTGATAGTAATCCTTCATGTTGGATGTTCTAATAGTGATTGAGATTTGCAGATTGTCCTTTCGGCGCAGCTTATAATTTGGCATTAATTGTTGTTTTTTTGTCTGGCTTCCTCTGAGTGAATACCGATAACTGAAATTTTCGAAAAAATTAAAAAACTGACATGGAATAACCGACGTTTTTTGGTGCCACCTCATTTCTCGGCTTTTCTTTCCATTGGCCATTGAGCCGTTCGAAATAAATTTCTCGCGCTTGGTCTACAGTAACCGTGTCAGCTACCGTATAATTGTCAGGGATGCACAGAGACAAGTGAGAAACTGTGAGAAAAGCCCGCTTCAAATGAGTCGAAAACATTGGAAGACACACGACCATCGCTATCGTTAGTACTGGCATCAAGGACATCTGCAAAAAAAGTTTTCTCTCTTCATAATCGAGTCTTTTCCTTTCAAGTTGCCTTGATCTAGGCAATCAAAAATCACAGCTAGCGTCACCATTGAAAAAAAGAGAAAATGGCCGAGACCGGGCCAAAATACCTGGTATTCGGCAAAAGGAGCGTAATCCATCAATTCCTGAAGTACTCGATGTGTCACGACTGTGTTCCCATCGTATACTGGCATGTACATCATGTAGATCTAAAAATAAGTTTTTCCTCAAAATATACTTTTCTCTCATGAAAATATTCAAGTTGGAATGAAAGCAGTTCATAATGACCTGAACGGTATCCAATTGTTTTCATGCTCAATGTTTGGCAAGCAATTAGCCAGTGATATTATTTTATGAGCTTTTGGGCTACATTTCCGTTTTTGAACAACTTATAAAGAGCCCCACTTTGACGAAAATTTGAAAATAGAAAGCTATGTTCTGGCTATCTAACTTGCAAGCAAAATTATTAGCCCATGCAACTTTTTTTGATATTCATATTTTTGATTGGTCTCCAAAAATACTGGAACCATTTTAAAAAAGGAGTCAGATGATTTGCGAACGTCTCCGTGCCGTGCAGGCGAAACGGACAAACAGAGGCCGAACGGCCGCGTGATTGATGGGCTGCATGCCATGAACTTACTATTTCTGCTGATGTTGTCACCAGCGCGACGATCGCCATGACAGGAACCTAGAGCGGTAGAAAATTAGTACGAACTTTCGGTCAATTCTGGTTCCTCGTTGAGGAACTTTTAATCTCTCATAGACATTCTCAATTCGAAGCAAAAAACAAGTTTTCCATAATTTATACTTTCATCACCCCAAAAAATCTTTTTCGAACATGTTCCGCTGTTAATTCGAAATATCTTTTTTTTCATACCCGCAAAGCGATGAATTAACTTTATTAGACTCCCGCGTATGCGAGTGCGTCTCTCGGAAATAGTCAATTTGCAAGTTATTCCATGCCACTTCCTTTTCCTATCAATCAAAGTTTTTTTTTCTGCCTGTCAAAAATTATTTATGATTCTGACTCTGATTGGAAAATTTCCCCACTTTTTTTTTTTCCTAAAAACTGTTTAAGAAAAGACTCACCATCAATCGCGTTGTTGAAATGTTTTCCCGCAATTGGTAGCGGGTAGACAGAACGCGGAATTGCTCGTCCACCAGAATTCTCTGCAAGAAACTAACGTATAATGTTCACTCTTCATTTTTCAGAGCGAGAAAGTTCAAAATAAAGAAAAAAAACTTACAGCTCTGTAACGGTTGATGATCCACAAAGTGAGAAACACAAGCAGAGAAAGGAAATTAACAATCAAAATAGCTCCTGAAGCGAATAGCGTAGACCGAGAATCGGTGAGCTGAAAATGAAGGAAATGTACTGATTGGTTTGATAATATAAATTACCTCTGGAGGGTTATAAGGATAAACTTGTTTAGGTGTCGTGATCATCAGAACAGGAAGTACGCAGAACAAAAACTGAAAATGCTTTCTTGAAAATAAAAGCTTTATTTCAACGGAATCCTTATATTCTTTTTGATCTTCACATCGATCTTCAATCTAAGCGCCATCACAACCAACAAATTTAATTGGAAAATTCTTGCATTCGTAAAAGAAAAACTCACGCAAGCTTGGAAATTGTCAGAGTGCTTCTTCTAGACATAAAAATCGTTTGAAAAAGTTTTTTGAGCAATGCAAACTCCACTCTAGAAAAACCTCTTCTGAGAGTTGATTTTATTCAATTCCCCAAATCCTTGGTCAAGATTAGTTTCAAAAGAAGTCTTAGCAAAGGAGAAACAAACCTCGATGAATAGCAGCATGAACCCTAATATTGGGTATTCATCTCGTTTCTCATAAGTGCGGTAGAAAACGGTAGCTACCGTTCTTTCTATAGCCAAAGTGCCTGTCGAAAGAACAAGGCCCATTCCACCAACACTGTAGAAGTTACGAATTGCTGAAGCTCAATGGTCAAAACAAAGATCACAAAAAAGATACCGCTTAGATATTGAGGTTTGAAGACTTGATAGTCGCATCGAGTATCTTCAGGCATAACATAAGATATGAAGAATTTGTATAAAGTTTCGGCTAAGACGCCTGCAAAAAGTTCTTAGAAGAGCGAAAAAAAGATGTTTTTTTCGTTTAAAAAATATTTCAACTGACCCATGTTGCAAAACAAGGTAGATAGGGTCATGAAGACAAGTAATCTTCGTGCATTGCAGTGAAGGGCCTTGGCTTTGTAGATGGCCACCATCAGAAGTCCGATGCCCATGGCTGCCAAAGGAGCAAAGAGCAACCGGAAAAGCAGCGAAAACTGCACAAAAGGAGAATTGTAAATGGCTGCCGCTGTGGCGCATAATTCGCATCTTGTGCAGTTCACAAACCTCGTGTCCATTCTAAAACGGCTCAATTTACTTTTGAAGTTTATCAAAGCGAAAAAAAAGGCGGCTTGATATGTTTTTTTGGGGAGAGACTACCATCAAAATAATTATGACTCTCTCAGATGAACAAAACATCAATGGCGGCTAACATAACATGGGAGGAGAATTTGTCTGAGCAACTTGCGTACCTGCATTGAGCTATAATAAAGTTAGAAATTACTGGGAGGAAAAAAGCTGGAAAAAATGAATTTTTTTTGTAATCTCTAAAAGTCGCGAAAATGGTCAATTCCTTATTGATGGCGAAAAATGTTTCTTTAGTGTTACCTGCATGAAATACATGTTTTTTTCCTCAACAATGAATCTTATAAAAAAATAACAGAATTTGTCTCAATCAGTTAAAAAAATCAGTTTTGGAAAAAAAGATATTCAGAAAAAGAACCACCAGAAAAACATTAAGAAATCAAAAACTTTCCGGAAAAAAATTCGCTTGAAAAATGATTTTTTTTTCACTACAGCTAGTTGTTCAAATTATTTCAAAAACATCATTTTTTCAGAAAACTTTTCATCCAAGAAAATCGAGTCACCAAGATATTTGAGAATATTTTTTAAAAAAGATTGATAAGAATAAAAAAGAAGGATTGAATTCAGAAAAAATGACAACAGAGAGAAGCAAGAAAGAATTTTCAAACGGTATCTGAGAAACAGGAGAGTACTCTTAGCGCCCTTTGGACAATTCTTGAAAACAGGTCTTGTGGCGGCGGCGACGGCGTTCGCTTTGGGTGGGTCCAATCAGCTGAGAGACAGATTGACCAGGATCAATGATTTGTTCCGCTTTTACCCTCTCTTTCATCCATCATCCAGAAAAAAACGCGTTGAGAGAAAATAACAGAGTTTATTCCCTAATATAGTTAGACATTAAAATTTGTTTCCACTAGTGTTTCAATTCACTGAAAAAGTTTACCCATGACGAGGGTTACCTGATGAAAAAGTGAATTTCTATTACCCATATCCAGTAACGTGAGAAAAGTTTCTCTTGCAGACATCATGTAGAGAACTCAAGCGTGAACGATGGAGGAAGTATTTTGGCAAAAATGGTTGAATCAGCTCAGCCAAGGAACTATTCATCGTACAAAAAAGTTGAAAACATAGCTAATGAGTAATTATTTGAAAGCATGCAGAACAAGAACTCCGAAAAAAAGAGAAAAGAAGGAAATGAATTAGCCATAAATAGGGGTGCAGTGGACGGTCAAACTTCTTTTGACGGTAGAGACAATGGAAGATGAAGGATACTACGGTTCGTGGCGACACACGACGTGTGTAATATCGACTGTCGACCAGCGCAAGACGTTCGAAACGCCTTCTTTGCGGTTTTCCAACTACTTTCAGTTCTAAAATGCACCCGAGCATTCATTAATTGAGCTAAATAAAATTCTTTTTTTGTGGGCCAATACAAAAAAAAAGAAAGCTGCATATTTGCAAAAACCTCAAAACTTTAATGTTTCGAGAGAAAGTTTTTGAATGACTAACATTGATGTAACACTTATAAGGCGTTGAAACTTTTTTTTTTGAGTGTTCATGAATATATCAAGACGACCTGGAAGGGTCCAAATAGATCAAAGCTGACGTTTATAATAAAATAACATAACTTTTTAAGTAGGAAAAGAAAGAATATATAAAGAAAAGTTAAAAACCATAAATGTAAGAAAGATTGATTTAGGAAAAATCACAAAATTGGATATCACGATGACATTGGCTCTACTTGCTGCCAAGATGAGCTTGGACGAGAATCGAATATATGGCACGCAAAAGTTTTGCTTTGTCGGGATGAACTCCAGAGATCTTCAGAATTGCTAATCGAGTTTCCTTAAAACTCTTCGGAAATCTTTGATCATTCGCAATAAGAAGCAAAATACTATAGCATTAATCAGATCATTTTTTCAAAGCCCAATAGCAAAAAAGAGGTTTTTTTTTCAGGAGAAGCAGGGGAAAACTTTAAAAAAAGTGGGCGAAAAATCGAGAGTTGGTATGAAGACGATTGAAAAGAAAAAAAAAGACCGCCCGTTAACCTTTTGCTTGACAAAGTGTGCATGCTCTATTATAATCTTGAGAAAATTGCTATGTGAGCACAACGGGAAAATTTAATGTTTGACGGAACTGCAGCAAGAAAAGGGTAAACTGGAAAGAGAGGACACTCCCAATTTGCCACCACTTAATTGAAGAGCAACGGTTCAAAATAAATTTCTTCAAGTTGATCGCATCTCCAATTGATGAAACTAAAAAAAAGCGGGTTGAAATTGCATTAATTTTAGATGCAACTGTGAGAAAACGCCGCGAACAACACGACGATCGAGAAAACTTGTGAAAAATTAAGAAAAAAAACTTATACAATTACAAAGTTTCGAGTTATGAGTTTCAGAAAGAATTAAGTGCGATCAAATCAATTTAATCTATGTTTTCATTTCTGAAACGAATTTTAAAAAAATTGTGAAACTTAGTGCTTCACGTGTATTTTACTTTGTACAACGTTAGGAATGGAAATTTCAAAGAGTTTCAGATCAAAAGAACAATTACCGAACATCCAGTAGGTCCAAGATTCTTGAGATCTTAGGCCTCAAATTAAAACAGAAAAGACCAATGACGTCGCTTGCCAAAACAATTCAAAAGAAGAGGATGCAGAGATTTAGGCGCAAAAGACTGACCAGCAGAGATAAACATGGAGAAAAGGGAAAAGGATAATGAAGGACAAACTCGTTGTGGTCACTGCAGCCTTTCTTCGCCAGCTTCTGCCGACACGCCCGAGGTCCCCAGTCGCAGGTCCTTCAATATTGATGGAGCTTAAGTTTTGTAGTCGTGATACAAAACCCAAAACCGCAAGGCTTTTGCCACGCATTTTCAATCTGAACATATTTTCCAACGCCACGTCAAGGCCGCGAATCTAATCAAGAAAATGAAATATCAAAAGTAACAACTCCGAAAATATTCTTTTTATCAAACCTATTTTTCACGACTAAAAGAACACTGCTCTGTCTGCTCCCAATTTTCGTCCTTACAAAAATATGATGAGAACCCAGCTGCGAAAGAAAAGAAAGTATTCAGATCCCAAAGATAAAAGTCATGACGATGGGATCTATTTTCAATTCACTTAGGAAAGTGAGCTCATTTTTTTGGTAGCTGCTTTTTCTGAAAAATGTTCAAAAAACTTTTTGACAGATCTGTCCAATGCAGACTTCGTTCATCAGGTAGCAGAAATATTTTCAAGCTTTTATGAAAGCGAGAAAAATTTCTACAAGGTGTGACAGAAAAGATACAATCATCGCTATGTCAAAGTTCCTAGTAAAAGAAACAAGATGCTTCATGCGGAAGAAATTGCTTTCATTAAGGAAGGAATGCCTTGAAGAAAGATTTCCCCAGTAAATATAAATGCGGGGAAATGTGCAGTTCGTAACCGGTAATCTTTTGATCAAATTAAACTCGGCTTCCGCTAAAAAAAACGAGATCTACTCAACGCATACTTAATCAACCTTGAAACAAAATCGATCAAACTTTTTTTTGAACTTCGTCTTTTTGTTTTAATGAAGCCTTTTTTTTTTTGAAAAGACAAAAAATATTTTTCGCAGGACTAGTTTATGAATTTGCACGATTAAAAAGAAGCTGCATGTAATATACCACTATATAGAATAAGAAAGTAGAACTCTTGAACAGAAATATTTTTTTGATTGCAAATTATCATTGAATATTGCGACAAGTCATTGGTGAATGAACTATAGACCAGAGTCAAGTTCATTCTTATTGATCATCCAGTGCCCCTCCTACCCACAATTATTTCTGTTCAATGAGCTTCTAGCAATCAAAATTCGTTGGGCAATAAAACAACTTCTCGAGCATTGAAAACGAAAAATATGCGAATCCGCCTACAAATGCTCGAAAATTCTAGTTGAAACCTTTAACAAGGCAAGTGAGATGAAGCTTTTTTTTCCAATTACTGTACGCTTTGCGCCTGGCGACCACAACAACTTTTCATTTATCAGAAGCGTGTGAGTGTAGTTTCTGACGCACCGTTTTACTCAAAGTAATTTTCACTCTTTTTAATCACTTTGAAGCAGAAAATCATCAAAAAAGTGCCTTAACTTTTAGAAACTCCGTTTTTTCAAAACTTCACAAGGTTTGTATCTTTATTGAAAGAGGGCTTCTTAAAAAGACCTAAAATGTTGGGTCTCAGTTTTTCGAAGTAAACACAACTGGCTCACCTATTTTTCCTTGAACTCGTTCGTTCCCTCTTTTTAGCACAAAACTCGAAAAATTTATTTCATTGCCTAACATATTCTGATTTCTAGAAGCTCGTTGAACAGAAATAATTGAGCTAAGGAAAGGCACTGGATGATCAATAAAAAAGAACGTGACTCTGACCTATAACTCATCCGATGACTTGACGCAATATTAAGGATAGTTTTCAATCAGAGAAACCTTCTTAAAGAAAAAAGTTCCATATGATGTGTATTATGAGCCAGTGATCAAACAAGGAAACTTGAAGTTCCTTTAATAGTTTCAAATTTTGGAATTTTTTTTTCAAATCGCCAAAAATTTAAAAAAAAAGAGCCATTTTATAAAATTCATGTCTTTGTATTTTTAAGCAAAGCCTAAGGTCTGAGAGTTTGAGTTATTTTTGAAGTTCATCGTAAACAAATATTTTTCTGAAATTTTATTACAAAAAAATGTTCAACTCTCTTTCTTTTTCCAAACAGACGGCTTTTTTTGGGGTGTCGCTTTGGCAGTTCGAATTGCTTGAGGAACTGGAGAAAGCGCTTGAAAAACCATCTGTTGTAATACACACACACACACTCATCTTCCGTTTATCGCAACTTCAGATCGCTTCTTTCGCCTCACCTTTTCTTGTTGCATGTCATTTCTGTTTTCGAATTCAAAATTTTCTTCTTATTTATTTTTTTCTTCGCCAGTTCTAGAAACATAGTTCCAACGAATAAAGAATTAAAAGAAAAGGTCTGTAAATCTTTCTTGATGAAACGTTTAAATGAAAGTTTGTAGACCCAGGTCATTGAATTGAGTAAATCTTATCATGAATTATTCTTGGGGCTCCATATCAGCTCTACTTTATGATTGACGCCTTGAAAATGCGATAAATGAAAATTCCACTTTTTTTTTCAAATTCTGTTTTATCCTTTTTTCAAAGCTTCCTTCACTTTTCAAAATTTTGCTAGACGATAAGAAAAAAAAAACGCTTGTGTACCCGCTTTTTGTTTTTCATGGTTATTTATTTGCTGATACGCGCTCCTCAGCTTCATCGATTTTTAGTTTTGCTCGAACCTAGTAATTTTTTATTTATTTTCAGGGATGAACATGGACATCTGTCCCAACGAAATAATATTCCTTATTCTCAACAAAACCGATTTGCATTCCCTTTTACAATTTCGCCAGGTTAAAATCAAACTTCTATTATTGATAAAAGTATCCTTGCAGACGAGTAAGAGGAATTTCATCAGAGTTGAGACAATCCTATGGAAGAAAAAAAGTTCTTGACGTCAGTGAATTCCCTACTGTACCGCCAAATACCCTCTACCGCTCACAAAAAGTTGACACTGAAAAACTATTAAAAAAACTTGACTTTTTTTCAGATGATATCTTTTTTTAATGAAATATATGCCTTCTTTGAGTTCTCTGAGTTTGGAGAAAAGTTATTTTCACATGACGTTGGCTAACCTCATCCTTGTGAGCGTCGTTTTTCGAAAAAGCGAAGCCTTGAAGTCGAGTTTAGATATCAAAAGCCGCGCCAAACCTTCGAGAACTTGTTCTCTGGCAGTCTCCAGACGTCAACGTGTTGGAAAATGCGACGACGTTTGCTCTGCCGTACTTCAAAAATCTCGAATCTCTCACACTTTTGAACTGGGAGTCTCGAAACTCTGCCGCAAGAGGTTTGCCCGACTTTTGATTCCGATCAAAATGTTCAAAAACTTTTAGGATGTGCATATCGCAGCGAAATTGCTCCTATTTTGTCTCTGAAAAGACTGAGGAAAATTAAAATTTCTTGTCAAGGATCTACTGCATCACAATTTCTGAAAGATGTTCGAAAAAGAAATGGGCCGTTTCACTTCTTGGAAATTGCTGAGGTCTGTTCAAATATTCATTAATCTTGAGCCTTTTCCGTTTTCAGCTCTCACTCAACTGCGAAGAAGACCTTGGTAATCTTCAATGGCTCGAAAGTCGATATCCTCATTTGCGTGTTGTCAGAAATTGAGGAGCCTTGGAGAACTCGCCAAAAAAGTTTTGAAACCTTTCCTAAACTATCCATGATTAAACAGAATGGGTCGAAACATGTGATACTTCATAAATCAAACTTCCTTTCACAGACAACATTTCTAAGCACAAAAAAATCAAAACAAATACCAATTCATCAATTTTTTTAGGTAACTTTATGAGTTAGTTACTGAAGACATTTATGTTCTGTGAGTTTTTTTTCACTTTTCCTTATTTCAAGCATTCCAATTTTTTTGTTCCTGTTTTTTCAACGGACATGTGATCCCTCAGAGAGCTGAGAAAATCTCTTATGGAAAGATACTGTTACAAATTTTCTTTGATATTCTCAGCCCACTGCTAGAAAATTGCACAGCAACGTGTCGACAGTTCTTGTTAAAAATTTGAATACTCTAGTTTTAAAATCTGAATTCACGCTCTTTGATTAGTTTTCTCACTAAGTTCAATCAATTTTCAATCACGAATTACCTTCCCTTGCATTCTTGAATGTTCATTTCAATGCCAGAAAAATAAAATCTACAAGAAATTGTTACAGTAAAACATTTATCTCATCCCAGTTTCTAAATGAATCACAAAGCAATAGATAAGGGACTTCCAGCCCAGTTTGATGCGAAGCTCTGTGTGTCCATCAAACAGTCGGTCGGATTCGCCTTGATTATTATCAGGAATCTGGAAAAGGTTGACTACTGAAAGAAGCCAATTTTTTGTGTCTAGTTTTAAAGATTTTTTTTTCGGTTTCATAGCTTCAGAATAATTTCGAGAAGGAAGAAAAAGAAGATTTTTTCTAGTTCAATCAATACCTGCTATTCCAAAAAAAAAAATGAAAACCTGTTCAAATCTTCTTTTTCTGCGCACATATCACCGATGTCTATTCGAGTCTCGATAACTGGGTAACCTGAGAAAGAAAGTTTTCAAAAAAATCGAGATATCAGGCATGTACCTGTTATTATACAAGGATCAAAAAATTGCCCTTGTTCATTCGCTAGAGAGCCTTCGAACATGCCTCTTTTGTCGAAAATGAGTTTCTTTGTACTGCCGTCGTCGACTGAAGCTGCCAGAACCCATTCTTTGACTTCTTCATGATCTGAGGACTGAAAAAAAGGCTTTTTTATAAGGAATCGAAAAATAGAAGCAAGAATTTTTTTGTTGTCGTCCTGTTCGGAAAAAAACGATTAATAAAAAATTTTTTTAGGATATTCATAATGAGATGAACTGCTAACGATAAGTTAAAAACGCAACTTTGAATCGAAATTTTTTTCGGAAATGAATTTAGGTGTTAAGTAATTTACTGTTAACAAGCTTTGAAAGTGATGGTAAACGGACTATTTATTGAATATCAATAATTTCTGTTGTTTTTTCTACGTTTCTTGTTTGTAATTTCCTACCTGAAGCCATTGACGAGTGGGAAGTGGAACTTCCGTTGGAATATCCGTTTCTTCTAGTACAGAATAGTCGACTAATTCTCCGTTTCCTTGAATTTGAACAGTTTCTTTTGCAGTCTGTAAAGTCCTTACCTTCTTCAATGGCGTCCACCAAATCTAAATAATGATTGAGCAAGAGAAAACCAAGGTTCTCATAAGGACCGCCAAACTCCTGAACTTTTTTTATTATATAATATTATTTCGTAAGATTCAACTTTTGCTGCGACGCCAGCTTCATAGAAGAGTCTGTCAGCAGGGAGAAGATCCGAATAACGAAGAAGAGAAATGGCTTGACGCAATCTTAGACGAGGAACTTCTGGGAGGTGAGCATGAGGCTGTAAGAAAACTTTTTATTTGAAACAAAAAATAGGTTACTTCAAGAGCTGTCCGCATTGTGAATAAGTGTACTGCCCACAGATACCGCAGGAACAGCTGTAACGAAATGTTTGATTTCTTTCATTCGTAACCCACTTCTTCATGCTCAGATTGTGAAGCTTTTAATGATCTGTATATTTCTAGGAACATGTCGCGAACTTTCGAAACTTCTTTGTAATCGACTTTTGGTTGTGCAATGGTCTGAAAAATATTTCAGTTTCATCCGTTTCACCTCCAACCTCGTCCAAAATTTTCTTGTAGATGGAAAAGTTGGCAGAGTTACCAGAGGCGCCATATTTTTCAAATATGCCAAGAATCCGGGAAAATTCGTTTCTTTGCAGCAAAAAGGCCGCATATTGGGCAACATATTTGTCCAAAAGTGGCCGATGCTGAAAGTGAAGTTTTGATATCTAAGAGTATTTCAACATGAACATTTTGCTGTTTGGCTGTTTCAAGAGCTTTGTCCCATTGATCACGTTCTATCAAGAGGTCAATCGCAGTGATAACATCCACGTCGATCAGCTCTCCAAGCCGTCCTTCATTCTGCAGTTTTTTTTATTGTTTCTTCAGGAAAGTAGAGAATCTAACCTTCAGCGACTCTTTATACTGTCTTTCGATTTCGGGAATAATCTCAGGGAGATACTCCGCTGCAATCTGAAAGTGCATTTTTTTTTGTTGGTTTTTTCAAATTATAAAATTAATACTTGTTTAGCTTTGCCCCATTGTCTTGCTTCACACAGAGCTTGAATGGCCTGTCGAGTTTGTCCCAAATGCAAAAGAAGTTCTCCAGCCTTTTCATGACAATCCGCATCTTGGAGAGCCTCCAAAACGGCTTGAACCATCTGAAGTTAAAAATTTTGTGTGAAAGAATTTAAAAAAAATACTTCTTCATTTCCCAGAAGAAACTTGATGACAATATCCGCAGCTTTCGATACGCTTTGAACTATGATGTCCTCATCTTCGGTTGTTGATGAGTTGATCTGTCAGAAATTCTCAGTTTTTCTTTGAAAAGGGTCAAACTTTCAGGAGGGCAATTACGGCTCTACCCCAGTCAGCTTGTGATTCCCATTCTTTTGCTTGAGCAAGATAAGATTCGACGCCTCGAGCCCCACTGCGAAGCTCCGATTTTTCGAACTCTTCCTAAACAACTTTTGGATCGGTGAGTTCTCTTTTTGGATAACCTGAAGCAACGATAACTGATGCGGCAAATATTCCCGTGCAATTCTTAATGCATCAGGCCACATATTGTTTTCTTTGAAGTATCTGAAAAAATCGTAGGTAGGAGCTACCCATTAATCAAACTTTAAAATGACGTCCGGTTTGTTAGCCCTCAAAAGAAAGCTTTCCGCCCGTGCATGATCTCCTTCTTCCAATGCTTTCCGAGCTTCGCCTGTATAGACATCTGGCAAGGAGTTTGGTGCGTGTTCGCTGAAAAAACCAAATAAAAAGCTTAAACTCGTTGCAATAGTTCGCACCTTGCTATCTTTTCGGCCGCAGCCCAGTCTTTGTCATGAATAAACATAGCCACAGCTTCTTCAGCTTTTCCAGCAGAAATATAATGTTTGGCCGCGTCTTCGAGTCTTCCATCCTCTTCTAGTTGCACACCCATACGGGCGTGTACCTATAAATCGCATCCGATATCAGATCAAACTGATTAATTCTACTTCTGGAAGACGCTCTTTTGCTCCGATCCTTGTCAAATCGAAAGCAAAGTCGTAAGCGCTGAAATTCAGTTATTGGGAAGCAAGTTCAGTTTAGATTTTACCCGCTCTCGCAAGCGTAATCGATTGCTTCTGACAACATTGCAAACTTGTTCAGAAGCTTCACAGCAGCATCTCCACCAAGGCTTTTCGCCCAAAGGAAACAAATCTTAAATTGAAAATGAAAAACCTTAAATTTTCCCTAAGACCTGTTTCTGGGCGGCATCTCCTCCTTCAGACTTAGCAATTCGATGTGCGTCGCTCCACATCTCATTTTCCGCGTACATATTGACAGCCGCCTGTTTTCAATTGTAATTAGTTTTTTCCATAACTTGATAAACCTTCCAGTCTCCCGCTTTCAAATATTCTTCTTCGGCAGCCCTCATGTCTCCACGCTCCTCGTAGTCGAGAGCCAGTCGTTTATGAGTTTCCTGAAGAGAAGTTTCTGTTCAGTGGTCGATTTAATTGATACATTTTTTTTAGAAACTTAACTAAGAGATCTTTGATTTTGAATAAAAAAAGCCTTTTTCGAGTGTGCTGACACAAAAGTCAGAAACCTTCACACTATAGCCAAAAACCATTTGAAGGTGATCTTTTTCAACTTTGAGAAATGTGAAGCTCACCTGCAAACGATCACCATGATACTTTTCCACTAATCTGAGAACATCTTCATCGCGATTGGCTTTTCGATACATTTGAATGGCCTTTGCTGATTCTCCAATCGAAATGTACAGCTGTAACTTTTGAAAATTTCCCCCCTCGGAGAAAATTTATCACCTGTTCCGCTTCTGCAAACCTTCCAACATCCTCGAGTTCTTGCGCTTTTTGAGCATAAAGTGCCAAAGTTTCTTCTTTACCAAGAAACTCTTCAGACAGCTATGAAAAAACAAACTGATTGGGAGAGAAAAATCATTTGAACCCTGTAAGCGTCCGCCCATCTTCCGTTTTTGATGTACATTGCAATGGCTAGTTTATGAAGGTCCGCTTCAATGAACAGTCTTTCGGCCCTCTGAATTTTCAAGAATTACAGAAGCTATAAAATAAATCTAACATCGAATTCTCCAACACTGGCGTAGTGATCAGCTATCTTGCCATAGTACTTTTTGCTGAGCTCTTCTTCTTGAATCACATCCACGATCTGAAGAATAACGATTATCTTTCAAGTGAATAGGAGAAGTTCTTCTATGTGTAAAAAAAATCTTTTTGGAATTTTTTTCGGAGATCCTAACTTTTTTTGGAAATATTTTTTTATCCATTTGAAATGTTTCTTACCTGAACAGCTTTACTCCATTCCTTAGCTTTTAATAGCGGACTCCACAGCTTTTTGCGACTTGTTAGCTTCTGCAACTCTTCAATATTTCAGAAAATTAAATTCTGATCACAAACCAAGAAAATGGTTTATTGCCGCATCGAACTGGCCAACAGACGTCAGGTGGTCGCCCCACTTCTCCTCTAGCTCCACCACTTTTTCGGGAAATGCGAATCGAGCGAGCTGTAAATCATAAAGATCGTGGAGTCTGGCGTTACAGTATACTTGCACGGCTTTGGCGAACGCGTAGCCTTTCTGGTAGCAATCGAGTGCATCTTCAAAGTCTTTAAGCTTTTCGAAAACTTCTCCAGCCTAAGAGGAATAGAAGAAAATTGCTTTCTGGAACCTTTTCTCAACCCTATCATAAATTTGATTTTTAAGCAGGGCAGTAGCAATAGTACGCAACAGAGCGTCGTCTTTTGCTAGGGTTGGGTCTTCCATACAAGTGTTCAGAGCAGCAATAGGTTTGTTCGCTTTCAAGTACAATTGAACGGCTGCCGTTGAATCTCCTTCTGATACTTTCAACTGAAAATTTTTCAGTTCTTTCAAGTCAAACATTCCGAAGAAGAATCACGTCAGCAGCTTTTGAGTCCTGACCGGTATCGTTCAACGCCCGCAGATAACTCGTACGAAGTTGGTCATATCCAGAGTAACTCTGAATCAACGTGTTGATTGTAAGAACATTGAAAATACCGTAGCTTTGGCTAATTCCAAGGCTTCGTCCCATTTCTGCAAATTTGTGTACATGTCGATTGCAGAATCCACATCGTTCTGAAAGTTTCATTGGAAAAGATAATATCATTGATTTTTACCTGTTCAATGTAAATTTTCTCAGCTTCTTTGAACTTGCGCCCCATTCTTGCGAGATTCGCGCGAACTTTGTAGTAATGAGTTCCATCTCCCCCAATCCGAGCAGCAGCTTCTTCCGCGATTTCAATCGTTTTCTGAATTATAAAAAAAATTTTCGTTCAAAAGTGAGCTCGAACATGCAAAGCCACAGCTCGAGCCACATCGTTCAAAGCGGCATAACATCTTTGGGCGACAAACAATTTCTGATTTTCCAGCGCAAGTTCAGCGACTCGAGACCACATTGTGTACCTTCAAAATGTTTTTAAACAAAATATGAACAGATTCTCACGAGTCAGGTCCGCTTGGGTTATTTTCCAAAAACATCATTGCTCTTTCAAAATCTCGTTTTTCCAAAGCAGCTCCAAACTCGATCTGTGTACCGTCCAGCTCATAGGCAACTTTTGCATTCGGTTCCTGAACAAATAAATCCCTTCAAAGTTCAAATTATGACTAACTTGAACGATAACTTCAGTTCGATCGACATCTCTCAGCACAGCTTCCACTTCCCCTTTTATTTTGATGTTGGAGACTTGTTCAGGTAAATCAGGATTATACCTGAACTTTCTCTTACGATTTCATAAAAGATTTTTGTTACCATATCGAAAGTACGTCACCACTTTGAGCGACAATGACGTCACTCATTGGCACCCATTGGACGTAGGTGCAAAATGAGAGAAGCACGCTTTGGCGATCTGTAGCAATGTCAAACAAGCTCACTTTTGACCTTTTGTCGCGGAAAAGAAGTTTTGTCGCAGCTTCGTTCAACTTCAAGTTATTCTTTCTTCACTTTATCCAAAATTTTCAGCTGACCTCAATCCAATCGATTGCACTGGAATGCGTTATGAAGGAAGTTTGTTGCGAGCTGTTCAAATTCACTGTAAAACAGTTGCTGAAAAAAATGAAAATTCGACTCACGAATAGAAATCGTGTTGGGATCCACGAGATAAGCCAGTTTTTTCGCTTTTCTGCTGTCTTCCAAAACTGAATCGGCGATGCGAACACTAAAATTTATTCGGGAAGGTTCCTTGAAGAAGTTTACCTGAGTAAATGCGGGCTGGTCAGTTCTGTTCTCACCCAGCCTAGAGCGCCGTCGATCCCATATTCGATCACGGTTATTTCTCCAGCGTTGATGATGAGACAAACATTCGGAAAATCAAAATAAAACCTGGACCCAACGATAAATAGATGAAATTATTTGTTATTCAAACTTTTCATGCCCTCCAGACTGCCACTCGATTTCGGAACATTTCTGAAGCTCCGTGTCGGCCAGGACAAGACTCGACGAGGTGTATCCGACCACGAACCGATCTCTACCCATTATCTAGAACTTGATCATCGATTTCAAATGCAGGGGCTGTGGATACTTTCAGCTCGTCTATGGCCAAGCCCTTGTTGGATATCACGCTTGTTTTGGCTTCAGTTGTGACGTCACGCACAATAACATGAGAAGGAGCCACGTAAGTTGTTTCGAATCGACTTTTCAGCATTCCTCTTCGCAGACAGCAATCTACAGAAAATACTCCTCCGCAAAGAGTTCCCTTGAAATATTTTTTGAAAAGAAAATAAAGAATCGTTAACCGCGTAAATGACAGAGCCATCTCCTTTCCACCCTAAAGAAGTTATTGCGTAGGCGTTTTTGATTTCGAGTGGTGCGCCTTCGTCCCAAGCCCCGCGTCTAGTTGACCACGAAAAAAGACGAATTCTCAAATTTCATTGGGTTGGCTTCATTTAAATTTGTTCAGCAAGGAAAAAATTAGGAAATTATTTGGACCACCGTAAAATACAGAAAAAAAAACCTGTCAAAACTTGCAACAACAACGTTTTGAGCCGTGGGATCGCATGCGATTGCCGAAAACTCTTTTTCATCTTGATCCGAGTAGTCAAATTGCTGCTGTACAACCCCATTTTCTGAATTTGGTCTCTAATCTTTATATCAAAGTGATTGCTCACCAGTGTAAGAAAAAATTCTGCGATCTGAGCCAGCTACCACAAGACCATAATTCGTAAAAACCATGCAGTACGGTGGTATTTGGAGAGTGCAGATTCTCGACTTAAATCTGGTCTTTGTAAGAATGAATAATTCGAAGAAACCTGGGATTTACTGCTGAAATTATACAATATTATCGATCCGTCCTGATGAGCTGTCACAAAAGCCGTTTTCTTGGGACTAAAATTAAGAAGATCTTGTTTGATTTCAAAGAAAGGTTACTTAGTTTCCATGGAAACAACTGCCTGGTCTGTTTTGTACAAAGAGCTGCATTTGTTCGTCTTGATCAGACCAATGCGAACCTTAATTTGAGAAATTTGTTTTTGAGAATTTTCGGCCCTTTAAGATTCCAAACACACTTTTCCATCTAGCAATCCAATGAGCAATTTGTCATCGAAAGGCCAGCTGAGCGCAGTCACAGTGGACGACTGAGGCAGTTTATTGACGATCACTTTCTTTTCGTTCCTGTCCAAACGACAATTTATTTTAGATATTGCTGATACACCATGTGAAGCCGATTTTGTAGATGAAAACAACATTGTCGCTTTGGGCCACGGCGATCTTTGAAGAATCAGGAGAAAAAACCACGCTGAGGATAGAGTACGACTTTTTGCCAAACTCAAAACAATTGTAATTTTTGGTTGAAAGAAAAACAAAACCTTGGTGTCAATTGGTTTGGTGGCAAAACGGTCTTTTTGATTCCCATGCTCGTCGAGAAGCTCAATAGTTTGATTGGCACACGCGATTGCAGTACGGTTTCCATTTGAAGAACAAGCAATACAGGCGATTTTGGAAGCTCCTTCCTCAAAAAAAATCTGTTTTTTCAAGGTTCTGGAGGGAGATTATAACTTATTGAAAACTTAAGAAATAACGTTTTCCCTTAACTTTTTGATATGTGCTACTTTGAAGCCACCGAAAATTTTTTATGATATAATAAGTTCTTGAAAAACTTTGAAACAACTAAGAGGAAATTTCATTTTATCTATAATATCTACATAAAAAAACCTTTATCAATGTTTGGGAATTCAAAAAAATTTTTGAAAAAAAGTTAAAAAAAGGATGAATAATTTCAAGTTTTAGGCCTTCAATTTCTTAATTTTTTTTAGTTTCCATTTGAAAAAAATTACTGAAAAAAATGAATGAATTAGTTGATGGGACGATCAAACCTGTTGAGTCAAGATATTTGAAAGGAACCGAAGCTTCATCAAGAACACAAATGGCTTTCCCGAAAAATAGAACTACGTCCTTGTTTCTCGCGAATGTTGTCATGACAACGAAGCGCGCTGGATGACGGCAACTAATCACTGGAGGGACACCTCAGAAAACCAACGCTTGCCTTAATTTTTCAAAGAGAAGCCAAAACCATGCTGAGGAAAGTTCCTTGTTTTTCAAATGCGCATTTTTGAACCATAACCTTTTACCACAAGATCATATCCCAGTTAGTATGTCTTTTGAAAGTTTACATGATATTTTATCCGCGCACAAAAAAAAATTACATATTATATTCTTTCTCATTTCCAATGAATGTACTTCTTTGGCTACTTTTCGAACTTCAGAAAAAAGGTGTTTTTTTGTCTTCAGAAAGTCCAAGAAATGTTTTTGGAAGATCTCCGTTTGTTTCAAAATTTTTTCAGCGTTGAAAAAAGGCACAAGTAAACTAGAGATTTGGCGCTCCTGAATTATCAACATGTGAAACCTTCAATTTCAACCATTTTATTTTTACTTTCCACAGGGTTCCCTACAAGAAAACTTAGAATAGTAATATTTATTATACTTCAATAAAAAGAATTAATTTATTACAAACGAAATAAAATGGCAATGGCGAAGTTAGGGACAGAGTTTTGGCACAGCACGCAAAAAATGGAACAAGACACACTGAAAAAGAAATACACACAAGGGTCTTCCATATACAAATACCAATTATTTGTGAGAAAAAACAACAATTTTCTAAAGTTAAGGATGTTCAGAACATCAAAAAGGAATAAAAGCACCGTTTTTTTTTGAAAGTCGAAGGGCACGTAAAGGCTGTAACGGTGACTAAACTGAGAGAAGGCACAAAGTCGCATGAAAGGCAAATGGATAGTGTGTGGCACAATAAAGGGAACAAATGAGAGAAGATGAACGGTATATGCAGAGATCACTGCGTGCTCTGAGAGTAAAAGACGTTTGAAGGTTGAGAAAACTCGAAAGAGTCGGGAACAGACTAGGAGACCTCCAGACGAAAATCCGCAGAGCGCGGTCCCATCGAGAGAACACTCGGTGGTATAAGTTAGGTTGAGCACTTAATTTCGTTTTTCTGATATGATACAATATGCTACATGTTATATTTATGATTGTGCAAAAATAAGCCTTGTCTGCGGAAAAACAATGACGCTTGAAGCGTTAGCGGAAGGGATCAGTTTAAAAAATGACACAGATAAAAAATGAAGACTCATGAAAAAAAGTCGATTTTGTGGGAAAAAATATTCTAACGTTTTACAAACGTGTTGGAATACTGTGTCGACAACGGGATCAGTGATTAAGGAAGTCCTAGCGTATTAAGAGAATGAGTTCAAAAATAAGTTTTCAAAAATGACAAGAAGATTTGTTTGAGCAGAAGGATTTACGGAAGAATGTTTAAAACATTCAGAATTTAAAAAAAATTCACCATTGTTCGTATGGCAAAACCTTTTCGTCAATCATCTCCTGTTGTCTTTGCTGTTGTTGCTGCTGCTGCTGTTGCTGCTGCTGTTGTCTTTGCTGATGTTCTTGTTGTTCTTGACCGCCCATCTGATATTGGGAGTTCAGCATGTTGTAGTCGAAATTAGGGACGTATTCTTGACCAGTCGCCAATATAACGCATTGGTCAATCTAAAAAACGTGTTATTTGTTCGCTCAGTTCCACTGTTTTTCCCTAATTCCCAGAGAATGTCATTAAGATGTCTTTGTCGAAGTTTTTCGAAGATTAAAAAAATAATTTGCTGTTTTAGGAATTGGACACACATTGTCGCGATCAAGACACATTTTTCTATAAATATGTTGCTCGGCTGTTGATAATTATGAGCAACAAACAGTCGAAGCAAATTTGACTAATCTGACTTTTTTCTAAAATATTCGTTACCAAGCTTCGAGAATTTCTCCAACCAGCTTGCATTTGCTCTCTTGGGAACTTCGGATGCGTTGACCAAGATGAAAAACTTTGGAAGTTTATTATTCCAAGTGAAAGTCATGAAAGATCCGCAAGCATGATTCTTAGTGCATAAAACTTGGTTTATGCCAGCAAACTAACGACTTATATATATTTTTTTTTTGAGTTTCGACGCAGCAGAACTGAGATTTCGTGGTACGAATACTTTTGACACAAATTTCAAATTCGAATAAATTATCCTACCGGTTGTTGGTAGCCTAGAGATTGCTGAGAGAGCATCATTTCAGGCTGTGACGTCACAATGTACTGGGGATGGGCGAGGTTTCCCGAAGCGTCAGTGTGAAGGTTGTAGTCCATATTGGAAGAAACCGAGGGCAGGGATGTTGACGTCAGATGATGCACAGAAGGCTGCAAGTTGTTGATTCGTCGGTGAAAATGCATGAGTTCGGAAAAGACGTTCCGTGTGGGCGCAAAAACTCACCAGCTGCTGCGGATTGATCGGCCGGAAGTTGAGCATGTTGATCTGCATTGGAAGGTGCATGTTCAACGGAACTGTTGCCCCGCCCATTCCATTCTGCAACGAAGGTGGGGGTAAAGTTTCGATTGATGGAAAATATACCCCGATATCAGGCTTGACTTCAGAGATGATTTGGTTTCCGAGCATACTCGAATCTTCGATACCTCCAAGATGCCGATTTCCAAGGGAGTTGTCCATGTCCCTGCAAAATAGAGAATAAAACTTTTTTCCTCTTTCTCAGTTACCCATAGATTTGCATCAGAAGATGCGAATTGTTGTTCATCAAAGTATCCAGGGAAGAAGTGTCGAGATCTAATTGATGATCTGAAGGAGGTATCAAAGCGCTCTGAAAAACGTAGAGGTGAAAAATATACGTTTAAAATATTTTACCGCTTGAAGTGGAGGGACAGAATTCAGATGAACGCTTGAAACTGAGCCTTGCGACGAAACCGGAGGCTTCAATGAAAAATTTATGTTTTCCGAGAGCGCCTGGATACCTTATAAGCTTTTGAGCTTTTCTTTTTAGGCGTGGTAGTCGTTATCAGAGGCTGTGAGTGGATCGAAGATGCCGCGGATGTAGCTGGCACACCACCATTTTCTTCTTGCTGAACAGTCTCGATGCTAACAAAAAATTGAGAATTTTAAAACTCACCAATTTTCGTTTCGCCGCTGTCGCATAAGTTAACTGTCTCAAGTCATTGTCTAGGTGAGCCGACGTTTCGTTTTTTCGTTGATGCATATCTTTGTGGCACTGAAAAACGTTGGTTTTTTTTATTTATTTCTAAAAAGGTAAAAACAACAAAAAAAAAATTACAGGACAGATCACAAAACAACACTTTCAACTCACATAAATGTTAATTGAGCTTCTGAATGTAAGTGTTATTTTAAAAAAATCAGTAATAGAAGGAAATAAAATGTACCTTCAAGCTGTTTTTTTTCCATTTGAACGTCATCTGGCAGACGGTACAAACGAACGGCTTTGCGTCAGAATGTATTCGCTTGTGATTCCACAGGGTCGATCTTCTATTGAAACGAGCCTTGCAAACCTAAAAATAAACATTTTTTCAAGTCAAATTTGAAATCCGTACGTCACATTCGAAAGGCTTCATTCCAGTGTGAGAATTTTGATGCTCTTCTAGCTCCATTTTTGATCCAAATCTTGAAGGACACAAATTGCAAGGATACGGTCGTTTTCTATCAGCGGCGAGCGCTCGACCTGAAAAAAAAAACCAAATTTTTGAAGCCTAAAAGGATATCGAACCATTGGAGTTCATCTTGGAGTGATTATTGTTGTTGTTGAGGTTGTTGTTATTCAACTGGTCGTTCCCGTTGGGGATGGGTGCTGAACAGAAATTCTGCTGCAAGCTGAAGTTCGAGACGTTGAACAGCATGTCCGACGGGGAGTCGATATCTGAAAAATGCTTTTCTACTTCCTTGATGGAGGACTTCGAGATCTAAACGTGAAATAGTTTCTGTTCGATTCATTTTTGGTTCCATGAAATCATAATTTTTTTATCGTGATTCTTCTCCAATTGAATCAAAGTCAGTGTGAATGAGCTCTGTTCAGTTGTTAATGTAGACTTGAAAAACAAAAAAAAACAGTGGAAGAAGATTTTAAACTTCATTTTTCCGGGTCGTCTTCTTATGAAACTGGAATAATCCCCGCCTAGTCCCAGAAAACTACCGGAAAAAAGAGAGGAGGGATTTTTCGTTCAGTATATTTTTCAGTGCTTCTTGTCCTTCATCATGTTATTTCTCTCTGTTTAAGCATTTTTGAAGCGCAATTGACATGCCAAGAAGAAATTGGACGTGCGGAAACGTCGGAGGATTTCAGGACCCTCATAACTCAACGACGTTCTTTACTCGCATATCAACAGTTGTCGCGCCCCCGTCGTTCCGTCGGCGATTCATCGCCTAACGTCGTCCACGACTTGCTCGGCTCTCGCGAGAAAGCTCAACTAAATTGATTGACGAACAGGCTTCTGGAGTTGACCTTGTCAAAGCTCATACTAAAATGTACTGAAAATCGAAAGAGAACTTTGAAAAGAAAACTAAAGATTATTTTCGATAACAGAGGTGAAACTTTTTATGACTCCTGTTTCCATCTGATGTTGCAAAACCATTCGACACTAACCTGTTCTTTCAGAAACGATTCTCAAAACTGAATAAGCCAAATAGAAAAAAGCAGCCGATCAGAAAAAAGTTTCCCCGAGGAAGCCCTTCATAAATAGGCTTTGAAGCTCATACGAATTTCAATTTTCCAAGAAAATTCTTCGAAAATAATAGCAAATAACGGCTTTTCGGGACAAATATTTTATTTAAAAACTATGAAGAATTTAATTTTTTTCAAAAAAATATCGTCCCTTATTGATTCCATTTTTTTCCAGAATGAAAAATGTCTTTGTAATACCGAAAAAAAGTTCATCTACTAAAATTTAAATTGTTACCCCTTAAAATTTAGCAAATATCAAAAAAAGTCAGGTTTTTCATTTAAAAATTAACAACTTGATAACCTGTTCAAGGAGGTCTATGAACGTTTTCATTTTGCCCTACTCCAATCGTCGAATAAGAATTATAAATTTAAGCAGACGTCAAGCTCGAAAAAGATTTAAATCGCAAAATTTTCCAGGTAATCAGAATTTCGGATGTTGAAACTCTGAACAGACTATTGGAGCTTGATGAGAAAGTGCGCGAGCCGGAAGGAAGGAAGCACATTATAAAAAGGCGCCCACTCACATGTGTTCTTCGCCATCGACTTTGGCGGTGTGCCCGGCTCAACCTTGACGACATCGTACGGATTGTGGTGCATCAGTGGGGGCGCGTGAACTTCCATCTTGTTCTCGTCGCCGAGTTCCGCCAAATGCATGCACCCGTTAGTTCACCTGAAACTCTTCGACTTCACAGTTTCGAAAAAAAAGGTTACAGCAAAAAGGTTGAATAATTGATTCGAACATGGCTATAGGAAGGGCACATCAACTAAAAACTCCAGAATTCTCTCTTGCAAAACAATTTCCTTATGTTTCAATCTTCGCAGATCGCTCAAAACATCACTTTTTTTTATACAGAAAACAGGAATTTCAGGGGTTGAAAATTTCAGAATTAGTTAATTTAGAATAACGGAAATTATTTCAGCCCAGCTATAGATCGTGCTGAAACTCCCAGTAAAATAAATTAGAAAAACAAAAAAAGAAAGCAGTATTGAAATTACGTGGGAATTACAAAAGAGATTCGATTGAAGAAGCAGTTTTTTTTGTTTTTGATAACAAAGAAGTTTTTATCAGTTGAGAAGTAAACCCAGATATTGCTGATAAACTAATTGATCAAATGGCTTTGATTATTTGGTTCACAGTTATTTTCTGGGAAAGGCTCAAATATTTTTATTTCGAAAAACATCAAGATTTTCTTCAAAGCGTTTTCAAGCTTGATATTATTAGAAAAAACAACTAACATGAAAACTCCAATATTAGCGTGAAAGAGAAAAAAAAGCGATAGATACAAAAAAAGAATGTCAAAAAAATGTGATAGAAAGAAGTAAGCGAGGTATCGATCTTTGAAACACGAAAATCAGTTAGAGGAGTGAGAGCAACTCTCGCCATTCCTTCCCTGTGGTAGGTTATCAATGGCAGCGGGTCGAGAACTTGTTCTGCGGTCGAAAAATTGGAATGCAACGCGCCGCCGGTGCTCCGCCCATTCTTTTATTTTTCTGGTGGTTACTGTAGGTGGCATCGGCTGAATGCGGCAGGAGAGGAAGAACGCGCTGTGAGCTGCAGCAGACTCTGCTCCTGGACGGTGGGCGGAGTCTGAGCTCGGACTCTCGGCCTCCGCTTCAAAAGTTTCTCGCCACATAGTTATGCCACACAAGCATGAGTAATTTCGAAAGTCCATTTGGAAAAGCTTTTAGGTGATTCACGGCTAAATGGATTTTTATCGCTAAGAAATCACCAGCGAAGAAAAATATAGCGTTTTTTTTTTACTTTTTGCCATCTCGGACGATGCTGATGAATAACGGTATGTATTAATAGAAAAGTAAAAGGTTTGATAAAATAAAAATAATCTGGAAAATTTTCTGCTTAGCTCAATTTCTCTTTCTCGGAAGTTTGAGAGAAAATGAGTTGTCTTTTCAGAAATAAATATGTTATATTTGCAGTAAATCGCATTGGATGAAAACTGTATTCGTCATTGCTTGACAAGCTTCTTCTTCATTCAGAGTGACAGGAATCGAACTCAGCGGAAACAGAGAACAAAAATCCGACAAACTCTACTGAAAATCAATGATTCTGATGCTCGGCTTAACATTGATTTCTTTTTCTCATCTTATTGAAGTCCACTAAAGAACTTTTGAACTTTTTTCCGCAGTCCTTCAAAGTATCCTAACAAGCTGATCTGGGAAAAATGACGTCAGATGGGAACGGCGACCATGCGTGGACTTCCTTTGCTGCTCATGCAGTTTAAAGAAGTGTAACCGACACGTGGCGATCTCTGGTAGGGGTTTTCCCTTCGGACACTCACACGCTCTCCCACGAACTGTAACAATGATGTGTAATGCAAATGTTTGTTTGTAAGTGTAACACAACGCTCTCATTCGGTCGGCACTGCGCCGTCCTGTTCAGCGGCTCGCTCTGCAGTTCTCTTTACTGTTTTCTTTTTTTTAAATGCTGACTTTTTTGTGAAAATCCTTCGATAACCACTTTTCCAGAGCCTGGCAGTTTTTCCTTTTTGTCTATTTCTTCAGCATTTTTCCGGAAGGATCTCCGATTTAACAGTTTGTTCATTGCTACCCTTCTATGAGCTGTATTTTGAGACCAGCTCATCCCAAGCCTGTCAAGTAATACCGAAGCGCAGGCGGCGTCAGTTGGCGTACAAGCCTTGTCACTCATTGCTATCTTGAGGATTTTTAGCAGGCAGGGCAGCCGTCCGTCTTAGTCGTTCCACCTTCCACCATCTAGACGTCTCGTAGATACCCACACTTTTTCCAAAAAAACTTGAATTCCATCTTATCGATCTAACTTATTGGTAGCCGAAGTTTTTTGGGAACACAAATACGAAAAGTGAACAAAGAAGGGAAAATCAAATCGACAACTGTACGCGACTCCTATTTTGGTGGACAGTGAGTAGGGGCAATAATTCTTGATGTTGCTAGTTGACAAAAACATTGTTGGAAAACTGAATTTGTTGCGGTTTAATGATTGTAGAGGTCAGGGGCAAGTGAGTCTCAATTTTAGAAGGTTCAAAAATTGATGTGAGCTCTCCAAAAAATTAGAAATTTTTAAAATGGACAAACAACTGACATATCTTAATAATTGAGGTCCATAAGCACAGACTTTTTTTAGTGTTTCTAATAAGAAGTTGAAAGTTGACTATTAGAAGTTGAATAGTTTCGAATCCGGCGGAACAAAAAGGAGGTTTCAAACTTTCCTATTCCCATTGTTTTGTCAGGCCATTTCACGACTATAATATCCACGAAAACTTTCAAACGATAGATTGAATCAATTGCTCAGAGCTGACTTACTGATTAAGTTTCAGATAATTCAAGAAAGTATGTCAAGCTCGATAAAACCCTACAGGTGCTGTGAAAAAAAACTTCGCCTTAGTTTCCCGAAAAGGTTCCATAAGCTCGTGTCATGCATTTTTTCGACCCAATAAAAAGCAGTCTTTCTGAATCCAATAAAGATATCAATGCTTGAAAGATAATTAGTTAAGGAATAAGAGATCGGAAAAAGAGGAGAAGATAGTAAAAGTGGCGTGTGTTGGCAGGAAAAGGGAAAGCTGCTTTGCCTGCCCCGCGTTTTTGTTTCTGCCAATATGGCGCTGGAAAGAAGCAACGTTTAACGCGAACTTGATCAGCAGACAGCGTCTTTTCCACCTCTTCAAGGGCTTGACGCCACTGAGAATCATCTGACTGCTGCCTAGAGCTCCTAAACCGGTCGGATTGACCGAGTAGTCCAACTCATCATTATGCTAATCAAATTAGCTCAAGATTAGATTTTTAGTGAAATTTCGGAGCAATAAAATTGATGAAAATAAAAAATTGTACTCAAACTAGTTTTGCTCTCATAAAAGTAGTTATGTTATGAGTTTTCCAATAGTTCATGTTTCTTTTCTCACCTATTCATGTTTTGAGAAGGTAATGCAAGAATTTTAAGATCTTCCTTGATAATTTCGTTTTTGCTGAAGTTCTCTCAGAGAGAAATCCAATCAAAATACATGGAGAACTTGAAATTTCTCCTCCTTAGACTGAGCTTCAACTTGCAGAAACAGATAGATAGCAGAAAACTCTATCATTTCCAATTTTTTCTTGAGTAATAAATACAATATATTCCGAGCACATGTCTTTTGCCGACGCTGGCTCACAGCTGCCGCATTATAACGATATTTCTTCGAATTTTTTTCTAAGCCTCCAAATAAAAAAGAGCTGTTTATGCAAATAGAACCATTGTAACACATGGTCAGGTCACATGCTGGCTAAATGACAATCACGCAGAAAAAATGGCATGCGGTAAAAGAAAAAGGAGCGGAAAAAAGAAAGAGGACCTAGAGCGCCAAATACCCGGTTTTAGAGGACGGCAACTGAACAAGCAACAGAAGGCAGCATAATTTCAACGTCATCTGATTGGCAACACCTATGTGTTTTCCTGACGCCACTTCCAACTTTTTGTAAGAACTTGAGAGCAAGAGCCACCTGATGCCTGAAAGGCTAATGGAAAATGTTCAGGAATGTAATATCAGCTGGAAAATCGCAAGTGAAAATGCCCTGTTCTTTTTGGTTTCAAAGAGAGAGCGTCTTACTCACACGAAAAACTTGATAGTAGAAAAGTTCTGTCTTAGTGAACTTGTTTTGAAACTTGATTTGCCGAATTGGGAACTAGGAAGAGCGAATGCCTTTTTTGAAACTCGGAGTAAAAGTAATTGAACAATGTTTCAATTCATCAAAACTTTTCTTCAATTTATGAGAAACTCAAAAAAAAAATTCTGATGATATCGATAAAAAAGGAGAAAAAAGAGAAGTCACGCGCCACCCAAGGCAAGGAAAGTGCGGGAAGTCTATGTGAAAAGACCTCGTAGTCAACGTTTTGCGTAACCATAAAGGATAAGGGCATCGGCAAGGCCAGATGTGCGGAGCTGCCGTTGCTCGAGCCAGTAACATATGAGCTCGGCATCGCTCAGCTCCAAAAAACTCGGAGAACTCAAAAAACTGGATCGTTTTAGAAAACGGCAGAGCCCAATGGCTCAACGAGATCGGAACGGAAAGAAGAAAAAGTGAGAAGCGAGGTTGAGGTGAAGACTACTGTATGTTAGTGAGTCGGTGAATAGGGACAAGCGCGGAGGGCAGCTGACACGCCTTCTCGAGGCGACGCCGAGGTGCAGAAAGTTATGGGTGCCTGCTTATTTTTTTAGTTTTTGGGAAGCCTCGAGAAGTGCTGAAAACAATAGATTTATGCTTGATAGAAACGAAATTATCGATTTACCGCAAAAAATGCTTTCTGGGGGAAATTCAGCTCGAAAGTTCTAAAAACTTAGTCAAATGAGTTACAAAAGGAAATTGATGTACAAAAAAATATTTTAAATTTTTCAAATTTTTGTCAAAGTTCGATTTTTGAGAAGAATTCATTCTGAGAGAATATAGCTTCTAACGTTATACATCTTTCTGCAAAGTTCTGAGCTCTCAAATTCGCAAAATTCTCAAAAAAAGGTAAAATGCGACTTAAAGAAACAGCCATGAAAAGTTGATTGAAGTTTTTCTTCAGAGTTTTTTCCATTGAAGGCTTTTTCACACATATTTCTTTTTAGAAATCCCATAGCAAAAACTTTCCGAAAAACCTTTTTCATTTATGTTTCCATTAAGGTTTTGCTTATCTAAATTATCATCAAAACAGGTGCCATTTTCGGAATATTGACTCATACCCTCACGAAATACCAAACGAACCAACAAGAACTAAAGAAGCCCCTTCTCCCAAGACATCGAATGTGTCAAATGCCTCTCCGCTTCTCTCAGGCCATTCAATACGCACAACAACAACGACAGTTGCGAGTCTCGAGAAATGAATGAGCCAGAAGGACGGCACCGGAGGGATAACTTGGGAGATAAAATATAGGAAGACGGATCGCCAGCGGCTGGCCAAGCGCACAATGACGGTAAGCAGGGCTTGTTAGAGATAAGATTTCGAGAAACTTTTGTAAGTATGCAAAAAAATTTTTTATATCAAAATGGCTTTTTTTCGCAAATATAACTGTTTCAAGTGCCTGCACGAGCCATCATTATGATATTCTTCCCTGAAAAAATTTTCTGCGGAGTTTCGGAAATCTGAAAAAAACTGAAAAAATTTATTACTTCGACACATGGCACCAACAATTGAAACTTATACTGTCTTTTACAAAACTCGATAAATCACCTAAAATTGATCAAAAGAAAGGTCTAATGTAAAAACCCTTCAAATTTCCAAACTTCCAAATAGTCAATTTGGCGATTAAACGGAGGAACAGCTTAGAGGAAAACACGTTTGTCGAAAACTAGCCTTAAATTGGAAGAAGGAAACGATTGATGGAGCAACTGTGCACATCAAAGGCTCTGCGCCGAGCACTTGGAGCGGCTAGAAAAGTAGAATCTTGATTTACTCGCTGCGCGCCGCTTTCGCGCACTTCATTTTCGACAAATGAGGGTGACAATTGTTGCCCTGAACCCTTTGAGAAATCGGCTTCTGTTTGCAACTTCCCGAAATCTTATTCTATTGAAAAAAGAGGGGAATTTGAGAAAAAAGACGTTTTTTTGAGAATTATCAAGCTTAAATCAAAGTTCAAAGCAAATAAAGAAAGTCAAAGACAAGAAGCGGAAAGTTCCAAGTGATGTGAGCGAAAACGGTGGGGCAGATTGCGATTAATGAGAACATGAAAACGAAGCCGGTATGGCATCAGAGGGAAAGGTTGGAAAGTGAATGGCAGCGAGTACCGGCTAAGAACTTGCCATTTGCAGAAGACGTCAGGGGAGAAATAGCGGACCGCCGGCCAAGGCGCAGGTAATGGAAAGCCTATCTCGGCGGGTTATGGCAAGGGCGTCTTGCCACGAGAATCAAGTTTGCCAAGAAGCTGCCGATGTTTTGGCAACATTCGACAAAAACGGACGATTTGAGGGAGCAGCTGAATAATCGAAGTAATTTTTTCTAGTTCAATTTTTTGACAGTTTCTTTAAAAATAAAAAAAGAATGAAGATCTTTTTCCGGGTGTAAAGGAATACTAGAATTCGTTTCTTGACGAGCATTCCTCGAACAAAATTTATTGATTTCTGAAAAACTGTTGAAACGCTCAAAGGGAGAGAAAGTGCCAAAGCTTTGCAGTATCTGACGGATTGTCGTCAATCATCGCGTCTGGTACGCAAGCTAAGGATCAAAAAAATTAAACAAAAAAATTGAGCTTCGAAACTCGCTTTACCTCTTAATAAACTTGATTTTTGGAAAAATTTCATTTTTTTCTTCATAAGCTGAATCGAATGGGATTTCAATTAGTAAAATGAAAATATCCCCTTCTTTCTGAACCGTTGATTCTGATTTTTCCAGGTCCAAACTGAGAAAAAAAAAGTGAAAGTTTTACTTCCAGTGTCAGACTGCTTGATGAGCGAGAATTCAATGGGAAAATTCGAAAAAACTCTCCTTTTCTGGTCGATCGCTACACAAAACTCGAAAATCTCGGATCTCACCTCTAAAATCCGAGTTTTTTGAGTCGCGCTCCCGAAAGAGCAGCGGAGCCAGGCCGCCGCGCACATCTGGAGCCCGCAAATCGCAATGAGTAATAATAACGAGGTCCAGATGAGAAGGACCTAGTTAGTGTAAAATATACCGCATTTCGGGTTCTTTTTGAAATTTTCTGGTGATTTGAAATAAATTTATTGAGATCCATTTTTGAGGAACACTGATTTGTGCGCAAAAACAAAGGATATTTTCATATATCAATGCAATGTGAAATGCTTCCTACACTCAAAAAGCGCCATTGCAAGGAAGAATAATTTCAAGTGGACTGTGTAAAAATGTTTATCACAGATTGGCGACTTATAACTAAAAAAAAGTACCAGATACAAAAGTATAGTTTTTTTTTCACCGAGCACTCCAGAAATCACACACACACAAATGTTTCTCATTGACATTTTTTCAGCTGATTGGAATAGTTATAGAAAAATCAAAGATATTCAGAGACTGCGCGAAAATGAATGAAACCTTTGCAGAAAGAAAGTGGAATTAAGCTTCCGTTTCCTCTAATTGATGCCTGAAATGGAAATGGCAAAGTGATCTTGAACCCCACTGAAACTTGGCTTTCGCTGGCGCGCCGACATCAAAAAAAAGATAGAAAACTTGCTAGTCGGACGGTTGCGCAACCTGCCGTCTCCGCTTCCTAAGAACCACACTTCCTGGAGTCTGCCATTCGATCTAAGGGAATTTTTTGTCACTAATTGGTTAGACGGTCGCTTTCTATGCCGTTTTTCAAAGAGCATTAACTGTTGAATTGAAAAACTGATTTCTTTTCTACGAGTTATAAAAAAAGGATGAAAAAAATATTTAGAAAAAAAGTTTCCTTTTTTTCAGAAATTTGAAAAAAACTTCAAAGGAATTTATTTTTATACTTTCAGTTACTTCTGTCAATAAACAATTCTCGAAGTTCAATAAAGGCTTTGAAATTTTTTTACTTATTTTTTTCCTGAGAGCTTCGAAAAATACCGCTTCAAGGATAATTAAGCGAAAAAAAGATGGGCCTTCCACAAGCTTTTTTTAGGCACTTTTTAAGAGAATCACGAAGAATTCACAAAAAAATATAATATTTCAAATAAATTCCTTTCTTTTTGTGTACAATCTGATTCTTAATTTTTGCGTGAATCATTTTATATCATGAAATACTCTAAAATGAGTTCATTTCTTTCTTAGTATGAGACTTTCGAGAAGCTGAACCCTCACGGTACGACTGTCGAGCTAGTTTGTCAAAAACTGATTGCCAGTTGTGCCTGGAAAGTGGGAGACTGAACAGACAATACGCTCATAAATCCTATGCTGATCGCCATAAACGTTGGGCGCGAAAGACAGTATGCAGTCATTTGTCATCTCAACTCGATTCAACGCGACAACTGGAGCAGACAGCGAGCAGAAGCTTCTCATATCAGCTTACGAGTGAGCTCGTTCCTCAAACTCCCTCATAACCGGAACAACGAGGTCGTCGCTGACTCGCACTTCTCTTGGGGATCCATTTCGTCATCACAGGCAATCGTTAAAGCAAGGGCTTGATGAAAGGCAATGATACTTATCTCAAATCAGGGTTCGTAGAAAAAAGAACTTGATGAAAAGGAATATCAAAATCTGAAGATTTTCTCATTGATATGGTTGTTGGCCATGATAACAAAGGAAGACGGCGGAAGATTGGCCAAATCAATATTGTTCGGCAGATATCCATTTGCCGATTCATCAATAAAAAGTGCTAGATAAACACGTCTACAATCGAATTCATTTTTTTTGTATTTAGAAGTCAAATAAAAATCTTTATCTTTGGAGATATATATTGACGCATATTTTATCAGGAGAAATATTAGAAAGCAAACAAAAAAAACGCGCAAGAAATTTGCATGTATAAAATTTTTGTTTCAAGCTGGATGTTGATAAATTAAATACTATTACAGTTTCTTCGGATCTACAGAGGCAATTTTCTCATCACGGAATGAATCATATCAGATGTTTCTTTCTTTCATTATTTACAAACTTTTTAAAAACTTTTATTATCATTTACACTACATTCTGAGGTTATTGAAGGTCCAAGACATTTGAAATTTCCTACAAAGTTCAGATTTTTCCAACTTGAAAGAAATACAATAAACATCTTTTCAAGCAAAAGTCGAAAACCGTCTGTATATTTTTGATCTAGAATAATTTCTCTCTCTCGCCATCATCAGAGTGTTTTCTTCTTTGAGAACGTCTTTTTCCAAAAGTAGCCGACCTCTGATGCGCAGAAAAAAAAGACGGAAGCGAAAGAGAGGGGGTGTTTTACGTTCAACTGATACCCGCTTTCAAGCCTACTCATAAAAAACAAACGGATCGGCAGGCAAATTGACGCGGGGTGGCTGACCTTGCTGTCAATAGTTTTGCCTGACTTCCACCCATCCATCACGTCTGCCTGATACGCTCTTAACAGGTTATCAGCAACCAACTCTTACAAGAATTCACGTTCGTGAAAACAATGGCACCGAAATAAACAAATATCCAATGAAACTGCACTTGATGAATGGGTCTGATGATTTCTTAAATAAAAAAATGAAAAGTCCAAATATGTCGCATTGAAACTTGAAAAAAAAATTATATTCACAATGATTGCTTGATCATGCATGGAGTAGAGCACAGTCTTTCATAAAAAAAAACTAAAAAGTTTCTTGAGGTTTTTTTTTGGGTTTTTAAAGGTTACTCCAGTTTACAGGATCATTTCACCTATTATAGGTTTCATATTCAAATTATTATCATTGGTTTATTATTGAAACCATTATCATTGATCAACTGAAAACCTGAAAAGTCCACAGTTGAACCACTTTCTCACGCTCTACAACGTTTCCCACGTGGCCCGATGGGAGATTGTGTAAAATTCAGTAGATTTTGTAAAGTCAATGTAATATTGTGACGCGTAACGGAGAGCGTCGCTCCCGGTGTTCTTGACCAGGTAGAGTTGCCGAGACGGCGAGAAAAAAAGAAATGATAAGGTCAAGGCGATCGTTGTCTTTTGAAAATTTATGAATGATTTTTCGGAAGGCAAATGAAACATCGATAGGAATCTTAATTGGAAAGTTGCCTTCTGAGATCCATCAGGAAATTTCAAAACCAGTATTGCTGTTCGAAAAAGAAAGTCGTGATAAAACATAGGTTGGAACGAGAAAGACACATTATTATGTTTTCCGGAAAGTGCACAGGTAGATTTTGTCGAAGAATGGATAAAATGATGAGACTGGCAAGCGCTTTAGGAATCAATGAAAAAAAGGAGAAAACAAAAAAGTTGAATTCTTCTCAGATTTTCTCGCCGAAATCAATATACGATAAGAAGCTTTCAAAATTTTCATGCGCGTAAGGTCGAACTTCAGATCAAGACAACGTGTGGTGAGCAGAGAGTTCTAAGACGCAAAAAGAGCTTTCCGAAAATCGCCATGCAGTGATAAGAAAGAGGGTCGAGGCGGCAAAATCGCACGGTCGTAGGATATAGTGAAATTTCAGGTAGAGCGATGGACTCACGGCAAACGCAGAGAGCATTTCGAGGTCGGAGCTCACAGATAACCGGCTCGAGAGGTACTAGACTCGCTCAAATACGTTCGCGCGCAAAGCCGTTTCGGATTTCGGCACCTTGCACGCTTCTCTGCTGATATGCTAATTAGTCGCTGATTAGTCAACTTAATCGGAAAAATCACCTTTTTTTAGATTTGTGAAACCACTGCTTTTTGGCGTTTTTAAAAATAAACTACACAAATTGAGCCAATAGAGATCTTTGGAAAAAAAACTTGCAAGTCTTTTGTTTAAAAAAGTTAAGATAATAAGTAATTTATAATCTCTATTTTTGCAGTTTGTTCGAAACATGAGTATAATGATACGATAACTTCTGAAAAATAGACAAATTCTCAAAAAAATAATAGTTTTTTTAACGTCTCTGTAAATTTTCACATAGCCATGTGAGGAATCGAGAATGATTAGAAGTTCCGCCTTTTAAAAAAAGTTGACGACTTAGAAAAATTGATAACGGAAGAAAGATTTCAAAACTGCAGACGAGAGAAATTCTATCAGAAAAAAAAACAAGAGAAAACTTGCGAACGTTTCTGTAAGAATGACAGAAACTTAATGTTATGTAATCTTATCTTCCCATCTACTACTCCGCAAAAAAAAATGTTCGCGTCCCGAGAGATGCACGTCAAAGAAATCAAAACAAACGCAAAAAAGCATCAAAGAAATCCGAGTGACGGAAGAAGTTTCCCAAACAATCGATTCATACCATTTAGCTCTTTTCAAGATGAATAAAAAACGTCTCACGTTTGCCACTAAATGCCAGGGATTTTTTGGCATATTGACATTTGAATTGGGGGCGTATCCATCTGTCTGTGTACCAAAGCCGACGTCATTTTTTTTTTCGCAACACAACCTCGTTCATGGTGTCGCATGGAGTTTCCATATGACGTTGAGAATTTGTGAAAATAAACTTACAGAAGGGAGGTAAATTATTGAAACCCAAGCTTTTTTTTTTTGAAGCGGGGTACAAATTTATTATAGAAGTTGAGTTCGAAAAGTTCTAATTCGATTTTTTTCTAATTCGAAAAAGTATTTTTGAGCAAATAATTTCAAGGAAGTAAATAGCTTTACATTTTCAAAAAGTTTTACTTCTAAGTAAATTTGAAAAAAATTTTTCGAAACCTGAAACTTTTTGGTTAGTTGCAAAAAGTTCTTTATTCGAATGATGAGGCAATTGAAAAAAATAGAAATCTCTTTTTATTTGGACGTGTCGATTTTTTTCTTGATTTATTTTTTTCAATACCTGTTTATAGTTGCATTTTTTATTTGAAGAAATAAAAATAAAATAATTTCTTAGAACATTCCTCATGATTTTTCTAAGCATTTTACCAGCAAACAGTTCTGCTGATCTTGTCAAGTCTCTATTTTAAATATTTTCTAAAGCTAATGGTGGAAATTTGAAAAACCAAAAAAAGTTGATGGGAAGGCGGAAAGACTGCTACATCTTCCGCGGGGAGTAGCAGAAAGAACAATGGCAGAAAGTTCTCTACAGATTTCGGAAAGAAAGTTTTTTTCGATTCTTTCGACTAGACAAAAGAAAATGCCGACAAAGCCTCTAGGAGACGTGCGCAAAATCTTTTCGAAACTTTTCCTTTGAGACAGAGGACTCCTTGCGCAAAGGCAAAGAGACCAGGTGAAAAGTTCACCGACATTCTTGAGCGTCGGTTTTCTTCGCAACGCCTTTGATGTGAGACGGAAGGAGAGCTTCTGCCGGGCTTTTGTGAAGGTCACCAAATGCTTAGATGCCAGGTAGTCGGCTACGACAGCTGACGCGTTGCCGAGAGCGGCGAAGCTTTTGCGGATCTCGGTGACCCTCGCTCGAGTTTCCTGCCGCCGATTACCAGCCGTGTCTGCCGACTCTGTCAGCGATACTTTTTTCGCCTTACCTTCGCAGAGCCAGGGATTTCTAAGGATTTTATCCGAGCTCTTCAAATACATGAAAATAACGGGAGTGAAGCCAAATACGATATTAACAAAACGAGCAAGAAATCTAAAAAAAATAAATCATGTCCAAAGTTGTATTCAAAAAAAAACTTTGGAAACAGTTTCGAAGAAACCCGAAATTTTCCGAGAAATTAATGTTAGTTTTTCAAATTCATCCTTACCGCTTTTTGGAATTTTTTCACTGATAGCGGTTTTTTGAATTTGTTCAGCATACATTCAACAGTTTTCTTTCAGATTATTTTAAAGTCGTCAATTTATTCGAAAAAAACACCATTTTCATAATTTTTGGAAAGGTGATATTGAAGTTTCGTCAGTTCGTGGGACAAAATATGAAGCTCGTGGTCATTTCTGGCGTCGGCAACTAAGAAGTGTGGCGACCTGTCCTGTTTGTTCTTCGGATAATTATGTATTCATCTGCGAGTATCGCATGTCGCAACTTCTCGCACGGCACGTGTAGCAAATCTTCCGCTTATTCTGTTGCGCAACCCTGTTCTGGCGAATTATCCCTTTATCGAAGCCGATATTTCGACGTCGGGGAGCTTCTAAGAAATTATGATCAGGCTGTATGAGGACGGAAAAACACTTGTTTGATAGGAAAATATTAATCTCAATAATTTTGAGCCGTTGGTGTATAATAAAAAAAGGTGAATATTGAAAATGAGAATGATTTTTTCAAAAGATGGACTTCATGACTTATTGCAATGTGCGCAAACTTTAAAACTTGTCCGTTGCGCTGTGAATTTTTTTTTTTGAAATTTTGGATTTCGTAAAAATTATGAGCGCAGAATGAGTTATTGAGAAGCTCAGCTTTGAAAATGTGAATCTTAATCCCAAAACCGTTTTTCTTGTACTTCTGAAGCAGGTCATCTCTGAGACCTGATGGTTTTCGAAAGAAAATAAAATTCCATAAGAGAACGAACTTCTCGAAACGTTGAGAAATTTTACTTCCTCACTCAAATTCGGATAGATAAAGTGATTCATCAGCGTTATTTTTTTCGAAATAAAAAAATAGAACTGTTCTTTGAATTCAATTGTGCAAAGGAAAAAAACTTTGGAATTTCGAAAAAAACTGAAAAAAATTAAAAATTTTTTTGTTTTCTAAAAAAGTCTTTTGGTCGGTCATTTTCGACTTTGAATCTAATTAATTTTGTTTGCGAAGCGAGATTTGCAGTGAAAAATTGTATATTTCAGTTCAGAGAAAAAAATTCTGAAAAAGTAAATTGCTTTTAAGCGCGTTGAAAAAAACAAAGTGAATGTTTTTTTCAAGTTTTCGAAAACATTTTTTCCACTCTAATTCCAAATCTGATATGAAATGATGAAACGAAAAAAGTTGCTATCAGGACTTTCAATGTTGATGTGGAAAATTATGGTATAACGTGAAATTTCGTTTATATATATTCTGAAAAATCCTTCTCTGAATTCATTGTTTTTAGCTCGCCGCGGGACTTAGGGATGAGTCTCAATAAATTGATTTTCCCATTGTATTTTGAACCTTTGCTTTAATAATAATAATAGTTTATTCACTGCCATAAAAAAAAATTAGGTAGTATAGAAAAAAAGTATAAGACATCAACATATGACGGGCAGAAGAATAAAAATACACGTAAATGAGTTAACCCCAACGAGTTAACAGGTACCCGGAAAAAAAAATTTTTCAAAGTAGACGAGAAGGGATATTTTCATAAAAAGCTTGATTCGGAAGATTATTCAATTTGTTCCGAAGGGTTTCTGAGGTGACGTTAAAATCTAAATAAGAAATTAGTTTATTCCAAAGAGGAATAGTCCTAGAAAAGTAGTCAATAGAAAACTGACCAGCTGTCCGTAGTCGAAGTGGATTTCTCGGTAACAGGGATTGAGTGAAATACTTATTGCAATCGAGACAGTGATCAGAGCCACAAACTATTTTGCATCTTTCTCATGCTTCTTTCCGGAGTGCGTCTGATTTTCTCTCGAACGGCTTTGACGGCTTCTGGAGTCGTGACGGTGACTGGAAATCCCCTTCTTTGGATGTCATCTGAAGTACCGAGATGCCGATAGCGTTGTGCAGTTCGAAAAACAAGAAAACGAGACACTTTCAGCTTTTTAACGATCTCTGAATTTGTCATTCCGCTTTTGACACAATCAATGATTGCGGTACGGTACGGAGATGGAACCACCATTACCTGAAAACTGAAAAGTAGGAGCTTTAACTTCAAACACATGATAAGTGAGCATGAATGAACGAAATAAACAAAAAAATTCAAAGGCCAGTCCTTTGTGCAAAAAGCAGCGATCAAACAAAAAACGGTTTCAATATTTATTTGTCACCCTGTATTTAGGGTGATTACATCACAAATTTTACGGCGAATGAACAAAGGTTTGATATCAAACTGATTGAGGCGATCGGAATAAGAAGAGAAGCTGACATTACAGCGAATGAAAACTTCCCTACTGAAGAGACGGAGTGAAGATTCGAGTTTGTAAGAATCATCAGAGGAAATGGCGGGTGAAAAAAGCTCTGGACTGGAACCACGTAAGTTTGAAACATACGACAGTAGTTGAGAACATACAAAATTAGTTGCTTTAAAAATACCGAGGACTAGCAGAAAACTTTTGACCGATTCAAGTCGGGAAAACTTTTTCGAAATCTTCGATACTTTTCTAGGTTCATGCTTGAAGCCTCTTACAACTTCGTAATTTCTGTTGAGTGGGTCAAACCTTACAAGTGATCAGAGAGAAATATATAATAACCTTAACATTCACTCATTGCTCTCGAAAAAAAATTTTCCAGAAAAGCCTCTTTTTTGACAACAAATCAAAACGGTTGATGCAACATGTTAGAAATCTTCTCTCGATCTTTTGGCCTTCAGTGGCTCGAGAGAACCTATTAAAATGAATGGTAAGTGCGCTCCTCCGCACTCTTGCCAGACGTGATAATTTGAAATTTTCTATTCTTATGTTTAACAATTTTGTCAATGTCTTTTTTAGGGTTTTTTATTCTTATCTTCATATCTAGCAGTGTCAAACTTTCAGGCAAGCTTTATACATAGTTTAATCAATTTTTTTAGTTTTGAAAAAGATATTTTTTTAGCGTTTTATTTTTCGCTTTGTCCAGAAAGCGAAATAAATTTTTTTTATATTTTTTTATCGCGAACGATTTTTTTCTCGGAGAACTTTAATTTTCGTAAAAAGAAAAAAAGCAATCTCTTCAGAATGTCTGCAAAACTGTACCCAACTCATGTCCCGCTTTCTGCATTTTCCCGCCTGGCGCTTTCAGTTCAATCAGCTGCCACTGCTATAGTAGACCCTAGAAGAGGAGATATGGTCGCAGCAATGGGAGAAACAACTGCCATAGGCCCTGTTCTCGAGAATATTCGGTGAGTAAGAATACAGTATTTGAAGCCGATTCGAGGCTAGCTAGAGACGTAAGAAGCTATACTTTGAACAAATAAGGCTTGATCTATGAAAGCGCCAGTTTCTGGAACAGTTCAGGCAATAAAAATTTGTTTCAAGGACCTGTTTTAGTTTCTCAAGCAGAAGAAGAGGGCTCAAGCCATAATTTTTTAATTTATTCGGCACATTGAAAAAAAAAAGCAGGCTGCATAATGTTTTTTAAAAAAAGATTTCGCGATATATTTATAGAATTCTTTCATCAATATTTGATGGGCTATCAAATTTTTTTCATGTAAATGTTAACTTTCATAATTATATCTTGTTCGTAGATTATTTTTTTAAAGAAAAACGAATGGAAAAACGACGTCGTCGGCCGACGGCTCCTTCGCGAGAAACCCAGAATTTCGAACAAAACTATTGATAGGAATTATTTGACTTCACTGCCTCAAGGGACTCTTGGTAAAGAATATTCAAAGTATGTTTCTGATCTTTTTTTTTGACAATGATCTTGTTTTCAGTTTCCTGGAAAACTTGAAAACTTCTCCGGATGCCCGACCAGTTGTGAAATATATCAACAATCTAGAACATCTGTATGTTATGCAGAGGTACCGAGAAACTCACGACTTCACTCATGTTGCTCTCCAAATGAAAACGAATATGTTGGGCGAGGTACTATTAAATAAAAAAATATCTTTTCAAATGGCTTCAGGTTGCTGTCAAATACTTTGAAGGGATACAGCTCGGTCTTCCAATGTGTGTGACAGGCGGAGTTTTTGGCGGAGCACGACTTCTTACCAAGTCAGCCGTTAGAGCTTGTTAGAATCAAAGTTGCTTTTTCAGACATCGTCAGGAGTTTTTGCAACGATATCTACCTTGGGTAATTGACCAGGCATCTCATGCGCGACTTTTCATAACTTACGATTGGGAAAACCAGTTCGAAAAATCCCTGGAAGAAGTTCAACAAGAACTCGACATTGTGCCATTTGAAGAATATGGAAATTAAATTTATTTTTTGACGTTGTTCAAACTGTATAAAAAAAGTTTTTTTATTTTCTATTTTTCTAAAGAGTATTCTTACATAAACTACAGTTTTCATGCAGTTCACACAATTTCTAGACAATTTCATATTGTGTGATTTCGCGATCGTAGAGCTCTTGGACAGGGCGGAAGTTTCTCACAATTGGACGACGGTAAGGGTCTTCCACGTTCCGGAAAAGGTCAAGCTGAATGTTGGATGCTGAAGATACTGAGAAAAGATGAAGTAAACCTGTTCCTCGGTGACTTGGATTGGTTGAGGGAAGACCGTCCATGTAACGACCTCCGAGCATGGCGGAGTCGTCAAGGAGCCGGAGTACCTAAAGTCAAATCTCACTAGTTATATTTTTGAAAAATATTTTGAAACTGAATACCTGAAGAAAGAATTACGATTAATTGGTAGTTTATCAGCAAGCACGATGTTTTCGACGTAGGCGGAAGAATCTGCAAGATATTTTCACTTTTCTTGAAAAAAAAGCTGGAAAACTGTTATATTGAAGCCTCGAAAGAACTTGCTCCTCTTGAGCAAGAGCAGAACCATCGTCGCCGATTTCTAGGAAAACGCCAATGACGGCGAGCATATTCGGATCTTCAGTCCCCTGGTGAACCAAATGAAGTTCCGCCGGATAGCTCTTTCCGTCAATCAGGTGTTCAGACCCTGTTTTCACCTCATTATTCTAAATTTCCTTTTCCCATCACCTTCGCAGCAGTTTGAACCCCAATGGAAATGATATTGCACTAGACGGTAAACTTGGTCCAAACCGCCACCATAAATCTCCGGAGCTTCGCCGTACAGTTCCGGTTTCAGTTGAACTACACAAAATATTCCATAAAATGTTCATTGACTCGATATCTACCAGAATGTCCGTTGTTAACGAGTTCTCCGCGAAGAACATGATCGTAGTTTACAAACTTAATGCCGTCGTTGGTTTCATGGAACACCACATTGCTCAGGTCAATGTTCACTGGCGATTGTCTTAATCCGTTTGGCCATTGAGTAGGTCCTTCAAAACCCATAAAAATATTTCTGATAAATCAAAAAAATCTCTAAATTTGAGATCTTTTTTTATGAGTTAAATCTTTCTGAAAAAAAAAAACATTGCCTCTTGATGTCCCAAGGATACGGTAATAGGAGGGGTTTTTATTAATGAAATGGGGAAAGCTGTTTTCACAAAATTTTTTTCATGTCTCTTCGAGAGCTCAAGACGTATTGGGAGGAATTTTTCGTTTTCTCAAAAAATTTGGTGGAGCCAACAAGAAGATGGATTGGTTTGTGCAATGTGCGTCGAGGCAAAATTTCGTCTCAAAATAGTTTTGACAATAGCCAACTCTCTTTTTGACATTGATCATGAGATTCGTTAAATAAAAACTCCTCATAGACTTACCGCATCCGTCATCTTCGTAGTAGCTCCAGTGACCTGCAAAAATATTTCATATCGTTTTTGGAGCCTCAGTATTTTTTTCATTAGTTAATGAGAGGTAAATGTGTAGAAAACGAACCGGTCATGCTTGGAAGCTTTTGTGCGTTGAGTGGTGATAAAAGTGAACTGAAAATTTGCTCACTGTCCCTGCTTTTTACGGCTGACACGCAATGCTGACACAAACTATAAAATGGTGAGGAATTCAAACGATAGTTTTCAAAGAACTTGTGATTTGAAAACACCCGCTCTTCTAATAATGGAAGAAAAAAGTTTCAGCGAATCCATAAGAAAAATAAATCATCTGAGCCCGAACCTCATTCGCAATTCTCATCTTTCAGCTCGCTGTTAGAATATATCGGACATGTCAACTATGAATAATAATATTCACGTCTTTTTCTCAAATTTTCATGCCGAAGAAGTTTGAAACAAAAAAAACCGTTTGGTAATCAAGCAAACAATCTGAGTTTTTAATTTTACATGCTTAGCATTGAGAAAAAAACTGTGCTTTCCAACGAAAGAAAAGATCCTATGAAAAAGCAAACTTCGATGTTGAAACCGAAAAAACTACGTAGTTTTCATCTGAAGAGAGAGACAAAGCACCCGTGGGAGCTTCTGAACTTAAATGGGGTGAAAATAGACCAAGGTCTTAGAAGAAGCTTTCGAAAAAGGTTTTCTTCGCGTAAACTTCATTTAAAAGAACTATTACTCTCAGCTTAGGTCTGTTCCTCATTTTGAGTTGTCTTTTTTGAAATGAACCAGTGAAAAAGCCTGAAAAGTATTTTCTCAAGCCGTTCCGTGTTTTAATATGAATTTTGTAGTTAGCATCCTGATTCCAAACTGAATTATCTATTCCGACATTTTGAAGTCTCAAGTTTCTGACTGTTAGCTACTAAACTCATTATGAATACTGCACAAAATTCAAGTTGCTAAATCTCTGGAAAAGGCCGAAATTTTTGGATCAAAATGAAAAAATTTTCTCATCAGATTTCAACCATATGTGAAACCTGCCTTTTCTGAGTTTTCTCAAAAGTAGACATTAGTTTTTAGCTCGCCAAAAAGTTTTTGGCTGAAGCGAACACTTACCATAACCATTTCCTGAAAGAAGCAATAAAAGAAAAGTGCTTCTCGGAGCTCAGAAGTTTCTGCTTCTTTAGTGAAAAAGAAGAACGACGCTCCAAAAGGGCAATGCATGAGCATAAGAGCACATGCGCACAATTCGTTCATGAAAGGAAAAAAATCTTTAAAGCCAGAGATTGCGAACGTTTGGAGAGGAACTTCTACATATTTGCATGTTCGAAGTTTGAGAAAGTTTCGTAAGTTATTATAAAAGGACTTTTAATTAGTATCTCTCAATAGATAACGTCATTCAATTTTTCATCTGGAATTTTCATGACATAAAGCACAGAAAATTATCTGATGTCTCAGATGAAGATTTCAGAGTTGTCAGATGGCACGATAAACTTCTGTAGGTCGTTTTTTATCAAGTCGCAATTTGAAAAAAAATACTACTTTTTAAAAATATCAAAACAAAGGCAATATGATCATCTTTGTAGAAAGTTCCGCTCAAAACATAAAAAAGGGAGAAAATTCGGCAGCTAACCATTTTCTTGAAGTTCACTATTTTCGACGAGTTTTTGGCATCTCACGAAAAAGGGTGTTCAAAAAAAGCAGAAAACAAAGAGGGACATTCAAATATGACTGCGACGAAGGAAGATGTTTTCAGTATGCTAGGTTTAAGAAAAAATATTGAAAAAGTGCATTTGCAAGAGAGGGTGAATGAATTGAAAGTGGAGTGCGTGCAAATTGAAGCCGCAGTTCGCTTTTCCATCAAAGGAGCTTTTTTGCCGAGCGTCTGACAAGCCATCTGAGGCACCACCTTTCTCGGTTGTCTTCATTAAATAGAAAGGATTACGGTCGAACGTTCTAAAAATATTTGTTTTTGATATCGGGCAAGCGGTAGTCGTTTAAAAAAATTTGTTTTTTTGTGATAATGATGAGCTGCTCATTTCCTCACCATTCTTGAGAACGTAAATAATAACATGATTCTGAAAAAAAATTGGCCGGAAGTTTCAAGACAGCTAAATAAGTTAATCTTGAGTTAACCTTCGCTTTTGAACTTGGAGGCTGACTAATTTCCGCAGTTGAGAGAAACAGAAAAACAGGATATGAAGGAAGTTAACATGACATATACCAATTTACTAAATAACTTGTACCGATTTGATTAAATCTTGGGTTGTAAATCAAACCCTAAAGCTGTACCCGAAAAGGTAGCGACCGATATTCTTTCTGGCTTTCAAATTGCTCTGAAGAAGTCTAGAAAAAAATATTTCTTTTTTTACATTTCTGTTCTTTCTCCGAAAAAAATGATTCCTAATTAGATAATACACTCCACTGATCGAAAGGGTTGAAGGAAGTCAAGTAATTTATCGAGAAATGGGCCATGCAATTTCGTTTACGACCGCGAGATAAGGTCATAAGCTTGATTAGTGCTGTCTCATTTGACTCTGAGAACATTGAATCATCTTTTCTTTCCCGATAACGATGAAATAAGAGTTGAGTTTGAAGAATTTCGTCTTAAAAATTGAGAAAAAAGTCGGAAATTCTTTGGAAGGCTGAATACAGGTTTAATCATAAATTTTCAAAAGAAAAGCGTGAAAATCCTAAAACTTCTTGAATTGTTTTGAGGTTTTCGAAGAGTAAGGATTGCTGCTGAAAAATTGGTTTTTCTCGAAAAGTTCTAAATCGTGCGTATCAAGACTTCAACAGCAACAGTAGCAGCTTTTCATCAGTTTCAGCAAAAGTATTTCGTTTTCGGAAATCACAGAGTTAAATCATCACAAAATGCCAATTTCTCTTCAAATAGCTTTTAATTGTTTACCCAAGAGGTCCCATGCGACTAGAAGTCAAAAAATAAAAATATTTATTAAGCTTCAAATCGAGGAGACACCCGCACTGTATTATCTTTTTGAAATCACAGTTGGCGGACTTGGAATGATTGAAAAGGAATTTTGATTGAAAGTATCAAATACCGGGAAAAGAGGATATGGCTTCAAAATTTACAGCACAAGCTGAAGATAATGTTCAAATATCCGTATTGAGGTTGATGATGGCCGAAGCGACGGGCTGAGTGACTTGGTCGAGGAGGACGACGTTGATCTTTTCCTTCTCGGTGTCGCGCAGGCCTGAGATCAGTTCGAGCGTTGACGCCGTCGCTTTTTCGGAGAACATCTTCCGCAGCGACGAGAATGGGTGTAGGATCTGCATTTTCATTTGGAGACAACTGAATCATCAAAAAAACTTTTTTTAGGAGATTTTGAAAAATATCATAATAATGTTTTTTTTCATTCACTAGAAAAAGAGGTCAATCAAAAAAACGGGCAATTATTCATTTTTGTTCAGGGCGCTCTGAGGTTCAATAACTCAACAATAACTCAACTAGTATAAAAATAAGACTCCTGCAGGGTCTTGGGTCAGTGAACTTTGATATATATTCCTGCAAAGCTTCATAAAATTTTCAACTGGTCACTTACACCTGCTTGTTGGTTTTACTTCTTGTCAAAACTTTTAATTTTCTGCTTTTTTTTTGCGATTGCCATACTGTACTTTTCAAAGATTAATTGTTATTCTTCTCTCTGCAGTTATGCCCATTTTCTTTGAAGATTTTCTGTGTTAGAATAGTTCAATTATTTTGGAAAAAAATTGCGTTTTTTTAATTCAAAATTTTCTTCTAACTGAAAAGCCACTTACAATATCTGCTGGACGGGCGGTGATGACGCCTTGAAGGACATGAATCCTTTTAGGCGTTGGCTGAAGAATCTCGAGCCTCATGAAATTCATCAAGTCATTGATGCGGTTCTTGTTGGGCCATTTGTTTCGGATTGTCAAATCACTATAGATGAAACTTTCTACCGCTTGTTTGTAAGGTCCAACGATGACGAGTCTAAAAAAACTTCATTTTATCAATTTTATTTTCTCAATATCCGGTTTAAAAGAAAAAAAAATATCGATTAACTAATCCCAAAAATGTAGGCATTTCAAGTTTCAAGTTTAAACCTGTAGCCTTTGGAAGCAATATCCTCCAAAGACGTCTTGCTGAAGTCGTAGGAGGTCGGACAGATGATTTCGATGGGAAAAACTGCGAGAAGAGCATCCACAACAAACTGCACAAAATCCACAGGACTCATTCGGTAAATATGATTAATATCCAGAATGACGACCTCGAAAATTTTGATGAATTTCAGACAAGGAAATAAAAAAACCTCGTAATCATAAGTGTCCAAGAAAGTCTTTACTTGCTCGAAAAACATCTTTGCTGGGAGACCATACAAAGCATGGACGAGCATGGGCTCCTGGAAAATTTTTTGTTACTAATGAAATATCAGTTTTTTTAATTGATATATGAAGAAATTGCATAATTTTTCCCCGAAATCAATGATTTACTCACTATCGATTCTTTTTTGTAGGTCGTCAATTCTAGTCGAATATCTAAGTACCGTACTCCCGCTTTCAGCTGCTCAAGAATGTCTAGACTGAAATAAAAATGTTTTTAAAAATTTGGGGGATTGGTTAAAAAAGAAACCCACTTCTGGGTTTCCGACCATCTTTTCACAACTCTTCGTACAATTCTTGTTTTGCTAAGTTGTCGCACGAATTTGTTGAATTTTTGGTCGTGCGCCAGCGGCATGTCGACATGAAGATTATGTGCCCCCGAATCGTGAGAACCTTAAGAGAGTTTTCTGCTTTATAATTATAAAATCCCAACCTGGGATTTTCAAGGTAGAAAAGGGTGAAGTTTTCCTTGATTCGGGAAGAGAAGACATCCATCCGACCATCAACAAATTTGAGATAATAAGTGACATTCACTCACTAAAATTAAAAGAAATTTCAACCGACAGTGCTGCGGTTCACAAGTTGCACATGGAGAAGCTTGACAATGAATTTTTATAAATTTCATAACATATCAGTGAACAAAACAAAGATACGAACAAAGCGTAAAAATGACATTTTGAGAAGAGAAAATTCAGAAGCTCGAATGGGCAGCAAGTAGAACTTTTTCCAAATCCTTTTCACAATTTGTGCTTTCAAGTCAATTCTCATGATTTTTCGTTTTTAGATATACGTGAGTAAATGTGTTTCTAGACTTCCGGAACCACAAAGTTATGAGAAAATTGTTTTATTTGTTTTTTCTTCTAATTTAATCAAGTCAGGTGAGAATGAGTTCAGGGCAAAAAGTTATTTCTTAGACGTCTTTCAGAAAAAAAAAACTTTGTTATGTGGATCCTGATTGTTGTTCACTCAAGAAGTGTCTGAGGTCTGATCCAACAAGTCATAATGAACGGACCCAGCAAAGTTTATATAAAAACAAAAATTAACTGTTAAGTGATACTGTGAAAAGACGTGCCGAATTTGTTCAAAAATTGCTTCAAATAGCTTTTTAGATGAAAAGCTTTTCTCGTGTTTCTGAGAATCTAATTTTTTAGGTCAGTTGTTTTGAACTTTGACGGAATAAGAAAAAAATCTCTTTCTACGAGTGGTCAATAAGGGTTTTCTCAGTACCTCTCAGCCGAGTTTTATTTTACTGTTGAGTACCCTACTCCAGGACTACTAACCACAAAAGTTTGAAACCCGAGACGTCAGTTTTCAGAAAGAAAGTTTTTAGCTGACGATAAATTGTTGAATGGGAAGAAAGATCAGCTGAGTTCAGTGTTCAAAGGCTCTTTGGAAGGTTTTCGATGAACGCCTGTAGTTTTCCAGCGTCGATGCGAAGTGGCCGCTTCCCTGTACTCTGCGACAAATCCTTTTCTCCTCCTCGGCGTTATCGGTGTGCAGTATCAGCAGCAAATCAGAACCTAATACTACTTTTCATGCAAAAACAACTCTCACTACCTGTGCTCGTTATCACTTCAGGGGCTTTGTCCTCGCAAAAGCGACCGAAAAGTAGATCAGGATTGGCTTCTGTACCGTCGTAAACCTGCAACCTCGCCGATTTATTGAACAACCACCTTTCAGAAAATCAATTCAAATTTTGCAACTAACACAAGTCCAATAACATACTTTTATCTTTATCTTTATGTTGGTTTCTTTGCAATGATACCCAAAGAATCATAACCTCGACATAGTCATATTGGCAGAGATCTTCTGATTCCAACTGAAAGGAAGAGAACTGTAGCCGAACACCGCGCCCTGGAGTTCGAGAAGAGACGTGCCAAGCACAATCCTGCAGAACTAAATTCATTTTTTAAACTTTATCAAATCTATAACCTGATTTTTTCCATAGTTGCTATCGCTGAAAGACGCATGTGAGTAAATGTGCCCAGGCGACGACTCAGCCGTTAAACGGCCTCCGCAGACTAAAGTTGAGCGTTGAAACTACGACAAGAAAAAACCTCACCAGAAGTGTATTGAGCTTGGAATCCTTTTCTGGAAACGGAAGCATCTGAAGAGAACGCAAGGAAAAGCTCATTTGAAGATGAAAGAAGTACTGGAGGAGGCGTCAAACCACAAAAGACTCCTGAAGGGAAAAACTTTTCTGATAGTTCATCTATCAAAAGGATCAGTGGGAAAGTTTGAAAAAAAATGGTTTTAATTTTGGATACAACACAAAAATGCAAGGCAAAACCTGCAAGAGCGCTAGTCTCATCGCCGCCATCATAAATTGACACGGCGTCGTACTTGCACTGCGAATGTTCTTCTACGAGAAATGTCGAGAAAGTCTGAAAAATCACAATTTGTCGGACAAAAATTATGGTGGTGTCCTAAAGAATCATTATGAAAAACTTTATTATTCCGAAAGCGCACGCATAAAAGCCAATAAACCATCACAATCTGAGAAAGTAAAAATTTTTTCTCAGAATGAATGTTTTCATAGATTTTTCGTTTATACCGAAGCGTGAGTAAGTTTGAAACCGCTTTCTCTGAGAAAAAAAAAAGGAAAAACGATACACTCCACAAAACCAACCAACATGAGTCGATGACCAGGTGTAGTGACAAAGTGCCAAGAGCAGTTCTGGCCTTTGGGATACTCATGGGGATAACCCGGTGAGTTTATTTCACCTGCGCCATCATTTTGAAAACGTCCACATGTCGGGCTGACCTGTTGGCGCGTTTAATTCGAAGAAACAGCTGCCTTCTTTGCAGTTGTGACCGTCATCCGACAGAATGAACCCTGGGTTGCATGCGCACACGTAAGTACCTCCAAATTATTCATCAGAAAACGTTTGAGATAATCGAAAAACGGCTGCATTTCCATAGCTCAAGGAATGAAAATGAAGCATTTTTGAGAGAATAGAGTCTTACGGTAGTTTGTTAATGTTTTATTCAAGAATGCATTTAAGAAATTGAAGCGAAAAACTATGTCGTAGACAGTGTCTCTGACTAGGAAAAGCTCTTTTTAGTTTTTGTAGCGACTTAATTCGAAAACCAGATATATTGCGAGAAATGTCTTGTTTTTTTCTGGAATCAGGAGGTCTCAAAGTATGCTTTAGCAAAATTTCACCAAAAGTTCAGCGGAGCAATGAAAAAAGATCTCTAGTGAGAATCTCGCCTTTTTTGACTGTGAAAAAAATTGACGCATAGATTTTGAGATCTTAGTAAGCTCAAGAATTTTAGATTTCGCCTTCTTCGACTTATTTTGTAAATTTTCTCCGATTTTGTGAATCCTGGAAAGAGTTCTCCAAAAACTGAATTCGCATCAATTTAAAATTTTGAAGAATTAGTTTATTATGGAAAGATGCAAGTTTCCTTGATGAAAACTCACTCAGAGGCGGCTCAGGTGAGTTCTTTATGACTAACCTAATCGGTTTTGGCAGGTGTGTTCACATCCCGCGTTGTCGAATTGGCACTCATCGAAATCGGCAATGAATGAAGCAAAAAAGCCTTCGCGCTCGACCGAAGTGTCGGAACTGAACTCAATCCTTATTTTGTTGGTCGGCGACGTAAACAGCAAAGGCTCGTCTGAACATTCGGATCAAATATCTGAGAACGTGAACCACTTACTATACTCTCCACAAAGTTTCTCATTCTCTCCGATTTTCAAATAATCATAGGCACACTCGGTTTTCATCCCCTCAAAATGATTCGAAATTAAATACATATAATTGAGTTTTTTTGTCACTTCAATATTGAAACGGGTGAAATTGAGAAAAATGTGATATCCGACATCAGCTTCGATCTCCCAGATGCAAGCTCTTGACGGTGGGTAACTTTTCGGAAAATTCGGCGAAGAGATAGTTCCATTGGAAGCTCTGATGTAACCTCCACAAGTACTTTCACATGAAAATCCATCTGCGCTCAGACTGTACCCAACTCGGCAGGCACACTTAAAACCCCCTGGAAATTGGATCAACTTCGAGAACGGACAACATTGAAACTATCAACAAAGATGGTTTCATGATTTCTTATACGGAGTGTCTTAAAAGTTGCAAAACCTACCGATCATGTTGACACACATGTGTTCGCAATTATTCTTTTCGTTGGCGCACTCGTTAAGTTCCTTAGTGAATCGAATTTCGAACCCGGTTTTTTGCACAGAATTGTCGGATGTGAAACTGTAAATGCGCATTCAAAAAGTCTCTGCGCCACGAATCGAAAAGGCCTAGTGTCTTGAAAATGGCTCAACGCGATGCGGTGCAACACGTTTTTGGGCGCCAAATGAAGCGTTTCGATTCTTTGCCCTATTTTATGCTGCCTTTGACCTCAACATGTTTAACTGGCGCTGGTCGGTGCGTGTATTTAAAATATAGTCTCTGACTGCCTTTGTAGCTGCACGTTTCTTCATATCTTTTTGCTACACTTTTGCGTTTCGATTCGTGAAGCAAAAACCACAAGGATGAGTAAATGTTAAACGAGTTACCGAAGGGTCAAGTGATTCGAGCGGCTGACGAAGGTTTTTTTCTCAATGAGACCACAGAGTGATTCAGATGGATCAGCGGAGCGCGACCCTTCACCCAGCAGAAGTTTGTCGTAAATACAGTCTTTATGCTGTTCCAGCTCAAAAATTTTTCGTAAACCACCGTTTCAGTGATAAAACTAACATGGAAATAAACAAATTCGAGTGCCACTTGATTTTTCTCTGCGACATGAATTGTCCATAAGCAATCGCTGTTAGGTGGGTAAGATTCTGGATATCGTGGACTCTAAAATTGGTTTTTATTTTCTTGTTTCAAACTAAGAAACCTCAATGACACCACTGTCTGCGTATATTGGTCCACCACATATTGCATAATAAGTTGCAAAAAGGAACATGGGATAAAAACTGTCGATTTCATTTTGTACCAACATTCGGTTGCCAGAAGAAGCTATCGTGCGATACGAGGTTTCGTAGCCACATATCTTATCTGGAAAATGAAAAAAAATTTTATAGTCTTTTGAAAGAAAGTTATTGATAGGCTCTGTTCAATAATTTGACGGTGAAAGTTGACATTATCATGAATAATTACTATGACAGCCAAGAAAGTTTTTCTTGACTTTTTACCTGGAGCCGTTTTTTTGAAGACTTTTTAATTCTAATGATTCATAATCCGTTCACTTTTTTTCGAAAAAAAGTTTCACAAAATTTTTTTTCAAAGTTTAATGGGGGTGGCTCTGCGGTTTCCAATTTTACCTTCAACTCAAGTAATCCCACTTTTCAAAAGTTTCTAAAAACGTTCATATTTATGACACATCAATTTTTAAAACCCAAAAACTCAACTAAAAAGAATAAGTGAGAAATTTCGTGTTATGAAATCGTGATACTTCAGAGTAAATTTCTGCAAAGATTCACAATTTTAAACTGACAGTAAACTTTTATCGTGAATATCTGCATCCGATAATCCAAAATTCTTTCTCTGAGATTTGCCAACTATTCCTAAGAATCTTCGAAAAACGTACCCAGAAGCGACGAAGAAGAAGAAACTCCGTCCCGAACGGTGATCGAGTTGCGATGCTCGTGGCTGCAAGGCACACTCGGTCGAGGTATCGTAGAGCCTGCGGAATGCACTCACAATTATTAAAAGAGTCACAGAGTAAAAAATAGATTGAATCGCTACATTTTAGCCCTTTTTTCCCATTTGCACTTTCTAATTAACTTCATCCTGAGAAACGTATAGCGCCTACTTTTTTGCTAAGAATCTCTAATTAGCTTTTTTTGTTCCTATGAGTAATTTGATAGGACATATTGCAGTATATCTGGCAAACGAGTAATTGGAGAGAGAAGAGTTTTTTCGATACTTAGCGGGAAAGAAGTGGTCGAGAATCAGTTACAACGAAGAATTTATCTTGATGAACAAGTCTAAATCTTGAAGATTTTTTTATTGATGGAAATCTTATCATTTTGAAGCTAAAATATTCAGGCATTTCGTAGTAAAAAAAAAGGTCATTTTACTTCGTACTCTAAAGTTTTGTGAGGTTTGTCAGTCGCAAACTTCACAACTATTTATAAAAAAAAACGCTTCAAAAATCTTCGTTTTAGGATAAACTTTCAAAAGATGATTTTTTCTAACTCTGAAGCGTCGTCTTTCAGAAAATTCAAAAATTATCCATATTGAAGCTCTCAGCTTTTTTCTCAACACACCGGAGAGAAGCTCGAAGAAAAATAGCCTTTTCTGTGAAGCATTTTTTTTTGTATTTTTTTGAATTGTTCGAGCACCTGTGATGTTAAGAAAGATGGTGTGTCCGCGAGGTGCGACCAAGTACCAGACGCAACGGCCCGTTTTAGTCACAGCCAGGTTGCCGGACTCCTGCATCAACGTTCCGCCGCACTCTGCAAACAAGACACATTTGGATGGAATGCCCTGAGATACCTATTCAACCTGCACATTTGTACAATTTCTTAGCTTGTCGGATGTCGCCATCGCTGAGCTGAACTCGCTGTCCTATTTCAGAACGGAAACCTGCAACTCCCCTGCTATTTTTCTTCACTGTTACAGACCTGAGTTGGGTTTCGGCAAAATGGTGTCATGGAAAGCGCCTCGAGAAAATGTGTCTCTTGCATAATGCATTATCTGAAATTGGAAAGGAATATCGGTTATTCATCATAGGTGGTCCACCAGCCGACCGAACTAAAGTCGTACGGCTCTCCCAGCGAGTCCACTTCCTCTTGCTTCGACTTTTCAAAGTTGTAGTCTTGTCCTGTAAACTTCAAGTTATTCAAGTTTTCAGCAAACTCCTAATAATTCAAGAAGAACTTTTTTCGTATGTTTTTTCCTAAAAATTCAAATCTCTTGAAAAATATTCGGTTTTTGAAAACTAGCTTGAAACAGAATCTACAATGACGCTTGCATACCTTTTCTGTGCAGTTATTGAAAATAACGACAATCGAATCCTCACTCTTAGCACACAGAAAAAAGAAGTAATCATTAATGAAAAATTTTTGCAAAGGTAATTACAAAACCTGTTTGAATGCTTTTGTAGAAGATATCGACGTATTGGTCTCGGTCAGGTCTGGTGTGTTCGTGCCAGAATCCGACGACATGGCCCAGCTCATGAACAACGATCCCGAACTTGTCACAGTTCTTGCCGATCGATATCGCTTGAGGACCTTCGCCGCGACGACCGACGTAAGAGCAACAGCTGTAATTCACTCGAATGATCTTCAAAGAAATGCCCTCGCTGGTTCACCCGCATTTATCAACGGTGAACGTGATGTAATGACGGTGATGAGGTTCTTTTGGCACGAAAGAAATGCACGTGCTGTTCTCCCAGTGACGCATCGCACGATGGAACAAGTTTTGATGTTCTCCTGGAAACATTTAAATGACTTTCTAGATTCCAAAAAAGTCCCACGGACTTGAATGATAGTTTGCAACCATCTTCCAAAAACTTCTTCGAGTAGTTTCACATAAATCCATTTTTAAACTTAATATGTAACTAAAAAAACGAGAGAAAGGAAAAAAAGCTAGCTGTAAGCTTAGAAAGATTTTCTTTCTAGTATTTCTGAAACACAAGTGGTGTGTTAGTTCAAGTTAGTTGTAAACTTGAATCTCACGAATTTCTTATTTTTACCTGTTAAATTATTTTCAGTTAGCCGATAAGAACTAGGAGTGTTTTGAGTACCGAAAGTCAAAAAATTTTCGAAACGCTACATGGGCACACTAGACAATGAAGCATTCGAACATAAATATGTAAAGAAGATTATAATCGATTTAAAAAAGGAAAATAGCGAAAAAAAAACTCACCAAATCAAAACTGGACATGAATCGTTTCTTTATCGACGTTCGAATTTTTGATTGGAAGCAGGGAGAATACAAAAATGTGAAGAAATATCTTTTTCATGGGAGCGGAAAATGCATCGTCGATGTAAACAAATGCCATAATATTGTCCCCACGAGGAAGTAGTCAAAGAACAACATGATCGAGAAGTCATAATATTATAGAATGAATTGAAATGAGAAGGACGAACCGGAGAAATTGGAGGCGATCTCATACGGGATGATGCCCTCAGGCCAAACGCGTTCCTTTCTGGCGGTGACGGCGCGTGATTGTCGCGTGGCTCCGTGTAAAAATCGCCGGAACACGACGAATGTTCCAATCGGTGGCTCGCTATCGAGCGATTGAGCCACACAATAAACGGCCAACAGAAGGATCATGCTCCGAAGACCAGTCGTAGAACATTGCGACGACATCAAGCATAAAACTGTCTTCTATCGGAGTTTGTTCCTCCCTGAAACTCAGTTTTGACTGAACGAGTCTCTTTTGTTTTTTCATTTGGATATCGGTAACAAAATGTTCAGAGCACTTGATCAAGAAAATGAAAAACTCTCAATATTCTACTTTTTTTGGACTTACAGATGAAAGTAAAAAAAAGGAATATCCAATTTTTGATCACTTCGCAGAAGGAACAAAAAGTAAGAACTGTGAAAAGATAGATTAGGAGTTCATACTTTATTATGTTGAAGAACTTGAGTCTAAACTCGTTCTTACCAAATTTGCAACTTTACCTTTTTAAGCGAATTCCTATGAACGGGTTTGTTTCTACGAGACGAAGCAAAAAATTTGTATTCAAGACAAAATTTATTGTGACATTAATGAAAAAGGCATGAGAAGTTTTTTCTTCTTTAATGAAAAATTGTATATCAAATGAAAATTCAATACCAAAAATGAATAATTTTGGAAATAACTGTGAAAAAATGAAGTAAGTCAATTTCATTAAATGTTGTAACAGGAATTAGATGAATATGTCTACACAAACATTTTCATCAAGAAGAAGTAAAAGAGAAATGGTTAACATAACGAAACTTTGAAAAGAGCTCAAGCTTTCTCTCAACGCATGAGACAGCATCGATTGAAATGAATGGATTCTTGAAAAGCTTTTTCCAGCGATGTCAGAAATTGAAAGTGGTTTGAAGATACTTTTTTTCTACCATTAAAAATTTCCAGATATTTGAAAGAAGAATTTCAACACTCTTTTCTTAAACCAAACTTGATAAATACGGGAATGGCTCAGTTTCAAAACAAGAAATAAAAATTACCCTGAAAAAAAGAACGATTAAGTGGTTCCAGATGTAGAAGAAAGATGACCGGCGAGTCGAAAAAAGACGCGGAAGGCGAATGATGAGAAAAATAGCGACGGCAACGAGGCCGAACAACGGGCCAGGCTCCGCGGATCTCCCGCAGATCATTTCACACACATCTGTCAGTGGCAGCGGCCTCCCTCAACAGATGATCGTTACGTCATTCGCTTAATTGACCTTCCTGCAGCTTCTCAGGTAGGCAAACTTTTTATCAAAACGGCAGTTCATTCTATTTCTAATTGAAGTTAAGTTTTTATAGGAATTTCTTCCCTTGGCGCATTTTTTATCACTAAAAAAGATCATTCAACAAATTAAATCTTTCAATTCTGACTAGGGAACGTTTTCGACCCCCTGGTTGAATTTTTGATGAAACTTCGGTAAATGTGCTCTAGGACCTCCTTGTTGTAGAACAAAAAAAAATTTCTCATTTTCGAGTTAGGACACTCCAAAAGCTTGAAATAGCGCTTTTTTTTTTTACAATTTGTGTATATAATAAATTTTGAAGCTTCATATCTCAAAAAGAAGATCTAGTGCAAAAAAGGTTTTTCTTGTTCTGCAATCAGGAGATCCTAAAATACACTTCAGCAAATTTTCATCGAAACTTCAACTAAGGGGTAAAAAACATCCCCCAGTGAAAAAAAAACAAATTTTTACAGTTGAAAGGAAAAAAGTGCATGTTCGTCAAAACTTTCACGGAATTCCAAACCGCTATTCAGCAAAAAATGTAAAAAAACCGGTTATAGAATTTTCATAATTTGACTCCATGTCTGGTTATTGATTTTAGCTGGTGTTTGACCTTTTCTCATTTCTTCATATACTGAATCTTTCAATGTTAATCAAACAAAAATAAAGGCAACGACCGCCACAATTGAATAAATTTCCTATTGAAAAAAATAAAGTATTTATGCAGTAAGGAAATGATCATAAGATTCGAAAAAAAAATACAAATAATACAATAGAAGGCGCGAACACGATACAATTGGCAGTTGAAGCGACTTTTCGAAACAAAAACTTTTTTAGGTCAGTTTTGAAACGCTAACCAAAGAGAAAATGAATTTGACACTTGAAAAAAAAAAACGGTCCAATGAAATCCTAATGAAGTAGGAAACATATTTGCAATGACACATGTAACAATAAAGATTACATTGGTCCGCGTAATAAATAGTGTTTCCTAAAAAAGAGATTTCGTTTTTGTCGAAAATACATTTGATGATGAAGCTGCATTTAGGACTCATAATCAGACTTTGGTTATGCGACGGGCTCCGGCGCGGGGAGGCGCAGGTCGGGCGAACTGCTTGGGTGGCTCCTGGGGCAACGGATGGAGGACTTCTAGAAGAGCTTTCTCTGAGAGGTCATCCCTTGCATCGACTTCCATCTGCAACATCGGTAGTTTCATTTTTTTGAATCAGATCTTTTGAGATTTTTAGAATCAACACCTTCTTCTCGTTTTTAGATTCATCGTGTGAAAATTTTTCCCTAAAAAATCAGCTATAATCAGTCTTACCAAAAGAAAAAAAGTATACTCAATAATTAAAAAAATTATTTTTCCCGCTTCAGACCAGATTTCTTCACGAAAAATGACAAAAAAAGACTAATTCACAAACCTTATTTGTTATGACGACTCCATAAACATTTGTTGCGGTTGAAAGGAATGGACCCTTGCAGCTTGAATAGAGCATTCTTTCTTTGATGGAGCTACCCGACGATGGAAGTGAGTAAATGAACACTGAAAATAATGAGAAAAATGATTGATATTCTAGTTTAAAGTTTCAAAAATTCAAAAAAAAAAACGGAACCATTTTTTTTTTCTTCTATTGCAATTTTGTTTCTAGTACCAAAAACTTTTCGGAAGCATTAACTTGGTCAACTGCAAGTTTTTGCCCAGAAAAAGAGCCCATTAATCTTTTGACTCACGAAAACAGCGCAACTCCCTGAGGTCTGTCATTCACATTTGCTCAAACTAAAAACAAAAAATACTAACATGTACAACGTTGGGGAGTTCCTTCCCAGGTGTGATCGAACCGGTAGAACGTGTACCGCGGCTTGTCCCGCGGCACCTTGGACGCCAACTGCGTCGGCTCGAGTTGCTCGGCAGTTCCTTCGAGTTTAATTGCCTCGTTCAACGTGTCGACCTGAATACTCGCCGTTCCTTAGGCCATCTGCTTGGCGGTTAATTCAATCTTCAGCACACTCTCCACATAAACAATGGGTCGACTGGCGTCTTTTGTCTCTGCGACGTAAAATGAACCTATGCAGCGGAGCACAAGTGTTGTTTGGCAACGGAGTATGAGTTTTGGTTGCAAAGTCGCTTCACAACGTGGTATCATAAGTGTTCGTGGAATGTCCAGAAAAGTTTTCAGAATCATTCAAATTTGAGATTTGAATGAAAAAAACTGGGATGCAGAAAATGAATAATTTTTTATAATTTTCTCGCTTTTGTTGTTTTTTTCCTGATTTCTGATCAGATGGAACCGACAATCAATAGCTGAAAAAATTTCGGCTCATAAAAAATGGCGTCAAACCTTTTTATCCGTTCTTTTTTCTTATGGGATTTTTTCTATTTCTCGGTCTCTGTAACGTTTGAGAAGAAAAAAAAACGAACTGAAAGTTGGACAAATGAAAGACGACCCGTGGCCAGTTGGCGTAGTGCGTCTTCGGCGTTTCGATCGACAGGGAACGCGACACCCTGAAAATCAAAACTGATCGATGATGCTGATGCTCTCGTCAGCTTCTACAAGTGTTCTGAAACTCACTTTCATGTGTTGTGGACCGGCATGAGCTATAGCCGCTCGTTCCTGCTGAGCATTATGAAGCTCTGGAATCGCAATAATACATCAAACTTTCACAATTATTTTTCACCTTTTTCAACTTCGCTCATCGGTCCTAATTCTGACTTTGATTTCAGCCAAGATTCGAAGGAGTCAAGAGTAAGGTCCTGGAAAACAAATAAGGAAGATGTGAGCAAAAAAGAAAACCTTTCGGTCAGTGACGTGTTTTTCATGCTCAATATAGACTTGTCCGAACTCGCTTTTGAAAGTCAGGCAAGTTGCGGCGAGAAGCATTTTTTTTCTCGAACTGGTGCTCGATCGTCGGCGAATCTGAAAAAAATAATTTTTTCATTTTGAGCAAAAAAAGCTTCGAAGATTTTTTTATTGGACTTTTTTTCAATTTCAAAAGAAAATTAAATTCTCAAAACCGCATTTCTAAGAAATATACGTTGAAAATAAAATTCAGTGTGTCTCTAAAAAGTTTTTTTCAAAAACTTCTGCTTTGGTTATTGTTCCCCTAAAAAAATTTGGTACAAAAAAACGGATAAATGTAATGCGCGAAGATCTAAAAAATCTATTTCAATAGGATCAAGAAAAAAAAAGTTTCTTGATGATTGAAGTATTAAAAAATGATTGAAGTATAAAAAAAAAGCTTCGATTTTGCAAATCTAGATCAAATCGTGAGTTCCGAATTTTGAGGTTCTAATCAGATGACCTTCTGATGACTCTTAATTAAAAATGAAAATCTAAAGTTGATATTACTTGAACTTATTGAATACTTTTTTTGTTCACAAATCGAGGTCTTTTTTCTTGCTCTTTACAAAACATTCGATTTAAACGACGAACGTAATGAGGATCCATTCGGTGATGGTGTTGAGGCGGAAGAGAATGAAGCACGGCTCAAATGCGTCGACGCACTCCGGAAGCGTCGCGCGCCAGTCATCCCGCCAGTTCCCCGTTCCTGCGTACTCGTAATTTGACGTCAGCTCTTCTGGAACAGAATTTTTGGACACCTCATTAAAAAGTAGAAAGGACCATTTTTGACGACGACCTTGATGAGCCTCAATTTGGCCTGCTTTCCGAGGTTCAACGCGTTTTTCAGGCCCGCGTTTGCTGAAATTATTCATTTTCAATCCCATTCCAGAGCAAAGGAGAGAATACGTTTTGTAATACATTTTTACATTTAACTAATTCATTCAATTCTTTCTTGGAACAACGTCTTATTTTGGCGTAGCGATGAAAGAAGTACATTTCTTTGTGCTATTTAATAATCAAACGAGAAAGAGAAATACGCTTTGTGTGTTTCTTTTCAGATCCAACAAAGACTATTGAGTATTTTTTGAGAGGACAAATTCTCTGTTCATATGGAATGCGACACGAAGTTATAAATTTGCTTTTACAATTGAATGAAATACTTTTTTTCTGTTTTTAATAATCAAAACGTTCAAATCAAAAAACAATGAGAGCTCGAGCGAATATTTCGAAGAAAAAAATAAATCGCTATTAAAAATTTTTTTGAAAAAAGTTAAGGGAGGCAATGGACATGATAAAGTTGCAATTTAAGAAATAGGTTAAATAATGAGTCTACTTGAAATAAGCTTTAACGGATCAAAATTGCTTTCCATTAACGTATTCTATGAAATAATCGTTTTTTTGCCAAAAATTTTTTTAAATTTCGGACTTTTTATTTATTGTCTATTCTGGTTTCGCTCTGATAATGTTTTTTTTTTATTTTCATATTAAAGTACAAAAAAAAACTCAGTGCTCCAGTCTAACCCCTGGGCGCGAAAGAATCAATAAATATCCCCACAAAGTGCATTGTGTATGAATGAGAACAGATGTGTTCATTGAAAGTTCGGAAATTTTTGTCTTGCGTTGGTTCTCAGGACGACTCATCAATAATTAGTAGCAACTCGGCACAACATCGAATGCAAAGAGTCCCCAAGTGGATCGGATTTCTCCGAACACATCCCCAATGATGGACAGCTGCTGCTGGAGCGGCTGGTTGCTCAAGTCTGTGCCTTATTTGCAATAGCCACTTTCATTTGTTTTCGTCGCTGCACCGTACGTACCGCCAGTCACATAGCTCTGGAGCAGCCCGGAATCTCACACAAATCCTTGTTCATTCTGGGTTCTCAAAAACCGCTGGAATGAAGGGCCTCAGTCTAGCTCCCACAAGGAACAGGCGTTTTTGAGCAGGCTCTATAAGTCTGTTCAAAAAAGCTTTTTGATTTTTGTAGAAGCTTAAAAAGTAGGTTGGAATACTCTTACAAGCTTCCAAAAATCTTGCAAAAGGGATAATTTTGCTCGGTGCTGCAGGAGTTCCAAAAACTAATTTCGAAGAAAATCGCGAAAATTTTAAAATTCAACTGAGCCGACTTGGGATCTGGTTTTTCTCGTGAGCAGTTTATTTCACGTTGGCTTGCAAAAAATATCTTCAGACAAGTTCAAAAAAAGCAAAAGTAAAGTTTCAGCAGCCCTTTTTTTTACTAAACACCGATAATCAAAAAATTAAAAAATCGTTTTTCGGTTAACATTGAGACTTCGAAAAAAAGAAGACATTTCATAAAAACTACATTTGCTTCTTATATGCGAGCTCCGTAACAATCAATCTCATAGAAACAAATGTAAACATAGTTGATTGTGCTCTCGCGCAGGGCAAATATGAACTAAAGTGTCAAGAAGTGTTTGGAGGAACTGGTCTACCTGTTTCTTCAGAGCTTAAATTATTTTTTTTATCTAAAAAAAGAGATATTCGGTTATCTTTATACCATATTGATAAAGTTTTTTTTTGAAATATGATGCCAAAAAACGCAGGCCTTATTCATTTCTAGGCCACATTATCGCCGACTTGGGAGATCTAACCAATGCCAAACGTCAAGGTTATCCGAGGCATTATGCGCCTCGTTGCGCAAGCGTACCGCCACACGAACAAAGAAGTTCTTAGAGCGACTTTTCTCAAAACGTGGCCGACATTGGAGTGGCCAGTTTTCAGAACTGCTTTCTTTCCCATTGTTACAGAAGATTCATCTCACAGAACTATATAGAATATACAAACATTTATCGACTTTTTGAAATAAGTTCAGAAAAATAAAGAAAAAAACTACAAACATGTGGTGAGAAAAGTTATTTTTTTCCTTTTTAAATTGTGATTCTCTTTCAGAAGTCTCTAAAAAGCATGATTTTTTTTCTTATTCTGAGAGAATAGTTTTTTAAACACTTTCTCAGACTCAAAAAGAGGGCTAAAAATTTAGTCACACAACTTTTTAGGTCTAAAAAAAGTTTTAACAAGAACTTGCTTTTACAATTAACTTAAAAAAATTACAGATAGAGTTTTCACATATTTTATAGTCAGTAATTAAAGTAAAATTCCACCTTTTGCTGACAGGTTCGTTTAGAATTTTTATTTTTTTGGAAAAATAGTTATGAATTTTTTTGACCAACATTTCCCGTTTGCAAAAAAATTTTTCTTAAAAAAACAACGAGCTATTTCTAGCCTTCTGAGCTCATCAAGTTCAGCAGAAAAAGTATTTAGAACAAACTAAAGTATACATCGATAACTATAACATCAAAAAAAAAGCACAAAGGCGCAAAATCAATAAAGACGTCTTTGTCACATCGGCATACATAAACATTTGTCAACAGTCAACATTGAATAAAATCATTCTTTATGAACTGACCTCGGATTCCAGTTTGACAAGCCATGCCTGAAGATTGAGCGCAACGTCGAGCAGTGCGCGATTGCGAGCAATCGCTCCGCCTTCTAGCCCCCGCTGGTCGCCAATCTCCGAACCGTGTCGGTTTCTGCGGTCTCTGCATCCGACGCGCTCCCTTGCCCCGACACTCTCTTCGTTTTGCAGTGCAACGCGCTCTCCATTGTGCAACGCGTCAGTCGTCTTCTTTGCCCGCGGCCGCACCGAACCGCTATCATCTGTTCGAGTAATCGTTCTCCAAAAGTAACCCTGAACCCAGTTTATTCCTCGTTGTTTTCCAATAGGTGTATTGTGGAAATGATCAACAATTTAACCGACTAGGCGCGGGATTTCAGTTATCAAATTCAATTCGATTCAATTCAATTTATTCAGTCTTCAGAGTAAGATGTAGAAAATCTCTGCTGAATAATGGCATAATCGAAGAGTTATTCATCGGCACGGGTTACGGTCCACAATCGTTGTCCATCAAGTCCCGATGTGACAGCTAGTGTAGGGAAATAATGTGGGCCCGTGGGTAGTGCCAGCGAATAAACTGCTTCACCATGTTGGAACAGTACGGCGCCCAGCTTGTCCAGGGTTGACGGGCGTCGGAATATTATCCCATGAGAGAGTGGCAATGAGACCGATTAGTCGACGTGATGAAATGAGTTATCAAACCATACAATAAATGGTCTCATCGAAATGGCTGTTGAAAGATTAGACTTGAAAAGAGTGTTATGATGGCTTTTGGACTTCTTCACTTTGATTCCAATTAGAAAGCTTTGAAAACTTGGGATCCTTAACTCGAGATACGCGTTGATAGATGACTCGGAGAGGTAAAGGACAAACAGTTTTTTCATCTTGGATGGAGGTGTTATTATCTCAATTCTGCCTTCCGAGTGGCAGGCCTTCATTTTTGCTATCGCCTGAGATTTAATCCGACCCCGTCAGCCCTGGATGGACTGGGCTTCGTACTGTCTTTACACGAAGGAGTAGGTGATACTTAAAATACAGAACCTTCTCTGCTACACCCACAAGAAGGCGAGATGTTCTACGCGCCGTTTTCGATCAGCAACGGTTCTGCGAACCGATAAACGGCTCTACGATCCTGTTCTCTGAAAACTGAAAAAACTCATAAAATTGTATGAAAGCGGTGCCTTCAATCGCCTCTGGCAGCCTAGAAGTTCAAATCGTCTTCTCGGTCTGACGGTTCTGTTTTTCTGCTCGTTTTTGACATGACAGCGCTCTATAGAGATCTATTTCGAAATTTATCAAATTTTTAACCCTGAGAACCCCGATTTGAATTTTAAAATTCATACAGTCTTTTTAAGTAGAAATAAAACTAAACGACAGCAAAGAAATGACGTCACAATGATGCGGAAATGAAAGACCGGGACAAGGATAAAAAATTCTGCTAAATTTTGCGAAGCATAAAAATTACTGAAATCACAGACCTACTTAAATATACTCAAAATAAATAAAACCATCTGCTAAACTAAGTGAGCGAGAGAAAAACAGGATGCGATTGAGCGAATGAAGCTTGAAAATTCTCAAAGCACTACTTTTTATCTGTTTTACCACCTATAAGTTTTTTTTTTTGGTTTCTCGAGACGTGGTCTCCAATTGGAAAGTTTTTTTCAAGAACGACCTTGAGAAACTATTTGTTTTTTTCTGCGAACCATTCCTTTTTTCATAGGATCACAGAATAACCAATTTTTTTCGCTAATAAATGTTTATTGAGATACAGTTCACACGGAAGCTGCAGTTTTTTTGCTGTCACGAACACAAAAAAATTTATTTACCAGAAAAAAATTTTTAAAAAAAGAAGACTAGATTCCATTTGAAGTTTACAGAAGAAATGAAGGAAGAAGATCAATAACTATTGAGGGAAATGAATTGAAAAAAGTTTCCAACGTTGCATTAACGTCCTCGCGAAGGGAAGTAAGCGTACCTGAAAAATAACAATTTGACATTTCAGAGCTCCTTTTTTAGAACAGAAACATTTTTTATAATTTTCTGGCGCTTCTTGTCTCAAATTACAACTAGAAAAACGAGTTATTGAGATAGAAATCGAAATCTATTGAAGTGCAAGCAATGAATAGTTCATTCATTTCTCTCGACAGTTTACGAAAATATTTTCAATCAAACCACGTTTCGAAAAGCTTGTTCAGCCGATAAGAAGATTTTTTCGAGCTTTCGTTTTTGTTCAGAACTTTATACTAGAAGTTTTCTTCAAACTTAGTTGCCAGAACTTCCTGAACAGACAATAGTCGATTTTCAAATACGGGACCACCAAAAACAGAAACCGATTCAGAATTTTTTTGACAATTTTCGTGCAACTGAAAAGAAATAGAACAAGATTACCAAACTCAGCGACTTAACAATATAAACTGTTCACCTCTGTCCTAAGGAGAGACTTTTCTTCCCTCGAGCTGCTTGAAAAGAGAAAGCTCTCTTGTGGGCAGGCAGGTAAGCAGGATTTCCCAACACGTTATCAAACATTCCAGACGCTAGCTGTAAATTTGAAGTTTTTCATGAATATCTAGCGGTACTGCTGGAAAAAATCCAGTTTCATAATTACAAAAATTTCATAACTACGAGGAAAGTTCAGAAGTACGAGTTATCGAACACAAAGAAAAGTTATAGCACAATCACAAGTGCTTTCCGGAAAAGTTCCTCAGGATCAGATCACATGTTCCACTTTTCTGCAGCACATCTCTTTTCACAAAACTCCAAAATTAAAAAATGAAGTCTCAAACCTGCTGGTTGTACGCAAATCGTTGGGCGACAGCTGAAGATATGGCAAAAAGGAGAAGAAAAGCGAGGACGACAGAGCGCAACATTTTCGTATGTGTAGTACCTGGAAAAAATATCAGTACAATCCCCATATATCGAAAAAAAACAAGTATGTAAAATTTGAATTAAAGAATAACTTAGAAAAAGCGCAAAATTTAATCAAAAATTGAGCTTGTAGGAAGTAGAGGAGAAATAAAAATTATCGCTTCATTCACATTTCCGATGTGTCGTACTTATCCTAAAGTTTAGCTAAAAAGCTGGCTGGCTTTTTCCGATTTCTCTGTGGTCGTGTTAGTTTTTAGAACTCATTAGTTAATCATCTTGTTTCCAAGTATCATTACTAAGACCTATAATCCGACAACGTCTGAGCTAGATTCTTGGAGGCGAGTTGAAGTATTTCTTAGTCTTTTTGAGCAAAAACAAACATTTTCCATAATTCTCTTGCCTTTTCTTAGAACCGGCACAAAATTCTATTGAGGGTGATACTTTCATTTAGTGAAATAAAGGATTCAAAAATTTTCAGCATGAGACGAACGCATGAACTCGATAAAAAATGTGTAAACTTTTTTTTTGTTGCGCTGTGAGATTTATAGAATGATATTTCTGAGAACTTGAAAATGTTGGAGTTGAGCTAAAATGACTTTCAGAGTCCGTAGGTGCATTGGGCGGGGTTTCTGCGAGAAACGAAACGAGAAAAACTGCAATCTCGTGACTGTTGGCCCTACAATTTTTGTAGCAACGGATGCAAACGTCACAATTTTATTATAAAAATGCTTCTCGACGCAGAGTTACCATAACCTTCTCTTTAAACAGAGGAAAAACATTTATGAGATCTGCCTATTCAGTGGAGAATAGCATGAGCATTAAGAAATGAAGAACGAAGATGACAGAAAATGGGCTAATTTCAAAATAAATCTGTAGGAATTAGATCGCTGGGAAGAGAGGTTTTTGATAGAAGCTAAATTGAAGAGAGAGACGTTCGTCATGTAAAAATGGAGGCCTTGCAATAAAAAGCAACGGAGAAGAATGCATGGACGTTAAGAAGAATGAGCTTTTGGAATCGGGAGTTGAAAGCGCAGTCTTGTCTTAAATGCATAGTTATGATCGTCCTTTTTTTTCAAAACCAGGAAAAAAATCAAAATCAAAAATTTTGGTGCCAAACAAGATTTTTCGAAACACAACTGAGAACCTAACTAGTTTCGAAAAAGCTGAAAAAAACTTCGTCCAAAAATAACTGCGTGTGGAAATTGTTTTTATTAGAAGCCGCCACTTCGAAGTCAAATAGTGACCTTATCGAAATGACGGATACGCACCTTTTCTTTCCGAGAGCCGCTTGCAGCTCATCCAACATCATCAGCCGGCTTTTAATGACTTCCTTATCCAATAAAAAGTAAGCCACCCGACTGAGTTTTTGAAACGTTGAAAAGTGAATTTTGAAAGGTCTGATCAGCAAGTAAAACATCACAACTTACTATTCTCTTTTATATCTAGCAACTCTTCTGATGATAAATAATCTGATAATCCGTTCCCATTCAAGGCTATTGTGTGGAATCGTGGGTGTCTGAGTAGTTTACCTAATTAAAGCCTGTATTTTCTTTTGAATCATCCCTAATCCCTCCTTAATTTACCAGCGAGTATCAAAAACTGATGTCATCAAGGATTACTTGAGTTCGAAAAAAAAAAATACTTCGTTTACATAAAAAAATACACTGAGAATAATTGGAAGCCGAAAAAAAGAAGAAAAGAGTAGTCGTAGGCTGGGTTATCTTAATTGAAATACTTTTTTTGTACTCAACAATCCGAGAACTGAAAGAATTATAATAATAATCTTGTCGTCAAATTTTAGATACAGTTAATGTTTTCAGCAGTTCGAAAAGTGATCATGAAAACATCACTTGTTAAAACTATTTCTTGTCCCCAAGTATGTCATTTTATTCCAACGAAAACTGAAGTCAATAAAATCGTTGCCGCGAAGCCTACAATTTTCAAAAAATGGGTTGAATATTCACCCAACACGAGTATTAGTGTAGGAGAATATAAACTTTGATAAATAAAGTAGCCTAAAAAAATTTTTTTTTTTAACGCATGCAGGTTCATTTTTAGTCTCCTTTCAACAACGGTCTTGAAAAATTGCACAGAAAAAGTAGAAGGCTCGTGTGGAAGCTGTGATAGTGACGCTTGATATAGTTGTTTTCTTGGTAGCCTATAGAGATTAGCAGATAATCTCTTATTTTTTAAATACTCTCACCCAGGTCTGTCTGACTCAAAGTTTCCTTGCAATTCTCAAATTTTAGTCGGAGCATTTCTCTAATTGCCTTTACTTTTCTTGCGCAAAAAACTCATTATTGAAAGACAAAAAAAATATCAAAAAAAAGAAAACGACAAACCGTTACAAGAAAATGTCAAAAGCAAAAACATTTAACTGCAAGAAAATTGAATTAAAAGCCCCGGGAAGATCAAAGACCGACGGCAATCATTACGATTTCCATTTCAAACTAACTTTTCGAAAAAGATGTTTCAGAAAGTCAAAGCCCAGGACGATGGACGAGCGCAAAAGGCCTTCGGAAGCGAGTAATTCAGAATGGGCACCAGAGGGCGGAGCCAGAGAAGAGCTCCATGTTGCTGACACGGTGTGTCAAGCTCAGGCCATTCCCAAAAGCCTCGCAATTAACGGTGTTGCGTTTTTTGGTTTACAGAGGTACAATTGATGGGAATTGGCAGGAAGTGACGGCATAAGGAGAATCGCTTTGTTTGTGCCTGCAGAAAAAGTTCTAGAGATCACTCCGAGTTTGGTCCTCTGAAAATAGGAAAAGGTTTGTTTTACCGGGAAAAAAAACCAGGAATTTTCCTAACATTCTTTTTCCTTACAAATTAATAATGGACAAAAAAGGAAGTGATATTCAAAAAAAGACTGGTTATATTTGAGTCTTAGTAAATAATTATTTCTGTTTTCATGCATTTTTTGTATAGTTCTTCAACCCTTTGTTATTCAGCATTTTCTGATAAGTCGAAATGAGAAAATAGAAAATAGCGTTTTGGATAACCATGTTTGTCGGATTCAGGAAGTCCTAGCTGCAAATTTTGTAGTCTGTCTGGCTTCTTCTGTTCACAAACCTTGTTTTCGGAGTCAGGTGATGTCTAATATCCTTTTTTGTCCATGCAATGCCTATACTTTCCGAAGGATTCGAACAAACCAGCATGCTCAAATTTAGTCACAGTAGCTGTCCTACAACCAACTGACTAATTGGACAAGGATAGTTGGCGACTAACCCTTTTTCAAAAACCAAATAAAAGTTTCGCACGGGAAGTAGTGAAGCCCTCAGGTTCATCATGAATAGCCTTTTTGAAAAAAAAGTGATTACATACAATTTTCTTATGAAAAGAAAATCCGATTATTACTACGCCTGTAAAATATAACTTCCTTATATTAAATATACTACTCTGAGTCATTCTGCTTATCCTTTCTTGGATTACTCATCAACTTTAGCCAGATGGAGCCTTGCATTTTCAATAAAAATAAGCTTCACGATGATTTACAAAACGAGTATTTCATTTATGAAAGAAACCTTCGCTTCTTTCTGTTCAGAGAAAAATTCCATAAAAAAGTGTCTCATGATACGCCACACATTTTCATAGCTTCAGGAGAAAAAATATCATCTCTTTTACAATAGAGGCTAATTTGTAGCTTTTGCGGCTTCAATAGTTTTTGCAACACTATTGCATTCGTATATGAGCAAGAAAATAGGCTAATCCTTGAGGATCATATGAAAAAGTGAAGGTGGAGCTACATCTTTTATCCGTCATTTGGGGTGTTGCCGGATTCCCTTGCGGGCCTTGGAAGAAGCCTTCAATTTGGTGCAAACTTCAACGACTCGATTTGCCACATTTGATGTTTGCAGGAATGGGCGATGATGTTGGGTGTTTTGCAAGATCTGTCCAAACATTTAGAAGCGTTCAATGAAGTTTTTTGAGTAGGAAATTACAAAAAGAGTTCACGTGGTTCAGAATCGCCGAGTGTATTTGTCACATTTTTAGAACAAGTTCCGTTGTACGATGACGTTGAAAAAAGCTCAAAACAAAAAAAAGTGTCTTTCAATAACCAAGGCTGAATATTCAAAAATCTAGTGTGTGTGACATGTATCTTTTCCGTTCGTTGAATTCAAATAATCATCTGACGAAATCTTATGACCTCCTCGAAAAAACGGGAACTGAGGAGATTACTGCATTGGACTCGGAAAAATTCGTACTTCAAATCAAAACTTTACAAAATGTCTCAAAACCCTCTTTGATTATTCAATTAAGAATTCTCATTTTTGCTACGCTTGTGGTTTTACCGATATGGACGTGAGAGACTTTCTCTTCTAGTTTTTGAAAGATTTTATAGAAACTCTTCAATAATTTCTTTGTTCAGTACCTTTATGGGACAATCGCGACATTTTTTGTTATGCAGAAAAAGTTAACCCTCGAAAAAGTTCTTTTTTGGTTCCGGTCACTGGAAAACTGAAATCTTCTCTGATGAAAAGGTTCGTGTTGACACGCTGGGTCTCAAAAAAGTCGTCTAGACCTCCGATACCCATCATATGGAGTGAGAAGCTGAAACAGAACTGGAAAAAAAATGGATGGAACAGCAAAGCATGGAAAAGGTAAAAAGAGCCGCGAATTAAGCGACGAGCTCGCGCCGTTTCGGTTTTTGTTTCATCAATCAACTGCATAATTAACAATACGTAAGAATGGACTATTCTCGCTTCAAGGAGTATTTCAATGGCTGTTGCGTTTTTCGTGAAGTCACTAAACTTCTTCAACAAAGAAAGAACAAAAAAGAATTCATAATGGGATGAACCTGAAAGAAAGGCAAAAATGAGTTAAGGCGAAATTCCGAAAGCTATAAATGCGTACAACTGAAGCCAGAAAAGAAGCCAACCAAAATTTGTGAACGTATGAACTGAAAGCATTTCTCATCGCAGATATACTTCCGGAAGCCTTTGCCGATACTCCTGATCGCTTAATTGAGAATTGGTTAATACGACTAATTCCGGAAGGCTACTCCAACTTTTAGAAGGAAGATGAAAAAGCAGAAAATCGACGATGCACTGAATATACTTTTCGTGTAGGATTCTAACAGTTTTGCAGCAATTTTCTCCATGGGATAAGAAATTAAAGATTCCTCCAAAAGACAAAACATTTAACAGAAAACAACAGAGACCGGCTGAAAGTAATTTTTTAAAATTTTTTGCAGAATCAAAAAAAAAAATGAACGATTACGTGACGACCTCGAAAATGGAAACTGAGATGATGAATCTTTGCTCACACAGCTCCAAATTTTTATCTCTGGTTTTTGACCTTACGTTCGATGTTCGCAAAGGGAAAATACATGCAACCCTTTCCGATTCATTTATTTCTCTGTTGACTGAAGGTTGTGTAACTTTTAGGCAGTTTTCCGATTTCTCAGCGTCCGTAGTACTGTAGCGATTAAACAGAAAAAAGCCAGAAAAAAATGTTTATACTTGAAACTTTATAAAAAAAGTTTGATTAGCCGTGAAATTTCCTTCGGAATCTCCTGATGTCGTTCTCTTTCAGCCCTTGAATTTGAAAAAAACGTGAGCGATTTTTCGCAACAATTCGCTCTGAACCCATCTAATTCCGGTATTAGCTTCCAGTTCTCTCTGCTGCTATTTTTGCTCCCTTTTGCTTTTTAAGGACATCCAAGGAAGAATGCGGTCAGGTTTCGCAACACGGTTGCCGCGGCAACCTGTGAGGGACCACGGACCCTTCAAGGAAATAGCCACTCAGTGAACTCCGTATTATGATACATCCTGAAGGTCGCCCACGCCGTCAACAACTGCGTCCTACATACTCCCGCTCAACAGCTCTACTTGACTTTTTCTCGGTGCGTTTCAAAATATTTAGTTTTGGATTTCTGAAATACAAAAGTAATACAGAGATTTTCTATGAAGTACGCAACACTTGAGGCATTATTTTATAGGAAAATTAACCGGAATAGAGATTCCGCTTAATCTCTATTCCGGTTAATTATACATCCGCATCGACGCATGTAAGAGGCCAGAGTTTTTGCATGGCCATTTCGTTTTTTTTTTTTCGAATTCAGGAAAATGATTTTCAGAAATTTAGAAATTATGCACGTTGAAATTTTCAGTTGTCAAAACTTTCGGAATGTTTTCAAGTTGAAACTAGATACATTTCATTTTTTTTTCAATTTTATGCATTAGTTCGAAAGATAGATTTCTCAAAGGTCCCGGAGTGAACGATGGTTGCTTTCAATTTCTTGAAACCTCTAAATAAAAAGATAACTCTTCGGAATGTGTCTGATCTTGTTTCAAATAGATTTCTGAGCTCAGAAGTGCATTTCGCGAGAAATTTCTTCCTCATACAAAATTCAGCTACTCCACTGCTATCAACGTACGATGAATACAAAGTGAAGCTAAAAAAGTTGAAAGCGGCTTGGCAACAAGTGATTATCCTAAATCGGGCAATATTACACGCGTCCTTCATCTCGACGTATTGTGTTTTCACAGCGTGTGGCCTTCGGTGTGCCTCTTTTCTGCGCATCTCACGTTTCGTTTCTGAAATCGTCGACCTTTGCTTTGCGACGATTGCTTTTGCCCTGATTTGATGTCTTGAATTGCCTCTTACTTTCCTTTTTTGCTTTAACCGAAACCAATTTTTCATTTGCTCTCCAGTTGCATTTCTTCCAGTGTTTGGTCCAGATCTCACACCTTTACCTACTGTCGCAAGAATTCATCAGGTTAAAAGTCTTTTCCGTCGTCAAAGAAGATTATCTGCTGGATTATGGAAAGGGTTGATCGAAAGTTCGTGGAACCAAGAATGTTCTTAGATCATTTTTACCTTCGTCTTAAGACTTTGAGCGTTTCAACGATCAGTTGGTTTTCCAGGAAGTTATAGTAATGTTCAAAAACTTTCGTTAGGCTTTTGAAGACGCCAAAAATTAGCTCCTTTTTTGCAGCTTGGGATTTTCTTTGTATTTGACAGCAACGGAGGTCAAAAATTTGCGAGTTTTGAGCCAAAAACCCTTCAAACACTCTTTTCCATTGTCTCTTCATAAATTTATTCAACTGTTTTTTAATTTTTAGAGGTAATGGTTTTTTTTGCTTCTTTCATCGGCTTCATTTCGATATTTTGTCAATTTACTTCCTTTTTTCAAAATCACTGGTTAAGCTCCGTGTAGACTTCATTTGAAAGCAAGCTACAAATCTCAAGCTTCTTCCCCGGTTTTTTTTCTGAATGATAAACTTTGGTTTTCTATTGAAGCTTTTTTTTTCTTTTTTCTTCTTCTCATCAGATCAAAATATGACTTCATTCAACCATTTTCTCATGGTAAAAAGCAGTGAAAACTGTTTAATGTGTTCCTAACAGTAGTTTTCACTATTTTCCCAACGGCAGAACCGCCACCGCGATTGTCTACCCGCGGCGATTAGCGTGCGGCGTCCGATGCGTTGCATTGCGTTGTCGGTTTTTTAGAAGCCAGATTGGTTCATTGCGCTGGATTCACTCCCTGGTCACTCTGTCAATAGAAGGAACGTTCTCAATTTTTTTTTTTGCAATACATTCATGAGTATCATCATATGTATTGTTTTCTTGTTTGAGAAGATCTTCCTCATAATTCATGAACCTTCCAACTTTTTTTAGTATTGCTTTTTCAAACTCTTTTTTTCATATTAATAGCTTAAAAAAATTGTGTTTGAAAAACCTTGATATACATTTATTTCCATTCTTTGAGTTTTTTTGATGGATCTCAGTGCTACTGAATATCCATCGGCTTCATTAAAAATAACTTTATCAGACTCTTTAAAAAAAGCTTCAAAGTTTATTGAACCATTTGGAATTTCGCTTTAAAAACTAGAACTTTGCATTGTGGATTTCTACAACTTCTTGTTGATATCCGTAAAAGAGAAAAAAAAAGAACGCATCAACTCCTTCATCGCTATCTTATCTACAACAAGTTAACAGTTTGTTTTGAGCTCTGATTAGAAACAGCGGAAGCATGACGAGATCCGCGTAAATCAACCCAATATTTCCAGTTCTGACCACGAATCTGGATCTAAATAGCGCAACGTTGATGATTTGTGTGCTACTTTCCTTTTCGGCCCACACTTGAACAACTTTGCGTGTTTCTTTGCGTTTACAATAATTTTTAAGATAGAAAACTCATGTTTCCGTTGGGATATTACGTTAAAAGCTACAACTGGAACACGAAAGCTCACAAAATGTAGTCTTTTCATCTTTTTTTTTGCTATTTCCTTGCTTTTTCCTATCTTCTCGACCAGAATAGTTCAAATCATGAATAGAATCAATCTAAATAGAATAGAACTTCACAATAGTAGTTAGAAACCTTTTTGGTTCGCTTCATGCAAATTCAAACGATGCAAATACAAACGACAGAATTTTTTGAGGTTGGATGAAATGAAAGTGAAACGCTTTGATTTTGTTCTGAATCGGGAACGCTATGTATTTTAACTGCAACGTTTTGATGAAGTGGTAAAATTTTCTTTAAGTATAAACGCATAGAATTTTAAAGTTTCCCAAGAAGAAAACTTCGGAAACCAAATTCACTTGATGCTAGTTAGCTTTTCTTTTTTTCATCATTTTTTTCATAACTCAGGATTCAACGCGAATTGAAATTTTTGCATAACCAAAAACTGTCTCAGCAAGCTTTTAATGAGTTTCTAAACGCAAAGGTCTGTGGCTTCTTTCAGAATATCGAGCGAAATCCATTGACAGTGCCAAATAAATTCTCGTTTGATGGTCTAATGAAGCACAAACTTATTGTAGATGAGAACCAATGTGTTTATAAACAGATTTTACGGACGGCTCTTCACGTAAACTGCTTGCGTAGCGCAAACAGCGGTCCCCAACTAAGCAGAGACCGGCCTTCCGCTCTTCGATGACCATCGTACCTTCCTGATATTGATTTCAACTTTTTCTTAGCTCCTAAATTATTTTTTATTTTTTTCCTTGGTAATGTTGTTTTGTGGGAAAGCTCAGGGCGAATGTCGATTTTTTTTTTTCGTTTGTAGATTTTAACTACTTTTGAGCTATTTTTTTGGAAGAAATCCCTTGAAGTGAAGTGACATCCAGATTTCTAAATAGAGAGAAAATCAAGATTTTGACCCTGAAATGACCTCTTTGGACTTCACAATTCCCATTTTTCATTTTTTGAAACTCTTCTATGGGTTAAAATTGAGAGTAACTTTTTCGTTTCGAATTTTTGCAGCTGATCGCTCTATTCATATAGAGCCTTTCTTGCCTTGTAGGACAATGCCCAGGCGCCCACAAAAGGCCCTTTGCTCTTTTCTTTCAACATTGAAATGATTCACAATCACCGTCGCCTTCAGGACGCTCCAAGTTTTGTTTGGGTTTCTCTGATTTCTGTCGCTCCGCGTCTGCTGTCAAGTTTATCAGGAAGGCTGGCGGTCAGCCTTCTCGTGTTTCGCTTGGCGTCGGATGGAATAATTCATGCTAGGACCAAGTAACGGCAAGCCGTCAACTTCTAATTCTCAATTCCTTGCTGGACTTGTCGTCTTTCGGCCTTACTTTTTCGAATCATTTTTTGTGAGTGTTGCTTAGGAAAAGCTTTCATGACTGCGAGGCAAAATTATTGTTTAGAACTCCTTCGAACTATTCTAAAACCTAAAGAACTTCATTTATGAGCGGGACTCTAGTCTTAATCTGACTTCCGAGTTTCTATTATTCTGTTTTCTCAGTTTAATCTCCAGATTTTCCCTCTTTTGGACGCATTTGAGACTAGCAAACCAAACTTTTATGAGATCGCGAAAATCCCTCCAGTGTCGCTCATTTGCAAGATGCTGATCGGCGAGTTAATAACACATCTTCCAGCCGTTCCAGCTGCCGATGTTGTAATCCACGGAAATGACAAAAGAGCCGAGGCGGAAAGAAGACTGACCTCCGCGCGGAGAACAGCTGATTGTCCCCATCATTCTTGACATTTGGACTAATTTTACGATTTATTCTGATTTATTGCTCTTCGAGCATAGGTATTACTGCGTTTAAAGATTGATATCAAAAGGTTTTTTTGAATTACACAGCTAGTTCTATTTTTCACTTTTCGAGAACTCGATATCTTCAAAAAAAGCTCCTTTTACTGGTTTTTCGACTTTTTCCATTTATAGTCTGATTGAAATTTAAAAAAATTCTGAGAAATAAGCTAGTTATTTTAATACAAATTTGTTTCGTAAGTTTTTCACCTTTTACACTTCTGTAACGGGTTGCTCCAGCTTTATAGTTTTCAACGTCTTTCTTTTTGAATTCTTATTTCTAGCTTTTCATCTTCGTGAAGCCTCATGATCTTTCGGAAAAAACCCCTGAGTATTCAAAGCAGCAAAGATCATACGAGGTCGTCGTACCTGTAAATATCTGCAATGCCGAAAAGTTTTAGGAGTTTAAAACTCGATTAATGGAGGGTTCTTTCCTTTCAGTCATTAGGAAAATTTTTGGAAAGGAAAGTAATATATCTTGAAGAACTGTTTCAAAAATAACAAAAGTCTCCTCATTGCTCACTCTGGTTGCTTTTTCACTCGGAGAATTGCAATCAAAAACTTCTTTGCTATATTTCATTGTGCTAGAACTCCCAGCGACAGTCATAAATCGACGGTTACTGTCGAATCCCGCGGCTTCTCCTTTGTTTACCGTCTCTCGATGACGTCTCGTTGGCTTGCCATTACTTTTCCACTGAAAGAAGAATAATCGATCGGATAACTTTCAAAGTTGAGCAGATGGATTGGACAGAGTTTGATAACGACATCGTTTGTGTTTCTGTTGAGCGGAAGTCGGGAGTCGACAACATGATAATCCGCTTACGCGCAAGTTATTTGAGTTAAATCGCCATGAGCTAACTTCTCTCTTTGTTATTGAAACTCTCATGCGGAATGCAAAAATTTGTTGTTCCATTTTTAAACATTTGTGAATATAGATTCACATAGATTTTTTTTTTGAAATCAAAGTTATTTTCTAGTTTATTTCTGACACCTGACAACTTTGAGCTACTGTATCAATGCACTCTCATTCATAGCAAGGTCAATTAATTCCCTATTTTAGAATTTTCTACAAGTTTGCCCAAAAAAAGCTGTATTAAATTCTTTTACACTCTTCCCTTGGCGAAAATTTTTGTAACAAAAGATGAATAAAAAAGTTTGATATGAGTTATTTTGAAAAATGAGAAATTTAAAAAAAGAGGTACCCTACCAAAACAACTGACAACTGTTTAAAAAAAATCAAGTCTGCAAAAGTAAGTGGTCACGTTCGTCCTTAGTCCTTCCCTCCTCGAATTTCGAAGAGTTGAACGATTTTCTTGAGTGATCCAAGGAGATTCCTGCGAGGAAAATTTTCTTTTTTTTCTGGAACAGGCAGCTTCTTGCGTACGTGAAAACCGTATTGTGATTTTGAACGGCCAGAATGGAAAGCATCCTTTTTGGGCGGCGAAGAGCGTGCACGGAGTGTCGTCACGCCCCGCGGACAGGCGACGAGAACGGCGCTGCGACCAGTCGAAAGTCTGCGCCGCGCTGCTTTTCTTCCCGACCTTAACCATTAGCTTAACCGGCAGCTGATAGAATCCGAGCTTCATCTCGGATTTATTCGGGTCTTCATGCCCATGGCGCCTTCACCAGCGCTCGTCGGTCCTCCTTCTGTATTCCCTCACCATCAGTCTGCCTCTTTTTTCCAAGGATCTGCCAGCTTCTTCGGCCTTCCGCAGAACTGGGAGCGACTTTGGTAAGTTTTGGAAAAAAACTTTGGTTGTTTTTTTTTTAATTGAAGTCATTTTTTTTCCTTTTCATGTAACCACAAACTGATTAACCCTGACTCCTGTATTTTTTTATCATTTTTTTGTTTTTCTTTTGATTAGTGGCAGCGTTTCTTTTTTCCTGTTTGAACGCAAAACTTCACGGCATCCTTACTCGGACTAATTAAAAGTTTTTGAAAGTTATAAAGAGCTTAGCTATATCTTTCATCGCGACTTCGAATTTCCGATTGAAGATCATTCTTGTTAAGATATCTTATCCAATATTTTCTCTTCTTCTTCTACCTCGAATTCTCTGAAAATTTTTTACGTTTTTTTTAATATCTTCGGAGTGAATTTCTGAAGTCTGAGGAATAAAATAATTTCAATTCCGATTTCTTCTGTATTGAGTTTCTAACTGTGTAGTGAAAGATAATCTTATGAATTATTAATGAGTAGAAACCAAGAAGAAGTTTTAAAATTTACTCAATACGAAACATATTTTTCTCAGTTATTTTTTCTTTCTTCTAGTACAGTGCGCTTCTGGCTGCTACTACTTTAACAATTTTCTGTCGAAGTTTTGAATGCTTTCTTGAATGGAAGTTTCCTCCTTTGTTGACTTTCCTGAAAAAGGCGTTCTTTTTTATCTTTTCTTGCTTTTTTGCATTTATTATTGGAGGAATTCCCAAATATTTCTGAAAAAAACGTTATTATCAAAAATGAAAACAAGGAAAATTCCGAATGAATTCTCGCGGAGAAGCTTTCAACCGTAGAAAGTATTGAGGTTTGCGAACGAAAAATAGAACGCCATGATATTAGTACTACTAGTAGTGTCCTTCGCCTCATTTTTTTGTTGTGGCCTGGTCAAGAGTTTTCCACCGCACGCGACTTAAATTGCACTATACGTATAGTATGACCACCAGTAGCGCGGAATGATTTTTTCATATCTAAAAAAGATTAACGATCTAACTTTATATCGATCAGTATACGAACGTCTAAAAAAAGCATAATTCCCATCAAGTTTTTTTGGAAAAAAAGAGTGTCGTCCGCCGGGAAAAATAAGAGACGAAAAAAATAACAGTGGCGACAGCAGATCTCTTTCAGATCCTTATTTTTTTAAAAATTAGATCAAGAAAAAAAGATTTCATTTACAAAAAAAGCTCAGTAAAATAAAGTTTAAATGAAATAATCTCTTAGGGTAACTTGAAACAGTTCCGTCCGTTGGTCATTTTTTAAACTCTGACCTGTTCTTCATCTTTACAAACTTTTTTCTGCTTTTCATATGTACAGTTGAGGAAAAAAGTGAGCGAACAGGTTAGACTGATCATTTTTTTTAGATTTCAACATGAAATCGTAACCTACTCGTCATATTTTTTTGGCAGTTTTGAAAGAATATCCGGAGTTCTGATAGAAACGCAACCAATTTCTTTCCCCTCAACTTTAAACGTTCTCATGTGTTATCTTGAGGGCCTCAGGCCACAAGATATGCATCGAAAGGTCGAAACAGCTTGTTCTCGGCGCGGTCCTTCTAAATGAGGAACTGTCCACCATCCCTTTGCCCCTTTTTTTGAGTCCGAACTGCGTGACAGGCCAAGCAAACAGACTCAGTCATTTTTGTTAGCTTTGTGTGAATTATCAACGCAAAGCACAAACAAAATCGTCCACCGACGGGGCGCGAACCAAAAAATGTGCTCAGGTTAGGTATTGTTTTTCGAAACGTGCGAGCTCCGTCAATATTTCTCTATTGTTTCAAGGACGTTCCAACGTCTGGAACTGTCTCACGTTTTTTCCTGAGTCTTCTAGATAGAAGAACGTTCTAAAAATAAGTCTAAGTATGAGATTCGAAAAAAATGTCTTTATATATTAAGTAACTTTTCACAAGTTACCGTATTTGGTGACTGAATTAAAACTTGCGAAAGTTATCCATATAAGTTTACTTGATTGGAGACGAAAAATCCTCACAAAAAAACTTCAAAGTCCCTCTTTAATCGTCAACCTGTAATTTTTTTTTTTGCTAGCGAAGGTTTTTTTCCTTATCTTAAGTTTAGGGCAAAGAACGTGTTGATTTAAGCAAGCAGAAAACCTCCTTTTTTTCATTAAAATTATTTCGAAACTGATGAAACTGTAAAAAAACACATTACTTCCAAGTTATAAGCGATTATCCTGTTGATCAGGAACCGAGAAAACCAAAGTTTCCAATCAATACTCACGATCCCGCGAAAAAGTTTTAATATCCTCGGCAAACAGGCAAAACGGTAAAAAAAAATGAAAAGAGAGGAATGAAAACCAACGAATCGGCTTACCGACACACGCTCGTAATTAAATGATGGGAAAAGCGAATAAACAGAAGAAGAATGGTTGCTTTTCGAGAAGACGCGTGGATTTTTGGCCGCTTTTTTCGTGAAATTGGTCAAATTGAATCTATCATTTTGTCCCCTTCATAAATAAAAAGATTGTGGTCAACTGTTTGAATTTGTTTGAAAAAAATGTTTGCAATAAAAAAATAATTTTTTTGAATTGTTTACAAAGGTTTTTGATAAGAGTATTACAAGTTTGTTTTATGAAAAAAATTTTTCAAATTAGCTTAATAAAAAAATTCTGCAAGATTTGTTCTTTCTCAACTTTTCATTAACCTTTTTTTCTAGAGTGCATAGATTACCACTCTGATGAATTTCAAATTCATGTCTATGAATTGATAGAAAAAGATTTCTGAAACCTACTTTCGAAACTTACTGTTTCTCGAGAATGGTTAATGGAAATTTCTCTACAGTGCTGTTTTTAAAAATCTTTAAACTGAAAATCAATTTTGATCCATTCAGAAAGTTTTCGTTTTAAAAAGTTGGGCAAACCAAGGAGTATTTCATTTTTAAAAATAAAATGTATGCTCATACTGTAATAAACCTACCAAAAGTAATTTTGACCCATATCGATCGAAAGCAATGCGTATTTCGCGGGTTTTTGGTTTGGCAACTGGCAGTTTGACGGAGAGGAAGTCATGGCGACTGGGTCAGCGCTATCGGTCCTTTCATCTGTTCATAGCCGCGGCCTTTCTTCTTACAGTAGCATTCTCGACGAGTTCTTGTTTTTACTCGTTTCTCTTCTTGTAATCCGTTCCCTATTAGCTTTCTGACTCCTTTCCATTCGCTTTAACGGTATTAACGACCGCGGCTGATGGATTTTTCTTCTCATTTCTTGTTTTCATTATCTCCGATGATTGGATATACGCGTTCCCTCGGAATAAGACTTTTTAAGGAAGTTCAAATTCGAAGGGATGTATCAATTTACAGAAAAATAATTTTTTTCTATAATATTTTTTTCTGATAAGAGGTGAACCAGTTGAAACGACGGAGGGAAACAAATAACCGACAATAAACTGATGTTTACAATAATTCATGAAAGTCGAAAACTGCGCTGATCTCTAACTTTTAGAAAACCAACTCTTTTAAGGTACGAAAACTAAAACTTCGAAGTCTTTTTCTTTTGAGAAATTACTAGTTTTGCATTTTGTAACGTTCGAACTTTTCTAACACTCAGGATGCTTTTTTAAAAAAGAAGTTATTATCGAAAAATGTTCGCAAAAAAAAAAAAATGAATTTTCTTTCAAATTGTTCTTCACTACAGGAACTTTTCGGAATTTTGTTGAAATTCTCGTTAAAAAAATATAAAAAGTAATTTGCCAGTAGCTTTTTGAACAACATCTAGATGCAAATTTTCTGCAACCATTTTTCTTTTTTGTGCTCTCATTTGCGTCTCAAAGCAATCGTCTTCTAGAATTTGTTGCGATGCCAAAGCTTAAAATGCATAGAAAGTGTTTGAAAAAAACCTTTTCACTGATTTATTTCTTCAAATGCTTTTTCTATTCTAAATGCAACTGATAAGGTTAGCGATTGAAATGTATTTCTGATGTGGGCGCTAATCAAAAAAAGAAAACGTTAGTCACCAAAGTCGTACTTATGAGTTACCCACTTCATCTGTTTCAAATTGTTTAAATAAGTTTCCTTTGTTTGAATACGAGTCCATTTGCGCGTTCATTTTCAATGTTCCTTCCATGAAATATTCCGTTTTTTTTCAGGCAATCACGTGCTTCTGGATCGAGTTCGTCACCTAGGAACTCGGTGTATCAGCTCTCGCCTCATATGGCTGCTGCTGCAGCTCTGAGAAGAAGCTCCGATTACGGTAATAATTTGAATCGAAGACCATCAAAGCCTTAATATATTGTGAAAACGTGAAGTGTTTGATATTTGAAAAGCCTCATTGAAGACTTTTCACGCAAGTAACTTTATGTCGTAAAAAATTTCGGAAATCCTGAAATTCACTCGAACTAACTTTTAATGATGATCTGAGATTGATCGAGTCTCAGTAAAAAAAGCCTTCAAAGAACTGATAGGCTTCCATTCTATTTATGGCGAAGAAGTACAGAAAAATATCGACTTGGAAGTTTAACTATCACCTCATCTTGTCACAGTTTTCCTTATCAGATTTTTTTCAGTTTCTTATCGAATTTTCTTGATTTATTCCTTGAATGGTTCGGAATTTTTTTTTTGAAATTTCAGACATAGCCGAGTATTGAATTATCCCTTGAACAAAGGTTGCGTTTTGTGAGGACTCGGTTGTTTATGTATGCATTGTGGTCACTCGAATCCATAATTGCTTCTCGACTGCCTTTCCAAAATTCTTTCAACTCCCAGTTTCAACTTTCTTTCTCTTTCATTTACTTTAGAAACATAGTATGTAGTAGTAGTAGTATTTTGTTCGTCTGGGAGTTCATTTGATTATTCTACTCTTGCCTTCAGAAAATCTGCCTGCGGCCACTTTCTCTCCTCATCTACCGCGTTTTATTCTTTTCTTATAGCTGCTGCAATTTTTTTTTATTTCGGCGACATTTTTATTTGGGAAACTGGCCGTATAAAAAAAAATGAAAAAGCTGAGATTCGATTTTTGTTTGATTTTCATCTTCAAGTTCCAGCAAGAAAACCACATACGTCGAGTGCTTGATTTTCTTACATGTATTCATTTTTTTGATTTGATGATTATTTGAGGGAATTGTTCGAAACTCCATATCATTTTTGAAGATTGTTTTATTATTTTACCTTTTGAACTTAGTCTTTCGAAACAATTTCAAAATTTTAGCGTGAAAGATTTGCAAAAATCAAATTTCAAGCACAGTTTAAGGAGTTTTTTATAAAAAAAAGTGTTATAGTCGACCTCAGTAAAATGAAAGAAAAATCATTGATAATTCAAAAATAGTTGAAAAAACTCAAACCATCTTATAATAGCGCCAAACGTTAAAACTCTCGGGTTAATCAATTTTTTGATTAATTTAAGAGAAAAACTGAATCCTCGAAACCCTCTCAAAAAGTGACGGGATAATAAGACGCTGTCGGAGAGCGAAAAGAGGGAATAATCCTCTATGAGGACGAGTTGACCTGATTCCGGACGGCCGACATACTTTTGTGAAGACATTGATTAGTGAATGTTTTGTGAATGAGTAAGTAGTATTTGTCTACGCAACCGGCGGTCCGAGTTCGAGTTTCCCCTCACGCCCACCTTTTTGCAATTTTCAGGTTTTTTACGAGAAAAAAATGTTGGTTTTCGAATTTTTGGAATTGTCAATAAGTTCTTAGTTCTTCGAATTGCTCGCAGTTTTTGATTTCATGATTTTTCGGCTTAAATTTTCTTGAATCTAACTTTTTGTCGATGATGAATCACTTTTCTATAAGTTTTAGAAACAAAGAAAAAACATTATAAAATTAGCTTCTCAGTATACAATAATCAACTCTTACATAGTAATGTCCGATTGAGAATGCTTAATATATAAATAATAACTTTTCAATTTCTTCACTTTAGTCTTAAGGGAAAAAAATCAAGTTAAGAAAACGTTATTCAAAATAGAAAATCAGGGACTCTCTTACTTTCGATTTTTTTTTTGCTTCAAAATTTGACCACTTCGGCCTAAAAATGGATTCTCTTCTTTTCCCTCGTTTCGAAGCTTTTCTAGTTTTGTGACATATTTTGATCCAATTTTATTGAAACAGCAATGCGTTATGAAATCTCATTATATATACATTTTTTATTTCTCCGCTGTTCGCTTTTAGATTTTCAAGCACATGCTCATTCTCTTAGTGTGTAAGGACGTCAGCAGAAGTACTCTGCATAGAGATTTCAGGCCTATTTTATAAACTTTTTTTTGCTGTTTTTTTCAAAGGGAATCAAAATACCTCTGAAACGAAGTAGTTTATGAGGTAGTAGAAGTAAGAGCAGAAAAAGTTGCAAAAGGCAGGACAGGCGCGTTTTTTACGAGTTGCACCCAGTGGCTCATCGTGCTCACTTGTTGTTTTCACGGATCGCTGGCTTGAGCTTCACCGCCAGAGAAAAAACGGCCGAAATCCCTAGAAAGCCCGGCGTCGGTGTACAGCGGCCATCGATGAATATTTGAATTGAAGCACAATTGATTGCATCGGTTGTATTTGCTTTGTGAGGCTTCTCCTGGCCACGTGCGTTCCCCACGAATGGTCGGTTGATTGCGACGTTTCAGTGCCTTTCGAGACTCCGGTCAGTACGTTTTGATTCCTTTCATGAGTTTCGATGTCTCTTTTTGCTTTTTTGCCTTTAGATCTTGTATAAAGAAAAAGAGAGCCTGAAAGTTACTTTTTGAAACGTGAAGCCTACTAGCTGAGCGAATGTTTCCGTGCTTGAATAGTATCTGGAAAACTGTATTACTACATCAACCTTTTGTTTGTAGAAATCCAAATACCGAAAGTTCCTAAAAAAATACGAGAAACAATTTTTCTTTTTTTTATTATTTTCAACAGTTGTATTCATTTTGATATGGATAAATAAGTGTCCAAGATTTTTAATTTTTTTGTTTCAATATATTGCTACCTCAATTGAGAGAAAATAAAAAACAGATGAAGAAAAACAAGATACTTTGAAAAAGTTAGTTTTTGAATGGGTTTTTCATTTCAATACTGAGAGCTTTTTCGTTTTCAAAAAAAGTAAAAATTTCTGATTTCAGTCGTGTTCCACGCGAACAGATGTTTTTTTCTCTGAGCAAGGATTTCACATGAAACATCTTGTTACAACTGGCTTAGAACATCTGAAAGTGTAGCCTATGGCTTTTTTTAACTAGAACTGAAGGAATCTACTTTATGGAAAGTAAAAAAACTAAAAATCAGAAAAAGTCATCAAAAAAATAAATTATTAAGATTCAAATGAAAAAAAGCGCTACTTTTCTTTTTATTGTCTCTTTCGAGTGATTTTTTTCCGTAAAACTTCCGCCGTTCCCACAGCAACCCTCCAGCATATATTTTTCTGTTTTTCCCGCTGAACTTCCGTCTATTGAGCTTAGTGAAAAAGTTATAAGTAATCATTCGAAAGGTATTTAATGGTTTTTTTGATTCTTGCTAGAAAAAAATTACTGAAAAATCTCTTAACATCGTTAAAAAAACTTTTTTTGTCAACTAGGCTTACTTTGAATAATTGGAAATTTTTTTGAAGAACCTAAACCAAAAAAATTTGTTGTATTTCTAGCTTGAGATTTATAGTTTCACTGAGCAGGTTTCCTAAAAAAAGTGCAAAAAAATCTTCAGATTGTTATATATCAATTTCTGACTCAATTGAGCTTTGAAAAAAAGGAGTAAAAAAATCAGAATTTCAATTTTGGTTGACTAAGATAGTTTGGAACTTGAGAACAGTATTATTATAAAAATATTACTACATTTTTCACATCTTTACTAAAATTTTAAAATGAAAAAACGAAAACATTTCGTTCTTCTCACCTCCATTTTGTTGTTCTGTTCACAACAGACACGTCAAAAAATGCACGTGTGACTTCCAAACCCGAGAGTTTGCGCCAGATAATTCCTCTGACGCCGACGATCGATTCGCTGTACCGTTCGAAGTTGGAAACTGATGTGACGGGTTTCGTTGAAAGTAATCTCTCTTTTTATGAGGCTCCCAAATGACAGTCTGGCATTCAAATTGTTTTTCGATAGCTTCAGGGAACTTTTTTCCCGCTGTGAAGAGAATACTCATTCTCGTTTCTGCTGCCTCTCTGGAGATTCCCGTTTTTTGCAGCATTAGTGTACTGATATAAGTTTCGCAATCACCGTTAATTCTTCTCCATTCGAACTAACTTCCTTCTCATCGCAATTCATTGGTTCATAATTTTTAAATTTATGTATTTTTAAACATAACCAAGTCATTTGGTTCATAGAAATTAATTGTTTTTTTCTGAGAAAGATATTATTTCGAGAAATAGGCTCAAAACTCCCACCTGTTAGATCTTAACCTCACAGCTTCAGTCGATACAACCTCTTGATGTTTGAAAGTGAACCCCAGCTTTTTAGATGACGTAGTTTATGTTTTTTTTGATTTTTTTCAAAAAAATATATTCACTAGGAAATGTTCTGGAAATTTTTTTAAAAAAACTTTGAATGAAAAATTGTCTGCCGATGGGTCAAGTCTATTTTTTTCGAAGCTGGACACCCTCCGGCGACTCATCCTGGCCCCGTTTTCGGTCATTTGTCATTTTCGTCTCGCGCACTTCTTCCCGCTTCTTTTCTGTCTTTTTTGGTCAAAAAGTTGTCGCCGTTGTACTTTGTCTCGTGAAATCTTTTAATTTCCGATTATTTGAGAGATGAGTTTTTTTATAGAAGTATATGAAGAAAGGAAGAAATAGACTGTATACTTGTTGGTGAAATTAAAAATAGAAGCTATTATTTTTCATTTCCTTTTTCATTTATCTCAAGGACTGCGAAAGCTTTATTGTATATTCCTGACTAATATGCTTCTTTTTTGAACATCACTGGGGTCTAATTATTTTCTTTCCAAAGAAAATTCTGTTTTTCTTGAGGTTCAGTAGCTCAAAATTTCCCTACTTTTTCATGAAAAATTGGAAAGCTTTCTTCAGGATCGGCAGACACTGACTGCGGAGAGGCTGCTCAGTCGTCGGACAGCGACGCCATTCCAACTCATGAAGTAGACGTCCTCGCTAAAATGGAACAACTCAATAGGTATCATTTTTTTAAAGTTTTCAATAGCTCATAGAGGTATTACAGTTTTTTTTCCTATCAGATTTGAATTTTTGAAGTTCTGAAGAATCTCAAAAACTTTTCCATTGTTTTGCGATGATTGTTGAAATTCCCTTTATTACAACTTGATCCCTGCGAAGTCAAAACAACGTAGAAAAATCTCTTCAAGAGGCTCAAATTTCACGTCGCTGCAATGACCGGCTGTCCACCTTTGCCTTTTTTCCTCTATTCCCACCTCTTTTTTCTCCTGACGACTTGGAGTTGACCACTTCACGAGACGGATCGTGCGTGTGTTTGGGCTCGCCACGGAACTCTTTTGTGTGTTTCGCCGGGGGTCAACCAAAAACGTTTTTCCTTCCATTCTTCAGTGTTCTCGGTTTCCCGCAAGCAGGCTTGCAGTGTTGCTCAATACTTTGGAAATTCGGGAACTAACTATGAGGGACCTGAAAAGGACTTTCTTCTCTTAAATTCAGCTCTGGAAAGCGAAAACACGTTGGCTGGTAATGAAAAACCAGATCAGCAGTAGAAAAGTAATATTTGCTTGTTGAAAAGATATCTTTGAATGAATTCTTCAAGTTTTTTTTTTCGGTTTGAAATTTATTTTCGCTGTTAAAAATGAGAAATTGAGATTTATTGATTCAGGGGCTCCGCAGTCTCGGAAAACTTCGAAAATCACTTTTTTTTTAGATCAAATGAGGAAGACTCGCGTAGTTTGACTTCTCGAAAAACAGGTTCCAGTGGAAGTCGGAAAGGAGCTCGAGAACCAACCCCTCCAGAAGACGATGAAGTATGACAAGAAAGAAAAACTTTGATTCGCATGACCTTAATTTTCCAGGAAGATCTTTGGTCTGTTTGGGGCGAACTCATCAGAAATTGGGAGTTTGAGGTTAAAAAGAGACCGACTCATATCAAGGTAAAAATTTTCATTGGAGTTTCAAAAACGAATTTACTCAAGGACCTGGTGAAACGAGGTATCCCGCAGCATTTCCGAATGATTGCGTGGCAATATCTTTCGAACGCTTCCGTGTCATCGATCCATGAAGTCTACAGCGACTACATGCGGCAATCTTCCGTTTTTGAGAAGGTCCCGCTGATTTCGGAAACTGTAAATTACGAAGTGATCTGCAGGTCATCCAAAGAGACATTCCACGGACTTACCCTGAGCTCGATTTTTTTAAAGATGGCGGTCGTGGACAATCTTTACTGTTCAACGTGATCAAGGTGACAAAACTCATCAACCAGAATTATCGACGAAAAAGTTTTAAGGCTTACTCAATACATGATAAAGAAGTTGGCTATTGTCAAGGAAGTGCCTTCATCGTCGGGCTATTATTATTACAGGTGACATTTCCCTGAAATTGAATAACATCTGAAAAGATGTTCAGATGCCTGAAGAGGAGGCTTTCGCCGTGTTGGTGCGATTAATGGAGAATTACCGACTTCGCGAATTGTACAAGCCAGCGATGACCGATTTGGGCTTGTGTATGTTCCAGTTGGAGTGCCTCGTACAAGAACAGGTAAAGAACCAGAAAAACTTTTTCTTTTTTCTGAATGCTGTAACAATAAATCACAATAACTGAAAATCACAAGTTACTCGGAATTTTTCAGATTTTACCTTGATCGTTTGTGAGATAATATGTTTTCATGACTCTCCTTATGGCTCAGTAAGATATGAACTAGTGAAAAATTCCCATATGATTTTTTGAGCGTAACTTCTTTAGCTTTAACGAAATTTTTTGGGACACATATCAACTCGAGGGAACTTTAAGTGATTTCTTTCGCTTTCTGAAAAAAAATATTCCTGAAACTCCCATATTTTTTAGCGTGTCCGCTTCAAAGAGCATACTTACACCCCTTTCGCCCCTGACCTATTCAAATTTGATCTATAAAAACTGTCATGAAGTCCATTTTTATATCTTTTGAACACCTTTGGAGTTGATGTTTTCGTTTTTAATATAGAAAATTAAAAATTTAAGAAACTGCAATAATTTTTAAACAGGATTTTCGATGATTTCTTATAAGTTTTTTTAGATGCCCGACTTGTACACCCATTTCAACAACATGGGATTCGACACCTCCATGTACGCCTCGTCGTGGTTTTTGACTCTTTTCACCACCACAATGCCACTCGATATTGCAAATCGAATCATGGACTGTTTCCTCGTTGAGGTAATTCTTCCTTCCAAATGCAATTCCAAAACACGTTTGTGTGTCAGGGAATGGATTTCATATTCTGCCTTGCAATGGCGATACTCCAACAGGCTCGGATAGAGCTCCTTAGACTGGACATGGAGGGGATGCTCAAGGTAGTTGGAACATCCAAACTGGTCTTATCTTGTTCTCAGTATTTTCAACGAGAAATCAAGGAGCGATATGAGAACGATCCCGACCTTTTGTTTGCCGTAGCCAATCAAGTTCAGCTCAACCCAAAGCGTATGAAAAGGTTTTTCAAGTCAGAATTCATTAATGTCAGTTTTGAAAATTTTTAGGTTAGAAAAAGACTACCTCGCCAAACGAACAAAAGAACAAGAAGAAGCCGTTGAATTGAGAGTGAGTGAACGATATTTGCTGTCTGAGCTTCTGGTCGCATTCGAAATGGCTTACTGCGCGGATTCCTCATTTTTTTGTCGCTTTCGATCATTAAATGATGTGCTCACACAAACTTTGGAAATATTGAGAGTAAACTAGGAATGCTCAATTCAATTTTAATACGGACAATTTTGCTACCATGCCGCTCTCAGCCATTCCAAATGCGATCGCGGCGTTAAAGAAGTAGTGACGCGTCAAAAAAACTGAGAAGTAAAAAAACAAAAAAATTTTTATTTTTCGTTATTTTTTTGCCCGGAGGCAGTTGATTGTTGCAATTTTGTAAAAAAATTTGTGAGTCATACTAAAAAAATTAGAAGAAAAAAAGTTTCAAATTCAGATTTTTTTTCTCAAATTTGATCTTGGCCTCGTCTCACTTGAAACAACGTAACCAGGATTGCATTTCTCGTACAAAAACAGGAAAAAGCTTTCCAGTTATTAAGGGTCAGGTCGAAATTTTTCCCAATTTTTTTGGATGTTAGTTCGTTCGTGAAGTTTACCAAAATCTGGAAATAAAACAATTGACATAGAAAAAAACTAAATTAAAATAAATCACTTTTCTTTTTGTTTTCCATGTCTTTCGATCAATTGAAGCCCATCAACGTGATTTGGGCAATTGTTGAAAATTGAGAATCAAAAGAAGTTGTGTCTAAAAACAGCCCGATGACTGTTTTTCCTGTGTCTCATGAAACATAACAGTGGAGGTGGCTGGCGTGTGGGAGTAGAACAAAAGAGGCGTGTCTTTTGCCACGCCCATTCTGAAAACTGCCGTCATTTCGCGTCCTCTGGCGCTCATAGCACTGCATAAAATCAAATTATTGATTTAATTCGGTCTGATCAAAAACAAATAATCCGATTAGGTCTACTTTTTTCTGCTATTGTCGATTATCATGCAGTTGCGGCAACTGCGGCTTCGCAAAAAATTCGTTTGGACCCGCAAGGTACTTTTTTTTTACTTATTTTTTTGTTCTTACGTGCATATTGAGATGAATTTTTGTTGAAAATCTAGTTGCTTGATATTTTTAAAAAAATAATTAAACTTCTCTTTTTCTGAAAAAAACTGTCTGAAAAACCACTACCTAATCTTCAATTTATCTTTTACTTTTTGTTTTGGTAATAACAAAAACTTTGATCACTTCCTACTCTTTCAGTTGCGATTCGATGAATTTCACTGTTTAAACTGAACTCCTATAATTAGCGCTTGCCGATTTTCTCTGAGCTCTATAAATCTCTAAAAAGAATCGCCTGGGAGGTGGTATCATTTTCTGTCATAATCTTCAAGCGCTCTCAAAATCGCTTTCAATATTTTAAATAGTCCATACTTTCTGTGGAATAGACTTGGATCGAAATAGTGATTGCGCAAGAGATCGATATTCCTCGAATGGCTTTTCTCGTCTGCAGTCTTGTCTGATTGATTCAGCGATTAGCGTTTTTCGTTCCTTCCACAATTCGTCTCTATCATCGCACGTCTATTCCTCTCCGTTCCTTCGCATTGTCTCAAAGGCTGTCACTCATGCACTGAAGACCCCATATTGGATCCATCAAAATTTGGCAGCAAAGAATGAAAGAGACATTTGCGTTTGGAAATTGGTCAAGGAAAAGCCGCTTGAAGATTCGCACTTGACCCTTTTAGGGTCTGGTTATCATTTGTGATGACAATTGAGGCGCGCAAAATCTTAATGGAATATAGATTAGGACTGGAAATATTAAATTGTAAACTAAAATTGAAATAATTTGCCTAAGCATCATTATTTCAACTGTGCGAAGTTCGAGGATTGGAAAATCTTTTTTTTTTCTAGAATTCCAACTCTAGTTCAGATAACTTTTGATTCTCTCAGAAGAATTCAAAAATTTTTGATGTTCTTTCAATGACGATGCGCTTTGGTAAGATCAAACACGTCCAACAGGATAATCACAACTCAGCTTGTCAATATGACTTGCAAAAATGTGATCTTATCCCGTAGAGTCAAGTTTTGTTTGCCTTTGCTCGTGAGTTGGTAGCACGCGATGGCGGGCGAACAGCCAACTCAAATCGAAGAAAGCTGACTCTTTTCGTGACGATTGTGCTCCAGGAGCTGTACTGACTTGAGATGGTTTCGGGTTTCATCAGCAAACTTTTGCTCCAGTTTTTTTTGCGTGTTTTTGAAGAAAACTTCTAGAAAATATCAATTAGAAATGAAGTTGAAGATAATTGATGGAAATTTGAGTGAAAAAGCAAAAAAACCTTTGAGAAAAAAATATGCTAATTTCATTTTTCGTATTTTATAAACAATCCAATTTTAGCTTCAACTTGTCTCGGTCGGAAGTAATGAGTTTTTTTCACTTTCAGAAACAGCTGAAATTTCGAACGATTTGAATAAAAAAAGCTTGTTTCATAAGATTACTGTTAGCTATGCGAAAAAGTTTGAGCCTTTTTATCTCAAAAAGGGCGACTGGAAAAGATTAGAAATTTCAGCTTTCAATAATGTTTTCCTCGGTTGAGAAAATGCATGCGCGAAAGTCAATAACGATTCATAGCGATCCGCACTCAAAAGCACTTGGGCGACACAAAAATACAGCTTGTTCCTTCAGTGCCGCCAAAAAACGGCTTTTTCTAGAACTCGAGATCCTTGTTGATTGTTGTATCCTACAATTCGATGAAAAACAAGAATCGATCATTTTCGAAAAGCGTTTTTCTATCTTTATATTTTACTTATTTCATGTTATAAAAATAACGGATTTTCCGAAAGTAGTGCCAAATATTTGCGTCGAGAGCAATCAAAAAAATCGTTATAATCTGTTGAAATTGTTTTGGCGGCCTTGAGTCCGCGATTCGTTGGAAATGCATGCGAGTAATCGTACCGATGTCTTTTTTGGAATGTTCAACTTTGACAAACGACCTGTCGCCCTTTTTCTTCTTTTATACGTCAAACAAAACGATCCATCAATTCGGGGTTCCTTTCATCACAGAAGCCTGCATTTCTCAATTTACGTTCTTTTTCTCTCGAGGAAATTGAGGAGAAAATCGATGATTGGGGCAGTAGGAAAAGAATGAAGTTTCTGATGGAGATCAAGGATAACGATGGAAGTTCCCAGAAGGGAAGATTTTGAGAGGTGATAAAAACTTCTTTCAGAGATAGCTTGAAAGCGATTTAAAACATTTTTCTAAAGTGAAACTAGTACACTTGGAACCCTCTTGAAGAGTTTTCTCTCGAAAAACAGCTGTTTTCCCAGTTTTCGGTCGTCTTGTTTCTCTCCAGTTTGCGAACAGCAAGGCCCTGGGACAAATGGAGGAGTAGTTGTACACTGAGCACACGGCTGTCTCAAGTCCCACTCATCATCTTCAGCCTCCATTAATTCGCAGCTCTTGCAGCGACAATGGGAAATGTGTCGCTTGAGGCGCGACCGACCCGTTGCAATGATCGATTCTCTGTTGGAAGACACGACGAAAAAAAATTTTGAATTTCCAACGGAAGTTTTTATGAGAAACTGTCTCGGGAAAGTATCAGTTCTATGAGTCACCTTGGATAGTGAAAACTTGGATGATTCATTTCCGCTCTAGCATTAATCAATTTCGATACAACATATGGCAGTCTAAGTTTGAAATGGGAAACTTTAGAGGCATTGAAAATATTTCCTTTATTGATTTTAAAATTTACTGACACCTCATAAAAATTTTTGAAGTATTGATTTGAGAATGAATAAATTTAGCATAGCTTGAACATTTTCTAGTCAAAATCATAAGAACTGTGTTAAAAATTCAAAAAAATATGGTTCATTTCAAACACATAAAATGACCCCCTGACATTATGGTCTCTTTTTAATACCAGCTGCATGGGCTATAAACTGAATCCTTCTATTTTTTTTGTTTTATAAACCATCAAGCAATAAACCATGAACACCTGCTTAGTTTTATTTTTCCAGAAATTATGTTAACAGCCGTTTTTCTTTTGTTCTCACTTCATTAACTGCCAAGTTTGGTCAAATACTGAAAAGTTCACCGTTTTTTAAAATTATTCGAAGTTCTCCAAATGAAATTTCTCGAGTTTAACGGGAAAGCTAATGATTGAAAAGTTGGGAGCTGAAATAGGCATTTTTTCAACTACTTTTCATACTCTCGACTAGCGCTTACTTTGTTACCGGGTCGGTAGTGTCACGGCCGGAACAGCAATTCATCGGATTAGTCATTTGAAGCCCCGAGGCGTGACGAGCGACCGACCGGCCCCTTGATTGCGGGAGGTGTCGCACAAAAGCCGACGCTCCACGTGTGTATGGAACTGTGCGCCAAAGTGAACAAGACTTGTCGTGTTTGTCAATGCAACACACGCGCAAATATACAGCAACAGCAACTGTCGATTATACACAATAAAAAATACCTTGGGAAGCCTCATCTGGCTCGTTGGGAGCTACTAAAGAAATCCCTGTTGAAGACTTTTTTTTAGTCAATTCCATCTAAGTGAAGCATCAATAATTGCAAAACAGGATAGGTCTGCAAAGCAGGTCGTTATAGAGCACTGACAGCATGAAATTTTTGAAATTATCAAAACTTGATAACGGTAATTGATAACCATTATGAGCACCTTTGGAAAAAAAACTCTACAATAGAAAGACTTCGATTCTTAAAAAATTTATGAACAAAAACTATCTTTCTCATTTCAGCGCCTGAGAACGGAAAATCGGCTGCTGAGGCAAAGAATCGAGTACCTTGAAGCTGAGTCAGCCGCCTTAGCCGACCGGTTGATCCGTGGACAGGTAGGAGTTAGCATTTTTCTTGAATATTAGTCCATATTTCTAGGTGAACCTGGCACAAGAAGCGGAAAATTGCATCAATATTGCTCATGAGCTCAGCAAGCTACGGGATATGAACACAGACGCCCATCGGAAGCTTGAAGATGCTTACGAAACTATCAGGTCTTTTTAAATGTCGATCTGAAAAAGAAAACTGATTGAGCTGAGAATTCGTTCTGTTCCATTGGAACAGTTCATTGGAAGCAGAACGTTCATTGAAATTTTTCGATTTTTCAGACTGAATCAAAGACACCTGTACATTCTAATAATAGACGAATCTTGTTTGTTAGAGCCCGTCTGAGCTCTTGCGGCATGTCACAATTTGAAATTAGCAGAAGTATGAAATAAAACATAGAATAAATAAAGAATGAAGAAAACTATAAAGGTCCACGAAAAAGATGAACAAGATCCCTGAAGGGCGGAGAAAAATCAATTAAAACCAAAAAGCTTTTACTAGGAAAAGGTTTTAGCCCCCGGCGGAGCTACTGGTGAAAATTTTAGGGAGCGTACATTAGAACTTTTTGATTCTGAAACGAGAAAAAATTTTTGAAATAAATCTGGTTTCAAGGTTGAAAAGCTTAAAAATAGCGTTTCCCTGTCGTAATTTAGACACTTTGCAAAGTTTTGCGGTCGTGGCTCATAAATGATAATCTGATTTTTAATTTCTGCAGAGATCTGTCCTGTACGCGCAAGGAGAACATCACCGACACGGCGACGCAGGTCGACGACACGAGTATGATCGAGCATATCCATTCGCTGCAGCAGGAACTCATTGAGGCCCACACCCGTCAAGCCGATTCTGAAAACGCTTTGCGCGACGCCAAACAAAGAGTTTCGGTGAGGGTTTTGGATATTTATGAAGCAGAAATCAGAAATCGAGCTCTAAAACTTCCAAGTCAAAACTCACTCAAAAGTTTTTTTTAAGTTCTCTTTGAAAGGTTTCAGCTCAGTTTGTGAAAGGCTGTGAAAAACTCGCAAGTTCATATTTTTGGCCGCTGACTAACTCCTCAATGGATGCATTTAAAAAAAAATAAGACATGAAATCATTGATTTTGATGTAAATTGAAACGCAGAGGTCAAAGCAAAACTGAATAAAAGATGAAAAAGTTTTTCAGGAACTTGAATCAGCCAACAAACGACTCCGAGAAAATGAGCCATCGGAAGGAATTGCCGGTCTTCAAGAAGAGCTGATATCAGTCAAGATGCGAGAAGCCGAAAGTAGTTTGGCTCTGAAAGAAATGCGTCAACGGCTAGCCGAGTTAGAACAGTACTGGGCGGTGAGATCAGGGGAAAATCAGCTCGTTCTGATGATTATTTATTTTGAAGAAGTATGTCCACGTGCGAGCTTTTGATCCTTCTTCTGCGTCAATCGAAAAAGACTCAACCTCTTCGGATCCTCCGGCACAACAACCATCTCCGCCTCTGACTTCAGCGAGGTTCGTTTAGAGTTTGTTCTTTTAAACTGCAAACAAAACTCAACAACTAGAGTCGAAGTTTTCTGATCTCTTCAAACGCGACTAAGCACTAAAAAACATTACTTTCAATTCCTGGATGGGAAATTTTCTTTTTGTAGGGCGAGGTTGGCGAAAATCACAGCGTCTTTGATTGGCGGATCGGTCGACGATGGTGACAGCGGAATCACTGTCCGAGAACTGGAAGATCAGTTGATGGGAGTTCGAATCAAAGAGGCTGACACCATGGCTGAGCTCAAGGAAATGCGTCAAAAGGTATTTTTTCACAAGAAAACAACTTCCGTGTTTTTCTTTTTGAGGTTTTGGATTGTTCGTTTATTTAGGAAGAGTTTTTTGTTTCCATTCAGTCGAAAAATCCTAAAGCCGTGCAAAAAATGATTCTAGGCACGTATATAAACAAAATTTAGAAATTTTACGAAGCTTATATCATTGCACTTTCCATTGTTGAAGCTGAAACTGGCTCAAAATTTGATTGCCTAAAAATTTTAGCATTTTCACAGAGTTCATATATTGAAAAAAATTTGAGTTGAAAAAAAGTTCGCTCTTTTTTTGAGGTTATGGAGCTCGAAACTCAGAACCATGTGTGTACAAATCAACTGAAAAGACAGGACGAAGAAATGCGGCGTGTTCGAGAAGAAATGGACACTACTACAAAGGTTTTTCCTTTATAGCTAATTTATCCGTCAGTCTTTTTTCCAGAAACGGAAAGAGTTGGAAGCGGCTTTGAGGACTGAAAAAGAGCGGATGGTTCAGCGGGAAAGCGAACTCAACGAGCAATGCATCAACGAGAGGCTCAAGTATTCAGAGGCGATGCAGACTGTTCAGGACCTTCGAACCAGTATCGCGCAAATGGAACTCAAGGTATTTCATCATTAAAATTAGAAGTCTGAAGAACTTAACCATTGCAAAAATAGTTGGAGGTGTGATTGAACTCTTTTTGGATGACAGATAGGAATAGCCTCGGTGATCATCTGAAGTCGTTTTGCTTTTCTTTTTTGATATTTCGAGCGGATGCATTATTTTTCGAAGTTTCTTACATTCAGGATCAGAGGGAAAAAGGCATCTTACCAAATCAGTTTTTTTGAAAGATTCTATGAAAGGTAAAAAAAATTCTCTGTTAGCTCGAAAAATTGAAATTTTGCAAATGAAAAAATCACTTTAGAAAGCCGAGCGCTGGACGCAGAATCAACTTCGTGGTAGCAGTGTCTGCGACGTTGATGATGACTCTGTAAGTTTTTGAATAAGCATTGAACACAAACGTAGGAAAGTTTTGCTATCGCACCATAATTTCAAACTATCTCTGCGCTCCAACTTCTTTTAACGACGAGAACAACGAATATTAGAGATGGAACAAAAGTTCAAATATTGTGTTCGAGAGAGCTGGGAGAGGTCTGACTGCTATACTAGTAAATTCAGAATGGTGTAAATCACCGTCACGTAAATTTTTGTGACTGTGAATCACACTATTCTCCCAATGTTTCATAACTTTTAAATCACGACAATTGGAAATCTCTGATAAAAGCCAGTCCCTCACTTTCAAATTTCCAAATTCAACTTATTCCAAACAGTCCAATCATCAAGATATTTTTTCAGAATTCCCATGCTTCGGGTTGTTCCAACGGCGACGCCTTGTCTTTGGCTTCGGACGAAATGAACGCCCTCATTGCCGACATGACCGTCCGGGTCCCTGTTCTGAGCGACCTCGCCGAAGAAAGTTCCGCGACTGAAACAGACGAACGTCCACGGTCCAAGGTACATAATTAATTCTTTATTCGGAAAATTGAAAATCTTTGTCTGGAACTCGTATATCTCATTTATTATACTAGAAGATAAACTTTTTTTAATTATTTAGTAAGCAGATAAACTTTTTACCGCGCCTATCAATTCAAAAAGTCTTACCTGAAAAATTTTTTTGCTAACAAGCTCTGAGCGAAAATAATTCAATCCCATGAGATTTTCTAAAACTTAACGTTCGTATTTTTGTTCCTTATTTTTAGTAACAGACACAATTGTTGTTAGGGCAGTTAATTAATTTGAAACACTCTTCAGAAATCGCTTACTCTCAAAATACTAAACCTCACTTTTGAACTCGTAAAGAATGAACCGATGTTTCAAAAAAGACGACAGAAAAAGTTTAGTGAAAAAAGCTGCAGGTGTTCAAAAAAGAGGGTCAAAACCGTGAGTTCGAAACGGCTGAAAAAAAAAGGCAGCGGAGGACGCGTCGTCTCTTTTTTTTGGCAAAAATTTCAAAAATGTTTTTGTTCTCCTCTCCCTTTTGAAAGTTTCAAACTTCACCCAAAGAAAAAAAATGGAAGCAATTGAAACAATCTCTGAAACACCTAACAACTTAGAGCAAATCAAACTTAAATTTTTTTTCATGGTTTTTTTTCCAGTTAAAGTTTCTTCTAAGTTCTCTTTTTTTCGAACCCTAATCTTTTTGTTGCAGGAAAAGCACGACGGAAATGACACAACCGATTCTGGCTTGCATCTGTCTGATGGTCAGTAACCGTGGCTGCAGCTCTCTTACTTCGTTCTACGTGCTTTTAAAAACAAACTTTATTGTAAATATAGTTTATGGCTCCCAGTCTTTTTTTTCTTTTTGTGCGTATTCATTGATTGATTTGGTTACGGTAACATTCTCTTGCAAAACGGTATTCTTTCAATTATGTGTGTACAGTTTTTTCGCGAGTTTTACTTTTTTTGAGTTTTCAACGGTTCTAAGTTGTTCCAGCGGTTGAGACGCGGTTGCGTGATGTTTTCAAAGGTTGGAATGATGCATTTCTTCTTCGAACTACTTTTTTTGGTTTCAAACACTGTTTTAATATACCCAAAGGCATTTTCTTTCATTTTAGCCCGCTTTCGCGCGGTACATCAATTTGATTTGCTGGTAAAGTTGATTGGAATTAAATTCAACACATGTGCATATAAAATACATTTCTATAAAACGATTGCATAATTTATATTTTTTAGGACTCACACATTTCTTCTCATAACGGATAAATGGATGCCCTGTGGCGTTTTATCAACTATTGTTTGTTCCCTGTAGAGATATCTTTTATTTATACTTTGATCAAATTTGTGGCCTTAAGTTTCAGATGCTTACGGTAAATGTTTTCTTTTTTACTTTTGCTCACTCTGCGTAGCAACTTTCTATCTTTTCTAAGAGCAATGTCATTGAATTCGTGATAATGTGGAAATGATTCTTCTTTCTGTGAAATTGGACTTTCCTCGTTTAAATTTTGCCTTCTCGTGATACTTCATTGGTAATAAAGAATAATTAACAACGTGAGTTATGTTATTCACTTGGAAAAATCGGGAAATTTATTTAGATTGCCGGGAGATCAAAAATCACAGAGCCAGAGGGAGTTTAATCTCCACTAAAAAATAATGCTCCAAAAAAAAAGTTCCGAGAAAAATAATCGAAAGACTAGGCTAAGATTTGGATGATCGCATTCATTCATGTTTAAGTTCAATATGAAGTTCAGATTCATCTCACATTATCTACTTTTAAAAGTTGTTAGAAATGGCGAATATTTTGTAAAGTCAGATTTTATGAAAATTTCTTACTGTGCTCTTTCTTTGATAAAAAAAAACTTTTTTCATCGCAAAAATGTCTCTACTTTGATGTCGAAAAATCCCAGACTTTTACCAAGCGGCAGGTCGGAGGGGCGGAGACAGTGCCCAAGCCACGCCTTTTTTCTCCTAACTGGGAGGTTAATTTCACTTGAACTCTCGTTTTCTGAAAGGCGACATAATCTATCCTCACTTTCTATTTCGTTATTTTATTTTTTATTTTTGTCAAAAAAATGTTCTGCAAGTTTCTGTATGAATGAAGAGAAGGTTTCAGTTATCAGTTTTTTTGAAGAAATATATTTTACAAGTTTTGGAAAGACTGGAAAAAAATGTTTTCAGGATTGAAATAATTTCTAGTAAAAATCAAATTGATGTGTCATCAAAAAAATGTTGAGATTGCGAATGATATAAAAATTTCTTTTTTTGAGCCATTTCTGAAGAGCTTCCAAATTATCCTCCTTCTTCGTCTGCGACTGTACTTCTTAACTCACTCACGAGAGAAAAAGTGAGCCCCGCAGATATGGTTCGAACTACCTGTCGAAAATGTACGGAAAAAGCTCAAAAACAAATTCTCTTCGGGTCTTCTGTAGAAAAAGTTTCTTTCTCGTGTTGCTTTTGATATCGTGAATAAAAATAGACGTTTTGGAATTCGAAAAAAAAAACACAAGAACATCATTTTTTAAGCTTTTATCGTACACTTTTGACCCGCTATCCCGCATTACCTTAAGACGCTTAGCAGATATTTTTTTGTGTATCCATGGCTAGGACTATTTATCACGGCAATTCAATAAAGATCTGCAATTTTTACCTTAAACGCTTTCCATGTCAGAGTAGCATTCATTTTCATATCATTTTTTTTCTTCTTTATTCATGATGCAAAGCGGAATTTTCTATTCTCACCCCGCATTCATCTTAAAACTTTCAATGTGATTTCTGGCTTTTTTTAAAGTTTTAATGTTTTTCTCATTTTAAAAGCTTTTGATCTTTGAGCCAATCTGGCGGTCTGATGTACACTTTCAATCAATTGATGTTATTCGTTTTTTTTGGCTTGGAAAAAAAAACTTTGTTTCGCGAAATTTGAAGATATCATCATGTGATATCTTGTGAATTGTTCTAAAGGTTTTAGTTAAACGTTCGATTTCGACTTTTTTCGTTTTTTTTTTCAAATGGAAAGAATTTTTCGAAGATTCTTTATGTTGAAATCCAAGTTTTGTAAGAGCGCACAGGAGTTTTTGATGTGTATAAATAATCTTTGAGAAAAAAGTGTGTGAAAACGAGAATTGTCAGCGACAGGCCAAGTCTCGTTGCTTCGAAATCGAATATTGTTTTCTATCCTTCCCATATCAGCTCTTTATAGATAAACGGGTTTACCCCTTCAAAAACGCTTATAGATTTTTGCGCAATTTGTTTCACAGAGCAAAATCGGTTTTTTTTTTTTCATTTTGGCGTTTTTTTCTGCATAATATATTCAGAACAAATAAAAAAAAGGCTTTTGCAACCATTGTTTACATTCTTGATCTGAAAAACCCATGGATAATGTGCGCATGATATGCAAAATGGTCAACGCTATTTGTCTTCAAGAACATTGCATGGGAAGGCATCGAGAACATCTTTGAACAGAAAAGATTAGAAAAACGCAAAAGTTCGACTTGAGAAGAATCTTCGATCTTTGAAATTTCTTTTTTGACAGAACAATTTGAAGCTTAAAGATTATTCAAGAATGTATCATGTTATTTATAGAATATTAATCTTACGTCGCTAGCTCTCATTCACGACAGTGTCTCATACGTTTTCAACCTGTTTATGATTCGTTGATCACGTTCGCTTCAACTGACTATTGTATCCCTTTTTAATTCTTGAAATTATCAATAAAATATCTGGTTGAGAAGATGATGAAAGTTCACAGAGTTGTAAAGAGACGCCTTTTTCCAGATTATTCAAAAATGTAAAAAAAAATTTTCCGTCACAATATTAGTGCTGTGAGCTATGAATTTGATGGAGAAAAAAGTGTTTCTGTCTTTTTAAAAAATCAGATTTCGACTTGCAATTTTGCTATAGACCTCAACGTGCAGTTTTTCACACTTTTATCAAATTCTCGACAGTCCACCAAAAAGCTTTTCTCGTGAACTTTGTTTTGCCGAAAAACGTTTACAGATAAGAGAGAAATTCTTATCTGCGAGCAGATCTTTTTTTTTGTTTTTCTTAACATCCCCTCCGCACGGTCCGCCATTGCTTCTTCCAACTTCTTATTGTACAGCTTTCGCTCGTTCCCGTGTTTTATTTTCCGTTTTTAGGATATCCAGGCTCTTTCGCGGTTCCTGGATATTTTCACCATGCTTGCAATCGAAAGAATATGCACCATACTGGCAGCACAAACGTTATGTGAGTTATTTGTACATTCGTAAACTATATAAAAAGTCGAAATATCTTATCGATTTCTCATACGATTCTTACATGATGAAATCTGAAATATTCACACTTTTGGCCAGTTTCAAGACAAAAAACTGGCTGTAAACGGCAAAAAGGTTTTTAATGAGTTTTCAAATTTTAATAAAATATACCGCTGAACTAATGATGAAAGCAGTTTCATAGATGTTGAAAAAGTTGGAGAATAACCTTGAATCAAGCCTTTTTTCTAAGTGAATTCAATATTAGACTCCAAAAAAAATTGTTTTTCAGATGATGTGGAGCACTATGGAAACCCAGAGTTCCAGGAAGGTTACCAGGCAAGAATCGTTTTTGTAGAACCAAATGAGCCGATGACCAACTTGAACTTCGAAGGAGGTCATATCTTCAAAGAAGACAGGCAAACGACGTGTCTTATCATAGACGTCTGAAATACAGGATCTTAAAACTTAGCGTAGTACTTTTTTAGATTCGACCCATGGCTCATTTAGCGATACTTTTGGACATTGTCGCGATGAATGTGGAAAGCGGATCTAAAGTCGAGATTTTCCAGTATTTAAAACAAGAGAAAAAGAAGGTCTTTTTCTTTATGGACAGGTTGATTTTCCAAAATACTGAAAAAAGAAAACTTGGATTTTCAGCTTCACTGGGGAACGAGCTATCTCTACGGAAACTTTTGACAGCAACTTTCGGCGAAATGGTCTTTTTGTAACTGCGCTCAATAGCGGGATGCAAATCCGAGTGTTCGCGCCGCACGGAAAAAAAATTTATCAAACAGCAACGAATCTCTCCGTTACTTTTGATAGGAAGAACAGTAAGCTTTTTTCGTATAAAGTTGAAATTTCTCTGATCTTCAAAATTTTTGAAGAAACACTTTTGATATTGGGCGATGAATGCAAAAACGTTCGTACTTACTTTCCCGAAATCTCAAAAGAGGCCGCGAAAAATGACGCGATTCGTCGCGAGCCTTGACGAGCGATTCTTCGCAGCACTTACTGTTTCAGCGCGCACTCTCCTTCTTCCTCTAGCAAAAATCGCTCAAGGCCACGAGTAGCTATACAGTATAAAAACTGGATTTCACTCGTAATTGCTGAAACTTCGTTCCTGAACAATTGATCTGAAAAATGACTCTTTTTGAATGGTTTCAGACTTTTTCTGCCCTGACCCGGTTGTCGAGCTCCGTCACTTGGAAAAAGGAACTTTCATTGTTCCTGCAAGTCCCACCGACTCCGGCTGTCCGTTTCTCTTGAAGGCCAAGACTAACTTCCGAATGAAAATCAGCTACTCTGTGATTGGATATAAGAACGTTCAGATCAAATACAAAGAGTACAAAATGAGGCAGGAGAAATGGTTAGTTTCTTTACGTAGCTTGGAAATGCTGAATGGAAATTTGCGCAGGAGATATCTCGGTATTGGAGAAGAATACATTTCGCACACAGAAGAAGTTCAAATAGTCGTTCGGCACCAGAAAGAGGTTATTGGCAAATGGAGGAGCGCTGTCAACATCACGTTCTCGATGACTCCCATGGGTGACTCGACCAAAAAATGTCCGTAGAATTGAAAATGTGTTTCAGACTGCAACTGCAAAGACAACGTTTTGACGATCTCCGCCACGAACCCTCAAGCGGTTTTCAACTCGAGTGGTCGAGATCTGAAGATGTGTCCGCTCCAAAAATGTCCAGTGAATATCAAGACAAGTGCGGATGGCCTGAAAATTCCGAAAAACTACGCAGCAACGTTGGCTGTCGATTTTGACCGAGTTCACGTTGGTGATTGTATCAATATCCCCAGTTACAAAGGAGCCAAGCCTATGGGCGATTTTGTGCACTCGTGAGTTTTATATTTGAAACAGAGGCAATAAATGGAAACTTTGAAAATTTTTGAGAAAAAGCCAATTTAGCTTTTGATGTTATCAACCTACAATTTTTCAATGAGAAAATGCAACTCTGAGTCAGAAACAAAATCAAAGCAAAAAAACAGTGAACCTTTTTGTTCAAAAATTGCCTCAGGCAAATTTTTCTTTGTTTTCTTTTTTTCCGAAAAAAAGAATAAATAAAAAAATTGAAGACTTGTGGTTCATTACAAAATGAAGTTTTTCGAAAAAAACTCTGAAAAAAATGTTTTGATGAATTATTTTTTTTCTTTTATTTTTTTATTTCAGCATCGATCAGTTCCCTAGCCAGCGTCTTTTCAACTACAGTGATTTGACAATCGACCTCCACCCGTCCGCGTTCCTTGCCAAACAGAAATACATAATAACTGCAAATTTGCTGATCCAGCCAGAAGGTTATTACTTTCCGATTCTACTCAAATTGATCTTTTCCAGCTTGCAATTGTCATGGAATGGCTGTAAAAAGCAATTACAAAAGTACCTTTAACTTATCGAAAGAATGCAAAGTCATCGATTGCCGCTGGTCGTTTGCCAACACCAATGAAAACAAAAAAGTAAGATTTTCATCTGAGAAGGAAAATCACAAGCGACGGACTTCAGATGAAAGTTTTGCAATTCACAATGTCGGGGAACAGTTTTTGCTCATCCGACTTCATCACGCTCATCGAAACGTACTCAAGCGACAAGGAAATGTTTGTTCTTATCATTTAAACAAAATCATTATTGATGATTTTTGAAGGTTCTCAACGAGTCTCCATTTGAACGAGACAAACAGAAAGCTAATCGGCTACGGTAAATCTTTCTTCCTGCACTACAAAAGAAACGACCCGGATGAATCTTGCGATGTCACATTTGCCCTGGAGTTCTCTGATCAAACGGGTGAGTTTTTTTTTTCTTGTCGTTTCAGCGCCCTTCGCTTCATTAACATTATTCTCAAGAAATCGTGAAATTTTGAAAAAATCATAAATTCAAACAGAAGCGAGGGAATGGTAAATGCAGCTAGACAAAGACAAAATAGTGTGTGTCAGAGAAAGAGTTGTGGCGGCATTTATACGCTCCATGTCAGAGTTATAGATCAAACATAACTACTTTCGTTGAAAAGAATGATTGGACCATGTCAAAAAAATTTTCTGCAGAAGTGAAGAAGAATGGCTACCACGGCTCAGCAATTTGGGTATTCGCTTTCTTGCTGTCTACTTTTGTCGTGCTTGGCGTTTCTTACAAAATTCTCCGCAAAACGTTTGTTTTCTTGAGTCAAAGTTCCTGACTTAATCTTTTCAGAGACCTCTTCAAAATTTTCAAAGCTGACAACGAAAATGACGATTCCCGCGAAATGGAAGCTCCATTGGTGGAAATGACCCCTTCTTTTTTTCTTTGTGAAGATGTCGATGTCACTGACTGAATTATTAATTCAACTGAGGACTTCAGCTTTTTTTAAGCCGATTCGACTCTCATAAGTCTTTTCATTCATCACTTGTTTAGAGCAATAAGCCGTGCATGGACCGTTCCAAAGTTTTTTATTTTCATCATAGTAATCCTCCTTTTCACTACTGTTTCCAGTCAGTGGTGTGTGAACGAAATCCCGTGCCACTCATCTACGAACCCAATTTGAATTATTTTTTTGGGAAAAGTTTATCAGTCCTTTTTGAATCTATAAAATTTCCAAAAAAAGGCGATTTGAACACACCAAAAAGTTTTTTGTAAATCTTTGAAACTTGAATTTGTTTTATCTGATATTATATTTTTTCACATTCGTTTATCAATTTTTTTTCAAAGTGCCTAATTATGTGCGTGCCGTTTTCCTTTTTTTTCTTTTACTCCTGTCCTCGAAATAAAAAAATTTTAATTACCTTTTTTTCTCATTGTTTTCTCTCAAACATTTAAATTTTCATTACATTCTAAATTATAAAAAAATTTTACAACCAGTGCTTGAAGTAATCAATAAAACATCTCAAAAACAATGAAACGAGACCAATAGACAATAGAACCTTTGCGTTTGGCTTTGAGGCAATCCGTTGAAAAAGACTTTGATATGTGCACTCGCCAAAAAAAGTTGCGTATAGAACGAGACTCCTAAAAACAAGCTGAGAAATCTAAGGAACGTTGAGAAAGCTGCAACAGAGGTAAGAACTTGAAATTGCACAGAAAATGATGAACTGCTGGAGGAGAAAGTTCAGTGACAGGCGTCTGTGACAAAAGAGTCTGCGGCTTCTCCGTCAGCATTGCGAAGCTTCAGAACAGCAAAAATCCAGTGACCGAACCCAGCTCCCAGGACAACGGCAATTGCTAATAATAACATTTTGATTTTACAGTTATATGAATTTGTTAACACTATTGCTAAAATTGATTTTTCATTTGAAAACGGGCCAAAATATTAACCAGAACTTTGAACTGGCAAAAAATAATGCTTTTTGATCAACTGTAAAAAAATATTTAATACTCAAAAAACCCATTTCATAGAAACTATACTGTGAAATTATTCTGATGAAAAAAAGATTTATTTTGTCTGAAAAAAAGGAAGTTTTTTTGGAAACAAAACTCACACAGCCAAGTGTTATAAGTCATCACAATGAGCATGAGCCAGTAGGCAAGAACAAGCTGAATGATGTACAGAACGGCCTCGATGAGTCTTGGAGGGAAGAAAAGCGAATTTCTGAAAGATATCATTAATTTGACAAAAGTTGAAGCTGATCCTTTTTAAATATCATCTCCACAATTTTTTTTTCACCCTCTTTATTTTTGAACGTTTCATGAGCAAAAAACGGACTTTTTGAGAGAAAGGTTTGATTCATTCTGGATGACTAATGGCTCCGTAGCAGCACGGTTTGGCGTGCAGGTTGCGACTCCCGGGGTTCCGTGCGAAGTGTGCAGAGGAATCTGAACAAACAGTAGTTTCGATGAACAAGAAAAGATTTTTTACAAAAAAAAATTCTATTGCGTTTTTGTAAACACTTTTGCTTTCAAAAAGTCATAAATTTGCAAGAAGCCTTTTTGTTTGATAATTTTTCAGACATCAGTCAAAAATATACTTTCAAAGGAAACTGTAAATATCTAAAAAAACCTATGAAGACTTTTTTTCAGGAATGTATCTTCAAATTTAGGTATTTTTGCATAAGGTAATTTGCATAACATAATGTATATTTTGCATAATGCATTAAGCAAGTAAGCAACTTTATCGGCATCGGATTTCAAAAATCGCAGAGTTTTCCAGGTCATTTTTGACATTCTCATCTTGTAAATGAAGAAAAAATTGCCCATTTTAATAAATTCCGGTGGCGAGAAAGACACACTACACTAGAAAAGAGCGGAAAACGTGAGATTGAATATTTTCTTATAGCTTGATTGTCATAAAATTGAACTTTGACTTTTTTCACTCCTTTGTCAGTTCAAGTCGTAAAAAAAACAAACATACCTCCGTCAAATTCTTGCTTCGCGAGGGACCAGGTTGCGAAAGAAGGAAGACTCGGAACCACTTGATACCTTCATATGTCGCTCCCATCACAAATATGGCAGCAAAAGATACCAGAAGTCCTTAAAGTCATCATTTTCAGGAGTGCAGTGTTTCCACAAGACCTTACCAATCAAAGAATCGATTCTCCAGCAATCGAACAAAATCACTTCTTCATAACCACCGTGGAAGTACATCTTCATCACATGATCTGGAATCATTTTTTTAATGGTTCCCGTTCTTTTTAAATTCTGCTATTAATTGATATGTTTTTCTTTCTATTTATCAGATCAATAGCTTTGATTTTTTTTGCGTTTTTTTGAGAGCTTTATTGAATCGATTCAAATATTTCCTTAGAAATTTCGATATTGTTATGGAAACAAAATTTATGGCTACAAAAAGTTTAAATTAATTTTAGGGCAGCGTTCGTTAACAGAAAAAAATTTCTCGGTACCTACTAAAAATTTTTGAAAATTTTGTGAAAAAAATTAATTTCTTAAATAAAAGATTTTATTGCCATTTTTCCAAATTCAGATGGCTTCAAATTTTCTTCGAAAAAAATTTATCGCCTTTATTGCACTTTACTTATGGTTAACAGTGAACCTTTTCTTGCAATCAAAAATATGAATTTAGAAAATAAAAATTTTTAGAAAAAAAGCCTGACCTCCATGTCCAGAAGCAGCGTGACTGCCGTGGTCGTGGCTGCCGTGGTCGTGCTGAGGAGGGGTGACCAATTGTCCTGGTAAGACGTCTGCTTTGGTGTCTTTCTCGAAAACATCTCGAATAAAGTCTTCAGCGTCCTTCACAAGATCTACCTGAAAGAAATTGAATTTTATTAACCAATACCTTGAAAGCCACCTTTTCGGCACCAAAAGAGAGCTGCACCAAGAGAGCTAGCAGGAAGAAAGTTCTACGCAGCATACTCTAAACTTTAAAAATAGCAAAAAGCAAAAAAAAAAACTGAAGTGCAATACTTTTGCTGCATAAAACAGACAAAACAAAAAACCAGCACATCGAAAAACGTATAACAAAAGATTTATTGGAAAGAAACAACAAGATCGAAAGAAATCGCGTCGTTGGTAGTGGGCCCTGCTTCGTCTCAAAAGCGTTGGAACTGGTTCTGTAAGCACTCAGATTGCGGGAAAATTTCATTTTCTAAGATGTTTGAACAGCAAAATTTTGTGATCTTCGTTTTGTAATGAAAATGATTGCATTAGCTCACACAAAAGGTCATTCAACCACGAGCTTCAGGATTTTTTTAACAAATGGCACAAATTTTTTTCATTCTATTTTTTTAATAATAAAAAGTCTCTAAAATTCAATAATGATAAAACTTAAATTTCGTTATATTTGTAGTACGATGTAAAACCATACCTTCTAAAATTCTGTTCTAGCAGAATATTTTAGAAATTCTTTTTCCATGCTGCTCCTTTTTGGAGCTTCCCTGTAAATTTTTGAAGAAAAAAAAAACTAATTAAAAAGTTTTCTCACCAAGTATTTGCAACTATTCTATGTAGCTTCCCATTTGTTCATTAGCGCTGCCATTCTCTGAAAAAGTTGATTGAAAAGCTAAAAATCGGGAAGGAAAAGCTGGCCGCAAGTATATTAATTAACGTTGAACGAATGAAAGGGAACTGTCACTGGAAAAAAAAATTGGAAGCAAACAAAGAAGGTTTGGTGATAACCTTAAGACATAACGGAATCGATAGATTATGGCAGACCTCTACCAAGTGGTAAATAAGGTAGGCGCCCCCGTACATCGTAGCCGTTATCAGCTCGCGCCAAAACGTTCTCCTCCTCGACGCGCCAAAATTTTTCGATCTACATTTTGTTTCACCTTCTTCGCTCTTCAAAGAATGAGTTTCGAAAAAACTGAAACATATATAAACATAAGTAAAATGCTCTTAAATCATCCTAAGGTAAAGTTCAGTTCTAATCGGGATGAGAAAACATATTTGTGAAACATTCCAACCAAGGAACTATGAATTTAACGTGTGATTGTGGAAATCTAGAAGAAAATCGTTCAAGATGAAAGAAAACAAAAAACGATAGAATCCCAAGAAAATACCCTTTGCAAAGCAAGAAAGTGCAAACACCGTGGCGAAAAATTTGCACTGGACAAGCGGCAACGAAAGTTTGAAAAATTTAAAGAAAGGTTTCAAAAAAACAAAAATAAAAAAAGGGTGTTTGTAAAATTTTTGAACATGAAGATTTTTAGAGGTGTTCGGTTAAAAGTACAAAAAGACAATGAAAAATACAAATAGATACAGTTTTTTTATATGAAACGGCACACGTTCTCATATTTTTCAAAAAATTGGTTTTTAGAAAAAAACGGAAAAATTATATAAACTATTAATACGTATTAATTATTACTCAGTAATATTAACGGAGGATTTTCCAAATTATACTTAAAAAAAAATTTTTATGTGTTAAGCCTGAAATTTGCAAATGCATTATACCCGGAAAATTTTCTTCAGACGTCATAAAATTTTTTAGAAGTAGTAGCCAGTCGAAATGATACTTCGTATTTTTAACAGATGTGAAGTACTTTCTACAGATTTAGGCACACGATTTGTAACTTCTTGAAAAATTCTGTTTCAAGTGGCAACATTTTTTTCTCTCAAAGTAAAAACTCAAAAATCCGGACTTCTTTGGATCTTACAAGAGGATGAATCAAACTTTTTCCCTTACTATGTTTTTGGGGATAAATATATTGGTTTCATGGGACTCACTTTATGAGAATGTTTTCTTTTGAAAAAAGGCAATACTTAGAAGTGAAATCATCTCCAAATTTTCACAGCTGCAATTTCCGTTCTTGACGATCTTGAAGTTTTCTTGAAAGACTGAATGTTTTAACTAGTGAACATAACTTTTTCACAACTTTAAAAACGGTTCAAGCTTACTAGGGAGCTTTTTTATAGGCGAACCTTTTGATGAAACTTTTCTGGAGCTCATTTTGAAATTTTTTGATTTTAGAACAAAAAATCTATTTCTTGCAATGAACCTTCATTATGTTTATTGAGTTTCAAAGCTTGCAAAATATGTTTACATTTTTTTACAAAACTTACAAATTGTGGTAGAAGTGGCATGTCAGGTTTTCGTAGCTTCTTAACAAGATAACCAGATCGATTGCGATTGATTTTTCATTTTTTTGGAATCAGGAGATCTTAAAGTACACTTCAGTGGAATTTACACAAAAGTTCAACCGGGGGCTAAAAACGTTCACTAGTTGGAAATCCGCAAAGTTCTCGCAATTTCTAAATAGTTCAAGAGTTCTTTTCAACAGTTTTAGTGACCCAGTAAAGCTTGCTATTTTTGCGGCTTTTTTCTACAGTTATATCGAGAAAGCAATTCAACACTTCTTTGTGTAACTTGTTGACCTGAAACCCCTCAATGTTTATCGATTGATGTCATAGTTTCTGCGAAAGCGATGGACAAGAAGCTGGGCTGCGGCTATGCGAATGTTACAATGTCGGGAGCAGCATCGAAGAGGAATCGCTAATGGTGACTCAGACGTCGGAACAGCTGCCAGCGGCGCCGAGCACAACCTGCGGAGCCGCGCCTGGACAATTGTTGCCAGTTTCTTAGGTCGACGAATCAGTCATATTGCTGCTCAAAGCCGAGAAGTGTTTAGAAAAGACCATATGCACTTTTGCACGCTGGGACGTGCTAAGGACAGCCGAAAACAAAGTTCTAGCGATAGTTTTACTGCAGAGGACGCAACGAAGAGCCGTTGTCAACCGAACCACTGATCAAACTAAAAATACTTTGTTAAAGAAAGGAACCTGAGAGTTTTGAAAGGGATATGAGTTATATTCAATTTCTTCCTTGAATATTCTCGAAGACATTTCAGAGATTTCATTTTCATGATTGGCATAAAATCTCGAGGTTACGTTGAACATTCGGCTTTGATATGTCACACAAGTTGTTCGTCGACGGGGCTTTTGACAAAAGGTTTTTTTAACGATTTGAACTAATTTCGGGGTTTTTTGTTGCCTTGAAGCCATTTTTGTTGACTACATATGTTTTCAAATCCAGAAAAACAGATTAAAAAAAATTGTACTAATAAAATGATTGGCAACTTTTCTGCAGCATTTATTACACAAAATTTTAGAGGCTCCAACTTTTCATTCCATCGAAATTTATCAAACGATTCAAAAATTTAATGAATGAATCAATCTCAACTTTGATCATGAAAAACTTCCATTCAAAATTCATCAAATTTCATGAATTTTTTAGATGTATTCAACGATTTTTACGAAGAAAATTCGCGTAGTTCATAACTTCTCTTTTTTCTCATGATTTTTTGACCTCGATTTTAGCTCAGTTTGTTTTGTTTATAACGATCCCTGGCAGAGAGACGCCATGTGCGGAAGAATGCAACACTCGCTAGCCAACCATATGTGCACTCTGGAAAAGTGTATGGGACGAGATGGACTCGCTTAATCTTAGAAATAGATGTTTATTCGACGAAGAGTTTCTGAATAAACACAGTATAGGCACATATGCACCGCAAATGTGAGTCCAATCAATCTGCAATCTCTCCGCAGTTTTTGAGTAATTCAGCACTCTCTTCAATTTTAGTGTGTCTTTTGACCACTCAGTCATTAAACTCCCATCTTCTAGCAAACAAAAAAATTTGATTATCAAGAAAAAAACAAGCTTCTGTGCCTGATTACAAAAAGAGAAATAAATTAATCAAACTTCGTCAAGATATTCAATAGAGTTATCAAATCGCGAAGCTTACTAAGCTGAAACGCGAAATATGCCGAAGATTGATGTTTTTCTCAATTTAGGGACTGTTATCTCAAGGGTTGATTTATTCGAGGTTTATGCGTACGTAGTTTCCTAGACCTCATCAACCGATCCAATATAAAAAAATAAAATGAAGTTCCTAACAAGGTAAAAAAAGAAAGATTGTAAAGATCTTAACGGTTTTTTTGAAAGACCAAAAATATATTGAAAGAGAATTTCACAAAAAAAGTAGCGGAAAGGTAATTTCGGTCCAAAAAATTTGAACTTGTTCAAAAAATATTTGAACAAATCTATTTTTTTAGCTAGGAAACAACTCTGGCAAAACATAAACAATTACAAATTTTAGTAAAACAAAAACAAAAATTACGAAAAATCAAATACCAAAAAAATGATTAATTTAGAGGTTCAGTATGATACCGACTTTTTTTCACAACTGAAAGGCGTCCTCGATGGTCAAGAGTACTTTTTGGAAATTTTGGAATTTTGAAACGTCTTAAAAAATATCTTTATTTCAAACAATTGAAACTCATCAGACACTGCTCAAATGATTCGCTGTGACGAAGATCCTAGCAGTGATTTTTCAGAAAGTTCCTTACTGAGGACCGCTGAACTCTTTTTTTGAAAAAAGTGCAACACGTGCAAGACATCTGCCAGAAACGTGATCCTCTTCCTTCATAAGTGAGCCGAGAAAGTTTGCCTGATGAACAGTTCTTCTGCGTCGCAGCTGGTACCAGGAGGGGCTGTCGGACCATCGTTTTTGCTTTGGACCTTTGCCTCCATCTAATCCAATAGACTGATTTATCAGCCCCTTGCGGTGCCAAGACGGATCGGCCACGTACAATGTAATGTTGCGATGTGCAGCCGCCGTCCATTCCTCATCTAAGCGGCCAAGTAGAAAAAACACTCGGCCTCGTCCTTTGAAACTCTTGGCTTTTGATAGCGTTTTTTTTGCCGGGTCGGCTATTTTTCTGAGTTTTAAAGACCATAGCCTGACGAGAACTTATTCTGACCTCTGTCAAAAATTTTGGTAGCCGTCGTTTAAAAAACCACAATTTTTCACTATCTGTTGGAGATACTGTAACAGTGTTACCGAAACACAACAAATTGCGTTAAGACTGCGATTTTTCAAAAGTTTGGCAATATTGGAAGAAATGACTGCTAGTTTTTTTGTTTCTGAGTCTAGCTTTTAAATAAATTTGATATCATATTTTTAATCAATGTCTTCATTGTCCTGGTCAACGATCAAAAAAAAAAAAACATGATTTTCTCATTCTTAACTCAGTTTTCTTGTTTCAAAAATCATTATGTATCGTGACCCGCAGTACGTGTTATTTTTAAAGGTCAAAAATGAAGGAGACTTAAATAACTGGTAAATCTTCTCGGTTTAGTTATTAGGTCAAAATTTCAAACCTTTCTGCTAAACGCTTCAAAATTTCTATTTCGTATAGTCTGTGTGCCACGATTTGAAATTTCACCGAACGACATTCCGCTGTTTCGCTGCGTGCGTTTGCGAAGCGTCTTTCGAATCTAGGTCACGCTTTCAGTGGATTGTTATTGCTGCGGGAGCACATGAAAGTAGAGTACCTTGATGAAAGAAAAAAAAAATTTAAAGCGCGACCAAGGTTTGCAAAGACGCACAGCGGAATGTCGTTCGGTGAAATTCCTAGTCGTGGTTCACAGGCTATATCAAAGTAATTTCACTATGAGAATAGGATACAAAAAGAGCAGATTTCACTTTTTTTTTGTGTCTCAAATAAAAATAGCATAAAAAATTTCGAATCAAACAATCACAACGGAAAATTGAAAGCGGAGTATTTAAGAATTTTTTTCAGCTATTCAAGTTTCCCATTTATTTCTCATTTCTGATAGTTCTAACTTTTTGAAATACAAAGTTTGACTGTTTTTTTTTTAAATTTTTTCCATTTTATGGCAGTATGAAATTCAAAGTAAACTAACTGAGCAGCAGGTACTTTTTGACATTAGAGATTTCACTTCAACTTTCATCAATGTTCAAACTGGATTTCAAAAAAGTTATTTCACGGAAAGTTTTTATGATTTCAATTTGAATGATCTATGTAACAATGAGAATTTTTGAGCTTAGAAAGCTTCTGTGAAAGTTTGATTTAATAGGAAGAAGAAACTGGTTCTCAATAATGAGCTGCTCTGGACTAAAACCTTGAGCCTTTTTTCCCGTTACATTCTAATAAATCCTTTTTTATAAATATGGAATAACAGATCTGAATGCTGATAATTATTCGGGAAGTTGAACAGCATCAAAACCATTCTTTCAAATTTCGCCCAAAAACCATTATTCTGGCTCCTCTCTGTTTTCTGCTCACTCCAAAATCAGTTGAAAAGTCTGTTTCGCGTACAGATGTGGTCCAAGTAGCGGACCCGTCCTTTCTCTCGCTTTACAGCTTACATCGTGCCGGATCGCGAGCCACCTCTCTCGTTCAGCCGACGCTTTTTCCGTCCGTCGAGCTGCCGCCTTCCCTCCGGCCCCGCCCACCGCTCAGCACTCTTTCTTTCTTCTAGCTGGCGCCTCTACAGCCAACGGCCGGCCAACCATGAAGCAAGCGCCGATATGGTAAGCTTACCGTATTTTTTCAACTTTCCCGAGTTAGAGTAGGAGCCTTCAAAAATTTCGCACGAAATGCTTGAGTTTGAGAATCCTTCATACAGTTTTGTTTCCAACTTTCCATTGAAGATTCAATGGAAAAAAAAAACTTTTCGACTTTCTCTACTATTAATTTTTTTTCAGGCCGCTGCTGCTTTTGGCTGCGCTAGCATTTTTGGCGACCAGCGGTGTTGAATCAGTAAGTTCATTACAATATAACAAATCTATTGCTCTCATTCTGTTTCACTTTTTTCTGCATTGGTTCTTGGTGTAGCTTCTAATTTCTAGATGATCAACTTATGATTATTATTCTAAATTTCCTCCTAACTTTTGTTCTTCTCAGTCTTTCCCAGCAGTAGCGGTCTAAGTTTGATCGCTAGATGGTTTTGAAATACCTAAAGCTATTAATTTTTTTTCGGACTTTTGAAAAAAAAATTAAATTTAAGAGTAAGCGCCACCGAATTTCCAATAGGAGCTTTCGTATAGACCTTTCCAACTTTTCACTACCAAACTTTTTCATTGGAAAAATTCGAAAAACGTCAAAACTAAATTTGTTTTGCTTCTAATCATGAGAAAAACACCTTTATTCTAGTTCTCATTAGCCGAATTTTCATAGCCACATGCTCATTGCATGTTTCATAGAATAAAGTTGCGCAGGAGGAAAATAGCTGTGAGCTTAACGACGGACAAGGCATGAATTGTTTCTAGTTATTTTGGAAATTTCCGGTGAAACATTCAACTCAGGAATCATCGTAGAAATTATTAAAATTAATCTTTCTGAGGGCAGAATTTGATCCTCTTTGTTGTGTTGAACACCTTGAATTAAAATTGAGAACTTTATTCAGCGATATTTTTGATGAGAGTTCTAGAATCCTACTCTGCTTCAAGCAATGCTCTATTTTACATAATCGAAAAAATCATTGTTTCTTGACCCTTTCTTGAAACGCTTTAGAGAACTTTTCACGCTTCTGGCTACAGTAACCCAAAGGCACAGCTCCTGCACCTGCAAAGCATCTGGCCGGGAGCCCTTTTTTTCTCCATGCTACCGCGCTAAGCGAAACAGCCACGGCGTGGGCTGTCAGTAACCCTAAAAACTCGCAGGTGATAAATTGCGCGTCAGTCAAGAGTTTTCCTAGAACATTATAAACATCCACTTCGCGTCGTCAAAAAAAAAGACGAACAGCCATTTTGTCAACTAGCCAAGGAACGTGTAATACGAGCTGTTTGGCATTCGACACCTCAGCCACTGTAGAATTCCGCTGAAAGTGCATCTCCGGTTGACTGTAAGGCTGGCAAAGCCGCAAAACAATAAAAAAAACGTTATTGGAGGCTTGATGGGGTGCGGAAAAAAAACATTTTAAAGCAAACCGCTAAGTATTACACTGTGGCTTTTTACAAAACTGTGTTTCGTCGCTCAAACCTTTCTATATGTCTTGGAAAAGGCTAAATTAAACTGGAGAAACAATAATGGTTTTCTTCTTTACAAAAAAACGCTATTCGCAGAAAAGAAAGACAATTTGCTATTTTCATCCGTACGAAACAACAAAGATTTGAGGTGAATTCAATTATGGTAACGAGTGAATCATTTAATGTTTACTCAAGCCGATTTCAATAGGGATTTGAACCTAGTCACCAAAACAGCTGAAATGAGAAAAAAAAAAGATTTTCGCCGTCCTCTGTGATTTTTTTTCTTGAATATACCATTGATTGAAGTTTGATCTAGTTCTTCTCAAGTCCTTGAAGAGGTAACATTATTAAAAATTTATGCTTCTCATGGATCTCATGAGAGTCGAATAAAAAACGCAGCAAAGGCTTTCAGAAATACCATAAAGCTAGCGTTTTCTTCATTGCACTTTTTAATTTCAACACTGTTTTTTTTTTTGAGTATTTTGTGTATCCGATTGTTGACTTTTTAAACTTTTCATAATATTCCCCAATATAACAAATAGTATGCAACGCTTAATTGGAACTCATATAATTGATCTTTTGATCTACTATTTCAAAACGCTCAACATATCCTTTTTTTGCAGCAAGCAACGTGTCGCGACTGTTCGAACCGAGGATGCTTCTGCGTCGGAGAAAAAGGTTCAATGGTGAGTTGAAAGATTTTTGAGAGCCTTGGAGTTCGAGGACTCCGTAGTCCGTGAGCGAACCCACATCAATCTTGCCTAATCGCAATCGATTGATTACATTACATCGGAAGACGCAGCGCGATGGCAGGCGACAGCTGCCGCGGCTGCGTCCGCCATTGCTCCACTTGGTTCAGACAGGGTCAAAAACATTGTAACTTTTTGTAAATGGACCAATAACACCAAAAAAGCTTCAAGATGCTCAAACTTAGATTTTCTTTGCTCGAATTTTCAAAAATGCTATTTTTGATTTGATTTCGTGGAAACAGTAATGTGTTTTTCCTAATCTGTGCAAAATTCCAGGGAGCTCCAGGACCGCAAGGACCACCCGGACAAGCAGGAATTCGTGGATTTCCCGGGCCAGAAGGTTTAGCCGGACCAAAAGGACAAAAAGGAGCTCAAGGTAGGACAAAAATATACGAAAATAATAAACAGTTGTCTCACAGGGCCGCCTGGACCGCAAGGTTCGAAAGGTGATCGAGGAGCAGTTGGTGTTCCTGGATTTCCTGGAAATGACGGAGGCAACGGACGGCCTGGAGAGCCTGGTCCGCCGGGAGCTCCTGGTTGGGATGGTTGCAACGGAACTGACGGCGCTCCTGGTATTCCTGGAAGACCTGGTCCACCTGGTATGCCTGGCTTTCCTGGACCGCCTGGCTTGGACGGTTTGAAAGGAGAGCCAGCCATTGGTTATGCTGGAGCTCCTGGAGAGAAGGTTCAACCAAACGAAGTTGAAAGAAAGACAACTGTTTGGCTTCTCAGGGTGATGGCGGTATGGCTGGTATGCCTGGATTACCAGGACCACCTGGACGTGATGGATTTCCTGGTGAAAAGGGAGATCGAGGTGACACTGGAGAAGCTGTTAGTTCAGAATGCATAATAAACTTTAGCGATCGGAGTTTCAGGGACCTCGTGGACCACCCGGAGAACAAGGAATGCCTGGTAACCCTGGTATCGGAAGCATCGGACCCAAAGGAGATCCTGTGAGCTTCTCTTCGAATTTGAAACTTTTCTTACCAATTTTTCGGATAGTTGTTAATGTCTGAAAAGCGATCGAGTGTTGTCGGTGTGTTGGGTAGAATATCTTGTGGAGGCGACACCACCGACAGCCTCAGTCCTGTTGGTCATCCTTAACGGAAGAGCTGACCTCTCGTGTAGGGAAGTCACCGAACCAAATCCGCTTAACGGAGGAGCTCACAGCTTGCTGTTTTCTAGGGAGATATAGGTCCAGCTGGACCTCCAGGCCAACCTGGACCTCGCGAATTTACCGGCTCTGGCTCGATTGTAGGCCCGCGAGGAAATGCCGGAGAGAAAGGCGACAAGGTACATCCGTTTTTACATTTTACTTTTTTAGGGCGACCAGGGAGCTCAAGGACCACCTGGTTCTCCAGGTCCCATTGCTTCCACAATGGCAAAAGGCACAATAATCGGTCCTCAGGGTGACATAGGAGAAAAAGGCGAAAAGGCAAGAAACGGCCACTAACCGTTCTAACTGTGAAACTTTTCTGTTCTTCGCTTATGGGGGAAAGTCGTCGGATTGGCTTCGCAGTTTTGAAGTATTGGATGAAAAAATTGTCGAGTTTTCAATGAACAACTGGTAGAAAAAACTAAACTGAACGCCTCCACTTGTTAATGGTGCATAGGACTTTAAAAAATTGCATAAAATGAGCAATAATTGTCTACACAAAATAGTAAAAAAGTCGAGGATGTCAGTGTCTTTTAATTATGTTCTATCGCACAGTTCTTGACTGCTTCGAAAAATCTGAAATATTGCGGTACTCCACGGCAAATCGACTTCGTTTTTCATTTTGGTCTCTTTTCAAACATTTGGAGGACAAATAGTAATCGCTTTTTTTCAAAAATCGTCTATCTTTAAAACCACTTCAAAATTAACACATGGATAAATGTTCCATATCTCTTTCGATATTTCGACTACCGTAAGAACGAGTAGCTTCGCATTGTATTCCATTCAATTTCGCGGAGCCAGAAAAATCTGTTAAAAATTGAAATACAATGAATAGTCAATAACCGTGAAGAAAAAGTTTGTTTGAATTTGGATTAAACTTCAAAAAAGCGAACCGATCTCGGCGTACTTCTCCTTTTCAGAAACGCATGCTTGCAAATCTCCTGCCTGTCGCTAGTTAGTTCTTAGAGTAGACTATATGCCTGTGCTTCTATTTTTCTTTCGTTTGTCGTGTCGCTGAACCTCTTTCCTCTCTAATACAGCAAGTTCTAGGGAGAACCTGGAGAATCTGGCCAACGTGGCTATCCAGGAAACGCTGGCCTTCCCGGCCAGCCTGGGCTTCCAGGAATGAAAGGCGAGAAAGGTCTTTCTGGACCAGCCGGACCTAGAGTAAGTGGTGACCACAGTTCGAATTTGAATTGGGCTTTATAGGGAAAAGAAGGACGACCTGGAAACCCGGGACCCCCAGGATTCAAAGGAGATCGTGGTCTCGACGGTTTGGCAGGTCTTCCAGGAATGCCTGGACAAAAAGGAGAAGCTGGATACCCTGGACGCGACGGACCAAAAGGAAACTCTGGACCTCCCGGACCTCCTGGAGTATGTGGAATATGACTTTTGAGGGAATACGATAGACTCCGCGTTGTAGTAATTAGAAGTTCCTAGAAAAAAACGTAAAGTTCCCTCAGATACCGTGTACTCAAAAGCCTCTATCCAAAATCTCGCGTCATGTGGCCTTTATGAAACTTGAAAGTCGATGTATTACAAATGAGCTATAAGGAATAATTCAATTTACCACAGCTTGAAGATGCAAAAAATGTTTCTCTTGAATGTATTTTGAGTACGGAGGATCTGATGCCAATTTCAACTTTCGATTGGTTGAACATGGCTGCAAAAGTTGCAAAACCCAAGAAATCTCATAATTATGAGGGATACTTTACTGAGGTTTTTTCATTCGCGGAAGTCACTAACCAGTGAAAGATTTTGAATCTTTTTGTTTTAATTTTCCTTGTTAAAGGGCGGATCTTTCACTGACGGAGCTCCAGGACCACCAGGTCTTCCTGGACGACCAGGAAATCCAGGACCCCCTGGAAACGACGGATTCCCAGGACAACCGGGACCAGCAGGACCGGTAGGACCTCAGGGCGGTCCTGGACTGCCAGGATTCCCTGGAAACGAAGGACTTCCCGGACCGAAAGGAGATCGAGTAAGTTTTCATGAACTGTACAATCTTTCCATCTATCCAGAAATTTTTTTATTCTGTAGATTTTTCTCTCATGTTTGAAAAACTTTTAATAAAAATTATTTTGTTTACTTAATTTCATTTATTTTCAGGGAGACTCTGGTAACCCAGGCTCTCCAGGAGTACCTGGACCACCTGGAATGGTTGGTCTGCCAGGACCGAAAGGTGAACCAGGAGCTCGAGGAGTCGCTGGAATCGCTATCCCTGGCCTTCCTGGAAACGACGGTCGACCTGGACTTGACGGCGCTCCTGGAAGGAAAGGAGAAAGCGGACCACCTGGAATGCGCGGACCTCCCGGAGACTCCCTCAACGGTCTTCCCGGAGCTCCTGGACCGAGGGGACCGCCCGGACCAAAAGGATACGACGGACGCGATGGAATCAACGGTCTTCCCGGTGTTCCTGGATCCAAAGGAGACCGAGGAGGAACATGCTCAGCGTGCGCGCCTGGTGCCAAGGGAGAAAAAGGAACGCCTGGCTATCCTGGACAACCAGGACCTCAAGGAGAACGTGGTCTTCAAGGCTTGGCTGGACCAGCTGGAGATCCAGGAGACGACGGCCTTCCTGGCCCTGCGGGAAGAAATGGACCTCCAGGACCTCCTGGTATGGACGGCCTCCCCGGACTTCCTGGACAAAAAGGAGAACCTACTCAACTCGTTCTTCGGCCAGGACCGCCTGGTTACCCTGGACTGAAAGGAGAAAACGGCTTCCCAGGACTTCCCGGACAAGATGGTCTTCCTGGAGCTCCTGGCAACGCTGGTTCGTCTGGACAACCTGGATTCCCTGGACAGAAGGTGAGAATAGAAAAAGAGTTATAATAATTTTCAGAAAACTTTAATGAAAAACTTAGAAAAACAGTTTTTGATTGTTTCAATCGGGAAAAATTGCTTATGCACCGCGAGGTCTAAGAGCTCTATGCTTTCAAAACTAGAACTAGACGCTGACTCTCAGTTCTATCACATTCTTATGCTGACCGTATCCCGCAAAAAATTCCAATCAGCCCATGTTATTGACCGTCATCGGAACCTTAGTATGCACACATTTGCAGGAATAATTTTTTTCCCCGTGCACCTATCTAACCAACAAAAAATATTGCCTTTTCCAGGGAGAAGCTGGTCTGCCTGGTCTTTCTGGCAAGCCTGGACAAGATGGACTACCAGGTCTACCTGGAACGAAGGGAGAACCAGGATATGGAAGCCCTGGAACGCCTGGACTCAGTGGACAGAAGGTAAATCTGTTGCTAAAAGGAGAGATCTCAATTATTTTTTTTCATAGGGAGAGTCTGGACAACCTGGTCTGCCAGGTATGCCTGGAGAGATTGGACCTCCTGGTCTTCCTGCTCCGGAATCACTCGTCGAGCCTTCAGCTCCTGGAGCGCCTGGACTTCCTGGAATTCCAGTAATTCATTGACTAACTTATATCGATTCTACGACTTGTTTTCTAGGGACAAAAAGGAGAAGGCGGATACCCTGGTCGTCCAGGAGAAAACGGACCATCCGGACTTCCGGGACTACCAGGCCAGAAAGGAGATTCAGGACTTCCAGGGCCACCAGGACTCCCAGGAAACCCTGGACTGCCTGGAGAGAAAGGATTTGGAGGTGATTGTTGGAATCTTCCGTCATATCTGATCTCAAAAATGTTGAAGTCAGTTGTTTCGTTTCAAAAAGTTCTGAGAACATTCAAGACGGAATATTATATTGCCACCAGGAAAACCAGAAATTGAACCTGCTATCTTAAACTGATAATTTAAGGTGTACCTGGCCTTGCTGGTATTCCTGGTCCCAAGGGAGAAGCTGGACACCCTGGACTACCAGGAATGCCTGGACCGAAAGGAGAAGCTGGAATCGGACATCCAGGACAACCTGGAGTGCCAGGATTCCCTGGAATGAAGGGAGACTCTGGCTTCCCTGGCCAACCAGGTCTTCAAGGACTTGAAGGACAACGCGGATCTCCTGGAGCGCCTGGCCTTAAAGGCGACGCCGGTTTGCCAGGTCTTCCTGGACAGCCTGGATTCCCAGGAGAAAAAGGAGATGCTGGACTTCCCGGAATCCCAGGTCAGTGCCTACACATACAAGATGTTTGCGTTTTTCATAGATAAGCAAACAACCTTTGAACTCAAATGTAAGCTAAAGATTCAATTGAAAAGAGAATCCAAAAAAATCATTATCGACTAGTTTTGTGACGAATAATCGATATGATTTGAATATAAATTTTCACATTTCATTTTCGTCGCGAGATCTCACGCATAGTTCATTAATTTCCTTTAATTTACAAAACATTGTTAATTTAGCGCCTAATAACTCAATATTTAAAGAAGATTCAATACGCTCTACGAAAAGCTGAAAATCAGCTCAACGTTATTTTTCACTAGTCGAAGATTAATAATTTTACTAAAAGCTAGAAATAGTGTTTTTTGATGTTTAATTTGAATAGAACATTTTTTTAATATAACAATTAATCGCTTTATAGGTAAGGAAGGACTCAACGGACCAGTCGGACCAGACGGAACCCCCGGATTCCCTGGACAAAAAGGAGACGATGGCCTTCCTGGTCTTCCTGGAGTCACTGGATTGAAGGGAGACGCTGGACAAGCTGGCAATCCAGGAGCCCCTGGCCTGCCTGGCGCACCTGGCTACCCAGGAACCAAAGGTAACGCCGGTATTCCTGGCGTTCCTGGACTGAAAGGTAATAGACCTATTTTTAATTGCATTCGTTAAAAAAAAAATGTTTAGGAGATGCTGGACTGCCTGGAGTCCCTGGACAAAATGGACCAAAAGGAGCTAATGGAATCAACGGCATGCCTGGACTACCTGGAGCCAAGGGACTTTCTGGTCTTCCTGGAGCACCTGGTCGTGATGGCCTCGCTGGCCTTCCTGGAGTGAAAGGAGATCGAGGATTCAATGGCCTTCCTGGAGAGAAAGGAGAGCCTGGACCAGCTGCACGTGATGGCGAGAAGGGTTTGGCTGGTCTTCCTGGTCAACCTGGTCTTCGCGGACCACCTGGACCTTCTGGAGCGCCTGGCCTTCCTGGGCTCAAAGGAGAAGCTGGACTTCCTGGATACGGACAACCTGGCTTGCCTGGAGAGAAAGGACTCGCTGGCATTCCTGGAAAAGCTGGTCGACAAGGAGCACCCGGCTCTCCTGGCCAAGACGGCCTTCCTGGCTTCCCAGGACTCAAAGGAGAATCTGTAAGTCTGAGGATCTTTTAAAATACGGTTGCTTTTTTAAATCAAGAATATTGATGTAATTTTGAGAAGCTTTGTTTTTTTCGTCAGACGCCCCGAAACTACCCGCAGAAGCTACAATACTTACATTTAATATTTCAGGGTTATCCTGGACAAGATGGATTCCCCGGAAAAGACGGCTTGCCCGGTCTTCCAGGCCAAAAAAAGGAGAAAGCGGACCTAGCGGCAATCCAGGACTCAACGGTCCTCCTGGTCAAGACGGTCTTCCTGGAGTTCCCGGAATCCGTGGAGACAAGGGACAATCTGGTCTGCCTGGTCTTCCTGGAGATCGCGGCCTTGATGGTGTTCCTGGACCTAAGGTAATTAAAGTTCTTAATAAAGCTGTTTAAAATGTGCTCTTTTGAACAAGTGATATATTCAAAAAAACTAGTATTTTTCTCATTAACTTTGTTATCGACTTTGAGTTTAATGATTGATTATTTTTAGGGCGATTCTGGCTATCCTGGTCAACCAGGACTGCCAGGTATTCCTGGAGAAAAAGGATCTGGTGGCGCTCCTGGCTTCCCTGGTATCAAAGGAGCTCCTGGTTTCCCAGGAAACGAAGGACTGCCTGGAATCCCCGGAGCCAAAGGAGATTCTGGATTCCCTGGACAACCTGGTCGTGATGGGCTTTCTGGACTTCCTGGAGAGAAGGGTACGAGCGGCCTGCCTGGTCTTCCTGGCGCTCCTGGACAAGCTTTCCCTGGTCCTCAAGGGCCCCCTGGAGCACCTGGCCTTCCTGGAAAAGACGGATTCCCTGGAGCTCCTGGTCTCAAAGGTGACGGTGGACAACCGGGTCTTCCTGGAGCCCCTGGAATGAAAGGAGAGTCCGGCATGCCTGGCTTCCCTGGTCAGAAAGGAGATGCTGGTCTGCCTGGAATACCTGGAAAACGTGGAGAAGATGGTCTACCTGGAGTTCCTGGACGTGATGGTCTTCCTGGACCTCAAGGAATCAAGGGAGAGCTCGGTCTCAACGGCGCTGCTGGACAGCCAGGACTCCCTGGAATGCCTGGACAAAAAGGTTTGGAGAATGAATAACTTTTTTTTCCAAAAGAAAAAAAAAACATTTCGCACTTAAAAAACTTTGGGACGCTGGAAGATTGGGTCAACCTCAAATAGTTTGCATTGATGGATAGAAACTACAGATTAAAACCAAAACACTTTGAAAAAGTTCATTTTATGTTTTTTTTTTTTATTATTCTTGGAAAAGCCTTTTCAATTGAGTTAGTCATAGGAAACTCGGTATAAGAATGAATTAAGCCGTTAGAAACCTAAGGTTTTTACTCAATTTTGACGACTATGGAATTTTTCAGGTGATTCCGGCCTACCTGGATTCCCAGGACAGAAAGGAGACAGTGGCCTTCCTGGACTTCCTGGCCAGCCTGGCTTCCTTGGAGAGAAAGGAGAATCAGGTCTTCCTGGTCTCCCAGGACGTGACGGACAACCTGGTCTTGATGGACCTCAAGGACCACCTGGACCCCCTGGTCCTCTTCCACTTGTGACGCCAGGAATGAAAGGATTACCCGGAGTTCCGGGAGTACCTGGACTGCGCGGAGAGAAGGGAATGCCAGGACTTGACGGCCCACCTGGCATGGACGGACCTCCGGGTCTGCCAGGACAGCGCGGAAACGACGGATTCCCTGGCGCCCCAGGACTTCCAGGAGACAAAGGAATGCCTGGCCTTCCTGGTTTCCCTGGTCTTGACGGAACTCCTGGCGGTCCCGGACTTCCAGGAGCCCCAGGAGGACCAGGACCAGCTGGCCCGTCTTACCGTGACGGCTTCTTGCTTGTCAAGCACTCGCAAACCGAGCAAGTGCCGCAGTGTCCAGATGGTCAGACCAAGCTGTGGGACGGATGGTCGCTTCTTTACATCGAAGGAAACGAGAAATCACACAATCAAGACCTTGGTAAAATTTCTTGATAGCTCTGATAAAAGTTGGACAATTTCAGGCCATGCCGGTTCGTGCTTGCAACGTTTCTCGACCATGCCATTCTTGTTCTGCGACTTCAACAACGTCTGCAACTACGCTTCTCGCAACGACAAGTCCTACTGGCTCTCCACTTCAGCCGCTATTCCAATGATGCCGGTCAACGAAGCCGCCATTCAACCTTACATTTCCAGGTTGGTCATCGACCCTTTGAAGAAAAAAAACTAACTGAAATTGCAGATGTGTTGTGTGCGAAGCGCCGGCCAATGTGATCGCCGTTCACTCCCAAACCATCCAAATCCCTAACTGTCCAGCCGGCTGGAACAGTTTGTGGATCGGCTATTCATTCGCTATGCACACCGGCGCTGGAGCTGAAGGCGGTGGTCAATCTCTCAGGTAAGAAACAAACTTGCGTGGAGAGCTATCTCAGCGTTTCTGATGGGATCCTATAACGATCCGCTCAAATTTTTTTTAATGAAGTGCCAGGTTTACACATTGGCTTTTTACGCAAACTATTTATTGTTTTTTGATAAATGAGTTTTCAAAATCATGAGACACTTTTCGAATCCAAAACTGCGTCCGTCAAAAAGTTTTGAAATGTAGAGGCATACAGTAAGAGTTCTAGAGGATCTGCACGATAGTTATCGTCTTCATGAATTGAAACAGTACTAAACTGGCTCACTAAAACGATTCACGAATGACTTGTCGGAATCATCATATATTCCAGTTCTCCTGGCTCGTGCCTCGAAGACTTCCGCGCCACGCCGTTCATCGAATGCAACGGTGCTCGTGGATCTTGCCACTACTTTGCCAACAAATTCTCCTTCTGGCTCACCACCATCGAAAACGACGCCGAGTTCAGAGTAAGTTTCACGAAATTCTTGTTTTTCTGATAAGAATTTTCTGAGCAGAAATGAACAAAATGTGCTTTCAGATCCCCGAAAGCCAGACGCTCAAGTCAGGCAGCTTACGCACAAGAGTCTCACGTTGCCAGGTGTGCATCAAATCAACCGATGGCCGATATTAATCATATTTCTCACTTTTTGTTTTCTTTTTTATTTCATACTTCGTTCAACATTTCATTGCTTACATTTGGTAATTTTATATTCATTTCAACAGAAAAACTTACTCGTCATACTGACTGTGTTTTTTTTCAACCGACGAATCTTTCCTTCCGAAAAGACAAATTGCCCTTCTCATCTCTGCCTGAACATTTTTGTGATTTTCCGTTGTTTCTTTTTCTCTGACAATACTTGCCTTAAAAACTGCCAAAAACCAAAGATTGCGATTATCGATTGCCCGTGCTGCTTCTTTGATAAGCAACAAATTAATATTCAATCGTGTTTTGAAGAATAAATAAAGCTGAAAATTGATAACCTTTTATTCCGAATAAGAAAGTTTCTCAGAGGGCAAAATATTTATCAGTGTAGATCACGTGAAAAATTGAGGAAAATGAATGGGTATTTTTATTGCGGTGAAGAGAACCAGTATCTCGACAGATTAACAGAAAAGATGCCTGTTGAGAAAAAGAAGTTTAAATGATGGATTTGAGTAATACTCGGCTCCACTCATCCATTTGATACTGTTTAAACTTCATAAGTTTTTGACAGTAATCATTTAATTACAATGGAATCAAAACCAATAAAGAACTCGAGTTTTGAATAAAATGGAAAGTTATTTATAAGGCAATTTTTCAATCACGAGCAACGATTTAATACATTGACATGAAAATTTGAGAGAGTTTTGAAAATATCTAAACTGTTATCAGATTGCCAGCACAAAATTTTCCAAGAAAAAAATTGATGAATTCTAATGAAAATGGCAACTTATTTTATTTTGTGCTGGCTCACCGATTTCTATCTTTAAAAAAATTTATATGTATATGAACAGATTAGTGAGCGAGAAGTTTGGTGGATCTTATTCAATGAGAGTGCAGCATCCAACGTCTTTGGAGTGACACCTTTTTTCGATGCAGAACGAGTCGTCTTTCAGATTCTCGTCGATGTCTTCGAAAACCGGCTCAAGGGTCATCTGAAAGTGATAAAATTGTAGAAAATCACTTCACTTTCATAGATCGCATAGGGAATTTTAGATTTTCATCATTTTTGAGAATAAATAGAAAAAGTTCGAAAAAAGATTTTTTAGAATCCTTACTGCATGAGCTTTCACACTTGTAGACATTTTCAAATTTGCAGTTCACCACATGGCCCGGGATTGCAACGAGTAATAATCTTTGTTGACATTAAACTAGTGAAAACTTGATGTGTAGCTTCGAAATGTTATCAGCCTAGTGTGAAGACTTTTTTTCTAGCTTTTCTATAAGTATCCGATAAATCTTTTTCAGAATGAAAAAAAAAATCCTCTACAAAAACTTCCTTGCAAATAAATGTTTCTTATTCTTCCAAAGCTTTCTTCCGTAAGTTAAATGATTACCTTAGTAGCGCCCGCGTTTGAAAGATACGCCTGTACAGCCTTCTTCGTGTTGGCGTAGCACTCGGCCGAAGTGGTCACCCATTTCACGTCCGACTTATCAACCTGAAAGTATTTTGATGACTGAAATCAGAAAAATCAAATGAACCTTGAAGTGAAGTCTCATCGTGACGTGGAAGCTTTTGTCAGGCCAGACACGATGAGCGTGAATGTGAGAGATTTTGTCAACCGATGGGTTCTAAAATGAATGGGCTTGTCGATCAATGGAGTCACTATTTTCTTCATTCACCCAAACTTGAAGCTTGAAAAATCACAAAAAAAAACAAAGTCCACCAATTCAATTAAATAACTGTTTCTCGGAAAATTATCAGAGCATTATTGTCAAAATATGAACAATTATGACGGCTGGGATATATTATTGCTGATGTTTAGAAAAATTTGGCTTGTTTTAAATTCTCATTGCGGTTTTACTACCTGCGACTTGACGGTTTCCACGAACTCCTTGAAGTCGCATTGCTCTTTTGGAGGCGCGTCGGCAAGCAAATAGGGTTTGTAACGCCAAACTGACAATTTTTAATTTGAACTAACAAAAAGATTTTCAAAACTAACGCGAGGTCAGGATAATGAGGTATTGCGCCGCGGTGAGCACAACAGTAGTCAAAGATTCGCAATGCGACCAAACCCAACTGTGGTGATTGGCCAACTTGAAATGGTAAAGGGAGAAAATAGCTGAAAGTCAACATCAGGGCTTTCCCAACACAGTAGCCTTACCAATCATGCACGAAGCAGCGGAGAAAAGGACAAAGATTCTCTTCCAGGCGTTGAAAAATGGATTGGGGCTCACTAAGGACATCAAAACCACACCTTTACCGATGATATCTAATACCGCCGTAGCTAGAAGAGTTACTGAAATTAGTGGCTTGAAAATTTATTTTTTTTGATTTATTCAGGCGATTACTCTTTAGTTTTTTTATTTCCGATATCAAAAGAAGTTTTAAAATGTTTTTTTCTTGTATTTTCCTTGTTGCGTATCATTTTTGTGTAGAATCATTGAACATTTGATGAAACTTGATTTGCAAAAAAACTTTGAAACAAGCGTTTTTTTTTCCAGAAAATGTCTTTTTTTATTTCTTACATCCCTTGTACGGTTTTTTAAGCAAAAAAACTATTCAGAAAAAAAAATGCCTTGAAGCAAAATTAAATAATGATCTTATTTAGGACAAAGAAACTTCTTTCTGAATTTTGAAAGTTCATGGAAAAAAAAACCAACAATCGATACTGCCGTGTTCATCATCGTGATGGTGACTCAGAGAAGTTCGGTTGATGACAAAATCGGAAAGATCTTCGAAACAGTGCGTCAAATTAATGAAAAGCATGGCGTTCACAGCAACCAAGGAAGCAACTCTGAAAAAATTTGATTGAACGAAAATAAGTTTTCGAATCTCCAAGAAGTATTATCAAATTCAGAAAAACAAACCTGATAAGCATTCCCACAGCAGGCCTTTTGGGCAGCAGAATCTTCTCGAAAGCGGTTATAACATTGATGATGGACGTTGCGATAGTCATTTGAAGAAGATTTGAGTGATAGAATACACTGACCCCCATCTGAAACGAAAAAAATTGTATCATGGAAATTCATAGAAAGCAAACCTCGATCGCCAAACAAGCCATTCCGATTGTCGCTCCACATAGCCTGAGAAAATGGGCAAAATCCATTTTCTCTAATAAATTTGCATTTAATCTTTTTTTAATTTTTTTGCAATGGAAAAAAATTTTTCAAAATTGGTCGCACGGGGTTGGATTCAATGAAAAAAGGTTTTTAAAAAAAAATGAATGATAGATAGATTGCTTTCTCAAACTATAAGTTCAAAATCAGAGAACGAAACTTTGAAAGAATCTTAATAAAAAACAAAACTTGATGAGAAAAAAAAACGGGAACGCCGCTTCGATAACCGAAGAAACCGCAATGTGATCTCGCGGCAAACGTGGACCACGGAGAACAGAAAAGAGAGGGAAAAGTCAACAAGAAACCAGACCTTTTCATCCTTTTTTTGTCCGTTTCTGACATTGCCGAAACGTTTTCTTCTTTTTTGCAAAAGGAAATGATTATTTTGAGCACTTTTTTGTTCAATGGAATATCTTATCATTTCAAAACAGAATGAAAACATCGTTTGTCCTCTGTGTAGCAATGGCGTGATATAAACTCCTCTGAACGTTGTTCTTTTCTTGTTTTTGACTACGGAAGAGAAAAGAACATGTAGCCAGTTCACGGCTGGCTTTGGACAAAAAATGAGCGGAAAACGATGTGTAACTTTGCTTTTTCATTACACGTGTCTTCGAAAGTAAGATCACTGCAGATCGTACGAGAAAAGTGACTCAACTTTGCTTTATAAGTATATTCAAAAAGGGGTTGAAAAATTCTTGACTTCACAACCTGCATAATCTCACAGTTTTTTAAAGCAAAAGAAAAAAAAATAAAACCGAAAATTTATTGAAAATTAAGTTTATTAATTGGAAAGTTCGAGGCTTCCATCAGAAGCAAATTTCTGTTTTTTTTATTTTCGAGGGGTTTTATAGCGAGCTTTCAAATATTAGAAAGCTCAAAGTGTAATGAACTGCTTTGTTAAACAAAATCAATTTGGAGACGTATTCTTACTTTGCTTTACTTTGATTGGAAAAAATATTTTGCCTAAGTTTTCAATTTTAACAAGAAATTTTCTCATAAAATGTTGAAGTTGTGTAAAAATAAAAATAAACTGAAGTGCTTTTGAGTTTTCAGATCAGTATCAAAAGCTAATGCACCTGAAAAAGCAATTTTGAGCCAAAGGAAAACAATCAAGAAACAGCAGCAAACAAAAAATGAGCTCGGCCTCTAAGTTGAACGAAATGTGAGACATTTCTGTCGGACTTCAATGAAGCCAGTGGTCAACAGCTGCTAGGTAGAAATGAAAATTCGACTCTAGGTTTCTCGGGAAAGATCAAGCAGACCTCAAAGAAACGCACAAACTTCAATATGGTATGATCTTGTCGGACTCTACATCGATAAGGCGAAAAACTCCTTACGTTCCACTAGGATTAAAGCGACTTCAGACAGATTATAAATGACTATCTTACCAAGACATAATTAAAATCGTTCCGAGGTCCAGTTGTAGTCTTTGAAGAAGTTTTCGGACTCATAATAAACTTATATTTGCAGGTTTCAAATATTCAGCCAGATTAATAAGAATTCAATAACTGTTGAAAATTATGAAGTGATACTTCTCGACCTTTTGACAACTGTTCTCTGTCCTTTTGTGGTCTTTAGAACCTCCTGTAAAATGATAAGTTTTTTTCTCAGGAGCTTCAGCAAGAGAAAAGGTTTCTCCAAATGTAGTTCTCCCTTATTAAACATTGTTTTTTTAAGAAGGCGAAGAAACCTGCAAATTTATTTTAAAAAGAAAAAAAGAGATCAATAAAAAAGACTATGTCAGAAAAAATCACTCTTTGGTACTATCGATGAAGCTGTTAATGAAGAATCAAGACAAACTGATATCTACCTGCCTTTTCGCCAGAAATACGGCATTCACTCCTGCCAAGATAAGAGGTTATCAAAGTGCATGAAAAAAAGCAAGGCGTTAAGAACGTTTCGAGCAGCCTCTTTGCCTTTTCGGCTTCCACATACAAAAACGTTGAGGAATTGCTTTATTGCTTTCAATTATGTACATACAATAAATCATAAAAATCTGGAAACGTATTGCTTGCGCACATGTATTCTACTATTTCGTTCTCCACATCACGAATTCTCTTTCAAATAAGAATTAGATAATTTTTAAACTTGATAGGCACATTTGAAAGCTCATTATGTCACCAATCTTACTAAAAAAAAAACCCTCGAAGCAAGTTTCTAGATGAATAAATAACACAGGATAGAATATATGACAATAAAAAGGTTGAAATGCGTATTGAGATTTGAGATTGAAAACACAATAGTGAGGAAAAACGGTGATTTTGTGAGATTTATCTTTATGCTTCAGACGATTTTTTCGTCACAAGGACGTCTACTTTCAATTGAACCAATACTCGAAGAAAGCAAGAAAAATCTAAGCTCGTGCGAGACCAAAGCCGAAAACAAAAAAGGAAAACAAAACGGCAAGGTGTGGAATGTGTACTGTGTGGAAAGCATGAGGAACATCTCGTCGAATTGAGTCATTGAAGTTTAAATACGGCAACGATTGAGGCAGGGAAGTCAGCCGCCACACGTTTCTGAGTCGATTTGTCGGTATGTTTGGTATCTGAACATTTCAAATTTATTCTCAGAAAAAAAGAATTTTGGTGTATTCTCAGAAAAAGCATTTCGGTAAACTTTTTGTGAAAAACCCAAAGCAGAACAGAGATACTTTCAATGAAATTTGATTAGGGTCTAGTACCACGCTCCTGAGCTTGCAGGATTTATTCTGAATTCTGTTTTTGAAGAACTTTCGGACTTTATAAAAGTATAAGTGAAGGTCATCTTATTGCTGACAAAAAAATCTTGCTGTCATCAAAAAAATAATTTTTGAAAGCAAAACCTTTTGTACTGTTCAAAGTGATACTGCCAATCAGTGATGTACTCGTTTTGCCACTTCTCCATTTGCTGTTTCCAGAGCAAGTACGGATCTCCGACGTCCGCTGAAAAAATAACAAAATACTTAATTCTTTACGGCTTTCTCACCAACGGCTGCCATCAAATTTGGAAGATAGGCTTTCCAGAAAGCGCAGAAGCGTCGTCGTGGACCATGGCCAATTCTTTTGCCGTCTGGGTAAGCTTTCTCTACAGTAAGATTCATGTATTCCATGGAGCTGGCTACGTATTTTGGCCAAATGTCGCTAGTATAAGAGCCGTCGTCGTTTTTGTTCGGATCACTCAAACAATTTGTTCAGAAAAGCTTCGAAAACATCGATTTACCCAGTTTTCGCAAAATTTGCCCAGTATCGCATGAATCGGCTGCTGAGTTCTCTTTCGGCGTCCGTATAGTTGAACCGTTTCTGGTTGTAAGGCTCTCCAAAAATGAAGTTTATTTCGTAGCCGTGTAGAACTCCCATCCAGTCGGGCCATGTTTGAGCTGTGGCTCTGAAGCATCAGAACAGTTATTGGTAATTACCAATTTTTTCTCTACTTGCGCAGCTATAAGTTGGCTTTCAAAAAGAGAAAAAAAAGGAGAAAGAGCCCTTACAGAAAATTTTTTTTTTGATTAATTACCTATTGAGTTTTTGATTACCTGTGAGTAAAGTAGTAGTAATAAGTGTCTCCGCCATGTTTGCTGTGAGCAAGAGCCATCTCGTTGACATTGCAAGTGAAGTGATAGTCTCCCAGCATTTTATCCATCGCATTCATCCAATCCTGAGGCATAACTGCAAAAAATCATATTGTATAAAAACATAACTTTTCTCTCTAGCCTGGCAAATCCGCTGGCTCGTATTCGTGTAGAATGGCAGCCATAGTCAATTGGCACTTCATCATTTGCCTGGGGAGCAAGTCTCCAATCGCTTTCAACCAAGTGCTTCTGTCCGGAACAAAATCTTTTTTCGTGAACATGTCTTTCACTGGAAATATGTTCTGAAAGTATTGAATATTCAAATCTCGACACAATTTTTTCTCACTGGAAGTTGGTAAGTAATGAAATAAATGCTTTCGTCGAGATTGCTCCCTGCTAAGAGCTGAGTTTTTTTGAAGTTCCCTCAAAATAAAATGTTTTTGAAAGTTCAAGCAAAGTTCAACCTTGCTTCAAAGAAGTTGAAGCGCTCTCAACGAGGAAGTCGCCGTCGATGACCGGAACCCAAGGAAAGTCAGCGAATTCTCGAACAGGAGCCCATTCGTTTTCTCTAAATTTGGCAAAGTTCGAAGTTTCTTTCTAGAACTTTCTGCTACCGTATCAACTCAGAGTCAGCTCTCAAAAAACATTCAAGAATGCGGTCATAATCTGGATGTTGTAGGGACATATTGCCGCACTTCATGGCGTTGAACATGACGACGCTTCTTGCCAGGGCAACTTCTCGAGGTTCGATCGCCCAAGGAGCCGTTGCTGAACCAGATTGCAGCACGGCTCTCTAAATTTACAGTGTACAAGTTTTGAACGGGACTAGGAAAAAGGCTCACAGTTTTTCAGAAAACACTATTTTTTTTTCGGATTCCCTGTAACATATTCAAATTGATCTCATTTCACTGATCAACTGGCATCTCGGAACGTTTTTTTAAAGATGTTCGTGCCAATTTTCCCTATGGAAGAATAAGGAAGTTGTATTCGATGAATCTCACAAATCAGTAAAATCTTTGCTATGCCAGCGATACTAGAAACATTGAAGCTCACTGAATAATCAATGAAACATTTTTTCTTCGCCTGATAAAAAAGTGAATGGTGGAAAAAAAGTGCCAAGGTTAACCTCGAAGTATGGCGCACTTCTGGAACTGAGCATGTGCATATTGACTGAAGCTGCTCCCGCGGATTCGCCGAACAACGTGATTCGAGTTGGATCGCCTCCAAATAAGTCGATGTTTTTGTGAATCTGAATCGATTTGAAAGTTAGGTTGAGAAACTAACAACGGTAGTATTTCTACTTGAATCTTCAAGATTTAGGAAATAAAGCTGACTGAAAAACTGTTTGAGCCAACATTGTAGATCTGGTTCCAACAAATTTTCATATTTTGGATGAGACTTCGGAAATTGCGCGCCATAGAGCAACAGGTTGCGTGCCTGTCTACGGTCCACAGGGTCACAAGCTCGATCCCCGCCTCGACCCAACCAAGGAGTTTAAGGAATGTTGGTAGTGGAAAACCACGACTTCGAAAATCGCAAGCCGCCACACACAAGGACGGATATGTCACTAGAGCCAGTCAACTGATTATCATTGGTATCAGGATAGGACCTCGGCTAATTGACTAGGGACGCCGACGCCGCTCAAGCGGTATGAAGGCGTAGTAAGAATAGGAAGATAAGCCTTGTAATAGTGTAAAATGATCAAAAATCTCAACTTATAAAAAAAAATGAATTCTTCAAAGCGGCCGCATTTAACAGCGTTTGAGTAAAAAACCTCTAAAATACTCGCCTCTTTTCAAAAATTGTGAGTTTTTTACTTTGTCTATCTTCGAAACGCTATAAAGATGTCTAAGCAAGTTCCAAAAGTAATGCAGGATTTCAAAGTTTTGAGCAGATAAGTCAGTTTTACTCACCCATTTGAGGGCCATCAGCTGGTCCCACAGGCCCATGTTTCCTGGGGCTTCTGGTCGGTCCATGTACAAAAATCCGAAGATTGACACCCGATAGTTCATAGAAACTAGTATTATATTTTCTTCTCTGAAAAGATTATAATTTTTCGAAATTAATAAATATTGCCTACGCTGAGAATATTCTGCCATCATAAACGTCTAAAGTCGAGGTCCCAGACCAAAAACCTCCTCCGAAAACCCATACCATTACTGCCAACTTTTTAGAAGGATCGGTCTGGAAACTTTTATTTCGCTCCAATATTTAGGCAGACTCACCTTTCCAGGTACGAAAACATTGAGATACAAGCAGTCTTCAGACATCTCCGTATTGGCGTTCCACATGGCTGCCCCGTAAAAGTCTCCAAAGTATGTGTCGGAACTCTGAACATCCTTTGAAAAAAAAGAATTTTTTCTTGAATTATCACTTGTATGCAGGAATTGGGCTGTGAAGTCGCATTGAATGGTGTTCTCCATGGTTTTTTAGGCCTTGGCTTTCGAAACCTTAGAAAAAATGATTGAAAAAAAAGCGTTTTGTATCGATTCCTACCTCAAATCGCCAATTGGCGGCTCAGCGAAGGGAATTCCGAGATACTGAGTTACTTTTTTCCCATGAGCTGAAGAAACTTCCTCGCCATACAAAGGGGACCCGTCGTGCAAGTGAATCAGTTCCACTGCTAACAACTGAAAACTCATATTCACTCAATGAACCTAATCTGAATTTTACCGGTGAAATCAAACTAAAAATGAAGAACGCTTCGCGCATAATTCAACAAGCCATAATTTTTGTTTTTGTGATTTTATTCTCTGAAAATAATTTGGTATAGCGGATTTCTGAGCAAAAGAGAGAAGCACTAGGACAGTGAAGAAATAAACGGAAGAGTATAATATAAATAAACTCGGGATTGGGACAAAATAACCACATGCGTGAGGTCGTAAATTTTACGACCAGGTTTGAGTGAACTCGCGAACCAGAAAAAAAGCGATGGAAAGCTGCCACGCAGTAGAAAAAGAGAGATAGAATGCCGTTAACTTTTTTATAAAGTAGTAAAATGAAATATCTGAATCTAAAAGAACAATTTTCTCGGCTGGGTTTGTTTGCATGTGAAAAGTAGCTTTTGCATCTAAAAAATGAGCAATTAATAAAAACAAAAACATCTAAAAATGGCTATTTTTCATTAACTCAATGCAAACTTTAAAAATATCGAGTTGAAAGTTGAAGGCTCAACTCGGCGTTTTATCTCCGTGCACTGCTCACAAATCGATGGATCATTTTACGATGGATCCCCGAATGCTTAAAAATCTCGAGCAGAGCCCAACATCTCTACTTTGCCTGATATTACAAGGAGGGAAAAGATGAACTCGGAAAGATTGAGGATTAGCGCACGGGAAATTTGAATTGGATTAAGAAAAAAGAATTCAACGTGACTCAATGAAATCTTCGGATTAAATTAACCTGAGAAGAGAACTGTATTTGTTTCAGCATCAATAAACTTTCTTTTTAAAAAATTATCGAAAATGTAACATTTTTTTTTACTTTTTGAGCTTCGACCTACAAATGATCAGAGTCTGAATGTAATTTTTTTTCGATTAGAAGCATGATTGTCTTTTATGAATTTCAAATCAGTTAAGGGCTCGTTCCCTTTCTCTTGCTTTTTTTGAATGTCCTTGAGCCTGTGTTCATGGATAAAATGTTAGATTTTTCATCGCAAAAGTTTTCTCTTGATTTGTTTGAGGTTTCATGACAGAGACGAAAAATTTTGCGTTTTAATGACTGTTTCCGTCTTTTTTTAACATTTCAAGCTCTAAAAACTTTTTGAAAGATGAAAAATTTCAGTTGATAACGAATTTCGTACTTCCAAATATTCGTAATCAGCAAAGTTGATACATCTCTTTAATTTGCTTATTACGAGTTTTTACACCATAGTTTGATTTACCAAATATCTAATGAAGAAACTGCTCAATCCTTCCAAAATCTCAGATGCCACGATGAGTTTTCGGGATGAAAAAAAGAATTTGCGTTGTCCAACTGTTTGCAAAGGAACACTGCGTGGTTGGGGAACATAGGAAAGGCAGTTGGATCAGATCGAAACGGCGCCATCACTCACAATTTGTTCGAAAGAGTCTGCGGTCCCACACCGGGCGGTGTGTACACAATCAGGAAACATTTTTGAAGACACAAGTTATCGCTAACCGCCGGAGCATCAATCAAACATGCGTTTGCCTGCTCCGCGAGCCTCGCGGCGGTTTTGAGCTACCGACTGTTCTCATTGGGCTTCTCTACTTTGTTGGTTCTACACAGTGTACTGATTTTCATAATCAATGGAGGTGTAGAAGAAAAAAAAACCAGCTGTCAAAGTAAAAAAAAAGCTACTTTTCCTATTTTCTTCGAAAAAATTCAGTTATTGTGTGCTCCAAACCTTTTTAGAAAAAGTAATCAGAAATATTTACACTCACTCGACCTAATTTACCACTTATTTAGTACCATTTTTCTTGCAGTACAACGCTTTACGAGGCGGTTTTTTCACGGTTTTTGTTTTCTGACCAAGCGCACCGTTTCGCATCCAAACGTTTAAGTCGAAACCCTTCAAGAAAAAAAAATTGGTCGGGATTTCCCACTCTGGAGCAAGTGATGAACTAAAAAAAATGATGACTGATTATGATATCAACGAAGAAAACTTGTTTCATTCGATTGTGAAAATCTTCTAGTTTCCAAGATATTGAGCGTTTTTTTTTCGATTTAGCTTACTCTGTTCAAAAAAACTTGACGGAACTCTCAAAAAAATATAATAAAGGGGATTTTCGCAGCTAAGAAATGATTTAAAAAAACACAAACATGACTTGCTTGAACTAATATTTTATCGAAGGAGTTTAAAAAAATATCTAGAACTTAAAGCTTACATCAAGTTTTCGAACAATTTATTTGAACAACAAGATTTAAAACGTTTCGCTGAACTTGAGTCCAGGAAATTGAAGACATAAATGAAGTTATTCGAGAGTATTCAAACAACTTCAAAGCTTCCTGGAGATCAGGTTCCAAGAGTGAAAACAAAAATAAAAGATTATGCGATCAATCGAAAGAACAAGACAAGCGCACAAGTGGCTGGATAAACGGAGTGATCTGCGGCAGACGCGGGAATCTCTGAACTCATCAAGGCGTTTCCTTTCGATTCACTCAAGTCGATCTGTTTCTGTTCGAAGTCGTTTCATTTCTGCATTGTCGGTACAGAGAAAATTCAAAATCAAGTAAGTGAATTAAACAGAATTACTTCTTTTCCTATTCATAAACTTCTTGATTCAGAGCATAGATCGAAAAGTTTAGGGAAATTATGTTCATGCTTCTTGCTTGAGAAAAAGGCTCTTTTTTCAAAGAAAAAAACGCCAATAAAGAAGCCCGACGTTCGGCGAAATTGGAATGCGTTGGGCCAAACAGCGAATTATTGTCAATTTCGGCTAACTAATTCTGACGGTTTTCTAGCAGAATTTTTGCCAGTTTCTGCAATTCCATTTCAAGGCTTTTAACACGCAAATTCGAAGATTCTGATAAAAATTATAAAAATGACTAAAATAGTAGGCAGCCTCTCTGAAAAAAAGGATGTTCAACCCGATACATATGAGATGCTTTTAACTTAAAAAAGAATGAATTTTTTAATGAAACTTATTTAAATCTACTTTTGCATGGTGTAGGATGATAAAAACCGTTGAACAGAAATGCAACTGAAAGTAAAGGGCCAGAACTGAGACTCCAAACTTTGAGAAACGATTCTTAAGGTTTTTCTATACAAGGAGAAGCAAATGTTTTGTTTGTCACATTAAAAGCAAGCTTCGAAAGTTATTCATCCAAATTAGATCAAAAAGAGCATAAGGAAGAATTAGAAACAATTGATAAAAAAATTAGAAGAGAAGATGAACAAGCCGAACACGCGTTGTACCACGTCGTATGGCAGTTGTCATTTCTTTCAGCTACTTGGTTGCATCTCGTCACTGCACCAAACGTACAAATTTGTTTTATCTTTGCCTCCCAACTTCCCGCCATTTACACTCCCGACTGATGGGTCCATGTGACCGCCGTCTGTACAGCAACACCCCAAGGAAGCTGTTCGTAATGGGCTAATTTGGAACAACGACGAAAAATTGCTCTCATCTATCCATGTTTCATTGTAAGGACAACACCTTCTGTTATTCAGCATAATGGCTCCGAATGCGCCTTGAAAGAAAAATTGGCCCGAAGAGCGAAAAAGAACCTTTTCCGAAAAAAATTACTTCACAGGTCTTAAGAATGATTTCAAAAAAATAATAAAAACAATTATCAGGACACACGTCAAACTAAATTTGAAATCCGAACAAAAGATATCAACGAAAAGATAGTATTATAGAAAAGATTAACTTCATTAGCCCTTCAATTAGTGCAAAACTATAGTATCTTTATTCATTGCAAATTTTAACTTTGTCTAACTTTTTTTCAAAAAAATTCAACGAAAAAAAGATCGTCTCGAAAAAAATCGAACGATCGTAAAAAGTTCAGCTGCTCACTGGAACTCACATGTGGACGTAAAATTTTTTCTTTCATCGTTTTTCGAATTTAGCAGTATCTCGTCTAGCAAAAAGGATGTTATGAGCGTTTTCAAAGTTTCTCATAGCAGAAAAGACGAACGTGGACACAGCCAAAGTTAGTTTATGTTTAGTTTTGCGTTGAACTGACTTGATATCTTCCTCCACAGAGCTTCTTGGTTTCTCTCAACAGTCCATTTGATCTTCCAATTCTCTGTCAAAGTTTCTAAGACGCTGGAGTCATTGCTGACAATGATGAACTCATATAAAGGTTTTTTAAAATTTCTAATAAGATGATAAAATCTCCGCATCCTATTTGCCTCGATCAAATTGGCATTAAAATGAAGCCAAAAACTCCTTTAGATCGTATTTTTGCAAGCCGTTTCCTTCGTCTTACGCATTTAGAGCCTCTCGCTTTTTTCAAGGATAAAGAGAAGTTTTCGAAAATCTTTTTATTATTTGAAACATTAAATATCTGTTTTCTTTCCGGTCAAAATTCAGACTTCGAAATTCAACCAGACCAACTTGTACAGTTCTTCAAATATTTGTGATACTCTAAGCTTGAGCTTTTCTTCTGATACAAGTCGCGAAAAAACCGGGAAACTTCCCTATCAAAAAAGATTGAGACAAAAAACAGTTTGAGAAAATTCGAAAAAATGCATGTTGAAAGAAGCGATGATTTCAGGACCCAATGGCAAATTAGAAGGGAACTCGTGTTTGCCAGAACACATAATGAATTGATGGGTTTCGCCGGGTCATTCACTTTTTTTGACGTTGCTGACGTCAACGCACAACCGACTTCTGGTATTTCTTAAAATAAAAGCGATCGTTCGTTTCAGGTCAGTCTTTCTTGAGAATCAAGCTTAAATTTGAAAAATTATATCAAATTTTCGAATAAAACTCCAGCTGTATGATAAAAAAATTGTAAGAAAAAAACGAGAGCATATGTTTGATGGCAACCATCCAGCAAAAAAAAACAAAAAAATGACGCACGTGTGTAGAACGGCAGAGTCTGGAAGTTATCGAGAAGTTCTTCAACGAGTGGAGAAGTCAATAATAGTGTCTCCACGGGGGACATTGTAATGTAAAAAGAGAACGAATTTTGTTTTTCTTGCAGTCAAATTCGGGAAAAGAATAAAAATCGATTCATAAAATCAAATGGAGAATCGTACTGCGTATAATTCTGAAATGATAAGTCCCGATTTTCAACTAGTGTCGAAAACTTTGATATCCATAATAAAGGTTTGTTCCTCCGGAAACTAAACTTTCAATAATTTGAAAAAAAGTCAAAAAAATTAAAGTTTCTTTTTTTATCCATTGAAATTGGTTATGGTAATTAAGAAAAAAATTCTTTTTCTCAAAAAAAGTATTGAGCCAAGATTTGATTGCGACTTGATCAGTTTTGAAGATGCTTGAGACATTCCAGCAAGTGAGCCTGTACAAGTTTTGTCAACTCTTTTTTCCATGCAGAATGGATCAGGACATTTCTTCACAAACCTCCGCGGAAGTTTTGTTTACAAATTTGAAGTAAGCGGAACAATCAGTTTCATGAAAAAGGCCTACTATATAGAGACTATTCTCATGCTGATTTCATTGAAAAAGTATAATTAGGAAAGACTGACTAATTTTGTGCAAAGTGATAGAATGGATTCGAACACGACTAACAGCTCCCAATGAAAGACATCAGGAAGATTTGAAAATCGAGCGAACCAAATGACGTTTTGGAACCAGGACTGCGATCAAGCGTCATCAAAGAAAATTTTCCGAAGCCGAAAGGTAGGGGCAAAAAATAGTGTTGCCAGAATGAGCTCGAGCGTGCGTCACTCTCCGCCGCACACACAGAGCAACTGTCCGAATGGCCTGGGAGACACGAGATCCAGGCTTCAGTCTCTGTGCAAAATGCTGCAATCACACACACACACGCCGTGGGGCAGGAATCAACGTGTTCGGCCCGTTTCCTCATTTATCACACTCCCCAGTCCTTATTTGGGTGGGATTGGTTCAACTGGATTTATATGCAAAAACTATTCTGCAAGATTCTTTTTGAACTTCATTTCACTAAAACACTTAAAAGAATAAAAGTTTTTCAAACTTTGAAAACTTTTTTTTTACGTTCAAAGAATGAGAAACAAACTCGACTAGCAAAAAAAGGTTAACTTTTTTTAGTTTTATCTGAACTACTTTGACCCTCCTGCACCATGAGAAGCCCACTAAAATTTTGAACAGACAGTGAAATTCAGAAAGACGCTTAATGTTTTACAAAATGAAGATCTTTTTTCAAGATCTTTTTGAAAAAAAAGAGGGCTCTCATAAACATTTTTGCATTTTCTCGAAGCACCTATGTAGTGACTGAGCTCCAAGATCTTCCTCTTAGCTTGTCGAACCATTTTCCAACAGAAAAATAACAAGATAACCAAAATTTATTTCGAACAAAGTGCATTGCACGTGGTGAAATCAGTCGGGCATGAAGACATTTCCTATGACAACTCCAGATTTGCTTATCGGTTTTCAATATGAAAAGTAGATGATTTGAGCTTTTAAGCCGTCTGAAAAAGACGATAAGCCAGGTAGACAAGACAAAAGAAGACAAAATACGCACTTTATACATGAGAATGAAGCAGGAACCACAAACAATCAGCAGGTCAAATGAATTTTTTGAACGTTAGGAGATGGGCAGAATGAAGCTTCACCACACGCATTCGGGGTCCTCCTTCTTGATGGATGGCGACGGAACCTCGAGCGAAAAATAACTATCAGCCAGCCTAAATTATTGTCGCTTTATATCTCGTTTTAGGTGTGAACAAATGCCGTCAGAAACCATTTATTTACTGCATATATGGAAAAAGGCGGCTGAATAATTTGGCTAAAAGTAGATGGCAAGAAAAGTGAGCAGTTTGGAATGGCTGGAACGTGATTGGATATGTGAATCAGAACCTTCCGTTGACGAGCTCGTAGAAGCCTTCTTCTACAGAGTAGACGTTGAAAACGTGACTGATCTCGACGTCTTCTTGGAAACGACGCACAGACCTCTGCAATATGTGACTTTATCAAGTTTGCTTTCAAAAAAAAAACTTGAAAAATGAGTAGTTCTTGTTGTAGCCTAGTGAGCAGAATTTGTGGAAAATTCTAGAAATCGTGATTTCCGATTCTTTGGAAAGAAGAATTTTTCAATTTCTTGCACAATTATCAAAAAAAAACCTCTGACACTTATCAAAAAAACATGAACTTCAACACTACATAAAGTCATGAAAAGCTTAGGCGATGTTCTGAAAACTTCTCAAATTTCATTGAACAGGATTGGAAATAGTTAAAATCATTAGAACATTCAGAAATGTTACCTGAAGTGCTGGGAGAAGAACGAGAAGATTGGCAAGACGCATCGAAGGGTCCGGAAGTCGCCGCACTCGTCGATAATAGTACAGTATCTCGCGAAGAACAGATTCTCTAGTGTCTCTTGCGAGTTCCACACAGTCGTCCGACTGTCCATCAAGGCCTGTAAGAACGAAACTATGTAGAAAAAAAAGTAGAGTTCTCTCGCATATTTAGCTCTAGCGACTAGAAAGGATACACTTAGAGTTGCAACAGGGTCAAATTTGGTTTATATTTTGTTTTACTATTTCTAGGAATTTTCGTTCATAATTTCTGATGGCCGACTGCGAGAGTCGTTTCAAGTCTGGTCTCTTTGAAGCCATGACACATGCGACAGTTAGTTTTTTCGTTAAACCGAAAAAATGTATATCTCATTGTTTGAACATACCGTGATCCCAAAGGACGAGGGAGCACAAAGTGAAAAATTCGAAGTTGTCCACTTTTTCTCTTCTCATTGGGTCCAAGATATTCCTGCGATAAATGTCAAAAGATGGGCCAAACATTCTGAAAAAAACGTCTCAAACGAATAAATTCTCATTGACCGAGTACCTGACAGCGTCCTGTGGAGACATTAACTGTTTTCCTTCCAAGTCGTGGTAGAAAGTCTCTGGTCTCGCGCAGTCGATGTAGTCGCCTGAGGGTAAAACAATGATGTCAGTTCGATCTGAAAATTTTCGAATATTTGAAAACTTCTGATGAAATATGCCGTTTATGCAGCAATAGTATCCAGACTCCAGAATCATGAACGGCAAAAAGAAGTTGCGGTAGAGAAGCTTCTGAAAAATCTTTCACGTTTTTTCTATTTTTGTGAGACATTTTTGGTGTGTAAAAAAAGGCAGACAAGTCAAATCGTTTCAAAATGAAAAATATTAAAAAAAAACGAGATAAATTTACTTTTTGATCAGATGGAAGCTTGTCAAAAGCTGGATACGAATTTATGACCCAGTCAGCAACCAAATTCAGTTCTTTCAAATGCATAGCATTAGCTTCTTTGTAAGCGATCGCGCGAGGTTGTCTCACCTGTGAAATGAAAAAAAAATGAGTTAACATCATCAAATCATACGCAGAAAACACTCTCTCCGTCACGATTGTGGATCACTTTTCTGACGTTGTCCATTTGAATGTAGTTTTCGTTGAGCTTGTTCAATATCCTCATACCGTAATCTTCACTTTCCATTGACACATCCTGATAAAATGACATAATTTCTGTTTCATGGAAGATCAACTCACAGCTGGGCAACTGTCACTTTTATAAGGATGAAATTCATTTTCAGAGTCTCTTTTTCCCAGCTGATCTCGATGTCTTTGAACCGCTTAAATCAGATTTTTTTTCCAGAAATCCAATCTCGTGTTAGTTTCACAAAACTTACATGCTTTGCGCATGCCGACGGCCAAGCACTTTGCGAACCGACAAGCGCGGCACATACATCTCACATCTGTAAAACGTACTTGGGGCCGTGAAAAAATATTGTCGCGACAAGATAAACATGGGAAAAAGGTTCGGTAGTTGTTTGCTTGAAACATTTTCCTGGCAACAAATAAAACACTGAGGCGAGAAAAGCGGGCCCGACCCAGAACTACATAACGCAAATGCAATCGGAAAGGATCGTTATTTCAAAAGAGAAAAAATCGCTCTTTGGAAACTTAAAAACAGAAAATTAAGCTTAATCTACGGTATTCCTTTGAGCTACCGTATCTTGAAAACGGCTCGAATGATGATATTCTGTTTTTTTTTCAAAAAATCTTAAAAAATCATGTTCTACAACATATTTGATTTAGAGAAAATTTTACCCTAACGCTAATTTTTTTTTCCAACTCAGACTAAACCCAAGTGGCGCAGAACAAATCTGCGCTCAAGAATGTAACAACAGAGTCAAGTCATTGGTCAAAGCTTTCGAAACAGAATTTTTTTTTCTTTTGTTACTGTGGCTGAGGTGAACTTCCTATAAAATAGAGACCATCTCAAAAAGACTTTTTGACAGCTCATTATTCACAGCTTGACTTTTTGATACTCAAAGATACTTTATACCAAACTTGCTCGATTATGTATTAGGTTGTCAAGAAACGGATTTCGTTTTTGAATGGTTGACTTCAAACAACCATAACTCGCTTCAGAAGGCTTTTTTTGACTGATCTAAAATTTATAAATTACTTCAAAGCCTTGACTATGAGAAAAGTTATATAATAGAATAAATGACCGACGTGCCTAAATTTCCTAAACGCATGAATTAATTGAGGTCTTTTTGACATCATGTTGAATTAAAGAGCGTTTCTCACTTAAAAAGTTTCAAGGTTTTTTAAAAAGTAAGTGAATTATTAATAGAAGGTGCAATCAGATGATCAACACAAAAAACATCAAATCCGAGTCATTTTTCCGGTCTTTCAAACGATAATAATTTTCACAGTAAGCCTTTTTTCCCTCAGGAACCGCAAGTTTCGACTCTTCGTTGTTGAGAAAATATAGATTCAAACTACACTTTGAAACTAAATATTAGCCCTTAGCCACACAGAAGCTTTTTTTTATTAAAACGAAGGTGTACTTTGTTTTGATCAGGTACCAAGATTGTTTGACAAAAAATGTTTAGTATCCACTAACTTGCTTGGACTACGCAATTGCCGTTGCTCCGGCAAGAATAGGTCTTGTTCATGGCCACACTTCGACGAAAAAAGGCAGCACATGCTCTGAAACTTTCTTCTAGGTGAGTTTTTTTGTTTCTCGATAAACCTGCAAGCTTCAGCTCCAAAATGTGCTCCGTCTCCAGATTCTCCGCAAACGCTGCAAGGTTTTTTCGTAGACGGCGCCATAAAAGTTGTACTACAGTTTCTGTAATAACTTTATATTCACATTTAATAATATGTAGAATAGACGATTTTGCACTGAGAACCACGTTAAAATCTTGAAGTCAATGGGAGATGATGACAAATCGTCAAAGTGGTCTGAACAACATGTAAGCATGGGTAAATAGAAAGTTTGGCGGGCGTTTAGGGCGGCCGCACCGTCACAAACCACAGAAACGGACTGATGTGTGGTCTGGGCGTCAGTATTTGAACCCATTTCGTAGTTTTTATCAGTATTGGTCTACAATCTGAAAGTTGAGAGCTGTATAATTTGATAAACTCATCATATTTCGTTGATAAAAAAAGTTTAGATTTTCCCTAAATGTAAAAATCATCGAGTTGAAATCATGAAAAAATTTTGAAATTTTGAGCTTCCATTATTTTTCATTTTCGAAAAACCGAAATTTCTAAGATGGATAAAAAAAATCCTCGAAAAAATCATCGATTGATTTGACAGTTTAAAAAAACTATTATTTTTTTAATAATCGGGAATTTTCGTCAGCTGAAAACAATTAATTGAGAAGCTTTCGAAAAAAAAATCAATGAAAAAAAAGGCCTGAATTGAATTTTCTAACAAAAAAGGCATGAAATGATCACGCGCTGTATTGCCCGAATAACACAGAAAACGATCATGGAAAGATGTTTTGCCAACGGAGGCAAAAAATTGAGCTGCATGAGGAACAGGCGAATAGAACTTCGTTGATTTGCCCTTAAAATGAGATCATCAATAAAATACTACGTTGAGAACAAAGGGATCAACCAAAAAAGCGAAATATTTGGATCAAAATAATTTTGGATAGGTAAAACAAGCATAAATTCTAGAAAAAAGCCTGGGACCTGAAAGAAACAAAACCCCTTAGTTCTTGAACGGCGGCAAGTGAATCGCTAAAGTTGGCAGCGTCTGGCGGGAAACAAGACAGAACAAACAAATGCTGGTCGCAATGGTCTCGCTCGAAATTCTGTTCTAAGCCGCTTCCAGTGTTTCTCGCCTTCTTTTTTTTTTTCGAAAAACTTGAAAGTAGGTAATTTTCTCGAAAATTTTATATTTGGTGGGATGGTTGCTAGGGGTTTCGAAACAAAATTCGCAGTTAGAAAAACATGTGAATTGCCACTTACAACATCAAGTGAGAGAAAGCTATGCATATTTCCTCAGATGAAAAAAACAAGTCTCCTGGGAAAAATAAAAAAAAATCAACAAAAAAATTGATAAGTTGATTTTTAAAAAGTTTCTGATGTTAGCTTGGAAATCGATATCTAAAAAACTTGAAGTTACTGAAAAAGAACTATAAACATGATTGTTATCATCCTGAAAAAAATAAAATTGAGATCTTTTTGGTTTCATATAAATTCACAATGAGAATACTAAACTACTTTTGAGCGAATTTCTTTTTTGTTTTGAACTTCAGATTTTTCAGCCATTTAATTACAGAGATCACTGTGATCAGGCAATTTTCACTGTTTCATTGCAAACAAATTAGTGATGGCAAACTGAACGAGAAAAAAACGTGCAAATGGGGCAGTAAAAGAAGTATGGGAAAAGAAAGAAACAAAAATGATGACAAAAACAGGTTTTCGGTTTGTCAGCAATTCTTTTCAGTTCGAATTTTCCTCTTATTTTACCGACAGTTTGTCGGAACCACTGAACTTTGTTTCTTCTAAGTGGCTATCTCCATTTGAAACCCACTTCTGAGATTGTTGTGTTTCCTGTGCACTGTTTTCTGTTAAAGCAAAAAATCTCGCGGAACGCTACGTGTAAGTAAAACGGAAAAGCTCAAAGGAAAAGCTTTGAAATGGAGAACAAAGAAAAAAAAGAAATGATGACAATAGTGCAAAAGCAAGCAAAAAAAGTTCTTGCGCATGTTGCGTGTGCAGATAACAGATAACACCCTGATAAAGATAACGCCTACTCGATAAGCCAAGATAAGTGTTTTGTGAAGGTACTGTTCTTAAGTGGCGACCGACCGAGAGCACAGAGAGAATAAATATTCTAGCTGATAAAATTATAATATGAGAAGCCTTATTGCAGTCTTTGAAAATCGAGCCTCAGCATAAAATTGGAAGATAAATTTCACACTCTAGTAATCCTCAAGATGAAGATGTAACTCGTCAGTTTCTACATTCTAAAAGGTTCATAACTACTCCTCAATTTGAAAAATCCTACTCTAAATCAAAAAAAAAAATTGCACGCTGTATGTACGAGATGATGTCAGAAATGCTGAAACTTCGTGGCTCCATCGTCATCCTTCAAACTGAGACTTAATCAATCATGGCATTCAATGAAAATCCCTTATGTCTTTTTTTAATGTATTGGAGCCATGAACTATCGCCTAAACTGTTCTTTCTATTTTATTTGGAAAAAAATGATATGATTTCTTTTTTTCTTAAAAAAATATTTTATAACTATTCAAATACTTTTTTTGAAGCCGAAAAAGGCCCCTGTTTTATCGGACCTTGCCGAAATATAACACTTAAAAATGAAAAATTCGAATCAGAACACATGAAAGGGTTTATGATGATTTATGATTTATGATGAATCACTGCGTTTCTTTAAAAATATGAAGACGGGTGAAAGAAGATTAAACATCATTTTCAAAGCTCACGTATTTTTGCTTCTAATTTGAAATCTTTGATAATCCTTGAAAGTTGTGAAAAAATTGAAATAGACTTGAAGTTTTCTTTTTCTAGCAAACAAAGACGTTTTATTCTGACGTCACTTTCCCAGACCAAAAGAATCAAGAAACTTGCTCGTGTTTCGAGTAGTTATGAATAAATATTGGTCATCAGATATGCTCATACTTCACGAAAGAAACACTCGCAAAAACATCAAAACTACTCGATTTGTACTTTTTTCTTGTACCCATTATAAGGTCGCTCAAAGGAAAATGTGGCAAGTCCACTTTTTATCTCATTTCTTTGAGTGACCGCTTCATTTTTAAATTTTTATTGAATTTTGCGTTCTGACAGCAAAAATTAGTTATCGTAGTTGGGGTATCCTGCTGGTCGCAGCAACAAGGTCGCCTGCCCAAGTGGGTCTCCAGCCCAAGACAAGTAAGATTCATAGGTTGAAGGAATGTTGTCACAACTGAACCGTACCTGCAAACAGAAAAAAGTAATTTCTCAAATGATTGTTTTTTTAAACTCCGTTGAGGTTGGCAGATCCACAGCGAATCGTGGTGTCGAACCAAAAACCAGTGTTTTGGAAAGTTTTCGAGCAAAGGAAATCTGAAAAAAAATCTTCAAGCTGATGGAGAACTGAATTCTCACCTTTGGAATTTTCTTGATCATAAGCGGAAAACTTGGGACCAATGCCGCTAAGGGTCCATCGCGCCCATCCGTCCTGGTAATAGTTGGCGACTGATTCTGATCCGGTGCACGCCTCAATTTCAAAACATGAATAATTTTTTTACGAATTTCTAGGTTATACCTTTGGTATGACAACGGAGTATTGCGTTTCAGGTCCGAGGACTTTGAATGATCCGTAGGTACAATCCGTCGTTTTAGCTGGGAACCCGTTGTTAGCACAGCGATGTAAAGTCAGTCGAAGCCTTCAAAAATCATAATTTTTAATAGTTTGATTTTTGATCGAACGTGTGCGGCTCGAGAATCGTCATTCCATGAATCAAGTCCAAGCCGAGCCAAAGCTTCTGCGTACTCGGGTCGCCGAACCCTGATTGAGTTCCCAGTTGTTACGATCAAGCGATTTCTCATCATACCATTGACATATTGTTGGTACGATTTGTTCACGTTGGCGTTACCGTCATCGAACGACATCAAAGTGAAGCCACCGCCATCTGTTATGATACTTCCAATGAATCCAAGAATACGATTCGGTCTCAACCTGTGTCCATGTCGCAATAGACAGAGTAGTTTGAGAAGGGTGGAAGACCATTAACGGAATAGGGAGGGTTTATTCTGAAAAAGCAGCTTGAAATATTCGGACCTTTTTGAACCAACATGTAGACGCCGCTCGTTTTGAAGCTCCAGTAATGGTAGAGATCAGCGCAGTGACGTCTGGGCATGTAAAGTTCGCAGTTACGGCCGGTGTAGTACTCCTTGCAGGCACAGGAATAAGATCCTGAAAAATCTTTACTTTGATTTTTAGTCAAAAAAAGAAAAAGAGTTTTTTTGAACAGAGGAGAACAAAAACAATCTTAAAATCTACTATGAACCGCATATTAATTTTTTTCTAATTAATCTCAAAAATAGGAAACTCTTTTTTTATTGATAGAAGCAGCTTTATATGTTTTCATAGATCTTGATTCTTTTGCCAAATATACTTTTTTTCATTCAAGCAATTTAATATGTTTTTTTCATTGAAAAAAAATTTGGAAAGCTGAGAAAATTAATTTTCTCTATTTGCGGATATTATTTCAAAAGAAAAATTCATCAAAGGATTACATACTACTGTTTCATGACTTCATGAAAACTTCAACGGACTTTTTCAATTTGAAACACCATTAAAATGTTTAGAAAACCTTTTGAAAACAAAAACCTGGTGTGTTGGTGCAAATTCCTTGACCCTTGTTGACGCTGCAACTAGCGGGATTAAGACACTCGTTGATGTCTGTACAGTTGTAGCCATCTCCCGTGAATCCGGGAAGACAATTACATCTCTGGTTCAAATCGACCACTTCACAGTTACTGTATTGGCCACAAGGACGATACTAAAAGATAAAAAAACAGTTTCCAAGAGCCTGAGCTCTTTTCACCTCGCTATAGTAAGATCCGTTCTGACATTCGTGCCAAATCGTGCAGTTGTCTGAGATCCAAGGAGCTCCAGCTGCGAATAAGTTTATTTAATAGTATTTTTATAACTCAGATAACTAACCTGGATGAGAATATCCGTACTGATCAACGCAACCACATTGCTGAATCGGAATACATCGGAGAACGGAAGTCACCGTGTTGTCCATGACAAATCCATAATCACATGTACATCCGTCAGCGCAACCTGAAGGCACAACTTCTTCAAGTTGTTAGGAATAATTGGTGATCTAAACCTTGGTCGCAGTCTTCTGGGTACGGATTGTAGCATGAAGCAGGACAGGAGCTTGCACAAGAGCTGTAGTGGGAGTTCAAAGGACAGGCGAGAGCGCAACCCGTGTCTGTGCGCCAACTTCCGAAGTTTCCAGCTAAATTTAATACATTTATACTCAATATGGTACAGAAAAGACTTTGTTACTCTTGAATAAATTGGAATAGGGCTACTAGGAGAACATTTTTATAATAGATTGTATTTTTTTTGGATTCCCTTATAGTGTATTAAATTAAAAGCTTTCAAGATTGTACACTATCGACTACTGAAATATGAACATTTTTTCAGAATTTGAAATTCGCTGATGCTGAAATTAGTCGAGTGGAAGACTTCCAACTTTTCGATTTCTTCATGAGGGTCTTTCTGAAGGTTTTGACCTTTTTCGGTCTGATTTGAAAAAAAAAGAAAAGCTTCCTTGCGAAACATCGCTTCAGTTTACTGGCTTTAATCTAGCGAGTCATTCAAACTTTCTGAATGTTATCAGATCTATAAGAAAAAATTTTTTTTGAATGAGTTTGAAATGGCCATCTTTTCAGAACTCACTTGGAACTGAGGCTTGGCAAGTTTGAACAAAGGAATAGAGCGCGGAACAAATGAAGGGCGGATTTCGGCAAACGTCGTAGACGCAATCATTGTAGAGGTCCTAAAAATATGAAAGAATGCTTGTATGCTTGAAGTTTTTACAGTGATCGTGTCGTTGGATAAAGCGCTGCAAAGAGCGAAAGGTCCTTGACCAGCTGCGGCTTGCAAAATCGGGTTGCAAGAACGAGCGGCTTTCTCGGCATCCTCAAATCTCGACTTACATTTTCTTGTTTTTTCTTTTGAGAAGTTGATGAAATTTCAAGAAAAATGAGAAATCACTGCTGTATCGCAAGCAACTGAGTAGCTCCTTACGCATTGGGTGTTGTTGTTTATGATTTCGCCGGTAACGCAAACTTCTTGGCCGGTACGCAGTTTCAAGAAATTATCAGTGATCCAGGAATCCTGCGATCAAGTTTTTTATCAGAAAAGACAGTTCTATTCACTTCAGTGTGAAGGAAACCAGTGAAACCGGCTCCTTGGGAAGGCGTATATCTGCTGTTGACCGGGTAAATTGAGCCATTCCTGAACGATTTCTAGGTTTATATGGACTTTAGAACAAGTTAACTTGTTGACGACATCGTTTTTGTAGTTTCCATCCCGGTTACCAGCCAATCCGCAGAGCGTCGGCTGACCGGTGAAAGCGGCAACGTCCGGAACCTATGTAGTAAATTATTATAAGCATCGAACTTCCTCAGATGCTCACCTGAACGCAGACGATTCCTGAGGTAGTGAAAGTTACTCTGACGTTCTGATCGTTGTAAACATAGAATGTGTAGCCGCTGTACGTCACCGTGATCTGTAGTTTCAATGTGTCATTGTTTTTCCGATTGTTAAATTCATTTTTTCCGATTTTTATTGCAAACGATGTTTGATAATCAAAAGTCTTGATACTCGAACAAAAAAGATAGTTTTACAAGGCAGAAAATACTAACCTGAGGGCTCTTTTTGTTCGGGTAGTACCAAGGAAGGCGAACTTGCAGACCATCTACCAAAACCCATTTTGAACGGCCGTCAATATGAATGGTGCGATTGTAAAAGTCAACTTCTACTTCAGAAACCGAAGCGACGCTGGAAATTTCTTTTTCACTATTGGTTCAAATTTGAGAAAAATATTACTGAGCGCCAGGATACACGAGTTCATTCTTGGCACGAACAGAGTAGTAGGAGTAGGGTGCCGAGAGGGTTTTGCAGGGCTGGGAAAAAACGTAAGGACATGTTCCTAGAAGATTTTTCATCGGTTGCAGTTCAACAGAGAGAAAAACCTTGGTAGTCGTAGTGGAGGCCGTCGAAAGTAGTGCAATGTGGATCGCCATTACAGCAGGACTGAACGGTTTTGGCAGTACATCCCAAAGATTTTGGATACGCTCCTAAAACAAGAATTCTTCATTTTCCACTGAATATCGGATTTGATGGGATATTGAGATCTCACCGCTGTATCCAGGCTTGCAAACACAGTTCAGTTGATGATTCTGCACGAAGCAGTTCGTATTTGGTCCGCAGCTGTTTTCTTTGCAGCCAATCGTTTTCTGGCAGTTTTGGCCAGTAGCGTTGTCTGGGCAGAGGCAACTGGAAAACAAATTGCTCAAAAGGAAAGCTGGGAGAAAATTCTAAAAGTCTCCGAAAAGAGGTTGATTTCCAACAAGAAAATTAAAAAAGAAGTTAGAAACTTCTCAACGGAAACAGTTCAACCTTGCGAAAAAAATTTTTTTGGCTCCTTCTAGAAAAAAATGTTCAAACCGAATAAAATTACCTTCTTTTTTTAGGTTTTTAACAAAAAAACTCACTAGTACGAGCCGAACGGATTTCTTGGGTCAGGTACGCAGGTACCTCCGTTAATACATTTGCTAGGGTCGCTGCAGATGTTGCAGTTGGTGGGAGCAGGTGCCGCAGATTCGATTCCAATTGCGTCCAAGAAATTGTTCACAGTAGCCGTTCTTTTGAAGGCAGGATTGTTGCGTGGAGCATTGTACTCAGCGTGTTTCTCTTCTTGGAAGTTTCTGATGATGTCCAAAAGAGCTTCTTTCGATTCACATTCTAAGCCGTAACAATGTTGCCTGAAAACATCTCAGATTGGTTAAAAATGATCTAAATGGTCTCTCTATCAAGATTAAATGATGTGATTTCTTGAAAGAACAATATTTACGCAGATGAAATGTGAAATAATATCATCTGACGACATTTTTATGACAAAAAACGCTACTTGCCCTTATTTAGGAGAACAACAGAGAAATCTTAACTTCCATTTCTTATTGTGGTAAAAAGCTCATTTTTGACAACCAAGCCCGTGGTAAAAAGAAATTTTCCAACAAAACGAAGAGAAATGTTTTTGAAATTTTCAGAATTTTTTGTATGTGAGCGAAATATGAATCAAAATTTTTTTTTCCTTTTTTTAACGTTGTCATCTCTTTTTCACTGAAAAATTTTTTTCAACTCACTGGTCTGAAGGGATGCAAAAAACAGAAGAGGCAAGGGCCAAAAGCAGAAGAGGCCTGAGCGCCATCAAGGCAGGAATGAAGCGTAGTACAACGCCGTCCCCGCGATTATATACTGTCCTTTATCGGTTTCCGATTATTAATATTCTCGATTAACGACGTTTGTCATCGAGCCGTTGACATTTGATTTTTCTTAAACCGTATTATGCCGACCTTTCCTTCAACTGACGTGATATCACTTGGCATTAAGGTTTTTAATCAGTCCTTCGCAGAACCTGTGTTTTAGCTCGCAGAAAAAACTGATAAATGTTTGTTAGTTTGGTTCTTGGTCCATCAGCCTTCTAGTCTTGTTTTATTATAACAGTAGATTTTCGAAGAAAGTATTTTTGGCTGGAAGTGTTTATAAATTGAATTAAATTTTTTTTTCTTGTTGTAAGTTTATCCATTCTAATTTATCATCAATCTTACCATTTGAGGACAAGTCAAATGACATGTCTTTATTTTTTCAACTCTCTTTCTCGACTTTTTTCGGATAAATGTCAAATATACGAAGTTAAGTGAAAAAAAGCTTTTTTTTCGGAAAAAAATTTTTGTGTTGCTTTCGACCGGATTTTTGTGTATATTACAGTACAGCTTTTTTGCCCTTTTGCACAGTTCAATGACCTTTTTTTTCTCAGTGAGGTTAGTGTTTAATTTTCTATTAGAATAAAAAATCAAACATACGGTGTCAAATCACATCTTGTTGAGTAGATAACGTTCCTATTGTAGTTTCTCCTCCGCAACATGTCCTTGTATCCCTATAAGTTTTCGCCACATTTTTTTTCCTTTTTTGAGAAGTCCTACCTTGAACAGGTGCAACTTCAATCCTTTCAAAAAGAGTGTCTCAAACTCACCAAATGCTACTAATTTTTTTTTTTTTTCTTATTCTAGGAATCCGTTTCCATCATTAAAATTAAAGCCTTTGATTGTTTGAAACAAATTTCCTTCTAAGCGAACTTTTTATTTGCACTTTGAGGCATTTCAGTTTCAGTAGTTAGGGTATCCTGCCGGTCGCAGCAACAAAGTCGCCTGTCCAAGTGGATCTCCAGCCCAAGACAGGTAAGACTCATAGGCCGTCGGGATGTTATTACAACTGAATCGCACCTGAAAAAAAAAGATCAAGGACTCTTTGGAAACTTGAATCTTCTCACTCCGTTCAGGTTAGCAGCTCCGCAGCGAATAGTGATGTCAAACCAGAATCCAGTGTTCTGGAATGTTTTCGAGCAAGTGAAATCTGGAATCACAAGTTTTCTTGAAGTTTTCCAAGTTTATAATCGTACTTTTTGAAGTTTCATTGTCAAATGTCGAGAACTTTGGCCCAACGCCACTCAGATTCCATCGCGCCCAACCGTCTTGGTAGTAGTTAGCCGCTGATTCGGTTCCCGTGCAAGCCTTAATTACAAAAGTTCATCGCTCAGATGAGTCAGGACAGCTTCTCAAAGTAGTATACCTTTGGAATGACGACGGAGTACTGAGTGTCTGCTCCAAGAACCTTGAAGGATCCGTAGGTACAGTCAGTTGTTTTTTCGGGGAAGCCGTTATTGGCGCAGCGGAAAAGTACCAATCGCAGCCTTCAAACTTTTACTACCTACTTTTTTATCTTGAAAAAAAAAACGTGTGAGCGCCTAAAGTCGTCATGCCGTGGATCAAATCCAAGCCAAGCCAGAGCTTTTGCGTTTTAGGGTCTCCGAAGCCTGAAGACACGTGGAAAAAGGTTAACTTTGATTGAAACCAACCTGTCACATATTGTTGGTAGGATTTGTTTACGTTAGCGCTTCCGTCATCGAACGACATCAAAGTGAAGCCACCGCCATCTGTGAAAATATAGAATGTTTAAATTTTGCATTGTAGAGTTACCGGTCTCCATGTCGCAATAAACAGTATAGTTGGTGAAGGCAGGCTGACCATTAACAACATATGGAGGGTTGATGCTGGAAAAAAGATTTTGAAAATTTTTACTTTCTAATCCAACTCGTAGACGCCGCTTGCAGTATATTTCCAGTAACGGTACAGATCCGCGCAATGCCGCCTGGGCATATAGAGCTCACAGTTGCGTCCGGTGTAGAAATCATTGCAAGTGCAGTTATATGATCCTGAAAAAAATGAATTTTTTTGGAAATTCCGGTAGTGAATATTCTTGAATTTTTTTCTCAAAAAAATATGCAGCAAATCCGCTCTATGGACAATAACAAGCATGATTTTTTAGTTTTTCAGTTTTTTTGTGGTTATATTCATTAAAGTAATTTCTGAAAACTAATGAAAGCATGAAAACAATATTTTTGGAGAAAAAAAAGCGGTTTCCCCAATTTCGATTGAGTTTTTTGGCTTGCAAAATTTTCTCTGCATAATGGCTTTCTCATCTAAAACAATTACGATAACTGGTCTCTTACTTTTATCAGTTTTTTTTTCTGACAAGGACGAATTAGGATGCTACTTCGGTTTTATATCAAGATGTTGCGTTTTTCGAATCCTACCAATTGTGTTGGTGCAAGTTCCTTGTTTCTTGTCGACGCTGCAACTGGCGGGATCAAGACACTCGTTGATGTCCGTGCAGTTGTATCCGTTTCCGGAAAATCCAGGCAGACAGTTACACTTCTGCTGTAGATCCACGATGTCACAAGCACCGTACTGGCTGCAAGGACGGTACTGGAAAAGAAAAAGTTTTTTTCAATCAACAATTTTAACCCTTCTACCTCGCTGTACAGAGTGCCGTTTTGGCATTCATGCCAAATAGTGCAGTTATCAGAAATCCATGGGGTTCCGGCTGAAAATGTTCCGATTATTAATAAAAGGTAAATCTTTTTAATGCTTAGTAATGATTAGCTATGCAGAACAGTTTTAAAATTTGAAAAATGAGGATTCTTTTACATTGTCTCTACGCTTATTTTTTAAGTTTTATAATACAAGCTGACCTGGATGAGAGTATCCGTACTGATCAACGCAGCCACATTGTTGAATCGGAATACATCGGAGAACGGAAGTCACCGTATTGTCCACCACATAGCCTGGGTCGCAGGCGCAGCTGTCAGAACATCCTCAAATTCCATTTGTGTTGGTATATTTTTGTTGAAATTTCTCATACCGTGGTCACAATCAGCTGGGAATGGATTGTAGCAGGACCCTGGACAGGAGCTTGCGCAAGGTTCGTAGTGAGAGTTCAACGGACAGGCCAACGTGCATTTCGTGTCTGTTCTCCAGTTCGGGAAGGTCGCCACTGAAATTTGAAAATTTTCAAGTTGAAAAATGCTGAGAAGTTTTTTTGAAGGTATAGATCTGCTGAAATCTATGGCGGATTCATTAACAAGCTTGATGTGTTTTTCGATTCAAAGAGCTATTTTTTTGAGTTTTACCTGAAGTTACGCGTGAATTTATTCTTTTCACAGTGAACAAAATTTTCAGAATTAGCTACAGTAACGTCAGAAAAAACTACGAAAAAAAAGAAACTCGGGCACAACTTTCTGTTAAGGAGTTCAACTTTCTCGAAACTTCCTGGAGTTGACGGTACTGTTTATTTTGAACTATTTTTGAGTTTCCTGACTTTTTCAGCTTGAAAAACAGTGATTATAGTCAATGTTTCCCGACTTGAAAGGCGAGGGAGGCGTGGCAAGGAGCGGGACGCGTAGCGTGTGCGTTCGCGGTTCTTGGCACGTGTTCAATTCAACCGCCGTCTACTCTTTGAAAAGCCCGTTTTTTGCTTTTTTTCATTCCTTTTTCAATTATTTATTGATTATATCCATGTGTGCATCAAAAAATAGTAGAAAGCATTGAAAAAGAGCGGTTGCTGAGCTTTTTAAATAGTCGGCGACAATTGAATTGAACTCGTGCCAAGGACCGCAACGCACACGCTATGCGTCCCGCCCCTTTGCCTGCCTCCTTTGCCTTTCAAGTCGGGAAACATTGACTATACCAAAAAGAAGGTAGACAGCTTTGATGCAATTTTTGTGCCTGATCTGATACAGATTTTTGAGATGGCAAACAGCGTAAAAAAATTACTAAATCAATGGATTCTCAGAAAACAGTTTTGGAAAGTAATTTTACTAACATGGGAGTTCAGCTTGACAAGCTTGGACGAAGCCGTATAGTGCAGTACAGATAAGTTCCGGGTGTCGACAGACGTCATAAACGCAGTCGTTGTAGATTCCCTTAATGTTATATTTCACTCTCTTAGATTATTCGCATTTACTCATATACTTCCTTTGTTTTAAACTATTCATCAATGCATTAAACTAACTTGGGTCTTTGATTTCAATATCTCTGGATACCCTTCTCGTGAAAGAAAAACTTGACCTTCTACGTGTTCTAGCTTTCTATGATGATCTCGACCTTTGTAAATGTATCATAATTTCCGGGTAACTGTCAACTATTTAGGGTCATCCCGTGTAACGTCATTCTTCTCTTATTTTCTTTTTTTTTTCTTTTTTTAAAGTCTATCATTTTAATTAGAAGTTAGAGAACTATTTACAGTGACTGTTGCGTTGGGAAGCTGGCTACAGACAGCGAAAGGTCCCTGGTTGTTCTCAGCTTGCAAAATCGGGTTGCATGCGATTACGGCTTTTTGGGTGTCCTAAAATTTAAAGAATGGGGTCCAATTTTTTTTTGGTTTATTCACGCATTGCGTGTTGTTGTTGAGGATCTCGCCAGTGATGCAAATCTCTTGACCTTCGCGAAGTTTTAAGAAGTTATCAGTGATCCAGCTGTCCTATAATGTTATTTGGCATTAGAAAAACCTTGCTTTGATAAAATATTCGGCTCACCTGGGTTTGAAGGAAACCTGTAGCGCCAGCTCCATTAGGTGGCTGATGGTCATTGGTGATGAAGTACACTGAGCCGTTTCTGAAAATTTTTCAGATGGTCCATAGTAAAAGTAGTCAGATTGATAACTAATAAGAATCATTTCATCCAGAAACGTTATTATATCGATTTCTAAATTTTGACTCGAACTTTTCTCATTTTTTTTAAATTCAGGTTTTCTTCGGAACCGACCGGTTCACGACGTCGTCATTCCAGTTTCCATCTCTGTTGCCCGCGAATCCACAAAGTGTTTTCTCACCACTGAATTCAGGGATATCCGGTACCTTTAATATTCAGTTTAATCTAAAATCTGACCGAAAAATCTTTTTGGTTCTACAGTGTAGACAAGGTGCACATTTTAACAGTAGACAATCCTAGAGAGGAGTTATTGAAATATATAACCAACTAGATAATTATAGGTAATGGAAAGTTTTAAAAACTGCCAATTTTCCTGTGATTCTACCGTTTCGCTCTTGATATAATACAAACTTTCAAATCCATTTTCTCACCACTTAAAGTTCGATTCGAAGCGGCTCTCAAATTTTTTGAACCGATTTTTAGAAAGCTTTTTTTTTTTGGTAACCAGTTACTTTTTGGGAGTGACTACTTTTTTTGATGTTATACTCTCAGACTTTGGCCACAAAAAATTGAAATTAAGTATACTAATTTTCCTGGTTTCGCTTTTTTTTCACCTGAATGCAAACGGTATACGTGTTTGTGTAGGTCACTTTGACGTTTTGATCGTTGAAAACGAAGAAAGTGTTTCCATTGTATGTGATGGTGATCTGAAAATTTCGAACTTTGCTCTATTTTCCAAGACACTCGTTCATGTCTTGTGATAGGGACTATAAGCGTCTTAACGTTCGTTTTATACGTGACGAAATTTTTCCTTTTGGGCAAACAAAGGAAATCTTCCATACTTAAAACTTGAATGGAAAAATGGCACCAGATAAGCACATTTAAGCTAGCTGATTAGAATTTTTGTAACTCGCTCACTGATCGCAGCTCGGGAGTAAAAGGAAGACAAACCTTCGGATCGGTACTGCTAGGATAGTACCAAGGGAGGCGAACCTGCAGACCATCCACCATCACCCACTTCGAACGTCCGTCGATGTGAACCGTCCGGTTGTAAAAGTCAACTTCGATTTCAGAAACTGATGAAACGCTGAAATTATTTCTTTGAAAAATTGAAAAACGATGTTTATTCACCTAGACCCAGTTGATAAGAGTTCGTTTTTGGCGCGGACCGAGTAATAAGCGTAAGGCTCCACAAGGTTTGTGCAAGGCTGGGAGAAAACGTAAGGACAAGTTCCTGAAATATTATCTGATGAGAAAAAATAAAAATGAATTGCTGGCCTTGGTAGTTGAAATAGAGACCGTCGAATGTGGTGTAGTGCGGATCTCCGTTCATGCAGGACTGAACTGTCCTAGCGCCGCATCCCGTAGTCTTCGGATTGGATCCTGAAAAATAGTTTTTTTTTTCGAAAACTTATGAACGTTGATTTTCAAGACGTACCACTGTAGCCAGGGTTACAAACACAGTTGAGTTGATGATTTTGCACGAAACATCTCGCATTTTTGCCGCAGCTGTTTTGGTTGCAAACGATGACCGTTTGGCAGTTCTGGCCAGTGGTGTTGTCTGGGCACAAGCAGCTGCAAAGCAATTTCAGCCGTAAGAATATGCGGTTTCAGAGGTATTCGAATACTTTGATAAGTTGGGTGTCTTGGAAAACGCCGGAGAAACTCCTTTAAATCCCTAATTAAAAAAGTCAGAAAACGTATACAAAACTTTAAAAAAACTATTTGAATATATGAATAATATCTTCTATCTGGACTCTAATTGCAAACACGGAGCCGTACACTTTTAGATAAACATTGATAAAAACTCATCTAAATAAGTAATTTTGAAGAAACTCGTATGATAATAATTCTGTCTGAAGTGGGAAGACGTAAGGAACAACCGAATAACTTCAGACATTTTTCAAACTATTGAGCAACAAAGTTTTAGAACGACGGGTTTCGAAATAGCGAAAACTAACTGGTATGAGCCGAAAGGATCCTTGGGGTCAGGCACACATGTTCCACCGTTGATGCACTTTGTAGGATCGCTGCAGATGTTGCAGTCCGCAGTCGCTGACACAGCGGAATCGCTGCCGATCTTGTTGAGGAATTTTTTCACAGTTGCCGCTCTTTTGAAAGCGGGATTTTTCCGCGGAGCATGGTATTCGGCGTGTTTCTCCTGTTGGAGCTTGCTGATGATTTCCAGAAGAGCTTCCTTCGATTCGCATCCCAAGCCGTAGCAGTGAGGACTGTAGTTTTTTTTTTCATTTCAAAATAATTGATTTTTTTTATTTTCCTAAGAACTGAGAAATTAGGGTATTGTATTTGTGCTTCGATATTTTGAGAACTTTGCCGGGAAAAGCTTTGATTCATTGAGTACTTGCCCTCAGAATCCAGAACTTGCCTAGGATAAGCCTTCCAGGTTTTTCACTAGTTTCTGACAATTCTCAAAATATCTGGATTTCTAGATATAATGAATTTGTTGACTTGCTAAAATGGAAATATGAACAGAGTTCAAACCAAGAAACTATTTATCGAGCAAAGTCAAACTAACTCGTCAGTAGGGATGCAGGAAACAACGGCAACGAAGGCCAAGAGCAGAAGACCTTGTCGTGCCATTGAGGCAGGTGGATAGCGCTCGGGAATCTCTTTTACTTCCTTTTATACAGTTCTTTATCTTCAGTTTGTTCGCCTATTTCCTGATTAGGACGCTGGTGCATATTATTGACATTTTGTGCTTCTGTGTACGTTGAATCTTCTTTCGGAAACGCCCAACCTTGGGCTCGAGTATGAGGCGATACGCTTTGTCCAACTTGATAAGAACAGCAGCAACTTGATTAATCGGGAACAAAAGAGAACTTCAAAAATGCTTCGAAAGGTCCATGATTAGAGCTTTGCTTGCAGAGAAAGACTGTATAGTCTACGAACTACTGGGTTATTTAAGAGAAAAAAAACATTTTTTCAACGCAAGATTTCTAAATATCCTTTGGATACTTCTTAAGCGGAAGTTTCGACATTTTTTTAAAGGGCGAAGGCGAAGCAGTTCTCCGCGTCAAAAGGACGGTTAGGCATCCAGTTTTTAATCTTCTTCATTTCTTTTTTTTTGCTTTTTTTTTCTTTATACGTGAATTACCATTCTATTGTGGAAGTGAAAGAAAAAAATTCAATTTCAGATGAGTTTACAGACTCGAGCTTCAGCTTCAAAAAGGTGATTTCACGGTTTCAAGCTGCAAAAAATTTTGAGAAGTTAAAGATGTGGATTTACGTTTTTTTTTTCGAATAGCCAATTTTAGGGATTTTGGCTTGCTTTTCTGCTGGGAGAATTTTTATTTTATCATCTGGTACGTTCCTCGTCGTTATAAAAACTCGTTCACCAAAGTTCAAGTTTTAATTTGTTTTCTCCATTTCTGAATCAAACTCGGAGAATTTACATTGGAAGTTTTTTTGATAGCAGATATTATTGCTTTATGACATTTTTTATTTTAACAGCTTTTCGTTCAAGTTTAAAAAAGTCAAAAAGGAAACTATAGTGTTCTAGGCATCAGAAATTAACATAAATGGGTGACATTTCGAACTCAAAACCTGCTTTTCAACACTTCGGATTGTTATTTTTGTCTTAAGTTTGACAGCGCAAACATAAATCCACCTTGGCATTTTTTTCTTTCATTGTTTGAACTAATAAATTTCCTTGTTTTATCAGCGCTTATCAGAGACTCGAAGTTGAGATGAACAGTACCAACTTTTTGTGACACGTGCGAGGAAAAGTCTCGAAAGTTTTATGCAAAAACAATACTCTAGTTGGAACGAAAATTGAACTGTATTTGATAATTTTTAGGCGAAAGCTTTGTCCAAGGCGACGGTGACGATTTTGAAGATGTCGTCTACAGCTCCTTCAGCATTGATCTGTGAATGAATGAATAAGTGTAAAACAAGAAAAAAAATTCTTAGAAGTGACAACAACTTTCAAATATTTCTTACCTTATAGAGTTTTCCTTTTTTCTCGTAGTAATCCACTACTGGCTGAGTGGCGGTCACAAAAGTATGAATTCGTTTTGTGATCGTCTCAAGATTATCGTCTGCCCGACCGCTAAAAAGATGTCTCAGCACTTTAAATACATAGATTGGAAACCTGGTCTCCGCACGGTGAAGCAACCTCTTCACAAGAGTGTCTTCAACGACGTCAAAAAAGATGACGAGCTTGGCTTCTTGGATCTGGAGAAATAATTCAAACCACTTTTGGAGTATAAGAAAAGTGTATGGTGAGCAAATAGTAATTTTCATAGATTAACCGCCTATCAGTATTACTGCAGAATAAAATATGGACTCCCTCGAGAATTTATCATCATTTTCCAGGCTTTTTCTTTGAAAAAAAGTGATGGTCAGCCATCATTTTTTTGTATTCTTTATTTTTGAGCTCTGGAATGAGTACAGATTCTAGATAGAAAACTCAATTTTGAAGCATAAATGACCTATTTATTTCCTTACCTCTTTCTCAAAAATCTCGCCCTGTGCAACTTCTCTGGGATATCCATCGATCAGAAACCCTTTGCTTCCCTTCTGCAAGCCTTTGAGCATAGCCTCCTTGATCAAGTCCAGAACAACTTCCTGGAAAGCTCAATCAATTTTTTTTGAAAAGCAATTCATCCCACCAGTGGAACAAGCTGACCAGCTTCCATAATGGCGGTGAGCTGACCTCCACGAGGCGAACCGGAAGCGACCTGAAATGGGCCGTTTTTGAGAGAGACTGAGATTTTTGAACCTCATCACGGAGAAGATCGCCGGAGGAAATGTGCGTGAGGCCGTACTTAGCTACAATTTTATCACATTGAGTTCCTTTTCCGGAGCCGGGACCACCTTAAAAAGAATCAACACTCAGAAATTTGCTAGACTTTTCTCACCGACAATGAAGAAAACAGGAACGTTGGCATCTTTCAACGGCTTCAAATCAATTGTTTTGCGATCGATGATTGGTGCCTCAAAGTCCAAAGTTTTTCAGTTCTAACCTTTGCACTCACCATTTTCCCCCAAACGGTCTAGTTAGAATTAACCTGGAGAAGTTTGTGATTATTGAGTGAAACGAAAAAAAGACGACGGAATTATGAGGAATGACTGCAGAGGTTGTTGGTTGATTGGAAGAAAAAAACAATACAAAAGGGAAAGCGACGCAGGCTGTTTGAACGTCTAAGTAAACAAAAACAGAAACAGTCCTCTTTGGATTTTTTTTTTCGTATCTTTCATTATATTTTCTATAAACCACACATTTTTCTTCAAACATTACGTCATTCCTTCATGTAATCTTTGCTTTCCAACCGACATTTTTTGAGGCAGCTGCCGTGAAAGTTCAAAATGGCAAGCTTTCAGAAAGTTTGATAACGTTTCGGAAATATTTTTTTGAGGTTATCACAAACATCAGCTACAAAACCAAGCAGCCCTTATCTGATTTCCGTTTCTGAGTCACACATTTCCTGATGTCGATCAGCGAGAGTTACTTTTTCATCTGCTCGTAACCTTTATGTCTTCGAAAAGAATATATTTTGATACGGAACTTAAAGCTATTTTAAAATAAAATCATCCCAATGTTAAAAAGTTTTATTTAAAAGGAAAACGAAAAAATTAAAAAGCATGTCTGTGGATTTGTTCGTTTAGACGTTTTTTTTCCACAAAAAAATTGAAGCCTTCACAGAAACCAAAAAGTTTTGGAGGTGATAAAAGAAACAGAATACTTCAAAGATTCCCAGTTGCAATGAAGAGAAAGTCGAAAATCAGGTTGTTAAACGAAGATATAATAGGAAAGAAGTGAAAGTTGAGGTCGAGAAGGTGGAGAGGATTACCATGATAGAAAAAAGTGGGAAGATACGTGCAAAATCAACAATTTCTCTCAAAACAGCTGTCGCGTTTTTTTCGGCATCACACTGGAGACGAGAAAACTAATCGTCCAAAATTTACTTGCTTCCAGGAAACAATCGACTTAAAAATAAGAGCAAATAAAAATTGTAGTTTTTTTCGTGGGATACGGTCAGGTTTCCGCTTACCGGAAAAACATTGCGAACTCAGGCACGCTAGGAAGCAGGAGCAGTTAAAAGCTATGGAACTCGGCGCACGCTATTGATCCTCAAGCGTAAAACTGAACACACACGGAAATGGAAGAAAAAAATTATAGAGAAAAAATTCGTGGAGGCCAAAATGAAAGTGCCACAAAGATGAGAACTCTCTATATTTTTTTTTGAAAAATGTTGCCATGACTGAAAAAAAACTTACTTCATGAAAATTTCAAAACGAGAAATAGCTTGAATGTAATCTTAGGTCATGCAGAATTTTGCCTCTTTGAAAAGCCTGGCAGAGAAAAGTTCTTGAAGAGCCAATATTGGATAAAAGTGCTCAGATGAAAAAAGGTGTTTTATAAATCTCGTTGAGTCTTTGATTCATTCGTAGCGCACTAACTCAACTGGGTAAGTTAAGAAGATCACTTTCCCAAACTTTTATTGAATTTAAAACCCGACGAAAAATCTATTTGTGTAAGGCAATTTGACCACGATTCAGATATGATTAATTCAACTCGGAAAACGTTCCTATTCCAAAAAATAGCAAGAGACGAGCTTCGCTTACTTGCTCAGTGTAATAAACTTGGGAAATGAGCATTAGTAAGTTCTCTGGAAGCTATGGAAGACGCTTGGCGAGCTCTTGGAGCGATTGCGTCATTGGACGAGCGGATCTGCGGATAAACGCGAGAGATTGCACTTCCACGCGTTTTTTAACATCTTTGGACGAGCAAGCTTCTCGAGAGCTCCGTTATTAGCGGCAAGAGTAAAAGCTTTTATCCGTTTTTTTTTCGAAAATTTTCAATCACTTAATCAGTAAGAAAAAGATACAATAGAGTTTGAGAAAATTACTGAAAAAAGTTCTTTTCGAATTTCCTATTGAACATTTTTCACTTCACATACTCTCATTTATGCTAAATCTTTGATCCAAATTTTTTAATGATACAAATTGAAACTGGAAAGGCTAGCTGAAAAAAAAGTTGCAAGAGGTTAAAGAGTGAGAGAAATTGAAAGTTTCTCCATCCTGTTTTGTTATTTTACATGTAGCTTCAAGATCATTTTTGACTTCTTTCCGACAATTTAAATCCGAAAATGGAAGAAACCACCCAGCACTAGTGTTAACTTTTCAGCAGTCAGTCTCTTTTGTATCGCTGTTTGAGTGAAAAAAAATTGCCTTTTCATCAAGTTCATCGGGTATTTCAAACGTGGCACAACATTCTGTAGATAACCATTGATAGAGAAAGCAAAAAAAACAATTTTAAAAAAAGCGAGTAAATGAAAACAGAAAAGCCAAAAATAACCGAACAACAAAAGAATCGATATGTTCTCATTCAACAGTTTCATTCACATAAAATGTTCATGAAAATATATTTTTTTCAAATGATTAATTCATGCATGTAACTTTCTGAAAACTGAAAATCTTCGGTAAGATTTTTTTCTCTTTGAGCGTCTTCTTTCACGATCGTCGAGTAGATTTTATTCGCATTTTTCGGTCTTCCTGGAAACTTATTTGAATCAAATATAACATGAATAGACAAATGTAAGAAGGTCTTCAATCGAAAATGACAAAATGAAACAATCTTTCGTTTTTTTTTGTCGGATTTGTTCTGATGATTCAGTTTGGAAGGAACCATTTTATAGTTTTCTCAAGAATTTTCTCTTGCACTGACCTTGTCATTTATGCAGCTCCGTTTTGTTCCGTTTTCTGGAAGCTGAAAGGTTTGTAAGCGGCGGTGCCGTCAGGGGCCAAAACAATGCTCTCATCTTGGAGAAAAGCCTCTACGAGCTTGTGAAGGATGTTCTTCGCGAAGACCTTGTTGAAACGGTAGCGCAGCACATAGAGCAAAATGAGACCGTCAGAAGAGAGAAACTCTTTGAGGAATCTTTCTTTTCGTTCCGAGGTCATCCCAGCCTGGAACTCCACCTTATAACTTTCTTCTGAGAGTCGACAAATTAAGAGCATCACTAGATCTTCTCAAACTCACTATTCGGTCTATCTGCCCTGGTAAGAGAGAAGAAGGTAGGAAAACCAATGAAATAATGAATTGCAATGTCGCGGTCGTTGTAATGAATAGGAGAATTACATTCCTGGAGAAGATACTTTTCTTGGAAAAAAATCTCTGGAAAAAAATACCAGAAGTAGAAAACAGTATAGAAATTTGAATTGAACGCATTCAGCGGTGCAACGCAGTCAATTGAATGCTTTTCAGGCTGGCTCAGGTCTGGAACCTGAATTTTCGCGTTTAACTTGGTTATACAAAGAAGAAAAAACCTGGAACTCGCATAATATCCTTACAGGAAACAGTGTGTTTTTGTAAGTTTTATCGGACAAGAGGATCTAAAGAAGTAGTTATCCGTTTCTTGTCACAATTTTTCAAACCTTCCATCCCCAAAGAGGACTATCGACACCCAAAAAAAAGCAAGTCACGGCAAGTTGTAGAAAAAGGTTCGCAATAGACAAAGCCTTGCAAAAGATGTAAATTTCTGACAACCGCAATCCGGAAAACAGGCCAGCTCTACGAAGCTGTAAATCCAGTTCGTTCTAAACACGTGAAGATGAATGATTCAAACATAGCTGCGGTTGTCGTTGCAGTCTCGAAGGGCTGAGATAATGTTGTCGGTCATCCAGTAGAGCTGCGTTTTGCGCTCATTTTCATTGTCGCACGATATTTTTTCGCCCGTTTTGATGAAAAATGAAGGATCAACAGCTGAGAATTAAAATTTGGTTACAAAGTGAATTTTTTTTTATTCTTACCTGTTTTGCTCTGCAGAAGCTTTCGAAGTTTTCCTGGGATCACGAACAGGACGGCCTAAAAACTTCAGAAAACTGTTTTTAAATAGGAAATTACGATCTTTCATACTAATTTCTTTTCAGACTCACTTCAATGCGACTAAATGAGACAAAATTAGTCGTTTTGTTAGATTGTTCAAAAGCTTCTATAAATTTTGGTGCGCACTTCAATCAAATAATTACATTCAGGAGAACCATTTTCATTGAGAAAATCATTCAATCAATTTTCCACTCTCTTTTTGAAAGTTTCTCGAGTTTTAGTCTGAATGACAACTCATGAATGAAATATTCTTTTCCTTATTGAGATTTCAAAGTATCCAAAAATGGTTCGTCGAAGATGTTGCGGTTTCCTAGTATTTCGGAAAAAAAAATTGTATTTTGTTTGCAGTCTTAAAACTAAATTTCTGGATGTTGTTAAAAAATGCATCCGATGACGATTTTTTACGAAAATTTTTCGAAACTTTAAATATTCCTTAAGCAACGTATTATTTGAAGCTCCGTTTTTTTTTTTGATTTTCGATGCAGTATACCGAACAACCTGATAAAAACTCTAATCCAATCTATCCTCACCTGAAAAGCTAGCATTAGCGGCACCCATCGGTAATAAGAATATTTGCGCTGACGGTGCTTATCCGATATTTTTTCATCAATCGGAACGAAGTAGACGTCCGTTATAAAGCAGAAACTGTGCGTGTAAGTCTCCCAACTTGCTGAAAATAAGTAAATACAGTAACTTTCGAATCGAAAATTTGAGTACAGATGAATGTATAAGGTAACCAGCAGCGCAATGGCTCTCCGAGCATATTGTAGCTGACGATTGCGGAGGCGACCACGTACAAAACAAGGGGAGTGACCCATAAGTTTAGTCGATCCGAATGGTCAACTATCTGCAACTTTATTTGGTTTCTGTGCATGAAAATCTTCATTTTTCTCATTTTAAAACTTCGAACCCAATTGGAAAAACACTATGAATTTTGAATAAAAAGAAACTGTTTGAAGAATCCTGAAGCCCCTTACTCCCTGACGATTATTTGGTGAAAAACTCACATTGCGGCTGCCTATAATTTTCCAATGAAGTTCTTCAAATAAGTGAGACCAAAGAAAGGTCGCCATCTGAATCAGAAATGTCTTTTTTTCAACATGGCATCTTCGATATGATAAAAAAAAGAAACAAAATATGAAAACGCCTATTGAAAGCCTTGAAAACGTCACCTTCTACTATTTCTGAAGGATTTAAAAAGTATAATTCTCAAGAAACAAACTTAACGGTCAGGGCAAACACCGGTTTCTGAATTAAACCTATTCACGGATAGCTGTAGGGGGAGCTTGGTCTCTCTGTGTTCATTCCCGAACCAAGCCTTGTTTTCTTTATCGCGTTTGGACCCCTTTCCCGATGGCCCTAGCTAACCATGAATCAGCTAAAAGTCAATGCAAAAAAGCTCGAAAAGTTTGTTTCAAAAGTCTTTTCTTTATTCTGAAAAAAGTTATTTATTGAGAAGAGTAACTCAATAAAGATGCTCAAGAAATACCCTCAAAAAAGAGAAACAACAAAATATCGGAAGCATGTGGGAAAAAGACTGACATTTCAAAATTTCAATAACGCGAACTTCAAAAATTTATCGCATAAGATAGGTCGATCTATCTTGGTCTGATGAGAATTTATGAAAAAAAAAACGGATTGGGGGGAAAGACAGAACGAAACAGAACAAAACAGGAAACATTTCAACCGGGGAACCCTGAGAACCTGGCAGCCGTTTTCTGGGTGGACAGTAAGACCGAATGAAGGACACCGGCTAAAAAGGGGCGGGGCTTCCGGTGACGGGCCTTCCAGGCGGCTAGATCACAGATTTGGAAAGTTGCCAAGGGTTGGCCCTCCGGCGGCTTGACTCGCAGGTCACAGAAAGGAAGCAAAAAAGCTCCTCAGAGGGGAGGCAGGCTACCGTCGAAAGTTGCACGTGCGCCGAGATGAAAGAATTAAACCGATGGGATCCCAAAGAGAACATTCTTTCACCAAACAAAGAACACATTGTTCCGACAAGGAAAAGTTGAACAATTGAAAGAACTACTAGAAATTGAATTCACTGTATACTGTAATCTAATTGAAAAAACGTGGAAATCAAATTAAGGATCGAGAAAAAACCCTAAAAAACCGTTGTAAGACAATGTAGGAATGTAGTTTGTCAGCTTGAATCTTTTGGTTGAGACTACATAGAAATTGGAAAAAAATGGAGTACATGAAAACCAAATACACATAGAAACACATAGGATCAAAAAATGCGAATTTCGGTGGGAAAAGCAGAAAATGACCGTTCAGTACGAATGGTTTTGGAACGGGCTGGGAAAAAATTAAACATTGGGAAATAAGAGATGTGGTTCATCAGATGATAAACTATGCATGTAATTGGATAAAAAACTGAGTTTATTTGAAAAAAGTTTCCTCCCTCAGGGCGTACTTTCCTACATACGTCGAATATGGGCCCATCCATATATTTCCACGGAAAATTCCTGAAGTTCCACACTATTTAGAATAAAAAAGAAAGGATCTATAGAAAAGAAAAATCAAGAATATAATCTATTGAGAAATTGATAACTTGATTTTTGGACAGCTATAACAAATTCCTTCTAGGATTCTCTCTAATACGAACCTCGACATGATTCATGTTTTTCGTGTGAAAAACTGATTCTCTTCGTCTTCCAGGATACCTTCTTCACCGTGCAACCAAGAAGGTTTCGCTGGAGCATCTTCCCCGTTCTGAAATTCGACACAAAATTTCAAAAAAATAAAAATTTAAAAAGAAAGTAATACTTGAGAAGGTGTCGGAAACCTTGCTCAAACACCCGCTTGGTAGCGAAATTGGGATTTGAAATATGATTTCAAAAACTGAAATTTTTTTTTTCAAAAATAAAACTTTTCCTCCAACCGTTGTGTAATTATTTACAACAGAAATTTTTTTTAACCGCCGGTCTTAAAAGTTTCTCGTTTGCACCTGTTTTTCAAAGCAGACATCTACACGGGAAAAATTGCTCAACTTTTTGGTCCAAATTTTTTTAGCTTTCTAGTTAAAGGTTTTTTTCCGATGCTTTTTATACTCAACTTATTTTATCAAACTCTTTTCCTAATCAAAAATAAAAAAGTTAACAGATAAGAAACAGGTAAAATGTGCGAACATTTGAATCAATTCAATAATGGCGCTTGAAATCGATCACGTTCTATAGCCGATTCACAGCTAGCTTTAGACGCTAAGAAAGCGTGTCCTGTCTGCGCACTCCACGAGCCAGGCACTGTCTCGTAAATTGTCGTGTCAAGACCATTTTTGATGGCTCAAGCCAGCCGTGAATAAACTATACTTTTCCATGGAACCTATGACCTATGTATACTCAAACTAACAGTTTCATTTGTGCTGTCGGGGTTTTCTTGATCCATTTCGGGAAAGCCCAAACGTTCATAGATGATTTTGCCGTCAGGAGCCAAGAGAATATTCTCTTCTTGGAGGAAAGCTTCCACGAATTTATGCATAAGATCGTTGGCGAACATTCCGTTGATACAATGCTGCAGAACATAGAGCAAGATGAGACCGTCAGAATAGAGAAATTTTTCGAGGAACTTCTTTTCCAGTTTCGAGGTCATCCCATCCTGGAATCGTACTCTATTATCTTCTCTCAAGGGCTCAAAATATTCGAATAGAATTTGATTTTCTAAAACTCACAATTTGGTTCAAACATCCTGGTAGTAGCCAAGAAGGTAGAAACAAGTACAAAACAATAAATTGCAATGTCGCGATCGTTGTTATGACAATGAGAGCTACGTTCCTGAAACAATGTTTTTTCTAGAAAGAATCTTCTTGAATTACTACCAGAAATAGAACAAAGTATAAAAATGCGAGTTGAACGCATTCAGCGGCGCAACGCACTGAATTATTTGTTTTTCGGGCTGTCCAACTTCGCGAATCTGAAGTTTTGTGTTTCCAAACTTTTCTAATTTTTATTCGAACAAGAAACAAACTTCGAACTTGCACGTCATCCTTGTAGGAAAGAGTGTGTCCCTGTTGAGCTGCTTGGAGAACATGATCTGAAAAGTTACAGCTAGAATTTAGTTGGCGTTGGTTTTAAACCTTCCATCCCCAAAAGGGACTATCAATCCCCAAAAAGAAGCATGTCAAAAATAATTGTCCGAAAAGGTTGGCAAGCATCAAGAGTTTGCAGTTGATATAAACAGCACCCAAACGCGATCCGGAGAACAGCCAAGTACGGCGCAGCTGAAAATTTTGGGTTCTGAAAGTTTGAAGAGATACATTGTAAACGATGCTGCGGCTTTCATTGCAATCCCGAAGAATCGGAATTATGCTGTCCGACATGCGGTAGAGCTCCTCACGGCGCTCTTTTCCAATTTTTTCGGAAATGATTCGACTCGAACTTATAAAAGAGAAGGGGTTCAGCTCTGAAAACAAAGATATGACTTGAGTGAAAAACTTTTGAATTCAACCTGTTTGTTCTTGCGAATAATTCCAAATTTTTCCTGGAACCAAGAAAAGGTATGCCTGGAATGAAGAAAAATATTGAAGCACTTTCAAATATATAGCTTAAAAGTCTCGAAAATAAAGAAATTTTTTTTATGATTCATTTAAAAATAAGATGTCATTTATCCACGAAACTTTGGAGGGCTTCTTGAAAATAAGACTGCGCTTTAATCATTTTTTGACATATTAACTTCTCGAGGAACGGATTACGTATCTTGATACTTCTTTTTGGTATAATTTTTTGTTGATTCAAATTACTGTGAATTTTATTGGTTTTTATTGGTGCAAGATAAAACTGATAACGAAAGGGATGTATTCTTCCGGACTATTAAATCTTTCGAACTTTTTTGAAGTCGATTCGAGTTCAAGCTACGTTTTTCTCTAACAAAATTTGGAAAAGTTTAAAAAATAAAGAAAATCAGTAACTGAGAGGTGCAGGATAAGTACATGTGATTTAGAAAAGAAAAAAGAATTTCAAATAAGTCACACTCAATCAAAACACTCTGTTTGAGTTGTGGTCAGAGATCAAACAGAGTAAAAGCAAAATGGAAAAACTTCAGAATATAATCAAACTCTGAATCATTATTCAATAATTTCCTTTCTAAACATCTTGTCCGAATTTAATTATAAAAAAACAAAATCTGTTTACTTTAAACTTTTCTTAATTGCGGGAATAACGCGAAAAAAAAACCAATGTGAAACTTTTTTATTTACACAGTTATTGCGAGCAAATCATCACGATTTTCGCTTTGATAGGCAATTTTTTCCCAACTTGAAAAGCGAGGAAAGAAGAGAAAGAGGCGGGACGTGTAGCGTGCGCGTATGCGGTCCTTGTCACAAGTTCAATTCAACCGCCAGCGGCTGTTTGGGAAGCTTTTTTTTCGCTTTTTTCATTCTTTTTCAATTCCTCACTAATTTTTTGTTTCATTGTACCATCAAAAATAGTAGAACAACAGGAGTATAAAAAGAGCGGTGACCAAGCTTTTTAAAAGTCTATGACGTTTGAAATGAACTCGTGCTATAGTCAATGTTTCCCGACTTGAAAGGCGAGGGAGGCGTGGCAAGGGGCGGGACGCGTAGCGTGTGCGTACGCGGTTCTTGGCACGTGTTCAATTCAACCACCAGCGACTATTTGGAGAGCTCATTTATCGCTCTTTTCCCTTCTTTTTTTATTTATTTATTGATTATGTTCCTGTGTGCATCAAAAAAATAGAAGAAAAATACAAAAAAGAGCGGTTGCCGAGCTTTTTAAATAGTCGGCGGCGATTGAATTGAACTGGCGCCAATAACCGCGTAAGCACACGCTACGCGTCCCGCCCCTTGCCCCGCCTCCCTCGCCTTTCAAGTCGGGAAACATTGACTATAAAAACCGTGAACTTTTCCGCCTCCGTCGCCTTTCAAGTCGGAGAGGTTCGACTATAATTCAAGATCAAAAAATCCGGTTCCCATGATGAAATAATTATTATCAAAACCAAGTTTACCTGAAAAGCCAGCATTAAAGGCACCCAACGATAATAAGAAAATTTGCTTTGATAATGCACATCCGATATGTTTTCGTCGAGCGGAAGAAAGTATTTGTCGGCAATAAAGCAATATTCATAGGTATAATGGTGCCAACTTGCTGAAGACGAGTAGGTTATTTTCGAATCAAAGTTGGAAATACAGCTGTATGTATAAGGTAACCAGCATCTCAATGGTTGTCCGAGCATTTGGTGGCCGACGATTCCGGAGGCGACCACGTACAAAACGAGTGGAGTGAACCAGAAATTGAGTCGATCCACTTGATCAACGGACTGCAATTTGTTAACTCTGAAGATTATGCACATAGTTTCAAACTTTTTCAGATTTATTGAAAACCAATAGTTTTATGATAAGAAAAAGTTCAAAAAAAAAATCTCGTTTTTGTCTAGTGCGATCATATAAACTCACATTCTGTTTCTGGGTTATGACGTTGTACAATTCATGCAAATGATGTGGCCAGAAAAAGTGAGGCATCTGGAATTATAGGAGTTTGTCTTTACATGATTTGCATAATCGGAGAAACGCAAAAAACTAAAAAAAATAATTTGAGGATTTCAAAAGCTTCAAGTCAGATGACCAGAACATTTTGCGAATTCTCTATAGGACTTGTGAGTGGAAATTTTGTCAACCGTTCAGTACTAGCCATTCAAATCATTGCCCTTCTAGTTGGTGACAATTATCTATGTGTTCAATACATTTTTTTGGAGTTTTTTTTTTTGTTAGTTTTTTGGATGAAAAAAAGGCTCTTAATAACAATTATAGGTTCATATAAAAATACGCAAGATATGCGCTCAGAAAAAAAAAATCAAAAAAGTTTAAACGGAATATGAAAAAGAAGAATGAAATATGTAAGTTTCATTTTAGATTCATCAAATAAAAGCGCCAAAAGTCCATCTTAGTGAAATGAGAAAATATGAAAAACAAGCTTATGGAACATGTTAACAGCATTTCAAACAGAACAAAACAGGAAACATTTCAACCGGGGAACCCTGAGAACCTGGCAGCCGTTTTCTGGCTGGACAGTAAGACCGAATGAAGGACACCGGCTACAAAGGGGCGGGGCTTCCGGTGACGGGCCTTCCAGGCGGCTAGATCACAGATTTGGAAAGTTGCCAAGGGTTGGCCCTCCGGCGGCTTGACTCGCAGGTCACAGAAAGGAAGCAAAAAAGCTCCTCAGAGGGGAGGCAGGCTACCGTCGAAAGTTGCACGTGCGCCGAGATGAAAGAATTAAACCGATGGGATCCCAAAGAGAACATTCTTTCACCAAACAAAGAACACATTGTTTCGACCGGAAAATAGGAAAAGTTGAAGGGGCAAAATTAAGGACCGCAAGGCCACACCCCCTTGTTGACCAAAAACTTTGCATATTTTCTTTTATTTTCCACATTTCAATGCTCCTCATGCTGTTTACCTGAACAGTTTCCAGAAAAAATTGAAGGAAACACACAATCGGCTATGTTCTGTATTTTCTATTGAATCTTGTTTTAATGATCGAATGATCTCTGGAAAACTGCTTGCGGTTCCTAAACAAAATCATTGGAAAATTAATCAAATTTCCAAGCTGCACTAATTTATAAATTCATTTCACAGGGAAAGAAGCCATCGATAGTTATTTTAAGCGTTCAAATTCATTTTTTTATTTTCGTCTTTTTTTTCTGAAGAATTTCTCTTTCATGCAACGATGAGGAATTTTACCTGCAAGGACTTTATGTCAGTGAGTAAAGGATTAGAACTTTCAATAAGATAGCATTTCTCACACGGAAAGTTTTTTTACTTTGCGGTTTTGAATTTTCTACAAACTCGCTCAAACACTCTTTGACAGTCTATATAATGCTCCTTCATAGTCGCTACCTGCGCAAACTTCTAGTATTTGGAATATTAATTTTTTTGAAGTTTGCGGTTAACACGGAATTAGACCCTACAGGGTGGTCATTTTAGTTTTCGACTTGGAATTCTTTATGAGTTTTCTCAAATAATTTATGAAGGTTTTTATTAAAATCCGTCAAAGTTGCAACTCGCGGCATTTTTTTGCTTTGAAGATAATTAGTTTTGAAGATCATGAAATTAGGCCTGAAACCCATTTTTCGCAAATTTGAAAATTCTTATCTCAAAAACTAGAAGTTTGCGCTGGTAGCGACTATGAGAGATATATCTTCCTCTAGACCATTAAGGTTTGTTTGAGAAAATTTGTAGAAAATTTCAAACGGCAAAGTAAAATAACCTCCCTTGCCAGTGATGGCTGTTTTTTTCAAATTTGTTGGGTGGAAAAATGTAGCGAATTTTTTTCAAAGATTTGAAGAGTTTGGAAGTCTTTCACTTTTTATTTTCATGCTTAAGCTTTAATATCACTTTTTTTAAATTTCTTCTGATTGTCTTGATAAGAAATAAGAACGTTTTCCCAGTCACCATTCTTCGATTTCGTCTTGGTTATGAGAGCTTGAGTTTTTTTCAATCAAAAAAATAAGACTCTTTAGTGAAAGTTCTGCAAGTTTAGAATAAATTCATTTTAACTCGCTGAAATAAAAAAATTCGTTGATAAAAAACAATCGCGGACGATTCAGGCAAAAGATTCGTACAAAATAAAAAACAATCCCAAAATTAGTGAACCAGTACAAAGGGTCAACATGTCAGTTGACTTTTTAGATATATTTTCAGGTCGAACAAAACAGATAGGATAGGAAATCGGATTTAGTTACAGAATGTGATGAAATTCTATAGACGGTCAAATAACTGTAGGAAATCAAGGTGAAGAATTGGTGGCAAGAGCGTCGGCTTTCAGAGTCCCTTCTCCAACGTAGGCTGCATAACGGTCCATCGACATTTTACCGCTGTCCTGTAAATAATCCCATTTTTTCGCGTAATACGAAAATATTGTTGCGAGAATCAAAGGGAATGATTGAGCTCGACTCTATTTTCATTTATTCGGTTTCTAAATTTTAATGGTATAATCCTGTTTTTTGGATCAATTTTTCATCAAATGCTTTCCTCTTTTTCCAGTTTTTTTTATTGAACTATCGAATAAATTGATATCGGAGTGTACATCTTCCTTCCGGAAAGTCCCATCCTCGCACGAACCTTGTCACTGACGTCGGTGAGCACTTCCTGGTCAGTTTTGCAACAGTCGTCAGAGTTGTAAACGGCGACTGCGTCAGGCGGGGCTGATGCACCGTACTCCTCATAGATGAAGGCCATGACGATTTTATGCATGAGGTTGTTGGCGAAAATCCCGTTGATGCGGTGCCGCAACACGTAGAGCAAGATGAGACCGTCAGAGTAGAGGAAGTGGTTGAGAAACTTCTGCTTCAGTTCCGAGGTCATTCCCTCCTGAATTCACATTTTACTCATCTTTTTGAACTTCAAACTTTTTGGATCTAAATTGAAATTTTCAAACTCACGATTTGATTCAATTTTCCGGGAAGAAGCAACGTTGGGCGGAAAAAGAACGACATCAGGAAATCCAAAGTTGTTATCGTTGTTAAAAGAATCAATAACAAGTTCCTGAAACAGAAGATTTTTCAATAATTTTGGCAGAAAAGCTACCAAAAGTAGAGCAGAGTATAGAACTTGGAATTGAAGGCGTTCAGCATTGTAACGCAATCAGTTGAATATTTCTGGATCTGTCCCAAATTGCGAATCTGAAATTTTTTTGCGCTACACAAAATTGAAGCATTGAATAAGAACAAACTTCAAAGTCGCAGGTCATCATGAGAGGAAAGATAGTATTTTCGTAGACTTTATTGGAGAAAAGAATCTGAAGATTTACATATAGGCAAGGAACCTTTCTACTTTTCTTCTGAACCTTCCATCCCCAGAATGGGCTATCAACGCCCAAAAAGTAGCAGGTCAGAACAAGCTGTCCGAAAAGATTGAAAAGGGTCAGAAGTTTGCTGATGATGTAAATTGCAGCGGCTTGTGATCCAGCAAAGCGCCAAGTACGGCGGAGCTGTAAATATCTACCGTCCGAGAATTAGTGAATGTTTCCATACAATTCTACGGCTGTCTTTGCATTTTTGAAGGGTCGAAATGATGTTCTGAGACATGTTGTAGAGATTCTTCTCGCGCTCCTTTCCAATCCTGTCCCAGATTTCTTCACCCATATCGATGAAGGAGTAAAGGTTAAGAGCTGAAATTTAGTTTTTCATTTAAGAAACACATTTTTCACTAACCTGTTTGATTTTGAAGGTAATACCAGAGTCTTCCAGGGATGGTGTACATGAGCGCCTAAAATAACATATTACTGATTGATAGTTTTGCGTGCCTACCATTTTCATGACTCTGAACAATTTCAGAAATAGAAAATAAAAATAAATTTGTTATTTAGTTATAGATTGTTCAGAAATGTATGCAAAACAAAAATGAAATAAAGAAGAATTGGCGTTAATTTTTCACGCTGATCAATCAAACCGGTTTGCGCTTGTTGATTTTGGGTACAAAAAAACCAGAATTACCTGCAAAACCAATACAATCGGGATCCAACGATAGTACGATATTTTACGCTGGCGATGTTCATCCGAAATATTTTCCTCGAAAGGAACGTAATACACATCCGAAATAAAGCAGTAGTCATGAGCATAAGCTTCCCAACTACCTGGGAGTTTATCAATTCAATTAATGTCAGATGATTAAATCAGATACCGCCAAACTCCCGAGGCAACCAGCACTGCATCGGGCTTCCGAAAAGTTGTTTGCAATAAATAGCGGTCGCCGTCATGATCATGATGGCCGGCGTCAAGCGCAGGTTCAGCTGATCCGTCGCATCAATTGCCTGAAATTCATCTGTTCTCCTGTTTAATTTCAAACATTTTCTGTCTTACATATTCAAATAAATTTATAATTTTTTTTTTCAAAATTTGAAAGATGGTTTTCTTTTGTTATTATCAGAAAAAGACATCTGAAAAGCCGCCTTTTTTCTCATTGGAAAACTCACATTTCGACTACCCGTAATTCCCTCGTAAAGCGTGTTGATCGTTGGTGCCCAAAAGAACGACATGACTGAATAAAGACAATATTTGAGCAAAATCAAGAAATTGCAAGAGCAAGAAAAGTTCGAAAGTCGAAGTATGAGGTTTAAATAAGAGATTATATGAGAAAAAGAAGACCGTTAATTTGGCAAAATGCTCAAGAAACTAACTGAATTGACCAGTATACCATCTGAATTCCCATAGAGACTTCCAAATGAGACGGTATTCTTAGGTTTTTTTCTTCCTTTTGAAAAAAAGCACTTTAATACTGCAGGTAAAGAAGTTTTAACAGCTTCTAAACAAAAAAATTTGAAAAAAAGACCATTTTTCTTTTTCAAACAATTTTTTTCAGTTGAGAGATGAAAAAATTAGGAAAAAAAGTTCAATTTATATCTGCATGTTACTGGCAAAAAATGAAAGAACTTTCCATGGAATGGGGAAAATTTTTTGAGAATGTGACGTATTCATGTTGGAACATTGAATACGACACTTTATTTAGGTTCTAACCCAATAATCTTGAAAAGATGGCAAAATTTTTCGATCACAGAATCCTTTTTGAAATTATAGATACATAGGAGAGAATTTACTACCATAAAGTGATAATTTATGAAATGCGCAAGGAACAATTCAAAACTATAAAAATACAAAGAGATATGACGGTGTTGGAGGGCGCTGAGCTGAGCGATAGCCGATGCAGAAATGATGCAAAGAGGACGCCAGCCTCCAGAAAGGTCAGGTCGAGGAGCATGGGACTCGCGCGCAGAGCAAAAACGGTGGAGAGGTCAAACCAAATATGAAGGCTTGCCAGAGATACCAGAGGTGAGAACAGCTATGATGTGGCACGGCACATCTCGCGAGTCTGTCTGGGGGATAAAGACATTCGGACAACAAAAGACCGTTCGCCCACGTTCTGGCAAGCCGTCTCAAAGTGCCATTATCGCCCTTTCAATCAGAAGTTGAAGATAACCTTTTTTCTTTTAAAAGCTTTCCACTGGAATTCCGAGAATTCAAAAGTTACAAAATTTCATCATTTCGAAAAGACTTATTTTGTAATTTGATGAAACAATGAGCGTAATTTTCGAGCGGCAAGTAGTAGCGCAACAGGTTGTGGGCCTGTCTACGGTCCACAGGGTCACAAGTTCAATCCCTGTTGCCACCAAACCGACAAGTACATGAAATGTTGGTAGTGCGAAAACACTATTTTATATTAGGTTGTCAACAAACGGATTTCGTTTTTTGATGCTTCAACTTTGACAAGGAGTTTAGGACGATAAATCTCTTTCGATACTGAAATTTTAGATATCTTTTTTAAATTCGACGTCAGTTTTTCAAATTGTACGTAACGGATTTTTTAGAAAAAAATTGAGTGAATTTTCGCCGCCGTTCGAAATTCGCATGAAAGTTGCAGTATTTGCATTGTTTCTTTGTTTGAGTCCAGGCAAAAAAACGAAGCGATTGAGACGGTTTTAGATACTCTAAATGTGTGCAACAGTATTTCAACTAATAATAAATTTGCCAACTAGTAGTCGGAAAAATTCAGAACAGGAGATATAAGACAGCGAAAGAGCCCGACCTTTTTTCAATGTCTCGCTGTCGTTAACTATTTCAAAATTTAAATACAAAACAATGTCAAAAACGACCTTGTTGAAGTCATGGATCTCGAAAAATTTAGGCACGGTGGTAATTTATTTTATTGTAAAAAAATTTTTCTCATAGTCAAGGTTTCAAAGTAGTTCATATATTTTAGAACAGTCAAAAAAAAATTTTCTGGAACAAGTTATGACTGTTTAAAATCAACCATTGAAAAAAAATCCGTTTCTTGGCAACCGAATATTTCTTAGCCGTCAGACACGAAGACGGATTTCTTAGTAGAGCCAATCCACTTTTTATCACTGATATCGGGACAGAACTTTCTTAACGACTTGGGGCGGTAAAAAAGCGTAATAAAAAAACAATAATGTTTTTTTTTGGAGTTTTTTGATACTTCGAAAAAATTCTCAAATGTTATCCTTTGTTGAAAATGAAAATAATTTTTCTAAAAGGTAAAATAAATTTATTCGAGTTAGAAACTGAAATGCAATTCATGTGCTCAATAAATACGAAAAGATCAGAAAGATTGAGCAAACCATGATCACGTCGCGCAAAATGTGCGAATAGCGCGATCAAACAATTGCCGTCGGGTTCGATGGCATCGCTTCTCAAACAAAAATATCAAATGTTCCATTTTTCCAATTGATTGGATTGATAGGATGCGTTTCTTTGAATCATATCATGTTTCTTTGAAACAAACAGAAATGGATTCAGTTTTATTTAAGAATCGGTAAATCAAAGACTGGAAAATCAACAAATTGAGAATTGTGGTCTAAATATTCCGATTTACATGAAAAAGGGGACTTTTTGCCCGTAAAAGCCAATGTTTAGGAGATCAAAAAACAGTGATAGATTAATGGAAGACGCTGGACATCACAACTTCTCCCAAGAAGAGACGTTTGTCGCTGCCCGCCGAAAGTACTGAAAATCAAAAGATAATAAAGACGAAAATGACAAATACTCACTTATGGGTTCTTTTGGATGGAAATCGGTGGCATTGACCGAACCGTGGTGTCCGGGAAGTTTGTAGAGAATTTTGCGCGTGGAGACCTCCCAAATGTAGACGTAACGATCTGCGGAGCCTGCGCTAATATGCGTTCCGTCTGCGGACCACGAGCATTTCAGAAGATTCTGCAAACCAATTTCGAATAGAGTTTCAAAGAACTTTTAGGGTTCTATTACAACTCTTGAAAAATTATCCAAACATTTTCGGTTTCGCGCTTTTTTGAGAAAGACAACATGAAACCTTGTTTTTTGGACATTGTAAAGATGAATTTCAAAATTTTTAATAATCCTTTGCTTACTTTTTCGAAATTGTGTTGATGGCCGTAAAAAGCGTTGATTTGGCGATTTCCAACCACAAACGACCGTACGTCCCACTGACGGACTAAATTTCTTTTTACTTTCTTTCGCGAAAAATTGTCTCACGTGAACAGTCCATAGAGTTACTAAGAATGAAGTTCCCGTTGGGACTCAAAGAAAGCGACGTGATTGTGTCTTTATGGCCTGTCAAGGTGTGGGAGACAGTGTCCCGGCGAAGGTCCCAAACCTTAAAAAATTTTTCATTTCTTGAAGACTGAGAAAGTTTGGAATTACTTTTTGAGCTTTTCGAAACAAGCTGGCACTTCTTGAAAAAAAAACGCCGATGCAATTTTTGTCCAACTAACGAAATTTCAAAAAAAGAAAATGACCTTGATTTGATTGTCAATCCCTCCAACAATAACTTGGTCGCTGGCATCATTAAAAGTGACGGCCATTTGCTGGAATCTGTTTTCGTAGAGTTTGACGGGTTCTTTCTTCCGCATGTCATGAATCTGGAATAGAGTTTATTGCTAAAATGACTTGATCAGTTGCATTCCGATACTTTCTGAGATGAAATGAAAAAGAAATATTTTGTTAGTGCGCGAAATGTTTTCCGAGCTTCTGAAGGAAATTCTTTTGTTTTTTTTTTTACTGTTTGGAGTCTCAGTTTTTTGAGCGCTAACCCATCAAAAACTTCAACTGAGTTTTTCAAATCTTAACAAACTGATTTCTTTTTCTTCCAAACTTTGATGACCTCCTCAAAACGCTCACCCTGATTGTGCCGTCATCTCCAGTAGACGCGATCATCAGATTCCCTCGCCGAGATCCGTGCACAGCGTTTACGATATCGGTATGCGACTTCAGTTTTCTGGCACATTGCCCCGTTTCCATGTCCCAAACTCGAACTGTCTTGTCCGTGCTAGCGGAAATGAGCAAGCTGAAGTAGGATCTCACTTTGGAAAAAACATTTAGATTTCAGAATTATTGCTATGAACAATTTGACGATGGATTTGTAAAAGATTACCTGGAATCCGTGTTGAATTTGACATCCATGACGGCTCCTCTGTGACCTTTAAACACGGAAAAATTTTCGCAATCGCCGTAGACGTTCCAAAGAAAAATCTGAATACTTTAGTTAAAAGGTTATGAAGCAACAAAAAATGGAACATTCTAATAGATGTTTTCTCCAGCTCAAAAAATCACTTTTAAATTGTTATTATTTTACAAGGTTTCCGAGGAAAACTTTATCTTGGAAAAGCTTCACCTGCATATCGTATCCAGCACTTGCCATGCATGTTCCGTCATTGCTAAATTGAGCCGTGTAAATTTCTCCTTCATGGCCGTTCAACAACATGATTGGAGCCTGAAACATGTGTTTAAAAAAGAGAACTTGATAAATATCTACCTGAAGGTTAGAAATGCGTGGAATAGAATCGCCACGCATAGAAGAGGCCAAAGACATGTGTTGAGCTGAAAAACAAGGTTCAATAACATTTAAAAAAATTCAACAATAATTACCTTGAACCAGAGCCATGTTCAAATATTTAACAAGCTACCGGAAAAAAAAACTAGATCTGAAATTTGATTGAATTATAGCGACGAAACATTAGTATAATGAAAAAATGTTCAAGAAAATCCGGCTAGAGAGAAAACGAAAAAAAAAAGGAAAAATGGTTCCGATGTCTTTTCAAACTATCGCGTCTTCAGCAGAGAGACTACGAAGCTCCGCGGAAGCGTGCGATGGAGCGCGTTTTCTTTTTTTTCACAGTTTCGAAATAAGGATTTGTGAAACATTTCTCAAATGCAAATTCCAGAATGATTGATGACCGAAAATAAAAAAGCGAGGGTCATTTATCGATCGCTCTCGTGGATTAGTTATGAGTTTTTTTTTGTTCTCTCAAGTTACTTTTAAAAATGGAGCCACAAATAAAATAGAAAGACGCAAAACAAAAACAAGAAGCAAATCACAAAAAAAAAACTCAGAATAGGCGCAAAGAAGGATGACTTGACAAAAAGCTAAAGAAACGAATCAAAAATTACGAAACCTCCATGGGACAATTATTGAAAGCCAATTTTCTCCTACGCAGTTTTGCTCATTCAAAATATTAGGGTTGCTGATAGGAAATACGTTTTTTTTGAAAGCAGTTTTCATAGTCTTAAAAAAAAATTTCAAAGCTTATGTTTTGATAGAGGTTCACAGCTAAAGCCAAGTGTGAAACCTAGAAGCGCATTAGAATTTTATTTTAAAAGCCCTATTATTATCACACACTGGCTAAATCAATCTCAAGCACTGAAAAGGAAACAATGAGCGTGAGCCGTCGTAGAGTTGCGTTTCTTAAAAATATCATTTATAAAAATGGTTGAAAAACTTGTTTTTTTGAAAGAAAAATTTTGTAATAAATGTTTTGTGTACAAGCGAACGTTGCCTCTGAAGCGCTGACGCGAAAATCTCTTCGCGAAATTTCTGTCGCTGGCATTTGAATAAACGCATAAAAACAGTTGGCTTTTGAATTTTTGACATGGTAAACGATGTCTTTAAATTCAGCAAAAACTGTAGGTTAATATTCAGACTTTCACAAAAAACAGAAGCTAAACCAAGAACAGTTTTTATATCGTCGTTTCTTGGTCGTGGTAGAGTGTTCAAAAAACGTTTCGTCTCTGTTTTTCTTTGAACAAAACAGTAAAATAAAAACACGAGCACTGAGGGGAATGTTTTCATAAAAAACTTGCGTTCCCCATTGATGATCGTTCAAAAAAAAACTATATAACAATCATTTATTCAGTCAAAACAAATCAACAATTATTTATTTCGCCTTCTTGGCACGGATTTTACGAAGGTAGAAGTCAAGTTCTTTTCCTTCGAGGATGTATCCGTCGGCGTGGCCGACCTGTCCAGGGCTCGAGGAAAGACGGGCTGAAAACCACGATATAAGAACAAAGTTCAATATTTTTTCACAAGGAAATCTTGGATGAAAGGGAAGAATATTCACCGAGGATGCGGCCAGTGTGGAATTGTTCAATAAGCAGCGGGTCAACTTCAGCGGTCTTTTGTCTCTCGGTGTACTTTTCGGTGGTCTTGCGGGAGCTAAAAAGACTTCATAAATATCTAAAAAACTATTATTTATCTGAAGAACTGTTCAAATTAATGTCAAAATCAGGTAAGATCAAACTTTCAAAGCATTATCAATGTATTTATCTATTTTTTGACGGAAAAATAATTTTTATTTCATTTATTTCATGTTAATTTCTGCATTTTTTGCAACTTACCGCTTCTTGTTCAGAACGGCGCTGTCTTCGTCGGAAAGTTTGGCGTTCTTCTTGCGGGCGAGAGGCAGAGCGTAGTGCGATTCGTACCACTGACGGAAAGGAGCCGCATCGATCGTCACGATGGTTCCCTTGACGAGCGTCTTGGTTCTCACCAACTCGTTGTTCGTCGAGTTGTAGACGGTATCGACAATACGGGTCTTGCGAGTCGTCTCTGTAAATGAATCATCTTTTTGTATAAGCATTTTTTGAGCAGAATCATATGAAGTTCTGTGATGAAAATCAAAACCACAAGTTTCCAGGTTATGGTTACAGAAAGGTTTTTAGCTCAACAAAAAAAGGAAACTCCGTTTAAACGAAGTAGAACTAAATTTAAGTGTTTAAGCTGGCTTTATATAATTTTGAAAAACCGAGTCGTTTGAATTATTTTTGGGGAAGAACTTTGATGGCTCTTGATTTTTCAGTAAAACAGAATTTTTAGAGTTTGAATAGAAAAACCTCAAAGAAAGCTTTTGTTTAGAGCCAATTGCATTGAAAAAAATAATCCAATTATTTTTTTTACCTAAAAAAATTTTGGCGTTGTAATGAACTTGAGAGAATCTTTCTGGAGTTCCAAACTGGGAAACTAGAAAAAGAATTAACTAACGCTCAGAAGCCCAGGAAAAGTTGCCAGCGTCGAGGCGGAGAGCGCGGTATTTGAAGTTTCCACCGCGGACGCGAACAACGTGAACGCGCTTTGGTCCAATCTTGAAATGTTCAAAAATGTGTTTCATTTAGATTATTTTAAACGAATAATTAACAAATAACGAACCTTGGTGTTAGCAGCGGGGCGACCGAGCTCGAACTTCCTCTTCTTGTGTGGGACCGGGCGCGTAGCTCCAGTCTTGTACCGCTTATGCCACGAATCGCGTGAGATACCCATGCTGAAAATATTTTTTTATGAGAAAGATTGACGAAAAATACAAAAACAACAAAAAAAGATACGTGAATATGTTCAAAGTCAAGAGAAAAAGGAAACTACATTACATGCAAAACTAACCAAAATGATAATTTTTATAAAAAAAATTGGCGCCACCTATTGAAGAAAAAGATGTGGAAGCTCCATTTTAAACCTTTTTTTATGCATCTCTACAAACCTTCAGATTATGTAACAAACAATTAATGAATGAACAATTGGATTTTTTCTCAACTCTCTGTTGAGTTGAGAAACTTTTCAGAATTCTTGACAAGCCTTTGAAACCTATTCTCAAAATACCCCCAATAAAAAGTTTCAAATGATGATAATATTTAAATGAAAATAATTTCAATTCAAAAACCAGAATTGTAAAAACGTTAGGATTCTTGAACAGCAGCGCGGCGAAGGAAAAGGTTACGGTAGCTACTCACTTCGCCGTGCCAGGACCCATTTTTCGCCTTTGTCGCGAAATAATGCTCGTTCTCTTTTTTCTATTTTACGTTAATCAACCTAACTTATTTATTCACTGCCAATAAAAAAGTTTGATGTTATTCTATCGATTCCGAACCTTCAGGACTTCTATCGCAACAGTGAAGAGGTGTGACTCTGCCAAATGAACGCCGAGTCACGGCTCTTTGCTGTAATGATACGGTTCTATTTTCTCCCTTGCAATTAGAATTTGCAGATAGATCTTTTTTTATGATCGAACTCACTGATTCAATATAGAAAAATTGATAAGAATAATGAATCTTTGGCAAGAAAAATGAAGTACATTTTTTTGGGAAAAAAAGAAATGAAAAAAAGCTTTTTTTGCATTCCGTATTTCATCTGCGGTCAGAGAGAAATTTTTGACACCCGCGAAAACCATTTGCTGAAGCTTTAGACATTTTTTGTTAAAGAATTTTAACCGTAAAAGCTTGAGAATTCTGTTTTGGAAATATTCTTTACTGAAAAACCGCATTCAAACTAACAAGAGAAAAGTATGAGGTGAAAATTGCAAATCTAATCTATATTTCTGTGGTAGGTGTTCTTGAAGGCATGTGAATATAAAAAAACGGTCTGCTAAGCGCCATATGGTACTGCAAAAATATCCCATCGCAAAAAAATACGTAAAAAAAGCAGAAAAAAACTGGTTTTCATTGATTTTCCGATTCTGGAAACGATTGCTGTAATTTATTTATTATAAAAAAACAAGAAAAAAAGATTTTTCCGAAAAAAACCAATGATAAATAAGCATTGAGCTTTGCGCGTACAATTTGGGGGGCAAGCTCAGTACCCAGAGGTTTAGCAGCTGATTTTTTTTTCGAGTACCCACACCTACATAGACAAAGTTCAAACGATCTCAAAAAAGATCTTAGAAAGAAGAGCCCAAAGCTCTTTTCTGAGTTCTATAAAGGAAGTCAACAGTTTCTCGGAAACTTCTTTTTTCCGCCTTTTTTTACACCTCCTCGAAAAGTCCTTATAAAGAAAGGTCTAGAAAAAACGGCGCATTCGAGGCCTTTTTTCCGAAAGTTTTTCTTGAGACCTTTTGGACTTTGTCCGTGTACGATCCCCTACCACATAAGTTCAGACCAGATCTGTGATGTTCACTTCAGACACTTTTTCTCGTGAGAAGTTGCATAAATTTTAAAAAAACTATTCAGTCAAAAATTGGAGTAATTGCACTGATAAGCACTTTTTTGAGGTTCAACTTTTTTTACTCTGAAGTTCTGCCAAAAAAACTATAAAAAAATTATATATTCATCTCAGCGGCTGGCTTTAGTGTGACATATCCAGAAAAATTCAATTCCAGACTTCAGCGTTGTTTTCATTATAAAGCACGATGAAACAGATTCAATTAAATTATTCATTTGCCCAAACAATTTGCGCTAACATGAAAATGAAGTTGCTTTTCGAAAAACTGGACTGCGTGAAGATGAGAAAACGGTGATGTCCGGAAATCTGACGGAACGCTTCGTAGAGCTGAACCCAGGCAAAGAAGCTGATAACTTCAGCCACACTTTTACACACACTCTGAAAAATAATAATAACTTGATAAAGCATTTTTCAACACACCAGAGAGTGGAGTCGCGGCTCTTTGCTGTAAAAAGCGTTTCCCTGACACGGGAAACAAAAAAAACGTATCTGAAAAAAAAAACAATCTGAATTATTGATTAAAAGGGGAAAAAATTAACATTTTTCTTTTCGTTTGAAGATTTTCTTAAAAAAATGTTGAAATTGTGACCATTGGCCAGGCTTTCAAAAAGCAAAAGCAACTAAAGAAAAATTTCACTTGAATTTATACAAAAGGATCCAAGGAGCCGTCGCCCCAGCTCGATTTATTCATCTGAAATAAAGATGAAATTTGAACGCAGTAAAACATTAGAGCGGTATGAAATGAAAGCGCGGAAAAAAATTTCAAATTATAGATAATCAACAAAAAAAGCATGTGAGTCGACTAAACTTTTTTGAAGTTTATCATGATGTCCTAAAACATATCTAAAAAAACAAAAAGAAAAAAATGTTTTTTTAAAGAGTTGAACTAATTTTTTTGAGTAGACTAATATTTATGTGCCGGGCTGAAATACTATACAAAAAAAAAAGATAAACTAGGATAAACAAATGAAAAACTGGAAAAGAGCAATTGTGAGCTGAAGATCGCCATGATGACGCCAAGGACCGCGCCCTTTTTGCATATTTGGCGAGCAGAAATTGCAGCTGCAAACTTTCCCGGATCCCGAGACATTGGATTTCTAAACGCCTTATGAGAAATCCTGTTTTTCAGGCACAGAAATGAGGACTTTTATGCGTATGCAGCCTCTCAATTGAAGACTCGTTTCCTCTTGGCTTATGCTACTGTGTCTGAGCGAGCTTGATAATATCCGTTAATAATTATTTAATTACTAGAACAGCCATCTTTGAATTGCTTGCAGTTTCTTTTGATGCGTATTTTTTGCGGAGAAATCTCATCCATCATTCGCTGCAAGAAAATCAAGATAAATTGCAGAGAAGTATGATAATATCTTTACGGGAACTCATGACTTGGACTGGATTGACCATTTTTGAGTTGTGGTCGACTTTTGCCGCTGTTTTAGTTTCTTCTGTATTATTGGTATGTTCCTCTGTATCAATTCTGCTCAAATCTCCAAAAAATACAGGTTATAAAACTCCAACCGCTGTACGAACTGTCCTATTGGATCGTTTTTGCACCTTTGTTACTGGCCTCCATTTGCAATTTCTACTTCATCTTCATAGTTTTGATCCGATCAGTGATCGACTACAAAGATTACAAAGGACCGATACTAAGGTAAGCTTCCGACTATTTTCTTTTTATTTTCTTTTGTTTTTTTGCAGGTTTGCTTTCAACACTTTCCGACAAGTGATGGTGACTCTTTTCTTGATACTTCTCTGCTACAAAATGGAAGGAGATTTGAATCAAAACCAAGTTGCTGTGAAATCGAGTTATGGAGTTGTTTTTCTTCCAATTTGGATCTTAATGGCTGGCTTGGCCATACAAATTTGTAGATTATTTTGAGACCTGTTTCAATTGTCATTTATCTGTTCATTTTTTTCACTGCAATTCTAATTATCATCACAGCTATTAAAACGCATTTCTGAAGCTTTATGACAAAATCCCGGTATACACATCAAAAAAAGTCTATATATTTTTTTGTTCGACAGTTTATTTACTTTCCATCCTCAATCTATATATATATATATATATACATTGCTTAGCTTCAATTATTTTTTTCACCAGTTATTTGTTTTCGTCATATCATTATTTTACCTTTAACAGGAAAAACGAAGAAACGGGTGAAACGATTGCAATTTCAAAGATTATGTTGCCATATTAATTGTACATACTCTCTGTGATGTGTTCTGCAATCGTTTTGAGTTGGAGAAAAAAACACCAAAGAGCTATAAAACTTTATTTACAATGTTGCAAAGTTCAAAGAAACTACAAAGAACAGAAAATGCATGTAAAGCAAAAATTGTGAAAGGATAGGTAGCAAGAGAGTGCCGATCGAAAACTTTTTTTTTTTTGCGAGTATAAGATGATCGATGCCTGAAGGTCATATCGACTCTGGTTTTTTTGATTTTTGATGTTTAATAAATTTTGATTTTGTTGCGTTATCTTCAATCAACGTAAGTCTTTTTTTTCCATTTGAAAGCCAGAATTCAAGAAAAACTGTTCCTTCCAAAGTTAAATACAAAACTTCGTGATTTCTCAGAGTAAACTTTTTCGCGTTGCTTTGCCGAATATAACGAACCTATTTCCGTCTTTTTCTTTGGTAATTACACAATTCTGGTCTAGCTCATGGTGAATAATTGTTTTGTAAGAAGGCTCACAATTATTTCACAGGAACACTGTTTTAAAGGAAGATCGACAAGGATAATCGAAATATTGAGAAGGTAAGTGCGCTCTAACGTGCGCCATCGAAATCGGGATGAAAAAAAAAATTTACGCACACAATTTTTTTTCTCAATTTTTTTAAGAAAGCTGTTCTATTTTTAGTCGAAGAATTTGATTTAAAAGAGAAAGGATATGGCGATGCGTCACAGAAATTAAATTTTTTTCAAGAAGGCTGACAGCTATTTGAGTTTGGAGGCTTGAAGTATGACGATGTTTTTTTCATTTTTTTTTTGTTTTAAACTTTTTTGTGAAAGCATCACTTATCAAACTACTGAATGTTTTTAAGCCTCGGGTGTACTTTTGATAAAACTCTGCTGAAATGGTCTTCAGGACATTTTAAGTCCGAAAAAAAGTCTTACAATAGATCTGGATTTGAGTTAAGCCACTTCATAAACTTGAAAAAACGTTTTTTTGTCATAAATTGCGTATTTGGCAATTTTTAAAGCTCCATAATTCAAGAACATGGTATATTGCAAAAATTTTTTTGGTTTGGGATCTGAAGTAAATTTTAGAAAAAAAAACCATCAAAAACGCTTCTAGTAAGCTGGGAAAACGTGAAAAACTTAAAAAAAGACAAAAAACTGAAATTCGTCGCTTAAAGTTTTCTCCAAAATTCAGAAAACTTTTTCTTGAAGTTTGGATCGGTTAAAAACTTAAAGTTTATTAGTCATTGGAAACTTGTTTTTTTGGTGAAAGAAAATTTAGAAACAAAAAAAAAGAAACGTTTATTAAACATCGAGTTAAGCATTAATATCCATTCAATGGAACAATGAGAAAAAAAAGAGAGGAAGCAAACATAATTTAATAAATACACGACAGATCATTTGTGAAGGAAAAAAGGTTTTCTTTATTTAAGAGAAAGTAATAAAGACAATCAAAAAAAAAACAATCATTTAAAAAGTTTACAAAGGATCGTAGTCCTCAGTCGCAGTGGGTTCCGGAGGGCCTAGGAATTCCTCGAGCATTTTCTGAGAGTCCTTAGCCAGCGTCTTCTTTTTCTTAGTCTTCTTTTTTGCGACATCGTTCCCGTCAGTTTCAGTTTTTGCAGAACTTTTTAACTTTTTCTTTTTTGCAGGAGCCTCTTTGCTCTGAAAAATTCATGAATTTTATTTTCTTGTCGAAAAAACTCGCACCGTTGTATTAATCGGCTCTTTCACAACACTGGAAAATTCTACGGGAAAAAGGACGTCGACGGATGGTTTTGGTAAAGGAGAAGGCAAATTGATTCCAAACTCTTCGTCGCTTGAAGGGCTTTGAGTTCGATTTTGAACTTTCTGAAAAAAATTTTCACTTTTATCAGTAGACTGTGAGTTTTTTTGCTCATTCAATGAATAATTCAATTTCAAAAATAGTTTTTCTTGAAACAAACGATTTTTCCGTTTGAAGTAACATATCTAAATAAGACTAGACTTTTTGAAATGTATGTTACAATCAAAGTTTTTTTCAAAAAAAGAAAAAATTGGTAATGGAATTGCTCAAAGTTCAAAAAAATTGAAAAATATTCATCTTTTTGATTGAGATCTTTGAATAATATTCAAAACTGGTCCTTGATGATAAAAGCAACGCGACGAAAAATTCCAATTTAAAAAACGGTTGCCTGCATCGCAATCTCAAGAAATTTTTTAACCTCAAACTAATGAATCTTTCTTTCAAACACCATTTCGTGTGATTATCAAGTTTTATGCCGTGTTCAATTCGATTCCGCGAAATGCAAAATGATCTCTGACTCTCCAAAATTTAGTGATCTTTTCCTTTCTCTAACGGGTGTTTTGCATTTCGCGGAATCAAATTGAACACGGCATTAGTTTAAATTTTAAAAAAATTATCAAGTTTTAGTTTTCAAAAGTTTCTGTCTGATTTTCAAGCAAAAAAATTCTGGAAACATACATTTCATTTCCAAATATTGAATCAGAAACATAAGCTTACTTCGGTGGTGGAAGAAGGAGAATGGTCGTTGCTTCCAAGCCAAGCATCCAAATCGGCAGAAGTCATAGACAGCCCGAAGTTGTTCTGTGAAACTGGCATTTCAACCAATGACGGAGGATCCTGCATATGTTTTGCAAATTAGAACACGGCAAAGATTCACCTCTGCGGGGTCAGGTATTCGCACAGGTGAGTCGTCATCTATTTCATTGAGCTTGATTTTGTAAGCTGGAATCACACGAGTTTGGAAGCAGTTCGAAGTTTACTCGCCAATAGGAGTAGCACTGCTGTCCCGTTCTTCCTGCAAGCTTCGAAAAGGCTCTTTGAGCACAGGTCGAGGCTTTTGCTTGTCCTTTCGCTGCTCGCCGAGCCTTGCCATTTGCTTGCTCAGTTCGTTGTCCAATGAAAAGTCTTCTTCAAACGTAGCCACCATGTTGTTGTGCATTTCACTACAGACGTCATTTTAATCAAAATAGAAGTTTTGTCAAACTCGTCGCTGATTGCGGCTCTTTCTCGAGGGTAATTTGCTTTCTTCTAGAGCTTCGGTGGCGGTCTCAGGATCCAAGAAGCTTTCTATACTATCGTCGACATTCCCTTCGGCGTTCACAATTTCAAATGAGGTTCGCCTATCAGCAACTGGATGCGCAGCTGAAACAGAAAATGAAGATGATCTTTCAATAAACGGTAATAAACGAGAAACAAATCTTACCATAAGGGTTTGCCGCGCGAACTTCTTGTGGAGAAGTAGTTTTCGAAGTGGGAGCTCTTAAAAACTATTTCATTCTTTCCTTTGAATATTTCATTTTATCTGGATTGAACAAAAGGACACAGTTTTATAAAATATATTTGAAGTTCACCGAAAAAATTTTACGATTTTGTTTTTAGCCAACTCAGGAGCTGTAGTTTATTGTAAATTTGCTCCATTCAATGCTGCCTTGAAAAAAAAAACCCAATCACGTTCCAACTTTTTTTTCCCGTCAAATATCTTCAAAAGCGTTTTCAGATTAGAAAAGTTCAAAGAATTGCGCATGATCGAGTACTTTAAATTATTTCACATCCTAGCTGAAAAGTGAAGGACGCAAATTTTATGCGCATATCGAAAAGAATTTTTTATTTTGCATCACAGCTTTTCCGATTTTGATTTAATTCCACTCTGGATCATTTATATTAAAAAATTATGATTGCTTCCAAGAATTTGAGTGCTTTGTATAGAAGAGTTCCTTGGAGCAATCATGAGAACCTTGGCAAATACTGTCCAGGAATCGGCTGTCCACCTCCCATGACACGTCCAGAGGTCGGAACATGTACCGGTCTCGCCGCCGAACTATTTTTATCAGCGACCTCTCGTCGCCTTTGCGTGACCATTTCGATGAAACTGAAAAAGTAGCTATTATCATAAAACATGTCAGGTATTCTACTTGTCATAGTCGGCCTCAGGTGTCTCCTGATAACAGTCCAACTCGTGATAGCTGGAAAGAATTTCGTTCTTGTTCGTCTCTAATTGCCTTTTCAGCGTTTCTTTCTGTAAAAGTTGCTTTTTTATTGAACAAGTTTTTTTCATTGTGAACCTGAAGGCACAAAAATGGAATATTGAAAAAAAGATGAACGAATTTCATCCCAAAAGCGTATCTCATCGAAGATGGAGCCCACCTTGCTCTAGGTGAACCATCTGAACACGCGTGTCCACTGAAATTCTTTTTCTCTATAGCCTGTGTACCCCGACTTGGAATTTCACCGAACGACATTCCGCTGTGCCGCTGCGCGCCTTTGCGTACCTTGGTCGCACTTCTAATTTTTTTTTCTCTTATTAAGGTACTCTCCTTTCAAGTGCTCCCACAAAAATCACAAAAAAAAAGCGTGACCTAGATTCAAAAGACGCTTCGCGAACACTCGCAACGGAACAGCGGAATGTCGTTCGGTGAAATTTCAAGTCGTGGAACACGGACTATACTTTACTTTATTCACCGATAGCTTGAGACAGTGTCCACTTAGATTTATCTTACGAATCGCGAACAGAAATTCAAAATCGAGTTTTTTAAATGTTTTCTCGATCAGATTAAGAAGAGAAATCTTCATTTTTCTTGAAGCCATGAAGTGGAGAATAACCTTTGATAAAATTCATTCACAACTATCAACATTTAAATGCAAAGTAATACATTTTAAAAAAATCGGATAAATTCACAGGTGTGAAGTTTTTTTGAATCCTTTAAGAAAGAGTTGAAAAAAATAAAAATATAGAAAAAAATGAAACAGCGTCTCAACAAAGCATGAAGAAGCTCTCAAGCATTTATTTTACAATTTTTTTTCAAACTTCATACTCAATCACATGTAGATCAGAATAACCAGGATTGTTCGTTACTGGGTTAGAATCCGAAGGCAACAGAACGTTTTCGCCAAATTCATTTTCCTCGTTGGAAGTCTCATTGAACGCGTCAGTTGGTTTGTTTCCTCGACCAAGTTCTCCACAGCGCCCAATTGAATTCACGTCATTGACGGCGATATTCATCGGTTCCGAAGCCAATATTTTTGCTCGACAGAAAGGACATTTAGTGTTGTAAAAAGTCATGGAAAGCTTCTCCAAGCAGCTACAGCATACTGCGTGTCCACAAGGAACCATTCTTCTGTTTGCTGGACTGTTCATGCAGATGGCACATTCAGCAGTTTCAGCGACAAAGTGAGCACACTCATTTTTCTTTTTTTCGCACCGGATATCTTTTTCTTTTTCAAGGTGGCAAAAGCTACCAATAGATAAAAGAAAAAAGAACAAAAGAAAGCAAAAAAACAAGTTGACACCGAGGCCTAGGCTAATGTTAGATGAGATTTCATGCTTTCCGAAATTGATAAAAACAAAAAGGATGATTGCGTTATTGGCCGTGATCGCTAATAAGCCAATAGTTACACCGATGAAAAATCGGTGCACCTTTGGATAATTCATATTAATGAAGCCACAAGGATAAAAGTGATTCCCTTCGACCTGCAACAGAACTTTTTGAAAGTTTTATAAGGACACATTCATACCTTTACTGTACCAAAAAATATTTGATAAGCAGCCGCGATGAAGTTAAAAAACATCAACATTGATTGAGCTTTGACGAAAAAAATGACGATTTCCATTTCCTCAGAAATCATGCCGAGAGCGGTTTGAAAAAAATCTGAGCTGATTTTCATAAAGTCGCGCTAGAAAAATAAATACTCTTGACAATTTAAAACCTTTTTATTTTAAGAATAGATTTTTTTGAACAGTTTTTTTCAAAGGTTCAAGGAAGAAAAAAACTCTGGAAAAATTTGAAAATTTTCCCAAATTGCAGGTTCGGAAATGGAGCCAAAATTTCTCTTAAAAACTCTGAAAACATTTTAAAATTGGATGGATATCTCATCCTTAAAAAAATATAGATCTCATTTTTTTAGAAAAATTAAAAAAACTTCCGTTGATCAGACATTTTATCTCTCTTTTAAGCAACTCATAAAGTTAGCAAATAATCTGCCTTCAATTTTATCCAACCCTACGAATTACTGAAGTTTTAACTTTTTCAGCAGAAAATCCTCCTAGCTTTTCGAATGCAGCAAACTTTGACACAACTGAAGTCATAACAAGCGTTTTTTTCGGTGGATAATTATATTAAAGAATGTATTTCTTACTTGATACATTTGATAAGATACAGATGATGAAAAGACCCAATACAAAAAAGAGTCTTATTATTATAACATGCTGCGGCTGGTCAGGTTGTATTGAAAGAGTGTTCTTCCAAAGATCCTAAAAAAAAAGCCTGTGAAAAAAAAGTTTCTTAGAAAAACTTAAATTCACTGCTTGCATTTCCTCCGAGGGAAGTCGTGTTGACCAATAACGACGCATAAAAGTCGACATCTTGGACGAGTGCAGAACTCTTTCAAAAAGAAACGACAAACTCTGCGCGAAAAAAAGACTTTTTAAAAATTTAAAAAAATTTACAGGCAAAAGGCAAAATATAATGTACAAGAAGGTAAAGGAAAAATAGCAGCTAAACTCGCAATGAATACATAAAAGGCAATCAAGGCCGTCAAGAGTCTCTGAGCCAATGATAAAACTTTTGCCAGAACAGTAAACTGTTATTATCGAGGACAAGGTGCATTCAGTAAAGTGCTTTCAAAAAAGAATGATAGGGCTCCTTGCAACTGCGTCAACGACGGCTGTATCATTGTGTCGACGTGGCTACGCTATCGCCAGACAAAGAAGCAAAGTATAAATAACAAATGATAAATGCAATAAAAAAAACAAATAAAATAAAAATGAAAGCTAAATGTTAATAAAAATTCAAATAAATACATTACGCATCATGCAATTTCTGCTTTGCGAGGTTGAGTAAAATCTTTGAGGAAGCATATGGAAGCCTGGTTTCCTTTTGAACATATCGACCTTTTTTCTTCGAAGCTCTGACAAAAGCCTTGAAAAATGATTCAAATAATGACGGCAGTTTTGATGGATCTATACTTTGATTAAAACTACCTCCCGGAAAAAGAGTTGAATGAACAAGTAACCTTTTTTTCAAACCCCTTGATATTGTGAAAATCTTCGTTCAAAAAAACGTCTGAAGTCAGCAACTAAAAATATGATTTCATGTCATTTATTTCAATTTTTTTATTAGATTTTTTTGTGCTTTTGTCGTTAACCAAGTTTTTTTCAACTTACACAAGTTTTTTTAAAGTGAGAAAAACTTGAATTCCTAGAAAAATTCAATAAGATAAACGGTTTGTTCCCTGTTTTTCTATCATGAACATAAGAGAGTTAAAACGTCCATTTCGAAAAATCTTTGAAGTATTGATGAATTCATAAAAAAAGAAAAGAAAATTTTGTAGTCTGTATATCTGATTTCCCTTACCTATTGAACAGATCGACAAAAGTTGAACATTGCAGATCTGTGATTTGCCTGTGGTGACCCATATCTCGACGATTAGCAAGAATCAGTACCTAGAAAAATTTTTTTTTTAGATTATTCCTATAATTCACAATTACCGGTATATGGCTTGGAACAAGAACAATCTCTTTTCTGAACATATTCCCACGTCCAGGCCTTTGTTATGTCAAAAAAACAAAAAAATAACGCCGTGGGTTCCTTTGTAAACGTCGACGAATCGCGCATCACACGCCGTTTCTTCAAACTTCTGAATTCTGACATTTTTAAAAAGGGTTAAAATAGAAATTTCTAAAGTAGAATTAAAATTTTTTGTTTGAATTTACGCAAACAACATCAAAGAGGATTTGTTGAAAGGCTATACATTTCTTATGATAGAAAAGTTGTATGTTACTCACGTCAGTTGCGTTTTTTTGATCGCCGCTGGTGTTGGCCAGTTTCAATTTGTCATCGCGCACTCTTTTTCTTCGTTGAAAGGTCCACAATGTCCCAAACGTCGACTTTGACAACATCATCAGTGGCTCTGTAGTTCCAGTGGATGTTGGCAACCTGGAAGAAACATTTTTTCATTTAGAAAAAGCTTAACTTTTCATGAATCTTTTCATTTTTTGTACAGTTCCTCAACAACAGCTCGCTTAACATTGAAATGATCTCAATCAAAACGAAATAAAAACGCTTTTTTCTCAGGGCCTTTTTGAAATATTTGCCAATGCATTATGCAACCTTTTCTCATTTTTTTAAATGTGTCCTTGAAAACTTAACATTTTATAGCTAAACACAAATCCGTCAATTACAGTTTACAAATGCTGAGAAGAGAAGCTTCAAAAAAAAATTCCAATAAAAATTTTTACTGCTGTTGCGTGTATCGAAAAATCACGAAATAAAACCGTTTTCAATACTTTTTTTTTGCAGAAACAGAAATTTCACCCGAGACTTTCGATCACAGTTTTCCCGAAAGAAAGTGAATGAAAACCTGAATTTCTTCTGTCGAGGTGTATTCTTCCTGGAAGGGAAGTCCCTGGAGACGTCGAAATAAACAAGTTTTTCCCACGTTACGGTCACCACGAATCACTATTTTCACTGAAATTCATCACTTTCATCGATTTTGAAGAGTTAAATTAAATTTTTTAGTTTGAATGAAAAGAGTGATATTATATTGAAGCTTACAATTGTACTGAACTCCTCTAGCGTATTTCTTCTGCAATTCGAGGTCGACCCGTTGGACTCCTGCGGGCATTTGAACGCCCGGAAGACCATCTTTATCTCCCCCAAATTTTCGGCGTATAGCCGATATCATCTGTTAACCTGAAAAAAATTTCTCTTTTTTTAAAAATCAAAATATTCAAATGAAAATCCTTGTTATAATTTTTGAAAAAAACAGGGAAACCGCTCTAAAGTACTCATTTAAACAATCCAATCCGATTTCAATGAAACTTTTTAAAAATGTTATCAGTATATAAAGAAAATTATGAAAGAGTCTATGAAAGTCGGTCATATTTATTCAAAGAGAAACATAATTTTTAGTCCATTTTTGGGCTTCGTCTCGTCTTCTTTTAGCGATTTTTTGGTTGGCTTCATCGCGGTCATTCGAACTGCTCAGAAATCTATTTATAATTCCGCAATTAATTTTTGAAGCAAAATTCAAAAAAACCTTCCTTTTATAATGATTGCTTGATTTTTTCAAGAAAAACCCTTTCGGAAAAAAATAAGTTGCGTGTTTCAAAGTGTGTAGCAAGTTTCAATTCAAATAGGAACCGTTTTTGCTGGTCGATTATGAATTGATGGAGCTTTCTACAAGTATACTCCAGGTTCCGGATGTCAGAGGTTTTTCACCATTTTTTTTCTAGTTCAGTAGTTTTTTGATGTTTTTGGTTATCAATCCATTGGAGTGAGTTTTTGACGTTTTCATAGTGACACAACTTACGTAGACTACAATAGCGATCTGGTTTTTTTGAGGAATGGTAGAGCGAAGTATATATATAAAGTACAAAGTTTCATTAAACTCTCAATGTTCCACCAGCTAAAAATGCTTTTTGTAGGATTCTTCATAATTCCTCGTTGACTATGATTGTAGGTATTAACGGATTTTTAACATTCGGACGAAATTGTGATATTTTTATAAATCTCAAAAGATTACAAATGATTTAAAAATGAACTTTATCAAAAGAAAGTGTCGCTCTTTGTTCCGCGGAATCGAACGAATTTTGTTTTTCCACGTCGTTATCTTTTTCCTACCGTATTGACCTCAGTCTTATCGTAGTCACATGCTCTTTAGCCACTACTCGGCAGAAAATGATAGCCATAAAAATAATTGGTAAGCTGAGGAAATTGGCCCAGCACAAAAAGAAAAATTCTTAGAAAAAACCAATTATTATTTATGATTATTGTTGAAAAAGCCATTCCCATTTCAATTTTACACACACGCAAACAACCATGTTTGTTTCTGCTCGTTGCTGTATTTTTCCAATATCAGGGCAAAAAAATAATTCAACTGAGTGGTTTCGTAAAATAATTGAAAGGGTGAGACATAAAAATATTTTCTGAGAGCGAAAAAATCAAAAATTTTGTTCACGGGTAACAAACAAAACGTGGGTGTTGAGAACGAAAACCATTCAGAAAATTTGGAATCGAATTATGAATTTCGTATAAATAGAAACGGAGGATTGTCCCGAACGACAACGACGACAACCTTCTGAGCTTCTTCGCTCCATGGCACTTTCTACGATTTGGCTTCGCTTCTGAAACTCATATTTTGACCATTTTTTTAAAGAATTTGTGTTCCTTTTTTTAAGTTACTCTTTTGCGTTCAAAAAAATTTTTTTTGCGAGTCCTAACATTAAAGGTAAATTTTTTTCTGATTTGAAAAAAATTGTTGCAAACCGATATCCGAAATTTTTAAGTTCTGATAAAATTGAAGCGAAAAATTTTTATTTTCGTTTTCAATTTTTTTCTGAGAAAAATGATATAAAAAAAGTGTCTTTTTCAATATAAAAACTTATGACTAGGGAAACAAAAAGACGCCAGCAATTATCTATCAGAATCGTTGAAATTTCTCATGAATATTACTCGAAATCTTTTTTTCAGTAGTTTTTTTAATAAAAAAATCAAAAGATGTTTTGAGAATTTTTATTCCAATTTGTCTGTTTTTTAATCAACAATGCGCATGCAAAAAAAATTCAATAATTCTCAGTTCCTTGATATTCAAAGTTTGAAGAATTTTCAAATTCGACCGGAGGATTTGTTGCAAGAAACTAAGAAACCCTCATTGTTGCGATTAGGAGTGTTGCAGCTCTTCTGTCTAAACTTTTTGACACATTCGTGAGCCCACGCCATGGTTTACAAATAGTGTACAAAAGAAGAGAGCGCATGGTAGATCAATTTGGTCAAAACAGGGGTGCGCGGCAGATCTGGATTATCGATTGGCGTGCTCTAAATAAGGATGCCACACCTTTTTCTTCTCCAATCGCATGAGTTGTGGTACAACTCCAACTCCAGACTTTCTTTTTCTGACTTTTTGTGCCAGACAATCCCAAGGATTCAAGAGTTCACGTGCGTCACTCGGCACCCTTTCTGAACACTTGAACTCTCTGCATCAGCCATTTTTCCCATCGCGTGTTCTTCTTCCATTTCCAATTTTGCGCCTCTTTTGACTGCTCCGTATATAAGGCAAACGCCGCCGGAAATCTCATTTTTTTCTTTTGCGGCCTTTGCTTCTTCGACACCGATAATGGTTAACGAAGCTGGTGAGCTCGAAACTTTTCCCCGCGTCAACTCTTTTCCCGGGGGCGCAAGAGTAAGTCCTCATTCGAAAGACTGAAACACTATAGCTGTTATTTACAGGTCAGTTTGCGGATGTACAATGGAACGGAAGAAACAATCGAGGTGTTCTGGATGAATTTCAGGGTAATTACTCAACCCCAATAGTTATTTCACAATTGAGCTTAATTTTCAGGGTTTCCCAATTTTCTACGCTCGCCTGTTTTCTCACGACCATCTCACTGTCACAACCTACGAACGTCATCCTTGGATTTTCCGTCGCAAAAAAGACGGATTGGCGTTGACGGTGAACAAGGAGAAGGTCAGTCAGACACATTATACACTTCCGCTATTGGAAGCTTGAAAAAAAAAACTCTGAAAATACTTTTCTTACAAGTCTTGTAGTTGACCTCAATGAATATTTTCTCGAATCAGAAATAAATCATTCTTCATCAGAATTGTTTAGATCTACATGCCGGTTCCGGCGCCACCTCTTGAGAATCCTGACCCGTCGACGGTTAATTACACAAACATCGAGATAAGTCTTCCAGGCAAGCAAGTTCAAATTGAAAAGTTTTTGAAGTTGAAAGTTCAGTTCTCTCTCTTCTCGAACTCAGCTCGCGGAAACTGATGGCTACTGTTCCAAGAGTGGTTATCAGCCAGCTTGTCCCAAAAACAATTGTCGTGAGTGTTTGAATGAAGTACTGAAACATAACTTCGTTTTCTCCAGGAATATCTGGACGATCTCTACCTGGAAGAAGCGCGCTACACCATGCTGAGTGCTCTGCTCATCAATCGTCATACGCGCAATGTTGAAGACCATGAGCGTAATTAAGTGTACATTGTTCCTTGCCCTTGTTTCTTATATCCCACTCTTCCTGTTTCATTTGGACTTTTGATGAGAAATGCATCTGATTCTTGAACTCAAACTTTTGTAGAAAAATTTTCAATTTTGCTGTTTCCAAAACAGCCAATTTATTGAACGAAAAACCAAATTGTTTTAATCTGGGTTCATAATCTTCTTTGTAGTACTGTTGAGCACTTTCCCTTTTCTTTCACTTTTTTTCAAACATCCATTCTATTGCTTTGCTTTCACCTTGTTACGCGTCGCACACTTTCTAGCCATAATTCTTGTTTAATAATAAACTTTCGGGCCAATGATAACAAAACTTCTTATTGTGAAAGACAACAAAACAGTCAAAAAATCACTCTTTTGTGATGCTGAGACAAAACAGAAATGCAAGAAATCACTTTTTTTTTAAACTTCTCAACTAAGAAAAAATATTTCTCTGTCATGACTTTTTTATTTGCTGTTGAAAAAGTTGAATAGGCAGAACACAGGAATTCGCCACAAATGTGCAGAGATGTATTGTGAAGTTTCTTTTCTTTGTAACATTTGAATGGTTTGTGCTTGAATAAAATTGAATATATTTCAAAACGCACTGATCGAATAAATGAAAAAAAAACTTTATTGTGCGAAAAAAAAACAGAATTATTTATGTATGTTTTCACATTGAACCTGTGCAAGAGATCACATCTATCACATGATGGAGTTTTCTGGGAAGACCAAATAATGCTGGGATAAAAAAAAAGTTTTTCTGGGAGCAAATAAAAGTAGGGTGGAAATAGGGTAAAAGTAGAATATTGAGTAGATAAACAGCGAAACGTCATTTTGTGATTTCTTTCTTGACTAGGAAAATTTGTTTAATTGCAGGATTTTGTTGTTGACTTAAATTCAAATAAAAAAAGCAGTATTTAAAAGGTTTTCGCAAAAAATTGTTGAAATGTACTATGAATGAAAAAAAATTTTGTTTTACATTTTTAGTTTGTCGATTTATGACGTCAAATTCTTACTGAAAGTGTGCAATTTTCTCAACCTCAAAACTGAAATTTAAGAAAAAAGCGAAATTTTCTCTGTGTTGAAACACCGTTTTTTTTCTCAGCTAAGCAAGTTCACAAGCATGCAAATTCGTGTGGAAATAAACACTCAAAATGACGTCTCGAAATAGATTTCAATACCAACAAAAATGGAAATCCATGCTACACTTTACATTTTTCACAAAATCAACAAAATGTGCTCTGAAAAGTGAAGAGCAATTTTTTAACGGAAAATGGCGGAAAGAATCGCCGAGACGCAGGTTGCGAAAAGTGCGATCGCGATGTAGTTGCCGCCTCTGCGTTGCTTTTCTTCCTCGATTTCTTGGCGCAAATAATTGATTGTGCCTTCCAATTTTTTGACTTTCTCGCGCAGACGTTCATTCTGAAATCGAAACTCCCTAGAAAAAGAAAGAAAAGCTCACATGTATTTTAGCGGTGGTTTCGGCAATTTTGTCCGTGATTTCTGGCGTGGCTGACAAAGCTCCAAGACTGTCGAGAATATCGCGCACGACATAATTCTTCACAGCGGTCTTCAAACAGCATGCTTCTCTGCACAGAGGACATGCGAGATTCTGAAAAAAAGAAAAAGTTAGTGTGATAGGCGAAAACGAAACTGTGAACATTTTTTCCGGAACAGATTTTGATACACGGGCTGAAAAAAAAATGATTTTTGACAGACTGCTCAAAATATAGCGATCGTTTTGAAATATGATCCACACATCAAAAAAATTGAAGCCCTAAAGTAAAAATTCTGACCTTCTCTCTGGCTCTGATGCCGTTATTTTCACGGCGAACGATGGCTTCGAGACAGCTTTGGCAGAACGTGTGTCCGCAGTATAAGTTCAACGGAACGTCGAGGTAGACGGCGTAACAAATCGGACAACGAAGTGCCAAAGAATCGATGATGACGTTTTCTGCATCTTCCAGCTGTTCGAATTGCTGAAAAAAATAAAGTTCAGAGCTGTTTTTCAAAATAGTCGTTTTAAGTTTGTGAATGACATAAATTTTTTTCACACAAAAAGTAAACTTTCAATTGAGAGCTTTTGATAATTTTTTTTTCTACAAAATAATAAAGATGAACATAAAAAAAAAGAATTCGAATCTATGCAAACAGTAAAAACTGAAAACAAGAACCATCAAAATAGAGTCGAATGATAAAGACCAACCTTCACTTGTTTGCTTCTCGGGTTCGATATTTTATTGAATAAACCTTTCAACAGTGCTGCCATACTTTAAAAGTTTCAGTCGTCAAAAACAACAAGGACATCGATGAGGAAAATTTTCCATGGAGCGCATTTTTTCTCAATCTTTCCTTTTTTCGGGTTAAGAAAGCAAACTTTTTGATCAATTTTATTAAGTCGGATATACTTGAAACCGGCTTGATTTATAAACATTGACATAGCACAGATCTCTGTGAACTTGAATAATTTTTGATTTTTTTCATCAAATTCGTGACGATAAATTATCAGAACGAGTCCTAAAAAAGGGAGGATGAAGGAGGAAAAAAAAAACTTTTCACGACTATTTTCATATTTTTCAGAACAAATATATTTAATCAAAATTTTAGATTGAAGGAAACTTGTTAGGTTTTCACACTAATCTGTGGATAAAATATCATTATAAGATCAACATTTTGAGTAAATTTCATTGTTATTCTGAGTTTCCAGTGACTTCTCTGGCGCGGAAGAGAGAAGATAACAGTCATCTGTAGCTTTTCTTGAAGAACCTTGAAGGTACACAAACGCTTCGCAGAATAACTGAAAAGTGTGATTACTTGAAAGTGGAATTATTATTTAATTTTCAAAAGATTTTACTTTTTTTTATCAAATTTTCATATTATCAATGCAAAACATGGCTCCATGAAGGTATGAAAGTTTCTTTAATTTTATTTTTCATAATTTTCTTTCGAAAATCCAGATCAACGCTCAATTTTCACAGCAAAGGAAAAAAGAGAACCTTACCTGCCGCTTAGAACCAAACTTGCAAATTGAAGCACAGCTCCTTGGGGATCCCGCGTGGAAAGTAAAAATTGTTAGGTTCTGCACGGTAGATAAGTCGATATAACCGATAAGCTTAAAACCGAGATCACATCCTGAAAGAAAGCTGATAATCATAAAATTCGAAAAATGGTTGTTCAAACTGAGTTACTTCGAAAAAACTGGAAATATCTAGTAAAGCTACACAATTTCACAAGATGTCCCTTACCGAGAATTTTCCCAGAAACAGAAGATTGTTGTGGAAGAACGCCCATGTCCTCTTCAGGTGAAAATCTTTTCTTAAATGTTTTGAAACTAATTCCTTCACTCAAAGCACTATTTTTCAAGATTTTCCAAGAAAAACATCGAAAATTTTTTCATGAACAAGTCCAAAACTGATAAAATTTATTGAACAGTAATTTTGCGGCTTCAACGCACCATTCGAGAAGAACGGGGGCCTGAAAATAAATGATTTTCCATGATTTTATTGAGCTATTTTACTTTTCGCCGTGCATCTGCACTTGAAGGTTTTTCACATCGGCATTCCGTTTGATTTTCCCATTTTTGTGAGCCGGTTTGTTCCAGAGTGTATTTCCTGCGAGTTCAGTTTCCACGTTTTTCACACCGTTATTCTGGAAAAATTCCTGCTTTCTTCCAACTTTCAATGTACGAAAATTTAGGGCGTCATGAATGAACTTTTAAGCTGCTGCCAAACAATCTCGGATAAATTTAGAGCTGTGATGCATATGTACGTAGTCCTTGTACTCTTATGGAACGCTTTTCTCTATGAAAAGAAGCGGCGAGAGAATTTTCATCAAATTGGAACTCCATGAAGAAATCCATTGAAATAAGAAGAATGGAGGGAAATTGCAAGGGAAAAACCCATAAATATTCTGATCTAAATTAGAAAGCCTTAGATCTGGGAAGATTATACTGAAATTAGCTTCTTTTTTGAATTTACCTCGCTGATTTCAGATTTTCCCTCGAATTCAACGTTTACGGAGCCGTCATTGTTTTCAATTAGTTTTACGACGGTGGAATTGTTGCGACTAATTGTCAACGTGTTGTTTCCTGTTATGTTGGCTGACGTCACCACGTTGTTGAAACCTTCGTCGAACTTTTCAGTCAAGTTTTGAAAGTTTTCTTCTGAATCCGGAAATAAAATGAAGCAAGATTATCAGAGTAAAAAAATCCTTTTAAAAAAGGCTTCTTCTCGTCTGAAATCAGGAAAACGTTTACCAGGCAAGTTTTCCGGCGTTTCAAAAGAGCAACTCCTGTCGGAAGTCGAGAAAAACCTGGCAATCTTCTGCTCGGTTACCTGAAAAATTATTACAAGAATCATTTTCTATAAATAAAATTTATCAACTGTTAATAATCCTTTGGCAAAGTTTTTTTGGTTCGAAAAACTTTTTTTAGGTTCAAAAATAACATTGAAATCGGCTTTTCAACTTGAAACTCCCTCGAGAACATTTCGAAGCTACTCTAAAAGAGTTTTTCAAAAAGACCATTACTCACCTTCGATCAATTGCAGAGTTATTTCACAATCCTCTGTCAGATTCAGACAGCCGTTTTTTATTATCGTTGCGTCACCTAAATACGGTAATTAGCCGAAAGGAAAACTCCATTTTTCCTTCTGAAATTCGATTAGGGTAAACAAAGTAATTATTGTGATATATTTTCAGACCCACCAAATACTGAAGAAACGGTGATGAAAAATAAAAGAAGCAGTGGAAAAATGGTCATTTTTTCAAAAACTGCGTGTAGAGGAGTACGTGGAGTTTTGGCTGATGGAACGGTAATCCGACTGTTGTTCGAAAAAGGCAGGTTTTATCCGTTTCAATGACACGTCTTTTTTGAACTCTCAAATCGGTGTAGTTGATGAATCAACAAAGTTCCCTGACACGTGAGGTTCATTTAGTCAAAACTTCGAAAGTATCTGTAGAATTGCACTTTTTCATACTGAGGTTTTTACTGCACGTGTGCAGAAAGTAAGTTTTTTGACATATCCCAAATATTGGGTAAAGTGTTGAGTTTGAAGAAATTTGAAAGCTCCCAAGGAAAAAAAAATGAAGCAAAAACTATTTGAATTTAATTTTTAGTGAACGAGATGTGTAATATCTGCTAACTTGGATGTGACACTCAAAGGAATACATCTGAAAACTTTTAAAAGTTTTAGTGTGATGAGATGTTTAGGAAGAAAAAAAGCTTTTTGGTGATTATTCCGCCATTGTCTGGTTGCATATGGCAAAAATATAATGTTTACGCAGAAATCCTTCGGTTCCGATTCAAGCTTTTTAAAACATCGTTTGAGCTATAAATGTGTCCGGGTACCTGTGAGGTTGACCATATCCCGTGAATTTTTTATTCTTCTGCCCATCCTTCATTCATCAAATCAATCAATCAAATCATCAATTTTGTTGTTTAATCGGCTGGGAGGTGAAAAAGAGCTTTCGGAGCTATTACGAACAACCTGAGCGTGTTTCTAATGTTCTGATCGATGGATCCCGTTCTTCTCTTACTTATCTCAATACTTCCGGTGTCCTTCAAGGAACTGTATCTGGTCCTTTGCTTTTTCTAATTTTCATCAATGATATTGTTAACTACATTGACCATGAAACCTCAATCTCTCTGTTCGCTGATGATATAAAAATTTACAGTTCTAACCCTGAATCTCTCCAACGTAGTATTAATTCCATATTTGAATGGTCTTCCATTTGGGGCTTGCCTCTTGCTGCGCACAAAACTTTTGCTATCAACCTTGGTCCCCTCAATCCCAAAACAACTTATTTAATCAATGGTCTGTCTATTCCCAGAAAAACCATTATCCGCGATCTAGGTGTTCTTATCGATGATAAACTAACTCTCGCTCCTCACATTAACAATATCGTTTCTTTAGCAACTCTTCGTTCCAATCAGATACTCAACTGTTTTCGTTCCAAATCACCTGATCTATTGTTCAAAATTTTTAACACCTATGTAAGGCCTATTCTAGAATACTGCTCCGAAGTTTTTTTAACCCTCCCTTAATTCTGATCTCTGCTACAAACTGGAATCTCCTCTCAGAATTTTTTTCTCGTAAAAATTTTTTTATTAGGTCCAACTTATCCTTTGAATCTTACTCTGATCGCCTTGAACAATTTGATATCTCTCCACTTTACCTCAGACGAGCTATATCTGACATTCTGACCCTTCATAAAAATTGTCTTCGGTATCGATCATTTTCCCCAGTTCGAACTTTTTTTGCCCTCAGGTCCAATTTAAGGCGAAATCCACTTCGACTGCGTTCTCAAGGTCAGTTTTCTAATGATTTTTTTCTTTAAAAACAATTCCTACTTGGAACAAACTCACTTCCAAATTTCAATTCAGCCACCACCCCAAGTCTTTAAAAAAATTTACTGGTCAATCTACCATTGCACGAGATCTTCTTGTCTATTCCTCCACGACTCAAATGATGTTTAACTGTATAATGTATTCTCTCAAATTCTAGATCCAAGTGAACTCGTTAGGGTTCACGCTGATCTGTCAATAAATTATTATTATTAACAACCGCCTTCAGCGAACTAGAAGTTCAAACGAGTAGTTGATCAAGTTGGAAGAATGTCTTACGGCCTTTCGCCTTGTTCTTCTGCGCTTTTTTCATCTAGTTGCGCCTTGTCGAGACCAGAATGCAGCGGATCTTGTGCTGGAGCCCGGAGACCATGCCTTAGATGGAAGACTAAAAATGAGAGCGATATACACTCTAATTTTATAAGAGGGCAGTGAAAAACTATTATTATGGGTGGAAGTGTGAAAATCGTACATAAAAATACTTTTTCTTGTAAAGTGAAATTAAACCATGATTAGCTCTGTTTGAAATGCGTCCCCCATAATTAATTCTCATTCTGTAGTATGGTTTATCATTATTACTTCCGCCGGGTACCTACTGAATGCGTGGGTTACTATTTTAACAGCCGCTAAACTTAATTTTCACATTGATTCTTTCCTGCAACTTTTCCATAAATATAAAATTCGTTGACAAAAAAAAGAGAATGATTAGGCACCCCGCATTTGTCACTTATTTGGTAGCTGACTCAATTAGATTACGTTTCGTTGGAATTGAAACAAAGTATTGCGTAGAAGAGAAGTTCAGAGAAGAAAACAATTATTCCTGCTACGTAGGAGCGTTCGAATAAATTTTTGAACAGATTGAGGAACGCAGTTTTTTGGGTATAGTAAAAGCACTCTGACTTCGAAATTCAGAATAACAAAAAAATACATGAATATTTCTCGAAGAAAGTATTTTTTTCAGTGGTTTTGAAAATTCACTCTATTTCAGTATGATTTCTACAAATCCATCACGGCTCTGTATTAAGCGGGAGCTTTATAAGTTTTCCAATATCTGTCACACAAGTTTTTGAAAAAGTTGCTATTCGGTTTCAGATATTTTCAATGTATCAGTGGATAAATTTTTAACTAGGAGTAGTATTTTTTTAAAAATATTTTCAATCGTTCTCTCAGCTCTATAAAAAAATATTACTTCAAAAATCAATAAAATATTCCCTTCACATTAGTCATATTCGTGTTCTTAGAAACTTCCATATTTCCTTAACTTCATCAGCTTACCAATTGGTAACAAAGTTAGGTGTTATGTCTACCTTTTTCTAGGGCGGGCTCAAATTAGCTAAGCCAGAAAAGGGCGGGGCCAAAGACAGCGAAGCCCAGGAGAAGCCAAGTAAAAAGCCCGTTAGTTCTTGCTTGTTTCACTTCTCTCACAGCTTGGTGCGACTATGCGTTTCCTCATCGGTAGGTTCTTTTCATGAAATCCTGCAAGTGTTTTTCATGACTCATATACAAATGTAGTGTATGGTTTTTCTTTTTTTTCGCGATTCAGGAGAGCGCAAAACTCAAGGAAAAGTTGGACATCCAAGAAAAAACAATAACTTTCGAAAACCTTGTCAACTTTTTTTTTCCAGTGCTGCTCGTGTGCATTTTGGCCGTTGCCCTTGCATCGCCGATCCATGGAATCTGGACGCACCTCCCTGGGAACCCGGTAATAAAGCGAATGAATATTTTACATTCAAAAAAGCTTGATAAATCCCAGAAGCTAAAAGCGAATTACACTCTTGATCCTTTTTAATTTGAACTTATGGAGTTTTCCGATGGAGGAGCATTCAGAGCAATGGCTTCTAGTTCATGATAAAAATTTCAAGACGCTAAAAATCGAGAAAATTTGGTTTAAAATACACTATATCTTCTTGATGTCAGAATAAAATTATATCTCAAACTTTTAGCAAGATAACAGAGATGTTTCAGAGCTTCTGATCAAACTGTGAAATTTTGCGAGCAATATTCAGAAGCGAGACGAAAAGTCATAGAATCCGTGCCTGGCACAGGCACATTTCTTGCAGATTCCTCTCTTTTGTTAATTTCTGCAAAACTTGTGAATAATTTCGCGCAGATGCCATTAGGAAATTTTCCTCATATTTTCCATTCGCCGCGAGTTGAAACGTCATGGTGGCCTGAACTTTCCCAATGAAAACGCATTGAAAAGTTAGGCTGTAACAACTGAGTGAAAATTTGGAAATCCAACTGCAGAAATCTGTTTCTCACACCGTTTTTAGAGAAAAAATCGTAATTATTTTTCTATTCGGAAAGTAACTAAAAATTCGATGCAAAACTTGTAATGTAAAAAAGGGGAATTTTTGAATTTCAAACTAAAAAAAAAGTAATTGGTATTTTATATCACTCAAACTCCTGTGTTTCAGGAAAAGCGATACTACAGTTTATACAACAATTTGCCGCAAGTTGAGGAAGACCGGGACAAGAGGAACACACTCTTCTACTGGACGCCACTCGAAGACTAAACTGTTCGAAATATCTGCAAATAAAATCATACCCTTGAACCTTTGTTTTTTGCAATTATGATATGAGTCGACGAGTTAAGAAATCAATTTGCGTCCAGAACCATCGATAGTTTGTGTCGTTATCAGTGGATCGTGTGCTCGACTCTTCACGTTCTTTTTGCCGTTTCTGAAGTTCTCCCTTTACCGATTTTTTCCGGATAAATGGATGTTCCTGAAATTTGTCGGATTTGCTCTGCTCGTGCGGATGGGACACATTTTCAAGTTATATCTTGCCGGTATCATTTAAATATTTCGACAATCTACGCAAAATTGTTATTTATCAATTATTGGAAAAAAAAATTGAGGTTCATTGTAGGTTTTTTAGTCGGGAAACTACTTGAGAACTATGAAAAGTTGAAAAAAATTACGACTTTGCTGTTTCGACGAACCAATGTAACTCAATATAGATTCCCGTCGTTTTTATTCATTCATCAGAATAAAGGAAAGCTTTCTTAGCATCAGCAAGGCATGCTCCCATGAATGGAAAATAGAGTCGAGTTTTAGCGCATGTGCAGCTTTTTTCCGAAGGACGATCTCGCTGAGACTGACGTATCAGTGCCGCAGTAATGAAGGGTGCCTAATTGAAAAACGTTCGATCTTTTTCTTTTTTTCTTTCTGAGCTCAATTTTTCAGAACAAAGAAATATGTGCCGAGCGTGCCGCTTCGCCAAATGTATACAGTACGGCATGAGAGACCTAGGTTTCCATTATACATCCGAATCTCTAATTGAAACTTCTTTTAGATGTACAGTTGTTGCGAGACCCTATAGGAAAAAAGAAAAACGGTTTTCAGAGTACTGAGGTGAGCTTTTTCTGTTTTAAATTTTCTGCAGCTACAGCTAGGTCATCAAGAATGTATTAAAATATTTTCTGCAAAAAATTTATTGCGAAGTCATTCATGGTTTAAAATTTATCGATTAGAAAACCTTTTGAAAATTTATTGAGTAAAGAAAAAATCATTTTGTCCATTTCATTAGACTATATATATCATAAATTTCATTCAAAAGTCAAGCTTTTTCAAGACAAAGCAATCAAAATTTCCCACCAGTCCGCATCCTTCTCCTACAACTTCCAATGTTGTGAGTTTTGATTAGTTTCCGGTTTCAAAGTTGCTTTAGATAGTCACAAATCCATCGTTCCAAACATTGAGCGATCGAGTCTGCGGCGGCTTCACTCTTTCGAAAATGGTTGAAGGTTAGAGTTTCAATAATACAAAACGTATCGAAATGGTTTCAGGCTATACTCACTTTCTGTTGATCCGTAAAGCAACTCACACTTTACTCGAGAACGACAAAAACATTAAAATATTCAAACGGGATCCTGAGGTATTTTCCTTAGATACACAGTTAAAAAAAGTACGACTTCGAAACTCTAGAACCTTCATTTTTCCAATTTTGACGCGTCAAAAAAAGTGTGTCAACTTGAAGCCCACTTGATAACGGACATCGTGAACACTTATTTTCCTCCCTTCAACAATCTTTGTTACGAAGACAAGGTAATCTTTGAGTGGTTTTGATTTCGAAAAACCGTAAAACTTTAGATAACCCTGTTCAAAAATTTTTTCTGCTTCTTCTCTCACACAGACAGAGCTTACCAATCTTACAAAAAGTTTGGTAATGACAAGAGTAAGATTCCTCTTTAGTTTTTGGAAGAATATTTTTTTTCAATTCGAGGCAACGACAAGATGTTGATGCCAGACGGAGGATACATAAAGAGATCCGAGCTCGGGAAGTTCTACGAAAATGCGAAAGGTGTACATGGAAGCCCCGAGGATGCCGCGAGGTCGGATAATTGAAATTTCGAAATAAGGATTCTACGAGTGAATTCAGAGAACGAAACCTGTTCTTTTCTAATGACTATGTTTTGAAGTTGTAGTAAATATGCAAAATTGATCAACAGCAGAACCCAGTCAGTTATTACACTTCATTTCGAATTTGTGTACCCAATTTTTCCCCAAGATTTTTGATTTTTTGGTTATCAAAGCTTGCGAAAGAGTCTAGTTCTTGAAATTGCGTAATTTCTCAAATCTTATTTTCCAGGGTATTTTCGCCTGTTCTCGATTACATTCTAAATGTTATTATCGACCACATGAGGCGGATTGAAATGCACGAAACGGAATATGTGGCTCTACTTGGATTCTGTCTCTGGGATAATTGTAAAAATTGAGTTCTGATAAAAAAAAGAAATTTAATTTACAGCTGTGAGTGGAATAACCGAAGCCGCCAAAGAAGTCGTGTACAAAACACAGAAGACCATTATTGCTGATCTGCAATTGTTTTATGAGAGTAGGGTCAGTTGAAATTGGAAAAATGTCCTTATAAACAGTGATAATTTGGAAAATTTGCAGGACATCCAAAAAGACGACATTCCTAATCGCATTGGACAGTTGATGTTACTGATTCCCAGGCTAACAGTAAGTTTTTTTCAAAAAAATATTGTATAAATATATATTGATGAGTTGATACGAAACAAAAACCGAATCGACATCGTCGAGCAAATTTTACGCTAATCGATATATATTTATAAAGTGAAGCTTCCTTCATAGAGCATAAAACAAAAAATAAATCATGATTAATACTGTCGGCTTGATAAGAATTATTCTCAGACTTTTTTTCAGAAATGCGTGATTATGCTGCAAGAGAGCTCAGTGGTGGCTGAATTGTTCAACTTATACGAGCCCGATGTTTGCTGCAAAAACTCAAAATCAGAAGGCGTCACGAGCGACTGCAGCTCTTCGCAGAACTCAGAAATTGACGTCGTTGCGGATTGATGTGATCAAATACATATTTTCACATAGATACAACACAAAGAAAAATATTTATACAGTCTGTGATTGGTTTCGAATTTATCGCGTAAGTTTGTCGCAGAAGCTTTCGTCGTAGCTTCTGCCTTTCTTCAAATAACACACAAATCTGTATCGGCATTGATAGTCCGTGTAACACTCGTTGTTGTATTCATTGCGGTAGTAAAGCCTGAATAATCCATTTAGAAAAAAAAGAGGAAGGAGCAGCACTTGATGAACTGTCTGAACAAAGTGTGGTTGCTCCACAGTCGGTCAGTCAGGTCAGACCAGGATTGAGGCGAGAAGTCAGGCATCTGGTAGAACTCCTGAACGTTTTCTTTTGAACAAAACATTGAGGATTATCGAGACTTTCGTGTTGTAGCTCAATTTCCAGACAGGTTCTTTGTTCTGTTGGTTCGCTACAACGACATCGGTGTCATAGGTGTATGCGTCTTTGACGTTCTGGAATTTTCTTGATGATTTTTAAGCTTCAAAGTTATCCACATAAGTTGCTCCTTCGTAACCGCCATCGATGTCATAAATACGATAGGCTGGGTTCAGCCAGTTGTAAGTCGTTATCGAAGGGGAAATCCAGTTTTGGTGGAATGGTCTTCGAGTGCCCGGCTCGTAATAAACCTGAGAAGAAGTTATGAACTTTGAACTGTTTGGAACTCCAATAAGAACAAATACAGCAGATTTTTCTTTGAAAAAGGGTACCTGAAAATGGTCATAGTGAGTGTGACCGTAAAACATCTCAGCAATAGTGCTCTCAAATCTGAAGCTATCATTTATTTCTAATTCTCACGATTTTCATAACCCACCTGTTGACAATTGCGAAAAAGTTGTGCGACCATCCTTTCAAACAATAGTCATCTCCAGGAGGGATATGAGAGATTATGTGGACCTCAAATTTTCAGTTATATTATAGTTATTATGAGCCGGGTTTTTTAGGTTACACGGTCTCCTTTTTGCTCAGAATCGAGAAGTTCTTCAATGAGCCATTGCAAAGTTGCATCGGGATCAATTTCATTGACGTAGAGATAGCTTGAAATAGGAAAATTATTTTTTTAAAAGGGATATTAGCTTACAAGTTGAACTCAGAACAGTAAACGGTGTTAATCGAGATGAGCTTCAGCCCTGGTTTCGGATAAACTACGTAGCTGGCACGGCTAAATTCTCAACTTTTGAGTTGGATAAAAGTTTTTTTACTATTGAACGGTGTCCAAAGCAGACTGCGGAATCCAATTTCCCCACATGTCGGACATGATCTTGTAAAGCCATTGCGGTCCTCTGGTGTCATATTCAGGCATCGTATGGGGCGCCATTCTGGAATTGAATCAAAATCTGAGAAAAAAGTTACACCCTTTTTTTTAAATATCGAATCATGGATAAAGTTTGTCATACACGGAAAAATATGAATCATATAAAAGTTGACGAAAATAAAAAGGCGAAAAATGGTTTATGCCTCGTTAATTTTATCCTTGGAATTCATGAAAATAGACAGCACTTCAGGAAAGCTCTTTAAAGACTCGAATCTATTTTTTCTTTTTTAATTTTTTATGTCAATAATTTTGAAAATGATTCAATTTCAAGAAGTACTACTCTTATTTTCTTTCTGGTCTAAGTCTGTCAAATCCAAACGCAAATCAATCGACTCACGCGTCTTGAGGCACCGCTTCATGATTGCCGATCGAAATGTAAACAGGAATGTTTGGGAAATATTTCAAGAAAAGATCTGTCATGTTGTTAATGTTCTGCCGCGTGAGTTCCTCCGTGTAATCCCAAGAGTCGTGAGCTTCAAAATCTCCAGTGACCATTATATAGTCGATCTGCAGCGATTATCACGTGAAAACAGCTTTTTTGTGGGAAATTAACTCCTGTTTCTGTTTTGTTGATGTGCTTGACTGCTGATTCGAAAGTTTGATACGGCAGATCACAAGCAAAAGGCATTCCCCAAGGTCCAGCCGGTTGAAGGATCTTTTCTAGAAAAAAATTTTCCATTTTCAACAGTATTATCATTTTGGAACGGACTGGGTTTCATCCTAGAATCCAGTTCCACCTCGTCTTGATAATCTCGACAGCACATGGCGTAAGTTCCCAGAGGACTGTCAATTTGACAGTACGCTTCGGATCCAACAGCGTACTGTCGGTCAATGTGGATGTCCGAAAAGTGAAGAACCTTCAGTTTTGGCTTTCCCTCCTGAGGAAGATTGGTCTCAGAATGATTTTGTTTCTAAGGTTTACCGGAATAGTTGGCCATGGTTTGACTGGTGGTTTCCCTCCTGGAATGGTAATGTTCCACATATGAGTCAGTGGTGCGTCAGAATGTCCACAGTCCTGGATAAAAGCTCCACAGATCTCTGCTGGCGTGAAGAGAGACCTCTCCAGCACAAATACAACTTCATCCTTAAATACTTTTCCAGCTCTCTCGATTAGTTGAAACTTCCGGCGATTGAGTTTTTAGAAGCAAACCTTGAAAGCGAAAATAATGTTCTTGCAAACATGAGGTTGTTCAACTTCCAACGTATCGCAAAGGCTTCTAAAAACCATTTTTTTTTTCGAAAGCCCTTTTGGATAAGTGTTCTCACACAAGGAAATCTGCAATTTCCATGTCAGTCGCGTTTGAAGCAATAAGAGCTTGAACTCCATCAACAGCGAAAGTGCAGAAAAAGCAGGACATTTTCCGATTTTCCGGCTGATTCGCTTGTTCTTTTGTTTGGCGGAGGATCTGAAATATATTTTTGTAAAAAGTATTTTTTCTAAAAACTTCAGTACTTTGTGTTTCGGCGGTGGTCGCTTGAAACCTGAAACTTTCGGGATGAGCCCTGTCGAGATCACTTCGAACATTGCTACGAAGCAGAGTAGCCCAAGTAGTACCCTCATTTTCTGAGAAACTCCACATTCAAGCAAAAGTCTTTTATGTTCAATAAATACACAACAAAAACGAAAAAAAAAACAATCAGATCAGTTGACTTCGAGAGAGAACCACGCTAAATGAGGGACATATCATAATGAAAAGCAAAATTATCATCACTTGTTGGCCCGTTATCTATAAGAACTGCCGGTTCTTTGACACGGCAAAATTAGAGAGAAAGCATGCAATAATGGGCGTAGGGGAGCACAAAACGGTTCAGAAGCCAGCTCGAAACAGGATTCGAGTAGAAGGAATCGACGATACTTTGGTATAGTTTGAATTGCGAGTGGCTGTAAGACGCCACCTGGTTCCACTTCGAAATTTTCGAGTGCAGGACTTTTGGAGCAGCCTGGAATTCGTACTTGAAAATGAAAATTTTCATAGCAAAAGGTTTTAATTCGAACTCGTACTTAATTTAATCACCGATTCTCAGACAAACTCCATTTCGGTTTGAAAAACTTGAAGCCAACCGCTTGAAAAAAAATCTTAATTTTTCATCGTAGACAAGCAATTTCCACAAACTAGAGCTTTTCTGCACTCCAAAAAACAACTTTCTCTCTTTTTTTCTAATATCAATGTCTCGGAATTCATATTTTTTTACTAGGAAGAAATCAATCTAATTTTTTTCAAGTTTACCTCTACCGCTGATTGATTACAAGTCCTTCTGTCTTCGTTAAGAAACAAAAAACCGAGTCGCCGCATCTGAAAAATCAAAATTTCAACAACTTTTCCTGTTAACACTGAGGACGTCCGAAATCTTCTCATTTCAACGAAACCGTTTGTTATCTTAAAACACTATAGTTCCATTTATCTTTCTCACTTTTGAGGGTGTGAACTGCAGAAGAAAAAGACCAAAAAACTATTTACGTCTGTGTTTATCAGTCCGCTAGTCCAATTATGAGGTCTTGGAATGTTGAAAGTAAAACAAGAAATCATAAAATTGAAATTGATTTTTCGAGAAAACGAACCTTTTCAAGTTTGCCGCCTAGTTTGGTCTCTCCATCGAACTGAATGAATTTTGGAGGTACTTCGCCCTGCGAGTCTAACCATTGCCAATTGGTTATCAGGCTGAAATCGAAGATGTAAGTTTTTTAATTTGATAGAAATCAACCTGAAAGGAAGACCTCCACATTTCGCGATGCCGGAAATTTCACACAAGGAGGTCATATACGCGTTGTCAGGGGCATACCACCAGGAAATGTCGTTTGAAAGGCGTTTGAAATATTCCCTGGCACTTGTTGTAGGTTTTGCGAGGTAGTAACCACCTGAAAATGAGGAAATTAATAAAGAAGGACTGCAAAGAAGTTACCTGCAATCAGTGGGCCGTTTTCTGAAGCTCTATCAAAAACAATATCATCGTGAGTATTTGAGAAATTCATTCGTAGAAGGTTGTCATCCCAATAAGTGTCCTGAATACAGGAAAATAGTTTTTTGCATAAAAAATTTTTTCTCAATTTTCAAAGACTAGAAAGTTTCTGAAAATTCCTGGAAAAGCCCTAGGAAGCTCAAAAAAAGTACAGTTTACGGCAGCTACTCTGAAAAAAATTTAGGAGAAATTTGTTCAATAGCACATCATTTTTTTCGTTTGATAAAAAATTGAAATAAATTACAATACTTCGGAATAAAAAAACTTTTTTTATTTGCGCTAGTGAAAGAAAAAGTAGAATAAATGTTGAAGTTACTTTCATTGAATTTCACGAATTTTACTGAACTTACAGTGGCGTCAGAAAAGATACAAAAAACGAAGTTTCGGTCACAACTTTCTTGAAAGGATATCAACCTTTCTGAAATTTTTTGGAGTTGTGAGGACTGTTTTTTTCAATACTCAGGTCACAGGAAAAAAAAAACGCAGCTTCAGAAAGGTTCAGAAAAGTGGAATTCTATATTAAAAAGTTGTAAGCAATACTTTAATAAAGGATGATTGCAAATATTCTCATTTCAAACTTGCTAAAAAAACAGTGGGCTTCAGAGAAAAATTCGCTGGTTGAAACTAACAACAGCGCATAGCATCTTGTTCTGTTGAATCAGAGCGTTTCAATTGTTACAGATCAAAAAAAAAAATAAACTAGAAATACCTGTTGGATCATCCAGAAAGTTTTGTTCATATGTAAAAGGGCTCGAGCAAGATTTGCACGGAAAAGATAGAAAAGCTGGTAATAACCGTCACCATAGTTGAATGCATCCTGGAAAGGATTCAAAATAATAATTTTCAATCTTATCGCTACCTTCAACCCAGGGACAACCCAGTTTAGTTGTCGTACTGCTGGCCACGTCTTCTTCAATTCCGAAGAAGATTCTTTGTCTAACGTGACAATGAGGCTGTTTTCATGTACTCCTGCAGAAAGGCCGACTCTTATATTATTCGAAAAAGAAAACAAACCATCGAAATGCTGAGTATTGCATAACCAATTGTAGGTCATATTTAAAGCATGTTTGTTCAGAATAAGTACCAACGTAGCTTTTTTTCACTACTTAATGAGCTAGAGACCCCTTGGAAATGAGAACTCGATATCTGAAATAAAAACTATTTGAAAATAAAGAAGAAAAAAACCATTTCTTCGAATCCAACTTGGTCCCACCGCTGCCAAACAATGTACATTGCCATGAAGGCTATCACGATTTTTCTCAAGACTAACAATCCAAATATCGCAAAAAAAGCTTTTGGTATCGAAATACTTTTCATTTCCTGAAAACAAAAGTACTTAAAAATTGAAAGAAAAATGGTGAAGGTATTGACGCTTCACAGTGCAACAAAACAAAGTTTTTTGGCAAATGAGATGTGACCTTGCAATTTTGTGACGTAACACCTATTTCGTGGTTTTTGATTTTTACGACACCTTCAAGGGTTTCTCTTTCAAGTCTATCAAGAAGAAAACAATAGGTGGCTAAGGAATGATGGCTCAAATGTGCGATTCATTTTTCAATCGTGAAACAAGTTTCGCTTCTAAATTCATAAAGATTTGATGAATACTCAAAAAGTTTTAAACCTAAACTTCATTCACCACTAACTCAAGATCAAAATCTATGAGAACGTTCGAAAATTCCGTAATAGTACCCGTCGTTTGAAATTGTGTAGTGGGCATTTAATCGAGCTGGAAATGAAACAACTGTTCAGTGAAAGAAAATGATGAGCTCAAAGTTTAATGATATTATAATTTCCTATTGACTCCAATTTCATTCGACCAAAGTGAAAAGGAAATCCGATGGAACGACACTGTGAAGATCGAAGAAAAAGAGAGCATTCGAAGAACCTGAGAATCATAAAGGAATACGTCATGAAAGGATCGTCAACCTACTGCGGGCGTTGCCTTGCAATTCTCCTCTGAGCGTCGGTTCAGGCGATCATTATTCATTGAAAGTCGAGAATAATTAAAAAGCGGAGGCAAATCCCGAAGTTTCCTGTAAAAGGCACTTCACTTTGAGAAGAAAAATTGAGAGATTAAAGTTAAAATAAAGTTCTCAGGTCGTCCTATCCTCATTGGACAGCTAAAAAATTTGATTTCAAATGACACACCTGTAAGAAAAGCGCTGAGGTAATGGAAAATTTGTTATTAGGATATTTTTTTCGCTGAACCCTATCCTTGTCGGTCCAAGAAAATCCTCATTTCAACAGGGAACTTCATTGTACCATTAAAATTTTGTGGTTGTTTAAAAAAATTGACTCCTCTATGAAAGGCTGATTGATTGCTAACGTTTACCGTCAATAATAAGCTTTCGATTCATCGTTTCAAAATCGAAAACTCTGCATTGCAAGTTAAAACTTGAAAAAAAAAATTGTTAAAATCCTTTCGCGCGTCTTGGGCCTTCGGAACCTTTTCATGTTTTGTTCCACTTTACTTGTACTTAAAAAGTCCCTTCAGGTCAGGAAATATATTTTCTTAAAAGCTTATCAAAAAATTTTACGAGAAAAATATCAGAATCTCAATTTTTTGAGAAGTGACGAATGATACTCTTTCAAAGTCATTAAAAAAATAATTTCGGTATGAAATCCATGGCTTTTTAATAGCTTTACGTATTACTGTTTTTTTGATGAAAATTTTCCGAACAGAAATATCAATCTTTGAGCGGAACATACTTTAAAGACAAAAAAATAAATGTTTTTCATTTTTTTCAAAAAAATATTTTTTTGATTTTTTTCAAAAAAACTTTCTAAAAAAATCTGACTTTTGAATTTTTGACCGATAAAAAAATAGCATCACTTTGTATTTCATAGAATTTCGGCTGCAAAAGATTGCGCAATCTTACGCTTGCCGGCGTATTTGTCTACGTAGATAAGCGAGAGTATGTAAAATAAACTAAGTTCATTTCCTTATTATTTTTGATTGATGCCCAAACGTGCATTCCAACAATGGACAGCGACGAAAGGTTGGCTTTTATCGATTTTCATACCTTTTTGGTTTTTGTAAGAGACGTTTCAAATTTCATATCAGTTTTTTTCTTGTTGTAGAGTATGATAACTTCAATAGCTTGTGTAACGCACTTTTTGATTTCGTTTTTAATGATTTCTTGGATTCGATCATGTTATAGAAAAAAAAATAGAAGGAATTTTGAGCAGAATTTCAAAAACTATCGTAGTAGGAAAACTTCATTTCTAAGTTCTCTTAGTTAGTAGAATGCTTAATTGATCGAGATATTCATTGAAATCCTATAAATGAGAGAGACCCAAAAACTTCGGGTTCCTTTGAGTAAGCGCCTAGAAAATAATGAATCTCCGGATTTCAGCACCGTTCTCATCCCACCAAATGCTTCAAAATCGGAGCCGAGTAAATTCTACCTTGTTTCTTCATTGGTGAACTTTCAATTTTGGAGAAGTAATAACGATGAAATTGAAGCTTCGATATGCGACACGCCTGGAAAAGCTGATGCTGATTGTTGGTATCCTAGCGTCCATTTTGTGCGCATTTTCAATTCCTCTTCTTTCTATAGTCATTGTGAGTACTTTTCTAAACAAACCATGTCAAAATTTTCAACTAGGGCGACATTGGCCGAAACTTCATTGATCTAACAAAAGATCTTCACAATCAAACAATTGGTTCGGATCTCCTCCAAACTTTGAAAATCAAATGTTTTTCAGCTCCTGAGGAGTTGGACAAAGAGTTGCAAATATTCGGGATTCTGATGCATAGAAATTGTTTGGGTTATGCTGTTTTGGGAATGTGGTCTACATTTTTTGCTTTTGTACAAGTGAGGGAGCTCTTCTTTTACTTTGTAACTTTATAATGATTAAGACAAGTTTTCTGGTTTACGTTGGAGAAAACATAATTTATCGACTTCGAAGAGATTTCATCGCTGAACTTCTGAAACAAGATGCCGAATGGTTTGATAGAACCTCAATTGGAACAATTTCAACTTATCTCAACGAGTTTGTCAATATTTGAAAATGTTTTCATTTCTGTTTGCAGTAACCTTGAAAGAATACGAGAAGGAACTGGTGACAAAATTGGCCTCACAATACAGTTTTTCACGGAGTTCACTATAAGCTTTGCTATTTCTTTCGTGTACAGCTGGAAAATGGCCGTCTCTCTTATCGCGGTGGCTCCTATTATGATGGCAACGGGAGTTTTGAACACCTGGGTCACTTTTCCCTTTTCATAGTTAACTTGAAGTTATATTTCAGTTGTCGTCCAAATTCTCGAAGAAACAAAACGCGCTCTATGCCGAGGCTGGAAACATTGCATCCCAAGCATTGGGGTCTATAAAGACTGTCATCGCGTTGAATGGTCAGAACCAAGAAATAACAAAGTTTTTCTCGAAGTTGAAATGATGATTTTTTTAAGTTTTGTAGATATGAGAGTGTTCTGAAGAAAGCAAGAATGGAGGGATATCGAAAAGCGTTATCAGGAGCCCTTTCCCGAGGTGCCAGCTTTATTATTTTGTGTGGACTCCAAGGAGCCGCATTTTTTATCGGATCTTACTACGTCTACGATGGTGTTCTGGACGGTGGAACGGTCATGATTGTAACTGATAATCCGGTTTCCATCTTTTATTAATATTCGTTGCAGGTATTTTACTCTTTGTTGTTTGGCTGTTTCGCTTTTTCTGAAGCATGGCCGCAATTGTCTTCTATTGGTTCGGCGATAGGAGCGGCGTCTCCCATTTTCGATATAATCAATAACGTAAAAAATAGTTATTGAACAAAAAGACTGTCTTTTTCAGACGCATGAAACCATTGAAAACTCAGCAAATCGCTATTCACAAGATATTGAACTTGTGGCAAGCGTTGAGTTCAATAATGTTTCTTTTGCCTATCCAACTCGTTGCGACACCACTGTTCTTAAGGTTGGAAAATCGTACCTGAAAGTTAAAGTCCTTGAATACAGGGAGTTTCCTTCAAAGCAGAGGAAGGTGAAACGATAGCTTTAGTAGGAGCAAGTGGGAGCGGAAAAAGTACTATAGTGCAGCTTCTCCTTCAATTTTACGAGCAATCTGCTGGGACGGTCAATGAAATTCACTTGTGCCATAATTCTGTTGTCACCATTTAGATTAAAATTGGAGGACACGATGTCAGCAATCTGGATTTGAAATTCTTACGAAAGTTCGCTGGAGTTGTGTCTCAAGAGCCTATACTTTTCAACGCGACAATCGAAGAAGTTGACTTTTTTCCGAATAATCTTTCATTTGTTAATTCAGAATATAAAGTTTGGCAAGCCACAAGCAACTGAAACAGAGGTTATCGCCACTTTGAGGAAAGCCAATGCATACGACTTTGTAATGCAGTTTCCAAAGGTGTGAATTTTCTCGGTATTGTGTTCATTAGATAACCTAGGGACTGAAAACGATGGTCGGAGAACGAGGAACACAGCTGTCTGGAGGTCAGAAGCAACGACTTGCTATTGCCCGAACTCTTCTTCGAAACCCCCGTATTCTCTTGCTGGATGAGGCCACAAGTGCTCTAGACGCCGAAAGCGAAGCGATTGTTCAGAGAGCTTTGGAAAATGTTTTCGACTCACGTTTTCAAAAAAAAAAAGTTCGATTTTCCAGGCTTCTCAAGGAAGGACCACACTTATCATAGCGCACAGATTATCTACCATTCGCAATGCTAACCGAATTTTAGTCATGAAAAACGGCGAGGTATCAACTCTCTGAAAAGTTGCGATGGAAGTTTTACAAACGACCAATAACTCGAAAAAATTTTCAGCTTGGTTTTATCTTTTTCATGTAAAAAAACTATTATTTTTTTGAGCATCCAACCATTTATTGACCGCCAAGCCAAAAAAACTTTTTACCTGATTGTTTCTCAGGAAATGGAATAAAGTCAAGCAAATCAAAAAATAATTCGCAACTTCATAATAAACTTCCCTTTTGTCCAAATAAAAATATTTTTCTATGTTTCTTCCAATTTTAAGATAGTCGAAATGGGATCTCACAGTGATTTGCTAGCAGCTGAAGGAATTTATAGCGAATTGGTTCATTCACAACTCATGAACGATTTCGACGAAGGTGACCTCGATAATTGAGAAAAAAGGAAAATACTAATTTTCCAGAAGACATAGGACCACTCTCACCTTCGAGGCTCTCCAGAAGCTTATCGAGTGAGCAACAGTTCGACTTTCACAGACAAACTTCTCACCAGTCGGCCAGTGCTCCACAATCTGAACAGAAGAATGATATGGATCGCATGAAAGAAGGTGCTCCGAGATTTCTGCTTCTTGAAGTCTTAAATTCACAGAATTACGAGAAGAAGGTGCACAAAGAGCAACCTTGTGGCAAATACTCAAGATGTGCAAGTCAGACGTCTTTTTGATAACTTTGGCCACTCTGAGCTCGATTATCCAAGCTGTACATTACCCGTTCATTAGTTTGTTGTTTGCAAATATTGTCGAGGTCAGTAGAACATAAGAGAAAGCTTGAATTCTGTTTCAGTCTTTTTCTTTGGAAAAAGAGGAGATGCTGAGTCACGTCCAATTCTGGGCTCTAATGTTTGTTGCAATTGGAATTGCCAAAGCATTCACTGTTTGGGTTCAGGTTTACCTAAACAACAATTTCCGGTGAACTATTTATTTATTGCAGTATATATCCCTTGGCTACACCGCAGAAAGGCTTTCTCTCCGACTTCGTCTCAATTGTTTCAAATCGTTACTCCACGCAAAATGTTCTTTCTTTGATGATCCTCACAATTCTCCTACTCGACTAGCCACCAGACTTTCAACAGATTCTTCAAATATTAAACTGGTTCCTTTCTTGGCCGCTTTATTGTAAGCAGAAAAGTTAAGGCCGTCGATCCGCGGTTGGGAGGCGTGCTTACATTAGTTATTTCGGCATTCATCGGTATTTCTCTTTCATATTACTACGGCTGGAAGTTGGCGACATTGGTGGGTTTCGAACTTCGGAATATGTGATCTTAATCCCAGTTTCCAGACATTGGCAATGGCCCCAATTTTGCTGTATGCTGAACATTGTTTTGCTGGATACGTCAGTGGAGCTGCCAGAACAGACTCTAAGGCTCTCGAAAACAGTAACAAGGTTATAGAAATGTTATATCCAAAATCTAAAGGCTTTTTTTGTATAGATCGCGGCTGAAGCCTTGGAGAACGTAAAAACAGTTCGCTCATTGCACATGGAAAGCCAATTATTAGGTATTATTGATACTCATCTGCAAGACGCTCGAGGAGAAATCAAAAGAAAGTCTTTCATTCAGGTGTGACTGTTGAAAGTATTTTTTTCAAGTTAAATTTTTCAGGGCCTTGCTTTTGGATTTGCTGGAAGCCTTTTCTTTTATTTCTACTCGATTTGCTTCTTTTATGGTGTTTATCTCATTCTACACAGAGAGATGGAACCAGTCAACGTTTACAGGTAGTCGACCTTTTTTCTAACAACTCTAAGCTCAGAATTCTAGGGCGCTGTTTTCGATCAGCTTCGTTGTCAACAACTCAACATCGGCTACGGCTTATTTTCCTGATTACATAAAAGCAGCTTATGCTGGTGGCCTAATTTTTGAAAGTATATTTTTTTATTCTCTTTTTTTCGAAGTGAAAAAGTTATTTTTTTCAGTTGTCAGCAAGAGCGAAATCAGCCTTTTTGAGCTTGTGTGAGTCAGGAAATAAACATATCCGTGATGGCGCAGTTGAAGTCAACGATGTCAGCTTTCACTATGAGCAAAGACCTAATCAAGTAATTCTGGACGGCGTTTCTCTCACAGTCTGTAATTTTAAATTTATTGAAAAAAATTCAGTTTAGCTTGAGCCTGGAAAGACGATCGCGTTAGTTGGACCAAGCGGCTGTGGAAAAATCGACAATCATTTCTTTGTTAGAAAGATTTTACGAATGTACTACGGGAAATGTCGTACGTTTTTTTATTGGGGATTGAGACATGAATGGAACAAAAAAAGCTTATTCATACAAGCTGCAATATATCATAATATATCAGAATATATCATAATACAAAAATATCATCATAAACCTACTTTTTTTGAAGAATTACTGAGTTAGGTTGAACTAAAAACTTTTTAGCTAGTTTTTCTTCTTTCTTTCTGCTCCCCAATAAAGTTTTATAAACATGAAAAAAAGCACTCATAAGGAAAAAAGTCGCTGAGTAGAAGCAGGACACAAATATACACAAATTAAAAATTTAAAAAAATCGAAAAAGTTTTTTTGTTAATTTTTTTGTCCTCTAAAGTTTTTCCAATCCGATAGTTTGAATATACAAAACAGTTTTTGTAATGGGTAATCTCAGGCTAGAATATTGTATAATCTCGATTCATTAATAAGTAACTCTTTACTTTCACCAACAGAAATAAAATTTTTCTTTTTATTAGTTAGTGTAAACATTAGTGTAACATTGTGAAAAAAAAACGGAAAATTTTAAGAATTTTTGAAAAATTGTTTATTCATATTCACGAGCCATTAATGAAAGAATGACACATCTTTTATCCGAGATTGCAGAAAATTGATTCTATCGACGTCAAAAACACGAACCTTTATCATCTCCGGGAAAACCTCTCTTTGGTTTCTCAAGAACCAACGCTTTTTAACGGCAGTATCCATGAAAACCTTATTTATGGCCTCAATCGAGTGGTCGAGTCTTCTGAAATCAATGAGGCTTTGAAAACTGCCAACGCATTTGACTTTGTGAACAGTTTGCCGCTGGTCTGTTTCAACCGTTTTTACTAAGAAAATGAGAATTCATTTTCAAGAAACTGAACACTCTGGTTGGGGATCGAGGAACACAGCTCTCTGGAGGTCAAAAGCAGCGAATCGCAATCGCTAGAGCTGTTTTGAGGAATCCCAAAGTTCTTCTTCTTGACGAAGCGACCAGCGCTCTAGATGCCGACAGCGAAAAGGTTTTATACTTTTTCTGTTGCTTAAAAGTGTTTTATCTCTCTCTTTTTGTGTGGTAATGTGTAAAAAATGGAATTTTAAATATTTTTAACAACTTTTTTGTGTTCCTGTTATTTACAAATTTCAATTCTCTCACTAGAAACTCTTCATTGTCAATTGATGTTCCGAATTTCAGCTCGTTCAAAAAGCTCTCGACACTGCGAGCGAAAGATTATCCACGGTGGTCGTTGCACATCGACTCTCTACAATTGTCAACGCCGACAAAATAGTCGTAATAAAAGCAGGAAAAATAGTAGAATCAGGTAAAAAGAACTATTATTTTATTTACATTATGAAAATTTGAGGAACCCACGGAGAGCTGATGAAACTGAAAAAGTCCTACTGGCGGTTAACACAAAAGCAAAACAGTTCTGGTTCGAATAATCAGTAGTTCAACTTTATGAGATTTTTTTCTTGTTTTCCTTGTTTCTGTTATCTGATGTTTTGGAATAAAAGTGAATTTTTGATTTTAAAAGAGATGGTTATCATTTAAACATAGTAGTTTTACTCTCGATAATAATTTCCATTGAAAAGTCTTTTTACACAGTTCTCGTTGTAACCACCGTTAAAAACTCGTTTATGTAACACGGTACGGAAAAATTTCAAAGTAACGATCCTGAAAATATTTTTAAAACAAGGATCTTTGGGTGACGGTGCTTCCTGATAAAATGTGAATATCTCTTGCGATCGCTCTTTTTTAGGACTTCTTCGTGACCAGCTTGTCTGAGAAAAACATATATTTGGGCTCGAAGAATTCGAGAAATAAAGATAAGGGGTTCGCCTTATTCTTTATCTATTATTTTTATGCTGAACTTGAGTAAGATAAAAATCTCTTATTCAGTTACTTTGTCAACTTTTTCTCATATTTCCTCTGGTATTCAAGAAGCCTCAATAAAGTTGTTCCAAAGCTTGAAAAAAAAGCCTAAAAGTTTTTTTCTTCACCGACTTTTTTTCTAAGGAAAACCGAGCTTTTAGTTTTAAAAGGAGAATGGTGGGCGTTGGTGAAAACTATTTGATAAAAACCGTGACGTTGGTTTAAACTTTTTTGAGCGTGACTTCATGAAACATTGTAGGAATTCTTTTTATCGCAAAATCTTTAAGTTCAAAGGATCAACTTAATATTTTTTCATGGACGCTTACTAACCTTACGGTTTCTTTTTTCTTTTCAGTTCGATAATTTATTGCCAGAATTCAAAAGCAAATACTGGAAATTTTTGAATTTTTTTCTAAGAAAAATTGGTTCGACATTCCATAGCGCTTTTTAAAAATCTATAGCCTTTTTAGGCTGTTCACAAAAGAAAAAAAAGTACTTTAATATTTTTTTACCAAAAAATCATTGCTGAAATTCAATAGTATAATAGTTGGGAACTAAAGAACTTGACTTTTTTATTCGAAGCTCCTGAGAAATTCTCAAGAAATGTCTTTTGACACTTCTAATTTGAACTGACCTTTTCATGACAAACAACCGTCGTGTATGAAATGTGACAAAGTTCAAAGTGATAAAATGAGAAAAATTACCATGGGAAACATGACTAGTTACACGATCCTGATCGTTCTCACGACGATTAAGACAAGTGTGAGGAGCGAAATGAAGACGGATGAGATGGACCGCCTCCTGGCCTCGCACGCGCCTCCGCCTCGAGAAGACCGTACCTTTTGGACAGGACGGACCGCCCACCGAGAACCGCTGCTCTCACTATCAACGGCTCTGTGCTCCCTTGTGCTCCGATTTTGCTCACCGAGCTTTTGAACGCACATTCCTCAAAACCCGAACCTCGTTCATCTTCGTCTTGATCGTTATGAGCTTGTCGCGTTTTTGGCACTTTTCCCAATCAGCGATGGAACCTGCGTCACTTCCGGCGGCCTACTCCTTCTCGTGTCTTTTTTTTGAACGTTTTGCAAGTGACTTCTTGCAATTAAACTTTCCATATTTTTTCAATTATGAGAAATAAAATAATTTTAAAAACTAATAATTGAAAGCGACAAGTTCCTGCCACCGATCAAAGCTTTAAGCTCTTGGCCTCTATTATTGACAATTTATCTTGTCGCCGTCTAACTTTTTGTTGCATTTTAAATAGTTTTACTTTTTTTCTTAGTTTCAAAAAAATTTTTGAATTTACATTATTTGAATTGCTCATCAATGTAACCAATTTTTAACCCGAATTTTTTGAATACTGTTCGTTTAATACCTACCCCTTCAATAACCCTGTTTTCCACTGTTCCTTGTAATTCCTGCTTGTTATCCAGGCTTATGAACGCATTATAGCAGCAAATTTCACACCTGATATCACTATAAATGCATTCTCTTATCACTCGCCGTTTTGTGATATGCTCCAATCAATGGATGCTCTGTTTAGGTATGCGAGTCGAATTACCTCTTTTTCTGTTTTTGACCTGCGTCGTTTCAACTTGCCAACAAACACAGGTACAGTTGAATGCAGCTTCAATAAATCAATCAGAAGCCAAATTTTTATTCTTATGGCTACAGGATTATTTTCAATATTTTCTTTTCAAATGGCTCAATTTTTCAAAACGAGGGATTGAGTTTTTCTAACGCTTTTTGCCGGGCCATTATAAATCTCATCGAAACGACCGTAATGTTTCACCCAAGTTTATCCGGCGGGTTGTAATGTCGGAAGAGATAGTGACTAATCTACCTTGCTTTTTTGCTGAAAGCATCGGAGAATATCGCCCTGCTCGAAAGGTTTCTGAAAGGAACATTTTTTGGTCATTTATGATTTTGTCATCACTTTTTGAAGGGCGTTTTTTGGTGAACATAGTACAAGAAAAATTCCCATTTTACAACGGGCTTTTAGTGAAGTTTATCATGAAAGCCAAAATCCAAACTAAATGGAAAAAATATTTATTTGAAGTCTTTTTAAAAGAGAATTAATAAATGCAGAAGCCGTTTTCCCACAGAATTACATTGTTTTCTCCAAAAAGCGGAACTTATGGAAAAATCTTCAAAAAAATGTTTTTTTAAATTTCAATATCGTTGATTCATAGTAACTTCCACCGATCAAGTTTTTTCAAGGAGCGACCTTAGAATTTTTTGGGATATTTTTTCTTATCGAACCATTTCAAGGCCGAACCTTTGAAAACTACTGATTACTTCCGGTGGAAAAATCGTCCTTTTGATCTCTATCGAACTCTATAATTTATCAAGTTGATCATTTTTCCCAGTTTTGTCTGATTTTTTTCGATTCTTTTTATGTAGAAAGTGACATCATAACTATAAAATGGGAAAAAAATTAATCCTTGATAAGAAAAAGTTTTCTGAAAAAGCAGCTTATTATAGGCAACCTGTTTTTCTTTGTGAGACAGTAAGATTACAAAACCTACAATGAGTAATAAGTAAACATTGAAAAAAATGAGAGACTTTTTGTTACCTATGTTCCAACAATAAAAGCAGTTCCTTACCTAATTCAAAAAGACTATAAATTTGCTTTTTTTCAAAAAAAGTTATCTGAGAAAAATAATGGTCAATAATCATTCATCCTGAAATTTGAATGGTTTGATAAGTTTTCTCAGTTAACTCTTATCAGTCATACCGATCATTCCCTGAATACCGAGGCATTTTCAGAACGTAACGTGTTCTTGTGCTGAGACGAGAAACCTGGCCGACGTTCAGACTTCTGTGAAACTAGCAGTCAAGGTCAATGTCTTACGAGCATTGGATAAAGTTCGCTCGACGATGGCTCACGCGATGAGTGAGTTGAAGCTTTTATTTGAAACACACAAAAATTATATCAATATTTTCAGGTGAGAAGGAAGAGATACTCAAATGGACGCGGTATGCAGCCATCTACGAACTGAAACAAGAGCACGGCTCCAGAATCGAAATGGTCAACTTCATACCAGAACTCGATAAATTCTTGACTTCAGTCTCCGCTCTTTTCCGAGAAGAACAGGTTTATATTATTAAGGGAGTATTTTTGTTCAAAAACTTTTTTTTCTAGCGTCTGACGGATGTCGAAATCTTTGTGAGAGTAATGACTGCGCTCAATCATTTCATGAAAGAAACCTTGCCTGAAAGCTTTCAATGTATTGCGATGAGCCATTGTCTGTCGTTAGATCCTGTCTACCAAAGCTGCATGTTGAACGTGACCGAGAACTGGGAGAAATACTTGGGACAAGAGCCCCGGAGAAGTGCAACAATGTGAGTTCTAGGGAATGATAGAAAACATTTTAGCCAACTGAAAATCTTTTTGTTCGTTCTGGAAAGATTTCTAAGTCTTTTTTCCTCACATTTCGTTCATTGCTTCAAAAAATTTTTTGATACCGTTTTTTTTGCTCACTATTCCATTAACACTTCAAGACTCTGGTTAAACCAGCGACAAATGAATTGTCACTCAAGGTGCCCTTCTCGGAAAAAAAAATGGAGTGTGTATGAAAAAAGAAATTCAGCAAGCAAACCGAAAAAAACTGTAAATTTTCCCTTCCCTTCAAATGACTTTCATAACTTTTCATTTCATCATTTCTAGAACAAAGAATTATTTCCGGAATGTATCGTTTTTGGAGCAAAAGACTTTCGCAACCGTTAGCGGTAGATCGCAACAAAAACAGGACAATTGTATAAAAATTTCTGTTACTCGTTTTTCTAGGTTTTACTTTCACAGATATTTTCTGGTTTAACTATTTTTCGTCGTAAACCGATGAGTTTTGATATAACTTGATACAAAAGCTTCACTTTGTTTCTGAGATTTGAAAATGAGGTAGGAAATGGTGCTCAATTGCGCCTGTTCTCAAAATCTACCAAGGTTGTTTAGTACATGTGCTTGAAAATTTGGTTCATAATAACAAATATGAAGTTTTCGTATCAACTGCTTATTCTCCAACCGAAGAAGTATATTCGAAAAAAAAGTACTCAGGAAAATATTAAGGAGAGAAATAGATGAAAAATGTTTCTAGAATAGCGGAAGCCATCTTCAAACATCGAGTGATGGAAGCAACATTGAGTCACCTCCATGCACAGCTTTTGCAAATGAATCAGACTGTCACCAAGGAATGTGTGGAAAACTACGCCAAAATCACTTCTTGCTTGTGTACGACACCAGAAGTTTCATTTTGCAAGTATTAAATCCACCTTGGGTTTTCTGTAAATTTGATTTTTCAGGCAATCTTGCACATCGACGTTGGAAAAATGTCTCGCCTCTGAGTCTTCAGAATGGATCGAGCAGATAACAGGCTTGCAGAGGGTCGTCAATTCGTACCCTAAAGGAGGCATTCTCTTCGCATTCATTTCGGTAAATTTTTCTTACGAAGGGTCAACATCTCTCAAATTTTTACAGCTCAAGAAAGGAATTTCCGACTCTTTTCAAATGCTGACCGAACGAAAACTACCGCTTCTGGCAGAAGCCGTTTTTGGAACTTGTGGGACAGCTGTCTTTGGAGGAATCATGGCTAGAAAACCAGTTATAAACCGAAAACCGACAAGATATGCTGCAAAAACGAATCACAACATCTTAGAGGTTTTTTTTAAACTTTTCCGGCGCTGTAATATTCAAGAAAAATTTTTTTCCTTTTTGAAACTATAGTGATATTTTTTTCTGTATTCTTCTACGTGTGTATAGGCGATGTTTCCAAATAAGAAGAGAGAGAGAATCGTGCGGTTTTTTCTTTCCATTTCTTTTCAATTTTGTTTTTCAACAAGCTGAAACAGCAAACATTATTCGTTTTTTTGCAAACGTTGGAAGGAATAAAACGTACGAAAAATGTTGATAAAAATAATGCCATCAGGTTGGGTTGAAAAAAATTTTTCGGACTTTTGAAATTTCTTCGTTTTTTTCCTTTTTTTGATTTCATTTTGCTTTTTTTCTGATAATAATGTTCAACTAGAAGGAAATTCAAAAATAAGATTCGCGTTTTGTTTAGGAAGAGGCTTTTGAGGCAAAAATGGCAAAGTACCGCTAGTTGAGAAATCCATTTTTTTAATTTATCAAGTTCATTGAGCAGCACTAAAGATATTTTCTTTTCCGTGCTATTTTACTTAAATGTATATTCCTTGCAGTTGCAACAGTTGAGACGGATCTGGGATATCATACCGGAAAAGATGTGCGCGAGAGCGAGTACTGCACCCTGTTGGAACGGTTCGGAGATGCTCTTGTAAGTGCACTCGATATGTTTTCGGGACAATTAGAAGTCCTCTGCAAAGATCCATCCTGCCCCTTCCACCTGCCGAAATATCGACCACTATTGTTAACGTCTCTCGCTTGCTAATTAAGGCTCACAAAAGCGAAAGCTTCAAGACAAGCGAGTTTAAATTGCCAACCAGGCGGGAAGAAGCGAGACATTGCATGACCAAAAGGCCCTCGACGCCGAGGAAACACACATAATTAACTATTTCATTACTGGAGCTACGCACGTTTTTTGGCGTGTTATAATTTTCCCATTTCCGCTCTCTTAAGCAATTAGGGATCAACTTGGTAGGAGAAAAGATGAGAAAATAACATTTCAAATCTGAGATTTCTAGCTAGAGTGTATTTTTTCCAGTTTCACTAGTTCTGTTAAAGTTCAAAGCTAGACGGCTGAAAGTTTTTCAATTCGAAAAATATCGATTTCAAATAAAGCGGTAGTTTGAACGTATAAAATCACAAAAAAATGAGCTAATTAACAACTTTCAGATGATTAAGAAGTTTCCGCGATATCTGTACAACTTTTGTCCCCTTTCAAACTCCTTCCAACACTTGACAGCTTTCCTAAACTTTTGCAATCATTCGATCGCGATATCACGAGAAAATGACAGGTCGACGTTTTTGACACTTTCCACGTATTCCCGATGTGAAAAAAACGTTTGAAGTAGCCAATTATCGGCATACTTTGATAGGCAATTTTTCATCAGGCTTCTTATCAGCGCTTGACTTTTTTCGCACATTAAAGTGTCAGCCGCCGTTCGAGTCATTCAGACAACCTTGGAGAAGAGACAGAACTTTTCAAGGGCAGTACAAAAAGCACTAAAAACCATTGATTGTGTATCAAATCTTATTTGAAAATATCATCAGAAAAATGAATGGGAATTGAAGTTTTCTATTTTATGAATCACATTGATAATAATCTTTTGAGTACATATTCAATCAAGCTTTTTTATTAGATTAGGAAAAAAATATGCTGACACAAATCATCTCCCTTCGATAAAAAGACAGTTTTGAGTATTCGATGGTGAAATTAAACTGAATTATTTCCAAATTCCGATCACGATCTCTTTTGCTGCCTCCTTCGGGCAAAGAAATTACGAAAAGCGGGCTCAAAAATCTTGAAAAGAGAATCAACAAATTATATCTTCTGCTTCATCTTTGAAGTGCCAAAAAAAATAATTGGAAAGGGAATCAAACTTTCCATTTTCTGAGTAGTTATTCAAAATTTCATATCAACTGATATCATTTTAATTTCGAACTTTTCTCAAACTTGAAAAAAGGCAGATGGACGTTTTGGTTGAGCGGTGTGGGGAGGGGGCGGCTGGTGGAAGAAGGAAAAGAGGCGTGGCCAAATCCGTCCAGGGTGTCACTTGTACGCGATGCTGCCACGGATCCAAGTCGTATTCAGTGCTATTCTCGTGTTTCAGTACATTTCTTGCAGCGCCGATTCCGAGCTTCCACCGATCACCAAGGATGTTCGACCACGACCAAAGGTAAATTCCTTTTTTTTTTTCGAATTTGAAGCTTTAGTTTTTATTTCAGAGCTTTTTGCGTAATCTTTCATTTCATTTTTTTGTTTCCATAAGTCCGGTAAAAAAATTTTTTTTGGTCAATATTTAAACTCAGAAGAAAGTTTTGAAAAAAACCTGAAGGAGATTTCTTGTCAAAATTCATAAACTCTCCTCGGTCAAAAAAAGTTCTCACGTCATATTTTGCAGTTTTCTGAGAAAAACTTTCAGTTATCGCTTATTTTTCATATTCTTGAGAATTTTAAATGAATAAGGGAGAAGAACTTTGGGTCTACTATTTTTCGCTCTTTTTTTCTCTTTTGCAAGCTTAGAAAACATCTGCAACATTCAAACTAAGCTATGGCAAGTATATCTCGATATTTATCGGAGAAGGAAGTGACAGGTGTATTATTAAACTTAGTAGGCTTATCAGAATAACTATCATTCAATTCCATACTCTATAGGTCACTCTGAGGTTTTTATGCACAGGTTAATCGAAAAAAAATTTCGTAAAGCTGGAGGTGTGATTCGCCCTAAAAGGGCATTTCAATGAGGTCTCCATGGGGTTGATTTATGCTTGTCCTCCGTTGTTTTCCCAAATCACGCTTTTTTCCGGCTTTCGATGTAAAAAAAATTTGAAACTACTGGACTAATCTGAAATGGCTACATTATTATCACTTTTTTTGCCCTCTTTTGTAATTTCAACAGTCACAACCATTGAATAGACCAATTTCCGTTTTTAAAACTTTTGAACCGAAGGACTTCTTTTAGGAAAAAAAATCCTAACATTTTGCGATTGAGAAAAAACTTAACGGAAGTAAAATTAATCATCTGTGCCCTTGGTTTACCTTGAATTTGTCCTGTTCTCTTCGAACTTTTCTCCTATTCGCATGTGTTCTTCCAACGACCTTGACAAGCGGATGTAAAAATTTGAAAAATATGGGAAGAAAAGTTGGGAAGTCTGATATGTGAGAATTGAACACGGAAAATATAAAAATCAAAATCTTTCGAAGTTCAATATACAAGATAAAAATGAATCAATGAATAATAAGATCATCACAAAGTTGAGAAAGAAAAAATGGAGAAAGTTGCTTTTTGAAGAAAACCAATAGAGAATCTGCTGAGGATTCCCTTTTTTCCTGAGCCGAATATAACTACATTTCTCGCGAGTTACTCGGCAAATCATGAATTATGCGCATGTGGTATCCAGAACCGACAAGACTGAAACAAGCGGCCCAACCAGTCTCTGGGGATCAGAATATTCTGTTTTTTCTGCCTTTGCGTTACTCTAATGTCTTCTCTTCGGTGAGTCCTCAAAAGCTCAAATGCCGCAGAGTCCGTGTCCGACGGGGGCAATTTCGGCGGGCTCTTTTTCTGGCTCCGCCACAAAATTCTCCTTCTCTTTTTTGGTGTCTTGGCTCATCAGCAATTGAGAACGGCCACTGACAACAAATGCACGTCGTTTGCTGCGTCTGGTGAAAACTCGAACCGATTTCGAGCATTACGTGTCTTTTTTTGGATCGACAATGCTATTTAGTAGGAAACAAATATAACCGTATTTTTATGTTTTTTCGCACATTCTTTTAAAAACTGGACTGTCTTAATTTAAGATCAAAAAAGGTTTTGTGGCTTCGAGAATTTGGGAAAATCGCAATTATTATTAAGGAATAGAAGTAGTAAGAAGTGTAGTAGCAGAGCATTTTAAATTTCAGAATGCAGTTTGAAAAAAACTCGCTTTTCGGTTTACTCCATGAAAATTTTTTCATTGGAACTTTTGTCAAAATTCCCAAATTTTTTTCCAAAAAAATGAGTATAGCTGTTAAAAATAACCTGGCTCACTGCAAGAAAAACGAACTTAGTAACAATTTCCAAGTATCCAATTAACAAGGGGCTCGGCGGTTTGAGAGCAGCCAATAAAACAAGAGAAATTCCATGCAGATAGCGGCCACTCAGCGATTGGTCTCTCCCAGAATGCGTTTCGAATTCAATTCTGACAAAAGCATTCGAACTCTTTCGGAGAAAAAAGTGTGCGCTTTTTTTTCTTGCCGTTGTCTGAGAACCCAAAAAAAGTTCTTTGTCGACTTTTTCGGTACAGCGCGTAGATTTTTAAACGCGCGCAGGATGTTTCTGAAGTATGTGCTAAGATTTGGAATTGCTGTCTGAAATCAAAAGTGATCGAATAAACTGATAAATTTCGAATTGCAAGCATATTTCTATTGGAATTGGAGGTCGTAAAATCTTTTTGGCGCTCTTTCTCTTTATTCATCAGAATAGCATTGTTTCAATTTTGAAAAAAAAAATTTGTTTTCAAATTGAGCTGCTTGGCTTTCCCAGCGTTTTGGCGTGTAGATGACAGGCAAGGCAGAAGATTGATTAGAAACAACGCTGCCCTGCTGCGGCTTCTGGAGATTATGCACCTCTCCGGACCAGCATTGGTTGCAAATTGTCGCCCTCCAGAGGCTTTCACTTTCTTGCTGGACTCTCCTCTATTTGCAGCAAAAATGCTGAACAAAGGGGAGGCGTTACGTCATGAGATCCTATACTTGCGCATGTGTGGGAACGATTCATCATTGAAAAAAATTTTCTTGAACCTTGAAAATTTTTTTAAAGCTTGTCAATTTTTCATCAACAAAATAAATATTTTCTTTCTAAAAAGAAAGGTGATTTCATTGTCGATTCTCGAATATCAAGAAAACTGTTTAAAACGATTCTTGGTGTACATATTGATCACTCTAAAAATCAAAATTTGTGAAGTTTGCTACCATTCGAGAAAAAATGTCACAAACGATCACAGACTATAAATTCAACCCGAAAAATTTTTTTTGGAAGTTTGACTTTAAGGCTTTGAATCTTTCGATGGAAAACATCTGACCAGTGCTGTATTTTTTTGACTTTTTTATTTCATGATGGAATTTTAAATAATATAGACGCTCATTCTTGACAATCTTGACCAAACTTGACACTCCTAAGCAGATATGTATTTGTTGAGAAAAAAAAAGAGCTAGAAAGTAGCCAAGAAGTTGGACAAAAGAAAGGGGCCGAGATCCACATCTGGCCTTCCAGGTGTCGTCGCGCAGCTATTTTTCTTGCCCCGTCCGGCTGTCACCATGTTTCAGTGTTGATTTCGTCACCCCGCAGACAATTAGCGCTTTTGACGTTTTTATGGCCGATTCGAAGGGCCGATAGTACCTTGCTGCTCATTCCTCATTAGAGGTCGCTCACTTTTGAAAATTCTATTGAGTAGGGAAGATGTGGATGAAAACTTATTTTTTTATTTGAAGTGTTTTTCAAAATAAAAAGTTATCACTTTTCTCTTCTATTGAAAGAGAGAGTGGTATTTTTTTTCAAGTCAATAAGATCGTTAATTTTTAGTTCCAAAATAATCACTGAATATCATCAGAACAAGAAAAAAATCGAAACAAAGATTAACTTTCACACACGAAGAAAGAATTTATTAGGAGAAAAAAACTGAAAAAAATGTTGATGTCAATAAAAAAACTTTTAAAAAAATTTTAAACTATGAAATTCAAAAAAAGTTTTCAAATTTTGATATAGACAAAAATTTAATATCATTAAACCACGAGATTTTTCCGAAAAAAAAGTTTAAATCGAGTGTGATGAAACGCACTTTGATAAAAATAAATGATTTTCAGCAACCAGCGTGGATAATCGAGTCTTCAAGCGACTCTTCCTGGAATCCCGACGAAGAAAACTATGGAGATGACGAAGAGTTTTCCGGATCTGGACTCCCTCCTCACATCGACGAAGAACCCATCGGCTTCGTTTCTCGCGTCGTAAAAAGACCAGAAAGTAAGAGATCAACATGTTCTTATTTTAAACGAAAGAAAAAAACATCTAAGAATTCAATTTGCTGTGAAAAGTTTATAAAAAATCTTCAATATGCCTAAAAAGATCCTTCATAATCGGCTTGAAATTTTTAATTTTCTCTTCTTTCGGTATTGCTTACAAAATTTGATCATGAGCTAGACATAAACTTAAGAATTGATGACTTTGAAACAGAAAAGTTTGCGCAGAAGGCCTTAAAGAGGGTTCTTCATGTAGATCTAGAGACTATCGAGCAAAACTCATGAAAAATATCATGGTGCGAGTTAAAACGAGCCTGTCCATCAGTTGAGACAGAACCGCGATTCTTAATGAAACAAAGACTGTCCGCCTCAAACCCGAGTTAGTCACCACGTCTTTTCAAGCGCAGACACTCCCTCACCGTGACATTACACCCCATTCTTTCTATTCAAATCCTCCAACAGTCGGCGCCATTGGTATGATACTCGGCGCAGTGGGAGCTCTTTCAGCCGCCAGAACCGAGGCGAATTACTCACGGCGTGGTGCCGCGTACAGCACGTCGCTTAACATTTATTGTTCGCGCTCACTTCTCTCATCCCACTGTCTTTGATGCTTTGAGCCGAGGATGGAGGCCAGGTCGACAAAAAAATACATCTTCCAAAAATGATCCAACTCACGGAACTTTCAGTTATATTATTCCACCAAGAGAAGTTTTTAGGTCAGAAAAGAATATTTTCGCGAAATTTATGAATAGTCGCTGTTAGCTCTTATTCTCGAATGAAAAATACTCATTTCAGTTTCGAACGAGATCCTTGACGATAATGAACAGCCGCAACGAATTATCGACGAGTACGACGGCTACAAGTCCTACGATGAGATGATGTATCATCGTCGTTTGCTGATCACATTCATCCCGATTGTGATGTTAGTCTTGGTTTGAACCTATGGCCCCAGCCTGAAATAGTTTATCAGTTTTCGTCATTTATCATCTCTTTCTTGCCTCAACAAGATGAAACCAAACGTAGTAGTCCGTCTTCAAATCGGGTGTTCGATTCTCTCACTTTCATTTTCTCGTTATTTTGTGTTGTTAGCTGAATCTTAAATTCATAATTTGAGCGGAAAATTTTTTTCTGCTCTACAAAATTTTTTCATATCTCTATTATTGCTTTGACTTCTGCTCAGTTCACTTCAGTTCTTTTTGGCCATTTGCCGTAAACCTGCCATTTTTTCAACTAGCTTGTCTATAACTTCATTTACAGCCGATAAGAACCGAGTGAAACAATTTATTTTATCCTCTCTACGCGTTTCACGAGTAACTGAAAGCTGAAAATTAAACTTTTATCAATACATCGATTTGATTTGAAAGCAAGATAGTTCTTATTTTCGAGCGATGTCTGCTTCAAAAGTGCGGATTTGCATTGGGTTCAACGTGAAGGAAAGACCTGAAAGCATAGAAAAAAACTAGAAGTTGATTCTCTACGGTCAGACCATCATGAGCAACAGCATGGGTTGCGTTGCGATTTCCCGCAAGTTGAAGTTCGTTGAGATTGACAATATCGAAACCAATGAAAAGGTCCTGAAATTTTTGTTAACTTTCTCTGATTCACCAAGACTCAAAGCAAAACTACAGATATTCTCGATATTAATAATGAAACAGCTTCTCAAGAGGGAGATCAAATTCCTGCAATTCAATGGTAAACGCCAAGTCTTGATGCCTTGGAACCGTACTACCTCTTGACGATTTCAAATTGGATGATTGTTATTCTCCACTTAGTACATGAATTGTGTTTTGAAAATTGTAGAAAATGTTTCGAACTGACTATGATCTTTCAATTTTTTTTACTAACCTTCAAGTCCACAGTCAATTGCTGGCTCCACTGCTTGTCCTCGTTGTTTTGGAAAATGTGCTCAAAACGAAGCAAAATGCTCTTTTTGTGCCATCTTTCGATGGTGAGCAAGTGCAACGCCGCGGGCAAATCTCGTGTGAGTCCAGCGAACTGAAAGTCTCCAAATGAAATTTCGCATAGAACCACCCAATCACTTGTCGTTTTTTCTCGTTGTTTTTCGACGGCGTGCAATTTTCGAGCCCGTACTGACGACCCCGTATGCGAGTGAACGACTTTTTGCAAACTCTGTTGATATTATTGAACTCTTCAAAAGCAACAACTGGTTCGTGGAAAATCTCGACAGCAAGGGGACGGAAAGAAGCAGCAGAAATCTCGAATAAAAGTAAAAAGTCGTGAATTATTGAAGGAGTGAATTACTTGAGTTGGTTGGCTGAAAAACAACGTGTGTTTTCCGATTGCAACAAGGCCTTTGCCGTCTTTTCCGGGTTCATCGAGGGCTTCTTCCACTCCGAAGTAATCATCATAGAAACAACGTCGGTGGATCTTGAAAAAAAAAAGTTTTTTTCCAATCAACTTTGATATTCATGAGTTTACCATAATTTCCACAGCTCCATTTTCTGCAGTTGCTCCTTGAGCTCGATCGGTTAGTACAGTGAACTGCTTGTTTCCATCCTGAATATTGCAAAAAGGCATTTTTGAACAGGAAAAATCTGACATTGATATAAATATGACTTGTGATTGGATAGTAATTAGCAGCAACGGGCTCAGTGTCTTGATACTTGTAGGTGGGGGCAAAGTTACGACTGTAATTGATGAAACGAATCATTTTCTTGAATCATGAGACGAACACTCGTTTCAAAGTTTGACGACCATTGGAGTCAGTGAAGAATGTCGTAGCTGACTCGGCACCAGATACATCGGTCAAATAACGGACCACCACCTCTTTCGTGACTTTGGTTAACCTCAAAAATATCATTTCTCTTTTATAAAAAGAAAAATGAAAAAAAAAACTTGTCATTCTCTTTTTGGGATCGGCCCAACGACCCATTCAAGTTCAACATAAGGTTTGCCAGCAGGAAGCCGAACTGTGGCGAAAATCCACTCAGAAACTTTAATGCGCGCTTCGGCAACGGATCCAATCTTGAAACTTTAATTTGATTTTGTCAAGGTATATACAGGAACTTGAACGATATCCACACTTTTTGCTGTCACAGGCACGGCACTCCCATTTTGTGGTCGGAAAATATAAGCTCCGGAGGTTTGGTCACTGCCATTTTTTCCCACTCCTAAATTAGGACTTGTTCAAAAATTTATTTTTGTCTTGTGGTTGATTTGATTTGACATTGAAAAAACTATCGGCGTGAAAAACGGCTTTACTGGCAGCAAGGAAGTCGCTAGAATGCGCAAATTTTTGATCAAGTTGCAAATTTATCAATTTTTATTTGGAACCGCAACATTTTGAGCCATTTTACATACAGTAAGAAAATTCGACTTCTGAAAAATTGAAACAACCTTGATAATAGAAAAAGCGAGGTTGAAGTTTGTGTGTCAAGTTTGTTGTTTTGTCGAATATGGCCGTTAATCCCTCAGTATCGAATGTCAATTCAAGAAACTGAGCTCATAGTTAGAATTGTGTAGGATCTTTTTCAAACCTCATTCGAAACTTTTTTCTCATCGCTGGAAAACTTTTTTTGAAGTGTGGATTTTCTGTAAAAAACTAGGTTTTCAAAAGGTCAGCAGTTGTAGATCATACGCAGAATCAGTGATGTTGACGAGGAAAGTTGTATATCCAAGAGGAGGAATTGAAACCGGAACATGAACTTGATATGGAGCGCGGTCCCCGAGAAGTGTAGGAATGTTGAAAGTTGGAACAGTCTGAAAAATTCTCTGCTAATTCAAAGTTTAAATCCTCCTACAGTGGATTTGATGATTTGACCTGGAGGACCTTCAACATGAGCAGCTTTTCCCGTAATCGGTATAATGATTGTTGTCGATTGGGTCCTTGAGTTGGAATTGAAGACCGTCACCCAGAAGGATTTTTTGTCCCTGCAGAAAGAAAATAATCTTTTTCGAATCAAATGTTTACTTCGTTGCCGGACAAATGGTTTCATTAAGAAGAGGGCACAGTGTTAGCTTAGAGCTTGTGTTCGGATTCATTTTGTTGATGAAGTCATTGACAACGAGCTCAAAACAAATGTTATAGTTTTCCATTCAAGATTCTTACTTCAAGCTCATTTGTAGCACCTCCAAGTTGTTTCTCATAGTCTTTTGTGACGTTCTCCTTTGCAGTACCTCTGAAACCAGCGTGATGACAGACCAGCTAACTTTTCAATGAACGAACGTTACAGCGTCGTGGTGTTGGACCAGGGCGCTGGCCTCCATCATTTCCTCAACGTCAGAATCGTCTGCTGGTCCGAGGTCAGCTATCACGTCTAGTTGTTTTGCGAGCTGATGAAAAAATTGAAGTAAGAATACTTTGAAACCAATACATAAAAAGTTGTCTCACCGTCGCTCTATGGACAAAACAAATCCCCTTCTTTATTCTCGAGTCTTGGTAACAAAACCGGACGTGCTCCGGACGCTTTTGAGCAAGTCTAGGGATCACTTGAGAGTGCTGACGCTACTAAAGTGGTCGCTGGAAATGCCCCGACACGTCCGATTCACGTCCTTTTTGCGTCGCCCGAGTTTTGTCCAAGTTTTTTTTATGTCCTATTTTCGTCCAGTTTTTTTTGTTGATTATTTCTTTTCTTACAGATTGAAATGTGAAAAATCAGCAGTGAAATATTCACTTAAGGGGAACTGATAATTTTTCGATTTTTTTCACGTCTTCGTAGTTATAAGATGAACGGAAAAAAGTTAGTCTATGACGAGTTCTTTTCTTGTCGACTTATGAAATTTTCAATGATTTGAAGTTACTTGCAACGTCGAGCTGGCTTTGCGGATCATGCCTTTAAAAGTAGGTCTGCTCGTGAAATAACCCGTCCAGTAGGAGTGATTAGCCGACGCATATCTGCACAATATTTTGATCACTTAGACTGAAAAAAATGAAGTAGTCTCACGGGAAGAAATCGTCGCTTTTTGTTGAGAGTTTTGGTGCGGCTTCAGTTAAGGCTTGGACGTAGCAGGACGGAGTCGAATAAAAGACGTTGACTTTGGCGGTATCCTGTAGTTCATAAGTACGAGTTATTTGATAATGAGCTCACGTTTCCATTGACATATTTTATCAACTTGTCGAGATTGGAATACCAGGCGTTGGCATTCGTGTACTGAAAGTCGCTACCCATCAGAAGCATCACGTGTTTGGTTCTTTGGAAGGATGCCTGCAAGTTTCATTTTTCGATCACTTTAGTTTAATCACATTAAATTTGTTTCCCTTTGCAGATAGATTATTTTTGAAAGAGTAAACAGTTTTTTGTCCTACCAAATAAAGATCCTATACATTCCAGCTCACACATACTTCGGTTTTTGAAAAAAGAGTACTTCAAGTTTTCAAACCGGTCGAGAATTTGATGACTTTCCTTGTTAAACAAGAATGTGCACAAGTGAAACAATGAATGATTTCTATTTGATACAAAAAAAACTTTTAAAGCATCTTTCAGAAAATTTCTGATCACTCAGTGATATGAATTGTTTTGAAAACCTGTTTTCTGACATGTTGCACAAACGCATTGACTTTTTCGTCAACATTGTAATCTTCAAGTTTTGGGTTATCCATGATCGGATCGTCGCCACAAAGAGCATCAAAGCAGAAACCTTCAGGAGGGCCATAATTGTCTTGATAAAATCCTCCAGTTAAAATCAGTTTCTCTGAAAATGAATCGATGCTCAATTTAACGTATTTTAAAGACGTACTGAGGTCGTCCGAGGTGTTCCAAATGAATTCCAGCGATTTATTATTGAGACGCTCCGCTTTTTCCAGGTAGTGCATGCGAGCAAAAAACAATGATGTGTAGCCCATCTGTATCCTTTCTCATGTTGAGAATCATTAGATCCAAACCTCAGCAAAAAGATTCGCCACCTCCCGAGAATGACCGAAAGGATCGATTTGCCAAGCTACAGTAGGTTTTCCACAGGTTTCGAAAAGCTGAGACAGCTTCTTAAATTGGTTAATAACACTTTTTCATATATGAACTTGCTGAACCTTCAATCCCAGGGTCATTTGGTCTATTATGTCAACATAGTGAGAAGAAGCTTCGTCATTTTGCACCCAACCTCCACCAATCAACTCGATCTGACCTGAAATGCCCACGTACTTACTTTTTTGAGAAAAAAAAATTGTCGGACCAGTTTTAACCAATTTTTGCAGCTGATGACGTTCGAAGTCTCCGTGACTTGTGTACCATCTCCAGAGGAATCCCGTTTCAGCAAAAGAAAATCTACATGAAGATGAAAACTTGTTTATTATGTTTTTTTCACCTTCTTGTTGGGTTTTTGAGAAGCTCATCGATAACAGTGTTGTAGATGTACTGAACTCCGACAGGAACAAGGGAAGGCTTCGCTTGAAAAAAAAACTTTTTTCTTTGAGAATACTCAAAAAATAAGAAACATCCGTAGTAATATTGATCCACAGTCTTTATCCAACCAAGGTCATCATGTGTATGAGGAATAAGGTGGACATTAATGACGTCATTTGATTTCGACCATTTGTTGCAGCTCTGAAAGACGATAACTTGAACGAGAAGTTAATTTATTAGCGAAATAACAGCTCCTGGGAGTATTTTGCGACTACTCGACTACCATAAAAGTTTTGAAAATCGTCGCACAAATTTCCCCTTTGGAGAACATGCGTCCTAAAAGTTTGGTGCCCTGGGATTGTGTCTAAAGCTGACGCTTTCAGTTTTCCAGTCATGGGACTATGGAGTAGAATTTTGAAACATTTCTTAAAACAAAGCTCACGTTCCAAGAGCAGTCGGCTCGCGAGTTTTGGAATGCTGATAGCAGAAGTAGAAGAAGTAGAAGGCGCTGCATGCGCTATAATGTTGAAGAAATCAAAAGCTTGATAAATACTTAACAAAATTAGAAAGAAGAACGGACAGAAGGAAGAAGAGCTGGAACGATAATGATTTGGTATCAGTCGGAGGTCAAGAGCCGATTAATCACGGGCAAGTTATCGACCTCCGAGGACAACAGTTGCCTCTTTCGAGAACTAGGAGTTCCTCCCTGCAGTCGTGCTTCCAATGAGAAAGTGGCTTGTTTGTTTGATGTCAGGAACGTTATTGAACATGGAAAATTGTAAAGTTGAGGTTTGGATATTGCAGCTCAAAGATTATCACAATGGAGTTGACTAAATTTTTTCAGTATACTGGAATTTTTGAGAATATGAAAGGATCCTTTTCTACGTCTTTTCACGCAAAATTTATCGATATTGGGTGGCAAATCTATCTCCGTAAAATGTTACACTTGGAAAAAAATGGTGAAAAAAATTCTTCGACCTCGAACACAAAAGTTTCGGAGTTTCAAATCAAAAACGGTTTTTTTTTTCAGACCAAAAGGAATCAGTTGGAAAAATCGAAGATGATTTGAAAACTTTTCCAAAATGTGTTTTCGGTTTCTTTCTGAGAACAACAATTTCAAGGAACTTTTCTGATTCAATTTGATCAAACAAACTTGTTTTTAGAGGAAGTAACTACATCTTTCAAAAAATGAAAAAAAAACAATGCTGAATCAATCACATTCTTATTGTTTCCACATTCAATGAAGAAATGGAATTACCATTCCAAATTTCAAAACTTTTTGAAACCCCTGGAATGTTTATAGTCTGTTCAAACAAAACTTCAAGCCACTTTTCAATTTCACCGTGCTTGAATTTTTCCACTGGATGAAGTGGTTTATATATAACCACTTCATAAAAGGTTTTTTTCTGGGTTTTTGTAGTCGGTTCAGGAACATTTTGAAACACCAAAGTCTTTCAATGTTTACAATTTGCCAAACTTACCAGCTTTTGAAAAGAAAACTCTTGAAATTTGGCGTGCGACTTTTTTTTTCATTCATCGGTTTCTTCTCTTTAGACGCTCGAAAATCGTTTACTCTACATATTGCAGGACGTTTTTTTTTAACACACCGAGAGTTCCTGTATTATTCTTCGAAACTTTACAGATGAAATGAATTTTGCAGAAACTACGAACATATTTGCTGAATCTCACCTGAAACTGTCTTGTTGCATCGACTTCAAAAGGACTGATGTCCAGCAATTTTGTTTCCTTTCGGCCTTATTTTTTCAATTTTTTGCGCAGTAGTTTGTGCAAGAACAAGTGAGCTTTCAATACCACCGACGTGGTAACGTCAAAATCGAATTTCAATCTTTGGATTATTTTTCGCAGACCCAAGAAGTGCAGCTGATTTTGAGAAGCAAAATAAGCTTGTGGGTTTGAAGTGACGGACTCCGTGAAAAATATTTCGGACGAGCACGGCGTTCTTCGATGGATTACTCGCCGTTTGGTAATCCTGGCCAAACCAACTCTCAACCACGATTTTTGTTCCTTTGGTTATTCATTGCAACTTCTAATATGTTTCACGGCTTGTTTCAACGACTTTTATTTTTTTTTTTCTTTGCTGTCGGTTATTATTGAATTTCCGGAACAGGCCAAACACGCGAAATATTGCAGACTTCAAAAAAAAAAACTCTCAGTAATTATTCCTAGGGCATAAATATTTCCTGAAAAAAAGGTGTCATTTTTCATTTTTGGTTTTTCACTTCATAGTTTTATTCATGAAATTAGAAATAGTTGGCAAAGTACTCATACAATTTTTATATGTTGCTACAATTTCTGAAGTACAATCATAAAATCACAAGACATGTTCCTGCTAAGTATTCTCTCATTGCTTCCCTTTTCCCTCAGAGCTTTTTTCTTATTTTGCTTGTTTTGTGATTTTTTGTAACTTTCACCTCGCATTTTGTTACTCCCATGTTTTCTCAATGTCGCTCCTAATACTCACAGCGGCTCAAATGACAACCTACCAACAAAACTAACTTCAAACAAAGTCCAAATCCATGAAAATCCAAAGCGTATGATTCCATGAAGACAGCTGCAAGACTAATAATAGGCGTTGCCGAATAAAAAAATCGTGAAATATAACGTTAGTGTGTGCCAAAAGACTGATATATGAAGCTTCAAGGGATGATTTATTGACTGCAGAGGCGCCGCGTCCTGGAAATTTTATTGTTTCAACAACGGCTCCCTAATTACCTGTTGGAACTGGAAAATAATCCAAAAACTGCCCATTAATTTTCTTGTTGCAAATGCGCTTGAAGATCCTCTTCCCGTATGTTTTTTCCACCAACGTTGCCATAAAAATATCTGAGGATATCTCAGAATTGAACGAAGCAGCCATTAATAATGTAATATTGAGTGAGATGCTTTTTCAGTTTGGCTTGTTTTGACATTTTTTAATAAATAGAAAATGAAGATTCATTTTGCTGTTCCATGAGTCTCGAAGACTCGACTTGAGACGATCAAATTGGAAAACTCCGCAGATCGGTTCTTAGCTGAATCTTTCTGCTTTTTGCAGTCGTGTTGCAAAATTTAGAAATCATGAATATTTGACGATTTACGTGAAATGCGTGTCCTTTTAATATTTCCGGGCCGTCAAAAAACTTGAACGATATAAAGAAAGCATGAAGAGCTCTTGAGCTCATCCCTCAATTATTTCTTCTCTTTTCAAGCATTTTTATACTGTCTAGAGGCTCACTAAGAGGTTTTGAGTTAGTTTTTTTTAAAGGTTTCGAAAATTTTTTTGTAGGAAGTAGAAAATTGATCAAGGGTTTGTAAAGCCAGAAAGAAACTTTAAAGATGTGTAAAGAAAAAATTATTTTCAGTGAATTATTTCCAGTAGATCGCTTTCGACTTATTCAGCTTGTTTTTTTAATGTCGTTTTTCCGTACACTCATCAAGAAAAAATTTCGAATTTTTTTAAAAATCAAAAAGTTTTTTTTCAACTTTAATGAATTCTTCAAAAAGAAACTGAACGATTCTCTAGGACGTTTAAACTGGGTAATGAGTAAATTTTTCTTGTTAACCACTTCTAGATTCACACCAGTGGGTGAACGATTTTTATTGGATAAAACTTTTATGTCCCTATGAGTCGATATATTGAGAAAATGTGAACCCAAAAAAAAAGATTTGAAACGAAAAAGCATGGAGAACCCTAATTTAAAAGTCACTCTGTCGTTTTATAAAGCTGTGTCGAAACTTTTGATTTCTTTATCAGAGAAATCTGAATAAGAAACTTGATTTTTGAAATGAAAGGCGGTTTTTGGAGAAGATCTGAAGTATGGTTGTTCTGGAGGATTGGTGAGAAGTGTTCAGCAGCTGAAATCGGAGTGCTTCGAGCATAATTCGTGCTCGAGTTGGACGGAATGTCCATCGAAGCGTTGCGCAATTATGCGTCGCGCAATAACTGCTGATGATTTTTCAAAAAAGCCTCGTTTTATTTCCCATCGTGTGTGTCTGCTTCGAAATTATCGCTATCGGCTCAACTTATCGCGGCTCATTTATTTCTTAGCGGTATCGTCATAGCAGGGGCGGTGGCTCCTGACAAAAAAAAAATGTGTTAAACTACCACAAATCAACTGGCCCGGTGCTCAATTTGCTCATAAACCCTCATTTACCTCCACGAGAGTCGTTCGATCCGATTTCTATTGTTTATTCAGAAAATCCAAATCGTTTGAAGCTCCAGTTATTTGAAGTTCATTTAGGTAATTTGCTCAAAAGATGTTCGTAGATATGAAAATCATCTGCTGCTTTTGACTTTGTGAATCCTTGAATTATGTGCCCTGGGTTCGAACTCCTTAACGTTTTTTGATTTTCTGAATATTCTAAAAGTTTTTTTGATCATGAAATTTTTTTGCCCTTCTATGAGAATCTCTGCAGCTTTTTCGCACCTGAAGATCTTATTATCCCAAACCACCCATGGGTATATTTTTCTTCATCATAAAGTTGAATTTTTCTATCAAGCTCTCGGCGGACCACTCTTTATTTTTTTCCAATGTAAGAAAAAAATGTAGCAAGTTTCAAAGTTGAGTTACGACTTTCTTCTTTCTAAAAGGTTTCCTTCTTTTTTGGAGAAAGTTTTTTTTTGATTAAAAGGATGCTCTGAATTTGTTTTAGAACTGATCTGACTAAACCTCGCAAGTTGAATTTTCAGAAGTAATTCAAATGAAAAAATTAAAACTTGAACTATTCAGTCCTGCTTTTTCTGCCATACTCTCTTGGATGCGAGTCTGAAAACCGCGTCCGTCGTTTTTTGGTGCCAAGTGCAATTGAAGCACGCGGTTTTCGCGAGCCCCAATTCAGCGTGTTTCATGGCACAATGGGTAATTGCTCGAGTGAATACCTGCATTCAGCAGATCACCATAAAAACGCTCGAGACCTAAGAAACGTGCGGCGGTCTAAAGGAGCTACGACTCAACAAATTATCTTCCTTTTCTTACCTTCATACGACCTCAGGAAGTATTGATCTGTGTAACTGAAAAAAAAAGTTCATTGGCAGATTCTTCAATGGAATACTCCCCCTAAATCATAAGATAACATTGTCTGATAGATCAGAAGAATACTCTGGTTTGAAAAAAAGAACTTTTTATTTTTTTCTTTTTCTGCATCAATTTGTCCCAAAAAGTCCTGCGAAATTGTGCGAGTTGTGTTTTTTTTTATTCGTACATTAAAATATTTTCCGAAAAAATTCAGCAATATTCCCTTAAAAAAGGATATTTTTCTACAAGAAAATATTGATTGAAAAGCCGAACAACTTCTTTTTTTAATTTTTTTAGATTTTTTTCAAATTTCAAGAAAAAGAAGACGTTTTTTTCTCAAATTTGTTTGATTCTCAGTTTTTATTCCTTTTATGCTCTTTTTCTCACTTACTTGTTTCATTCTGCTGATAAATATTGGTCGTCGGAAAAAAAGCATTTGATTTGAATTTTATGAAAATTCCTTTTTTTTGAGCTAGAAGTATGGAAGCTGCAAGTTGAACTCAAAAACTCGTAGCCCAACTCTCTTTTATTACCTGATTTTTCATTCAGACGTGAAAATTATTGACTCAGAAGCACGTTTGCCAGAAGATGAATTTAACATGTGCAATGCTTGGATTTGAGTGTTTGGAAGCAGAAGATTTCTTCAATGACGTCAAGATTACCTTTTGATGACGTGAAATTTAAGTAGGACACAAGGGATACGATGAATAGGCGTGTCGACTCCACCCTTGAGTCGAGAGAAGAGAATATGGCCTATCGCAAATAAGAAACCCGAACTCATTTTTTCATTCAGTTCATTTCGGGGCAATTTTTTTGAAACTTTTATAACAGTCTTTCAAATTTTGAGCTCAGTTTGCCTTTAAGGTTTGGAAAATCAAAATTTCCGTTTTTTGAACTGTAATTTTAACACGGAACTTTTTAAAATCGGGAGCTTTGTCATACCTTCGTTCTTTTTCTATCAAAACTGTGCCCTCACGGTAAATTTGGTAAACTTTCCTGAACTCATTTTCCAAACTTTCATAACGTTTCTTTCTCTTCTCAATTATATATACTTCTTGACGTACCCGACTGAATTTTCTGTTTCAGGTTGATCTGAAAAGCTGAAGAGCGGATGCTTGCAAATGCTGGCCGTCTTGGTGCTGTTGCTGCCCAGCTTCGCTTCAACTACCATTTCAACGACTCCAGCGTCTTCAGATCAGTCTCTAGAGGTTGAATTTGAATTTTTGAATCACTCAACGTTTGAAGTTTATATGTGAACTATTTCAGATATTCTGATTGTAAATAAGAAAACTCTTATACAATTATTTCAATATGGAAAAGATAATATTTTACAAAGAAATCCATTTTTAAACATTTTTCATGCGTCGTAAATCTTTACAGAGCTATTATTGGAAGCTGTATGTTCAAAATAACATGATACTCAGCGAGTTGCGTGAACGCTATAAACAGGTTTCCAAGTGTCTCTAGTAACCTTCCTGTGCATGATTTTTCATGACTAACCCAGTATTTCAACTTTTCTTCTCGTTGTAAATGTGGTCTGGTAATTCATGAATCCTTCTATCATTTCATGCTATCGATTTTTTTTCTCGAAGCACATAATAAGCCAAGAAAAACTACTTAGAGGCTTTCTGTTCCCTCATTCTTTTTGCCATTGAAGTACAGCGGCTCCTCGCAGTTTTTTTCGGAAAAGATTGAATGCGAAAAAGAGCCGAATTCTTTTTGACGAGGGTGACGGAGCTGCACAATTGTTTGCAGGAATTGACGTAGATAGTTATAATTTGATTAATCTTCGAAATATAATCAATGAAAGAACACAAAAATTATTTTAGAAAAAAACGTAATAGATATTAAATCAAAATGCGACACATGAGACGCGTTACGCAATTGTATTTTCTCCTTTTTCTGTCTCTTCTAGGAAATTTTTTTTGAAGAAAAATCTTTCAAAAAAATGGTTTAAATATGAAATTTTACTATTCTTAAAAAAACAAGAAATTTTTTTCTTGGAGTTCTTATCATTTTTGGATAGGCTCATTCCTTGTAGCTCAATTTTATAAAGTCTTAATTTTCGACTGTTTTATTAATGTGTAAACTCAGTCGTTAAAAAACATGGATTTCAAAGAACCCTTCCTGAAATTGAAATGGTTTTTGAAACACCTTGCATGTGTTTGACCCCATTAAAAACCTCTAAAAACCTTTTACTGCTCAAGGAAAGTCATTTTACTTTGTTTTTACCGAATGTATGAAACTTTACCGATACTAGACAAAGCGCGTGGAGTTTCAATTTGCACAGTCTTTCCGTATTAAAAAATGGAGTTCTCAAAATCTCTGCCGATGGCGGAAAAAATGTCAGGGGAAATGAACTTTGAGGTGCTTTTCTCGGAAACACGGAAGTTGTGACGGCTGATACTTTTTAAAATGCGCTTATTTAGATCGCGAAAAAAATAGTAATCTGAAGAGGCAGATAAATTTTTTGTAAATTACCAAAAGTACAAAAATTAGCCCAAAGTATCTGGGAAGGTCTAGATTATAATCAATATTTATAAGTCGACATCTGATCTCAGATTTAGTTTCGAAAGTTTTTTAAGCTGCAAAATCTTGGCTGTTTCTCTGGCAAATTTGGATTCGAAAAACAACGAGTACAAAATTGATTTTGCAAAATTGAAGGCTATTAGGAATCTTATTTTAGACCTTCAGACGGTTTTCAAGCAAATTTGCAGAAAAATTAAATATTTCATTCTAAATTCACCTTTCATTACAGTTATAAGAAATTCTTTAAAAAAACAAAGTGAAATTACTTTTCCTTGTCAGCACATTCAGAGCATTGGGAATATGGTTTCTTTGCAGGAAAATAAATTGTTCCCAATTCCCGCAACGACGACGCCTCCTCCATTCGCTTTCGAAGGCTTGGTGCGTCATAATAAACTTTTTCATAATGTCTAAACGTCGAATATAGGATGAAAATGAGCAGTGTACTTCCGACAAAATAATTATCGAGAAACTGCTCGAAAATTACAAGTCTTTCAAAACTCCATCCGAAGCTGGGGTCATCGTCTGGATCGAGGTTTTTGAGCCACACCGTTTTTCCGCATATATTTCTTTGAAGGTTTGGGTGCAGGAAGTCAATTCGGTAAATGAAATCACAAGCGACTTTGACATGGACATTTACGTCACCGAGCTGTGGATGGATCTCGCTCTACGTTATGAGCATCTCAACCCCTGCAAGTATAACTTGTCTCTCAACTCCGAAGTGAATCCTTTTTCGAAAAACAGTGTTAGTATAACTTTTTTCAGATCCTCGACCAGATCTGGAAGCCGAACACCGTATTCATCAACAGCAAGTCGGCCAATATTCACAAATCTCCGTTCAAAAATGTTTTTCTTATGATTTATCCCAATGGCACAGTATGGGTGAATTATCGAGTTCAAGTCAAAGGTCCATGTAACATGGACTTCAGGTACTCTTTTCCATCATTGTTTCACTAAATTTATATATTTAGCGCGTTTCCTATGGATCGACAATCCTGTCATTTGACGTTAGAATCTTTCAGTTACAACAATCAAGAAGTGAGTTTTGCGTTGATCTCAGGAAGGAGCTTTGTTTTCAAGGTGGACATGCAGTGGATGAATTGGACCGTACCGCTGTCTTTGCTGAAACAGGAAATCGTTCTTCCCGACTTTGTACTGACTAATTACTCAACATCAATAAAAAATGAAGTCTGCCAGTCAGTATGTCGTATCTGAAGAATAATTTTAGATGTATCCAGCTGGCGTGTGGAACGAGTTGACGATGACTTTCATTTTTAGTAGAAGATATGGATGGTATATTTTTCAAGCCTACATTCCTACTTATCTGACTATTTTCATAAGGTAACACTAAAATTCGCATATTTGTAACTAATAATTTTACAGTTGGATCAGTTTTTGTCTTGGTCCAAAAATGATTCCCGCAAGGACCATGCTCGGTGTCAATTCATTGCTAGCTCTCACATTTCAATTTGGAAACATTATGCGAAATTTGCCTAGGGTCAGTTATGTCAAAGCCCTCGGTGAGTCTTAGAAAAAAATTGAAAACAAATTTCTTTTCAAGACGTTTGGATGTTAGTTTGTTTGACTTTTGTATTTTCTTCTCTTCTGGAACTGGCAATCGTTGGATCAATGGGAGCCCGCTCAGAAATCAAACAGGTTCAAAAGTTCATTTTCTTTTTGACCGAAATGTTTGCCAGAACAAAGAAGAAAAGAAAGAAGTATCCCGGCCGACTTCTCCAGTTTCTTGTCCTTCTTCCCCGAGGATATGCCGGAATCATGTGCCAAACGAATCTGTTCATGTTTTTAAAAGTTATGGAGCAGCAGGTTCATAAAGTTTGAAGATTGAGATATCTTCTTTTTAGATCCGCGGATGAGAAAAAAAGTGATTTTGACACCAACAGGAACGATTTCAAGAATGCCTAACTCTGCGAACAGGTGCATTTTTGTTCATCTATAAAATCGTGATTAAAACTTTTTTCAAGAGCTGAGAAAGTATTGCTACTCGATGGACTGGAAGAAACGCAATTTACTCAAGAGGATTCTTTCGTTGAAAATAAAAATCAAAATCGTTTGGCAAAAGTTTATATCTAAAATCTTTGAAAAACTGAGAAGAATTTGCAGAAATTGCGCCGTTTCACAGCCGACGAGATTGACAAAATATCAATGATTGCTTTTCCCGGGTTGTTCACTGTATTCAACATTATTTACTGGGGATACTACCTCAACGTCAACGAATGAGAAATCAAACTACAGTATATGCTTTGTTATGTGTCTCTGCGTGCCTTTGATGTTTCGAGCTGTCTTTCATGTTTCCGGTAAACGGTTTATCATTCTGGTTAACTTGAACAAAAACAGACAAAAAGAGATTGCAGTAAGAAAAGGCAGTTCATAAGAAATTATGGGAATTCGATCAACAGAAAAAGAGCAATCAGCGTCTCAGGCAGGGGTCTTCAACTTTGCGGTAAACTTGAGATAGAAGCTGAGCCTGAAGCTGACGAGCTCGGTGAATGCGCATGAGGTACTGCTTGCATGGGTCGGCGTCCGTCGGCGGCTCTTCATTCATTTGTCTCACGATCTCGTCGCGTCTTTTGATCTCCTCCAGACGTCTCAACCTGTTCCGCCTGCTCAGCTCTTCTCTTCTGATGAGTTCGGCACGACTGAAAATTGAATTATCTTTGAAGCTGCGCATCTCACGATAAACTGACTGTTGTTCATGGCGTCTGCGAACTTCTTCTCTATGTTTCTCGATCGCCACTCTTTTGGCTTCTTCCGCTTTCAGCCACGCTGAAAAAAAAAGAAATAAAAAAAACAACAGAAATAAACAGACCATCGTCCAGGATATTCTCCTGCTGATCTACTTGCTCCTCCTTAACCTTGATGCTCTCAAGACGGACGTTCTCTTCATGCAGTTGTCGCTGTCTTTCTTCTTCTTGACGTTTTCGTTCTTCTTCGCGGCGTTCTGCTTCTCGTCGTTCTGCGTCTCGTCGTTCTTCTTCTATGCGTTTTTCATCTTCCCTGCGACGCTCCTCCGCCTCTCTTCTCTCTTCCTCCTCTCTTCTGCGATCCTCTTCACGTCTTCTTTCATCATCTCTTCTTTTTTGGTCTTCTTCTTGACGTTGGCGCTCATCCTCTTGCCTTCGAACTTCTTCTTCTCGTTGAAGTCGTTCGATTTCGATTCTCTCGCGCGCTTCTTCCTCTCTGAGATGCTCTTTCTCCAGACGCACCCGCTCTTCTTCACGGAGACGTTCTTCTTCTTGCTGCTTGCGCTCCTTCTCCTCCTCCTCCTGGAGGATTCTTTCTTGATCTAGCCGTTCCTGTTCACTATTAGAAGAATGGCTCTCGGTGTGAGTTTCATTAGTCGTAATTATTTCGATGACGTGGGTGTTGTGAATTTGATGATTTCCTGTTTCGCCACCGTCCAGATTACTGTCATCTGTGTTCACCGTTCCATCGACAACTTGATCTCCTTCCAAAACATCTTCATCATCACGAGGCAAAACGTATACTTTCTCATGTTCGTTGCCGTCTGAGTAGACTAACTGAAATCTCTGAATTTCCTTTTTTTAACTATGGCTCAAAGCACCTTTTCGAAAACCTCTTTGTACATAACGTAGGTGGTGGCGCAGTACTCGATTCTCTGAGAGAGAGATAGATTTGCCAGTAGGTCGTATTTGTACCCTTGGAAATGTTGGACAGGTGCATCTAAACAAAAAAGAAGATTTTAGAACCCTCAAATTGAATGATACCCGGGGTAAGAAGTTCGATTTCATGCATGTGGTAGGAACGGTTCGCTTTATCTCCTTCAGCTATGTACTCCGCAGGAATTTCTTTTATGAAGTGTTGCTAAAAATGAAGTTGATTTTCACTGATGAATTAGGAAAGAAACTTTTTCTTTGAGCCCTTCGTAACCGCAATTGTGCTCGATGTATAGGTAGGGCTCGATTTTGGTAAACTGAACATGAAGGTATGATGTTGCAAACGGAGCCAAAGAACCTCGCTTGTGAAGCCTTTGACGCAAAAGAAACCATTTTGGCCAGCAACGACTGAGCCAAGGAGATCGTCGTTATCGAAAAAAGGTACTGTAAGAAAAGAATACTAGTTTTGCAATGGAGTAACTAAACTAGGAAAATATTGAGCAAATTCCTTTTTTGATTTGTTTATTTTCGCGTCATCTGAAGCTGCGCGACCCGAATCGAAAAAAAAGTCAATTTGTTTTTTTTAAAATGCTTTTCTCAGATCACGGAGTTTTTTATGAGGCTAGCGAAACATTTTCTTTTCGAAATTTTTAAATTTTGAACCGAAAAAGTTGTGAAAATGGAATAATTTCCGATCAGGCATTTTTACTAGGAGACCAGAGCTATCAAAAGCATATTTGTTGAAATCCTGAAAGCTGAATACAGAAGTAATGAAATCGAGTCTTTTTCTGCGATTTTTCGAGAGTTACTGTAAGTGAGAAGTCTAAACAGGTGTGTTCACAAAACCGTGAGATAATTTCGCTTTAACTCATCTCAAAAAGTGTTTTTCTCATTTTGAAAAGCTCAAGTTAATAAGGTTTTATAGAAAAAAATTTCTAAGCTTTTTTTTATAAATGATTAATTATATTTTCAGATGCTTCTTTTCAAAGATGGTCAAATAATCTCAGACAGTAACCCTAGTCTCTTTCACAGGTCCTATTATGAGATTACACCCGCGATGAAATTTCCCCTTTCCTCCGATATTCTCGACAACCAATATCATTTAAAAGTTCGTCTGAGATACGTAAAGGTTAGCGATGACACAATGCCTTCCACACCATCTTACGGATTGGTAACCTTTTCCTCTCGAGATATTTCACGAACACGTCATCAGACCACATTAAAATAATGGGATCGGGGTGCGATGACATGCACCTTTTCGCCGTGGCTCGTCGTATAACTGTTCTGATGCGCTTAATCACGTGCTGGTAGGTGTCTCTTTTTTTTCTCGCAAGACTGTGTCTTTTCTTAGTCTTATTCGAATTATCAAAAAAAAAATCTCATGAGAAGTCATTTCGCTCGCTTTTTTTGAATTTCCAGAAAGGGAGACTAATCATTCATTAGCGCACGGCGAAGATAGCTATTCGGGGTGAAAAGGTTTTTCTGATATGAAACTTCTGAAAACTTTGCTGTAAGGAGGTTTCATGTAAAAACATTTAATTTACTCCTTGGGCTCAGAAAAGAAAAATTCGGTCTGACTAGGGAAGTGTGTGAGTGGAACGTCGCAGTTTTGGTTCAAACTACTGTGATCAAAAGTTCTGGAAATGAGTACTCAAAAACTGAGAGAAAAATATGCTAAACGCCCTAAGGAACTGGGAAATAGCCTGCCGAAAAAAGTACAGAAAAAGCTCTCAAACTGCTTTTTCCTTGGAAACCTGAAGAAAGTCAGTTTTTGGACATTTTCGGTACATTTTTCACTGGCTATTTCTTATTACCCTACAGCGCTCAGCCATTTTCGAGTACCCATACCTAAGAATACCTACCCAGAAGTTTGAATAAAATATTCTATTTTTACCTCATACACTTCCCTTATACCAAGACGATCGTTTTTAAAAATCAGAAAATTTTTGGGCCGAGTTTTTCAAATTTCAGTCCACGTTAGTGTGTTTCCTCTGGTAACTAGGAAGTCTTTTGAGATTTGAATTGCGTGTGTGATCTGGTCTGTTCTGTGTAGTGGATGGTCCTTGCGGCGAGGACTGAGAAGTAGAAGAACGTTACTTTGCGGGACGCCAAAGGCGCCGATGCCAAAAAGGGTACAGGAAAAAAACAATATGCAAATTCCTCCTTGGAGTACCGACAAAAAGAAATTTTATTTTTTTTCTCATCGTTTATTAAAAAAAGTCTTTCAAATTTGGGCTTTTTCCGAAAAAAATTCGATCGTTTTCAAGACTTGTTGAACTCCTTTTTTTGGCAGCGTTTCTCTCGCATGAAAGATAGTTTTACTTAGCAATCAAGGATCTGCGAAAATGTGGTCAGAGAGTTTCTTGATGTACCAAAAGCAAGTTCTGAGATTCCGAACCTGCACAACTTCCAAGATTTCGAAAATGAGGGCACAAGGACTTTAAGTGGTTTCTTTGGCTTTCAGGTGTCTTTTTCATAATTTTGCAGGCTGAGACTTTTTTGACCTTCACCTGGTACCTCAAAAAGTGTTCTGGCACCTTTTCGAATAATTCCACCTTCAAAGTAAAACGTACTTCCTTGACTATGCGGTTCCGATTCTCAGTTCATTAAAGTGTTGGGAAAATTCGCGGCAAATTCAGAAAGACTAGGTAAGAGGGCTACCCATTTCGAAGGCGCCTAATTTTTGGGTTATCGATCATTTTCCTCTTATATTATAGAGCCCTTAAGTTATATCAGATCTGCAATGCACTCCTCAGACGATTTTCTAGCGGGTGGAACTAACCAGTATCCTCGTCGTAGAGCTGGACGAACGCACCAGGCTGACGTCTGCCTCGACAGTTGACGTAGCCCTTGACGGAGACTGCTTGATCGGAAGCCCAGGCGAATTGAGGCAAAAAAGCCAGCAGTAGCAGGAGCCACGACCGCATGCCGACGAGTCGTCCGAGCCAATGACGGTAGACGCTTCTCGGCCGGTGAGTAATCCGTACAGGCGCCGCCTCCCCAATTTTTCGCTGCTTTGTTTCTCGTGCCTTTCTTGCCGTTGCGACATTTCCCTCATGGAAGAAGGAGCCATTTCGAGGAAACAACTGTACGATTCTATTCTGTTCTCATAACATTCAGAAAACTGAAAATTCGGATGAAACATAAACAAAGGAAAAAAAATGGAATAGTACACTAACGTCGAAAACGGAATGCGGCGTGACTGTAGCGATTTTGTTATTGAACTACCGGAAAAAAAACGTTGAATAATCTTAAAAAGCATTTGCAATTATAATTGAATAAAAATTGATTCTTTGGCACTAATTGAAGCAGCTCTTGTGGGATAATTTTTATGAATCGAAATATGGATACTATTATCTAGAAGCATGTTCAAGCGTTTTAGAACCTCCTAAAAAATGAATTTTTTTGAGTAAGAATATAAGAAGACAACAGGTTCCCTTTTCTCACCCGGTATGAATGTACAGTACCGTCCAAAAAGATAAGAAAGATACGCGTTTTTAGTCACAACTTTCTTGCGAGAAATTATCCTTGTTTTTCTGAATGTACTGTATGTTAAAAACATTGTTTTATCAATTTGGAGCGGTTCAAGGTTTCAAAAATTTTGAGCTCATCCCACAGGATGAGAAATTTTTTTACTCCACAGTCTACTTCTTCATTAAACAGATAATTTTGACCTTTATTTTGAGCCTTTTTTATCATCTCATTTTTTAACACCCGAGTGGTCGGTTTTCAGTTCCGCTCTCGTCTGAGATTTAATCTAACGTCCTCCAGCTCTGAACAAGCTGGACGTTGCACCGCTCCTACATGAAGAAAAAGCTGATTTTCTGTATGCTCAAGACTCGTGTACTACTATCACAAAAAACGTGGTGATCTACACTTAATTCTTGATCAACAACAGCTTTTTGAGACGACAAAATATTTTTCAATTATTCCATGATTCAGCAAAAAAACCTTCTTTGGCGACTGAATGAATTTTCGGAGTGTAAAGAAGTCCTATGAATATATCAGGAATTTCTGAACTTTAATGAAGTTTCGAATATTTTTTTATCGTAAAAAAAGAACAAGCTGGTTCACCTGTTCTTTTGAGACACTGGAAGCTGGTATGAAGTGATTTCATTTGAGGATATTATGTTGCAAGTAGAACTTCCAGAAGTTTCGAAAATGAAAATTGGCATGAAGCCCAACAATTTGGAGCTCAAGTCCTAGACGATTTATTTCTCCAAAAGCTCGAGAAACATGTTTGTGAAATTGAAAGCGAAAATTTAGTCAAGTCGGATAGGAAAAAGCTAGTTTAGGTTTCATTACTTGGAATAAATTCAAATAAGAACGTTTGGAACGGTCAGTTGATTGAAGAGATCATTTTTTGTCTATTCTCTGAATTTTCAAAGTATTCGAAGTGGGTGGTTTTTTTTTTTGAAAACAGTGTCGATGATGGCTCCAGAGCTTCTGAGGTGACGACAAAAGCTATACTGGAAAAACCTTCACTAAATTAAAAAATAATGAGCTTGAAAATTTAGTCATAATATCCCGAATTGAAAGGCTTTTTTTCGAGGCTTCCATCTAGAATACGGGACCCGGGCTTTTGCTACAACATCCTTTACATTCTGAGCTCTTGAAGATGCAACTGGGTGGACTACGTGCAGAACAACGAGACGAAGGACCGCAAGACCAGGCTCTCAACTTGAAGAACTACTCGTTTGGATTTCTAACTCGCCGAAGACAATTGTTTGTTGCAACTTTGAAAGTTCTTGTTTACCGCATTACTGGATAAATTTTTGATTAAAAACAAATAATTAAATTATTAGTTGATTGGGCAAAAAGATATTCACTTCAAAGGTTTTATACGTCTCTGGGAAACACAACTTGATAAGTCAATAAAAAACTTGAAATTGTTAAAAAATTACTTGCGAAACCCTAATATCGACTTCCGTGGCATCCTCCTTACTGTCTGTTTTTATTTTCCAACAACCGATTCAAATTCTCCCAGACCATCTTCCCTCGAAATAATCAAACAACGTCATTTTTCTCGTGAAAAAAGAGGCCATAAAAGGGAGACATGGATCGGTGTGAAATTTGTGGAAAATTTTATTTTTAATCGATTTCTTGAATGTGTATATTCTCTTTGCAAAACTTCTATGTTTTCTGACATTTTTTCAAACATTCTTTTCACTCTAAAAACTTCTCACCTCAAAAATTTGTAAAAAGCGTTAAAATGTTTTTGGTTTTTCCTTTCTTTGAGATTAAACTCCATCTTATTTTGGAAGGAATTTTTTTTTAAGGTAATGTGCTTCACCATGTGCACACAGGCTGTTTATGCCCTATTGATGTTTGCTGTATTAGTTCTTACAGTAGCCGCAATGGTCACGCCAGGTAAGAGTACCTCTGATTTATATAATTTGCTGGATCTCCTTTGGGGGAGAAAAGTCGAACGCTCAAAAAACCGCTACGTGACCGCGACGCAGTCTCTTATTTTTTTTTAGCACATTCGCAAACTTTAAAATAGTGAACCGAATAAACGGCAATTTTTACTTGTAAAAAAAAAAACCACGAATAACGCTTCTATCAAAATCGTTTTTTTCCAGGATGGCGGAAACTTCAAACAACTTTGGAAGAAGATATCCAGCTTCTTGAAGTTCCTAGAGTCCAAGGTTTTGAATTTTCGTCTACTTAAGAGTATTTTTCCGTCTCAGGAATCTTACCAATCGCATGTTCGTTTCCTGGGTCGAACAGTACGGTAACCAACTATGATTCCGACAATTATTGCAGAAAATGGTGGAGTGTAGGCGATTCTATTTTTCGCACGAACATGAAATGATTTGAATTCAGAACCTCCAGGGATGGGAAAGAGCCGTTACGGCAAGTATGATCGTTGCCGTAATTCTGGAAGCGATTGCTTTGACCTGGAATTGTTTTGCATGGTTCGAATCTTTATTTTGAACCATAATAGTAGCATTTCCCAAAAAAAGTTAGCTTTATTTATGAACAAATTGTGAAAAATTCATTTTTGCGAAGTTGAACCTTCATCAACCACATTAAAAAAGAAGTTTATGTGGGGAAGATTTTTCATTTAGGTTAAAAACCGGTTTTAGATGTAATAATTTTGACCTCATTCTTACATCTCTTCTTTGAGCCTTTTCAATTGAATCTAACTTTTCCGTTGTTCTTATTAAGAAGAGCAATTTTGCTCAGGCTTTTCAAAACCGTGAGGGTAACTTGAAAAAGTTCAGAGAATATCTCTAGAAGGTACAAACGCCATAGTTTTTCAGGTGCACTTGCTGTTTCAAAAAGTACCTTCTGCACCCGCTTTCACCTCTTTCCTTCGCTATCTCAGTGTTTCTTGCCATCGCTATATCAATCTACGCAATGCATACACCCAATCTAGGTTTGCCCAGTTTTTAAAGTTTGAAAAGCTTTTTCAGAACATGTTAGCACTTTGGCTTCGCGCTCTGTAGATGTCAAATCGCAGGTGAAGAACAACTCCTTTGAAATTATAATTACTTTTTTTATCACTTTCAGGTGAGCTACTCGTTCTGGTTGGCCGTCGGAGCTTTGATTCTCGCTGTTACGGATACACTGATCGCCAGTATGGCAATTTTCCTCGGAAAGCACGGCGTCTGAAAAGCTGCCGAAAATTTCATGTTAAAGGAAAAATAGTATGGTGAATAAATTTATCAGAACATGTGCAATCGGATCAAAATAAATGAAAAAAGAAACAAGGGTACCAAGAAAGATAAAGACTAAAATTATAAATGACGAGGCGTGGCTCTATATCATCATGAATGACAGCGCAAATCACCTGGAAAAAAAACGTGAAACAAGAGGAAAAGTCATGTGATCACAATTAATGCAGTCACGTCTATAATCCATGACTGGATATATGATGATATCTGAGGGATAGAATGACGGAAAAAATAAATAAAAACTATGTGAAAAGATCACATCAACAATGGAAATAGGTTCTCTTTTGAGATTTAAACAGAATGCCAAAAAAAAACAACTGACAAGCTCAAAACGATCAAAAAATGAACCCGCGTACGGTATGGAAAGTTTTTGTTTCGTGAAACTATCCAAACCTGACACAAACCTCATAAAAAGAACTTTGATAATTTTTCTTTTTGCTAGTAGCTCTTTTTTTCAACGAAAAAACTTGAAGAATATACAATGTGGCTGCAAAAAAATAAAAAAAGAAAGGTGAGTAGTTCGGTAAGAGAAATGAAGTCGAAGATCGTTTTGACCCGGCAACTTATTCTAACTTTTTGTGAAAAATTTGCAAAAATTCTTTTTATAATTATTTAAAAAAATCAAAACATTACGGTTAGAATTACAATACTTCAACAACAATCGGGACAGCGAAAAAAGTTCCGAAACAAGAAAAGCACACTTATTGAGTAGATCTATTTCTTGTGACTGAGAATGTGGTTGTCAAGCGCTTCTTGAGTGGTGAATCCGGCGTCGCAAGTCTGAAAATGATGTGATGAGAAATTTTGAAGCTGTTCTCCTCTTTCTACTTTTTATACTCACGAGCGAAGAGCGGATAGTTAAAAACTTGAAAGTTTTTGAAAGCAATTCGATTCGAATTCAAATCATTTTTCCATCCAAATTTCAGACAAGTTTTTCTCGAACGCTATCGTTTCAAAAAAATTCCAATTCCTGTGTTCATGATCCTAATGAATGACGAGAGACAGAAAAAAAAATCATTGATTTGAAGCAGATCTCCTCTAACTTCCAGCAAATCTTAAATTGTCGTTCATTCGCACTTTGCTCGTTAGCTGATTCTCAGAAATGTTAGTTCAAGCAAAAAAGCATCATCCAACTCAATCTCTATGAAATTCAATTTTTCGGAACTCAGGCAAAAAGTTGAAGAAAAAAACCCAAAAAACCATTTCAATCACTTAAAGATACCAAGCAAACCAAACTCCCATTTCGATTTCTGAATATTTTTTCCTAAAAATAAAATCCTGAACAAAGGTTTCAAGCGGCTTCCATCGTCGAACACACGTCGGTTTGTTCCAGAAAAAAAAACTAGTTGCAACTTGGCCTGAAGTTTCCGGTGCTCCACCAAAAAGGAATATGTAGTGTAGATGTTGGAAGAAGGGAAGCCAGTGATTACCTCGCAGACGTGAATCCTGCTGGAGACGTGGGCGAACCAGTGTTCTTGCAGGGAAACGGCGTCGGTGAACAAACGTTTACAATGCGTGCAAGGCAACGACAATGGCTTCAAACAGTCTGGGTAAGGGCAGAATCCGTACCATTTGCTTACGTCAGCATCTTCGTTAGCGTTTTTGCGCGGCGTGGCGGCGACGGAAGACGTCGGTCCGGCAGACACGCTTCCGTTGGTGATCGAGCGGGGGCTGATCATGACATCTGGAGGAGCCATGCGAACCGGCTCGATCAGAATTTCTTTGTCTGCAATGCAAAAGCGGAAATTATTTTTCATAAAATATTTTTTAGCTTCTCTTAAAATACCAGCAAGTTTTTCCAACTTGTGAATCATATTTTGCGTTTTAGACTTCCAAAAATCAACTTTCGAAACTCCATATTCTTCCACGTTTTGTTCCTCTGAAACTTTCCAAAAAATTTCGCTGTTTGAGATTTGAGCCTTCGAGAGTACAATTTTTCAATGAACAATTTAGATATCTGAAATGAATTATATTCTCATTCTAAAATCTAATTGAGAGCTGAAAAATCTTATGGTGAATCAACGAAAACAAATTATCTGAAAACGAGCATCCTTTTCCGAATTTGACGAAATGTACGTTAGTGAATGGTATGTACTGCATGCAGGATACATTCGCTGATCACCAAACCTTTTTCTTTCTCTTCAGCCTCCTTGACAAAGTGAGCACGAACGTGAACACGAAGACAGGTCCGGTTCGGATAGACTTTTCCGCAATGTTGCCGGGGACAACGAAACTCGCTGCCGTCGCGAAAAGTGAAGTGGTCCACATTATGATGAACCTGTGAGCAACGTAGAATGAATTGTCAGAAGATGTGACATACTTTGAGTTCAATTTGCGACTCGAACAGATCCATGCAAAAACAGCAAATTTTGGAGGGTTTAGCGACAGGTGTTTCGTTCTTTTGCAGCAACTAAACATGGTCTCTTGAAAAAAGGTCCTCAAGCTCTGAATAATAAACCGTCATTTCGCTGAGTTGTCCCCCGTTTGTGATGTCGCCAGCTTGATTATTTGGATCCATCTGAATAGCAAGTGGTATGTGCTGCTGAAAACTATGAGAAAAGAAAAACATCCAGGTGAAACTCAAACTGCGAATAGCACAATCGTCCGTTTTTTTGTAGTAGAAATGATAAATAATCAGTTTATAATTCCAGGACTTTTCAAGGTGATAAGAATCATTAATTATCGTATATAATGATATTTCTGAAAAAGTTGCCAAGTTTCCTTTTTTTTGGAAACAGTCTCAAAGTTAAAGCAGTGGTAAGACAGTCTCAACTTGAAGTAATTCGAAACAAAAAAACTGCAGATTTATGCTCGAAAAATGTTTCATGTAACTTTTTTTTTTCTGGGTTTTTAGATTTTTCAAGCAGGCTCAAAACTCCTAATTTCAATTAACGCTGTTTTTTTTTCAGTAGGTTTTGTGGATTTCAAGGTGCAGTAAGCTTTCTTTTCATCCTGAAAAATACTAGAATTCTTTCAGGTTTTTCAGTAATGATTCCCATTTGGTGAGATGTTCGTTGTATTTCAAGTTTTTTGAGAAACTTCTGATGAACACCAACCTCAGGAAGGATCGGTTTCAAAGCGCTTGAGCCATTTTCCACAGTCGCTGACTCAATTGTGCTGTTGTTGGAATCGGAACTGTAATTTTAATCTATCCTTACAAGAACATTCTTCTCTGTTTTTTGGGAATTGCTATAGAAGTTTTAAAAAAAAACCCCCCAGAGGTTAAGGTTTGCCGTTCAGTTGGTTCTTGTTCCGGAAAATTCATTTCAGGTTCCTTGATTTTTCTTTGAAATGCTTGATAAACACGGCTATTGTAAGCTAACCATAGAGAAAAAAACTGAGAAGTAAAAAAAAACAACTTCTAGACGTCTGAAGTTCTTTTAATCTTGAAATTAGTTTCACGTCTACTCCTATTCAGTAATTAGAAAATGCCAAGAAGTTTTGTGTAAAAAAAGAAAAAGGTTTTCTCAATCAGTTGATTTTCTGTCATTCTCAGCATATTTTTCATAAGCCTTTCTGAAAAAGACCCGGCAATAAATGACTAATATTTCTTTCATTCTTGACGCCGAGAACTTTTCTTACAGATTTCAGCAGTTTTTAAGTTTAAATTCGGAACTACGTCTGAGGAACCTAGACTCAAATGAAAGTCACAATTTGAACTGAGATTAGGTCCTTACAAAAGGAAGGATCATTTTTGTCAGATGGAATTCTTTATGCAGTACTTTTTCTCGGATATATGAAAACTTTCCGAAACAAAAAAGTGCAAAAAAAAGCCCACCTCATCGCAGAGCGCAGAAAAAGCCTGCACTTTGACAAAATTGAAAGCTTTTATAGTTTTTTTAGTATAACATGATTGCGTGGGCTAAGAAGATGATAAAAAAGCTAAAACTTTACAGCACTCAGAGAAATGAAATTCTTAGTACTGGCTAAACCCTTCAAGCCGCTGCTGCTGACGCACGAAACGTTTTAGTCCCTTTTTCAATTTTTTCGAGTGCTTTTGTGGGACTGTTAACACTATATCTAAACCAGCAAGCCGGGATTATCAGTTTCCAGAAATTCTTTTGCATTTTACGCTCTCATACCAATTTCTCGTTCTTCTTTGAAATGAAACAATGATATTACTTGTTGAAAACATGAAAAGTCTGACCTTTTTAGAAGGGAATTGTGAACATCTGCAGAAGACGCTGGTATTGATGCAGGCGAATTAATCAAAAAGCTTTTTGTACTGCTTATGGGTGACGCGAGAACCGGCTGAAAAAGAACCGAATTAATAATAACCAAAAAGCGAGTTTTTTGTTTTTTCAATTCGTTTCGTCTCTTAACCTAAATAATAATTAGATCTGTCTGTTATATTTCTAACCGTTTTGTTAAGAGCTATTATCCAAATTTCAAAAATATGACAATACCCTTTTCATTTGTGCCAAAAATTTATTTCTTCTCCTCATTTCTTTCTTTTTGTTCCATCATAACCTCAACCTAACTTTTTCAATTTTTTTGTTTCGAAAAACCAGGATAATACTTATTTCTAATTCAAATAAAAAAAGATATTTAAAAATTTTTTTGGAGTTATGCTATTGTTTTTGCTTAATGGTGAATGTAAGCGTAAAACTGACTTATTAAATCAGTGAGTAGCAGGAAAGAAAAATAAGTTTGGAACACAGATTTGTATGATTTAAAATATGTATCTCTAATTTTATCATTTTTCAATGACGATGTTCCGAATAGTCACATCGAAGTGGGAAAGAACTTTATTTTCAGATGAATTTTTGAGTTCGAATTGAAACTTACGTGTTGGGATGGGTGAGAGCTCATAGGTGAAGCCGTTGGTTGATCCAGAAGATCCGTTCGCAGCGCTGACTGGAGGAGTGGACTGTGCGAGGGCGACCTCCGGCCGGTGGGGGAGATGCTGCTGCTGCTGCATGTCTCGTTAGTCGCACCGCCAGTGGCACTCACCGGCGGTGCGGCGCTGGAGCTGGGAGAGCTGCTGCTCGCCGTCAGGCCGTCCTTCTTCAACTCGGCGCGAATCGTGTTGACAATTTCTGCAAAGGGTCAGCGTCCGGTCTTGAGGACTTGCTAGTGCAACAGAGTGCTATAGAAAATGATTGTTTCAAAATTTTGTTGAGTTTCGAGTTGGCTCGTGTTCATTAGCTGAAAGATAATCAACCCAGCTCTTGTGAATAAAGTTGAAGATTTTTTTATAAGTTGAATTTGAAAAACTGCTCTAAGTTGAATATTTAGAAGCCTCACAAGATCTTTGATAAAAATTTCGAAAGGGTTGTTATGAAAGCCTTTTTTTTCAAAAAAACCAAAAAAACGTTTTTTTAATAGACAATAAGTTTTTTTAAGAAAAAAAGAATTTGGAAGAAAAACTAACTTCTCAAACTTTTATATTGTTTCCTATCGTTTTAAAACCCTTTCATTAATTTTTAATCTGACTCAAAAAAATCACAAAGCGTAACGAGGTTAATGCAGAGTTATGTATTACTCTTTTCAAACTTTTGTCAATAGGAAAGAGAAAGATTTAAAAAAATAAGCAAGGCAACTGAAAGAAAGTTATGGAAAAACCAAAAGAAAGTGTGTGCGACTGTGGGTGAACAAAAAAATATCAAAGCTCTCAATTCAATTTCCGAGTTCCGATAGCTGAAAATACTTTTCAAAAAACAAAAAAAGAAAAGTGCGCGAGTGCATGGAGGGAAAAATGTGCGTTCGACTAGACAAGAAACATCTGCGTTCGGTTGCGTTGCGGGGAAAATTTGGCGGTCTATGAGGCTGAGAGTTTTGGAGTGCAAAAAAAAATCATTTTTTTCGGTAAAAAATTAGATTCGATTTGGCAGAAAATTTGGTAGGCATGCAATTTTGAATTCTCCGAAAAAAAAAATCGCCTCTAGCCTCATCGGACCCATGCACGAAAGAACACTGACGCACCCAGCAAAGAAACGCGAGCCCTCTCACAATCGGACGTGTCAATGTCGTTTAGGCACGCACCGTTATCCTTTTTGGTGATCAGCGACAAACTGTCCTCCGGCAGCTTTTTCAGCGTCTCCAGCTTCATGACGTGCGTTTTTGATCTTCAAACGTTGCTAGTTTGAAATCACTGATTTAGCCGCTATGATTGTTTCGACGTTTCATTTTTTAATCGACATGAACCAGGCGAGTTTTGTAAATTTTCTAAAGCTGAGCTGAGACGTGAATCACATTAGTTTGATTGAAATTTTTCAGAAATTCTTTCTTCAGTTAAGTTAAAACGCCAAAAAGCTCAAATTCGATCTTAACATAAATTCAAAAAAGAAAAAAATTCTCAAAAAAATTCAATGTTTGCGCTTTTTTTTGTTAGTAGAGAAGGCTTTTTTTCCCGAGAAAATGTTTCATTCAGAAATTCTGTTGAGGTTAGTGATAGAAGAATGTGTATTTCTCGCAGCAATAAGAAGTCAATTATTTTAAAGTAAGTTTTTAGAATTATCAAAGCTGCGTTTCAGAATTCAGATGAAATGTACAGTCTAAGAAGTCTTCTATGGTTTTAAAGTTATTCGACCATCATCAGAAATTAGATGGGACCAGAAGGTAGAATCACTGTCACAGACCTGAGGTGCTTGGCGAGAATGCCATGCTTCCGGAAGCCAATGCTGCAGTCGTTACAGACAAAGGAACGAGGATTGTTGTTTGCAGCTGGAGTTCTTCCGACAAGAACTGATTGCGTCGAGGCGGCCGGGTCAATGTTAGCCGTCACGCTGTCATCAATCTTGAAATTTTTTTAAATCTCGATTTTTTCCAAATAAATGTTCGAAATTTCGACGAATCACCAGAAAAGTTACGAATATTGCATTGCAGATTTTGGTCGTAAATTTCTAGCAAAAATAAAATCTGGTACCGATAAAGATTTTAGGAAAAGTGTGCAAAAAAAGCTTCAAATAACATTTTTCGGTACTCTCCACGAGGAAAGGGTGGCTGGAAACAAATCTTCTTTGAAAGAATTGCAGCTTTCGGAGTTATTAAACATTTTTTTCTATAGGAATTTCATTTTGTAACCAGTAAATAATTTTTTTCGCTGTTTTTTTTATTTTAACTCATATCTCAGAAAAAAACTCACATGGCTTCCGTGAGCTGTTTCGACGTGCTTTGCGAGCAGAGCTTTAGTTCTCAATGGCAGACGACATTCCGGGCACTAATTAAAAATTTTATTAAATCGATTTTTTTCAAAGCTGACCTGGAACATCCGGTTTTTAGTTTGCTGTTTTTCGATGTTATGCGTGTGTTGATGCAAACTGAGATCGGATGATTTCCGGAAGGTTCTATCACATTGATCGCATTTCAATGTTTCCTGAAGGGACCTGTTAAATAAACTTTCCGTTTGATTACTACCTCTTTTTTTAAAACGAAATTGTGAATCGATGAGCTTGCTGGGACTGTATGCACCGTATAAACCTGAAGAAATCAAGAGTAGATTCATGATTTAGTGAGGATTCTACTTGAACTTGTTGATGGTGGGGCTGTGGAAGCGTTGCAGGAGCGATTGGACTGGAGTTTATCGCCAAAGGAACTGTGGAATGAGCTGGAACGAGCAGCGTTTGAGCCGTCGGTAAAACAGCTGCGGAGAGTTCTAAAAGAATTGGATAAGAGACTTTTCGGTATACTCTGGAATCAGTGAGGTAGAGTATTCTCATCCACTTTCAAAACTAAAGTTCCTTCTCTTTCCGTTATAAAATCTAAAAAACTAACGATGAGAGGAGCTCTCGTCGACAGCCGAAGGCGGGGCACTGCTACAATTGCGATCGACGTCAACGACAGGCCAGCAGCCGTCGGAGTCTCCGTCGACCAGCATCCAACGGGTCGGCGGCGTGTGGGCGGACCTCTCCAGCAGAATCTGCTCTTGTCCGAACTTCTTCACGTGATGCTCCGAATTTCCCATGATGTGGTCATCGCCTTCCTCGTCCGAGCTACTAAAAATCCTTTTCAATGAAGTTTCAATCCACTTTCTAACTTAGCGTCCATTTCATCAAAGTAGTTCTTTTCGTTGCTGTCTTTGCCATCATCTGACAGAGCAATCTCCAGTCTGTCTTCGCTGTCGCTGTCGCCTGAAAAAGCGATACTGGCAAAAGTAAATTAATAAATAGTTTTTAAAGTCAACTGGCGACTAGTTAAAGTATTAGGTTTCTGAAAATTATTGGCAAAATTTTTTTGTTTTTGAATAGAATATTTCAAAGAACATCTTCCAAGGAAGACTTCGTTACTCGGAACAGTTTTTCCTGTGCATTCGAAGAAATAGTTTCGATGTACTGGTCGTTTACCTGCAGGAATTTTAATTTTTAAGACCTCTTTTTTTTGAAACATTTTGTTTTTGTGATGAAAGGGGAAGAAAATCTCTTTTTTAGTATACTCAGCAGTGGTTCGCCTTTTTTTTGTTGAGAAAAAGACTGAAATTGCCCATGAAAACGCCTTTTTTGGAAGCATATTAGCATGTTAAGAGGCGATTCTAAAATTCGTTAATGAAGAATTAGTGCTTACCATTCATCACCCGACGCCGATGTGTTTTTGAGCTTAGATGTTTTGTCAAGTTTCCTTTAGTTTTAAAAGAAAAATTGCACTCGGCACATTTGAATGGTCGAATATCAGTGTGTGATCTGAAATATTGCAGTTTCATGGTAACCAAAAATGGAAAAAGGTAGAAGTTTGATTGCAAAAGGGTGCTCACTACAGGAAAATGCAAAAAACGAACTTAATATGCTTTTTCAGCATGCTCGGTTTTTTGCAGCGAATCCCACAACGATCACAAACGTACCTCCCGCGCCCTCGTCCACGAACGTATACATAAACCTAGAACGAAATAAAACCCGATTAAAAGCAAAAAAAGTGGGTAAACTAAAATGTAATGTGTGGGAAAGTTTTCAGATTCCAACTGGTCGTGGCAGAAAAAGAAAGCTCTAAATGCTCGCCTCGTCTGTCCGATAGCCACCCATGACTTTATTCCCTTTTGGTCGAAGAGCTCTCAAGGCCGAAACATTAGCAGAAACTCGTGGAGATTCTGGTTCTTTGTACGCGATTCCATTCGGTGGAGGTGTATTCGAAGAACTCGGAGGTTTGTCGTCAACGACGATTATTTGATCGTCATCAACTCTTCTGAAGTAAATAGAATAAGATGAAGTATGACAGTTTTAAGATAACTGACATCTCTTCGTCTTCGTCGTCCTCTACGTTCAGTTCTTCTTGTTTGAAATTGGAGAACCCTGATGAATGGGCTTCCACGTTTTCTTCTTCATCCACTTTTTGGATCATTTCGGCTGTCGGAACTCGAGAAGGGCCTGGTTCGTCAAAGTCCTAATATGGAGCATTTTTAAAAATGAATTTTTTCTAACTCAAACTTCTTTCAAAGCTTGATTGGAAGCTACGATCTGGTCGAGCAAGTTGTAGTCGATCTCTTCTTCAGGTTTCGCCGTCTCAGATGGTTGCAATTGACGTGTTCTCATCTGGAAGAGATTATCAATAGAAAAGAAACAAGATAATTTAACCTTGGCGCTGTGGTCCCAGTATGAAGAATGAGTCATACGATACTGTCCCTGATCTCTATTTGCGATGGTGTATCGCCAGAAAGGCTTCACTCCAGTTCTTGGTTTAGTAGAACACATCCCCATGAACAACAAATTGAGTTTCGATTCGCTCTCGTTGATGGTTATCTGAAACTACAAATTCTCGAAATATTTTACTGTAAAATTTCTCTCAAGCAAAACCGAAAAAAAGCAAAAAGCCGAGTTCAGAGCCGAGCGTCACACATTCGAAAAGTTAAGTACTATTATTAAGAAGATCATTTTGATAAAAAAAAAGTTTGACTTTTCTTCTAATTTCGAAAATTTTGTACTAAATGACCTTCCTTGGTTAAAGCTTATGGTTAGTTGAAGACATATAAAACCTGCTGCCAGTTGGAGTACATGGAGAGATTTCCTTTCTGCTCAACAAACATGGGTTGAGGACGATGCATACACATGAATGTCTCCGAAGTTATACTTCTCCCACGAATCCGTCGCGATCCTGTGCTGTCGTTGACCATAAACGACGGCTTTGTGGCTTCCGGCTGAGAAAGAACTAGCCAGTACGGTCGTTCAACGTTGCCATCAATGTCAAGGTCTTCCCAAGAAAAAACGTTGGACTCCTGTCTTGTTGATATAGGCGGAACGGAACTTGTTGAGGGAGCTGTGAACCCCGGTAAATTTTGAGATGCTGAGGGTTGCGGCGAAGAAGTAGCCAATGATTTTGTTTGTGCCTGAGCTTGGATTGCCTGAGCAGATTTCTGCGCAGCTTCAGCGGCTTGCGCGGCTTCAGCAGCTTTTTGCGCGGCTTCAGCAGCTTGAGCGGCTTGAGCAGCTGCAGCTGCAGCTTGAGCCTGGGCTTGAGCTTGAGCTTGGGCTTCTGCTTGAGCACGTGCTTGAGCTTGAGCCTGAGCCTGAGCTTGAGCCTGGGCTTGAGCCTGAGCTTGAGCCTGGGCTTGAGCCTGGGCTTGAGCCTGAGCCTGAGCCTGGGCTTGAGCTTGAGCTTGAGCCTGAGCCTCTGCTTGGGCCCGTGCTTGTTGTTGCTGTCGTTGTTGAAGTTGCTGTTGTAGTTCTTGAAACTGTTGTTTTTGAATTTGTTGTTGAAGAAGTTGAGCTTGTTGTTGTTGTTGTTGTTGCTGTTGAAGAGCTAGGATTACGGCGGTTGGGTTGGTTTGAACAAGATGAACGAGGCTACTTCCTCCTTGGGCTGCTGCCACTGCGGCTAGTTGTGCCAACTAAACATCGTTTACTTTGGTAATTTTCGAAGTTAGTGCCTTACCAGTTGATTCTGATTTGTAATTTGTGGTTGTTGTGGAACTGGAGTGGCTGCTGGCGCTGGAGTCGCTACCGGAGCAGGAATGACCAGAGGCGTCGGCTGCTGTCTTTGCTCCAACGTCTTCGCGAAAGAAGGAACTGTCGACCTTAAAGTTTAATTCTTTGAATAGTTCTCCCAATTCCAAAAAATTATATAAAGCTTTGGGTAAAAAGCTCAGAAACAAATTTTTCGTTCGCTTCAAGTTCTACTTCGTTTGAGGCTTTGTTAGATAACGTTTCACGCTCACAAAAAAAAGCATTGGCACATAACTTCAGAAATTTCAGTATTTTGCAGAAAAACATGGAAATGTAAGCCTGGAAATCGCATTTTAGGCAAATTAATTTCACATGCTCGAATTAAACTTAAGGTAGTCTGCTGTCAAGGTTTTCGAAAGAATTGCTGTTCCCAAAACTTCAAAAATTGTGAACATTTTCGTCTCTTTTCTGCGAAATCATGAAGCTTCAAATAAAAAACGCGGTTCTCGCAAAAGTTTTCCGCTTTTAAGCGCGTGACATTCAAAAATAATCTTAGATGAAAAATCCATAAAATATCAAAAGAATTTTAATTCATTTTTTTGAAATTATCCCTCTTTTTTTTAGACAAAAATTATAAACAGACTCCGATATCTTTGGAAGGCTAAGAAAATTGCCTGGATTCCCAAAAAAAAACCATATAGTTGTAATCAAAAATTTTTTTAGCTGTCAAGTCGTCGCGAAATAAGAAAATGAGGACAAAAGACAAAAGACATTTAGAAAACAAAGCATAAAGCAAAAAATAGGAAGCTAGAACATGCCAACCCAAAAGAGGTCCCTTTCCAACCTGTCATTGAGTCCAGGAGTTGTTCTCGTTTCAGACTTTTCCCTAACAAGACTTGCACCTTATTTTCCAGAAGAAGAAGAAATGATTCAAACCTTCTCGAGAACGCGGTGTGATGCGATTCGATTCTATCAGGCTTCTTCTCGTCAATCACAATTATGTCGTTGTTATCCTGAAAGGCAAGTAATGATGGAAAACAAGGGTTTGAAAGACGTTGCTTTGGAAATGATAGAGAGAAATAGTAAAGAAAGGGGTCCTTGAGAAAAACAAAATTTTGGAAGAAAAGTTTAATCAGCGACAATGAGAAAAGGAAATGAAGACGGACAATAAACCAATTCAGTAGAAATGAGGAATTCCACTTTTGATAATATCATAGATTATCGTCACTTTCAAAATTTTTCAGAGCATCGCAGTCGCTTTGAGGTTCAGATCTAGCATTAAAATTTGCACATTTCGTCTCGCGGACCCTGATAACTCTTTGAAACAGAAACATTCTGAGGACCGTTTAACTTTTTTTTTGAAATATGTTCTAATAAAAAGTCATATTTGTATATTTGTGAGTGGACAAGCAATAACGGACCCTTCTGTAGTTCTTAGCATTAGGCTCAACGGCATGAAAGCCTTGTTGAGAAGTAGAAGGCTGAGTCGAGGAACTTGGTTGGTTCTCAAAATAGTTGGCAGCGGTCATCAACTTTCGTTTCAGCGGATGGCTGCGACGCTCTTCAAACGGCGGCTGTGGAGCCCTTGAACTCCCAGCAGGAGAAGCTTGCGGCTGAGCGAACTGCTGCAGTTGCTGAAGTTGTTGTTGAAGCTGCTGCTGTTGAGCCAACGACTGTTTTACATGCTGCAAAACCTTCTTTCTCAAATTATCTCTTCATTGTATACTAATCACTTCATAAAAAGAAGATATTTGTGTATCACTTTATCACGAATGGGTGGTTGTATGCAACAAGAAGTTCAGAAACTCAATTCAAAAAAAAAGATGATCGCTACAAGAAAAGAAGAAAATAATGAATTTTTTTTTCTTTTTCATGTTTTAATTTTATAGATCCCCGAATACTGAACATCAAATTTTTTTCATAAGGATAGGCCAATACTTTTGAAGCACTGGTTTATATGGTGTTTTATTCACTATTAGGTTGTTACGAAACGGACTACTTTATAGTATTGATACTTTTATAAAAACATTTTCAAGAAAAATCTCCCCACAAATTGGTAATTTTTAACATCTCTTGATGAAAGGATTTCAAAATCAGGTAATCTTAGAACGAAAAGGACGATCTTATGTTTCCTGATAAATAAATTCTGCCCGCTAAACAGAAAATTGATAAAATCTAATAAAGTTCCATATATTTGATTTTTATGTGAAAGAGCTTTTGTTAGACTGAAGACAAGTATGCTCTAACCTGCATACACCCTATTTACTACAAAATGAAACAGTTTGTTTTCTATACACTTCAATAATGCTGAAATTCTGTTTTTACTCCTTTATAGTCTCAATGATAGGAGAAAAGAGAGCAAAGACGGTTCAAACCGGTGCACGTCTAGGCGGAAGAGGTAGAAAAAAGGGAAATTCAGAAAACTAGAAGATGAGCACAATGAAACCCGTTCTCGTCAGAAATCACGTTTTGATCTCTTTCCCAGTCATCGAAAACTTACATCCTCCTCTTTTCGCTTGGCGCAAACTTGTTCGTGAGCTTGAATATTCTCATGAGGAAACCTGGAAGCAGAGAAACAGAAAGATAAAGGTGTGAGTGATCACTTACGAAATTTTGCAATAGGTGCATTCAGGCGGAGGAGGCTGGCTATGGTTGCGGACGATCGGGTGACCCGATGTCAGACTGCCAAGAAAGGAACGTGAAGGATGGTTCTGAAGGCACAAGACAAAAAGATGAGTGCATGCGAATCTTGGCGAAGCTTACCGAAAGCTCAAACAGCGACTGACTTCTGCTGGCAGCCTGCAACATTCGCGAGTCCTTCAGGCCAGGCGACGTTCGCGTCGATCCTGAAGAATCTCATATTCAGTCTTTCATTTTTGCACACGTTGTTAATGTTCCACATAGTGTTTAGCCGATAACATGCTTTTATTGTGATGTCGAGTGTTTAGTTTATCATGCTTGAGAAGGTCACGGGAAACGTTTTCTTGGTGGTCGAAATATATTCATCTTTTCGTGACCTCAAACTTACCAAAAAAAAAACTCTCCGAACAGCGAGGAAAATCAATTTCCATCCGATTGTGAAAATTCGAACATGGCATTATTTGTAGATTATTTTAGGACGGACGCTTCAAACCGCAAAGCACACGCAGATTATCTTTCTCAGAGTTAAATAATAGAACTTTTTGAATTTATTTCCTTTGTTTTTCCTGTCTCTCCAACGATATTTATGAAGCATTAACAATATTATTATCAGAGAGTACCCTAAAAAGCTGTCGGTCATGCAGGCATGGTGTGAATTCATAACTCATTCATAACCCTCGTAATCCAAACCCATTATGCTAATGGTGCAACTTGCGAATAATCAATGACTAAGCTCCTAAAAATTTTCCTTGTCTGAAAAGCTTTGAGAATCGCATTTTTCATAAGTTTAAAAATTTGCAAAGAATTGCGTTTGCGTGCGCGTCGCGGTTCAGTCAGCCACGAGCTGTCGAAGAATCGACGACTTCCTGGGGTGCATCGGTGGAAAGATCACAACCACATCACCACTCACCACCACTGTTACTGTCGTGATCGACTGATGATTGCGCACCTACTTGCCGATGATAGGGACGCTTCTTGCGGATTACCTACATGATTCATCCACTCTTTACTGCACCAACGGACTCAACTCCTACCGGGTCGCCTTGCAATATAACTTCGTTTTCGCTGATTATGCGATTGATGTGATCGGGAATCGATTCGTTGTTGCCTTTCTGTTGTTGAGGTAGCTGTTGAGATGTCGACTGAGGTTGAGCAACGTGTGAAGGTAAAGCCTGCACTGCGCCTTGATTCAGAGCCTCCGATACAGTCGCTTGAATTTGGGTGCTCGATGGCAAGGCGTGAGAATTTGGCGTGGCGATTCCGATAGGATTCGAATGGACGGAGTTTGTAGAAAGCAACCCTTTTTGAGCTGGAATTAGCTCCTCTCGTCGAGAGCTCGACTGAGCCAAGTGCTGTTGGATCTGCTTCTGCTGTTGTTGCTGCGCCATGTTCTGCTGATCGGCGAGCAGTGCCATCAGCCGCTCTTGCGCATTCATATGCGATTCAACGTTACCCGTCGATGCTATATTCTCGAAGCTATGGGGAACCGCAAATCTGATCTCACCTGGAGTGATCCCAGAAGAATGTCCTCCGGCACTCAATTGTTGTAAAGCCTGGGCGATAGCGTTTGCGTTGGCAACAGGAACGGCCACGTTTGGATGCTGCTGCGACGATCCTTGCTGTTGGAGCTGCTGGATCTGCTGTTGCTGTTGGCTTTGCGCCTAAATCAAATGCAAATTTATACCGCTTTCATATCAAATTAAAACATGAGCTTTTCTCATAAAACTGACTTTTTGATTTCCTATGAATCTTATCAAAGAATGGACAGGTTACTCATACCTTATCCTATTCAAAAATTTGTACTTCAATCCTTTTACTATTACCTCTTAAAAAGTGCAAGCAAAAACGTCATTTTAAATTTTTCAGTCATTCAAACTGGATTTTTGAAGAAAACTGAGCTTATCATTCATTAAGTTTTTGTTATTCCGTTCAAAGTTTCAAAGTATGAAGAATCCGAAATGTTTGTACAAACAGCCTCAAATTTTGAAACTTCAATTTTCTTCTTATCAATAATTTTTCATCAAAACTTTTTTTGAGCTAGAAATCCGTTATTCAAAAAAAAATCCCTGTTTTCTGTAATTTGAAAAAAAAACCTTGAAAATTTCTCATATTGGTAGCACTTAGGTTTCCTAACAATTCAATCAAAAAAAAAATGGATATAAATGAATGAAAAAACAAGGCTGTCGTAGTGAATCTTTTGTGAGGATGTCAACTAACATGTTGGTGCAACAGAAGCAGAAGGTTTTGTTGGGCTTGTTGCTGAGCCTGCTGTTGAGCCTGTTGTTGAACTTGTTGCTGCAGCTGAGCTTGAGAGTGGGGAATTTGTACGAGAGGAGCAGCTTGAGGTTGAGGTTGAGGTGCAACTAGCGGGTTCTGCTGGGCTTGTGGCTGCTGAGTCTGCTGTTGCAATAGCTGCTGGTAGTACAGCAAAGCGGGATTCAGAAGAGTGTTAGCCTGGTTCTGCAAAAAGAAATTCAGAAAACAAGAACACAGGAAATTTAAACTTGAACTTGCTGCAGCAGAAGAGCGTTGATCACATTCTGAGAGAGCATCTGATTTTGAGCAGGTCCCGGCTGCTGCTGGAACTGCTGCTGCTGTTGAGGAGCGTGAGGATTCACTTGGGTGATAGCGTTGACCAGTCCTGTATCAGCGTATGGAAAACTATTCAAAAATTTTGAAATCATTCCTCTACAAATTGAAATCATTTTATTTTTAAATTAATTTTTCACTCTCGAATACAATTCGCTTTGAGTTCTCTTTCCATTAAATCGAATTCGTTTATATATATATTCTTTATGTACGCCGAAATCTGAAAACGTGGATATGAAAAGTTTAATTTGAAAAAAGGAATATTTTTCACATTCAAACGTTAATTTTTTGAATGAGCCAAATTTTCTTCTCACTTCATCTTCTATTCAATTTTCTAGCTCAGCCAGTAAGGTTCAACTACCTTGGAGAAGCTGTTGGTTGACCACAGCAGTTTGCTGCTGCTGAAATGCAGCTTGTTGTTGTTGTAGAGCTTGTTGGCGTTGAACTTCTTGAGCTTGTTGCTGGGCTTGTTGTTGGGCCTGTTGCTGGGCTTGTTGTTGGGCCTGTTGCTGGGCCTGTTGTTGGGCCTGTTGTTGGGCCTGTTGTTGGGCCTGTTGCTGGGCCTGGTGTTGGGCCTGCTGTTGAACCTGCTGTTGAACCTGCTGCTGGGCTTGTTGCTGTTGTTGCTGCTGCTGCTGCTGCTGCTGCAGCTGCTGTTGAAAGATCATCTCCTGCAAGAATAAAACTTGTTAAAGTTTGTGTGGTCAGTCCTCGTGACTGCTAGTGATAATGTTTAGATAGATCTTAGCGACTTTAGCGTACACCGCTAACTAAAGATCTTCAGCAATATTTATAGTGTTTTTTTCTAATAAACGCAATTTTTTTGCGAAAAGGTGAAGTCTCTGTAGTAATATTATTGTTTTTCAAGGCTATAGAACTTTTTTTCATTTGGTTCAAGCTAGAAAAATATTAGAACGATCGCTATTTCTTTTTTTCCAAACATTTCCTTCTCTTTTGAATCAAAAACTAAACATAATCTTTTATTAATGTTTCTATTATAGGTGGTTTTTTTCTCTTTGATGCTTGTGTGCTGGCGTCTCAACTTTTTCTGATCTTTCACCCTCCCAATGCCTCAGATTTCATTATTTTACATCTGTCCGCAGCAAACGCTGCTCTTTCCTCTTTTTCTCTCCCTCCTTGGTCTTTCATACTTGTGAAAGAGGGACGCAATGGCCAATGATCAATGGCAATTGGGGCAAAAAGCCAAGAGCCGCTGAAAATCGCCAAACAACCGATCAAACCTCTCTTCTCTCTTTCTCTCTCGGGGATTCCTTACTTCCAAAATTGGAAATGAAATTGAAAATGGATACTTGAAAATTCAAGTTGCATAATTCTCCGGTTATATCAAAAATTGATGTGAAAATTAGTTAAGCTATTTTTTTTGACTAAACTACTCGAAAAAATGAAAAAAACTTATCTCTTTTAAAAATAACTTTTTTTAACCCGTGAAAGGGAACTAAGATCAGCTATCTGTGGTGCCGAAATGCTTGCGAAAAAAGGTCATAGAAGCGAGAAGAATAGAGAGAAGAGAAACAAAGACAAAGATAGGCTGATTTGGCAACATTCGCTCGCTTTTTTCCGCCAAAGAATCAATGAACGAAGTGGCGTCGAGTGGGTATTATCGTTTGGCCAGTGATAAGGCTCAAATCACATGAGCAAGCGAGCAAATTACCCTACGGTCCCGTTGCACCTCATCGATAGTCTGCTTGTCTTCTTTTTCTGAGTGATAACTGATTTCAAGCGGCCTATCACTGGCAGACGACACGAAACGAATCAGAAAAACATCAAATATAAATTTTTCGAGCAAAAAAATTTGAACGAAACGCCTAGAAAAAAACCAAATTTAAATTAAAAATATGACGGTAAAATAAGACCGAAAAATTTAGTAGACAGCCAATTCATTAAATTCGTCAGTTTTTAAACTCTTTCTAAACTCAGAAAAAAAGCCATGGTTGCCAATGAGATGCTCGTTCCAAATTAGCTGTTTTTTTTTTGCACAGAATTCTGTTTTCCGAAAATTGAGGAAAGATCGTCTTCTTTAAAAATGAAAAAGAGAAAATGAAACGAAGGTTTGAACTCTCATTATCTGCGAGTTATTTCGCCTGAGGCCTCTCTCTGCTCTTTTTTTCTTGACAGAGCAAAAACCAACGGCTGAAGAAAAAGAGTCGTGTGACTCCAGCATCATTTCGTTTTTGAAGTCAAGTGAGTGAGCAACGAACATCACATATTTTTTTATTCTTTAAAAAAATTATAGAAGGGATCAAAAATCATGGAAAAAGGGATGGAACTGGCTGGTGCCGTCCGAAAATTCTTTCAAAGAGGATTTCATGTGATAAATCAAAGTGCAGTAACATACAGTCCTTTTGAACAAAAAACATTGCTTCATGGCAAAAACTAACAGCAGAGGGCAATCCTGGAGCATTATTCAGTGAACGAACTGCGTTTTGTTTCTTCTCAACTGTTTTAGTTTTTCACGGTTCAACTACTCTTTTGGTTGAATTGCGCCAATTGATATCAATGACCATTCCACTTGGACGGATGAGATTTTTCGAAAACAACTCTAAAAACTCTCAAATGTACATTTTTTTACTTTAAAGTTTGCAATCTCGAAAAACTTGCAACAGCAAGAAAAATCGTTTTTCTTCTCAAGAATATAAACGAAATGAATCTAACGCCATTGAATTTTGGAAAATCACATTACTCTGATAAATTACTTTTTTCTTTCTCGTCTGCCACTTACAAAATTAGTTCTTAGAATAATTTACAACGACCACATCAAAAATTAATCTAAACGATTATAAAGCGCTTTAATTCATCATTACTCCTATTTATAAGAATGCCCAGATGGAATGGATCCCGTACTAAACAAAAACTACAGAAGATCTTTCATTCATTAGCAAGAAACCATTTCATTAGACTGCTGATCGCCTTCTCATTACCAAATACTCTTTTACATCGTTTCAAAGTAATAAACCGGCCTACTCGCTGAAATTACCCTTATTATCTTATCAGTTTGAAATGTTCCCGAGTGCTCAGTGTGACATTGGAATTCGGTGCCGTGCACGTGTCGGCAACGTGTCCGTTTCTTGAGCTATCAAAGCTGACGGAACAGTTTGCTTCGCGACATGACGTACTGTGCGGGTGTTCTTAGGGTTTCCACGGGCCAAATGGCGGAGATCATCATTTTATTCTTTTGAAATCACATTCAAGTTGAGATAATGAAAAAATAAATACACCCAAATGAAGTTTGTTCAAAAAACTTGTGAAAACATACCTCAAATGTTAAAGTTGCAAACCATGCACCTACCTATCTCCAGTTGTCTCCAGTAACCTGCGATAAAATTACTGCGAATCAGAAAAATTTCGAGCAAGAATTTTTTTTTGAGATGTTTAGTAAAGCTATTATCAAAGACGTGCGATGAAATTTAAAAAAAAAGTTCACTAGGAATTTTGTGTGAAGTCCGCTTTTCTCTATTAGGAACGGCAGAAAATGCCTCTTCATGTCCTTGGACGTCTCTGTTATGCAGAAAAACGTCTTTTTGCGTCCACCAAATTCATTTTCTCTTACCTAGTCTAAAAAAATATTAGGAAATATAATTTAAACTTGAAATGTGGAGCTTTCAGGAAAAAAATAATTAACTTCTGTTATACGACATTAAAAAAACTTTTTAAATAATTTTTTTAATCTTGGAAAAATGAAATTTGCAAAATTGTACTCCCGGGTTGGAGAATAAATGTATTCTTTGAGAATACAAAAATATCTTGTTCACTCAATATGAAAAACAAAGAAATACAAACAAGATTTTTTTCTTTATTTGTAGGGGTAAATCGGAAACGCATTTTGCACAAAGCTTATAATTTTCCAGATATAATTTAAATTCAACCTCAAACGAATAGGAATCTAATTTTTTTCCATAATCTAGTTGAAAGTCTAAAAAAATTGAAAAAAACAGATATCGATCCCGCAAAGTTTTTCATTTCAAATTCATAGTTTTTCAAAGTTCTTACCCTCAGAGAACGACCGCGTTGATCATGAAAATAAAATTTGAAAATTTTTTAGAACTGAAACTTAAAGGGAAAATCAGAAAGATTCTGAGAAGAGTTCACTGGTCAGATAAGCGAGAAACGTCATCAGAGTCTTTAGAATTGGAAAAGAACGGCAAAACATCAACAAATCGCCACACACTTGGCTTCTATTTTTGGCACAAAATCGGGGGTATCAGATACACGTGCATGGCAATGCATCGACGACGGCGTCAGTCAAAACAACGAGGATAAATCGAGGACAGTCGCTGCCCGACAATGGGTACGCGTACACAAATTTCCATATCATTCGTGTTTTTATCATTATTTTTTTCAGAATCCGCCATTATTTTTGGTTATTAAGGTCATTGTTTTCATTATTTTGTAGATTCGAGAAAAGGACAAGTTTTTTGCCGTTGAGATAATTTGTAGAAAAAAACTGTTGTCCGATTTTGAGGGAAAGTGTAAAAATAAGTTATCGGGAACCTCATGTCAAAATCGAGGAAGTCTGTGCAGCTGTCAGTTATGCTAGACCTGCATTTTCAAAGAATATTTTTATTCAGTAACAAACAATTTCAAGCTTCAAATTTGATGCTTTCAAGATTTGCAGAATCCTCAATTTTGATAAAGACTTCATTTTTGTTTTTGTCGTTGGATCATATTGTTTTCAGAAAATTCAAATTGTTGTTCGTACGTGCATTCAGATTTCAAATTTTTAATGGCATCGCAAAACGTCGAAAACTTTCAAAAATTTTTATAGCCATTCTGCCATGAAAATGATTTTTGGACACGGAACGGCGAGAAAACGTGAAAATTGGGCGGCGTGCTTCTTTTGTGCCGTGGAAGAGCGATTGAAACGACGCATTCACACTGTTTTCTGTCCCACGCTTTGTGGTCTTTTTTCCGGAAGAGCAACAACGAGAAAAGAAAAAATCTCACGATGATCTGTTGGCTGAATCCTGGAGCTGTTCCGTTTGAGGATGAAGGCCCAGCCGCTGTCGGCTGCTGTCCAGGCGGGAGGCCTCCGCCTCCTCCGGACACAAAAGCCATGGCCTCACCTGTAACCTTTTGTTTAGTGAGGTTTCCGCTACATTCAGTAGAGTTATACGATAATCAATTCCGAGGCGTGAAAATGCAGAGTCTGGTTTCTTTTACGTTTTTATTTGAACTGTCAGGGTTTCAACAAAAATCATGAAGAAATGGAAAATTTTTTGAATGATTGAATTTACAAATTTTACAAAAGAAAAAACAAACTTTAAAAAATTATTAGCAAAATGATAACTCAGTAAAAAGGTGAACCCTGAAGATGGTTTCTACCAAAAAAAAGCTCGCACTTCCAAATCTGACAAAGTCTCAGATTTCGATAGGTGTTTCTCAGAAAAATGTAAGAAAACAAGCGCAAGAGCCATGTCTCAGTGTAAGCGAAGCCGGTGAACAGCAGAGTAACTTCCAGTAATCTATGATCTCTACTGAAAGCGACTCAGGACCTATTGTCCTATGGTAAATCCTACGAGATGATCATAGTCATTCTTGTTGGATTAGCGTTTTTATTTTCTTTTTTTACGAGAAGCATTCATCAGCGGATTATTTTTCCCTATTGTCACTCTTTCACGAGGAGAAATTTCAGCGAATGAACTTTACTCCTAATTATTATATCTCACTGGAAATCTTTTTGCAGCTGATTGCTCAGGGAAGCAGGTGTAAAAAACTTCCACAATGACTCCAAAGATAAGTATAATTTGATCTCGCTTTATCAGCGTTGAATTTCAAAAAATATCGCTTTTGACAGACGAAAGTCGGATTGATAACAGTCAGGCCGATGAGGTTCAAAGAGGATCATTCTGAGTAGAACTAAGATTATTACAAACCAATGAGAAAGTTTTCAGAAGACAATTAATTTAACTTTCATGTTAGAACCTAGTGGGAAAGAAAAATTTGGTGACAAGACTCGATGAACTGTTTTTGAAAGAAAATCGTAATTCTATGTCCCAAACATTGAAGTATGGATAGTTTTTTACTCCTGGTCTCAGATCTAGGAAATGAAAAACTTCAAAAACTAAATTCTGAGTAATATGCAATGCGTTTTTTTTTTTGCTGTGAGTTCCTTTTATAGGTTTTGGAAGCAGAGAAACAAAAAGTTTTCAATTTTTTGCGTTCGTTCATTGGAATTACGTATAAGGAACCAATGAAAAGCGAGCCGCTGTGAAAGAAGTATTTAATAAATAGTTAGGAAAAACGCAACATGTGGAATAGAGCAGCAGAGATTCACACTACGCGCAGTGAATGAAAGCAGTAAAACATGTCTGGTGGGTGGGTACGAGAAGAAGAAAAAGATAAAGGAAAAGAGAAGCGAGGGAACGAGATTGGGAGGTCTCAAACGACGAGAGAACTGAAAATGCGAAACAACAACGACGGCGGACGGGCGGCCGGCCGAGAGTGAGGAGGCGCAGAGGTGCTGTCGAATCGGCGAGAACCGTCGTCAGTCGGGCAGATGGCTTGGTTGGCAAAACAGTGTGCATCTCGAAGAGAGTCGTTGCATTCCGGCATGATCGCCACAGTGAGATACTGAGGGTCGCCGTATGAGGCCGTCGCAACTTCCCAAGAACAGAAAAAACTGTTTTACTGTAACCTTATGAAGGTATAGTATCTCTTTGTCTATTGGAGAAAGTCAGTACTTGAAGTCAGTTTGCGGTGTTTATTATTGAAACTTTCACTTATAATGCTGGTGAAAATGAAAATAAGCAAAATCTATGTTCTTTTTGTGTTTTTTTAACTGAGGTTCTGATTCAGAAAAATTATTAAGTGAGTCACCGCTCACTTGAGAATTTCATTATTTGTATTATTTAATTTTGTTGCACGCAATAATTATATGAAAAACTCAAAGAAATCTATCTCCATAGAGAATATATTCCATTTTGTTTCCTCTTAGATGAAAATTCACGAAACAAAGCCCTATTTCTTTTGAAGTACAGTATTTGCCGAGTCCTGTGGTACCTCTAAAAATATTTCCGCAGTCAGATGCAAACAAAGCGAGAGCTTCGAGAAACCAGAAACTTCGGCAGAGACACAGAGGCCGGTGCACTTTGAGAGAGCGGAGAGACGAGACACCTATTGATCGTGACGTCATCGCCTTTCGAAGTCACTTTTCTTTGCGGCCTCTGCGGCCTTGTTATCTCTCCTCTTTACGATTTTGGACGGGCACTGCCACTTGGCACGGCGCCATTGCGGCGACCAAAAAGCGTCGCCTTTGCACAACTTGACTGATTGGCCACCGTCGCCTGAATGATCCTTCCAAATAAGATAATAGGTTTACAGCTTCAAAAAAGTAGGTTTTGAGCATTGTCTATGTCAATGATTTCAAAAAGTTTAATTTTTTTATTTTTTTGATCTAAATCAGTATAGTTCTTTCAGTAATAGTGTTAAGAAACCTGTCAGATTCTGTTCGTATCGAAGTCAAATGGCTAAATATGGTGTTTTTTTTTTCAGAAATTAACATTTTGGCCTTCTTTAAAGATTTAATTCATTTCTGACCTTTAATTGAGACAATATGAAAAATAGTGATATAAGAAACGGTGTGGGAACAAGTTTTAATGAGATATCTCAGATGATACCCTGAGAGCAACTAGCGGTAAACGGAGTCTTTTTGTTTTTTTTAATGACAGAAATTATAGTTCTATAAATGAGCCACAAAAAACAAACAACCAGGGCTCAATGCCACGTTTGGATTCTCGCAAAAAGCATTCCACTGACGTAGGTGGACAAGTGCTCCAAAAGCAAACAGTCATTGAAGAGAAAATAGGAAAAAATGTCGCTCCCAGTTCGGTTAAATGAATTTCAGCAAAGACACATGTTTTAAGAAAAGTTTAAAACCTCAAAAATGTTTATCTGAACAAAATTCTTATTTTGCTTTTTTTTTGCCTACACATTGGTTGTCAGAATCGAAATCGCAAATACTATTTGAACTTTTCGAAAAATGCCTCCAAAAAACTTGCGAAATTCGAGTTCCTTCGACGTTATCTTGACCTTGGGTTTTCCAAGATTGCTATCGTTGATAAATGTCCGAACAAAAATAGGTTTCTCATGTTCACAGCGTATAAAACATTGAGAAAGAAAAAAAAAGAAATTGATGCCTGAAGACAACGAATCAAAGAAAACGACGATAAAAGGAGTAGAGCGTAGAGATGGGTGCTTTCCCAGCGAAGGTATTCCACTGAGACGCAGACGAAACCAGAAATCGAGAGATGAGAGAGTTCTAGGGGCGCTAAAACCAACGAAGCAGTGCTGGTAAACAGAGAATGTGGGGAAGCAGTGAGAGACAAGGTCTTGAGAAGAGACAAGAGAAAAGTCCAATAACCGGCAAGACAGCATGATCGGAAAGAGAGTCGGCGATTAAGAGAAGAGATCAGGCGAAAGGAGGAGACGGCGAGGGAGGCTAAGCATCAGAATGGGAACGTTTAAGTTTGCGGAGAGGTGCGCAAGAGTTGTAAGAGCCGTAGAGGCCGAAGGACGAAGAGACTAGAGAGACGCACAGACAACGAAAAACCACGAGGACATGGTTTTCTGACCTGGACGCAGGTCTCCATACACTGTCAGAGTCTTATCGTCTGTCTCTCCAAATTCTCTTTTTTCCGTACTTGTGCCCGACAAAATAATGCAAAAAAACCAAATGCAAGGGTCGACGTAGAAACGTGAGTTATTGTGTGGCAAAGAAAGCAAAGAACCAAAAGTCATTGTTTATTCATGATGAGGGTTAGTACAATATCTGATACTGGGTGACAAGGCTTGGATCTTTTTTTTTCTTTTAAAGTTAACGGCGAACCTATAACGGAATCGACAGATTCAATGGGACTTTTGGAAAATTTAAACCAATGAATTCGTTCGAATTTATTCTTGGAAAACAAAATTATGCTGACTGAAAGTTTGAAGTACCTGTAAAACGAGAACATGTGGCGCCTAGGCAAGCCAGAAAGAAAAAAATGAAGTTAAGTTTCCGACTGAAACAAACAAGTCTGACTCACAAGTCGAAGCGTTCTCTTAAAATTTGTCCTTCTTCAATTCTCGTGCCTGATAAGAAATTTTTCGTTGACAAAAAGGAAACTAATTTGAGAAGAGAAAATGATAATTTAGAACTTGAGAACAAAATGTCTCGTTTATAGAAATAAAAAAGAGAGAAAGAATGAAAACCTGAAAATAACTGTTTCCATCGTCATAAGGAAAATTAATTTTTTGAATGTCGAAAGAGTGCCAAAACATGGAAATATGAAGAGTTTACGTCTTGATTTCTATTTTCCAGACATAGTTACCTAGAAACTACACAAAAGAACTTTCTAACTTCAGATTCTCTTTTGAATAATATCTCAAGACTTCTGATGAACTGAAAGTATCAGAAATTTTAAAACGTGGAGGATGAAGATGAGAAGGCAAGTCGAAAAATTTTGGAATTTTTTTCAATCTCTGACGTCAGAAAAACTGAAGGACAAACAATGATTTCATAAATAGGGAACACATCAAAAAAAAAATAAAAAACTTTTCCGGAGCTAGGAAAACATTGTAGAAAAGTCCAAAAACACAAAAACTGTTGTTGAAACAGTTGAGTGAGCCTGTAGGAAGTATTTTGGAGCGCACGACCGCTCACGCAAACACACCCACAAACTCGCTCATTCGCAATTCATTCCTCTGGACAAGAGTGGTGGACGCAAAAGAGTATAGGACAAAAGCGCTGATTCCAAGAGCGCCGTTCAAATTTAGCGCCAGTCCGCAATGCGCCGTCGCGTGTATGCGCCGTGTATGCAGACGCCGCTTTCTTTTGCGCCGAGTCCGTTTGCGCCGAATCGTTTTGCGCCGTTATTTCAAGCTTTTATTTATTCGCTCTTTTTTTATATTATTTATTAATAATTGTTTACTACACGTTCATATACGACTCGAATAATTTTCGCGCCATCCGTTAATGATGAGTTTTAGGTCCACTTTGGTCCAGGTAAAATATTTTTTTCCCCTCAAAGTAAAAAAATAAAAAAAGCAAATATGCTTTTCTGATTTCGAAAAAAATACAGAAAAACGTGAGAAAAAAAGAGAATGGATAAAAAAATTATAGCTTTAAACGACATATTGAGTGAATTTTTTTGTGATTGCAAATTTTTCTGCGTTAGGTAAGGCAAAGTTTCAATTCTAGCAGACGTGAAACAGCAGAAAATCGTTTTTCGTAATGTTGAACTCATTTTCTTGAAACAATAGTTCGTGTTTTTTCGAAAATGCGGCAGAAAGGTCCATATTAACAGATGGCGCGAAAATTGTTCGAGTCGTATATGAATGTGTCCTACACAATCAATAAACAATGATAGAAAAAGAGCGAATAAATAAAAGTTTGAAATAACGTCGCAAAACGATTCGGCGCAAACGGACTCGGCGCAAAAGAAAGCGGCGTCTGCATACACGGCGCATACACGCGACGGCGCATTGCGGACTGGCGCTAAATTTGAACGGCGCTCTTGGAATCGGCGCTTTTGTCCTATACTCACGCAAAAAGTTTGTTCTTTCATTCGTTCCGCGACTCCATCTGGGCTTTCCCTGAGAGAAGCGAGAAAAAAAACCGACAGAAAAAGATCGGCGATGGCGCCTCGAGACGACGTGAAGTTCACTTCCGAATGAGCTTCCGTGGTGCATCCCAATTAATGCGTGCGCGAGGAAACTGAGTTCAGAGGGGAAAAATAACATCTCCGCAGCTCATCCACGATATTACTGATGGAATGAAAGTGAGAAATATAAATTTTATTATTAAGTTAGGATGAAATCTTCTCACATCATCTCTGAAAATTAGCTTCTTTTCAATTTCACTCCCTAGTTATAGGCCATTCCAGATCTTCAAACAACAAAAAAAGTTGAAAAAGAAGGATCATTTTTTTCTGAGATAACTTTTTTTCATTTTTTTGTTGAGGATTATTCTCGCCGAAACAGTGGCAAGGAAAAAAATCTCTACGTTCAGGAAAAACTTGATTTAAAAAAAGTAAATAGTGGAAAAATCAATTGAAGAAATATTATCGAAGGGGAAGCTGAGAAATTTATAGTTGGCCAATAATAAAAAAACGGCTAAAAAAGTTTGAGAAAAAAATTTCTAAAAAAGTCTATTAACGAGGAGAGTGGCAACTGGAATTCGCACCTTTTATGATAGGTGTAGATTTTGATTTTCAAGCTCAATGACGTCATTTAAAAAAGCTCCATGAATGGCTTGCTATCTGATTGGCCCAAAGTGCCGTTAGGGGCGGAGCTTGGAAGACCGCTGGAGACTCACAATATGAACAGACAAAGGCCAAAAACCAAACGAATCAAAAAGTTCTATTGAACCCAATCGTACACAGAATACAGTTTCAAAAGAGAAAAAGGGTGAAAAACGAGGCAATATACACTTAACCTGCTGGCACCGACTGTTCGGCTGTCTACGTACTTAGGAGAGAACAGAAGCAAACAATGGCTCACCCACCTTCTTTTTGAAAAATCAATTCACTAGGCGAGGAAATTTCCTTCGCGAGTTGAAACTCTTATTTTTTTTGTACTGACATGGTGAAGCAGTTCATTCGCTGGTATTACCAACGGGCCCACATTATTTCCCAACGCTAGCTGTCACTCCGGGACGTATTGGACAAGGATTGTGGACCGTAACCCGCGCCGACGACTAACTCTTCGATTTTAACATGATTCAGCAGAGATTTTCTTCATCTTACTCTGAAGACTGAATAAATTGAGATTGAATTGAAATTGAACTGACAAAGAAAGTTCAAAAAAACCAAGGTTTGAGAATCAAATTGTAAAAAAAGAAAAAGGCGCCCAAATTTGAACGAAAAACTTTTTCACGACTTACAGCTTCTCGTCAAACTCTGATGCTTCAAAATCCTTACACTGATATTAATGTGAAGAAAAAGCCGGTTTCCGGCAGCATACTTCTTAGCAAAAAAATTGAAAGAATGTATTTCAAAATAGTTTGAACCGAGTTCTTGGAATAGATTTGAATGATGCACAAGACTACAAAGCATGACGTCATCAGCAATGATGAAAATGGACGGCGGAAGCGACTTTTCGAGTTGTTTGCGAAAAAAAACGAAAGAAAGTTCATCGATGAGCACATCAAAGGATACGCAATCCTTGCTAAGAAAATGTTTCAAAAGTGTTTTCGATCTTGAAAACCTGAGAAGCTCACTGGGTTGTTCATTACACGTTTTGAAAAGATTCAATTAGCAGAAGAAATTTTAGACGCTGTGATTCAAAAGCTTCAGCTTAATTGCGCGGAATCCCCAGAGCAATAAAAAGTCCAGCCTCGTCTAATTTTCAATTCTGTTTTCCGGGCTTTAATTTATTGGGATCATTCTTACGTGGAGGAGGTTGTTCAGTCGCGCTTCAAATAAATATTAATGTCAGGAAGCAATAATCGACCACGAGGAAATCTATAACTACTTTGAGTTACTTCGATTAAGAGATCCTAAATATTGTTCAAATTTTTTTAGTATGGAGAAAAAAAGGTTGAGAATAATTTTTTTGAAACAAAAAAATATTTAAACGGAAAGTGAGCGCCAGAGTTCACATAAACGATTAAATTTTCGGTACTTTTGACGCGAGAAAGGCAATGGCCGCATCTCAAAAACAGTCAGTCGCGGGAACGAAACGTCGTTAACGAAAGGCGTTCAACATCGTAACTCTTATGAGAGATGACGAACCACCGACCCAGCAGGACTTTTCAGAAATAGATTCTATTCCTTTTATGGAATTGGCAGGGAAGGGTTTGCTTTCTAGAAGCCGGTTTTTGCGTTTTTCTTTGTCTCTCAAATTTTCTTTCAAAAAATCTCGTCTAACTTTTAAATTGAGGGAGAGATGAAAAATGATTATTATTATTATTATCTCATTTCATCACGTCGACTAGTCGGTCTCACTGTTGTTCTCTCATGAGATGATTTTCCGAAGCCCGTCGGACAAGCTGGGCGCTGTACTGTTCCAACATGTGGAAGCAGTTTTTTCGCTGGTACTACCAAAGGGCCCACATTATTTCCCAACGCTAGCTGTCCCGACTTATTGGACGATTGTGAACCGTAACCAACACCGACTCTTCGCTTATACCATGATCCAGCTGAGATTTTCTTCATCTTACTCTGAAGACTGAATGAATTGAGAATTGAAAAGAAATTGAGAGATGAAAACGCGGTTACTGATTTCTTTTTTGAGATAACCCTCCGTTAATTTTTTGACTCGGCTTGTTATCGTGTGCTAAAAAGATTTTGAAATGGTTCTTTTATTTTTTTCAATTTTTCTTTATCTCTTGTTCATTCTCATAACTGACCTTGTATACCTTTGATTCTTGTCCTAATCAATGAAATGTCACGACTCGCGCAGTAGCATGTTACCCAGTGAGAAACAAGTAAATTTTAGAGGGCGTTTCTCAATTAAAATTGAATTTCGAGCACGATTGTCGCTTTAGAGTATGCATCTTTGCGAATTTGTATTTGAGATTTCGTGATTGCAGAAGACAAAAAAAAAGTTAACATTGGGCTTTTTTTTAGAGTTATGTAGTCCTAAAAAAAGCGGGGATGTACGTGCTGGAAAAAGTTTCGACGAGTTGCCCGAGGGTTCAGCAGAACTGTATTCCTGATTTCAAAAACTCTCACCTAGGTCTTTCAAAGCCACAAAGGCTCGATTCTCAACTAGTCCATGGGAGACTATATCCTAGAGAAATTTCAGAAAAAAATCTCTGAAAGTATATATTACGGTAAGAGCTGAAATCTCAAGAGGTGAAAAAAAAAATTTATTCTGGACCAGATTGTAGCAACGAAAAGTCTTTTAGCAAAAAAAATGTATAAATGTAGCTTTTCGACGTTTCTTGCATTTTCAAATGTTAACGTAGCGTCGAAAAAAAAGGTTTTTAAATTTTTTGAGAATTCAAAATTATTTATGTCTCTCGCATGCGTTTCCAGCTCTGACCAATCGGAAAACGAAGTCATAGAGCCATTTGAACTGGTCATGAGAACGAAACGTGTTTTCACTGATCCGCTTTCACTTGCAAAAATCATAATTGGCATGAACCGCTGGGGCCGGAAACGTGAACCATCGTAATCCGCTGTGATCCTCTTAATATGAATGCTGACCTAATACTCGGTGGTCAACTCGGGCGAAACAGCCGTCGGCCAGTCTTGCCCCGTCGCGCACCCATGCTCCATCCAAAGCCTTCTTTTTTCATTTTTTTGATTTTCAGTATTGCAACGAGTTTCGGAGGTCAGTCTTATTTCAACTGTTTTAAATAAAGCTATGAGATAAGGAAACAAAGTAAAATTGTAAAAATCTTTGATAATTTCTTAAATATTTGCTGATGTGTGCTCTGTACACCTTAATCAAGTAGTGAAAAATATTTCGGTCCAGTGATCTTGTAGAAAAGTCCAACTCACCTTTAAATAAATACTCTCACATGAATCTGACAAAAATAATTAGGCGAGCACAAAAACAAACTAAGTTTTGAAAAAATCTAGTTTGAACTTTCCCGAATTTCTCTATGACTCTGAGGCTTCTTCAAAGGCTTTCGAACACAAATTTTCTTAGAAATTCGACAATGCTTCATGAATCACAAGAATATCAGAATATCGTGCGGGAAGCCCATCGAAACGAGGTGAGCTTTCAATCATTGGCCAAGTGTGATTCAGTCTTTCTTTTCTTGAAAAAACATTCGAAAGAGTTTTATGAAAAAAATTTTGGTGGTTAATTGAAAATTCGATGAAATTTCGCAGAAAGTTATTTAAAAAAATCCTTATTCCAGATCACGTAAAAAAAATCTCCAGCATTAATTTTCTAACCAAGTTGCGTAGTCCTTGAAATTGTGCGCCAAAAAATTGAGATCCTCATCTTTTTTATTGAGCTTTGTTTGAGCATATAGATGCATTCCTGCAGAAAGTCAGTATCCCTGGACGATTGTCAGCAACTTTGTGTTCGCTACGGAAGTCGGTGTCTAACGTTACAGTATGACTTTTATCGCGACAACTGCGAAGTCTATGACGTTCCGTCGCCGCTTCGGGTCAATGCTTCTGGTACAAAACCTCTACAAAAACGCTCTTGAAAATACAAAAAAATTTTCAGGTGCAGTGTTTTGGAGAAGGAAAAGATCGATTTCTGAAGCAGGGTAAACAAAATTTATATAATCTGAACGGACCTAGCTTGTCTATTCGAATATCATGTAGAACTAATGTGGATAATTTAGAGCGGCAAAAAACGATGGATGCGTTCTTGCCTCCTTATCTCCTACAATCGGGACCACACACATGATACCATCACTAGAATGTCTGCGACAAAACTCCCCTCAGAACTCAGAAGCCCCGAGATCTTCCGAACCGCAGTCTCAGACACAGGGACCGCAACCCATCAAACAGCCTCCACTGGTGATTTTCATTATTTTTTTTTGTGGATGGGAATTTTTCTACATTCGAAGGGCAGCAGAATAGTTTCTTCATTAATACATAGCCGAAGCGTCAGAAAATGCCGCTGACCATTTTTTCGAATGCGTAAACAAGGTATCTAATTCAAATACGTCAATTTTCAGTCCATAATCTGGAAAAAGAAATTGTTCCACTCATTCTCTTTTTTGTGTCATTGTTTTTCCATCTAGGGCACGTAGTTTTAATCAGAACTGACATTCTTTCTGACGCTTCACGAAGCAGTCGATGCACCAGCAACGCCGGTGCATGTTGTAAAAGATGCTGTTTTTGTCAAAAACTGGAAAGTTTCGGATGATATTCTGCATTTCGGCGCTCTTCTCCCTGAAAATAATAGTTTCAGGATCTCAAAATTCGGAAAGTCAAAGACGACAGTGACAAGTACACTGTTGTGAGCAACACTAAAGGAACAGGAGAAGACAAAAACCCGAAAATTCGTCTAACGCGTCCAACTAACGACCAAGAAATGCTCAGTCTAGATCCGATATCGAATTTCGCTGTAGAGGTGAAGAGGTTCATATGTTTTTAAAAATGAAACAATTTTTTAAGGTGTTGCCAATAGTTCCAGATTGCCCAGTGGGTGAACATGCGCGAATTCAACTTATCGAAGGCGTCCAGGTTGGAGTTTTTCAATATTTTCCTCTAAAAAAACATTGATCCTTTTGCCCTTTTAATTGTTGATGGCTTTATTAAAAATGCGTTAACTAAAGTCCTAACCTGTCAAAATACACGAGCCGATTTTTAGTTCAGGTATAGTATATGAAAATCCCCGAAAATCCTTCCCCTCTCCATAAATGAGATACTTAACAACTCGAAAAAGGGAAGGACTTTTGTATGAATTGAATTTGAAAAAAAACGTTTAGAATCAATTTTATTTGGAAGCCGTTCGTTCAAAATTTCATAAGCTAGGCAACCGGCCGCTGAAAAACTACCTCCGTCAGCTAATTGTTATCGAGCTCTCAGGCATTGACTATTTTCGTTTTTTTATCCCCTTCTTTTAAATGTATTTTTGCAGAGGAACAAAAGAAATAAAGAAAAAAGTTCACGGTTTTAGTGAAGCTTAGTTGGTGTTTTTCTTCCATTTTTAAAAGCCAACCTGCAGGTCGACACAAATCCAACGCTGATGTTCAAAGTGGAAGCTCCTGAGCAGTGCGTTCAGTCGTGTCGGACGAGTACGGTAGGTGGCGCTGCCGAGGTGTCGGTGTGGTTAAGAAACGAGCCCAGATCGCATGTCGAGACCTTGGAGGCGGAGCTTTTGCATTATTGGACTCAAAAAGTGTTTTTTTTTTGTTGAGAAGTGCCCTTTCCGAATTTGTAAAGGGCACGCACACGACTCTTGATTTCAGACAGATTGGAAATTGCCTGCGGAAAATAGAAAAAAGACCATAACACATAAAAAATGGATGAGACACTGAAGGAAATTGCTCGAAAATGAATTTTCTGAATTTTTGACCTACAGTAAGCTAAAACACGTAGCATGACACTTTCCGTTTTATGATTGAAATATTTTTTGCAGTTCCTCGATGGCTCACGCTTACCTCTTTTGTGTAGATCTGCGCAATTTGATCGAAAAAGCAACACTTGCTATGCTTTTCACGATGCGATAGACCCAAATGGATATCTGGACTACAAACCAAACGCCGACATTTTGTATATAGAAAAAATCTGCATTCCGGGTAAGACAAAGTTCAGAACAAGGAAGTGGAAAAGCAAGATAAAGTCTCAGAAATATGCTTTTTTAAACAAGTTAGTTCAGCAAGAACAAAAAGCTATCCCTAGGCCTATTTCCAGTTCATCGATATTGCTCACCTCTGTGACCAAAAAGTCGGTCTTTTTTTTAAGTAAAATTAATTTTTCAAGGGTCTGGTGATTCGATATTCCATTTTCGGTCAAGGACTTTAGCCGCAGTTTTTTTCGTTTGGTCCTCAAAGTCTCAATCATTCTTAGTTTCATTTTGCAGTTTAGACCATTCTTTTTGAAAAAAAGTTTTTCAAACAAATATATTATATATTCTCAAAAAATGGAGCTTATTTGGAGGGACTTTTTTCCCTGAAAACTTGGAGCTGGTTTTTTCAGACGTGGTCCTGCCGCTGTCTTGCGACGACGTCTTCCGACGTATTCCTCAACATATTATTTTAGGTTTGTCCTTTGGCGACTCAGAATGCATTCCCTGTGTTGTTGCAGGTCACGCATCGGAGATTCTGTCCGTCTCCAGTGAGCAAGAATGCGTACTGCAATGCATTCGCTCAAAAGTTGGTTTTTATGAGATGCGAGCCTTCCAACCGGCCGTTCTTTTCATGAAAAATTGAAGACAAGGAAGTTGGATAGTATTTTTTTCGCCCCGAAAGAGGGATAAAAAAACCTGCCTTATAAAAAAACTCTGCCCTAAAAAAATATGCCCTGGTCTGCAATATTTCTTTTGAACTTAAAAAAACTTGTTTCCACTATTTTTCATTTACTAGCAATTTTTCGCTATTTTTTTTGTTGTCGTTCAAATTCTGATGGGCGCTCTAAAACTTTTTTTCTTTCAAATGTTTTTCCACTTCCGGTTCCCAACTCTTTAGTTACATGAACTGACTGCAAGAAAGTAAGTTTTTTTGTTCCGCAAAACGGCAACTAGAAGTTTAATTCGAATTCTTTAGCCCATTATCGCCGAATCTCAAATAACTCCCTTCGAAATTAAAAAAATTTATGTCTATGTTTAAAAAATAAAAGTTATGCTGCGATAGAATTCATAAAACGTTAGATTTCCATTTGAACGTCATGAAAATGGCTAATTTTTGAATTTCTCGAGAGTTGACCGAAATTTTTATAAATTTCTTTGAAGTTTTTGAAACAGTCAGATTTCCCAAGACCCATAGATTAAACAAAATTTGGTCAATTTTCAATAAGTTACATCAATAAGTGGAATGTCCTTTCTTGCTGACTGGTTACTATTGGCTCCTTTATTCTGATTAGCTGTTGTCATATATTTTTTCTTTTTACAAGGACCCTTTCAGAGTATCCGAAAGACAGAATGTCATTCGGTGCTTCACTACCCAGACTTTGCCGCTTACAATTGCATTCTGAACGTTCACACGCGTCATACAAAAAGCGCCTACTTCATGCCGGAACGAACGTTGAAAGTTGACTACGTGGAATTGGCGGCTTGTGCGAGTCAACTCTCATTTCCGCAAGGTACATTCCCTCGATTGTTCCTTTGTCCGGATTTCCCTTCTTTTCTTACTGTAACATTATATTGGAGTTTAGGACACGCGATGACTTCGCATATCAGTCACGCACCAATGAATCCATTCGAAAGAAACGATGAAAAGCCGGGTACGGTGCCTTTGAATACATTTCGAAGAAAATGAAGTTAATTCAGACATCGGGGCAGGTAGCACCATTTCTGAGTGGACTGAGTGGACATCTTGTGATGATGAAACGAGCACTCGTAGTCGCCAAAGACTTTGCGATGGGTGCAAAGAAATCATTCAAGTTTGCTATTTACCGACTTCAAAACAAAAAAAAACTTGTGTTATCTTTTAAAAGATTTGATTCAATGCGGGAACATGAAATACCATACGTGCACATGGAATGGCTCAGAACGTCGTACTTAGTTTTAGCCAATTCTCGAGATTTCCAACTATCGAAACAAATCTTGCCATGCAACCATTACGACTTGAGTTATTTTCGTCCGATCAAAAACTCCCATCCACGACTAAGCGGTTTATAAAAGTTTTTTGAACTAAACATAGCCGAAGATTTGAAAACTTTTCACATATTTTTTATTTGGTCACGTTTTTTTTCATCTTGGAAATAGAATCTCAATAGTTTTCAATTACAGTTTCTTCCCTGCTTTTCTAACAACAACTTTGACCTCGCTCTACAAAAGTTCATAAACGAGCAGAAACGAGGTTTTTTTTTATTTTAGTGTCGAAGTTTACTTGAGAGTTTCAGATTCTGAAAAGGGTAACGAAGGCATCGAACATCCAGTCATTGCTTTTCGTAAGTTAATAAAATGAGAATTTTTCGAATTTGAACAAAAGTTTTGTTTTTTTACATGAAATATGAACAAAAGCTGTCCAATTTCTTGTAATTTAAATTAGGTTCGCTCCAAAATTGATTTTTGTAGGTTTTTAAATTTTTTTGTTTTACTTTTTGAAGAATCCATCAAGCTATACTTTTCCGATTATTTTATGAACTGAGCCAGAAGTTTTCAAAAGTCTTTGATAAGTATCAACTGGATCTCGAACTTCTCAGATTTCTTCTTAAGAAATTTTTTAGGCATCAAGGTAACAGAAAGGCGTTTAAAAAATACACGTTCTTAGTAATTGAAAGTTGTTCATTTTTCATTCTGGTACAACACTAGTTTTCTAAAAAGTTTAAAAACCGTCCAAACAAAGATTGACCTTTTTCCTAGGCCAACATAAATATTTCCGATTTAGGCATTTTCCTTCAGAATACTGTAATAATCGTTGTTGAAGGTTCTTTTCAGCCTCAAAAGATGAAGAACGCCCGGAGCAAGTCGAGAAGAAATCCGTCGAGTTTTTCGGACCCCCCATGAATCAGTTATCGCCGCACCAGCCGCACATGCTCTCTTCGTATTGAAACGGCCGTCTTGCAACACCGGATATACAGAATAATTAAAAGCGCGTGCATTTCCAATGCTCGATTCCTCTTGCCAAGTCCTGCGCCTTTCTCCAATTTTCGAATGTGTGTCTGAGAAATCTCTTTTTCCTGTAATTAGTTGCATGTAAATAATTAGCTACACTTATTAAAAAAAGAAAAAAACGGATTTTTTGAGGAGATTTAGTTTCAAATTACTCGTTCCTTTTTTGATCAATTAATAAATTCAAAACCATGAACACCTCCTATGCGACAAAAAATGAGAGATAAAAATGCTCTTCAAAAATAATATTTCACTTTCAAAATGACATCTTTTACAACAAGGTGATGATAAGGTATTTCATGCATTTTCGACGTCTCCGCCTACACAACTGTCTGGTTTATTTGTATATGGCCGTAGGGCATTTCCGTTGTGACGCATATATTGATTTCCAAGCTTTTTTTCCTTGATTCACTTCTTTTTTTCTTTTCTTAAGTTCTTCTTCTTCTACTTTCAACTGTCATAGCTTTTCCCTTCACGTATTAGGGAAAAATCAAGATTTGAAACTTTTTTTTCTCCTCATTTATGTTGATATTTGAGCCTCATTTGATTATCACTCAAAAGGATGGTTTTTTTGTGCCTAATTCCGATAAAGTTGGAAAAATCGCTTTTTTCAATAAAAATTGGAAACGACTCTTCTTTTTTATTTTCCACAGAAGTGATAACAATAACTTTGAGTTTGTCTGAAAACGAATAGCAAAACAAATAACTGGGCACAAGATACGAAGTTGATAGGAACATTATCTCTCATCACGAGAGCCTAAAAGAGCGCCTTTTCCCCTCTATCTTTTTTTGGAAAAGTTCTTTCCACTAGTCGTTCCAAGTGTGTCCTTACTACAATCAAGAGAAATAAAGTTTCTCAAAGTTTTTTTTTGCGAATCTTACTGAAAAGAGTTTTCGTTATGAAGAAAAAAATATTAGAATGAGTGAAGGTTTTTTTTTTGAAAATTTAGAAGGATAATTTATGTACTTTGACGCTGAGCATTGAATTTAAAGATTGTGACTTTTGCTTTGAAAACTGTAGGCTGCTGAAATAAGCTACTAAAGAGATACGAACTTTGTTTTAGCTTTTTCTACGGTAGCTCCGAAGAAATTGAATCAGTTTCTTTGTAAATAAAAACATATTCAAGCTCAGAATCAAATCCTCTACTGACTGATGAAGTCATTAGAACTTGCAACGGTAGAATCACCAAAAAATTCTCGTTTTGATAGCCTTCGAGGAACAGCTGAGTGGCTTCCATTAACTGGAATGGGCAGAAAAGGAAGACGTGTGAACTCAACACAGTGTAACTGATAGGAGCGGCTCCATCCGAGTGTGCTTAGCCGTGTGCGTTTATTGGCGCACGGATCACGTAACCCTCTCGTAATGTCCACTAAGCGCGTTTGCAAACCAGCTAATTATCTCGGGGAGCCCTCAAAGTAGTCTCATTTTCCACTCCACGAGCCACTATTTTTCATTTCATTTCTTTTCTTTCGTTTCTCATTTCACGACATGTTTCTAGCACTACTCTACACTTTTGATTATTTCACCATTTTACCAAGGATGATTTTTTCTGTTTGAAACTAACTATTCGATCGGAACATCACACTATTCATCTCAAAAATCATTATTCTGTTCATCCAAAGTTTTTTAAGCAAACAAAAAATATTCATTTCTTCTTATAATCAAAAACTTCCTCCTGATTTTCTATCCGAGCCCTGAGACACGTATTTCATGATCGTTACAGTATGACAGACATTTTCATGTAATGCTTCATTCACACACCTAGTTTATAATGATCCGTAGTTCTACTTTAAATGTTGATTCTCACGCAAAAACCTTTGTTCGAATTTTGAGCTATATTCTATTTTTGGTGAATATCCAATAATTTTTATTTGCAAAGGGTCTCCAAATGCTTTTTTCGCGTGACACATCGTGTCTAATAAAACTGAGCAATAAACTGGAAACGACCTGTCGTACAAATTTCCCACTACCCATGCAGTTTTCCAGCTTTCAATTGCTTTTTGGAAAAAGGTTTTCAGAAAACAAGTTTTTCAAAAAGTTTCTGTAGGCACAGAGAGGTGATTTGTTTTGAAGAGAGTCATTCTGTTGAATGCAAAACGGATAGGTGATCCGAAATCATCCACATTGAGAAAAAGAAAAAACGATCTCGAGAAAAGTATTTTTATGACCGGTAAAAACATTTTTGGAATTTCAGGAAATTTCCCTTTTGGTCCCAAGTTCACTTCTGATCAAAAAAAATGTTCATTTTTACTTTTTATCAAGCTACAGCAAACAAAAATTGGCAGCGTGTTTTATGATGTGCCAGATAAATGTCTTAGTACTTTCCTCCTGCTCATTATAATAAACTCGAGAAGAAAAGCTTCATTTGTTATTTCAAGCTTTTCTTCTGGCCGATTTCCAAAAAAATCACAACCGCAAAAAAATGGCCTCTATTGTCTGTAACTTTACCTGGCAACTAAAAACTTTTTCAATCAGAACACTTTGAGGTTTCATGAGCCGCTTTTTTACCCAACTTTTTACGATTCGCTTCCACAAAAAATAAGCAAATCGAACCCGTAGCAGACTCTCAGACGTATATTTTCATCGCGCGGCACTTGAAGCTGTAATTGGCATCCACAAACCATGATGCGGCATCTCTTAATGTGATTTCGCGCCGGCTCTCGGCCATCTAATCTCGTTTTGGCCTCATATTTTCGACGTTCGTCCGCGATATTTTCGTCATATCTGGTGTTGAGCCATTCGTCCGCTTCAGAAATTAAAAATGACGAGCCTCGAAAGACCGCCGCTCATCGTCAACAAAGGCTTTTTGGATTCTCGCCAAAATCTTCTTAAGATCGTGGAAGTAGTACGTTTCTTTTTTTTCAGTCAATTTAATGATTCGATAATCATGAAAAGCAGAACTTTTTGAAAGCAAAACCTTTTTCATTCCATGAAAATGGCTTTCATACTCTATTAGAGGAAATTTGTACCCAACCGTTTTTTTTGGCCTTTTATAGTTTTATTCCAGGAAACTTTGTTTTCTTCTACATCATTCCTGAAACATGAAACTGTTCATAAATTTTCTGAGGTTGAAAGTGTAAAAGATTTGAAACACCTAAGAGAACACTAAAAATAAGTGTTTTTTTTTTGAAACTGTAATCTTGTCATTTTTCAGATTCTTGGAGTCACCACCGCTTGTGTGAACAATTATTGCTACCCTAATCCTTTCCATTCTTACTGTACTGAAAGGTGAGCTTTTCACGAGAAAATCAATTTAATTTCTGCTCGGAATATTTGGTAGCTTTTCCAGTACACTGTTCAAGGCACAGTGGCCTCTTTACCTTCAAAAATAACGCTTTTGTCTTAACTTGAGAAAAAAAAAAACAATAAGTCTTATTTGTCAGGCTCACAGAGTCTTCATCTTAGGTGTTGTATAAATCATAATTGATCAATTTTCCTCTTAAAAAATCTTCAAGAACAAAAAAAACGTTCTTGTGAGGTTTGATTTTACGTTGAACTCTTTCAGAATATTCTACGCGACTCAACTTTTTTCGATACTCGTGATCAACATTTTTTGTATTGCTCTAACAGCTCTTCTTGCAATGGCCAATCTTCTTGGGTTTTATGATGCTTTTTACAAATTCAATTTTCCAGTTCTGGTCAGTTTTCGACGTTTATTTCAATGACAGAGGGAATTTTTTAGGAAAGGTTTCTAACCACATTGTTTGCCGTTCTGTATCTGACAGATGTAGTGATAATATTTTCGGACGTTATGAGCGTTCCTTTCAGTCCTGCCTGGATGCTTCCTTTGGTGAGTATTTGAAAGAAAAAAAGCGTTATTTTGACAAAACTCTACAGATCTTCACATTATGGACCGCTGTGGTATATAGCGCCGACGCGTATTTTTTGTGGAGTAAAAGAAATTACCGCGAGCAATGGTGAAAGTTTACAAGTTTTTCTTATTGTAAAAGTATACTGGTGCCTCCAATGCCATTATAAACATTTAGTAAACATTTTGCGAATTTCTGAAACCTACTTTATGAACAAAAAGAACCTGTCGGAAAATGTGAAAAACAGAAAAACAGAGGGTGCAGCGATGGCAAGACAATTGATCACAGTTTGGAATTTAAAATATATATTTGTTATAGATAATGTGGAATATTTGCTAGAAACCCATAAAATTCCTGACTATTTGAATGAAATTTTTCGATGCTTTTTTCCCACCAAACAAAAAAAAATCATGGGACAAGAGATGTACTGATAATGTTTGACTCGTGGTTTGAAAGATTGACAACAGTTTCGAATTGTGGTCTGCTACTCGAGCCGCTGGATGACTTTTCTGAAAATTGCATTGTTCTGAAAGGAAAAATTTCTTTTTTGGAATTATTAAACATGAAAGTTTCTCACTTACGACCAAAAATGAAAATTCATAAAAGTTTTTACAAAAAGAAAAAAATAATTTCCAGTGATAAAAGATAGTTCACAGCTAACGGACAACTTGACTAGATCGAATTGGCAAGTTTCACTTCTGAAACTGGAATACTTATTCTCATACATTTTAACGATGATCAGAAATAAGAAGCATAAATGTACATTTTCACAGTAAGAAAAGATAAGAAGGTCGAAAGAAGGGGAGATTGGATGCAGTTCATTCCTTCTGCTCGTCAGTTTGTTCTGAGAGATCCGAAGATTTCCATTTTACCTAATTTGAATATGAAAATAACCTGGGCTTACAGTATTTTTCTGGATTTTATTAGAATTACTAGATCCAATCTTCTTCCTGATTCCAAACTTGATTTTTGAAGGTTTTAATCCGAGTTTTTCCATTGGTTACACAGAAGCCTGCAAACTTTTTTGAGCTTCAGTCTGGAATGAGGAAAAGAAATGTATCAAGTAAACATTGTTTCATCCACAAAACCTACTGTAAGACAGGATAAATATAAAGCGATTAGTAGAGAGTTAATCTAATCTAAATTTCACGACAGGAAAAATGAATTTACAAGCTCAACAGCGCATGCAGCATTCATTTCAAAACATTTTGAGTCTCAGAAATCGTAGCCATAAAAAGTAAAATATCAAAGTTAACATTTCTGAGCATGAAAATTTCAAGTTTTTTTTTGTCACACACAAAAACTGAGGCCAAGGTTAAAATTCAACATGCGTACCAAATGAATTTGAACCTTCAGCTTCTGTTTTGTCGCCTTTTTTAGCGTCTTCATCGCTATTTTGTCTGTCTGTAAACGTGTGAACTGAATAGAGTTATATGAAATGTGAAGAGCCAACCTATGAGAATAGGCATTGCGTTTCTTCTTGTGCCGCCTGAGCTGTTGGTAGGTTCTAGTACAGCTGCGTGCCGTCTGGCTTGCAGTCGGATCTGTAATATACGAAGCTTAGAAAGAATAGCAAGAAAGGAATAACAGAAATCTTGCTTAGACAAGACTGAGCTGAACAGTTCTAAACTATTTCATTTTCAAGGGAATTCCGTTGGTGATCCACTTTTCGTCAAAGACATTAACTCTCAAGATAATAAAAATATCCTATAAACATCTGGAACAAACTTTTTGCAAAAAAAGACGGAAAAGTTTCGAAAATTCATTCCGCACCTGTTCCACTGGTAACACTCTTCTCCTTCTTTTTGGCAATTTGTCTCGAGCTTGATTATGTGAATAAAACATAGCGAAGTTAGATACGATGACCTGAAATCTTTGACAAGTCAAAAGAAAGTAATGCTTATCCATACCGGAACAGGAAGAGCAATGGTCAAGACACCCATGACTGCGCAAAGAGACCCAACAAGTCTTCCAAAAGACGTGTGAGGGGTCATGTCTCCATAGCCCACCTGAAAAAAAGTAGTTCCTTCTTCTGAATCATTGAAATGAACTCACGGTTGTCATGGTACAGATGGCCCACCAAAGCCCTAATGGAATCGATTGGAATTGATTGTTTGGATTGACTTCCATCTTCTCCGCGTAATAAACCAAAGCCGCAAAGATGACAATGCCTAATATGAGAAAAAACACCTGAAACAAATGTAATTGAAATGAAAAAACAATTTATTTCACCAATAAAATGAGTTCCTTGGCACTTGCGCGGAAAGTGTGAATTAAAATTTGCAGTCCTTGATGATGCTGGGTGAGTTTGAAAAGTCGAAATATTCTATAAATTAATATATTGAAGTCAGTTTTAAGGTTATATTGGCAATTGAAATTTTTTCATCTGCCGTGCCTATACCAAGACTTGAAGAAGTCTAGATTTTCTGTTTCTCCTTTTTATTCGACGAGTTGTTGTGTTTGTTGTTTTTATGGTTCATAATATCACCGGTGAAAGAAAAAAAAACAAACAAGTCCGATTGCTGAATTTATAGCAGTGTTCTATTTTTATTGTGGCTTCAATTTTTTTCCTCTTACGTCTTAGAAAATAATTTATACAAGAGCGACTCTTGATGTGACATGATCTATGGAGCAAAACAAGAAAGGGCATTTCAAGTCGATGCGTTCACGTATTCTTGATGAACTCTTTTCTCAAACTGACCTAATCATCGACAGAAACTCCACCACATCTTTAGGCTCGTCCTCAATCAGTCTGACAAACATCGCGTCGGCGTAAAAAGAGAGAGTCGCTACCTGAACAGGAATATTACAAGACTGCACATGTGAAAGTGATTCAATTCAAACCAGGTCGATGATGTTCAGAGGACTTTTGAAAAACCGAGATTTTGAGGGACAGAAAAGAAATCTGACGATCAGCTCAAATGTAAACCAGATGTTGCACAACAGCTCAATCTGAAAGGAACAACGAAAATAAAAAGAAAAGCGAGGTTCAATGTGAAACATCTAACACTCCGTCCACATACCGTGTTAACCTTTTGAAAATTAATGAAAACTAACTAGAGATTTTAACGAATGATCCTGAACATTTCAATCCTCCCAACTTTTTCACCACCTTAATACTGAAAAAAATTGAACGGCGGTGGACCATATTAACACATAAAAAAAGGTTTTCAAATAGAACCTGTCCAAAAACCAAAAGAGGCTCGGTAGCTTGTCTTTCCACCATCGGTACGGTAACACCTCTGAAAAATTTCTTCTATGAGTTTTTTTGAAAATTAAAAAAATGAACCTGTATGTGACGTTTGACGCAATTATAACTGGAATCCGAAAACTTTGGTGAGTTTTCAAACAAAACGAAAAAATAGAGACAAAAATGAAGCAAACAGATATACCAGCAATTATCTGAAACAGTCTGACTTCTCGCGAAAACTTTAAAAGCGTGATACTTTTGCAAATTTAGAGCTGTATGGTTCGTCGAATAAAGCCCATATCCTCGGTTTGTAGTACATCCATTTCGTTCTTTTTCCCTAATAAACTAGAGTGCATCATGAACAATCGGAGGGTTTTACTTGAAAAAAATCTTCTTCCCAGCCGAATTTTTTCATTGTATCTTGTTCTCGTAATTGAGGGTCATCTTCACGGTCGACGTCCATTCGATCAAGAACCGCTAGAGTTTCTTGTGTGTCCCTTGAAATGATCATGATTCAATTACTTTTCCAGATAGAAAAAACTGAAGGAAACTCTCCGATATTTTATGACCTGAAAAATCATATTTCTGTGAAAAATTTCTTGAATAATTGCGTTGACTGAGCGATTTCAAAAAAAAAGACTGAGGAATAGAGCCTGTGAAATGAAAAGAGATTATTCTGAATTTTGATGATGCTTTATCCATTGAGTTATAAAGATACCTCGTTGGAGAAAACTGATATTCTGAACTCCCTTTATTTTTGCCATCATATTCTGTCTTTTTCGGAATATTTCAAAGAAGTACCTCCGAAGGACTTTCTAATCCAAGAGAACACCGAGAGAACAACTAACCTGATCCCGCAATAAATCAGAACAAGAAAAAAAAAAGAAAAATGGCTGACTTGGCGTGGAGGAGTTGCATCCAACAGCACGGCTCCGTGTCAGATGCGTCAAGTCCCCAGTATTGCAACTCTTCTTCGAATAATGGACCACAGACGTCGGTCGGGTAATGAAGTTTTCCAGTCCGGTAGTAATTCAATACCTGCAGATGCTCATTTCATAGACCGCACTTGGTTTAAAAATTGACCTGTGCGAAAACGGCAGGATGTCTGTCAAAAAAGTATTCATTTAGAAGCGGGTCGAAATTAGCTAATGATGGAGTCAATCTGCGTGAAAAAATAGACGTTTTCTCTTTATAATGAAGATTTTACCTGCTGAGACGTGTGGCTGGAATTTTTTTCAGAGTTGCTTGATATGTTTCATGCCGAACGCCGCCTACATTCAACACAACCCGTTCATCCATAGATATGCCTGAAAAAATCGTGTTTCAAACTGCTTCTGGAGATTTTTTGTAAAACTGGACAAATTTCCATTTTTTTAGCATGTATTTTTTTCACGCAATGTACTAAAAAATGAGCTGAAACAAAGTTATCTTTACAGAACAATATTCGTAAGTTTTGGGAAGAAATCGTTTATTGGACCTTTTTCAATTATCGGAAAAACCCGAGGCCATTCAAACTCGAATTCCGTGAAGAGCTTTAAATTTTCCAGCTGCCCGAAACAGAAATTGAAATGAAGCCCATCTTCATTAAAAATTTGGATGTAAGTCGGTACATAATTTCTTGAAACTTCATACAGCTCATAAAATTCAAATCGGATAATTTTCTGAGAAAGATGGCCTAATTTCAAAAAAAAAAAAAATTGAGAAAGGGTTTATTTGAAAGCACGAAAAAGCTTAAGATGTGCCAGAATCAATTAGTGAGATGAGTGTGGCTGGACAAATCAAATCCAGAACAAAAGAAGAGACGGCTAGGGAGTTCGAAGTTATTACGTATGCACGGCCTCTGCCCTCACATTTGAAATTTCAAGAACCCCGTTTTGCCTGCGGTGTCGTGATTGAAACGATGCGAAGGCCAGTGACATTCGCTTGTCCGATTTTCCGCACGTATTCATGCACTATTGCATTTTTTCTTTTTGTTCGGCCTGGCAGAACCACTATTTCAAACTGATGTAAATGATTGGTTAATGGATAAACACTGATGAATCAAGTTAACTAGGAGGTAGGATAGTCTTCAAACAAAATGTTCATTAAATACTTCATTTCGTCGATTTTCGAGGTTTTTTCAGCGTTACTTAGTTGCTCATGATTTTTTATCTTAAGCACCGCTAGTAATAAAAGAAGTTTCAGAAGAACCCGAGATTTGAAAATAAAAATGATCATGCTTTAAACCATGAGTCAGAAATCAACACGTTTCTCAGCGCAATAGTCTAAATTAGCACTTACTTATCCTCCATCCTAATTTATGCGTTCGTTGTTCGCTGAGCTAATACCCTCTCAAGATTCTCAGGGAGCCCTTCTTCTAAAAAAAACTCTCTCTCATTTTAAGCTGCAAATTCAGTCTATCGAAACATTTTCAACATAATGAGAACATTTTTTCAGTTTAGCAGCCGTGGAAAAATCTTAAAGATTTTTTTAAGCGTTAAAACTGAAAACGTAAGATCAAAAACAAAAGAGTTCCGGTTGAATTTGGCGATGAAATACGAGTTTTTCAATCCGATTTGAGGTTTCCAAAAAGTATTTCGGATCAATCAAAATGCTTAATTTCATTACCTCTTCTCAAAGTTTTTTCAACGAATTTGCTGCCTGTTTTTCAGAAGCTATTGCTGTTGACATCATTTTTCGGGTCAAAAACTTGAATATAAAAATGATATTTTTTATTTTATTTGAGACCGAACGGCTGGAATGTGGTGCGAACTCGCTGGTTATTGCATCAATTCTGTCGCGTTACGCGAATAATCGCGTTTCTCCGTCAGCACTTTTTCATCCAAATAAAAAAATCCAGACTCTCAATTCAATTCAACAATATCATCCTGAAAACGTTGAATGGGAACATATGAGAGATGCTCTACGAAACAGAGCATTTTTTTGAGGTGAAATTAATGAATAATTCAAAGAGTTCCGGGTAAACCGACGGAATTTCTAGTTGTAAAAATACTTCATTTCTGATGTGTATCTTTTCAATTTTCCTTAGCTGGGAACAACGCGGGGTACTATTCTTCTGTTAGGATTGCAATGAAAAGTTCCGTGGAATTAATTTGGCTGTAACTAACTGTTATCTTCGATTGAAAGTTCAGTCTTGATTTGATTTTGAAAAGGTTAGAGAAGGGACAGGCCTCTTAGAATCGAATTTGGAATCGAAATTCCCAGAATCCATCTGAGTACAAGTCAACAGGGAAAAATGTTGCTGCAAAGCATGAGATAATCACATTTTTCCTTTGTGTCTTTGTCATGCCGAATCTTTGAAAGAAATGCCGAGTTTTCACAGTACTCAGTGAGACATGTGCATGAAAAGGAGAATTAGACACATCGGTCATTTTTTCTTGGGGAGCCTAGAAAAATCACAACTTCTGGTCAAGAATTTGAAAACTTTTTTTTAGGTAAATGAAATAGAATTCTACTTTTCGAGATTGAAAAAAAAATTAAAACAAATCCTTTCAAAAGTGTACATTTCGGATGTGTCCTCGTCTCGAGATACAAGAAAGAAATTTTTGGAAAATCCAGTTTTTGGCTCTTGTAAAAGCGGATGACGATATAAATTGTAAAATGTTTTGCTACAATTCTGATTTAAATTATCTAGACTTTCTGCGGGAAAAAAATTTCTGGAATTGAGTGAGAATTACGTGCGCACGACTGCGTTTGAGAAATGAACTTTTAAAGTTTTACACGATTTTGAGTCAGAAAGTCTCATATGGAAAGGAGGAAAAATGAATGAAGAAGATTCGTCATTTCCTGTGGGTATGCTCTACGATATTATTTTGCATCAATTATTAACGGATGCAGGGATTCGAGCTTCTCATAATATTGTTCATTTATTTTCCTTGACGACCCTATATTCTTTGAAATTCCCAATTTCGCGATGCCAACGTCTCCAGATGACAAACGTGGGCAAAGAGCAGCGAATCGGGGCAAATATATAGCGTCAGAGCAGATTAACGAAGGCAAAAAATAAGGACGAGGAATCGGATTCCAGAGAAGCTGCTCTGAGAATGAACGCAATTGTGCGCCGCTCTAATTCTTCTGTAGATAATTGTACGTTAGAGCCTCAACGGTTGAGCGAATTCGCCATAAATGAAAAAGCTTGAGAAAAGAGCGAAAATCTTCACTCTTTGCAATTCATTATTATTGAGATTTGACTTTTGCACCAGTTTTCAAACTTTCCGAAAGTTTTGAACTTTTTCAAAATTTTCAGAATGTTCTTCAGTGCTTCCAAATAGAATCCTAAAGTTCTCGACCCCCAAAACTTCCTGGTTTCTGAAAAGAAGTGTCGACTGCGTTATTTCTGACTTTGACGCGAAAGTTCAATAAGACTAGGGACTTGCATAGGGTGAAACTTTAGAGATATTTTTTTTGAAGGAATCCTTCTTGTGTAAGCTGTTTTTATTGACAGAAATCGGAGAAAAACATATAGCAAAAATTGAAATTGAATTTCAATTGAGACTCACTGGTCCGTAGTAAGAAATTGAATAGCAATTTTATTTTGAGTAGAGTCGGAAGCTGGAAAGCTTTGAAAAGCGAGGAAAAGCGTAAAAAAGTTTTTTAGACTTGCTCAGAAGGAAAAATGGAATCTTTCAAAATCTGCGTGAAAATATATTCTCAAAAATTATTCTTTGTCGAACTGGCGATGAAAGCTTCAAGTAAGACTCAGGAAGACTAACTATATGTATGGCGAAGAAATGTCAAAGGAAGCTGTCACAAAGAAGAAGATGTTTTGTTCTCACCAGAGGCGCCGGACCGGAGATCTTCGAGCGGGATGCTGCAGGTCGAGTGCCGTGGAATCGAGTACCGCACAGGCATGAGTGACGGCTTCGGTGTTTTTGGCCCTCGCTCTTCCTATCATAAATCCTCGACCCTTGGGCGCTTCTCTACCCTAACCTCAATGGCTTCTTTTTTTCGATTCTAATTTCCAAAAAAAGCCTGGAAGAATTTGAACTTAGAACAAAAAAAAATCAGAAACGACATAGAAAGATTGAAAATCACTAGAAAAAGAAAAAAGGAGTTGATTCGAAAGAAAAATAATCACCAGGAGGTGAAGGTAAACATTGAAACGCTCAATTTTTTTTTCGAGAGATGAAAGAAAATATTTTTCTCCAAAATAGGGAGTTGTAAAGTCAATAATCATAAATTCATCAAAATTTGCCGGGTCCGACTGGATGCTGATAAGCTAGGCCTCTTAACCCGAGTCTCAGAATGCCCTAGAAATAGACCAAAATATTCCTCAATCTATTACAGGGAAGGTCCAATTAGGTATCGAAGTGCATAATTCCATTATTTAAAGATGCAAATGCTTTTCATGTTTGTTTTTCCTAGTAACTATGAAAAAAATAGATTTTTAGGAGTTTTATTTCAGTATTTCATGAGAAAAAAACCAAGAGTCCCAAGTAAATTTTTTTAATTTTATCCACAAGCTTGTTCAAGACTTTTTCACCAAAAAAATTTTTTTTTCCATTTTATAAACAAACTCTTCTTGAGAAAGAAACGAATTATGCAAATGAAAAAAATTGTTTCTCTGACAAACGTTGTGAATTGGTTTTGGCTGTGTCGTCAAGGTATTCAGAATACTTTTTCCATAAATTCTGGGAAGAATCTTCTACACCAGACTCCTCGAAGAGAATTCCGTAGTTGTCGATGGGGTTTTCGGTAAAAATATCTATCGAATGAATAAGATGAAAACTCGGAAAATAGCATTTTTTCCGAAAATGAATACTCATTTCTAGTTCAAGCTCATTTCTCTCAAAACCCTGAGATCAAAAGAACTTCGGTTTTTTATTTGGATCCTGAGCATAACTATAAGAATGAAAAGCAGAGCGTAGTTTGGGAACAGAAGAGAAATTTCGGACTACCGAGAAAACTCGTAAACTATTTTTCAGGCTATCATATCGGAAAGCTACAGAAAAAAAAACTTGTATAAGGAAATAAAATTTCACAAAGTTTTTTGAAGTGCAAAAAGAAACCGGAAAGTCAACATCTGTAAAATTAAGAGGAACGCGAAAAAAGAGAAAGTGCGAGACGGGCAGTGTGAGGCTCCTGTGGCCGAACCTACTCGACTTACATGTTGATCTCAAGTTTCTTCAAAAACTATTTTGACCACTGCCCTATGCAATCGCACACATTTTAGTTCATATTTTACTGGCTGACTCATTCGGAAGAAATTCGAAAAGCTCGAGAAGAATTCAGGAAATGTAGGAGTTTGTAGAATCCGAAAATGAACGACAAAGAAATAACAGGAAATGATAGGTGGGTTTTTCCAGCACCCCTACAATTCCGGACAACTTCCTTTTTGGTGTTCTTTTTTTGAGAAATCACAATAATGAAGCAAGATTTGAAAAATTGTTTCATTCAAATTTTTAAGTTTCGGAATTCTAATCTTGAAAAAAATTCCATTTACAGCTTTTTGAGTCATAAAATTTGATTGGATCTAATAAACAATTTATTTGATTTCCTGGTAAAAAATGACTTAAATGGGAAAAATAAAAATTATGGAGGTTCTAACAATCTTGAAAAATGTTTTATTGAAAATCAAATTTTTCATGAACACTTCAAAGTACTTGAAAAAACCAAAAAGAGAAAAAAACAACATTGGGAAAAAAAACTGGAGAGGAAACGACCAATTCTAAAGGCATTCAAATTCTAGAGGTACTTAAGATGTTTCAGGAGCTCTCAGAGCAACAACCAATTCAGAAACAGGGCAATTCGTAGGAAAAGGGTGAAAAAAGGCAATTGCAAGTCGCGGAAAGCCCTCAACTCAACGAGTGCTCGCGGCCCTCCGAAAACAAGGCATTTCACTAGTAATATCATTTCAAAGAAAATGCAAAAAACGCGACGATTCGACGGACAAGTGCATCCAGAGGCCGCCAAAAAGCGCGCGAGGGCCTCTACCAGATGATTTCCGATTGGATTCCCCTCAACTTGGCTGCTTCCGTGCAGCCAATTTGCTCCGAATTATCGCCCTTCATTGACATCTTGCTTTTTTTTTACTTCTTTTTTATAGACGTTTCATACCAAAAGTGAACTATTTAGTAATTATTTGTTGCTAAATTTTGTTTCATAACCGGCTGAACTAAACTCAAAGTTCATACTTGATGTCTTGATACAAACGCAGTTCGTTTTTGGAGCCATTGGCAAAAATCGCCCCGAAAATCACCATGGAGTCGTGCTCTATATAAATCTCTCATATCCGTTCCAAGCAGTTGTTAATAAGTTTTCACAAGAAATAAGTCCAAACGTAGTCATTGAAAAATATTGAGGATTTCCACAGTAAAAGGTTTTTGTTGCGAACTGCAAATTCAAAAGTGTTTATGTCCTCAAAATTCTTGTGTTGTGAGGTACTTCTCGTTTTCTAATCTTGTTTAAACACGCAAATGAGGACGAGTTCAAGCCATTTCGATAGTTTTTCAACTACCTCGGAAAGCTTTTCAACCTCTATCGACGGTCGTAAGTTTTTCAAAATGATTTCATTACTTTTTCTTATTTAATGCCAGAAAAAAAGTGAGGAAGTTGTTTTTTTCGTAAATAGTGGATAGTTTTGATCGAATTCCTTGTAACTTATTGAGTGAACTGATAATAAAAAAATAATGAATTTCCTGTTTCTTTTTTTCTAGACGATTGCATAGAAAAACCAGCATAGAAAAAAACTGACCTCATAATTTCAAAAATAATTTGATGGATTTCTATTTAAAGGCATAGGGGCAGTAAAAACGGGGTTCCAGGTGAAAGCATTATCTATATAGTTCTTCTTTGCGAATCGAACTGTGTATTCAAAAAAATTACAGATGTGACCACTTTTGAAAAAAAAAAGCGATTTTACTTTCCCGCCTTCAATTTTGAAAAATGCTTTGGATCGGTGCTCAGACAACTGATTACAGTAGCCGTGCACGGGATGCACGGACCGTTTTTACTGTCCCTATGCCTTTAAGGCGCTTATCTGTGTTCTATTCAAATCGCTGCAATCGAGTTTGATACAAAATTAATTGCTCGGAAACTTGCCTTTGGAAAAATTCAATTTTCTGTGATAATTTTTATCAACAAAATTGACAGCATTAAAATACAGACCTTTATCTCCGAAGTATTCGCTTCCTCGGCGAGAAAAATCTCACTGACGACCGATTTGAATCAAATCGATTCAAGAGAACCGTATCCAACATTGAAACTTCTTTTGATATGTACTTATCTGAAAAAAGTAATTAAATAGAGTTTTCCTGTTCAAAAATGGTGGAAGACCACCTTGGCTTTTTATCATAGTTGCTGCTCGAATCAGACAAAAACACAAAAATCAGTAAATCCTTTCATTTATTTCACGGCTGAAGAAAAAAGAAAAAAATCCAAAGCGATTCGGACGTTCATGCATTTTAAATTCAGGGCGAATGAAGCTATCATGGTTGAACGCTGAATAATTTATCACAATAACATAGCATTGCAAAAATCGAGAAAAATCGCCGCAGCACGACGTACGCGAAACAGTGACCACGGTAAAACTCCTTGAAAAAATTTTGTAATTGGAGTAACTGAATTTATGTAAAACTATGAAAAAATTAATTCGTTGGCAGGTCATATTGAAATTTGGTAGTCTATATGCGTTGATTTCAAAAAAATCATTTCCTAAGAACCTACATCTTACCTATTTCGAAAATCTTCTGAGAATATTAGAAACTATAAACGCAATTTCTGCAGTCAAGTTTCCCGAAAACAATATTTTTCCTAAAAGGCTGTCCAAAAGTGTATTACATAAGAAGAATTAGTAACTTCGAAAGTATTATTCCTCTTTCTTCGGAAGTAGATAAAAATTTTGAGTTTGCAAATTGCAGGACTGCCGGCATTAATTACGTATTTGCTTCTGTAGTTTGGAGAGAGGAAGGAAGTGAAACCTTGAAATTACATGAAACGAGAGGTTTCTTTTGAGTTCAGTCACGTTAACTCGTACCAACAAATAAGTCATTTTTATCTTCAAATCAGAAATGTCCAAAATTAACCAAAAAGAACGAATAACTGGAAAGAGATCAGATAAGTGTCAATGCGCAAATTTTCCTAGTTTTTGAGAAAAAGACTTTTCGTTCTTTCTCCGTCTCCTGTGCTGTCAATTGGAAATTAGAAACATCTGCGCTTGAAAATAGCAAGTAGTGCAATTTAAGACTTTAAACAATCATCTTTAAAACTATAGTTCCAAACGAGTTTCTACGAAAAAAAGAAAAAATTTTTAGATAACCATTTCGAATTTCTGAAAAAAACAGCAACATGGCCAAAATTTTCAATAGTTTTTAAAAAAATTTTGTTCATCGAGACCTTCAATCTCATCGATTCAGAAAGAATTTTGGAAAGAGAGAAGATAAAAAGCATAAAAATCAGTACAACATCCGCTACAAGCCGCAAAAACGAAAAAGAGAGGCCTAGCGGATCGGCATGGGCGGCGCCAATGAGGACAAGATCAAAATGCCGCATCGGACACAAGTGTGCGCAATATAGTGGGTCAAAAAAGCTATCCAAAAAAAAGAGAGTCAATTTGGACGCTGGAGCAAACGAAACAAGATTTCTCGAACATAAAAAACATTCGTGAGGCGTCGAAGCTGGTTTTTTTTTTCACTGAATTTGGCCAATGAGAAAATAGTGAAAAATTTGTTCGTGAAGCATTCTTCGAGCTAAAATTATTTTAACCTTGAAATAGAAGCTTTTGTCCGAAAAAGACCTTAGAGCTATGATGCGACTACTAATTTTGAAGATCTGGTAATGTGAGTTTTTTTGCTTGTAGAAATTTTTTTAGAGATCCTAATAATTTTTTTCAGAAAGACTCGAAACTGGCTTCTAATTTTAGCTTTTCAGTTTTTGCCTAATTTTTGGCAGTTTCGATGAAAATCATGTTTATTCTAAACAATGTTAAATCTCATGGAATGGCTTGAAATCCTTGCAAGGAGTTTAGTTGTCGATACTTTGTAACTGCGCCAGACATTCATTTCTTTACCATGCTGTAGAATACCGCCGCGCGAAAGTAGTTTCAAGTCTGATGCGCTGAAAAATTAGGTTCCTGACTACTTTTGTCATACTTTAAAATGTGATCCCGTTGAGAAAAATGATACCAAAATGTATTAATCCAAGATTCTTGTTTGCAAGATTGTAAAGCTTCTTTCTTCGTTTTCATAAAACAGTTGTCTGCTGAGGGAAAACTCAGCGACAGTTCCGGAATTTTTTTAAAATAATAATAATAATGATAATAATAATAACAATAATAATGATGGTTCATTGACTGCCATTATAGATTAGGAAATATAAATCATGACGTTGGTCACTTTCATGCAGAAATCCTTCTATCGACCATCAATTGAATTAGACGCTTCCAGAAATTCAATTTTTTTGCGTATTTTGTTCTTTCAAATGGCTTTCGGAGAAATTTCCCAGAAGAAGATGACACGTGGCCTTCTTGTTCTGCTTTGAAATCCTTCCTTGTCCTTTTAGCCCTCCAATTTTTCTTTATTGCCACTACTTAAAATTCTCGTTAGCTGCATCCGCTTGTCCACATGCACACATTTACGTGTTCAATCGTTCAGGAATTTATCAATTCTGCTTTTTTTCTGCTTTTTTGTGAGTTGATTTGGTTGTAGTAGTCTCTGTAGTATCGATAAACAATGGCAGGAGCATATTTTCACATTCTCTTGAGTAGATGGGCTTGAGCGATGCAAAAAGAAGGGAAAAACGCTCATACGGAAAAAATCTGAAAATTTTTGAAGGCTCTAAGGAAAATTCATCAAAAGCCTCATCCAGATTTCAACCGGCCACCAAAAACACATTTTTAGTAAGACGAACTTTTTTTTGTTGAAAGTCTCATAGCTCTGATAGATTGAATACTTATGAATCGAAGAAAAACAATTTCTGATTATACCGATAAACCCTTCGAAGGAAGTCAAAAAGAAGGAAAAAAACAAACCGGAGTTCAAAAAATATTCCGCAGTTTTATTTTGGCAAATGGTCGCCCCACTATTTCAAATATGCATTGAGCGCCGAGCAGAAAAGGTTTATAAAGAATTTGAGAGCTTCGATCTTCGTAATAGTCGAGAAGCCCCGATGTGGGTTTGAAAACCTCTAACAAAAGTTCTAGGTTTACTGAATTTTAGAAAGCGGATAGACGTCTGCTTCAAATTAATTTCTAGGAAAAATTCAGGCTGAAATTTTTTTCACCATTTTTTCCCAGTTGAACAACATCGACGGACATGGAAGCCGCCGCTTGTTGTCGGAAGCGCTTTTCGCATCAATCTGAAAACACCAGAATATAAAGCATTTGGAGTTTATCCCGTTATTCCAAAACGTCAAATGCTGGTTAGGATAATCGATGTAAGTCTTTTTTTTTCATCCAAAGAAGAAAAAAAAAATTGGAAGTCGAGATTCCAAATATCCCAAGTTTTGAAGATATTTTCAGAGACCCAAACAAAACTTCTGTGGTTGAACACGATTTATCAAAGGCAGCCTCAAACCAGATGCAAATAAACTGGAACATTTGTGTTACTCCAGACTTTTCAAGTCTTTTAACATGTTTCTTTGATCAAAGTGTTTTTGAATCGAGTTTATTTGAAAAAAAATTTGCAAAAAATAATGAATGCAATAACAACTCAAACGAGAATCACAGGAAACAAGTTTCTGAAAACCCGCATACAAAGATCAACAAGGAAGGAATGTAAAGCTGAAGGAAAGAGTACCTAATACATGAAATGTTAGATGGGTCAAAAGTTTCCATTGAATGGTAAAACAAATAAAATAAGAAGAAAGTGCAGTGCGAAAAAAAACTGGCAGAAGGCAAAAACCATAGAAACGATAAACATGATGAAACATCCTAAAAACTTTGAAAGTATTCTGGGTTTGTCAATTTTAAGTCCCCCTCGAAGACTGTCACTAAGAATTCCATTAGTGGATCCTCTTCATGATCTACATCGTCGTTTTGGAAACCGAAAAGTTTGGAATCGGACTTCAGCGGTGCATGTTCTTTCTTCTTGAAATCGTTGTTCAGCAACTCCTGAAAAAATTCTAGTTGGATTTAAATGCTTATCTAGGAAATAAATTATTCACGCATGTCTGGCATAAGTATTATCCACCTATCAACAAGTGGAATCAGTACAGTAATTTTGAATGTTGTTGAAATTTAGTTGAAATGGGAAAGGGGAGGTTGAAATAGTCCAGCTGCAAAATTCTGTTAAGAGATAGCTGTAACTTTCTCTTCGAACTAGGGTTCAAGGTACCTTCAAATGCGCCTCAGATATGTTCTATGAAATTGTCGGAAATTCGTCTTGTGATACGTAATTTTAAGCACTTTTTTTTAATTTCAAGGCATTTCAACCAAATAATGTACAGATTATATTTAAAATGCTTTTCTTTTGCAAATCATGAACAAATTTTATACCTGAAATCGAACCCAAAAAAAATGATTCCATTTTTTTGGAAAATAAAAACTCACCATTTCTTGCTGTAAAGTACCCAGAGTAGCCATATTTTTGCTTTCAGGCTTTTTGGCAGCTTCAGCAAGAATATGTGGAATCAGAAATGCAAAAGGAACGTAGATAAGAGCGTCGATAACCAAGATGCCCAGAGATGACAAGTCAGCGTACTTTTCTTGCTCATTTTTCTCGAAATCCCCTCCGTCGAGTGCGGTCCTGAAAAAAGTTTGTGAAAACTTGGGATTGAAATATTAAATTCAATTATGACTGAGAAAAGGATAATTTTTCAACAGAACTAACGATAAAGGTCTTTTTTTTCTCTTTAGCGTCGAGTTTTATTTTTTTTGAAAGAAAAAAATATTGTCAACTTTTATTTTCTTGAAAGAACGATATTCAATGAAACCTGACAGCCTTTTTGTGCAACTCAGTTTCCAACTGAAGTGGACTCAACAGCAAAAACGACATCAATTGAATCGCCAAAACAAGAAATGACAAGATCAAAGCCACTCCTGAAGATAAAATTAGAAGATTCAATCAAAAGTTTGAACTCACTGATGTAACGTCTGCCAGGCAGAATGAGTTTTGATTCTTTTCTAAAGCCAGCTGAAAAAATTCTTTTCTTCCTAATATAAAAGTAAGAAACTGACTTTTTGGAAGAAGAGCTAAATAACTGGTTCCTGACACGGCACAAGCCCAGGCGAGAACGAAATATCCAAGAAGAAGACGAGTTATGCTTGGAGTCACCATAACAAAGTTCCCGAAAAAAGTGTGAACTTCCGGCTAAAAATCCGGGTTTTTAATTTCATGTTAAAATAATGCAATAAAATCACGTATTAAAAAACATACTTTGAAATTGTGCGTGAATAACGGTAGCCACACCGAAACCAAAGATGCCAAGCCGAAAACGAAATCAGAAACGGAACTTAGGTGTCTGAAACAAAATTAAATTTTAGAAGTTATAGTGCCAGAATTTTCTTACATATTTCGAATATTGTAGTTATGATGTTTGTACAAAACTTTGATTGAGTAGTTGAGAGTTTGAGAGTGGAACGCGATAAAGACAGCGTTCAGAACGGCGTTGGTCTCCCATCTTGAGCTGAAACGGATCATTCATGCTTGCGTTTCAATGAAAACTCAGTACCTTTTGCTAAAAAAATTTATATAAAAAAAAATTGAAAGCTCGGAATTTTCCAGGTGGAAACAAAGAAATGCAAAAATTTTACACTGAGGGTTGGAGGGATTAGGAAGAATTTATGGAAAAAACACAAGCACTTTAGAGTAAAACTGTTCTTTTTTTTTGAGAAAAGGTCGAAAATCTCCACGATTTTTTAACAATTTTTTCAACTTCAAGTTTCCCGAAAGTTGAGGTTTTCAAGTTAAGAAAAATCATTTTACGCCAGTACTTTCTTTGAGAAAGTTCCCGGTGTGATGAACGAGTCGAGTTAACTTTTCAAAAAAGAAAAATCAAAAAATGAAACCTGGCTCCTGTTTCAGCGTTAAGCCGTATTCCTTTGAAACAATCGTAACTGCTCGACATGGCCCCAAGAGCGCAAATCATCGAATAAGCCATAGCGGCAAAACAGCAGAAAATGGCTTTTTGAGGCTGATCGACTTCTTCGCGACCCAGTATCTTTGACTAAAAAGCATTATTTAAGAGAGAACAAATAAACAAAAATCACCATCAAAAAAATCGAAACACCCAGCATGAACAAATGAAAGAGTGCGTAAATCAAAATGACGATGTTTCGAAAACGAAGATCGAACAAGTTGAACTTCCTGAAAAGAATTTTTTTTGAGAAAAAATCTGATAGACCAACCGACAAGGAATAGCACACTGGTCAAAGATATTCAAAGTTCCGTTAAGCTGGGACTCCACCAAACCAGTAAAACAATTCTTTGTAGTTGTTTCCGGAACATCAACATCTATAGTTCGACGCTGAAAAGTTGGAATTTAGTTTTATCTCATTTTCTCGGAAAAGATAGTCAAAATGATTAGATTGACAAGTGTTATTTTTGTATACAATGGGATTTCGGTTGGAAAATTTTAAAAATAAGTAGTGTCAAAAAATATAAAAGAAAAAGCAGAAATTTCTTCAAATCAAAATTTTAAAAATTAGATACAAAAAATGCGCTCAGATGAGAAAATCTGATGCGAGCCTCTAAAATAGAAACAAAAGTGAGAGAAAACAGGAAGTTGAAAACTTTGAAACCGTCTCTTTAAAAAAAATATCCATCCAAAGCCAAGACTCAATCGTAACATTAGAAACAACATACTTTGCATTTTGAGGCAAAATCCGAGCCGGAACATTCGAGGAAGACGGGCCAAAGTTGAAAATCCACCGCATCTTGACATTCGCTCCTGGCTTTGAGACATTCAGATCTGCTGAGAAGCATTCGGTACTCCGAAGTTTCGGTCTGAAAAACACCATAGAATCAAAAATGAAAGCAAAAAATACGTATTCAGTGCCGTTGTCGTCGATAGCTCCAAATGTTGTGACTCGGCACGGGCGGAACATTTTTTTGCATATCAAAGGAGCAATAGCTTTCCAGCACCTGTAATACTTTGATGTTTGATTGAGGAAACATTTCGAAAAATACCTGGGAAACTTGTACAATAAGCCAAAATCACTCATTTCAACATGGAAGTTTTTGGCCGGATCGTAGACAAACTTGTGGCTAACTGGTTCGCCGAAGCACGTCGCGACAGATTTGTCTACGTATTTACCTGGACGACAAAGAGAAATTTGAGTTTGAAGACAACAGATTGAAAAAAATAGTCTTTCATTCAACAAAAAAGCCTTTCATTTGAAAAAAAAAAAGACGTTCTTAAAGATTACGAAAAAAATTCCTCAAGCCCCATCAGTTCTAAGTTAGAGATAGGTGAAACAAACTCACAATTAGAAGATGGTTCGAGTTGCTCATGGCAGTAAGGATCACAAATCCAAGGATTCTCCGCACAAAATGCTCTTCCGTTGCTCTGAAATGTATTGCATTAGAAAGAAATTTCAAGTTGAGTTCAGTAAAAACCACTTCTAAATAAAAAAAAAGGTTTTCTGTGATTGTATACTGATTTGAAATAAAAATTTGCAGCCAGTTTATCTTGATACAAAATCACGAAATAATTTTTCCTTTCTTGTCAGGGGCGTTTTTGTATGAGAAAGGAAGTTTTTGGCGTTTATTCAAACGTCATGACTCGATCAAACTTAAAAAGTGTTCTAAATATGAGGAAAAACTTTAATTAACTAAAATAAGCAGAAATCAAAGTTAATTTCACGCCTCCTTCATACTTTCCATATACGTTAAAAAAATTTTATTTGAGCCTTTGGGCAGTCATTTTTTTTTCGTTGATTGAAAAAAAATGTATGATGTTACGTTGCACAAATATTTAGAAATAAAACGCGGAAATATACAAAAAGAAAGTACCTGTAAGCTTTCGACTCGGCTGAACATTGCAAAAGTACCTGAAAAAAACATTTGTTTTGAAAAAAATTAAAAAAACTTACAAGAAAAAAAGAAAATAAGCTGTTTGATCAAAAATGCATCGCTTTGGAATGGAGAAAGAGGCAATTCCTGCAAAAACAAAATATTAACAAATTTCGGATAATCCGAATACAAAAAAATGCAAAATTTCCCGACGGTGATATCTGCGCTTATTCATAATCCCTTTTGATTAAGAAAAATGTTATTTTCCAACATAAAAAAGCATATAATCGCAAACGCAAAAGATAGATAATGTGATTGGATTTGGCTAGTTTGAGTATGATCAAATTTTGCAAAGAAAAGTAGGAAAACAAATAAATTCTAACAAATGCAATTACGTAAATTTATTTCATCAAACAAACAACAAACAACAACAATAACAACAACAAATTCAAATAGTGTGGGGGGCGTGTATGCAGAATACACACAGAACCTCACGACGCCACCCGGAGTCAAAACTCCTACAGTATCCTAAAATTGAAAAAAAGAAATTTTCCTGATGTTTTAGTATGTTTTTGTTTTTCCATTTTTCCTCATTTATGCCATTCTCGTTTTTTTACAAACTATTTTTTTCTGGTTTGAAAAATTTCTTTTCAAGAAAAAAATTTTTTTCTGTCAATGAAAAACTCATGATCTTCTGGACTAACTGTTATTGAAAAATTAAAAACATATATCTTATATGAGATAAAAATAAAACCAAGAAAAAACTTAGTTTTATTTGGGTTTCTCGCAGAGTAATATCGGATAGAACTTGAAAATTGTAGGCTGATAGGTTTGAAAAAATTGGTTCAAAAGAGATTTAAGCTAAATTTGTAGGATTTCTTGCTAGCTTAGAATACAAAAATTTGCATCAATGTCAAAAAGTTTTCCTTTTGTATTTTTTTAATCATACTTTCAAACTCGTTCCTCTCGAATTTGGTCAAATGTGCTAAATAAGCCGAGCCAATAACAAGTGGAATTGATTTAATTCCTTTTTGCTGTGAGAAACTTCCAAGTAAATTTATTATTCAACATGAAAGAGCGAAAGAGGAGAAGCTTAAAGCGGTATAAGAATTAAACAGGAAAAAAAGCGAATTACTCAAAAAAATTATGACATTTCTGTCTGGAATAAACACGTAAGAAAAACGCAACCGGCTATCGCACAGGATTAAGTCAGTCATTTTCAGAAAAAGGGAAATAGAATACAACAAAAAATCTGGATTATAAGGACAAGAAATGTTGAAAAATACGGGAAAATTACAACGAAATTAATAATTACAAGATCCATCGTGAAAATATTTTGAACAAAACGAACTTTCTGGAGATAATCACAATCGCACTGCGGTTCTAAGACCCGTCCCTTCTGTCTACTTTTTATATATGGCTTAGTTATAAAATATCGATTATTATGAAACGAAAGTATGAATATACAAAAATAAGTTTGATGGGAATTCATGAATTCAGCAGCTGTCGACCAGTTCTTCGCCCTGAGGATCTTCAGTAGGAAGCACCGGAACAGTTTCCATCTGTAATCAAAAAATTATTCAAACACATGAGGTTATTTCTTTAATTAAAAATGAACAACTCTATTTGATGCACTATACCCCTCCAATGACTTTCGTTCACTTTCTAAACCTTTCAGTTTTTTAAATTGTTTAGAACTCTGATAATAAAACAATCATTATAATGAACTTGAGTAAAAATTCTCATTTTGTTTCCATTTCTCCTTCCGAAAAACTACATCTAGTTCGTATTTATTTTTCAAACAACCTTTTTTGCTAAGCCTTGCGATCCGTTTGATGGAAAATAACGTTTTCAAAAAGAGTTTTTGAACACGTTCTGAGCACAATTTTTGAACAATGTTCAGGCTAAACAGAGGAAACTCGTTCTGATCTTTTCAAAAAATCCATTCATTAAGAATTGTTTTAAACGGAAGAACTCTTAGATGCATTTATACTTGATTTATGATTCGTAATCTGTATTTAATCAGCAAGAAGAAGTTTTTAATCAAGTTTTTAGAGCGATGAGCAAAATATCCTGAATGATATCTTATGCATTGAATGGAATAAAACGTACCAAAGAGGTCACATCGAGAAGTGGGCTTTCGATAGGAGAGTATGGTCCAGGACCAACGGACTGAGTGTTTCCGTTAGTATCCATCTGGCTGGAAATAAATGCGGTCAGGATTGTGTTTAAATTCGAGCGCAAGAAACCTGTCGCCGCTGTCGGACTCGCGAGTGCTGGTGGAGCAGGAGCTCTCATTGGACATGGTGCTCGCCCAGCTCTTCGGCCGCTGACGGTTCTCGAGGACGTAGCCATCCTGGAGACAATTCTTTCCTAGCCGCTCGATCCAACGTTCACGCAGCGACGCCTCCAACGGCTCGATGACGTAGGCATCGGTCTTGGCTTCATCCCAGAGCTCGAACCGATTGATTCCCGAGCGAGAGGAGTCCGCGAATCCCAGGGAGGAGGTCTGAAATGTGGAGTAAATTAGATTTTCAGAATTTTTATGTACGCTCCAGGTGTATCTTATTTATCTCTATAGTTTGATTCAATCTTCTCTTTTCTTTTATTCTAAAGTCATTTTTTTGTGTTCAGCTTTGGAACCAGAATTGAGAAATAATTCACGGAATCCTTCGAGTGTCTCAACGTAAATTATGTACTGCTTATTTAAATCATATTTCTTTTGCTCTTACCGGAATGCAAATTTTGTGCTCGTAGTACTCAGGGTCCATCGACGAAGGCTGGTTGGACGGAGGCGTGCGTTTTTTGCAGAACAGAGCTCCTCCATCGAACAAAAAGAGATGTCGTCGCTGCGCTCTCGACAGTTTTCCCTTCTTCTTTTTGTTGTAGGAGTAGACGTCGCACTCGGATTGGAGGCGAAGAGGTCCCAACAGGCGGAGATCTCCCTTCAAAGGAAAGTCGACGTGAAATTATCATTTCCTTTTTCAAAATTACATTAAATCCCGAAATGTGAAGCTGTTGAACAGCAGCATTGATTTGAGCCAAAAGGTCCAACATGGATGAGAGAGCAGCCGTAACTTCGTGGCGGACCTAGAAGGATCATCATGAAAAGTGTTTGAATTGTACAGAAAAATATATGTCAATGTGAGGAGCTATGATTGGAAAACTTGGAATGTCTTGAAGTTCTAAAGGGCGTCCAACTTGGAAGCAAAAGATGAATTATAGCCAGCATCTTATGGACTGTAGTTCTGGCTCGTTACATGGAATTTTTCAGCAACGATTCAAATTTTTTGAAGTCAGACTAACCTCCGGCTGGCAATATTTCTCCAATTCCTTGAGCAGAAGTTGGTATTTCGTGATGCGCTGCACAGGCTTCAGCAAGTAGGCACTCAAAGGAAGAGGATGGTTAGCCTTTTTCTGGCAATCGACGAAGAAACTGGAGTTGTCTCCGAAATCTTTCCTGATCGCCTCGCTGGTCGACTTATTTTGGCAGTAGACACGGTACAGCCCAAGAAACCTGTGTCAAATTACATTTTTATAGAAGGAATAAAAGTTATACTTGTTATGATGCTGCAAGAAGGTCCTGCAGATGCCACTCAGAGAGCACTCGTTGTTCTGCAAGTCCGGACAGACATAGCAAGAGTGGAAAGCCAGAAGATCGCGGAGATTTCCTGGAAAAACCTTTTTTGAAACTTTTTACGAAATCGTTTGAAAATTTTCAAAACTGTGCTCACCAAAAACCAGGTCACTACGGCCCCGAATTTGAATTGCGATTGAAGATTGATACTCGGAAGACTCGAACGGCTCAACGTAGTATTCCACCAAAGACTCAAGCTCAGTCACATAGCTCCGCTCCGTGGTCAACTGGAACATTTAAAATCAACTTTTGACTTTAAAAATTTCTCCTGATATCGAAGACTGATTGAGTGGAGATCAAATTCTGTTCTCATATTTTAGTTATAAATAAAAATCTAATATCAAAGCTAGGTAGCCATCAAAAAAGTCAAAACTTCTGAAAAAGGGGTGTAAAACCAACAAGTTCGGCAATGACACGGGACTCCATGGAGACGGTGTGCGTATCGCGCGGGTTGCTGTCCGTCGGCGACTCGCCGGAGCAGCTCTGCACATCTTTCACATCGATGTCGCGCTGCAAATAAAGCAATTCTCATTATCGCCTAAAGTGAGGGTAATAATAATTATGGGATGGTGGGCATCTCATTCTGGCAGTTCCTCAGGGACACATTTGCTGATTGTGCGGCTTTCAGCCCCCGACAGAAGCGACTCTCGATCTCGAGGAGAAGCAACAAAGCAATAAAATTTGTGGGTATCCATAAATCTCAACTTTTCGTATTTCAAAGAGTGCCCAACAAAAAAAGATTTTTTCATTCCGAATCATTATTAGCTTTCGAATACACCTGGATTCTCAAAACAACAACGATAATGACAAAAATTTCTCACGACTTGCCTCACTGGCGCGTGTCATTTTTCATCGCACCGAGCATTCTCTCAAATATCGGATTAATTATTGAATGGACAAACAGCGCAAAACTTGCTCTTTGTGTAAATAATATTCAAAATGTAAACAGTGGATATGATATCAACATCTTAAAAGTTGGATGGAACTGGTAGCGTCGTTCGCAGAATGTTTATTTATTCGCTACTCATACCTCCAAAGCCAACGTTCGACGTCTGTTTTTCCAAATGTTGCGGAACAAAACAAAATTGTAATAGAGAGATCTGAATAAGCCGTACTTCACTTCAATAATCGACATTATAACCAGTTGCAAGTGGAATTGACGAAAAAGAAAAGGCTGCCGCTCTAAGCGCGAAAGCTAATAAGTAAATAAGAGTGAACCAGAAAAAAAAAGTTGAAAGCTTCATTGTGCGACCGCAATGTCACTTATTGAGTAAACTCCAAAAACAATAAACGGTTCGTCGAACTTTCTTCTTAAATTTAACAAATGCTTCAAAGCTGAAAAGCAAATAAGAAGAAATATCAAGGCATTCTACGATGAAAAACCGGCTATCGGCGTTCTTTTACGGATTTTTTTGGACAATGATTATTTATCAGGGTCTTTGGAATGGGCACTTATTCTCGCTAAGAACCCATTTCCAAATACTTAGCAAAAAAATTTGTGACGAGCCATTTATCACACATTCTGCCGGAAAAAAAAACACCTCCGTTCTCTTGAGACCTTGAAGTCTAGGCTGACGTTCAGAAAAATTGGAAAGAGCCTTACAAACAGATGTGCCAAGTCTTGTTCACAAGACAGCTTTATAATTAGTGTCCGTTGCCCCTCAATTACGTGATCTTGTACAAGGGCAGCCACCACCGCACTTTTTTGACGTTTTATTGAGGAACGTCCTTCATGAGGAATGACTGGACAGAGATTTATCATAGAACCAGGCTGTTAATATTCGAATTCAGAATACTTTGTTTGCCGTGTAAATACACCGGTCTGCAGTAAATGCCTTTCTTGCCTGATTTGAATCGTAAACAATGCTAGGGTGTTATTATAAACTTATGGCAGGATAAAAAAATTATTAATGATTTTTTTCTAAATTTCTCGAATTTTTCTGCTCTTCTCCGGCTGCTATAGGACAAACATGAACTTATGGAGGCCTTAAACTATTTTTAATTGTTTTAGGAAAGGTTAGAGTCATCTTGATCCCTTCGAAATGGGGTTTTTTGAAAATATAGGCTCGTGAAATAGAGATTTTTTCCCTTTTAATACAGATATCCTGTGAACTGTCGAATAATCAGCAACTTTCACGCGGTTAAAAAATCAAGCAAGAACTAGGCAAAACTTTCTGGAAATCTCAGTTCAGCAAAATTCGTCGCACGCTTTGCCTAAACTATACGCCTGTACTTCTTTTGTCTCTTCAGGATTGCGCAAGATGTTTTGTTCCCAAAGCGTTCCAAAAAAAAAAAACGAAAAAGCTTGTTTGCGCGACTGATCCGCCTCATTTCGCGGCCCGATACCTTTTGCGTCTTCTCTGTAGGCTTCCGCCGAACAAACCGGGAATAAAAAACTTTTTTGCGCCACATTCGATGCATTATCGTCATGAGAAACCATCGCATAATCAGATAGGCCATGAGAAAGTTTGAGAAATTTCTAACGAGATTAGGTGTAGAAATTTTCTTCAAAATTAAATCAACTTGGGATTTCGTCAACGTTGTCTGCATGTTATTTTTTTATTAGCAGTTTCCAGTCCTGAGAAACGCTCATAAACATGTGGAAGTCGCAAAGGCAGGCGGCTTTTCTCATGCAACCGTAGAGACTCAAGTGCCACCAGGTCACTTTTTCCCGCTCTCCTTCACATTTTCGACGGAAAAAAACTTTTGTTGAAAAAGATGAGGTCGCGCGTTACGTCACACCAGTTCAACAGAGCTTCCGTCAATCTTTATGATTTTTGCTAGTTTTTTTGTAGCATTTACAAAAAAACTAATGAAAACCTCATATCCCACTGAGCTCATTACGCTTAATAACAAGTTATTCATTGTGTACGGCTTTTTTTTCTGTGAGCCTTTGATGAGCGAACATTAATTCTAGTCATAGAGAAAGAAATTATCAGTTAATCATTTCAATTAAATTTAAAATTTCGCTTCAACTTTCTTGAAGACAGTTTTCTCTTTTTTTTGACCTGTTTGTTGGTGAGCAAAATAATTGGCTAGTGTTGACCTCTGATAGGTCAAAATCGATAAGAAGGTCGTTTTAGGGCCTTCGAACACTCAAAGACGCCAAAACAACACATTTTCTGATGTGTTCTTCATGATTAGATTGTTTGGAAGCGGGCGATTTGAAACAAAAATTGGATTCTTTTTGTTTGAAAAGAGGGATAGCTATATAGAAAAGAACCCAGATTTTTAGTGTAGATGATATGAGGAAAAACAACATAAAGTACCAATGGAACTAAGTAAATTTCAAGTTTTACAACGTACACAGTTGATTAAAACTTGGTAACTAAATTTACAGAAAAATTCACAGATTTGCGTCTTAAAAAAACCTAAAAAACTGTCCTATTAGATGTAAAGTGAATGACGAGCAATTGCTCACAACTCAAAATAAAATTAGCTCTATTTTCCTTTCTTTTTCTGTTGATAGAAATGAAAAACAGGAAAACGGAAACGAGCTCGGAGAAATCATAATATAATATCGCTTCAAAAAAAGTGTTTCCAACTTCAGCTAGTTTTTTGAAGTGAAAAAGGTATACATGGTGTAACAAGGAAGTGCAGAGAGAACTTTCTTGTTTCTTTTCCAATTCCTTTTTTAATTTTTTAAATTAATTTTTGGTGGAAACTTACAAGGCGCTAAAGATTGGAATGTTATTGAAAAAAATCTTGATGCTCTATCAGAATAAGTACAAGTTCTATTGAAGATGCAAGTATTCAAAACAGTGTAGAGAAAAAAGTTGGAAAATAATTTTGAAAAGCGTACCGAGTGGGGATCGATTCCAATGAGCGGAGCTGAGATCGAGTTAACCAGACGTCTTTTGGAACGTCGAAAGGACAAGAAGCGCGGAAGCGAGCGCTTCATGTCCGTGGGTTGAGCAGTTACAGCCAGAATGATTGCGAGTTGAAAGAAGGAAAAAAAACGGCTGACAGATTTTGGTAGGGCAGAAGACAACGGAGGGAGCTTTGCTTGACTGCAGCGGCGGCGAGGGGCGTCCTCCCTCTTCTCTCTCGCCTGGAGGACACAGACACGTCGATTCGCGCCGAAGATCGCTGCATTCGAGGAGTTCTTGATCTCGCTGACCACAGTCAAGTCCGAGTTGGATCAGAAACGGACGGTCATTGGCAGCCACGTGGCTTTGTTGGCATCTCGTAAACGAGGATTACGCTGTGTTGACCCCGGTTCGTCTCCTTTTTTGGGTGACGTCTTCGAGACTAATTTTCGTTCTCATGAAACAATCGGTTGAAAATTAGTCTGGAACGAAAAAAAAATATCAACTCTTGTGTTTTTTCACCAAGTCTAACGATTTTTTCAAAAAAACTTTTTGTTTTCATAGTTTGTCCGCACCAAGTTTTTTGAAGGGCCGCGAAATTACCATTACTATGAGAAGTTTTGGATTTGCTCTAGGCATGCTACAAAGTTTTTCTATGCTCCTTTCAATACAAAATTCTGAAAAAAATAATTGCAAAAAAAGTATTTTTTTAATTCTATTAAATAATTATCATAAGGAATCTTTGTTTTGAATTTGCTAAAATTGTTGAGGCTTCATGTTTTTGATTTTTTTTTACATTGTCTATTCCTATTCCTAGCATCAAACCAAAAAATTTACCACTGAAAATTTTATTACATTCTCTCTAGCTTGGCATTGAGATGCCTTCATTTCCCGAATTTGAATTCAGGGTTTAATGGCGGCTAAGCCAAATCGGAAAAACGAATTACTCTTTTTCAGAGAATTCACATTCTTTGAACTGGCAAAAAAGAGACGAGATCCAACATATATTTATGCCATTCCGAAATAAATCTTTTGCATAAATCGTGTGCAATTTCACAGCTGTCACAGACGGCAAACGACCTCTTCAGAAGTGACAACGTACACAGATAAAGATGACGTCTTAACGTATGCATAGGCCACCCTTAACGCAGCAAATGGGCCGCATCACGCAACAATTGCCTAGCGTTCTACTGGCACGAACGCCTGTAGGTGACCCATCTGACGCCAGCGAAAGTGACGCCTTGTAGTCGCTTTTTTCGAAAACGAGGATTCTCCCGTAGAACTTTCAAATCTATTATTATCCAGTCAACGTTAAAAGTACTTTTGCAAAGGGAGTTTTCCTCAAAAGCACTCTTTTGTCGATTGACTGAATTTAAAAGCGCTTTGACTTTTTTTTAAAGTTCTTAATCGTAGGTAAAAACTCGATTCAAAAACGTGTCGACTTTTTGTTATGATAACCTCTGATAACAGTAAAACCCACTGAAAACTTTCAATTCTTTCAAGCATTTGGCAAAGTTTGTTTACAAAAGCTTGCTGGGCCTCCATGTAGGAGAAAAAACTTATTGCTAACTTTAGAGTATAGTAAGAGAATTTATTTTTTTAATTTTTCAAACGATGAAAAAAGGATATTTTGAATATTCAGACTATTTTATCCTTTTATTCAAAGAAATTTTTGACTTAATTTTCTATTCTTTGCGTTTTTCTCTTGGCAGAAAACTACTTCTCAGCACTTCCTGAATTTTGCTAATTCAATAATTAACATGTTCAAAGGAAAAGCGGATGATGTAACAAAAACGGAGGACATCCTCATAATTCACATGCATCTGTCCGTTGCAGCTGTACGCGCTGGTTTTGCAACGTGATCCGTGCCCATCTCAAAAAAAAGGCGCCACCTCGAAACCCAGATGTTTTGCAGTTGTTTCGCTTTTTCACCTGTACGGCTGGCAGTTAAGACCGCTCATTTTTCTTCGAAACCAAATTCTCGCATTTCAAATTTAAGAGCTCGTAAAGAAGGTAGTAAATACAGGGCCTTGCTGTGATATGAATTAATCTCCGATTGGCTCGAACAAACAAAAAGATCATTCAAGCGTGAGAATCGCGCATGATCTCGCTCTCAAGCTCCGCAGATCTGATCTATTTTTCCTTTGGTGCTCTCTATTGTTTCTGCAGGATTCCAACTCAGTTACTACAGAAGTAAGAGCTACCAGAATCGCAGAGTAAACATGCTTATTGATCTCCATAAAAAAGTTTAGCTCATCTGTTTTACACAGGAAGAATGAGAATGCCCAGAAAAGCTGATGACTGACCTCTTTGCGGTTCTTTTTCTTTTTTTCCGGAGTCACCACTTGCACAGGAGGCTTTTTCTGCTCAGAAATCTTGGCCAAAGCATCCCGACGAGCCACAGACATCCTTCTTATGTCGTCGATTCTTTCGGCCACCTGTAGAACAAACTTTGAGCTAAGTTTCAGCAAAGTTTCCACTACAAACTTAAAAAATGCAAACAGAGTGATAAAGGAAAGAAAAAAAAATAGTCGGTTTCGGTTTTCGAAATCGCAAATGATTTTTATTCTTTGGTCTTTTTGGATATCTTAGTCATAAAAAAACAGTGACTAATCGAAAAATGCAAACTTTGATCAAAAAATTAAAGTTTCGTCATATAATTTGCTTTATAGAAAATTTTTCTCACTAAATGGATCGGCCAGCGAATTCTGGTTGTTCATATACTTTTTCTGTAATTTTTTCTGAGTATGGCTTTAAGTGGGACTTTTGAGAGGGATTACAATCACTAGAAGCGGATTTTCAGTACCAAGTTTGATTCATGAAACTGACTTGAAGTCTTTTGCAAAGGGTTTTGTTGCCCTTTGCTTTCGTTTTAGATATAAAAATTTGACACGTCGTTCCTCATAAAAAGTTGTTTTTTTTCTAATCGATTCAAGCCAAACTTCATTTATAAGTCTAGCTGGTCATTGTGTATTTTTTTCCTTCTGACCTAGAAATGGCGCAGTTCTCAATCTTGCCATTGACTCGTCGCTTTTCGGGATGATGTGTCCGAAATTAGCAAAAGGAGTCAATGTGCACATTTATGTTGCGCTGAAGCCGCGGGTTTCTTTGCATCAAAACGCCAAGTGGAGTCGTGATTGAATTAGCATAACCGGGCGCGACAGTTCGCCCATACTTCCTAAAAATGCTGCAGCCAAAAATGAAAGCGATACCGCCTTGGTGAAAGGAATGAATTATTCATATAGGTGCTACCGCTCCGAAAATGGGTTGAATGCCTTCCGGAAACAACAATCTGCGCTAATCGTCCTAGTCATTGGGGTCCACTAGGAATTTCAAATTGGAAAGAAAATGAAAATGTTGCAGATCAAAAGGCGAGCATGCGATCTCGCAAGGTTTATGAATAAAATAAACGCTTTCAAGTCTAAAACCTTATCTCATCAAAAACGTTAGGAAACTCAAAAAAAAGGAAAGAAAAGAAAAATGCAGATTTCAAAAATGTTAGGCGCTAAATGAATCATGTCGTTCTGAGATTTTTCGAGAAACATTTTTTTTTGTTATTGTCTGCCAAAAATCTGAACTTTTGGGAAATCGGCAAGAACATTATTGAAATTTCACATATCGAGAGTTTGAAAGCGTGAGAAGAAATCTCGTGTCCGAGAACATAAGCTCACTTTTGCGAAAAACCCTGTATCCAAGTTTCTGGAGATTCCTTTTTTTAATTCAAAAAAGTTTTATTAAAGTTTTTGCAAAAAAACTTTCAAAGTTCAAGAAGCCGTGAGAGTTGAAAGAATCTGAGAAGGGACTGAAATGAAGAGATATGTTCCAGGCCCGTTTTTTTCAGAATCTTGCTACTATTTCTTGACCAAAATCGAAATGCATCGAATAGTTTTGGAAACCGGCGATTTGAGATGAACAGTAGTATTGCGCAGTTCGGCGGCGGAAGACTCGATTAAATGCAGCTGGCAGCCGGGGCTCGTACGTGCTACACAAAGAAGTGGTGTCAGAAAAAGTGTGGCCAGCCAAGAGTTATGATTACGAGGTGCCGTCCACCAAGAGCCAAAAAACTTTCTGCACTAACGACTGATTTCCATCGGCTTTTCTTTCATTTTGGGGCGGAACTTTAGTTATGTAGAAGTAGAAACTCAGAAAAAACTTTAAAAGAGCCAAACGGATTTTTACTTTCTTTTTGAACTTCATTTTACAAACTAAAAAAACTCATTTTTCTATAATTAGTCTGGAAGGATTTCAAAAAAATTTCAAACCGAATATCGTACATTTACCAATGATCCATTGAAAGCGCCCTGATACATCGACTTCGCTAGGCTTTAAAAGTTATACTTCACTTCATTGAAAAATCAAGGAATTCCCTCGTCTCGTAGTAACTATTGAATGACTTTTTTTAGGATCACCAAATAAAAAAATGAAAAAAATTATTTTCTTTATATTTTTTTAGATATTTTTTTGGGTGGAAAACTTCTCATGCTAAAACTTCGTCTGACCATTTTGAAGTGCGGTGTTTTTCTGTGTAGGTAGGTTCCTAAGTATCAGCTAAAAAAATAATTTTAAAAAAAGACTTCTTTTTGATCCGACGCGCATCTCGTTTTAAGTCGGGCGCATTATGTAGCAAATTTTTTGTTTCAAATCATTTAACAAAAAACCTTCGGTCTCTTAGTCAGTGTTTGAAACAAAACAAAAATTAGAATCTTTTTATATCCACCTTTTTTTGATTTATTGTGCTTGGTCTTTTTTCGAAGTAAAGGTTTTCCGACCAGCATGAATTTCAAGTTTGAGCAGAGAGTTCCCATGCATCTCGAAAAGGATAAAAATTACCTGCGCAAGCAATGTGGAAGTTTCTGTGGTAGTGAGAAGTATGAGACTGTTAAGTGATGGAGCGTTGCCCAAAGAATCGAGCTGAAATATTTGACTGATGTTATAAACTCGGGAAAGAAAGCTTTCAGAATGTTAAAAGGTTTGAGAGTATTCCAACAAACTGATTTATTCTTTCGTAATAAACTTTCGTCATAGGATATAATCATTTCGGATTTTTTTTTGATGAAACTGATTGAGTAAGTTTGTGGAAAGTCGAAAAATTCATTCCATTCCCGAAGCACATCGGTATAATATTCAAGAACACCCTGGCACCCGAAAAAGAATGAAATGAAACCAAAAGGAGGAAAAGAAACTTGTAGGTGGGAGCCTTCGCTCAAAAACTCGTCCATCTTCGCCACGGCGCTTCCAGCGTTCACTCCGGACATGTCGAAAGGCACGCTCGTCAAGATTTCGACGCCTTTTTTGCACCAAGAGTTTGCCTAAAATACTTCTGGTGGGTTGAGAAGCTTGTTGGTTGCATCAAGGTTTGTGGAAGACATCACAAGGAAAAAGATAGAAAGTGAAGAATGTTGGTGGCTTGAAAGGGGAGAAAGATCAAGAAGCTGGTGAAAGGGTTTTCCATTTTCTCAAATTTCATTAACAGTTTGAAGTGGGAATTTCGAAAAACACAGAAAAAAAACTTGCAAAGAAGTTACTTCACTTTTTTTTTCAACGTGAGAATTTTTCACAATCTTTTCGAAATACCTAAACACCGGATGAAGGATATGAAAAAAAAAACACCTGCGCTATTTTTCATTTCTTTCGTCAATAAAACCTTTAGAACTAGCCGAATCGGAAAACAGTGTATTGCTTGAACTGAGGCTAGAATTACAGTTTTTAAACCTTTCACGGCATCCACAAAATAATAAAAACAAAAACTTTGATCAAATTGCCGATGTGAAAATCGAACAAAAATCCTTTTCCTACCATTCAAAACTTTCAAGAATCGTTAACGAATTATAAGCTGGCTGGTATTAACGCTTGATGAATCCGCCAAAATGAGACATTCTGTTTTCGCTCACGCGATTTTAACGATCGCCACAAGGGTCTTTGATGAGACACGCAAACGGTTTGGAAAATCTGCCGCCGGCCCCCATCTGTGGCGTTTATGGCTTTTTGGTGTGGAAGCGAGAAGAATTAAAGCCAGATCTGCTCGTTAAATCTTAGGTTAGGATACCACGAATGGGAATACGCTGATCCTCGAATCTGAATCAGTGTCAAAGAAATCATGAGTTTTCACCCCTGGCTTCTTTTTTTCAGATCCGAAAATCATTAAGTTATTGTTGAATATTCTTTGATAGTAAATCGGTTCCTGTGAAGAAACGGAAAAAATCTTTTGCATGCAGTTTTCATACTTTTGAGACATTCCAAAAAGAAAATGAAAGTCTCGGTTTTGTAAAAGCTCAAACAAAATTTTTGAATTTCTCAAAATAGAGAATCATTTTCAGTGTCTTTTCCAGTCGCGAAGAATCTTGGCGCCTCGAAAAATTTTGAAAAGTTCTTTTATTCGTCAAACTGTGTTGGAAATTGTAGAACTTTGGAATTGATCAGTTAGCAACAAAAAAATTTTTTTTAAAACATATAAGGTTGGAAAAAAAGTAGGAAGAAGTGACTAAATACACTTCGTCACGTTGTGACATTTCACATGTTTTCACTTTTCAGTTGTACGTCCTACAGCGTCATTCAAATTCGAAAAAAAAAAATGAATGGGGACGTTGTTTCACACCTGGCAGTGTGTACAACGGATGAAGTTTGCCTTTACACAGTTCTTATTGGTTATCACGAAACTTGCGGTTCGCGATCAAACTTTCTTTTGGGCCAAACGATATTGGAAAAATCTAAAAAAAAAAAGGTGGAGGTCACGTCTCAAGCAGAAAAACTTTGTTCCCATGAACAGAATATGAATCACGACGGCCTGAATTTCCGATAGCATTCTGTGCCTTACTTCATTTTTCCTCCAATTCCGTTCATTAAACTTAATCGCATCATTTGGGAAACGGCCACGGCCCTTTTCACAACATTAAAAAAGATGAAATTTTCAATTACCAGTCTCCCTTATAGTGCAATGCGTTGCAATCATGCTGTGGCTATTTTTTGAGTTTCAAATTTTGTCATTGCAATATTGAGGATCAAAAAATTTCAAACATCGTCTATTGCAAGTTGACTTGTCGTGGGGCACGGTAGCAGCTTCAGAAACGCCACAATTTGAGCTATCAAGATTCTCCTTGCGTTTTTTTTTTGAAGCTTTGGGAATGATGAAGCGGAAAGCTCTACAAGAAATACACTGCAATAAACTGAATTCGCCACGATTTGAGGCAGTTTGGCTTGCATCCGACCTTAATGGTAATAAATAAACACGTGAAGAAAAAAACCGTCTGTAAGATTGCGCAGAAAAGTCAGAATGCTTCAAGTTACGCCGAAAAAGGAACCATTTTCCGCGGTTCGTTTTCTTCCGAATTGGTCAGAGCAACTAACCTTGAGACGAACAACACGAATTACAGAAAGATGCAAGAACAGAGGACGAAAAAAGGGAAGCCGGATAGTTACCTGGGCGATCTGCTCGTGCATCACGCTGCTCATCCTCAATACCGCGGTCCTCCTTTCAAGTGCCCCCGTCAGAGCGTCGGCCATCCGTTCCAACTCTTCACACTTGGGCAGCAAACTTCCAGAAAGCTAAAGTCAGTTTTTTTTTGTTTGATCAGAGTATAGAAAAGTTATCTCTGACGGTTTTTGATCAGCGAGGATGAGTTTGGATCTTTTGATCTCAATCTTTGATATGAACCTATTTCTTATTCGAAGAGGCTCAATATTTCTTTACAAAGCTGAAAAAAAAACCAAAAAATTAAGGTCTCAAACTTTTTAAAAGAGAAACCTTGTCTGAAACTTTCTGTCACAGGTCAGATGGAACTTCAAAGAAAAACTCGTTCTGAACTTGTTTTTTTAAGAAATAAGATACTAATTTTTTTAAGTAAAGATAAACTGGTATATTATCATAACCGTCGGACAAATCTTGAGCTTTTTGGCTTGAATACATGAAACAAGGATTGAAAAATAACCTCGATGTCATTGCCAGAAATGAGCTCTTCTCCGGTGACGCGAAGGGCTCGGGCTGATTTGACGGAGTCCTGTGAAACATTATTAATTTCCTTCAAACTGTAACAAGGCGTGCTTTAAAATTTCTTCATTAAAATTGGTTCAGTTAAACGCAAAAAAACTTTGCGAACGAGCTGTATCGAATTCATGTTAGAAAGTTTTCGTATGTTGCAATGCGAAATTCGTTTCGAGTCGGGCGCAATTCTGCGAAACGCCTTGAGACTACGGCATTCAGAGCGGTACTATGAAGCAATTTTTTTTTAGTGTAAAAATGAGATTTTCTCAAGCTTTGCTTACTTTTGCACACAAAAATCGTAAAAACGGCACTTCAGTTCAGAACGCTAAGGAAACAGAGCTGCTGTCGTCATTACTCGCAAGCTCTTGAGTTTTTCTATTTCTCTGTTTATGTGATTTACTTTTTTATGTATGACCGCAAACAAACTTGATAAATCTCTTTTTTTCGAGAAAAAGTTCTTTGTTCTTTCAGCTTTCTAATTACTCAAAAATCCATCTGAATTTCCGGTTTTTATTTTTTGTATTAGTACTTTCATCCGCATCATCTGTTCCAATCCTTCAATCTTCTGAGTTTTCATTATCTTTCAGCTTACTTTTTTTGTATCAGAATTTGTTTGAAACATCGATTTCTTAGAAGCAACAGTTATTAAAAAGACTTACCATGGCTTGTTCGGCGTACAGACGATGCTGATCAGCAAGCTGCAATGCTTTTTCCCGTCCGTCGCCTACCTCACGATGTTCTTCCAGGTAGAGCATGTGCCTAGCGAACGCCGATTGAAGCTGAAACGTGCAATGTTGGAATCTTTCTGGGAAGCCTAACGCAAAAAAAAAGAGAAGAAAAGATCTATAGCCTATCAGTATGTCATTTTCTCACATTCCACTGACAAATCTGTTTTGGCCAGTTGCTTTTGAGACCGAGGAGTTACACTTGAGCGCTTAGAAGAAAATAGGTAAGAAAGTTGAGGAAGGTAATTGTAAAAAAAAAAAAGAATTGATTTTTATTCCATTGAGAGTCCTTAGCAAAGAAAAAAAAAGTATCGTGTATACTTCGAGTCTTTGCAAAGTTTGACACGTAGCAATGAAACTGTTAAGAGCTGTCTCAAAGCTACGAGAGTATCGAGAGAATCCAATCTGATTGTCAGAAACGTACTCTTTCAGAAATAAAGACACTGTGTCCCAATAAAATATATTCCTCTAAGAATATAGCAGAACTGCCGTGAAGGCGCAAGTTCCACGTATTGCGGCAATCGGAAGATCGCGATTACAGCACAATGGGGCTTTTTCTATTAGCGTTTTGATCAATTGGGAATCATCTGCACTCGTAAATACCATAAGTGACCTTTCGAGGAAAAAAAAACGGTTTTCGAGGACGACGGCCTTCAGTTGAACGACCTCGGAAGACAAATGCGCAAAACGTGGAGCGAAATAAGCCATTTTTCATGAGGTTAATCAAAAATGACAAGGCGTTCTTGAATACTTTCTGTAGCTTAGGAAGGAGGGAAAACAACTTGGGAGATTTCCGAAAGAAGTTTTCTAGAAAGGCTTTTACTCAAAAATAGGAAATCTAGAGACTAAAAGATGTGACAGTTCAAAGAAAAAAATCAAGTAAGTTACTCTTTGCCAAGGACAATAAATTTGGTCCAGGATAATGAGTCTCTGAACGCTGTTTGCTTTTTTTTTTTTCAGGAAACCCCTACGGTAGTTGATTACTTGGGCGACAAAAGGCTGAGGTGTGAGTATTGCCGACAGAGGTGTAATAATCAGGAAAAATAAACTGCGGCGCCAGAATCGGTTCAAGTTTCATTCTCAACAGCCTTAGTACTTTGCGCCATTGAACTTTTGAGAGAAAGAAAGATTCGCTTTCAAAAATATGCAGAGTTTTCGAGAAAAAAGAGAAATGTTTTTCCAAACATTGTCAAGTATAAAAACCAAAATAATGTACAAGAAAAAAATATAAAAAAAGTTAGAAAGCTGAAATTAATTCGAAATTGAAAAACTCCCGACTTTTTCAAGTCTGAACACTTCGAACTAACTTTTTTTATTTTCAATAAAGAAAGTCATTCTAGTTTGAAAGTTTTTTGATAAATGTTCTTGGCAGAGCAAAAATACAACCGCAAAATAAATCACTTTCCTGATGAGAATTCGAAAATTTAAAAAATTCGGGCTTGAAAAATATGAATGACAGAAATGAAACAAGTTCTGTCACGTGGGTTCCGCGTTGATGAGCTGAACACAAAAAAGAAGTGGTTTCAGCGCAAAGATTGTGTGGACAAATGTATCATTAGGCCGTTCTGAGTGGCCCTCGAAAACCGACCGGCCACTTATTCGCACTGAACCTTTTCCCGTTTCCAACTTCTTGTAGCCTTTACCAGCTTATCAACAACGTTATCATTTGAAAATGGTGTCATTCGAATAATAAATAAATATTTTTTTGATTAGGAAAAAAACGCTGATTGAGTGAAAAATATTGTTTTTTTTTCTACTGTTCCAACAAAGAAATTCTAACCTGATTTTTTTGTTAAAGCTGTTAAATTTCATGATCATCGCTTCTTTCAAAAAAAACTTTTTACTCTCGTTTCAAGATTATAATTCAGCTCTGAGAATCGAGATCCGAAATGTGACCATTCATAAATTTATATGAGCCTGTATGAAGGCAAAATTTGGCGCTTGAAAAGCCTCTTCAGAAAAACAAAAAAATCTGGATAATAGAATGCAAGCTTCTGAACAGCAGTTGAGACGTGAGACAGAGAAGCCGCCCAAATTAGTGAAAAAGCGGACAAACGAAAGATCTCCGAAAAAAGAAGACAACAATATAATTGGCAACCGCAAAACACCCTCAAAAAAAAGTAACGAAGAAAAGCAAAAAACGAACAGCTGCCTCAAGGAAACATGCGTTTTTTTCCGTGTCTCAAAAGCTTGAAATGCTTGAAATATTCGAGAACTGACATTTGTGTCACAAACACGCCTTGCAGAAAAAGAAGCATTGATTATCACAGCCTTAGAAATTTTCCAATTAATTATGAGGTGTACAGCGCCGAACAATGCCTTTTACATCTGCAAGGTATTCGCGCTCCGTTGAGCAGGAAAATTGAATTTCTTGAAGAAAAAAACGAATTGAGAAAGGAAACATAAGATTCCAACGAAAAAGCTTGTCTGCGTCAAAAAAATGATTCTTCATATAATAACCGAGCCATTCCGAAAAAGTTCAATAGTTATCAAGATTTTTCTGGAGAAAAGCCTCGCAGTTTCAAGATTTTCCTGAAGGTTTTGCAGTTTAAAGTGAAATATCTGAAGCTAATTTGTTGTGGTAACAGGATAGACTAGAAAACCGGGAAAAGTTGGCAGATTTCAAGAAGATCTGTCACGCAATCAACGCTCCGATCGTCAGATGTTGAGGCTAGCAATGCTTCCCCGGTCAAACGATGACGTTTAAAAATTTTTCGGTTATTCGTACTCTTTAAAAATTTTCTTCTTGTTTTCAACAGGTTGGAGAACGATTTGAAGAGTTGGAGTTAGAAATAAGCTCGACGCACTTGTCCATGCGCCCGACAATAAACGACTTGCGAGTGGCCCCATGTTTTGCTTGAGAAATGGTAGGTTCGAAGTCATTTGGACATAGCTATCAAGTGAGAAAAGTTCCAAAAAACAACAGTTTTTGACGGACACGAGCAATTACAGTTCGATTGTTTTTCGTGTTGTGGTTATGAGAAAAGGGAATACATTACTTGGTGACCGAAACGATACTTGATTTCTAAAATATCAAAACGGTCTTTTCTCCTTCAGCACCGAGTTCATAGGAAGAGGAAAACTTGTTTAAAAATTGGTGGAAAAAATTATTCAAGTTTTTGCGAATAGAGGATACCAAACTTATCTATAAAAAAAGGCAAAAAAAATAAGGTGCGCCATATTTTTCTATCTATGCAATAAAGAAAAATTGAGCAATTAAAAGTTATCACATAAGTTCAAAACAAGGAAAAAAAGCCTGACGTTATTTTTTTGAAAGTTACAATGTCAATCAAAAAATTTCAGTGGAATATAATATTTTTTCTTTTTTTTCTACGGATAAATATATTTTAGTCTGATTTATTTCTTATTCATTCTTTCGATTGGAAAAATACGGCAACAAACACTGAAGAAAACTAGCTCAGTCACGTCCAAGAGAAGAGAGACCCAAGTTTCACGAAGCTCCATGGGCGTAATCTCGCTCTTCAGCAGCGTGAACGATAGATAGATGTGTAGGGAAAAAAAGAACACTTGTTCGAAATCTGGCGAACTGACAGATGAGAATATATTGCGACGACACAGATTTCTGTGAGAGAAATCAAGCTTTTCCTCTCCATCACTTGTCGTCTCAAACAAACTGCCGCACGTTTTTCTAATATTCAGCTTCATATAATTTCCTCTTATCGTTATCAATGATTGAGAAGGTGAGAAAATCCAACGTTTCCAAAAAAAAGATATGAACGGAAATATAGGTCGCAAGGACGCCGGAAGAAAAAAAGTCAAAAAAAAAAAGTGACCTTTCTGAAAGATTCTTCAAACTGCCGCAGTTGTAGACAATTGCTCAGCCGTTTCTCGTGCTTCGCCCAGAACAAATCAAACGATTTCTCAGTCTCTTCTGAAAACAAAAGCTTTTGAAAAACCTTGTTGTTATTCATTCAAATCATGGCGTTTCGTAATGATTATTCAAGAAAAATTGATTTTTTTTTTTCAATTTTCGAAGTTCGTCGCGGAAAAATTGCGCTCGGATTCTCTTACGTAAGGACTATTTCTTTTTTTCATTTCAACAATGATAAAATATAGGAAAAAAATGATGAGAATTTGAAATAAAAAAACGCCAGACATCCTTTAAATATAGTTTTTTTGGCCAGAGTTTCATACTTTTTCGGGAAAAAAATTCTAGAATTTTGATCTAATTTGTGTTTTTAAAAAAACATTTGAAGTTTTTTTCAATCAATCCTCGTGAGTGCCTATCATTTTTCAAAGCTTCTCACATTACTAAACAGAATCTCAATTCATTTTTTTATCTGAGGTTCTCATGGAACCCTACCTTTCACACGCAACTCAAAAGTATTTGGATATGTTTCTCTTCAACATTTTTCTTAATCAAACTTCAAATCTCTGCAACTGACAAAAACTCGGGACATACTCCAACTTCACCAAACTTTTTTTCCATTCAAAAAAACTTCTTTTCAATTTTTGCTGCTCGCTTCCGTTCCATTCACAGTTTGCACAATGACCACCCGACAGACACAAAAAGTCTAGCGGAACCAGCGTGTGTATGAATGTATGTACGCATGAGCAACCCGTCACTACGCATTAGGAGCTATGAAAAAAGAAATAGGAAAATAAACTCTTTTCGACTCTCGGAAAAAATGTCGTTTCTGCGATAAATCTCGCTGCTAAGGAAGTTTAGTATTGAGATATTTTTAAACTTTAAAAAAAGAAAGGCTTGAATATCTGATAATTTTTCATGCTCGAATAAACTGGGAAGCTATGGAAAATTAGGATAACAGACGCAGTTGAGAAACTTAGAAATTTTTTTGTTAGGGATTTCAGAGAATTCAAGTTTCTTGTTATTTGATTTTCAGAAGTTTTTTTATCAGAGAGACAAATGTGATAAAAAGTCCCAACGTTGTTCTTTTTATTTTATTGAGAACAGAAACAATCCATCTTGGTTTGCTCATTTTTTTTATTGTCGGCCAATAATTTGAAGCTTAGTTTCTCAAAAACCAGAAATATTGAAGACTGACGCTTTTGAATTGAAGAAGTTTTACCTGCTTTGTTCGTAAACTTTATTATATATTGTGAATGCTTCCTGATAGATTTTCAAACTTTGAAGATTAAAGACGTCTTTGAAACCAGTAAATACCCGAAAGGAGAGGTTAAGTTTAGTAGCCAGCGTCAAAGCAGTTTTTCAAACCAATTATGACTACCCGTCAATGAATCACCCGAACAGCAACCGTTTCTAAGCAATTGTGCTCATTTGGCCGAACAAACCGAGCTGGACGAGCATTCGCTCAATGGCCGTCACGTTGTGCAGTCGAGTGGGCGATAATTGCTCCGGCGTTGGCTTCATGTCCATTTGCCGTACTGACCTGAGAAGCGACATGCCCTTGCGGACTGAGATCCGGAAATCCTCCTGTAAAAAAAAGTTTTTTGGGAAGAAGATCAGAAAAAGCCACCTTTATGGCGTCTTTCTCAGCCGTTTGTGCTTCCAAGATTCTGGCGGTAGTCTCAACATCGTTTGGAAGCTCCGTTTCTCGTAAAGTTCTGCCGAAGTCGCTGAGGGATGCTGCAATCGCCGTGGCTGACGATTTCATCCTCTCGATGTCCTGAAGAGAGGAGTAGAGTTATCCACACATTTGTAAAGCGTATGTTTTGAATTTTCACATATCTTTCGGGTGATAAGATCAAGTTTCATTTGGATTTATCCACCGCTGGCTTGAAAACTACAGCCGAGACGTCCGGTTTTCCATTTTGCACATACAGCAGTACTGTCAATCAGAAAAAATATGAAAACAAATTTTCTCAAAACTTTCTCGTGGGGAGCTCAATCTTTTTTAAACTCGTTAAAGTTTTTTTTTTCTGTCAACTCAAATTCAATCAGAGTGTTACAGATAACAGAAATCACAACTCCGGCAGGATTCAAACATAAAACTCCATTTAAAGAAGTTGTGATCGAAAAAACGTTTTTTCGTGTCTTTCCTGAGGGAATAGTTTTTTGCAAAATGCTCAAAATTTCCAATCAAACATCAAATTTTCGTGAAAATTAAGGCAAGCATCATCAATTTGAAACAAAAATGCTCTACAGGACACAGTTTTACTAATCATATGAAGACTTGTTAACTATTGTCTCAAGTCAGCCTCGGATGAACTATAACAAACCGCTTCGACTTCATCCTCATCGTTCAACAATGTCAGGTAAGCTTTCCCGGAGCTCACAGAACTACCGCCCAGAAAATTTTGTATCAGTGACAACATCAGACCGCAGGAAGTGAATAAATCAAGAAGAGGAAAAGCGTCCAAATTGAATAGACTCGGTGCCGAAGTGCTTGTGCCTGACTGGTCTCAGGTATATGCATATACCTGACGCCACACCCTTTGCGCATGTCCAGCTGGCCAGCAGCCTGCCTCCTCTCGTTCATTCACACCTTGCCTTTCAAGGCTTCCGCCCGCCCTACCAGCGCTAAATTTTTCTTCGAGACGCCCTTTTTGCACATATTTCGGTTTCTCGGGAAACATTATTTGGGTCAGAACTGCGTCAAAAGTCGCACTTTTTTCTTTTGCTTCTCGCTTTGGCTAGGAAATTTCCGAAGTCGAGATGAATCGAGAGGTGTGAAAAAGCTGAACTTCGTTTACACGCAAAAAATTTTGGATCACTTCGATGAAAAAATTTTGCAAAGAAGCCCTCAAAAAAAAAAATGAAGCAAAGTTTGCTGCATCGATGAAATACACGAAACAATCCAAAGATTCAAAGCCTCTAAAAAATTTTATGAAGAAGCGGTTTTTTATACTACATTGAGATCCTAAGATTCTCAACCTACAAATCTTTCCAGTCTATAAGTTAGTTATGATAGTTAAAATAATAAACGCGGTACAGAATAATTTGCCACTAAAAGCTTTTTTGACTTATATTCGATAAACTATAAAACTCTGAGTGGATATGCCTCATTCTCAAGCTGACAAAGAATCGGGTATAAACTTATATGTAAATACCACTTTTCAACGAGGACTTCTGAAAATGAAAAAAACTCTCACCATTCTATGTTGGACCCACTCGAGATGGTTATACTTGATCAACCCTCCGACGTCCATGGTCAATTGCTCGGCTCGGAGATATTTCCTCAATTCGATGGAGGAATCCAGTTGGACGACCTGAGTTCAACGACTCGAAAAGAAAAGAATCGGACGAACTTACCTTGAAAGAGCAAGTTTCGGCGATGCCACGATACCCTACTTCAAGTGCACGCTGAAGAACGCCTTCTGGTTTGAGCAAGAATACAACTCGAACTTGTCCAGGAAAGAAGGACTGTAACATTTTCGATGTTCTCAACAAATTTGTTTCTGGAAGATCCTATGGAAACAAAACTCGAAACTGAGAAAACTTTTTGAGTGCGAAATACCGTGAAAAATAACTTTTGAAAAAAAAATACACTTTTTGTTAGAAAAAAAAGCACAGAAAATTCTTAAAGTTTTGAATTCGCACAATTTCAAATTTTTCAGGAATAAAAAGAAATATGGAAAATAACATCAAAAACTAGGTAGGCTGTGAATTTCAGCATCTTTATGCAGCTTAAATAAAGACTTTTGAGCACGTCATCAAACATCTCTACAGATAAACAGGCAAATCCGTTTTCTAATTGAGATTTTCAGAAAAAATTGGGAGAGAACCACTAAATGAATAATTAGGCAGTTCTAATGAGCACTCAAAGAAGAAAAAAGTCGGGAAAAGGCTGAAACCGATTCCCGCGGCATTTCGCCGCAAATTGGATTGGCTGCTTCAAGGCTTCCGCCAGTACGACAGCTAATTCTGTTAGATGAGCCGCTACCAAAAAAAACCACTATACGCGTCCAGGCCATTCTTCGGCTTTCTATGAAGAAGATTACAAAACTTTTGAACAAAAATGTTGACGGATGTCAAAAGCAGAGATTCAGATCAGATGGGCAAAAATTTTACACTGAAGTCGAAAAGCTCGAAGAAAAGCCGATTTTTCACACGGTACTCAGTGATGGATATTTGCACATTTGTTAAATAATCTGATCGACTTTCTAACTAAAAAAAATGAAGAAATATTTGTTTCTCAACTTTCTGAGCTTTATCGGAAATCTCGCTGGCTTCTCATTTAAAAATCGTGCAAGCTTGAATCTGCGTGGTTCTTTTTTATAGAGCCATCGAACTGAAACTTTAGCTCTCAGGAAAGAAAATTTACATCGCTTAATCTTTCACATATAAAAAAAATCGGTTGAAAAGTAAGTCTGTTAATTTTTCCTGAAAAATGATAATGTAGAAAAAATTTTTTCACATTTTTTACCTGGTTCAGTCATCTAACAGTTGATCTATTTTTTCAAGTTTGGAAAAATACACAGAAAAAAGCGGAAAAAAATTAAACGGTAATAATAAGGAAAAATGAGTTTGAGCGGGCGATATCCACTAGGCGTTTCCAGACCGGAAAAAAAGAATCTCCGTTTCGGAAGAAAAAAAAACACGAGCCGCGCGGCAAACACGAATGTGTCAAAAAGACGTTGGGAAGTGGACGAGAGCCACTCAAGATAATCGCTGATGAGATATGATATCTCAAATCAACTAGAACCGGTTGCAACTTTTATGCTAATGAGAGAGAAAAAAAAACGCTCGAAAATCTATAATTTCGAGAAAAATTGTTGATAGTGTTGAATAAAAAACGAACCGTGATTTGCAGCAAAATAGTCCTAACAGCCGACCATTTATCACTCCGTCTGTCAATAATTATGACGAAGCCTTTGTGACTCTCTTCGAGCCTGTAAAAATATAAGAAGTTAAATTAGTGTTTGAGGAGTGAGAACAAATATAAATAGCAAGATATTAGGTTTGAAATATTTTCAAAACGCTTGCATTATTGACTCGAAACACTTTTCGAAGGTTTGAGCAGTTAGCCATCATCGAAAATCTTCATCTAATCGTTTTTCTTCTGCCTTTCAGATCTGGCCAAGAATGGCGACCGAATTTTCAAAACTTGTCCCGAACCAAGAATTTGAGTGAATAGCTACACTATGGATTATTAAAAAAATCTTGCCAAATTCGTTTTACAAAAACTTGTACGAGAGCGTGAGAACTTCGCAACATATAAATTGGCGCGCGATTTAGCGTCGAGAACTCAGAACGTTGGGAAATAATTGGAACAACACAAAAAAACACAAAAGGAAACTTACGGAGGAACCTGAAGAAGGTAGGTAACAAGCAAGGAATAGTCCTCAAAGGAGAGCGTCGACCGCGAGTCGGGAAACGTCACGATCGTCAGTCCTTCGTTTGTACGAGCGCCTGAGGGTTTTTTTTTGATTGATTTTTTTGGTTATCTACAAAAAAGATTTTTTTCTTTTCTAGCTGTATAAAAATTGTCGAAAAACTGCAAATCTTCTTCAGTTACATCCAAAAAAGTCAATAAATAAAATTGGAAGATTTGAAAATTTTGAAATTCAAAGAAAGCTTTAAGGAACTTTTGATCATTCGAAAAAAATTATTATCTAACATTTAAAGGTCAAAAAAAGATAAAACAGATAAAACCACTTTAATTTGATAAATATTGCAGACTCCTTGTGAACTTCTGAGAATTGAGCTAAGTTAAAATTAATTTTTTTCCGCTTTCCTAAAGGTTAATTAATTTTATACATTCATGGTTTTACAAACTTTTTGGGTTTTTATTCGAGAGAGAAGTCGTTAAAAACTTTTTCTCAACGTTCGCATAGTAGCACTATTGATGATTTGAATATAATGTTCAGAATATGATTAAGCAGAGAACGCCTGTTAAGGCGATCATAATCGAAAAAACATTCTCTAGAAGACTCTTCTATTCTATACAAAGAAAACAAATGCCTTCATAGACTGGCGTAAAAGTCTTCAAATACGCTACTTTCAAGCATTTACAGTGACGTAAGGGGTTGAATGAGAACTTGAAGCTGTGGGCATTGCATAGTTCTCGTAGCGGTAAAAGCGCTTGAGTAATCGCGCGACGACCACGAGACTCTCGTATTTCCAGCCGGAGACGATTTTCAAGGGCTGAGATTGATTCTAACGTGTTATGGGAAACCAGTCATGGTAGACGCTGCACTTATGCGGTCGGCAAGTGCGAAAAGATACATAATTACTCGTAAACTTTCGAGAGGGCGTTTCCGCCTTATTTGCTACCGCTCTCAATTGATTAGCTGCTATTAATGTACTTATGAATAAAAAAATCGACTTGTTGAAAACGAAAATAATTTTCAGAAGATTGTCTCGGAAATTTGAAATTTTGAAGTACACAGAAATATTTATTTCCATATCTCTTCGGAAGCTAGATAGTTGTACTGTTTCATGCTATCTGAAAGTCATTGGTCATTCGAATATACTTAAATCTTCGATTTGATGTCCAATCATAATTTGATAACACACTGTTCTCATCACATTCTTCAGAAAGCCAAAGAAACGACTCCATGAAAATCACGCTGTCCGACGAATTGAAAGATTTTTTTTTTGCGTTTGATAGACATCATAGTCTTTTTCCTCAAAAAACTTATCAATGACTTGATGGATAGACTGACCAGAAAGGAAGGCGTAGCGGGTGGCCAGAATGTCGGACATGTCTTTGATCTTGACGCGATCAGAACCCACAGTCAGGTAGCCATCTGAAGACAAACATTCTTTTTTTTTTCGATTGAGACTTGCCGCAAGGTAATCACTCACGTATTCACTAACTAGTCAACTTTTCGTGGGAAAGTGCATATTTGAAGGTGAAACCAACTAGGTATTTTTTGTCACAAAAAACGGAAAAGTTGAGATTAAAGTTGTAAAAAAGGTCCATTATAGTCGCAAGTTAGTTCAAGGAGGGGCAAGCATCTTTTAGCATGCAAAGAAAACGACAAAGCTTTCCACAAAAAAGGTTATTTATCTGAAATGTGGAAAAATTCTCGAGTTTAAACTTTGATAAACTGAATAAAGATTCTGAAGCACGGAACCGCATTTTTTTTCTCAGGAAAATTCGAAAATTAGTTTTTTCAGGCTACCGAATAAATAACCTTCCCAATTCTTCGGTACATTGAGAAGTTTTCGAATGAGCTTATCACATATTTTCGTGTATTTTCTGGAGAGATTGAAATTCACAGAGCGCTCGATAAGAAGATTTGGAGCGCTCGATAAGAAGATACGAAAAAGAATTTTCAGCGAAACAGTCAAGTTTCTGATTTCCTAAAGCGAATCCTTAAAGTAAATTATCAATTTGTTGGGTTTCTTTATAATTTCAAACCGAAAAACTTTCTTCTCATAAATGTACTCACTCCAGCAACATTTTTTGACAAGTTTTCGAAAAAAAGAAACCTTTTTTGCGCCAATTACGCCAAGAAGCAAGATGCGATGACATATACAGGAAGCAAGGAAGAAAAGAAGAAACACCGGCTTCGGAAAACGGAAAGAAGCGGCTCGGCAATTATTACGCAATCAAAAAAGTAACGTTTTTGTATAAAAGCGCAACGCATCGAATCGTTTGATTGAATGGAGATGGCCGCCCAGGCAAGTCAGTCGGAAAATAACTGGAGTCCACTCGTAGCGTTCTCTTTATAGTCCACGCAGTGGCTGGTCGGTGGATATTTATGACTCGACATGCTTTTCCTTCAATATTGTTCCACAAATTTTTTTCCGAAACATTGCTTTGATCGATGAGATGCATCAAACAAGATGAATCTGGTGAAAACTTGTGATTGAAATCAAAAATTGATTTCATAGCGAACTTGAGGTTGAACCAACCAAACTAATCATATACTTTTTTGGCGTATGACGGAATGTTTGATATAGGTTCGAAAGTCTCTTCAAGTACAAAAATGTTCCGCTTTTTTTGATCGAGTTCTGATGCTTTGAATCTGTTCTTCTCGGACTGGCCTCAAAATCTTTTCGAATTAGCGCCAAAAAAAACTCTCGAAAAAGGAAAAGAAGAAAAAACTCTTTCATTTAGTGCGATTAAATCCAAAATTCTATTGGGATGAAAAAAAAAATTAAAAAATAACGTACTTTAACTATTCTCATTCTTTATTTGAGGGTGGGACCATTTTTTGAACCAAAAAATACGGTTTCACAAAATAAAAGACCAATTCTCAAAACAAAAAAAAAAACAATAAAGAACCATTTTTATTATTGCGTTTGACAGAAGGCTCCAAAACATTGCCAAAAAGTTTTTTTTTCTTGATCGAATAATTTTGCTCGTTTGGGTAAAATAAAGCAGAATGGATTATTATTTTGAAAATGAAGAACGTGGTTACAATGTTTGTTATGTTTTTTTTCAATCTCAAATGAGACTTTCAAGGCAAAACTGATTTTTGTATGGATAGTATTCGATCATAGCGAGTTCCATTCAAAAAAAGAAGCTTAAAGCTCAAAATTTTTCTTTGAAAAAAGTGAGTAAACTATCATTGTAAATTGATAGTTTTTGAATGTTTGTTTTCGAATATCTCACCCCAATGTTCATCAGCACTGTCGTCATCAGAATCGAAGGAATTATCGTCGTTCAACACCAAACTCGTCGCGAAAGGGTGTCGCGATCGTTCCAGCACAGATTGATATCCGGAATCGTTGAGAAGGTCGGCTCCTTTCAAAGCCGTCTGCGAAAAGAAGACTTGAAATCTCAAAATGTATAATTCTGACCTTCAAATCTTTCAAATCGGTGTCCATGTCATAGAAAAAGGCGGGCGCTTCAATGAATTGTCTGCTTGAAGAGGATTGCAACGTCCTATAAAGAAATTGTGTGAATGAACATTGTTTGCTCAGCGGCCTTTTTTCACGGTTTTGGAATTCCGTTACCAACTAAGGATGCCAATTTCACGCATGGTTAGTTTAGAAGCCCTCATGATTTTTTTTTGATAGCTTCCATCTTCAGCCAAAAAAAAACTTCCTACGTGAGCCCTCTTAAAACGGAGCTTCGAAAGTATTCATGATGATGGAAATTGTGTTGATAAATGGTGGCAGTTGGAAGTGAATGAAGTGGCCGCCCTTCAACTCTCAATTATTCTCCGTTTTTCCTATTGTTCTCGGAAATTTCCAATAGAGCTTGCTCTTTCGAGAAGAATAACATATATTTTTCCGTTTTAGCGCACCTTTTCGCCCATCCTCAAGTTTATACACTTTTAAGCCATTTTAAGGCTTATTTTCATTGACTTTGTGTCAGTGACGCGCGAACAGAGACGCAGAGAAAGGCGAGAGTCATGCTCAAGCCTTCTTTTTGTTGCAGGGCACGGGATGCTCTCCTTCTTTCCTTTTATTTTCTTCCACATTTTCGCCTTAAATGTATGCTAACTGTAAAATAACTCTACCATTTTTACCATTTTTGAAAATTGTTTAAAATTTTTGAAGAGTTAAGACACAAAATCAATGAAAATAAGCCTTAAAATGGCTTAAAAGTGTAAAAATTGAAGATGGGCGAAAAGGTGCGCTAGAACGGCAAAATATATATTATTGAGAAGTACTACGAAGATTTGCTCGGGAGCTTCCGGATGAGAAGAGTCTTCAATGATACAGAAGATCTCGCATTTATCTTTTTTTCAAAGTCCTTTGGAATCGGAAAACCGATTCTCCCGTACTTCTCAAATTCTTGTGGAAAAAAGACGCCGTTCTGAGCAGGGCTACATCCGGCTTCCTGTTGAGTACGGCTCACAAAAAAACTTCCGCGGCAGAAACTTGTGCTTTGCGGAAGAATAATGTTTCGCGAACATTACTCTTGCAAAACCCAGTCGGATAAGTTGAAAGGCGGAAGAAACATCTCAGTTCCTTAGTTTTCAAGGATATGTGAAATGTGTGCTTTTTTTTTGCAGAATCTTCTTCTGACGCTTGACATTTATCTCGTACTGACGTACGAAAAGCAGAAGTTTCGAATTATAAAAGCATACAAGGAACATTTTATAGGAAATGATGTAAGCACAAATATTTTTTGGGAAATTTGAGTGAGAATGGCGTTTAAGGGTCTGAGAGAAACAAGAATTTTTATTAGCATTCAAACAAACAAAAACATTTGCATTTAGTTTTTCACATGACTTTTTCAAAAAAACGTCCAACTAGCTGGGATCAGAATCCACGGGGTGCTAGTTGAAATCCACGGCATTCTCATCCCAATTAGTTGAGGACACAACTCTTGAAAAAGTGTTAAAAACTTTTTCATACCACCGCCATGCTAAAAATCGCTTATATAAATTTGATATCAATGATGATTTAGCGATTTATTTAGATATAGCTCTTCGGAATTCGAAGAAAAAACTTGACTTGAAAGAAAACGATAAAAAAGGGAAAACTGACCATAAATCACTTTCCAGTAGTACAGCTTTTCAATGAGAGTACTCAATTTCAGAAAAATTGTCATGGGATCACGGAAATTGATTTTTTGCCTATTTTCGGCTACCGCGAATTTTCGAGGAATTTACTGTTTCTGCGCCTGTCATCAAAACTACTCGGGCTAGAAAACATGCTCAAGCATAGTATAAAGTCGCTCGGGGTCGAGCGCAGTACTAAACTTCAACGTTTTTTTTCCATTTTTTGCGGTTTGAGAAAATGAGAAGTTTTGAGATGAACATTGATTTGAAAAAAAAAGATGCCCACTGAGTTGATGGAGGCGAGTCTTCGGATGTGCTGGCGACCATGCTGCCGTAGCAGGACGGAGTACCAGCTTGCATCTCGAACACAGGATTCGTAACGCCCTCCACTCTCGCTGCTGAAAAATTCGGCTCTTTTTCTGGACGATGCGAGGAGAAAGGACGAAAAAGGTGCGAGAAGAAGCATTAGGCTGATTACACACATGTTGTTTCGTCTCTTCAATGACGTCATGTTGAAATTGAAAAACAATGGCAGAGAAAAATGAGCAGGATAATTAAAAGTATCCGAGCATCGAACTCTTTTTTTTTTTTGCAAAACAGTCATTTTTTCAAGTTTCAGATGACACTCTTCTTCGAAAAACCAGATGAAGAAGGGAAAGAATCTAAATTCAAAACCAGCCAGCTGTCCATAAAATTCAAGGTAAGAGACACTTTCAGGCCGTATGGAGATGTATTGAAACGGCAAAGTTGCAATTTACAAGCGAAATCAATCTAACTAGCATCGAGTCTGAAACAATTTACAATCGGTTGAGAAAGTTTTTATGTTTTCTCGTAGTACTTACAAAATCCTTCCTGTTTTCAAAATAAAATTTTGCAAAACACCAATTTTTTCATTTATTTCCCAAAGAGAGAAATATGATTAGAAAAGAATTTTTAGATCAAACTTCATACTAAATTTTTGAGCTCATGCTCTCCATAACAGGTTGGAAATGACTTTCAAAGAAGGAGATCATAGGAAATAAACAGTTTTCAAATTCAAAACTGATTCTAAACAATTTGAAGATACTCGTGTGATGGTTCTTAAATGTTTTGATCTGAAGATTTTTTAATTATGCAGTTTTTTTTTTGGAAAGAGCGAAAAGAAAGTTTCTAACTTCAAAGCCTATCGTTTTTTTAATTTTAGGGATAAGGTGTCCGAGAATACGAACAGACTTTGAAACTCAAAATCTTGCAAAAACGAAATTCTAAAATTCTAAAATAGCCACAGGATCCCAGGGGTTCATGCATGCAAAAACAGGAAGACTGAAGGCTGACAAACACGGAGGAGCGGCTCCATGTGAGGAGAAGAACAACGTGAGACATCCGGACGGCATATGGTGAGCTCTTACTCATCCTCCGCTGGTTCAGTTCGGACCTGCAGTCTGCGAGGCAAAAAAAACGGTGGCGTCGGGTCGCCTCGTTTGCTCGAAAGTCCAGCGGCCGTTTTTTCTGACGTTTTGTCTTTTTTGACGCTCCGCAAAGCACCGAAGCAACAAACGAAAGATTTTTTCTTCCGTTTGCGACAAATGCCCTAAATGATTGAACTTTGAGAGATTCAGAACACATTTTATTGCTTTGAAGTTGATCGGGAAGATCGAGGAAACGCTGTAAGAAAACAACGGGAAATAAGTTTGCCATGGACTATGAAAATAGGTGTATTCAATTTTGATTTGTACTTGAAAACGCGTTTCAGAAGACGTGCGTCAAAGATTTTTTGAAGGGATGCTTCTAAATACTCGAAAACATCGTTGTCAATTTGGAATTCCACGAAATATATATCAAGGTTTTTCCCTACAATGATGAAAAATAAAAAAAGTAATTTTTAGATTTTTTTCGAAAACTTATCTGGCAAACCAAGAATTTTTTTGAAAGAAAAAAACAAAAAAATCAACTTTTTTTAGCCTGTCAAACATTTTTTGAACTGATTTCACATTGAAAATAGACAATATACGAAATTCATGAAATGCGCGAGAAGCGTTTTTGTTGATTTGGGTAACATGAGAGTTCAATTAACGCGACACACAGCAATCGTGAGAGAAGTGCGCACGAGCAAAGTCATTTTTCTCTTGTTTAGCTGCCAGCAAAGCTTGCTGGAAAATACAGCTTTTTTTTCTCAAGCAGATGATAATTTGAGAAAAATTTTAAAAATGACATGTATAAAAAAAGTCTTCGAATTTGTTATTTTTTTCTAAAAGTTTTCCTACAAAAGCTAGAAAAGAATCATTTTGTAAAAAAATATAGTGATTAAAAAAAAGCCTCGTTTTGATAGAATTAAATTCTACAGTGCTTGGATAGGTACAAACAGAAATTCGAAGGAATATACCTCTGGACTGGATTATCAAACAAGTACTAATAAGTCTCCTTTTCCTTTTACAGTATCGTTTCACTAGATTAAAATGCTGAAAAAAAAAAACTCTAATGAAGAAGTTCAACTCAACATGCACAACACTCGAAAAGAAGTACACATGGAAAAGCAACTGGACGGAAACGAATAATTAAGAGCTGGCAGAGGCCCAATGGACCCACTAGGAGAGCTCATTGAAAGCGTCACATGAGTGCCGACCTCACCACACTCGGTGTTTTGGATGAAAGAGGCAGCTATTTTTGTATAGTTTTGCGCAGAAATATTTTAAGGAAGAGTCCAGAAGAAAATTGGTGGGAGATCAGCTATCAGAATAGCGTGCTAAAAATAACAGAGTACAGTGAATAAATGTTCTAGCTATAGGTAGCTTGAACTGTTTGGCCAAACCCTTCCGAGGAAAATGATTTGAAACATCTATGTTCAATTTTTTATTTCGCATTATGAGGTAATCACAAATATCAGAAAAATCTGAGAAGCGCATTGACTATTAAAAATTTCTCAAAGGAAATTCGAAAGCTCAAAAAAAAATACCCGAAGCCAACCAGAGTTAAGTCTCCAATGGGGAACAGTTTTCGTCTTACTTGAAATCGTGCAAACCGAGAAAGCCGACTTAGCGTGTTGGTTGGAACGCAAAAAAGAAAACAAGCCTTTCAAGGCTTTCGATATTGGCAACCAAAAAAAACGAGGCTTTCGATGAAATGCCGGGCCAAGCGGTGGCAGCGTGAAAGAAAACCAAAATGTGGGAGAGCGGATAGCCATTTATGGATGGGCGGCTCAAATTGTTTTCCGAGTTCCAGAAAGAAATGAATTAGAAATTCGTTTGGCCGTTGAATTGTTTTTTGGCAAAAATTTATTCGTTCAAATTAGACATTTTTGAGAGAAAAGCTTCAATCCTAGGAAGAGAGAACAGAAAAAGCGTGTTGGAAAACGAAAATGAAATGACAAAATGGTAAATTTTCCTTGGTTCAAAATGAAGCGGTTGCATGTGGAATGGCTTAGAGAGAAGCGGCTTTCATTTATATTTCGAAAACTTTTTTTTGTTAAGAAACCATTTTCCGTGAACAGAATGGTGATGATGCCATATCTCAGGCTTTTCTCAGAATTGCGAAATCGTCCCAAATAAATTATTTTTTGTTTCTGAGCAAAGCGTTTTTTTTACAACAATCCTGAGTTCTACATCTTCATGCATAAGATGTTGATGCAAATATTTTTCAATTTTTTCATTTGCTCGATATTTTCAAAAATTGATGGAATGAGAAAAAAAACTTCAGAAAACTTTTTCAAGAGGCCGATAGTTCAAGATTTTCGGTGACAAGAGCTTAAAGGGGCAAACGACGATTCACACAAAACACCTTTAGGCAAACAAAAGAAAAAGAGGCCGAGCCGTTCCGTTTTTCGGCATGGAAAATGGGCGGCGCAATCCTGACCGGTTGGCCGTCCGAAGACCGACATGTGTCAGGCCAGTAACCTGATCCAGAAAATTAACCCAAAGTCTTTTGTTTCGGATTGCATGTGAAAAACATTGAAAAGGAGAGCAATAATGGGAAAAATTTCAAAAACATTAGCTCGAATCCAAAAATTTTTTTTTTCAATAGAAAATCAACCAAAGAAAAGCCCTTTTTTTCAAATGGTGCAGGTTTTTCCTGAATGTGATAAAACAATTTAACAACAAAAACTCCAATAAATTTCAGATGGTTTTTCGTTAGAATTTTCACACTTTATTTTAAATACAACTTTATTCGCCAAATATTTTTTTTATACGTTTTTTCAGCGATTTTAAATAGGCGAAATGTCATAACGAGATGTTCTCAGGATATCAAAATTTCATCTTTAATGTGTTTGTTTATGGCAAAGGTCTTTTTAACGCCTCTTCAAGGGAAAAATATGAAAAAAACTAGAAAAATAAAAAAATAATCCAGTTTCTCATACATTCAACAAATCTATCATTTAAGCTAGAACTACTTCTGAATTAACTCTAAACAATGCAAAACAGTTGCTGAGATAAGAAGATCAGTTCAAAGAAGTCGTCTGGGAACACAAATAGGAACATGAAAAGGCAGGATTAAGTCGTAAATTAGCTAGTTTGTGGCCATTAGCGTCTTTCCAAACAAAATGAACCGATTGATTAGAAGGAGATTTCAAGTAGTCGACTTCAGACTAATGAGAAATTGGGTTTCCGTTTGTCATTGCTAATGAGATGAAAAAAAAAAAATTAAAAATGAAGATAAGCATGAAATATTCACCAACAAGAACGGTTTGGCATTCAAAATTCATTGTAACTTTTGTGTAAAATGCTTTTGACAAATTCTTTTTTCTGTTAGGACAGTTTTTGTCTGAACAGTTTTCTTATAAATCAGAAGGAAATTAGTATTTTTTTCATACTTATGGTTTTCGTTTAGAAATTATTTTTTTCAGTTTTGACATCATTCAGCATTTTGGTTTTGCAAAAAAACTGAAAAAAAGATCAAGCAATGATAAGGTATTTTGACTATTTTTTTGTGATAAGAATTGACAGTTTGTTTTTTTCGAGGCGTCAGTCTTTTAAACAACACCTTTTTTTAAATTACACCTTTTTTTGACGAATTTTTGCTAGTTCCTGGGAGCCAAAAAGTTTAAAAAAACAGTTATCGAATAGATATAGTTAATTTGACAAAGAAAAATAATACAAAAAAATTGAACTTGAACAAAAAAAAAAAAATTAATTCAACGATAAGAAAAGGAGAACCAATGGATCTGGAAACTTTGATATTCGGGAATACGCCTTTGCAAAAAACACGAATGCATAATTCGATTTAGGAAAAAAGGTACTGAAAAGCAAGAAGTGCGTTGCCCAAAAAAAGGCAGTGCAAGGGAGCTCCCGCGCCTTCTCGTAGGCGGTTTGGCTTCATGTCACATCGATCGTCGGCTTCGCCTCTCTTCATCTTCAACGTTCTTCTCAACCCGGAGACCCGTCTTTTCCGTCCTTTGCTTAACTTCTATTCATCTTGCCAAACTGCCACTGCTCCGTAAAAACATCCGAGTACGTGGCAGACGAGAATAAAGCATCTTTTGATTAGATCTCAGATTTTTGAACAATAAAAATTCCCGATCAAAGAACGTCTCCTTAGCAAAACATTAGACAGAAAAAAGTCAAAATTAGATAATTTTTTCCAATCTAAATTATATTGTCATGATGTCCTTTTCAAACTTTTTAAAAACTCGACTGGGAAAAAAGTAAGCCCTGATCTCAAGAAGAGTGAATACATTCCAAAAAAACTCCAAAAAAAGCGAGAGAAAATTGGAAAGATCGGTTAGATAAATATCTATTCAAGACTGGACCCAGTAAAAAAAAGTAAATCAGATTTTGGTGTTTTTTTTTGAGTTGATCCCGATTCCTAGTACCTTTTTTCCGAGATTCATGGATATCACACAAATATCAACATAACTGTTTCTGACGGAAAGTTAAAGATTTCACTCTTCGAATTAAAAAAACAAATTCAGAGTTTAAAAATTTTATTCGTGATACTCAATAATGAACAAAAAAATACTTTTTTTGAATGAAATGACATAGAAATGAGAAGAAAGATTTCAAAAAAGAAAAATTTATGTATGAACATTCATAAGATTAGAAGTGAAATGAAGTCAATTTTCTATAAAAATTTAAAAAAAAAACTCCTAATATTCCAAATACAAAATTTTGCTGAACCACTTTACCTTCTTATGTTTGTTCAGTTTCAAAATAAGCACAACCTTCTTCGAGAAGAACGTGAAACGATAAAAAAACTCAACAAGAAAGTGATAAGAAAAGCCGTTTTTGGTTCAGTGTGCTGCTCAAAAATCTGAAAGCATGATGAAATTTCAAAAGGGATACAATTTCACAAAGAAGGGAAACATGAAAATTGCATTTAGTTGTGGTGTTTGTATGTTTGCGTGTCCGAAGACTTTGATGCGAAGAATCGGGCGAAAAATCCAAAAAGTCCCCCTGAGAAGATTTGACGAAATCTTCGAGAAGAGTCGGGAAATATAAAAAGAGCAAAACGTTTTGATGTAGATAGAAAAAGAACGCGATACCACAAATCGCAAAACGAATATACTGATAGGGAAGATCAATTTGATTTGAAAAACTATCCGGAATAAAACTGAATTTTCCGTCTCAACAAAAGAATGAAGGAAAAACTGATAGTATGGACCATC